TACAAGCCAGAACCTTTACTTCGTTTCCAAGACCTCAAATCCCATACATTGCCCTGTTGCCAGAGTGCATCGTTCACCATTTCAAATTCCGCTGAATTGAGGCCCTGTGTCGTTGCCAAGTTTGATTTATATACCGATAGTGGGATCTGGGCCTTTGACGGCTTCTCATCGGCAACCTCGAGACATTCTCTGAGCTGAAAGTCAGAGGTGGAATTCAGGCACTTGTACAGGTGTTCGGTGGTGTTACGAAACAGACATATCATTGTAATAGTAAAAGCAACAGAATCCTGCCTGTTCCAGTTGTACTGCTCAGCAGGAGCGTATCTGCCTCGATACATTGGCGGCAAGACCGCGTCTCAAGATGGGAGATTGGAATCTTTAAGTTTGTTTGATCAAAACGATGGAACGTTTGGACTGATCTCTTCGAATTAGCCCTCGCCTTACTTTATCTCCATCGTGCAAATACTTGGGATCCAAAAGTGCTTCTTGACGAGCCATTTGCAGATCATCAGCCAAACAATCAGCCTGGAATCCCAAAATATCACGCAAATCGTCTCGTATTTTGCTTTTCAAGAGGGAGCGCCAATGAGGATAGACGGTTCGAAGCTGCGAGAGAGTCCACGAGGAAGATTAGATGGCAATCAATGGCACGCTTGTGTATGGCAGTTTAGGGACGTTGGTTTATGGCTTTTACCTGCTTCGGTGTGAACCTAGTTGTGTACTGGTCCTTTGCTCCAAGGCTTTTGAAAATGCGTCTTCATAGAATGTGTTCTAAGCAACAGCGAAACAGTTAGAGTGACTCAAACTTAAGAAGTGCAAAGACCGATTGCCATACTTAAATTGTTGTTCTCTGGATAAAGACTAGCAAATTAGAGTATGTGATATCAATTTCAGTTAGATTCGATGCGCCGCCAATCGAAGACTCACCAGTCTTGTTGCTTTGAAAATCGATAACTTCAAAACAATCAGAAAATTCAGCGTGTTGGATTATTGTCATTGCATAGGTTGGAGCAACCACTTTCTGAATTTGAAGAAGACCAAAACTCAAGCCTTGAGCTTCCAAGACGTCCTAAAGGATTATGTTTGTCCGATTTTTTCTGTATTGCGGCAATGTCAAAACTTTGTTTTTGCAAGACAAGAAAACAAATTCACAGAAGATGATCAGACGAGCTCCAAGCACCATGATGGCGCAGCTTACATGGAAATAATCAGAATCTTTTTGTCCATGGTCCAATTCCATCGTACTTGGTAACCTTTGTCATGGCTCGGATTACTAGTTCTTGTTAAGCTCTTGAAATCGCGTTAGCTGGCAGGAAAAGAATCCAATGTGAGCACCACGATATAAGAATCTAAGCTAAAGCTGCATTTCAGAATCATCTCAACAAACGACCGAAATGCCAAAACAAGCAAGAGCTGCTGGAGATGATGAGCTGTGAAGGAAGGATTGTTGCAATACAAACAACTACGACAACATTTGCAATGCCCAGAACCAGAACTTCTATTTTCGAATGGTTTACCTTTGGTTTTTTGGTTTGTTGTGACTTTAAAAGTTCAAGTTCACGCCTTTGGTAGGCGACGGAGGTCGTAAACTTTTGGCTAAAACTAACCACCAATAGGAAACTTTATAGGATATTCTAACGATTTGCAAGGAACTACATCTTCCCTTGTGCGCACACCGCCGAAGCGTTTGAGAACCCCACGAATATCAAAACATCACTTTGTGCTACAATCACGTCTGCTCTGTATTGTAAGGTGGTTTGCACCGTCGTCACGGACTGGTGTAGGCGCTTTCTTTAAGAAACAAAACCCATGGTTTTGTTCTTCCCGCTTTCCATAGAGGTCCTAAGGACGGCAATCTGCAGACAAACTACGGATCGACTCGACGGTCAAAAAACAACGTAGCAATTTGTAAATCGGGAAAGTAAACGAATTAACAAAGTTCCTTACAATACCCTCCTTTGCTTTTTAGTATAAACCATCTTGATGACTTTGTTCAAGGTCTTTGCCTTCAAGTCCGTAGTTTGAATTAAGGTTTCGCCATTGTCTTCCAAAGTCCAAACAGTAACTGAGGCCCAGTTTCCTTTTACAGACCTAGCTTCAACGACAATGTTTCCATCCTACGCAAAAAGGAGTTAGCAGCGGTTAACAACAACGAGGAGGAAATCCATTTAGAGGAATCAGGCAAAACAACACAATACCTCATTGCGAGAGACCTTGACGAACGTGTGTCCTAAAGCCATGTGTATTTCAACACGCTCGACTCCGTCGATTTTCAAGACTATTGGATGTAAAATGTCAAATTTCAGACTCTCTTTGAAACTCGGGTGCGAATTCTTTCTTACTTGTTTTGTCGCCTCGAGGGTCTATAGTTTCAAGTATATCATCCTCTAAATGCTTAATAGTATATGTAATTGTCATCACTTTGGATAACTTGCGAATAACCCATGGGATTCCTAGTTGAATTTGAAACTTCTAGATTGTTTGGGCGACCTTGGCAGAACTGAAGGTTCAAGATAGTCTACCTTGAGCCTCCATCGCATCCTAATGAAATGGGTTTTGAGAGTCAGAGCTTTGTTTTGTCATGGATTTCTTCGTATCGTATTGATTGCGGCATAAACGCATGAGAGAATAAATCAACCCCGTTCACCTCGTAAGGAGTCGTCTTTGCAACATCGTTAGTCCAAATGCCGTCGTATGAAGTCAAAACTGCAACCATTTTGTTTGATCTTTTGATTTTTTGATTGATTTCTTGCTTTGAGAGCAAGTTGGCCCTTTTGCCAAACGAAGTGAGGCCCTCGTCAAGTTTTGCCTGAAGTACAGTGCAATTGCATAGCACGAGACTTCACGCGGAATGTTGTACATGCAAGTAAATGGTCATTATTGCACTGTTGGGAAATCAGCAAGAAAGCGTGTGAAATTAAACATCCTACCGTCATTCCCATTCCCTTAACGACAAAAGACACAGTTGTAGGTCCACACCATTGATTCTTGAAAGAAACATTATGTACTCTGTGGTTTCTAGGACATGCATAATAAAGAAAAGGTGATGTGTTTGGGATTTGGCGGAGGTTTGGTGTCGTTTTGCGTGAAGGTAAAAGTCAAGTCTTCACCTATATCCAACAGCAACGTATTTTACGAAACCAAGACACAAATTTGTCACCTCGACATCACAGATTTCTCGTCTTCCAAACAAATACGCAAATTCATCACCTCTTCACCACAACAAGTTCCTTCTCTCCCTTCTTTCCTCCAAGTTAAAAATCCAGCCGTTTATAGGTTCATGCAGCGCCATTTTATTTCTTATGGTAAACAGCTTTAGTATCCTTGGAGATAGAGTCTTGGATTCAAAATGTCCTATCTGGACAAGAGTCTAAGAGTCTTTCCACCATCTTCAAGAGTCCAAGTGACGAAAGAAGTCCAATTTTACCATCTTCTCCTTTAGAGGCGATGACAAGATCGCATTCTGCGTAATGTAATTTGAAGAACGTTTAGAAATTTGTTGCAGTCGAAGCAATTGAATGCAAATTCGGAGAAAAACAACTTGAAATTCACGAGTAGAGGAAAAGATCTTACCTCATTTCGTCCATACTTGACGCGTTTCTTTCCAGCAGGAGATTCCTCAACACATTCAACACCATCAATGATCATGACTGCGGATTGGGAAAAGTCCAGGGATTAGTTTTTTTAAGACAGATCAAACTTTACTTTACCGTGTACGTACCGGTTTTGTCACTCCTCATTCCAGTGCCTTCGATCTTATTCTCATCTAGCTGGACAAAAGTGTAGGTTGCTTCCTTGATCAATGTGGCAAGTTGACGCATGGCGAATGAAACGCCTTGAGCTTCCAAGATATCCTAAAGAAAGGACGAAAGCCTACGAACACTAGGCTGTGAAATCACAGTCGATGCGTATGGAGCTGTTGTTGCTTGAAGTCAACTATCGACAGAAAAAGAAAACACGAGAATTGTCTCGTTCCCAGCTTACTTGGAAGGGCGTAGAGGCTGCATTGTCGGAGACTTAAGCACCAAAACTTGCTCAATTTAAATAAATGTTTTTCTATTGTGTTTGAAAAGCCGAAAGTGAGAAATGTTGGAACGTTTGGTGGACGCAATTAGAAAATACAGACTTCGTTGTCGCTTACCAAGTAAGAGACGATGAGAATTACTGGATAATAGTGAGATAAATGCTCGGTTGGGGTTTAATGGCCGTGAAGTGATGTTCTGAATTTTAAGACATCTTCAGGAAGAGATTGATTCTTCTTTGGCTACAACCATTGGAAAATGGTATTCCGAGAGGGAAAACCTGCAACCGAGCTTTGATTGAAAACTTACGCCAGAGCAATATGTGCTTAGCTCTTCCAGTTGCAGCATTTCACCGGGCAAAGTGTGGAAACAAGGAGAGAGCCAAACATTTTGTTCAAGCATTTTACTTTATGTCGGTATCACTGTTGCAGGACTAAAAATAATAATAAATAAATCAGAAAAATACATAAATACTAGCCCTCCTCTGCATCACTCGTCCATAATTAGTCCCATACAATACTACATCATTCCTCCTTTGGTTGAGCAACAAACTTGCTAACAATGATTTCACCCTTGATACCCTCAGCACTCTTCACTACTACATTATTATTACTACTCGCTTCAGCCCGTTTTGCCAAACGAGCCATGGCATCATCGTAGTCAGTGCCACACCATTTATCCCAGTTTATGAAGAAGGGTTGCGAGAAGTTATACTTGATACCCTTTCCGAAGTGATGTATATCATGATATTTAGCATTATTAGAAAAGAAGCGTTGTAGCGGATCCCACGGCAAGGCATATCCACAATGGTCGTCTACAGTCTTTAGTGTAGCCAAAGTAAAGAAGATGGTCGACGTCCACGGATGCATGTTTGTTACAACGGACGCAATTCCACTTCCTAGGGTATCCATTAACAGGCCTTCTACTGGGTGGTTATATAGAGCACCAAATGCATATGGAGCTGTGAGTTGATGGTGTACTGAATGGATGGTACGGTATAGGTATCTGTTGGTGTGCATGTATCGATGCATCCAGTATTGATATGTGTCGAGGATGATAGCCCCGATGACTAACTTGGCTATTACGATATACCATGATTCCATAACTCGTGGTTTGTCATCACGTAGGATCATTGCTAGAACTATGGCTAGGGCCATTTGGACTGTGTGCTGACTAAAGACCTATTATAATGTGCACAGACACAAGGTTAGACAGGTTCTGTGCCATCACGAGTTCAAACTTGAGTTCTGTCCTGTGACTTGGGAACTAACCTGGAACAAAACCTTATTCAATGGCGGGTTCACAGGAGCTCTTTTTGAGGTATCGATGCGATATTTCTCCAAGAAAGGCATATTAAGGGCCTCTAGAGCAAAGAACATTGACGAGTATCCCCAATATACGACTACAGGTAAGAACATCATGGCCAGTTCTGAGGTATCTAGGTTGGTCACAAATGTCCAAGCTTTCGTGATATAGTCGCTCATGGTAGTTGCAGAAGGCTAGCAAGCCCAAACAGTCGAGTTGGAAATAGATATTACTTGAATGGGAGGCCTAAGAGTGTTCTATACTTGCTAGTTGGTTCTGTGGCTTCATATGTGAAAGGCAGTGCTAAAGTTTGCGAGAAAGCTTTCGTACCTGCGGAATGCAGCCTTTCGTTTCAGTGACGATTCAGAAAGAAGCTAGAGCCGATCCTCTTCGTTCTCGCAGCTCGTAACTAACGTAGTGTGTACGTTGACAAAGAAGAAAACCCAATTTGGGCATGCTAGAGTAAACCAGGATATGACAAACCGCGAGAGAGACCATATCAAAAATGGAAGCGCGAAGGTAGATTTGCATAATTCTCATATACATTATCCGCAAAGTTGCCACACAACTCCAATTTTTGGCCAGATTATGACCATCAACGTCACTGTCCGAAACGCAGACATCAGCTCAAACAAATGTTGTCAGAAACGCGAAGAATTTAGCTATGTACCTAGTGTAGCAATGCAGTGACTTGATGTCAGCTTTGAAATGTCTCAGATTCAATCGGCTATGCTTTGTCCCCTGTATTTGAAACGCGAAAAGGCCTTACGTAAGCTCCAGGCCAGAGGCAAGAAAAGAAGATTTCAAACCTGCTAAAAACCAAGACGTAGAGGACATTCGTAGAGCAGTTCCTAGCCTGATCGATACTACTGCAAGGTCTAGCATTGCTGTATGCGCATTCTCAAACGCAGTGCTGTCTACAAGAACCAACTTTCCGCATCATTGGCATCACTCGGCAAAAACATGAGCAGCACGAAGGAAAACCTAGACGCAGACAGCAAGAGTCTCCTACTGGTTGATGAATCCTATTCGGAGAAGCTGCCTACCCTATTCGATGGATTTAGAACTGTCTTTGGCTATAATAACTACATTGTGGACGATGGGTCTGGGAAATCACGAATTAGACGTATTCTCGAAACATATTTGCCATTTTTGAACTGGTTGCCAAGATATAACTGGACATGGTTTATTGGAGATCTCATTGCAGGTGTCACGATCGGAGCGGTTGTTATACCCCAAGGTAGTCAACGGTTAAACATGATTTAGTGTTGCATCCCCTCGCAGCAAGATCTCATTGCTTCTTCGTATAGGAATGGCTTATGCCAAGCTTGCCAATCTGCCTCCACAATTTGGTCTTTACTCTGCCTTTGTTGGTGTAAGTTTGATCTACTAGCACATGTATATCTGCCCTCACGACTCACGTCTTGATTCAAATCTAGGTCTCAATATACTTTTTCTTTGCTACAAGTAAGGACATCACTATTGGACCTGTCGCTGTGCTCTCCCAACTAGTTGGATCAAGTAAGTCTCGATTCTTTGGTCAAGGGATTGGCACATACCAACTGCTCTCTCTGTAGTATTGATACAAGTCGCAGTAACGAATCCTGAATACTCTGGCATCACCGTGGCAGCCACTATATCTGTAATCTCTGGTATCATAGTCTTTGCCGTTGGAGCTCTAAGATTAGGGTTTTTGGTCGACTTCATACCCCTGCCTGCCATTTCTGCATTCGTGACTGGAGCCGCACTGAATATCGGAATAGGACAGTTTCCAGCACTTGTTGGTATAAGTTCATTGTTTGATACAAGAGCAGCTACGTATCAAGTGTTTATCAACTTCTTCAGGGTATGCATCGTTTAGTCTGCCCTTCTCTTTTGCTCTCAAAGAATCTCTTTAACTCTTTCTTCCTCTCATCAGTATCTTCCGAATGCTACTCTGGATGCAGCTTTGGGTGTATCAGCTCTCGTGTTGCTGTACCTGATACGTTTCTTCTGTGGATTAATCGGCAGGAGATACCCAAAATACGAAAGAATAACCTTCTTCATCTCCACCCTTCGATCCGTATTCGTGATACTGCTATACACCATGATCTCATACCTCATCAACCGCGGCCTGACAAAATCACGAACAACTATCCTCGGTACCATACCAGCTGGTCTTCAAAACGTTGGTGTACCAGCCATAGATTCCAAACTCATCTCCATAATATCACCATACTTGCCAAGTGTGGTCATTGTCATGCTGATTGAGCACATCGCTATCGCAAAAGCGTTTGCCAGACTCAACCAATACACCATAAATCCATCGCAAGAGTTGATTGCTATAGCTATTGCCAATATCTTTGGACCATTCTTTGGGGCTTATCCTGCTACTGGATCGTTCTCGAGAACTGCTATTAAGGCTAAAGCTGGTGTACGAACTCCTTTGGCTGGTGTTATAACGGCTTGTGTTGTTATCTTGGCTATCTATTTGTTGCCACCAATGTTTTTCTATATATCGAATGCTGCTCTCGCTGCTGTTATTATTCATGCTGTTGGTGACTTGGTTTCTGGTATGCATTACTCTTGCCTGGTCGTTTTTTTCCCTCTCCAGACCGACAGCTTACCCTATGCTTGAATAGGTCCAAAGATGCTGATGGAAATCTGGAAGGTTGATCCAGTCGAACTGGTTGTGTTCTTCATTGGTGTAGTGGTATGCAAAAAGAAGATGACAAACGCCACACGAATTAAGTATAACGACATGTCCTTGTTTTGCAGGTCAGTGTCTTTACTACCATCGAAAACGGTATATATGCCAGTATTGGTGCAGCAGGTGCTGTATTGCTGTACCGTATGGCCAATCCACGAGGAGTCTTCCTTGGAAGAATCAAGACCTATCACATAAATCCTGAAACTCCAGAAGAAGCAACAACTCCACACTTTGTATGGGTACCTCTGGATCACTCAGGATCTCATCCAAGTGCTGTTATTCAACCACCACCAGCTGGTGTGTTTGTTTATCGGCTGACTGAAGGCTTTGTGTAAGTCTTCATGCATTATCCTCGTATATTGAGCTTTTTTGGGCCGCTACTGATAGACTTGCTGACGCTTCTTCTTTTCTTTTCCAGATACCCAAATGCTAGCAACGTATTAGACCGCCTCGTAGCATATCTAAAAGCCAACACCAAACCAGCCGTCAACATAAAAACAATCGGTGACCGACCATGGAATGAACCAGGACCACGTCACGATATATCCTCATCCTCATCCGACAAACCAACCCTGCACGCCGTCATCATCGACCTCACAGGCATATCCCGAGTAGATTTCACAGCATCTCAAGCTCTCCTAGACGTCCGTCGAACACTAGACAGATACGCAGGCCACCCCGTCGAATTCCATTTCGTTGGTATCTCTTCTGGATGGGTGAAACGAGCTCTCGTCGCTACAAACTTTGGTGGTAGTGTCGTCAATATCCCTATGGATACCAATATGCCTCAGTTTACGGTTGCTGCTCAAAGTGTTGAAGGAGGTGACAAGCTGGTGCCGATATCGGATACGAGTAGGCCCAGCTTCCATAATAATATCGATGATGCCGTTGCTGCTGTTGAACGATCGTTGAGGCATAGTGACGGGTCGCAAAAGTCGAATTCCTTGCATTCGGTGGATAAGACGGATGACACTCTAGTGTGAACACAAAAAAAAAAACATTATACACATCATATACATAAGTCGGGAAGTAAGGAAATGACAAAGATTATCATATCATTGTCACCTTATTGTATATACATACCATCCAAAAACAATACATTGTTGGAAACAAGACAAAGTCGATGTGTACCTGTTTCATTTGACCACACGTCAACTGTCAAACTCCATCCCTTTAACAATCTTGCATATAGATGTGAATGATCGTTCTCAAAATTTATAAGCTTGCTTGTACAAAAGATCAAACAGGTATTATTTTTATACTCCGCAGGCAACACCCCAGTCACTAGTTGCTTCATCCAACCAGCTAGCTACTCCATATAAAGATGATGCAAGGGCAAGCAAGATCAGGGTCTTGTTGCTGCAGATATGGTCTTCAAGTCCATAGTAAAGACTGATTCGCGTAGCTCTAGATTCAGCACACCACAGAATGTTAGTTTCTTGAATTCAACATCTCAAACGACAACTCGATGTAACTTACCAGACAATGTCTCCTCAATATGGGTGTAATCCAAATAGTCTCTCAAAATCCGTGGCAGTGATATATTCGCGTAAGTGGCCCAAAACGATGTAAACGAATCGAATATCCAACGAAAGAGCCTCGATGGTCAGATGATTGGACAGAAAAAACAATGATGGGTGTTCCACCATACTTACGGTATGTTTCGTGGTAGGAAGACACTTGTGTTCCAAAGGAGTAGAAGACGGGTTGTAATTGTCCACTAGGGACCAAATGATACCGGTAATAGCAATAGAAAACCACTGGTCCTCATTGTTGGAGATTTCACGAACTTGTGCAGCGCACTGGGGATATATAGATGAATAGTAGCGTAAACTGTCAAGTGCCAACATCCCTAGAAATTATTGGGTCAGTAAATTCTCCTTAAGTCATGGTTGCAAATACATATTGGTGAAACACTCTGCGCTTACCCATTCATCGGAAGTCCTGGACTATAGATTCCAGAATAGCAACATGAGAGCTAGAATGGTCAGGCATGATTGAGCGTTAGTTCACATGAGGTAAGAAACACAAGAAATGCATGGACTTGGAGACAGCAAACCACCAACAAGCAGCACAGAGAAATCAAGCCATCGCGAGATATACCTTCTGAAGCCAAGAACACAAGTAACAGGAAAAATCTTCTTGTTGATGATTCCAGACGAGACAAAGTCAACAGCGCCAGGCTTGTTTGCAAATCGAGACTTTCACGCTAAACAATTGAGGGTTGAGTAAGAATCTGAATGTAATAAATAGCAATAAATGTCATCAAAGTCGAGAGTTTGAAGGATGATCGACTAAATGTGCAAAGATGTTGTTGAAGTTGACAGTCGCTGCCTTCCAAAATCTTCAGCTCTTGCTACGCCACGCTTATATTTGAACTATGCTCTGAGAATCGTGCTTGAACCAGTATATTTGGTAGTATCTGTACTGACCCGAAACGCGATTTGACTAAATGAATAAAAGAGTAACGAATAGCAAGCAAAGCCAGGGAGCCGTTAAAAAACATACTGTGATATTTACTTGATCTCCATGTTGCGCTTGCTCGAAGCCCTTAGATGGCAGCAAGTTCCAACCATTTTAAAGCACGACAAGACAGACATGACAGACTTGAAACTGGAAGGCGCCGCCTCTGCTTCTAGGTAATATGAATCAGCGGCGTGCTATCCGTCTCCGCTGGAGTTATTAATCAGCCACTTTTTGAGCTTGGTCTGCAGGCACGCGTCGAAATGAACACGCTATACACCATCATTTCACCTCGGAGCTAGAGTGCGCCGCGGCTCATGACACTAATCCTAGTACATCAGTCAAGTTGTGCTCTTTTCATAAGGCTCTATCGGCAATAAAATGTTCCTCCATGCCCACCATCTTCTCCCAAAAATTTCAACAAGCAGATAGACTAAAGCAAGCACCCGCAGTTTAGCAGCAAGCTCGAGCAATCCTATCACTCATAGGTACATATAAAATCACAAATCACTAGATGACACTCCTTTCTCGCTACCTTGGGATAGCCAGGCCGAGCAAGAAAATGCCTATACATATAGCAGACTTGTCGACCGTCGACCGCAAGTACTGGAAGGTATGCCAAGGCTCTACTCGCTACCATCATATGTAGCAGCTTAAGCCTCGCTCTTCTGACTAACTTTTTCACTTTGAATTCATAGTACATCAACTCTGACCCAACATCAGTCGAAGTCAACATCCACACTCTGCAAGTACCATTCGCAATGAAAAAGATGGCAGAGTACTTGCTTACAAACGGCACATCTACGCCTTTTATATTCAGGTATGTGGCGATATGATTACCGTTACTTTGTTGAATGCTTGTTTGCTGCTTTACTCTCGCAACATGCACGATTCTCATTCGCAATCTAATTTTCCGTAGACGACCTGGATTTCGAGGAGTCATTGATTCCCTCCTTACTATTGTACAAACCCCGAGTATGCTTGCAGACCTACCACTGCACCGAATCTTGAAAGACGTACAAAAATGGCACAAAACCGATGGACTTGAAGCAGCGGATCTTGAAATTTATCCACTCGCATCTACTTTTGTTGAATGGATTGACGCCAATGAATCATTCATGGACTACAAAACCGCAATGGTGTTGGAAGGCTTGGGACGTAGAAGGAACTTGTCAATCCCAGATATTGCGAAACTACTCAAGACACGTCTGACAACATATGAACTGGACACCTTGCTATTTGTCTTGTGGGTGTTTTATAAATTCACCGAACATGAGAGAGAAACCGGTATGAACGCCTTCAGCCTCGCTGCCGTTGCCAATAAGGTGCTATGTCAATATGATGGGAAGAGGAAACCAGACAGAGGCGTTATCAGGATCTTGGCGTTCATCATTAGAAACATTGATAGATTTCTCGCAGCTTGCAAATACAAGGTATCAAACAACCCGCCACTCAAAAAATCAAAAACGACAGCTCCTCGAGTAGCACGAAATGCCAAGATGCTCTGGCCTCGTAAAGCATCTGGAGCTGATAGCATACTAGTAGAAACGGTAGAAACCAAAACAGTAACATTATTGGAGGTCGTCTCACAACCAGTATTGAATTTGGGCATCATCAAGCCTCTTGCAGTCAGTAATACGAATGTGACAACGGACCCGTCTCCCAGAAAGTCAAAGAAGGTTTCTTCTGGAACACTACGAAATTTCAGGAAGCTCTGGGGCCGTAAGGATGCTGGAATATTAGTCGACACCGTACCACTAGAATTAGTAGAATCCAAGCCAGTGACAGCGTTATTGGAAGTCTTACCAGAACACGTATTCAACGTTGAGCCTCGCCCGATCTGTCACCCCAACGCATCAACCATTCAAGCTCTTAAAAAGTCAAAAAAGGGCCTTTCTCGATTTGCATCTCACTTCAAGATGCTCTGGCCTCGAAAGGCAACTGTAGGACTAGATGAAACTACTCCGATAGAATTGGCTGAATCCAAGCGTGTGGGAGTATCGGGAGTCGCAACACCTGAACCAGCAGCCAAACAGACGGAAGCTGGGTCTGGATTCCAAGAAATCGATCCTCCTCATCACACCTCGGCCCCATCCGAAATTTTCGTGCCCGGATACCTGGGATCTTCTGCAAATGCTGAACCGACAGCACTTATGACAGCTCAATTTGACATGTAAGAACCGTAGCAGGTTGATTAGTCAAGACGGTCAATCAAGAGGTAAACCTATCGTTACTTTTATCCACTAGAGGTCCTATATTGATTACCGAATCAGCCGCAATCGCCATTCACGCAGTGTCACCACTGGTGTTGGCTAAAAGGTACGAGAAGCTTGAACAATCGTTGATTTAAGGGGGTGACGCTAATAAATTCATTTTGTCTTCCATCTTCAGAAATGCTGCTCATGACCAGATGATTGCCCGCGACATGGCACTATTGAAATTGAAGTCATGGTCTGAACCCATCCCCCGACTAATGGCGACGAGCTTGGTTTCACCACTACCTCTTTCGACCTCGTAAGTCTTTCTGGTTTTGATTGCATCTCGCGAAATCAATGAGACTGATCCCTCTTCCTTGGTTGCAGATCTCCAAATACTTTGTCACAAGGAAAGCTGTATCGAAATGCTTCGGCATCACATCTTGGCTTTTCCTTCATCCCAAACAACAGTGCTAAAAGATGGAGTCCCAAAGGGGACAAACGAGTCTACACTCCCAAATCGGAAGTTCGTCTTGATGACTTTTGGTACGTTCTTGTGCAAACATAGACATATCTCAATCCAGTAGCACAACCTAATCTTTATTTGTTCTCAATAGCGTCGTCAGAAATGCATCCATAAGCCATGACATCACCTTGACGAAGAATCTCAACAGCTTATTACGTGCATGGTCTGAGTCGAGCCTCCTCCAAATCACGGTCGAAATCGACACAAACACAACATTTGTACTCCAACTGGAACGATCAAACGATGCTGGCCATCCCTCTGTCTCCTTTTCTCGGCAACTGGACAAAGAAGCTCGCTTGCTCGATAGCAACGACGCTCAATTGATACTTATGGCTGGCACTGGTGTCTCCCTCTCGTCCCTCTCAACTCTCATAGCAATAATCAGATACTTGGCAGCGAACTTTGGTCGTCTGGGTCAACAATCTAAACAGTGTATTGATGCTATGATCGGTATGGTCCGAGAAGAAGGTGCTGGATTGGTTGCTACTGGGCTTGGAGTGATTCGTATCGGCTTGTCGGTGCTAGATAGAGAAGTGAAAGATTGAAGAATTGAAGTGAAGAGTGTAGGTTTGTTTACTGCGTCAACATCCTCATAAATGCTTCAGTTGTTGGTTTGAACTTCAATTTTATTTGTCTACAAGAAAACAAGACACAAATCTCACATATTCGACGATTGTATTTTCTCTGTTGTTGGAACAAGCACCATACAAAGCTTGACGCGATAATGGAAGACCACTATGCCAGGATGAACTTGAATTACGTGAATGGAATGATATCAGTTTATTAGCTAAAACTCTTTTCGCCGTGTTTGGCGTTGATTGATTGAACACAGCATCTTCAAAGCCAAGATTGCGACTTATTGTGCAAAAGGGGTTGAGACAAAAAAAGCACACCATTTCCATTAACAAGCTCATTACGTCGCGGATCTTGACTTTACCATCTCAAAAACCCAACGCTTCATCGGCTCACTAGTAGCAGTCAACTAGTACTTCGCAATCCAATAATCAATCATGAGCGAACCTAAACTTGAGCAGTATAACGAGAAACTGCCCACTCTATACGATGGGCTCAAATCATTCACATCGTTCGATGATGCTTCTTCTGTCTCGGACAAATCATCAAAGTCAACGGCTACGAAGGTGCTGCAGAGCTACTTTCCATTCTTGGATTGGCTGCCACGATACAACTTGACATGGTTTATCGGTGATCTTGTTGCTGGACTTACAATAGGTGCTGTTGTGGTGCCTCAAGGTATGGTCCGATCTATTCTTTACTGTGGTTTCTTTGCAGTTTGGGGTTGTGACTGATGATTGGATACTGACTGACGGTTTTCTTTTTTGTTTTACAGCAATGTCATATGCAAAGCTCGCTAATCTGGCTCCTCAATTTGGACTTTACTCTGCCTTTGTTGGTGTAAGCTGCACACCTTGGACACCGTAACGTGTTTTGTCAGACGAATGCACGAATTCTGATTTTTTCTTATCCTACAAAATACAGGTGTTGATGTACTTCTTCTTTGCTACTAGCAAGGATATCACTATTGGGCCCGTTGCTGTGCTGTCTCAACTGGTTGGATCAAGTATGATCCAAACACGTTTCTTCCCTGTCTCAAAACGTTGCTTTAACACCATCTCTCTCTGTAACTAGTCATATTACAAGTCGCCGCAACAAACCCTCAATACTCGGCCATCACTGTAGCTGCTGCGCTCTCCATTACCGGTGGTCTTATCGTCTTTGCGATGGGAGTTCTACGGTTAGGTTTCTTGGTCGACTTTATTCCTCTCCCAGCCATCTCTGCATTCGTCACGGGAGCTGCTCTTAATATTGGTATGGGACAGTTTCCAGCTCTTGTTGGTATAAGTTCGTTGTTTGATACTCGCGCTGCTACGTATCAAGTGTTTATCAACTTCTTCAAGGTATGCTGGCTTTTGCCCAGTTGTTTTGTTTTTCGCTTTTCTTGAAGCCGTTTGATTCTTAACGTTCGTTTCACTTTCCTCTAGTTTCTTCCCAACGCTACTCTGGACTCAGCATTGGGTGTCTCAGCTCTCGTAATGCTTTACCTCATCCGAGGCATCTGTGGCTTCATCGGCAGACGATACCCTCGATACGAACGAACTACCTTCTTCATCTCCACACTTCGATCCGTATTCGTGATATTATTATACACCATGATCTCATACCTCCTCAACCGTGGTCTCACCAAGCCCCGAACAAGTATACTTGGAACCGTCCCCTCAGGTCTTCAAAACGTCGGTGTACCAGCCATAGACTCCAATCTCCTATCCGTAGTCGCACCCTTCTTACCTAGTGTAGTCATTGTCATGTTGATTGAGCACATCGCTATTGCCAAAGCCTTTGCTAGAATCAACCAGTATACCATAAATCCATCTCAAGAGCTGATTGCTATCGCTGTTACAAATATCTTTGGACCATTCTTTGGTGCTTATCCTGCTACGGGATCCTTCTCTAGAACTGCTATTAAGGCTAAAGCTGGTGTTAGGACTCCATTGGCTGGTGTAATTACTGGTGCTGTGGTCATTTTGGCTATTTACTTGTTGCCACCAATGTTTTACTGGATTTCGAATGCTGCCTTGGCTGCTATTATTATTCATGCTGTTGGAGATTTGATTACTGGTATGTAAAGCAACGAAGAAAGAACAAACGCAGAGGACTTGTGCATCATAAATTCTTACCAATTGTTTTCTGTCCAAACAGCTCCCAAAGTGCTCATTGAGATCTGGAAGGTCGATCCTATTGAACTGGTTGTCTTCTTTGTTGGTGTAGTGGTATGCAAAAAAACCCGTCACTCTTTGGATGGCTGGTGTCTAACCGATTGTTTTCTTCATCCCTTAGGTCAGTGTTTTCACAACCATCGAAAACGGTATCTACGCCAGTATTGGTGCCGCAGGTGCTGTCCTACTCTACCGTATGGCCAATCCAAAAGGTGTCTTCCTTGGACGAGTCAAGACATACCACATCAGCCCTGATACTCCAGATGAAGCATCGAATACACACTATGTCTGGGTGCCATTGGATCATTCTGGATCACACCCAGAAGCCTTCATTGAGGCACCACCTGCTGGTGTCTTTGTGTATCGGTTGACTGAAGGATTTATGTACGTTCACATGGGTTTCTTCGTAGTGAGATTTTTTTCGTTCTTCGTACCAGTACTAATACTCCTTTCCAATCCTCACACACAGATATCCAAATGCAAGCACAGTCCTAGACCGTCTCGTCGCATACCTAAAAGCAAACACCAAAACCGGAACAGCTGTATCAACTTCAGTCGGATCTCGACCATGGAATGATCCCGGCCCACGTAAAGGACAAGCCGTCTCTGATAAACCCTTATTACGTGCCGTCATCATCGACCTCACTGGTATCTCCCGAGTCGACTTTACAGCCTCTCAAGCACTCGTAGATGTAGGACGAGCACTAGACAGATACGCAGACCGACATGTTGAATTCCATTTCGTTGGTATCTCGTCTGGATGGATTAAGCGGGCTCTGGTGGCTACGAACTTTGGTGGTAGTGTGGTGAATATACCTGTTGAAGGTAGTCCTTCGTTTACGGTTGCTGCACAAAGTGTGGAAGGGGGTGATAAGCTGGTTCCGATATCGGATACCAGTCGGCCATTCTTCCATAATAATATTGATGATGCTCTGGAGGCTGTTGAGAGGGTGTTGAAGCAAAGTGAGCAGACTGATGCTAAAACGGATAAGACATTATTGAATGTTTGAAAAAAATAATGGGTACTTTAATTTTGTTATATCACGTAATGGAATACAAGTTGGTGTTGCAAAAAAACGGGGTGTAATGTGCGCTTATGCGATGCACTTTTGCAACCCGTCATGCGTCTTCATCAAATTGTCCGAGCATTGCGTTTTTAAGTATCCATTCTATCTTGCGAATCATAATTTACACAATCTACAACACAAACTAAGGCTCAAAACACCTCATCTGCCTTCAATAAAGCCCAATAACATCCGGCCTAGGATTCTGACGTGGGCGACTACGATAGCTCGGCGCCTCAGTTTCAGGTCGCCTCAGACCCTCACTAATTCGTGGCAGATGATCACCAGCAGGCCCTGCAGGTTCGCTTGCAGGTTGCAGATGCTCATTCGAATTCACATGTGTCTTTGGATCAGATGGTGCGACATCAGTACGTTCTTGTAGCTCAGGAGGCCAACCAAACAGTTTACGAGAGATACGGTCTAGGCCGATTTCCCTGATGAGGGCTTCGTACCACTCGTATTGTGTCGAATATCTTGCGGCGTAGTAGGCCTTTACTTCTTCGAGATGGTATTGGAGACCGAATCCCCATACGTACATGCTTGTTACCTGTTTAGGTCATTTTTTGTTTGAAGCGTGAGATTTTGAAAGGTGCAAAACTCCCCAAGAAAGATTTGAAACATTGCTATTTTTGCAAACTTACCGTGATTAGAGTACCAATTGTGAAGAACACAGTAATGGCGACAATTGGATTATGGAAGATAATCAATCCAGCGACAACAACCAACACAATAAGATTCAGAGTATCGACAATACCAGCAATAGTCCTCCAGTTCTTACGGAAGAAGCTCATCGTATTGCTCTGCTGGCCACTACTAGTGTCAGTACGACGAATGAGTCTACGGCTGCCCTCATGGTTGTTACGGTGCTCTGTTGGGATCAGATCCGTTGAGCTGTGCAAGTCTTGTTTCGGCCGTGCAGCAGAATGGAGCTCTTGAGCACGACATGATAGTGCCAGTAGTACAGGGATCAGTAACAACACGTAGAAATAGAGCTTCATTTAGTTGTTTCCTGTGCAAAAGCCATCCGGAAAAGGCATGAAACAAGTGTTTGATGTTTTGTCGTTTGGGAACGTGTTTCATTTGTAATCACGGCGGTACCGTTACTATAGGTGTGGAGAAATGAGATTTGAGTCGAGTTCTTCGTGACCTGGCAAAGAACACATGTGTACTTGAACTTGCAATTTCTTCACAAAAAACTTTGGGAGCAACGATACAAGCAAGATGTTCCTACCGAGGTAGGAGCTATACCATACATACTAGCAGATGCGTCGCCATTAGATCAAATGACTTACACATTCTCTCCTCCTCCATAATGTTAGGCTGTCTATACCATCATTGCTCGCAACAAAGACACCCCTACAATGCATCCAAACACGAACAGCAGTCTCAGCACTCCGCCCACGCAAAACCAAATTCCGTAAAGCATTCAAAGGCTTCTTCCCTGTCCGCATAGGGGGCTCGCTCAGAGGAACTGGCCTCTACTATGGTGATTTCGGCATGCGAGTCACAGAACCAGGTCGTCTGTCAGACATACAGCTAGAAGCAGCTCGAGCCGCCATCCGTAAAGTCCTCAAAGCCGAAAAAGATTTCAAAATCTTCTTGACTGTATTCCCACATCGTCCTGTAACTGCTAAAGGAGCTGAAACTCGGATGGGGAAGGGGAAGGGCATGGTGGATTACTTTGCTACGTGGGTAGCGCATGGTAAAATGCTGTTTGAGGTTAAGGGCGTTAGAGAGGATGTAGCCAAGGAGGCCTTTCGAGTTGCGGGGGCGGGACTGCCTCTGTTGACAGAGTTTGTGACGAGGAGGCAGGTTGATGAGGTGCCTGCTAGAGTGTTGCCGCATTTTGTCAAGGAGAGGATAAGGAAGTATCAGGAGGCTACCAACAGTGGCAACAGCACGCCTACTCATGCACCTCCTCAATAAAGCAGCACCACAGCATTTATTGCATGCAATCACAATCATATTTCGCATTAGTAGAAATAATAAATTACATATCAAACAAGTTACTATACAAATATCTATTTCGAAGTTTGAAATCAGCCATCATGTCCAGCATCAACCTCATTCCTTCATCAAAGCTCGATTCACAACCGTCAATGGAAGGTCCATCAGTCCCGGACCACCTTCATACTCATGCGGAGGCCGTGTCATCAGTTGAGCATAGTCATCTAAAGCAAGTAAGTAAATCAGCAGGAGCAAAAAACGTGATTGTCATTGTGGAAGGATACCTGTTATGGTAGACAATGATTCCAACGGTGGTGTAGCCAACATGTTCAAGCCAGTAACGGTCATCAGAGTGAATGGTATCAGACCTAATGTCCACCATGGTAAGATCAGACCCCACCATCTGAGTTTAAGAAGCAAAGTCAACAACATTGTCACTTTCAGCACATACGAACGACTTTACCGGTTTGGATAGTATTCAATTCCCAAGCTTTGAAGTACGCTGTCAGATAGAATCATCCATAACACGTAACAAGCTATACACGGTGTATGTAAGAAAGATTTCGGCAACTTGTAGTTGTTGATGTTCATCTTTTCACCAAATAGAGCAATTGAAGCGATATAAAGCGCGAATCCACGTATTTCACGTCCTGAATCAGTCATATTTTAGAATGACTGCGGTCAAGTTTGAAGAATAAGTCAGCAAATCTTCAATAGTGTTTTGTCCAAAACGTTTGAACTGAACAACAGAAACAAACAAGACAATGTCCATCAAATTCATGCTGCTAGTGTCGCGGCAAGGTACACGAACGCACAATTCCATGCTTACCTTTGTCTTCAGACTAACAGCCATCAAAAACAATCACCAATTGCAGGCAAGATTAGATTGACAAAATGGTTCATGTCTGACTGGAGCACACGGGAAAAGACAAAGGCTGTCAAGGAAGTCAGTACAACCGTCCTATCCCGCAAGACTAAAATGTGCAATGTGTTAGAATACAAGGGTATGTGGTTGACATCAAACATGGTCACCATTGGTGTGGTTTGGCATTCTTTGGTGTATTGACTAGATACTTTATATTAGATTACAAGGTCGTGTATAGGAGGTAATTGAACAGGAAACTGATATGGCGTCAACAAACCTATCTTTTTTGCTCGTCAAGTGGACCTCAATGACCCGAAATTTGTTACTAGATACGCCAGTTTATTCTTTGTCGCCGGTATTGACGTGGACGACAATGAACTGATGGTACTTGAAGTCATTCACCGATATGTCGAAGTCCTGGATAAATGGTTTCTGAATGTCTGTGAACTCGACATTATCTTCAACTTCCAACAAGTGAGATTATGTTGTATAAAGGTTTTAACCTTTACGGCAGATGATCCTGATTGTTACTTTTGCTCTTCAGGCTTATATGATTATGGACGAACTACTTATTGGAGGTATGACATTTGAGTGTCTGTACTTAACTCGCAGCTAATTAGTTCTTTCTATTAGGTGAATTACAAGAGTCAAGCAAACGAGCTGTAATAAACACATTGAAGCGGATGGACGAGGTATGATATTCGTCACAAAGTGCACAGTGGATTTTTTCGCTGCTGTAACCCTTTCTCCCTACCAATTAGTCTGAAAAACAAGAGATACCTCCTAGTAGCCAAGGTTGACGAATCCAATATTTGAAAATACTACCCTTTTTAGCATGTTGTTGTTGTAAAGGAGCGAAGGAAAGAAGGGAATTGCCCTTATTCGTTTAATGTTGCATATTTCAAAAAATAGAAGTGTCTGTTTAAGATTGATTTATTTGCAGGGGATTTGAATACAAATCGTGATAAGAGAGAATAGTTTACACCAATGCTATGATTGAGAAGAAGAGTTAGCGCAAGCAAAAAACGGAGTCAAGCAATGTGCTATACCTTCATATGGAACAGGGGTGAAGGTGGTTGGTGCATTGTCCTTGGCAGGTACAATGTGAGCTTCTCTCGGAGCTTTAGGCTGTCGCTTTACATTGACGGTTTCTATATGAGAGTATATAAGCCTTGATGACAATGAATCGTTCCATCAGGACAATCACAAGACGTACTGCCGGCAGCCTTTGCCTCCTTTTTCAGACGAGCGTTTTCCTTGACACGTTTCAAGAAGTCCAATCGACAGTTTGAGTGCTTGATGTGTTCTACTCGAAGGTTTACTCTCTTTTCCATTTTTCGGTTTCCAACAATCTTGTAGCAAATGACCCCGACAGAGCTCTTGGTTACGTTGTAGATGACACCAGTTTTGCTATAATATATAGTTCAAATCAATATGACTGTGTATGATACTTGATGCTACTAATATAACGCACCCATGGTAGTATTTGTGAGGCATACCCCTGTGGATTGAACCGTTTGCTTTGATGTCTACGATATCTCCGACCTTGAAATTCCTCAAGTAGGTGGATACGGGTGTTCGTCCCTTCTCGCCAAAAGGTCGAGAAAACAAGTGCCTTGTTCGTGCTCGTAAACCTGGATTTTGATGTTGATGCGTTAGCTTCTATGACTATAAGTGCAAGGGAGAAGGAGAGGAGGGAGCTTATATATACCGAATGAGTTAGGCATGCTGATCTATTGAAAGTTGTGCAAGTTAGTTTGATGTTGACAAGTTGGTGCGTATGTGATTTGCGACGACAAGTGATGATGTTTTGATTCAACAGGAAGGAAGGAGCGAGAATAAAGGGATTCATGGATTGTAGCGCATCAAATATAGATACTTACCTATTCAAATATACCTATTCACTTACAAAACTGAAATGGATGGAAACGATGCGTTGAGACTGCTGATTATGTAAACCGAAAAAACACTCCCACTCTCTCTCATAAAAAAACCTCGAATAGGTTAGGTCGTATAGGAGGTAAGCAGTGGCCAGAAGGCAGAATTTCGTTTTATTCTAGTAGATGGATACGCGAGTCTCTTGATCTTGAAGGTCTCCTTGGACATATCAACCCAAAGTCGCAATTAAATGTTTGCAGAACGAGTCACTTGCAAGCTAGCACAAACTGGTTGCATGCATCCCATTGACACCATAATATGCTCAACGATTGCATTTATATTGAATCTCTCAAGTTTTGAGCTCTCGCCCAACCCTAATATCCAAGCATCAACCAACACATTTGCAGCAAAAATCAATTCATCTAACTCTCCCCTCACTCCCTTAGTGCATCACCATGCCCATCACTAACGGCTCAAAGACGTATAAAACGCCTCGTCGTGCCTTTGGTGCCGAGCGTCTAAATCAAGAACTCAAACTAGCTGGTGAATACGGTCTACGAAACAAGCGTGAAATCTGGCGTATCGGATACACCCTATCAAACATCCGTCGTGCTGCCCGTGAACTATTGACTCTGCCTGACAAGGACCCTCGTCGTCTCTTTGAAGGAAATGCTCTGATTCGTCGTCTCATTCGTATTGGTGTCCTCGACGAAACAAAGGCCAGACTCGATTACGTCCTGGGTCTAAAGATTGAAGACTTTTTGGAACGTCGTCTGCAAACTCAGGTCTTTAAGCTGGGTTTGGCTAAGTCTATCCATCATGCTCGTGTGCTTATTCGTCAACGACACATCCGGTAAGTTGAATGGTTGATTATTGATTGTATATATGGGGAGTGTAGTTTATTGTTGGAGGATGCATCAGGATGAATGAGTATTTGTGAGGATGGATGATGTTTCGTTGACCATACGTGAAAGTACGAGTGAGACTTCACAAACGTTTACTCACTCAAACTACCCTTCATTCTAATAGAGTCGGCAACCAAATCGTCAACATCCCATCATTTGTTGTTCGTTTGGATGTAAGTGCATCAATGTTGAATCATTTGATCTTGCAAAAGCTCAATATTCATCAAATCACTTATTACACAACCTAGTCTCAAAAACACATTGACTTCTCATTGACTTCACCTTATGGTGGTGGACGACCTGGTCGAACAAAGAGAAAGCGTGCAAAGGCCGCTGAAAAGGTATCTTACATTGTTTGGGATATAATTTTTTTTTGTTTGAATGGGATGCTCAATTGTAATTTATGAATAGGGTGAAGACGAAGCAGCTGAGGACGAGGAATAAGCCTCCTGAATCCCGTCTCTATCTCTTCTTTGCAATTATCGGTAAATGTAAAGTAAAACCAAAAAATAAAGTCATCAACACAAAGCACTCTGAACTTTTACGTTTGCTTTTTTTTCATTCGCTTCTTGTTTTGGTCGAACACACAAGGCGGGCTCGTTTGGAAGTTGGGATGTATCATTGACAGATTTGGGAAGAGCTGTGCAATCGTGTGCTCTGGGTATAGGCATGGCATCAGAGGAGGTTGCAGGCGATTTGTATGTTGAAATCCATGTTTGCAGGATCAATGCTGATGAATGGTATTTGAAACTAGGTGAGCAGAATTTTTTCGGAATGGGCAGTTATGCCTCATACCTCTTATTTTCTATAACTCTTTGAACACAGAAGAAATCAGCATTCCTTTGCTCATTCAACTGTCAACTTCAAAACAGAGAGACTGGTAGAAGTGTTGTCTTGTCTGTCGGCAAGAATCTCACACACATGTATATATCATTTCAATCCCAGCGGTTTGTCGATTTCGTGTGAGGCCTAGACGTCTCGATTACCTGTCAATTCGTGCTTCAAGCTGGGACATTCACCCTGTCGTAGTGTTGCTCTCTTGGATTAGGACTTAGAAAGTGAGCATGTCTGTTATTCCTTTGAATCTCTTCAGCAGCCCAATCGTCGTCAAGTTCAAAAAGCTCCCTTAAACGTAGCTCGGTAAGGTCGACTTCGTATTTTTCGTAGAACCAGAGATAGACTCCAGCAGCTTGAACTCAACAGACAATCTTCCAGCTGGATTTTTTGACGATCCAGCAGTAAAAGGTCCCTATTAGAGAATGGTTCGAAGATTTGTGAGTATTTTGTGTTTGCCGCAAATGTTTGAAATGTGAAGAAATTGTAACGCCCCAATAGGTAGAACCACAGGTCTGCATGTACATATAATCCATCCACGACTGGGACCTATTTCCTTCCCTCCTTTCCCTTCCTCGCCCCTCGTTCATGAATTGCGTGTTTCATATGTCGAGAGGTGATGTCGTTCAAAATTACTATAAACACAAGCAGAGAAGAAACGTTTTACCATCTTAAGAGTCCTAGTACCTGGTCTAGCTCGTCCAGAGTGGGCGATAGCTACTCCAGGCTTGCCCGGTTTGGCACCTTTCACTTAAGGTTTAGCTTTGACACCAGCAGGACGATCCGGTCTAGGTCTTGGGCGAGCAGTATCGTCTCCTGGACTAGCTGTCCTGTGTCTTTGATTTGAGCGGGTGGTGACCATCGTTTGTGGTTTTGCTTGCTCTGGATCGCTTGTTGGTGAAAGCGTTACGAATCAACTTGATCGCTTTCCGTGCTATATGGGGAAATTGAACGACAGGAAAGAAAAAAAATATGTATATTTTGGCTCAATTATGGGATTTCCATGTAGATCTCACGTCGCTGCCTCCTGAAACGGTTGAAATCGTCGCGCTAAGGTGTTCGTCGCTGCAACGAATATCTCTTCGAGGCCAACTTGAGAACTTGGTCAAGCAGCCGAAATAAATCAGTTTTCATAACGTTATGTATGTCGGATATGAGCTAGATCTAACTATATTGCCTGTTGCAGCATTGGCTTTATGGCAAATTACCAAACATTTCATCTTCTCGTGAGTGCTGCTGATGCAAGTAGCACCACGGAGAGTTGGCCTTTGATTTTCACCATCCCAACGTACTCGACGTGATTCCTATCAACTTGAATCACCCATTGAGTCAATACATACCCATTCGTCGAAATACACAATTTACAACCGCGCTTTCTTTTCAGGTCTCCAGGACAAAGAGACCGAGACCGAATTAGATCACATATCTTTCATATCTGAAGCAAAAAGTCACACCAGTCTCCCATTGTTGTCAACGTAGCCATCGTGATTGGATTTTGGAGCTCCGTTCGGTCTAGAATGGCAAGTCACGGTGGTCACAAGCTGTCAATAAAACGATCTAGGTAATTTGTAGTGTTCGTGATTTATAATATTGCAGCTTTTGATTGACTAGCTCTACGCTTTAGCTTGAAATCAACAACATCAGCTCCCAAAATCGACCCATCTCAAAATGAAGCGATCGAAGGTACCTTTGCAGAAACCTTCGTGTCGATGTGATTCAAACACTCCCACCATTCCACTTTGCTGTACAGAACCTCACCTTCCTTACGAGATATGGGACATCATTTTATCTAAAGCTTCGAAAAGCTCACTGGGAACATTTGCCAGAGCCTCCAAGGACATGAATGGTCTTGCCGTCAAACACTTGTATTATGAAGTTGGCAATGTATATGAGCTGTACTTTGCATTGAATTCGTTTGACTCTCACTAAATCCATCGCACAATTTCGCACAGTACCACATTGAAAGCTTTGAGAAGCCGAAGCCCATTAAAAAGAAGGAATTTGAATGCCTTCTGATCATCCTGGATAATATGCGACGAAAAGGAACAGGATTCAGTCAAAATGCATTAGCCAATGTACGGGTGTTGCAACTCAATGCATTGCATGTATCATGGCATGACTCTTTCGCACAAGAGAGTGATCCTGACTTTGCAGAGTCTGGAGAGCTTTCAAACGATATTGAAAGCGCGGTCGAGACACGGCTCATGGACAAGGTCGAGCAGTTGCTAAAGGCTTGTAATCAAGCAACGACTATAGAGCTGGAAGGAAGCCATGATCTTGAGGCCCTGGCACGATTCTTTCCTGAGACCATAAATAATCTCGAACTCCATATCGAAACTTTTGAATCGCCAGAATTTGCAGAATTTGCTGCAAAGTCGCCTGCTATTAAACGCTTGGTTGTAAAGTCGGCCAACTGTGAATGGAATGATGCGGTACATTCATTTATCTCTTTGCAATCTCTTGAGACCTTTAGTTATGAAGGAACTGATGCAACACAACCAGTCGGTGGTCGATTCATGGCAGCACTGAAAGTCAATAGCAAAGATTCGCTTAAGAAGCTGGTCTTGTTTGCAGTTGATATGCGTGAAGGAAGGAATACGAGGATTGTCGTCTTTAAAAACTTGCATGAGCTACACTTGAGCTATGTCACCGTAAACCCTCGTGTGATGGAAGGATTCGAGCATGGGAAGAGCCAGCTCCAAACTCTAGCCCTCGTCAGAATCGGTAATGTAAATCCGAAGCATGTCTGTAATATTTTAGAATCCAGCCACAGCACTCTGAGAGAGATTAAACTCATATATCCTCGATCTGATGACGACGAATTCAACGATCCATTCAATGACGGGCTTCATATTCCACAGGACGTCGTAGCATACATAGAACGCCCAGTATTCCATCGTGCCTTTAGTAGTTTGATTAGTGTGGACATGTCGGTTGCCGATGCGAATCGTGGTGGATTTGAGTCTTATTTGACCTCCAACGGAAATCAGCTGACGATGCTCCGACTCTCAGCCTACGCAGAAGATATATTCGACATTGGCTTGATTGTAAGGTGTTGTCCCAAACTCGTGAATCTGACGTTGGACAATTTCGACATTCCGAATCTGGTGTTTATCGACCTTATATCCACCATACTCACTTTGGAGATCTTAGCTTTGGAGCCAAAATATAGAGTGCTATCCGCAAACACCATTGCAGAAGGAGCCACGAAACGACCGAAGAGCTTGGGCCAACTCTCGATATGGCCTTCCAGGCGAACGACATTTGAAATTGTCGGAACTCTTGTACAAGGCCTGTCAGGAATTGAGGATGATAAGAAGTACAGGAGTTTTTGGGCTCAATTTGAAGAACTCCTCAGACCTCATAGCGTAGAAGTAGATGGTAGTGAGTCGTTGTTGAAGGATGTGGATAACCAGGTTTACATCGCTGAAGGAACTAGTGACGAGGAAGAGGATGATGGACACGTGAGCGACGAAGAGGAAGATGGAGGCTTGAGCGACGAAGAGGGAGATGGAGACGAGGACCAAGACTAATCGTCCGATCGTGTTTTAAGATGCATCAAGAAGCTGATGCGAGGATCTGAGGATAGTAGGTCGCATCAAATAGCCAGATGAAAATACAAATGCTGCTACAGACTATAGAGGCGGGGTTCAGCAGCTCCTTGACGCGTTAAACTTTGGGCCTTACTACGTCTTTCAGGACACGAGCCTGTCGAATCTTCCTCAATTCCCAATAAAAGAGAGTCCTTGGGTCTCAAAGAGCTTGAAGTGAGCGCATCATCGCGTTGAGAAGTTCCACATTTCACATTTCCTTTCTTACTTTCTTGTGATTTACAAAGAAGCAAACAACATGGCGTCGGCTACAGCAGCAACGACACAGCTAGAGCATTGTAAGTGTTCGTATTCATATGTTCTCTCCTTCAGTCTTCTCGTAGTAACGTAATAAACCCTTCAAACTCGTCCTTTAGTGCAAGCACGATACAATGGAACAGGACATGCTGGTAACGACATAAATGAGAGCTTAGTGTCCAAATCATCCTGAATTCAATCTCATTATTTCGCTGTTGTCTAGATACAACCAAGTTTGAATGGGTCACTACGCAACATCGCGACTCGTATGCCTCATACATTGGACATCCAAACCTATTGGCCTTTTTTGCTGTCGCTGAGAACGAATCTGGTGCGAGGCTAAGACATAGATTCAATCAGGTGCGTTGAAACAAGTCTTGGGTTTGTGGTTGTGTGCATGTAGCCCACTCAGACCTTTTGTGATAGAAAATGTTGGCCCCTTGCGGGTTACCTCCGACAAAACCACAATAATCAGGTAGAGGATATTCATTAGCAGCTGCCTTGTACATATTCGACAATATAGCATTCATTCGCCTTGTACTCTTCAAGTGGTTCTCACGTTGAATCTTGACTCCAATCCTCAGAATCCTCAGTTCCAAGTCGCAATACACGCACACGAACTAAAACTCAATGTTAACAGTTTCTAAAAAGGATATATATAGCATCAAATCAAGGTTTTGTTTGTTTTACGTTGCTGCCCATTTCTTCCTTTCCAAGCACTTGATACAATTTATGACAATAACAACGTAATATAAGGGAGCAAAACCAAGGATTTTTTATAAAGATTTCTACTCTTTCCTGGAGAGAGTTGACTTTGCTTTTTTCTGTTTGTTTTTTCATCATCATATAATGCCAGATCACACATCCACCACCTATCTGCTACAACCCCAAATCACCATCAACAACCTAAAAACGAGAAAAAGAAGATACGAGAATATAAACCTGTCTACAGAATGAGGCACTTCTTCGATCTACGGGTTGATGGTGATGTGGCGTTAGTTATGGGTTGATGGTGATGTGGTGCTAATTATGAGTTTGACCATCATTTCATAACATTAATGACAACCGCCCTTCCAACCAAACCAGCGTCATCAACAAAAAACAGATTATCATAGTAATACACGTACCGCCGTACTGGTATGACGGGACAAAGAACAGCACGAATAGCTTCATCAAACACATTCTTCAACCCCTTCTGCGTCAGAGCAGAACACTCCAAGTACTTGACAGCACCAATTTCCTTTGCCATTTGTAAACCCTGAGGATACGAGATGGGAGCCATTCTCCTTTCACGTAACTTTTCAATAGTTTCCTTTTCTTCACGTAAATCCAATTTGGTTCCGACGAGGATGATGGGGGTGTTTGGTGCATGATGAGAGATTTCGGGAAACCATTTTGTTCGCACGTTTTCGAATGATGGCGGTGAGACTAGTGAGAAACAAATCAAGAATACGTCTGTTTGTGGATAGGATAGGGGACGTAGACGATCGTAATCTTCTTGGCCTGCTGTATCCCATAGACCCAAGTTGATTGGTTTGCCGTCTACCATGACGTTGGCTGAGTAGTTATCAAATCTGTTGTGTTGTTCAGGTGAAAAAATCGATGAGTAGTGGTCAAGAAATGTGTCTGTCCAAGTACACTGCCCGCTTTAGCGAGTGTTTCATGCATACACTGTTGGAATATATTCGCCTGGGAAGGCATTGGTAGTATAACTGATGAGCACTATGAAGCGAAAGAAAAATAAAAATGGTGAGCCACACTATGCAGGAGTTCATAGTAACAAGATGATCGAGGCACTTACGACATGTTTTCCCCACAGCACTTTACACCAAAAGTAGTAAAATGAGATTCAGTTAGTATATATGATGACACCTCCTCGCGACGGACAATCACAAGGGTGGCAATTTCAAGTTGTAAACTCACCCGTCGCCCACGACGACACATTTGATGGCCTGCATATCCCAAGAGACTCTAGTTTTATGACTTGATTATAATATACGAAGCGGCGGCCCCCTTGTTTACTGTCCAAGGTCTTGTCGAATTTAAGATGTTGATCAACCACCCGAATTTGTGATTTCACTCGTCCAACTGTTAATGGAGACTAGAGTAGTAAAAAGAGTGCCCCAGAATAAGGAGAAGGATGTGGTATTATACGGTAGGGAGGTGATTAATGTTCAAATAGTTCGTAGACCGCGATTTTCAGACGACAAGTGAAAAAGAGTGGGCAGTGGTGAGGGAGATGGAGAGGGTTTAGGAGATATAGAGAGTAGGGCAGACATTCACGTTAGTATATGCTAAGCTTCTTCTGATAACTTGACGGTTTACCTTTTTACGACGGTTTATCCTCTAAATATACTTTGAGAATGTACGTTTGCGAAAGAAGATTTTGTATCTCGAGCAAGCAAAGACAAAAGTGTGCAATATTACTCGTATTTATGTGGCCTGTTCAAGCCTTTTCGATTAGCTTTTGACGGTTTCAACGGCGCGTTCTATCAGAAACTCAATTGTTCTCACAAACCTTTGACCCTGAAACAAGCTGAAAACCAACACCAATCGCACTTGCAACCCACGTCCTTTTAAAAGTCTAATGTGCTTGTTTGGCGTTATGACAAAAGTTACGTGAGATGCAAATAACAACAATGACGAGATAGAGCTCATAGACCTCGCGACCAGTCAGACAAGAATGTAGCAGCTTGGAATCTAGATTCCAACCGTTGCCATTCTGCTTTATGCCGTTGCAAGAGACGCGTAATAGCATCTTTCACTTCTGTATTGTTGGCCTCTTGTCTGAGAATCACGTCTGAATGTAACTACATGACAACAAACAGTCAGTTCTGATTATGGACCGTGATTGTTTTGTTACTCTTCAAGCATCAAATTGAACTTACTCTCAAAAACACGTGCAACAAGGTCTCCACAACCTCAAAGTCTCGTCGAGTTTCAATCCATACACTTAAAGCACCAAGGAATCTCAACATGGATTGTCCTTGATCCAAAGTATTCATGGTTCGAAGTTCTAAATCTAGACTTGTTGGTGATGCGGCCTTGACCAGATTGTAGAACTTGGTATCTGGTAGAATCGTTGGCGTTGTTTTGTCAGGTGTCCTTTGCAATCCAGGCTTGTAAAGTAACAAAATAAAAACTTTCTGGCAGCTTACATTCGTTAGAATCATTGCAACTTCGTAGTGTCTTCCAAAAATCACTCTCAGAATCAAACGTAGTAAAGTTCAATACTCGTGATGTATCAGCTACACTCGATAATGCCTCTGTGGGTGCTGCGAACTTGGGTTGAGATCCAGGCAGAGTTGGCAGGAAGAATGGAGCTCGCTCTGGTGCTTTGGGAGCTTCTTTGGGTTTGTTGCGTTTCTGAAACGGAATCGCAAGAAAAGGTTTAAAAAATGAGATTCGCATCACCATAGAGCGTACTAATTTCGTACTCACTTTGATCGAATCCAGCTTCAGCAATATTTCCCAACGTGATTGAACCGCCGACGAAAACGAGACCATGCCGTCAGCAGTCCACATATTCTCTTTATTTACATCTGTCTGCTGCTGCAAAATCTCGTCTTCTCCATCGTCGTCATCATTTTGCTCTTCACCATCATCATTGACTTGTGCAGTTGAAGGCAGTGACGTGACATTCACATCTTCCAGTTCTGGATCTATAGCATGTAGACTTAGGTTTTCATATTGGGCTCTATTAGACCTATTTCGATAAATCACGCAATAGGGGTGTTAGTCGAAAAGGCATTATTTCCTGTTTAGTTTTTTTGCCGACACTCTTACCATAAAAAGATCCCAACTTTATCAGCATGAGCAGTAGCCAAAAAATCTCCGGTAGGAGAAAACGCCACACTAGTAGCTATAGCATCAACCTTCAACACATCAATCATACTTCCAGAAACAACGTCCCACGTTCTAATAGTCCCATCCAACGAACTAGTCACAACCCATCTTCCATCAGGTGCAAACGTTAAATCCGTTATTCTGTTTCGATGTCCGCTATACTCTCGTACGATTTTGAATGTTTCGACATCCATCACTCGCACACATAAATCGTCACATGCTATTGCTAACAGGTTGCTCGATTTGTGCAGAGACATGCATGATATAGAAGCGTCCATTGCGATTGTTTGTAGTATAGTCGCTTTTTCGAAATCCCATATTATGATCTTGTTGTCGATAGATGCTGAAATGACGGTTCGGTTTAGTGTGTCTGTGCAAATGTCAATTATTGATTTGGAGTGACCTGAAGCGAGAATGGAAAGCGATGAGTGCCAAAAGATTTTATTTGGGCCCGGCAAAAAAAAGAAGTAGTGCCATGTAATACCTTTGGCGAAAGTCTGTCGGTGCTCTCCTGATTGCAAATTGTACTTGTACATGCATCCCTTTGATGATCCCAAAAACGAAAAGTTTCCACAATGACTTATGGCAACAGCCTGTATAGAGTAGAGGGTGAAAACGAGTGCCAAAAAAAGACGCTTAGTCCTCAGTATACCGTTATGGTGCTGTCATCAAGACTCGGCAACTGGTAATTGCCAATAGCTTTCCTAGCATAGCTCCATGTTCTAGCTGCATGATCGTTCAAATGACAAGAGACGATATTGTCCCATTCCTTCTCTTTGGCCGATGCTGGACAAGTTGAGACAGAAAGAATTAGCAAGAAAAAAACAACATGGCGAAGCAAACGATGCTGTCTTACAAGCTGCAAACTTGGTCATCACAGGAAGCTTGAGCTCATCGATGGTTGTCACATTCCTGTTGGCTTTCAGTTTCTTTGCCATTGATCCTTTTACGAATAGTTTTTTATAAGCCTCAGAAAGCTTGGTTTCTTGAAATCGCGCGTCATCAATGTACCTTGAGAAAGTTCCACATTCCTCGAGTCTCGAATGATTGAAAACAAACGCAGCGACCTGTCTCGTCCAGCACTCAATATCGTATACCCTTCAGATCCATAAAATCGAATATGCGTAGGTGGTAGATGATGACCAGACCGTGATCGTAATAAACGCGGTTGAATTTCCAAAGTATCGAATATCCATGTCTATGTTGGTTTTGTTTAAAACGTTTTAGAAAATGATCGAACAAAAAAAGTTATAAACAAATCTACAAAAACACATTCCGCAAATGTGTACAATTTACTCACCTTGACGGCATTATCAGCACCAGATGTAATCATTAACGGTTGACCCGTCAAGAAAAATGCCAATGATGTAGAGCCATCATGTGCTCCCTTCATATTATAAGACAACCGACGAGTCTCTAAATTCCATAGCGCGACATCACCTGTAGCATTTGATGTCGCCATGACTTGATGCTCATCTATAAAAAATATAGGAGAGACCGTGAGCAAGGAGTACTGGTTGAACTTGGGGCTCCTTTTTGCGCTTACCAGTACGAAACGATATAGCAGTAACCTTCCCATCCTGCGTAAACTCAAACAACCGTTGATCCTGTTTAATATTGTACAAAATAATGCTTCCATTCAACAAGCCTATAGCAATGATATCCACGACTGGAGATTGAGACAAAACTGTTATAGGTGATCCGACTGAAGCGAAGGCGTAAACAAGTTTCCTGTTGCATAATGATGTTAGTGTCAATAATTTTTGCTGTTGAGGATGGAGTCAATAACATACTTGGCCTTGATATTCCACAATTGCAAAACACCTTCTCGACTAGCTACCAACACTTTATTCATGTACGTGCTAGGGTGTAATAATGATGTAGCTGTAAAGTTAGCAGCGAATTCAAGTTCTGATACTAGCTCCAGATCTATCACAGCAGTGTACAATATGTTTTTTGATTAGCCAACGTGCTCAAGCAGCTCCAGCGAATGCAAGTCCTACCAGAAGCAGAGGCACGCCACACTCTCAGCGTATTGTCAGCACAGAGAGTTAACAGCAAGTCTCCCAACATTGTCATAAAAGTAACTGCTGATTCGTGTGGGAGTGAAACTCGACATGTCTAAACAGACAAAAAAACGTAAGGCCTCCTATAAAACTCAACGATCCATGGAAAATGAATACAGGATCTGTCTATCCAGACCTCTTTGGCTCTCTGGCATGTAACAATATCAGATCCAACCGAAACAATCGTTAGATCATCGACACTGGCCATTCCAGTAATTGTTCCATCAAACCGTGGACCTGTTAAGCAGCAAATGATGTTATATGTGAGCTTCAAATGCAAATCTACTGTTGCCAGCATCTCATGTCACATACCAACAAACAAGAGTCGCAGCTTTTCAAGCTAAAAAAAGGATCGCCATACATCAGCAACAGCGACTCAACTCCAAAACGACCATGGGGCGCTCTAGCTCTTACATCATAGATATGAAAAGTAGATCCGACACTTGTTAGCAGATAGTATGTTGTTCCTCTGGTATAGACGACTGGACAGCTTGCTGTTGTGATGTATCCGATTGCTCGAAAAGCTTGGTAGATCGCTTGATGCTTGGCTGTCATTGCGCTATTTCGATCCAACGCATTCAACAGATACAGTGCTAGATCCTCTTGTCCCTCTCTCCTCGTTTCAGGTTCGAAAAAGCTTTGTGCTCCAGTTTTGTTGAAAAAAAAAAAACACCCAGTCAAATCAACGTTTGGTTTGCATTTCCGACTGCTACCAGAGCGCGTCGCCCGTTCTCGTAAATTTCAAACACAGTGCTTCCGTGACAATTATTATTTTCTCTATTCACAATTCCGCTTCTTCTTAACTAGAAAATACTAAAAAACAGCACATTGAAGTCTGACAAAAATGACTACGGACTACTAAAAAATTATTAAGTCAAGATGCCACAATCACTCTTTCATCTCAACTTGTTTGCTCGGAGACCACAAGCGTTACAAACGTTACGAAGACCATCAGAGCCTCTTCGCCATTCAGGTGATGAGGTTGTCCCACACATGCAACATATGGGAGTTTCAACAACTTCCATTCTCTAAAAATAATTTGCAAATCAGCAAGAGTGTTACATATCTTTTATCAACAATTCCATATCCAGAAACACTCCATGGATATCCCAACAGACTACGTAACGTTTCATACGCAAACAAATACAGATTCAGATTCCAAACTCACCGGCTTCTTGCAAAACACTATATTGTCAACCTCCTCCCTCAGCCTCTTATTCTGAGCCTTGAGTTGATTCAGCTCATAATGCAATGATGTAGCTCGAGTGGGTGCCATGATATCAAACAGGTTACCACCTTCATACAAGTCAGAATACACCAACAAGCCTTGCAGTAACGTGCTATTTAGTGGCGTAGTGGTCGATAATGACGATGAGCTTGTTCGAGGTGTAGATGGATCTTCTCCTGATGACGATGATCCAGGTGTTGGTCCACCTGGTGATGGGAACTGTTGTGGTGTGCTTATGGGTGATGGTAGACTATGTGCGGGTGGTAGTAAACTCTTGGCTCCTGGTGACAAGACTTTAATTTGAGTAAAGACGGTCGCGCTCGGTATACCGGCTCCAGCATATGCTCGTATCATTACGGGTACAACTGGATCTCGACCTAATGATCTAGGTGGTAGTATCACTCGACATACGATATCTATGGGTCGTTGATCTTGGGCTACAGCTTCCATTTTACTCGTAAAGTTGTATCGATCTTCGGGGTGTAGGAATTCGGTAATGTTGTGTGCATATAAATCATCGGGGCTTCGACCAAATACTTCCGTCGAGTTGTTGCACGAGTATAAAATCAATCCTTCTGGTGATATTTTACCCCATGTCTCACTAGCCCCTACAGCAATTGATTTACCCTCGGGAGTATCTACTACAGTGACATTCGATGGTAGTGTATCACGGGCAGAGAGTCGTCCCACTCGTTTCTCTCGTCCAGACATGATGAAGCATTTGGTTCGTTTACCACTTTCTCCTTCATACAAGTGGCCTCTCAATTCCACGTATATGTATCCAGTGTATTTACGTTTGAATCGACACACGACATTGATTCGTTCTCCTGTTTGTGCCACTTTCAGGTCTCGCATGGCTCCTACTAGATCTGCTGGGTGTACGAATTCTGATAGACTATGCCCCATTATTTCGGCTGCATCGTATTCTAACAATTGTCGACATGAGACTGGAGAGCAGTATAGAAACATGCCACGTAATGAGAGGATGTGTATAAAGTCGACTCCATATGCAATGTTGGATACGACTTCAGGTAGCGGTGGAAGTGCGACGGCTGAAGGAACTGCCGTTTGTGTCATTAGAGATTGGACATCAGCAGCGTATGAGGAGACTTGTTCTTTCGGGTTTCGGGGTATTACGTGGGGTATTTGATAGTTTACGTTGTATGTTCCGTCTGTTTAAACAAAACAAGTTAGCACAAATAGACGAGGACGATTCCTACTCATGGCAGTCGACTGCATACCCTTCATCTTGTTGAGAATAGCTTGTGGTTGATCCACTAGATCAATCTGTAATCCAACAAAGAAATCCACTTGGTCAAGACGATGTAAAGATCTACAGCGAAAACAAACAGATTAAGTCCGACGAAGCTATATGAAAGCAACACCAAAACAGTCTCATATTTATCCTTACATGGGTATAACGGTAATAAGATTGATAAACGGCTCTCCACTCTTCTTATAATTGATCAATGTAAACTGACATTCTTTCGTCTCCTCCACGGCTTGTCTCATTTGAAACACGACATTATTATCCGTATATTTCCTCACAGAGCCCTTCTCGACAGCTGCATCAGGAGCTACAATCGCAACAATAGAGCATATTGGTCAGAATCCGTCGTGAGCTGGTCAGGTGACACGAAAGCATCTGTTGGTTCACAGGTTTACCTTGCAAGAAACGACAATTCCTTCCAACGATTTCTTGTCCGCTGTATCCTGTGAGTCGTTCGAATGTTTCACTTGCGTATACAATCTAGTATCGTATAGGCATGTAAGCCTACTTTGTGACAATTACTGAAATTAGCAGAATAGATGGACGTACGGGACAATCCGGTTTCCTGGCGTCAGTGATCAAGAAGGAGCACGACAAGTCAACAGGCCCAATAGCAATAACGGGGTTGGCCCGTGTAGAAATTCGGCCCATAACGCTCAACATATCGAAGCCAGTTGAACTATAGATGCCACTCAACGAAAGTCCGGATGGTGGCATTATGGCTGCAGGCATAGGTAGAGATGATTGTTTCAGATATTCTATTCCTGCAGGCTGCCTTATTTGCATTTGTCTGTTCAATGCGAAAAATATGTTAGGTTGAGATGCAAAATGTTTGGCAGCATAGTTATCAGCAAAGGTTATACTAACTTGTTCATTTGAGAGGTTCCAAACCACTTTTCCATGTTCGCCGGAAGCGTTGCAGCATTCTTCATATGCTGCAATGGGTTTGCCATATGGCCTGTTGGTTGAGGCCTTTTTCGCTGAGAAAATGGAACCAGTTACCAACACTGCCTATGATTGGATCTGCACAAGGATTTGCAGTGCTCTATTACCTTGGTTGTGTGGACTAGTCTGCTTATAGGCGTTCTCTGTCGTTGATAGTGGAAAATGTTTCTGGAGAAGTGCCACTTTCCGAGCGATGATCACTCCCTGAACTTGGTTGCGGAAGAAGCCAGAATCTTTTTTTTTTTCGTCGCGATCCGCGAATAGGAAAGTTACTCAATCATTTCTTCCTCATAAAATAAGTGTATCGAATTATCGATATTGATAATCTACATGTCCACCTCTCCGTCACCATCCTTCTTTTCTTCTCAATTTTGTTCATCAGCTGCAGTTTCAGCGTCAGGCTCTTCTACGGCACTTTTGGATTTCTTGTTCCGTTGCTCTTGCTCAGGAGCTTTCCGTTTACCTGGTCTTGATTTTGGTCCAGAATTTCTGTTTGGTTTAATTGGGTGTGAAGCCTTCAGCAGTATTCTCAAAGCATACGAAACAAGTAGAACAAAGCTTTCACTGGACTTACGGCGCTGGTACCTCAAAACGAACCATCTTTATTTTTCTAGATGGAGGTTCGGCATCTGGGTGCCTGGCGAAGTTGATCTCCACACTATGCAACAACATTCATCATTAGAAATTCGAATAACAACCCACCGATTTGCCGAAGCAAAAAAGCGATATGCTCAGGGTAGACAATGCCTACCTTGGTTCAGTTGCAAGGATCTTGGCAGCAAGACTACCTTCTTTCGGTGTCTTGATGGGGTGTTGTTTCACAAAACTTCTCATTATATCCCATATAATGCGAGGAGGTGCATTAGTCTTGACACTGGCTTTGAGAGCATGAGATATAGAGACTTGGTATCCTGCATTCAAAATTGCCGAGCTACGAAAAAATATGTTGGATGATCAGAAGTACATGCCATCGATTTTATTAACCCCAAACACATCTGACTGACACAAAACATTGTGGAGAAATCATTAATTGTTGCGACTAGACACGTACCACACGGTATTCAAGGGTGGGGTTGAAGTATTTAGACATGATGACAATCGAGGTATTTCATAATAGAATGGTTGGTCTAGAAGCTCCTATTGAAATTTCAACACTAATTGTGAGATCAGCGGAAAAAAGGACTGGGTGCTCCGCCTCAAATACGCACTTCAGATACGACAGTCAACATGCCATTCATACGAACATGTGTCTTGAATTTCTTTTCACCATCCTTCTTGATATAGTCCAACAATTGTTTGACAAAGGGTGTATCGTGTAGTCTTCCAGCATACATTGGACCACCAACCTATCATAAAACCGAATGTCATTGTTTTTTCTGCCCCGAAGCCAAGCGACGATGCGAGCAGGCATACTAAAAGCGCGAAAAAACCGCTCAACAGAGTTGATCATACAAGAATACACGTACATGGAAACTGGAGTCACAATGAGAGCACTTTTGTGGTGCGGTTGGACCAATAGCTGCTCCAAACTTGGTTCCATTTGGGCGAGTTGTGGTCTTGCATAATGATTGAGTCTCGAATGACTTGCATCCTGTACATGAATATAACATCATAGTGTTGCTAATTTGAGAGAGAGATATATAGAGAGGGAGAACTGAGCTCAGCAGAGGAAAAGTCATGAATATTGGTGCTTTTTTTACCTGGCAGCAAACTTGGTTTGAAGGGGAGAATTATACACAGCAACAAAAATTCGTACGTAGAAATCAATGCTCATTGATAAAAGAGGTACAATACACCTCTTGTATCGAGAAGCAGACGTTTGTACGCAATGTAGTACTAGTCGCAGAGCCTAAACCGAAAGAGCGGATATTAAGCTGAATACCCAGTGTGTTTTTGGGGCCTACATTGTGACTTACAGTTTCATGGCAATATGGTGTTCCAGGCACAGATATCCCACCATACTTTTCAAATGCAACTTCGGGATGATTCCCACATAAAACAGCGAGATCTGTACATGTTATGCAGAGCAGGCCTGGAATGGTGTGAACGTGAGTTACCCATAGTTCAGTTTGGCGATTTTTTCGCTTCCGTCCATTTACCTCCAGATGCGACAGCTTGAACCGCGGCATCAATGAATGGGGACGCAGTACCAAATGGATCCTGGTAGTTACAGTAATGTTAGGCGTGTTTCATTTGCTTTGAACAGCAGTTTTCGACACAGCGCCCACCAAGTCTATAATCGAATATGGCTTATTTTGAAGGAGGGCCTGATACATGACTTGGCTAGGAAAAAAGGGAATGAAAGTTAGAACAAGGTCATAAGAATCAGGGGTAAAGCAAAAAAGTGATTGACAGCTATCCGCAATCTCATGCGACATCCCTCGCTTACTTTGCATCAGCTTTGCTAACTGTCAATTGCTGCTCTGTTAAACCATTCAAATTCCTGTTGGATTTGATAGCTTCAACAGCAGCAGCTTCCATATCATTTGTGGTGATTAAACCGACACCAGGTATTTCTTTGGCATATCGTAGTGATCGCAGACCAGTAGCAGCCAGAGCTTCCAAAATAGTTCCGCGTTTAGCTTCTTGTGATTTCTTGTATGCTGGATTTGTGTCTTTGGGTTCTTTCGGGCATATGTGTGAATTGGGAAGTCGTGAAGAGTGCTTGGTATGCAACAGTAACTGTACCTTCACCAGCTGTTTTGGGATCGTATTTGAGCCAAGTTGTTATGACAGCCACAGACTAGAGAGAAAATAAGTTACGAACGATGATCGACCGTGAAGGGCCTGTGGTTTATTTGTTCGTCACTTTGACGTACCAGATCTCTGTTAAATTCCTATTTTGGAGACAAAGAGAGGTCAGATCAACATTCAGACAATGTTTGTAAGCAGCACGAACCTGGACATGATTGTAAAAGACTTCACTAGTGACTGCAACTTTGGCTTGACCTAGACAAAAAAAAGCTCAAAACTACAGCCCAAATGGTCACTTTGATGCAAAGCGCTTTGATACGGTATGGTGCATACGTAATAGAATACAACGAAATTCCCTCATTTTCTCCTATAACATAATGACAAGTCCACACAAAGCTCTTACCTTCAACGATGAAGCCATCGTCTGGAGCATCAGCGGTTTGCTTCTCGGGTTCTTGTTCAGGCTCTTTTTCTTTGGCCTGCACACGTGTCTCTGATGATGCTGGCACTTCACTTTGCTCAACGCCCTCCATCATCGTCGTCATCTTGTTTGAATTTTTTTGATGCAAGAATGCTGCACGTAAAGATCGAGCTGTTCCACTAGCTTACAAGCCTTTAGACTCAAATTCCAGTGTTTGACACGCATCTATGTACGAGCTGTGGTAACAAATCACGTCCGGGTCACTTGGAACTGTCTAAGTCGCGATTCATTCTCAGACACAGAAGCTTGCTTGACGACACAAGGCTGCATCACGTCAAATAAAACTTAATCCAAGTGGTTTAAAATAAATTACGCGTAATGAATCTATGCAATTTGATCTCTAACTTGTAATCCATCAAGTGTTCATCACCAACCTTTTAGTTGAACAATCTCCATACGAACAGGACCACACAGCATGTTTCAGGGCACTCCAGCAGTCAAGAGAGTAGCAATTCCTCAGACGCCAGTCATTGGAATACAGCAGACTCCCTATTATACACCAGCTGCAGCCATACAACCATACTTGCAACCAATCCCACAACAATCATCACACTTAGCTCATCCAATCTCATCTTACTTGCTAAAGGGCGATTCCCTAGCTATTTCCAGTACTGGCCAGATACCCGATGATGTTTTAAATTCGATCAAATCAGTTCGTAAGTCAATTGCTGAACATTCAATTCGTGTGTTGGAGATTTGCAGCCTGTCCAAACATCACCTAATTGACAAGCATTTTTTGCATCTTTTCTTAGCTTTGGATTCAATAACAGCTGCAATCGAAAAAAGGAATGCGTTTGTCGCTCTCGCTATTCCTGATCGATGTTTCGTATTCGGTTGGAGACAGGTTAGCCCAGATACATTCCTGAGTTCTCTTCTTCTTTTTGTTGGATATGAAGCTAACACATCAATCAACATCCCTCATCATCATCTTCTGCTTCACCAGAAAGCACCAAGCAAAGTCGACACTCTACCATTACAAGCCTATGCTGGCACACGCTTCGTGACTCTAATACCATCAGAAGCACGAATGGGATTATTGGTTGCTTCTGATAGTGGTGTTTTGCGAATGTGGGACAACATCGCCTTCTCTCAAGAGTTCTTGGAAGCTCAGATACCACTGTCTACTGATGAAGTGGGAACGTGTATGAGTCAATGCGAGGTAAGAGTGGTACACACAGCAAGTACCTGTTATTCTGTGACATAGAATGTCCTTGTCTTGCATGGTCGTTGACCGATTTTAACTTGTATAGCCTGCTGGATTTGTATTCGGAACAAACAAAGGCCTCTTGTACAAAATCTCACTTATACGAGCCGCTGGAACTGCGCCAACCTTGATTACACGTGCATTTACTCGACCCGTAGCATGGTTTGATAAGGCTGCTCGAATGTTTGCCGCTGGTGTCGCTCATTATGGTGGTAAACCTTCATCAGAACCAGTGCCAGCAACAGCAGCAGATGCTTTCAGCAAGGGCATTGTGTCAATCGCACCTGTAGTTAGGACAGATGCTAGACAGACAAGGTGTGTGGCATTATGTAGGTATTTTTGAGCAAGCCCTTTTGCTGAACTTTTGTTTTCGCTCTTGTGTAGAGACGTGTACGTTTTGACGAAAACCAATCTTGAAAAGTGGAGTGTAGCAAAAGAGGCCAGGGATGAAATGATTTCGGATCAGGAATTTCTCCGACTTGTTACAGCTTGCATTGCTCGAGATGGAGATGTGATGGATTCTGATGTCTCTACTGAGTTACATGATATGGAATGTCTCAAGTAAGCTCTGACAGCACGAATATTACAGTTGTACGTGTATTTGCTTGCGGGAGTCACTAACGCAAAACCAAACTTTCGTCAAAGGGATGGAGACTTTGTGATTTTAGTGTCTGCTCGAGTCCAGAATGGACCTTTATCGCCCTTATTAATAGTCGCTAGTGTCAGTGAAGATGGATCAATCTACGTCAAGGATGTCAAGAATCTGTTTGGCGCTCCAACGGGTCCAGTGAGTTCATCAATGCAACTATTGAGGTGTTCTCCTTTTTAGTCTCAACCTCGCATGACACTGTAGTATTCCTCACCACCTCGACTGGCTGTCTCCAATGGTGGTCCTGGCGTGTTTGCAGTCTTTCACAATGCTATAGTGGCTACGGTAATTCACAAAAGTACGTGTTGTGCCGATCTGTTTCAACGACAACATACCCAGCTATAAAGACAACCCAAATTCTCAACTTGTCTAATACCATACAGACGGATTCTTCCAAGAGCTCGTCAAGCTTCGTGATCCAAACGTGGATCGCCTACTCGCTGTAGGAATGGACCTACCTTCTTTATCCTCCAATTTGAGAGATACAGAGCCCGTCAGCAACATTGTCTGTCTATGTGCCCAGTCTAGTATATTATCTGTGGAGATGTTTACCAGCAAAATTGTAGCTAGACAATCTGGAAGCGTTGCTAGGTATGCATTAATTATTAGCTTCTCTACTTATTCTCCACCCGCTCACATCCACCCCTCACACAGTGAAATGCCGGAAGTTGATCAGTCTCTCATGACCAAACGTCTACGCTCAGAGATAGAGCAAGCTCTGTTTTTTGGAGCCGACAATGTATGGTTTTGTAAAGCTATGGGTTGGCTGTTTTTTATTTTGGACTAAAAGCAATCCCGCTCGGCGTTCTAGGATGCTTCCAATCTGATCTCGTATGTAGATTTTAATGAAACTCAAGGAAGCGTAGAACAAGCTGCTCTGGACATCAGCAATTCAATCCTAGATGGATGTAAGTGGGTTTCTATTTTTCAACCCCCATGGAAGCACAAAAGTCCTTACGCCGTGACACATTGTAGCGTGTACGTATATACCTTCTGTCTTGACAGAACTTCGAACTCAGCTTGTTGAAAGGCTCCATCGCATACAAAAGCTCATTGACATTATACATGCCAAATCAGGATTGCATCAGGTATAATTTTGGTGGAGAAAAAATGACTCTTTGTCATGCTTTAAAAGCTTGTCGCTCATGATCCCTACCTTTGTCTTATATCAGATTTCTCAACATGGTCGATATCTCCTATGTTTCAATGCTGAAAAGATTACAGTTTCCGTGCACCTTTACAACTTCCAAAACAAGTGAGGTCGAGCAAGTTCATGCTTTGAATTCTTTGTCCTGAATTGATTTCTTTTTGTATAGTCTGGCCGAAACATCTAGCTCCCAAGTACCCTCTCTATTGACTCAAGCAATGGAAAGAGTTATCAAGTTGCGTCCTAGGCACGAAGAGACTGACTATCGAAGAGCATTCTATCGATATGAGGTAAACCCCAAAGCTCGAATATTGGCCTGTTCTATATGGTCTTAATCTTCATATGCTTTACACACGCTTAGATTGGAAACATAGCTCAACTTCTCTACCAAATACACAATCTCATCGTTCCTGATCCTGGAGACGGTGTCAATCCTCAGCAAATCGCAAACGTTTTAGAAGCCAACAATGTTATTCATGTGAGTTGTGAAGCAAAAGAAAGGATTCATTGATGCAGTGAAATGCGAAATCAGTTCTAACGTCTGTCTGATTAGCTTCTACTTTCAAACGCTCATGCGTATCGTCAAGCACATGCTCAATTATATGACCTCGATTTATCCCGTCCACCTTTGGAATCATGGACTGGTGATGAGCAGTTTCAAAATGCCTGCGTTTGAATTCACCAGTAGTTTTTTCATTTCTAACGCAGCTTCTCCGTGATTTGAATTTATAGCTACCAACGACATACAAGGAACATTACAAGCTCAATTCGAAACTACCAAATCAATAATCTTAATGTTGGATCGATCTGGAATACCGCTTCAAATGCCTAATATCGCTACACCGCCATCACCAGAAACATCACCTGTCGCTAGACTCAAACGTCAAGTTGTCAAATTGGCTGATTTGATTTATTCGGCGACGAGGTCGCAACTGTTGTACTTGCGTTCGTAAGTTTTTAGCAGGTTTTGTTGGTTTGGTAAACCGCTAACAATTTCTTTCCCAAAACCAGCAAGCAAAATGCTTCACGAGATGACACGTCCAGAATGGACCGCGTTTCAGAGATCCATTTGGGTGTCATATACGCTCTGTGTGAGTAATTGGGAGTAGCGTCTAATGTTTGCTACAACAGTTCTAACTTGACTTTTGGCTACTCTTTGCAAAATAGTTGACGTTGGATGTGACGATGATGCCTACAGATTGAGTGAAAAATATGAAGACGTACAAACATTGGCTGATTTATGTGTGCGTCGTCCAGACGCCCAAAATCGTATTCCATTCTATATTGATAAGTTTGGAGAAGTATTCACTCGAGTCTTGTATCGCTTGTACCTCGTTGAAGGTTTGTCTCGGTCATGCAACACTTTTTTTGGCTGCCTCCTCAAAACCCCCTTTTCTTAGGATTGTGGAAGCAACTACTAAATCAAGATCAACGATACGATGAATACGTCACCAAATTTTTGAATAGAGAGAATGTGCCTTGGTTTTCATGGATTCAGGATGTGAGGACCCGGTCATATGCTGAGGCTGGTTACAAATTGGAGAGTGCTGCTGCGACCGAAACGTCTTTGAGCAAAAAATCGGTATGTTGGAGACACTCCATGACCTTTCGTTCCTTCACTGACTTGTCCTCTGTTCTGAACGTTCATTTAGTTGGCACTGAGCATGAGTTTCTTGGCTCTCGTTTCCAACATGCCCACATCAGACAAGGAGGTGGTGACAGTCAACAGTCGCATATCAGGTAGGATTGCCAAATTGGTTTTGCTTTCTGCATACTGTGCTAAAAAACGCCAACACCTGTACAGAAGTGGAAGTACTCCTTAAACTCAACGCTCTTTCAGCAGCTCTCGCAAATTCGTTGGAAGCAGGCATCCCCCAGCAGACACAAGCACATCTCAATCGACTCTCACAGGAAAGACCAGCCATGGTCTCATTATATCGTACTATTGTTGATCGGGTGGTTACTGATGGACAAATATCATTCGATGATTGTGTGGATATTCTTACATTGACACCAGATGGTGATTTCGTGACTGCTATGGAAGTTGCTCTTGAGATGTTTGCTGTATGTTATCAATACAGACCTGCTTCATGTTTTTTTTTGTCCTACCTCAGTTTCTCACTCAACAATGTTTGGAATGCACATATAGGTTCCAAGTCTGAGGTCAGACACTCTCATCAAGACAATATGGAGGAGGGCATGGTTAAATGACCGGTACAACATTGGAATCTATGTTTCCATGTTTTGTTGGAATCAAATTAAGTTTTAGAAACTACTTTCTAGATGGGCTTTGTTTGTGAAATCCTTGGAGACTCCTGGCGCAGGACACAGTGACGCAGATATGACGAGGCAATTAAGAGGGTCTCATGCTTATCAGGTTCTCACATGTATCCGATCGAGAGGTCTGTGGCTGTTCGCTTTGCCTTTTTTTTGCGATGTCGTGTTGACTTCTTCAAAAAAAGGTGATGGCTTTGCCTCTTGCATCAAACCTCCATCCCAAGTCTTGTATGAAATGGGAGAAGGCAACATTCAATCCAGAACCGTTCGTCTTTCTCACGAAGAGCAAAGTCAGCTTGTATTGGATTACGAAAGTGAGAACAAGGCATTGTACGATTTACTGGATAATCATCGTCTGCGTCAAGTATTTGATGAGATGAGTAAAATGGCGTTGTGAATTTTGTATTAAGGTGGCTGAGCGACGTGTGTCTCTTTCCCACGAAAGCACATTTTTATATAGACAAGGGCTTTTTTACAAAACTACCGTGTCAATTTTCAGAGGTTGGTTTTGTGGTGTCGTCAACATTGAACAACTTTTCATCGGCAGAAACAGAACTTAGCACAAGGCCAGCATTCACCAACAAAACAGATTTCAAGCTTGAGATCAGGCTACTCACTCAAACCATATGGAAGAGGACATGGATTACTCATCTGCAACCATGTCTAGTGTTCACAGTAGGTCTTTTTTTCGCTAGACTTAAAACCTTGCCAAAGATCTCTTGGGTCTTGGAAACCACTTTGCATAGTAAGAGACGGCGTATCACGTGTAAGGTATCCGCTTGCGGGTGTAAGCACAAAAGGACGGGACTTTTTTCAAGTTGTTTCATCTCAACTCGAAAGGCCATGCTCTCTTGCTAATGGCCCGGTTGGTTCTTGCACCAAACATCTCCCGCTCTTTCTTTTCGGGTATACGAGGAGGAGAACAAATACAAATATATCCATACCAAAGACTTTGCCGTTCTCATGATGATCGAGGAGAAGCTATTAATGCAAGAAATCAAACTAGGTACTTTAGATGATCATCCGAGTCAAGCATTTGATGAGATGAGTTAAATTATCTTGTTGGATTAAAAGGAACTACAGTGTGTCTGTTCATGGCAAGCACATGTACATATAGACTTGTGGCGAAAAAAGCAAGGATTTGGGACAGCACATGGCATACTCTACTTCTTCTTGCCCTTTGGTTTCTTAGCCTTTGCACTAGCCCTCTTCTTCTCCAACTGTCCTCTCCACCATCTCTGAAGTCGTCTAGCAGATTGACTCTTTTGCATCATGAGTTTCTTTTCATCTTCTGCCTTCTTGCGTTCTTCTTCCATGGCGTGTTCTAATTCTTCAAACATTTGAACGAGTTGTTCGAATTTGTCCACGTTGGTTGCACGTTCGTGTTTGATGTTTTCGATGGCGGTTGCTTTGGCTAGGTTGAGTAAAGTGTTGGGCCCATGCCAGAAAAAAGTGGAACACTAATGTATGAACGATACCTTCAGTGTCTTGTTCATATTTGACCATCCATTCTTCCACTTGTCGCTCAACATCCTCTCTAAATACATCGAAGAACAATCAGCACCAACACGTTCTTTCATAATTACGACACAATACTTTACCTCTGCCTAGTCAAAAACTCCATAATCTTCTCATGTGCCACATCCTCCAACTCAATCTTCCGTAACCATAACTGATTCTCTTCCATCAGCTTAGTCTCTATAGTTGAGCATTGTTGACGTGCAGATTCTTCATGCGCAACCGTTTCTTTACGTATGAACTTCTGTTCGACAGTGGCTGAAACGGTGACTTCAGATATCGTGTCTCGTAATTCTTGAGCGGCTTGAGATGCTTCTGTTAATTCTTCTTCGAGAAGGGTTTTCTCACGGGCGAGGTCTTGTTTTAGGGATGCGAGTTTTGAGACGGCTGCATTTTCTCTAGTAAAATAAATATGTTTGAGATTTGAATTCAAGCCGTTCGTAGGTTCTTTATGCAATTGCACTTTTTTTGCTGCCAAAATTACGCAAACGACACCTCTTCAATATTCCTACCTTTCCAACGTATTCTGAAGCGCATGCCTCCTCTCAGATTCCTCTTTAACGGCATTCGATAGACTCGTAAACTGTCTTACTTCACGTATCTCTCTTGCTGCTCTTGACAGCAATGCCTCTGTATTGGCGCGCTCTAGAGCAACTCGAGCGGTATTTTGGGCTGTGTTGCTTGATGATTTGGATTGTTTTCCTATATGAAGTTCAATTTATTTAGTTTCTATAGCCTCATACGTGTTGGATCAACAACGACAAACCTGAAAGTGTTTTTAATGACTTGTCATCGTTTGGAAGGGAGGGTAGATCGTCGAGTACGGATAGTTGGTTTAATGCGTCTTCTAGGACTACTGCTAGACACACGCTCTCTGTATAAGATAACAATGCACTAGTCGCCATGTTGTGAAAATAAATGATGAAAAGTTAACGACTTTTGTGGGTGCGTAAAATACAGATTTTATTTTATGGAAAAAATACAACAACACTTTCGCGACAGTTGGTATGATGGGCGACGGATTCCGACGACTACCACGACTCCTTTTGGAAGTTGGGGTCTTGGATGAATGGACAAAGGATCTATGAAAAATGCGAGTAAGATTTAGGGGTTTGATCAGACAAGAAGGCAATATTAGGCACCTTTGATCCAGTTTGTAAGAGAGGATGACCTACAAGCGAAAACAGTTAGTGTCAAGAAGGTTCTTATGGGTTGATCTCAGCCAAAGTCTGACGATTACCAGCGACGCTATTAGAAAGCGACAGCGTGTTAGAAACCATTACCAACGTCAAGGCATAATCACACAACATACATTTGTAAAAACCTTTCCAAACCAATTCGACGACCCTCGATGGCTTCATCAGTGAATCGATTTGTAAAGACTTTTCCAGGCAGAGCGGGGATATTCACACTGCAGGATGGGTGGATTGTTCAGTTCTCGTCCAGAACCAAAAGCAACAAAAAACAGATGCGGAACCATCAGCAACAGCAACAACATACCGTGTACTTTCACGTTCCAAGGCATCACGAAACCATTCGAAATCACTGTATCTGCGACGTACAGAAGATTGGCGTAGTTTGAATGCAGGAATGTTGGTCTGTAGGGAAGGAGATACAAGTAAGAGCCCACGTATTAGACCCTCTTACGATGGGTTTTTAGCATGTGTCTCTTACTCGACAGATGATTTCATAGTCGACATGTTTGTTTCGACCCGATCCATGGAATTCAGGATTCTTGACTTCGATTTCCAGAAAGTTTTCTAGTAGAATTCATGAGTTTACTTGCAAGTCCAAGATTGTCGTATGGGCGGTTGTGAAAGCACACACCTGGTATTCCATATCTAAATATAGAATAGTATTAAGTACAACAAGGAAGAGGGGGAGCGAAAGTAGAGAGCGTAAGTAGAAAATGGGAACTTGCCTCTCTTCAGCGGTTTGTTCTCGAAAGTCCAATTTGGAGACCTCGCCTAACAGAAAACGAGATGATTTTCAATTAGACACCTACAAAAAGATGGGGCGTAATGAAGATCATACCATATGGCCTGGCTCCAGGAGCACCCGTGGCAGGTGGAGTAGTTGACCCAGCAGCTCCGGTGCTCATCATAGTATAGTTGTGATTGTCAAATTGACGGTCAGAAGATGTGATGGTGATGGCAGTGTTGGATGAATCACGAATGAGGACCAGACTTGGCGAGCCTAAGAAAGCATGCAAGATGCTAAAAACAAATCAAAACCCGCGTTGCAAAGTGCAGTTACTAGAAAGGAACGCGTCAAAGTAGCAACTTCTTGGCGTTGGATCCAACTTAAGTGTGTTTGCAAGGCAGAGTGCACAGCTATCAGGTATCAGGTTATCAGGTTAATTTTTTTCAGTTCTAGGCACAATTCTGCACGTGAATATACATCCCCTCCTCCATTTCTGTATGAACTTTTTGTTTACATTTGACCAAGCACAGTTCAAGGTCGTGGCAAACAAGCTTATAGGCAAAGTGAGTATTGCGATCAATTTATATGCACTTGAATCAATGTAAATCCACTCTCACTAACTCATTCAACCTTCTAGAACTAGACTTATATCCTTGACAAATATGAACGGGGCTGTTGGTCTGGCCGACCCTTCGTCGCTTACCATAGGAGAGCTTACTTCGATTCTCTCAGACTATTATGACTTGCCTACCTCTCGCCAGAAGAAGGACTACTACATCGACTTGTACACAAAGCAGTTTGCAAAACCATCATCAACCACGTTGAAACCAAACAAAAAGACAAACATCCCAGCAACAAGTACAATCCACAACAAACGATTACGAGTGAAGAAAGCATTCTCAGATGTAAACGACTCGTCTGAATCGGAATCTGAAGTACCCATCATCAAACTCAACAATACTCCCAGTAATCTGGCTGACTCGCCACTACTACGAACCAGGGCTTCCATAGCTAAAATGAGGGCTGCCAAGAATATCACAGATCAACCAACTCTAGTAGAGTCAGACACACGCGAAGGATCGGACGATGAAGAAACCAGCAGCAGCAGTGGTCAAGTCAACAAACTTGTTAGTGCGCTCGAGGGCACGTCAACCACTACTACAACTACATCATCATCCACAACTCGACCTACAAGTCTTACTGGTCCCATCCGTAGAGGGCGTAAATCATGGCTACCTGCACTAGCACCCAGAGCAACTGCCAAAATAGGAGTCCCTCCAGAGATAGCTCCTGCTGCCGAGCCTTCTGTATGGCATGCAAGTCCTTCTTCACTTAAACCTATAGTCAATCGCCTCGCACCCGCACGATTACGCGAACTGGAAGCAACTCTCAAATTCAAGACTCCATCTACAGACAGTGCTTCTGAGGTATGTATTTATCCGTGTTTGATGATGGTTGGTGTTGGTTATGTGAAGGTTGATTTTGGTCGAGCGTTTACGCTGTCGGAGACCTAAATCTGTTCCTTTTCCCCTTGTTTTAATAGGAAATCGGAATGTCTTCTGCTGAAATGGGATGGAAGATCTTGTCTCATATTGTTGTATTGGTCGTCTTGGTCGGCGGAGCTCTCGTATTCATGGACTGGTTACACACGGTTGGCTCTGAGCTTGCTTATTGTCCTAGTCGGCCTGCTATGGCCGATGACTCAAATCCATTGACTCGCCTATTCCCTACTTGTGTCCATTGCGAAACTGCCACTATATGTAGAGGAAAAGGTACAGGTGTCGAAGATTTTGTCAACCAGCACCATCCATTTCGTCTGGCTTTCCCCCCCTCGCACTCATATCAACTCATCACAATTTCATATACATTAGATGTTACAGGGTGTTATCATCAAGGAGATGTGTTGGAAGTATCAGCTCTCGCTGAATACTTGCCTTTTGTAAAAACTTGGCCTCTCCCTCTAGCACGCCCTCATTGTATTAAATCTGGTCGAGCCGTCTTAAAGAATGGAGTCCCAAGCCGTGCAGCTCGTATCATAGATGAAACCAAAGCAACTGTTGGTAACTGGCTTCAAGGACGAGCAACCAAAATCCAATTCATCGTATCTGACTATACAGCAACCTTCTTGGAAGTAGTATCACAGCCAGACACTTATACTCTTGAAAATCTTGGATTCGTAATGACCGAATTATGGGACCAGTACAATCAAATCATCGCTTGCTTTATTGCTACGTTTGGTATATACTATATAGGCTTGGCCATGTATCTCCGATACACTTCACGAGCAGCTAGTAAACGATTAGCTGAACAGGTTGCTAGGGTCCTCCTTCAACGACATAAAGACTCTGAAGAAAATTCCAAAATATCTAGATGGGTAGTTGTGGATGAGCTAAAGGATGCTCTGCTTGAAGGGGCTGCTGATGATACAGTTAAGGATTCTCTATGGTACCTCGCAGAATGTGAATTGGCGGGTCGGCAGGATGTCATGGAAGGTGAACTTTCTGGTGAACGTGTATGGTTGTGGAGTGATGGCTCGTAAAAGTTAGCAGCAGGGAGGACAGATGAGAAACTGTAGATAGTTTTGTCACTTTTTTGTTTTTGAAATATAGCGAACAATTTGTAAGTACATATCGGTTCTGACGCATCGAACACACACGGTATGTTCACATAAAGAAGATTCAGATTTGATATTGAAAGTTTGTGCTGATGGTATTGCTTTGTGAGAGAGACGACAAACGAAACAGAATAATTTTGGTGATTTTATGATACTCTTTGCTATTGTTGCTATTGATAATGACGACCTATAGGATTAAGTATCATCCAGCTATGATCCATATTTGGTTGTGGGAGTGCAGGAATAGGTGATGGTGTCATTGATTGTCGAACTGGTGATAGAGACGACGAAGTTGATGATGCTGATGCCGACATTGATGCTGCTATTGATGCTAATGACGATAATGACGACGATGACAATGATGATGCTGAAGGAGAGTGAGTGCCAAGAGGTGGTGGTGAACCTGTTGGGAATAAAGTTAGAGTTGCAATCAAAAATAGTTGGATTCACATTGAAGCACAGACACAACAGAAACATAACATCAGCAGAAGCATTAACCTGGCGGAGTCAATGGTCCAAATGTACTCCCACAAACCAACGACGACGGTGGTGGCAGTGTCCGATACATGGCATCATTACTAGTACCAACTATGGGTGGAAGCATCATAGGTACCCAACGTGGTTCCATGGGTGTTATGGATGCGAGTGGTGGTAGTGATATTCCGTGTTGTTGTAGTGGGATATGGTGTAGCTTAGGTTTAAGAGGCGCAGTTTGGGTACGTTGAGCGAGTTTTCTTCCGGTGCATTGGATGGAGTTTACCAGGCAGCCGAAACATGATGCTTCACCTGCAATTCATAAACGGGATTAGTTTTAGCTGAATGTGGTAGTGTCGGGGTTGGGGTGAAGTCGGACAAAAAATGTTTATTAGGGGGTGAAGCATACCAGACACGGTTTCACATTTTATGCCATTTTTGATACAATGCGCACATGGTGACGTCTTCCTAACTCTCGTTTTTGACCTGGAAAATGAAACTACCGTGTAAGCAACCAAATCAAGCTTGTCCAACTGAGGCAATGGTCGAAAGGTTATGACACTCACGTCATCTTATAAGGATTAGATCGAGCTGCTGGGACGGCATTGACGCTATTTGCGAGAAATCAATTTGTGAGTTGATTACTACCGGACAAGAAGGTGCATACCCGTGATTGCGAAAAATGTGACCGAATTTTGAGAAGCATGTTTACCTTGGTTGTTCAGAAGTAGAGTATTGAGACGTATGTGGCATGTTGGATGAATGTACCGGATGTCCAGCCACTGTGATAAACGGCGGTGACGGGTGGCATATCTGTGAGGTGGAAGTCTCATGTCACGAATGCAAAGCACACAACAGCACTTACTTGTTTACAGTGCGAGAATCATATAGCCGGTGCAAGGAATGGCGAATCGTACCAAGCAGGACACCTTGAGAACTATTATTATTGTCATGAAGTGCTCTAATCTAATATAAACTATTGCAGAGTCCAAACACATTCGTCAGTCAGGAGTCCAGCCTAGCCCCCACCAAGCCTTTCGATCACTTTCCGAACGTTCATGTGGTTGCGTTTCGCCGGTGAGTGATGGTGCTGAGTGGAGAGAGACGGAATGCGTAGAGATAGACTGCTAGTGGTGCATCACTCTACGAATGCTAACCGAGTCGCCTTCAATCGCTGGTTGAATGCATTAAGTGTACGAATTCAAGGAGCGGACGGAAGGTTTGGTTTGTTCTTTGTGGGGAAACACAGATTTGTCAGTAGTGTACAGCAAAAATGATTTGGTGCATATGCAGCTTCTACAACGTCAACGATATTTATGAACGTGATGGCCATGATCCATAATGTTGGTGTCGGCATGTCGCCATAGGTGCTTTGTTAGAACAGACGTGGTTTGAAGTGATTCCACACGTTACTAATAAAGGGGCCCTGCTCTTCCGGAATTTTTCGTCAACGATGGTGGCAGACCATCACGGCTGGAATTCAACAGACACGTTTGTTAGAGTTGCTTTATCGGATGTGGTGGTAGATTATTGTGATTGAGTAAAACTCGGATTTTTTATCGGTAGAGACTGTCGCCCATCAAGATGTTGATACTTGATACTCTCTTTTAATGTACAGGCTCTATTGAGTGTACAGGCTCTATACAATGGTGGAATCTGTGCGAGTGATGAAGAATAATGACGTGGAAGTTGGAAGTGGTCGAGGTAAAGTTAGTCTTGCTTATACCTGAACCAATTTATATGTTTAGTATTACTGACAGGTAGCTGCCCTTAGGAAAGCGTTATGAAGGAACCTCCTGAAGTTTGAGACAGCTGGAATTTAAGTTTTATGCTAGGAAAACATCGCTTACGTTCGACCTGTATGATTGGCCGCTCATACCTGAAGTTGATTATTGGAAATTTTGGAGTTGTGGAGTTTGGCTTGACAAGGGATATCTCAAACGAGGTCGTTTTCGAGCCCTTTACGGTCAAGCCTTGGTGAGAGTGGATAACGACATGCTACCTCAAGGCGAAGCTCTCCCAAATCGATCGTAATTGGAGTTTGAGTATTGGTTACGGAAGGCACCTCTCAAATCAAGATTGGATCGAACGATTCCGGGTGAGATTTGGATCTTGGTAGGAACGAAAAGCTTGCTTGGACGTGACGAAGCTCTCATTGATCGTGTTTGTCGGATGTCCGATGGTGAATGCACTCACTCTATCTAGAACGACCACACGCAACTGCAATGAAAATTCTGGTCCTTTCAGAATATTTTCTGCACTCTTAATACGAGTAATATGTTACAGTGGTGAGATTTGAACTTAGTTCTTGCTAGTTTTGTAATTGTTCATCACGAAAACACGTCGTCTTTCAAATGGTAGGTAGAAGAGTGTGACATCGTCAATACCACTAGAAATATATATAGGCTATAAATTCTCACTTGGCTTCTTTAACTGGTTCTTTAATAAAAACGGCTCAAATTCCAAAAAGTCCGTTTCGTCTTGCTGTCCAACACTTTTCGCTTGAAGTGCCATATACCATGTTTGGAGCGAGCGTCATCCGCCAGTCATTGGCACAAACCATCAAAGCTGTAAGTCCATCGTTAGCCTTCTCCTCTTCTCTATGCTTTGTCGGGACTGGCAAAAACTTGTTTTCTAACTCTTTTTGCATCACTGTCGTTACAGTCGACGAGGTCGTACGCGTCTGCATCCGCCGTACAGGTAAATGGTCCACATCATATAAGCATTCTCTCTCTGCTTGTCTCTGTTGGAAGGACTAGCATCAAACACTAAGACATCAAAAACTTTCGCTGTGTTTCAAACACGTAACCTACCAACCCCAATCAACCATTCACTAACACTCTGCACATCTCACCAGGCCCCAATAACACTCTACGGCATCGATGGACGTTACGCAACAGCCCTCTTTACAGCAGCTGCAAAAACAAATTCGCTCGACAAGGTCGAATCCGAACTAAAGAGAATCAAATCCATTGTCGACAAGGATGCAAACCTGAAATCCTTCCTCGAGACCCCCATCATGGACCGAATAGCAAAGAAGGAAGGCGTAAAGAGTCTCTTGAGTCAAGGAAGTTACTCAGATATCACAATGAATTTCTTTGAATTGCTCGCTGATAATGGACGATTGGATCAGACCTTGAAGAGTATTAGTGCCTTCTCGCAATTGATGACTGCACATCGTGGAGAGGTTGCTGTTACTGTTACTTCTGCAAAGGTAAAGTAGGAGGACAATGAACAGAAAAGACCTAGGATGGACGGCATTCAACACCCAATGATCACATATCATATGCCTGAAATCTAAATTAATTCATGTTCTGTAGGACTTGGACCCCAAAGTCACCAAACAATTGAAGGATGTCTTGACCAAGAGTGATATGGTTGAAAAGAACCAAAAGTTGATTGTCACCAACAAGGTATGCTTCAATTAGATGCCCGCCTACTATTTTGCTCCCATCAGTCTTACACACCTCCACTAGATCAACCCTCAAATTCTCGGTGGTTTGATTATTGAAATCGGTGACAAAACAATTGACCTGTCTGTCTCATCAAAGATTAGCAAATTGAACCGGCTGTTGACTGAAGCCATCTAAAAGAAGTAATCTGCTCTTAAAAATCAAATCAAACACACACACAAGTAGAATGGAAGAAGTATTATGGTGTCGTTTTGAAGAGAAACAAATATAAACAATATTAAGTAAACGCATTATATGCAAGAACATCTATCCTTTAGAACTCGTCAAGAATTCCAGACGATATAGGTATCAATCATGCGATACCTCACAACTTTGCGTGGCTCACCAACCATACCACCTGCTTGCTGTTCTCCAACGGCCAGTATAGCTGGTTTGGCATCAATCTCATAGGACTGAATGCAACAATCAAAGTCCACGGGATCAAATACTCGTTGTAGAGGATGAGTTTGGTGATTGCCACGTTCTGTAAGACTGAAGATTCGACCTAGTCGTTCCTTGACTGCGTTCAAACTTTTCATATCGGTTTTGAGATTGGTGGGACGGAGACCGAGGAATGTTTCCTAGAGAAACGAAAAAGGGATTGCATAAGGGTAATAGAAAACTTGTTGTAAAACGACGACGTCGATCACAGCTACACGTCAATACCCAGACTGCTTCTCAATTAACTCACAGCCTCCTGGTCTTGAAGAACGAGCGGGATTAATTGTGAACCCACGCCATCAGCGACCAACAAGGCGAATCGAAACGTCCATATAGGGTCTTTATCACCACATGTATTGCAAAGCAACTCTCTAACAAGCAAGTCTGGGTACCTAATGACGCCAAAGCCAAGGGGTTATATTCAATGACTAAATCCAGTTGATGCAATACACTTAGGCCAAAAACGTGGGCTCTATGGCGTGGCGTATATGTACTCACTTGCAACCACAAGTACGACATAGTCCAGTAGCGAAATCAGCAACGTCAACTGGCAGAAAGTCTTCCACGTGTACACGAGAGTAAAACTCTGTAGGGATGATGGGACAGGCCTTGATGTCAGTCACACTTGTAGGGTTTGGCTGATGACGATGTCGTGCTTTCCGCAAGCCTGAAAACGAAGGGTGAAAACGAGGTTAGAAACGATATACAGTCGTGATTATATAAAACTGGAGGAACGGACGTGTTGGTGGCAATTCATGTCGACGGAATGCTTGCTCTCGCCTAAACGAAACACGAGAACAGGTTGAATAACTAGAAATCCAGCTCGGGCACCAACGCAAAGACGGGTAAATGACACTTACATCAATAACTCTTGAAGTCTGGGGTCATCCATGCCACAGACCTTGATGCATTTCTTGTCCTTAAACCTCTTGTCACCTCGCATATTGAGCTCTATTATCCCATTATATACTTTTGCACTCAGATTGTCGCAAAAGACATAGTCGCCTTGCTTGATTTCGACGTTCTTGTGCGCATCCCTGCACAATAATGACATTTGCAGTTATAGATCTGGAGACAAATCATTGTGTCTATGTTACATACCAGAGAGAGCATTGTATAACCATGTCATTCATTGAAACTCCTAGATACGTGTAGGGTCTACATTAAAGAGATTGTCAGAAAAGGGGCTCGTATATTTTGTGACAGCCAAGAATTGAAAACGTTGAAATATCTCTACATACTCTAGATGATCATTCAGTGTGTAGTCCATCAAACAAATCGATTTTTTTAAAGAATCTCCAGTCCCTATGTCCACAACCTACATAGTGTAAGGCCAAGTTTAGCCAAACCTTCTCAAACAAGTTTTGCACGTGCTTCTTACCTTGGCCATCATATTGAAGAAATTATTTGGGTTGACTTCAGAGATCTTCAAATCAGATATCGTCAAAAACCTTCGAGACGATGATGACGACGATGTGAATTTGAGGGCAGCCGGAGGAGCAGCTACCATAGAGGTAGCAACCTCCACGTCAGTCGTAGGATAGTGTTTGCGAAAAGCATCAATAATTCTCGATTTTGGAGATGGTGATGATGTGGAACCTGTTGGTGCTGCGTCTCCAGTGATTGGGATTACTTCGTGTGTTGTTTTGTCAACGACAGGACCGCCTTGGTATCTCCCATGAAAGTCTTTTATCTTTTGGTAAAGATGATGGGGCAAGCATTGTGAGACGCGCTAGTGTTTCTTCTTTTTACAAATACACAGCATCATCGTCCCGACCTTGAGCTGTTGAAACTTGACGATATCGCCCTCCCTAATATTGGGAAGTTGGGCTTCTGTTCGAGCAAAGTATGGTATTTTCAGCTCTTGTTCCTCATCAATAGACAGATCTGTTACGGTGAACGTGATATAGGGTTGTCCTAGTTGACAAACGTTGGAAAGTGCTGAGTTAGTCGTTCAAGTTGAAAAAGTCACGGTCTGTGGTGGGAGATGCAAGTGAATGCACATACCGACACTCGACACGCCACGCCCCGTAATGGCCCTAACTCTGGTGTAGAGTTCGGGAACAATCACACTCCTTGTGGTGTGGACATAGTCGCTCAATGAGGTTAATCCCAGTGATTTAATCAAACCAATATAGTCTTCCTTCGTCACCATGATAATGAATATAGCTAGCTTCTATTAAAACTATTAAAAATTAGTATTTGTCGAGCGCTCATATCATTCAGATCACAATATGTAATCGACTTCGCAAACATCCAAACATAACAGAATTGATATAGACCTAATTTGCCAGTGCTTACCTTAGAGGAGACTTGCGATGGATCAAAGCGGAGGCTACTCAGATGCCCAGCGAATAGTAAATATGCTATCGGCTGGTTCTTTTACTATTCTGTTTATTGCACTCACTGGCATTTGGGTCTTGTCGAGCATGCTAAAGCAACGTGCACGTAAAGATCACGTATCTATTGCGTTCTTTCATCCTTACTGGTATGTATTTTCATAAGTCAATTCACTTTACTTGTTTACAATGTTGAATGACAACCATGCCTAACATCAAATGTCGCGTCCTAGTGATGGTGGAGGTGGTGGTGAACGTGTCTTATGGACTGCTATTCACGCTCTTTTAGGCTCAAATGAAGCTCAAGATATGCCTGTGTATATTTATGCTAGACGTCAAGCTGGAAGTGCTAAGGAACTTGTTGCTAAAGTCAAGGCATGTGCTGTGTCAAGATGCTTTTTTTTGGCATACATCGACTGAGGCCACTTCCATTTATTTTCAGGATCAATTCGACATTGAGATTGATAACAGTCGACTGCATCTCGTGTACTTAGATAGAACTGCGTGGCTCGACGCTAAAAAGTATTCAAGCACCTTTATACCTTTTTTTGAGCTATACTAACACCTTAAATGTACTCAGATATCCATTCATGACTCTGATCATGCAGAGTCTGGGATCTATGTTCGTCGGGTGGGAAGCTTTACAGAAACTGAAGCCAGACATCTTTATCGGTGTGTTTTTCACCTATGCTTGGTACTGTTTTTCAGCATCCACTGATTCCAAATTTGATATTCAACACAGAGACTACTGGATTCGCATTCATCAATCCAATTGCTAAATGGTTTTCATGTCGTGTTGTCTCGTATGTGCATTATCCAACAATCAGGTACAGACGATGTTGATGAAATGAATCTCCCCATTCTATCTGAGCGATGAGTGTTTTTTTGCAGCACCGATATGTTGAAAAAGGTGGAATCTCGAGTCGAGGATTTCAATAATGTGAGTCGTATTGCTGGGAGTGGATTCTTGACACGACTGAAACTGCGGTACGTAATCACATAGAATGTTGTTGGTTTTTTTTTGTCACGCAGAAAGTAATACATTTTCTAATAGGTACTATCAAGTTTTCGCAATGATCTATGGACATGTCGGCTCTTATGCGGATCTTGTGTTGGTAGGAATTCACGCGACTTGTTGCACGTCAGATTGTACTTTAACGTCTCTGGGTATAGGTCAACTCGACATGGACCTTGGACCATGTTAACGCTATATGGAATGTGCCTGAAAGGACATCCATTGTGTATCCGCCTTGTGACTTTAATAGTTTGCAGGCCCTATCGACTGATAAGAGAGAGAACCTGATTGTCTCTGTTGCTCAATTCAGGTATTCTAGCCTCTTAGTGAATTTTTTCTTGCCACCGAGTCTTCTGAACAACTATTATTCTCTCGTTCATATGTTTCAGACCAGAAAAGGCCCATCCCCTACAACTGGAAGCATTTGCAAAGCTGCTTCATCAACATCCAGACCTAAAAAACTGGAAACTCGTCTTGCTCGGAAGTAGCAGAAATGACGAAGACGCACAGCGTGTCAAGGCATTACGAGAATTAGTAGCTACTTATCAATTACAAGATCATGTTGTGTTTGAAGTGAATGCTCCATACTCGAAACTAAAAGAGTATTTTGGTCGTGGGCGAATCGGTTTGCATACCATGTGGAATGAGCACTTTGGGATTAGTATTGTTGAGTATATGGTATGCGTGATTTTGGTCGAGTTCGGTGGAAATTGCCAGGACTCTTTCAGCGCAGTTTTTTGTGCTTCTCACACACAACTCATTTAGGCAGCAGGTCTGATTGTGGTAGCTCATAATTCTGGTGGACCGAAATCTGATATAGTCACAGACTCGCCAACACAAGGCATCGCCGGATTCCTTGCTACCAACTCTGACGAATTCGCTGACGCACTGTATAGAGCCATCACTCTCAACGTACATGAAAGACAGCACATTGTAGAGTATGCACGTGAGAAGACAGAGACATTCTCAACTCAGCCATTTGAGGACGGGTTCTTGCAATCGGTATTGCAGCTCTGTGAGATGTAAAGGTAATGGTTATTGGACAAAAGCACATGTAATTGTGAGGGAGTTCTACTTATATTATGTATATACAGAAACAATGTGCATATTATTATTATATTCTAAGTCTAGTCTAAGGAGGTCACGCTTTGCCAGCTGATTCAAACACGCCCTTGATTTCTTTGTTCTTGTCTTCTTGTATATCAGGACCAAAAAAGTGCACTGTTGCTTCCACCGCCAGGAATATAGCAGCATTCGTTACAAATCCTCTGGGGGTAGAAGAGTTAGATCAGTTAAAAAAGGAGGATTGGAAACCCGATATTGTACATTTTGTTCCATGACATAATTGCAACACACAACACTGGATGCATTCTTACCGGATGGCCGTGGGCGCGAACCCAGCGAAAAGCCCTCTGACACCTTCCTGCTTTATTATTCCTCTGAATCCATCCATCATTGATTTGGGTCTTGGCATTGATCCAGTGGGCGACGATTGTTCAAGTGTCTTCAGTCTGTCAAATGGATAAGTCACAAACCTGTGGTGTATTCGTGGTGCGTTGGCTCGACTTGAAGGCAAAATGTCTACAACATTGTATTCTTACCAGGCTAAGACTCCAGCAATTCCACCAGACATTAACAAGGGAACGACAGATATGCCTGGACCATCAGCACCAGCCATGCGTACCATGAATTCTGTGTTTCATGGGTTCATTAGTTTCCTTGGTAAAAGAGAACAAAACGACAAAGACAATCGAACCATAAGACGCAAAGTAAACTCCATATGACGGCGTCTCTCTCCACAGCGTTGAGCCCATCCCCCTATAAAATCCTCTCATGCCTTCAGCTTTCCATATTTGCTTTATACAATCCAGTGGTCCAGCATAGCTAATCTTGTCGACTTGGTTCTGAAGCCGTATTTTCACTAACTCCATTGGGCCTAACATATTTGCAGATTTAAATCAGCACTCAACTTCAGCGTGAAGAAAAAACAAATGTCTCTGGCCTACATGATATGAAAGAATTCACAAATCCGGATATACAACCAGCCCAAAAGATATGTGATAAATGTGGATGAGTAGGAGTTGACGACATTGCTCTTAGTGAAGTCTACTTGAGTTGTACAATGTCAGTCGAGTCACTTTGTTCTAACGGTCGTCAAAGTGACTCCATACCCCATAAACACCAAATAGAACCTGATATGGGCAAGCTACAAGTTAGCACACGACTTTGGGATGATCTGCGGTGTCTCAATAGGCCAAAGACCTTCCAAATTGACAAGTACTCACAGCATTGATGACACCAGCACCCAACAGTGGTGAAGACATTCCCTTGAAGAGCCCAATAGCTTTCTCTTCTCGTATGATTGTTCGTAGTGTGAATAGGGTGTTTTTGTACTTTTTCGGTTCAGTTTGTAGCCTGACTTTGACCGTATCTGTTAAATGTGAGTAAATGGCAGTTATGAAAGGGTGGGACATGTCTCTGTTAGATGAAGTCAGATATGATCTTCAAACGTCAGGATTTGATGAATGTTTGGAAGATGATCTGGTTGCAAGAGCAAGAAAGGCAGTCCCTAATAAACCAGTGATACCAAGTGGATGTCCAGAGAGAACACCGGCGCCTCCTCCTATGCATCCAGCAACGAAATCTGCGAGGCAAACGTTCAAGATTGTGTAAGTTGTGTTTATAATCGCAATCGTAACAAGAGAGATGCAAGAGAAAAGAGAGTGCTATAACATACCTAGTGGCGATATGACTGTTACCGTTTTGTCCTCCATTCTCTCCCTGTCACCTCTGTGCTGTTCTGGGACTACGATGAATTCAGCAGAGTTGAAGTTTTGAAGCAATCATTCCGAGTTGAAACCATTCGACACGGTCATTTCGCGTCAAATCCAGATAGAATTTACATGGCTACCTATTCATAGCGCGTTTCTCTTTATTGACACGTTCCATTGCTTGTTTTGAGCAGCTCAAAAATATTTAATAAAACATTTCGTAGAGATGGCAGCCGCTATGGCCATGTTTACGCAGAGGGAGAGCATCGTGGACGATTACGCTCTAGGCGATTGCATTGGGAAAGGCGCATTCGGATCAGTGTACAAGTGTCTTAATAGAAGAACGGGCGAGACAGTTGCCATCAAACAAGTCAAGTTGGCAAACATTCCTAAATCTGAGCTGGGAATGATCATGGTATACACTACATCCTATTCATTATTACTCGCACAATGATAGATCTATTGATCCACTCCTTGTCTCGTTAGATGGAAATCGACTTGCTCAAAGAACTCAAAGTGTGTTGATTGGCCATGGATCTAATCTTTCATCCTGCCTGAATCCATGCCAACATGAATCAATTGCTCCTATTTTATAGCATTCCAATATCGTCAAGTACAAGGGATTTGTCAAGACAAAGGACTACCTCAACATTGTTATGGAGTAAATGATTGACGAGGTTTAAAGTTGACTTTTTTTGTCGCAAGAGCTCACACATTCAATTTTACTCTAGACTATGTGAGAATGGATCTCTGCAAAGCATCTCTAAAAAGTTTGGCAAATTCCCTGAACACTTGGTCGCTGTATATCTTGCTCAAGTTCTCGATGGACTGTTGTATCTCCATGATCAGGGTGTTATACATCGAGATATTAAGGGTGCCGTACGTCTCAGCCAAATACATTTATTGCCCAAGTTCGTGAAATATATCTTGCTGACCTTTGGCTCTTGTTTTGTTAGAATATCTTGACGACAAAAGATGGTCTCGTCAAACTGGCAGATTTTGGTGTTGCCACTAAATTGGCAGACATGGCTGACCGTGCTGTAGTCGGAAGTCCATATTGGAGTGAGTCGCTATTGGTTGCATCGTCTTAAATGCCATGATACTTACTTTTCCCCTCTCGCAGTGGCACCAGAGGTTATTGAACTGTTGGGTGCAACAACAGCGTCTGACATATGGTTTGTAACTGTCCGAGTCAAGGTTTTTGAGTTTCGTGATTGCTCATCATCTAAAATTGCAGGAGTGTGGGTTGTACAGCTATAGAGTTGATTCAAGGTCAACCACCTCATCACAATCTTGCTCCAATGTCGGCATTGTTTCGTATTGTTCAGGATGAACATCCTCCTCTCCCGGAAGGAATATCTGGGGTATTTTGAACCACATGTTTTGGGACCGAAACAACCATTGACCTTTTCGTTGCTCTCTGCAGAGTCTGAGAGACTTCTTGTTACAGTGTTTTCAAAAGGATTGTAATTTACGAGTGTCGGCTAAGAAGCTTCTGAGGCATCCATGGATATTACATGCCAGGAAGAAGGTTAGTCGAGTATCAGCGATGGGAACAATAGCATTGAATCCTGCCACTGTTTACTGAATACAACTTTTTGCCGACATTAGATATCAGCTTCTCCACATCAGTATTCAGAAGCAGTCAACACTGTGCGGCAGTGGAATGAAATCTTGCAAGGTGGGTCTATGTATATTGGTCCAACACACAAACATTCCCCTTACACAAACACCTTACTAGCACCACCAACTGCGCCTGTCTCCTTACCTCCTCCGCGAACTTCCAAATTCAGTAGCATGTCACGGAAATCCTCAGCAGAGGAAAGCAAGCAGTTGCTGTTGGCTGTGCCTGAACAAGATGGTAATTCTGCCTGTTGGCTAATTCTTTTTTTGCTCACCACTCACTTTTTTGAAACAGAGATTCGTTGGGATGATGATTTCGTGGAAAACATACCAGATGTAATGCCTCAGCCAAAGACACGGCATCAAGGCAGTTTGCCGCCTTTGCCTCCATTGCCTAGACCTCCAAGTTTTGTCGTGAAAGATACTACCCCGTTAGTGATAACCTCCATGGAGCAAGAGAGCGATGTTTGGGATGAGGATTTCGCTGCCTTTGATGCGAATATATCTGCTAAACTGGCATCAGGTGATTTTACGAAGCGTCAACAAAACAGTCATTCATGCGGCCCCTTATAGCTGACTCGATGCAAATTTCCAAGATTCATGGACAAACCCATCGGCCACCGCAAAGCAATCTAAACAGGGAATAGCATCGAAGCCGTTATTTCCTGTCAAAGCCATATCTGATACTCAAAAGGTTGGAACTAAGAACAATGTACATTCGTTACATGAGTTTGACACTAACAACTCCTTCATTAGACACTACCACGTATGCCCCCTCCCATGACCAGGGTTGGATCTTCTAGTTCCACCTCGTCACGACCACCCACACCAGCTGATGCAATCCTCAACAAGTACACCGAAGAGATATCCGATGATTACTCTGACGTTCTCAAGACCGAGACGGATGCTACTGTAGATGATTCTAAAATAAAGGTGTCTGTTCTTGAAGACGATTGGTTGGATGGTGGTGGATCTGATAGTGAAGATGAGGATCCGTTTCTCACGTTGGTGGAAGACATGGGTAGGAATTTGCAGTGCTTTGCTTGACCGAGAAGTTTTTCAATCGCAAACAAGTGTGGATAGTAAATGCCCATTCTAACATTTACTGTTGCAGATGACGCTGAGAACATTGGCAAAGATGCATATACCCGTGCATCAAAAACAGTCATGGAACTTATTGCTCAACTTAGGCCAAGTGAATCTGAGGAGGTCTTGATCATGACTTGTGATCAACTTGTATGTTTCGCTACTATGATCAGGTTGGGTCTTTGATCCTTGATTCTGAATTGTATCTCTTGTGGCTTTAGGTGAGCATCTTCAAATCAAATCCAGAGATGCGAAAGAATCTGATAACGCATCATGCAGTCATGCCTATCGTTGAAATGTTGGAAGGTTGTGACAAGAATGTGGTTTTGTTGAGAATTCTTGGAGTTATCAATCAGGTGTGTAACATGCTTAAAAAGAGCCAATCGAATCCACGAAAAGATGGCTTATTCGCTGACCATACCAAATAAACAGTCCATCGAAAACAACACTGAACTACAAGAAAACCTGTGCTTATTGGGTGCGCTGCCAGTTATTATGAGTTTCACGTCTCCGGTTCATGACTCTGATATTCGTCTGGAGGCTGCTCAATTTGTCCAGCAAATGTGTCGGACCAGCACATTGACCTTACAAATGTTTATTTCATGTCGTGGCCTGCCAGTCCTTGTCAACTTTCTGGACGAAGATTACTCAAAGCATAAAGATCTAGTATGGATGACTATTGATGGGATATGGAGTGTCTTTGAGTTACAGGTAGAGTGAATCGTCGGTGCTCTTTTAACGATATTTTTGGTTAACTGACAGGTGACAACAGGGCCCAACTCCAAAAAACGATTTTTGTCAACTCTTTGCCAAACATGGTTTATTAGTGAGACTAGCCAAGACGTTGAAGGATTTGAATACGGACAAGGATTCTCTGGCTGCTGAATACACGTCTAGAGTGATACAGATCTTTTTGATCTTTTCTCAAGCTGATCCTGTTATAAAAGAGATTATGGCGGAGCGTGGTACTATGAGAGGTAGTATTTTGATCATCGTTTTTTGTCTGCGCCCCAGCCATTGACTCGCTCGTTTTTTGCAGTATTGGTACAACAGCTTCGACTTCTCAGTCCCATGTTGGTTGTCTCTCTTCTCAAAATCATCAAGAATATCTCTATGCATGCACCAACATTAGAAATGTTGCAGAAAGCACATCTAATAGAAGAACTTTGTCAGATTCTAGAACGGAAGGATGGGCCATGCTCTACAGTAAGTTTTGATTCAAGCAAAGATCATGAAGTATACGCCGCCGTTGACAATTTTTTCTTTACACCCTCGTTTTCAAGGAAATATGCAACCAAGTCCTCAATACCCTATTTAATTTATGTCGAATCAACAAGGCTCGACAAGAAGCAGCCGCAGTTGCCGGCGTCGTACCTCATCTGCAGCACTTTATACGAACCAATAGTCCACTCAAACAATTTGCATTACCAGTATTATGTGAAATGGCACATGCTAGTGCAGCATGTCGCAAGATTTTATGGAAGTACGATGTGATGCAGACGTATTTGAATTTATTACGGGATGCATATTGGCAAGTGAATGCCCTTGATGCTATCTTGGCCTGGTAAGATATGACTCAACTCCATCAGACGCTATTTTCGGCTAATGTGTTATCTTATTTATATTAATAGGCTATCAGAAGAAACATCCGAAGTAGAACCAATCCTCATCAAACCCATGAACGTGGATGCCATGGTTGGAGCCTTCTGTCTTGCAAAGACCAACGCGTTTGAAAACATCTTGGTACCCTTACAGAAACTACTAGTTTTGTCCAAACCCTTAGCGAAAGCCATGACCATCCCATCATTTATAAATCGACTGGTGGATAAACTGCAGACTCCTAAAGCACTAGTCAGGATCAACCTGTTGAAGATCTTGACTTCGTTGTGTGATGCTGATACAAGCAGTGCTAAGACCGTTATTGATCGATTCTCTATAAGGCCGGTCATTGAGAAGCTTGGGAAGGATGACCCGGCAGTGTTGGTGTTGGAGATGGCTAGGAAGCTTGTGTCATAAACTGTAGGTAAAAATGTACCATATGGACGAAACATTGAAATAATATAGTATATAGTTTTATCTCCTATTTTCTTTCGGTTTATCTCCAAAAATTCTTTGACCGAGATATTCCTACCAACATGAGTCTAACAACACAAAATAGAATGGAAACAATATTGTGATGTCTTTCTGAACAAACAAATCTTATTTACAAGGGACTTTATTACAGCTATGAGTGTGATGATGAGGGCTGGCTCAATGAGTTTAATCTCAGTACTTGATCAAACCAATGTAGTCTTCCTTGGTCACCATGATGATAAATATATGTAACTTCTATAAAATCTAGTAAATTTAGTATCAGTCGACCTCTCATATCATTCAGATCAAAACAAACCATCAACTTCGCAAACATCCAAACATCACGAATTCGATTCAGACTGCTTACCTAGTGGAGCTTGCCATGAACCAAAGCGGAGGCTACTCTGATGCCCAACGAATAGTCAATATGCTATCGGCTGGTTCTTTTACTATTCTGAGACAGCATTGTACACTACATTGAGCAGTCGCTCGTGTGGCTGGTTGATGTTTACCTGAATTTGTGCGTCTTCTGAAAGGGTATCTGAGCACACATCCAAAGTCGTATTAAACCCATCAACGTCGACGCCACGGTTGGAGCCCTCTGTTCTCGCAAACATTCAATCATTTGAGGCCCCCATTTCTTGTAGCGTTCGAGAGACTACATGCCACTCTGGCCCGACCCATTAAAGAGCCATGACCACCAGATTACTTATAAATCCACTGGTGGATAAACACCAGAAGTACTCCTTGTTGAAGATCTTGCCGTCGTTATGTCATGCGGACACTAATATTGCTGTTGGCTAGATTGGCATTTTCTCGATCTCTGTACTGCCTGTGATTGTGAAGCTTGAGCGAGAGGATCCGGCTGTGTTGGTGTTGGAGACGCCTAGGAAACTTGTGGTGTATTAGGTGATAGAGAAGTAAGTCGATTGTGCATATGAACAAAACATGAAACATTGAAATAAAATCTTTCTCCCAAGAATTCATTCATTTGTTGAAACTCAGAAAATTCAAATTTCTATACAAATTGTAAGGTGAGATGTATCAATGAGATTTAGAGGTCGATGAAAATGTCGCCCATTATGGTTATTTTACGCAGATGGTGAGTTAGGCTTCTTCAACTCAGCCAATTCAACCCTAAACGCCTCCACTCTCCTCAAGAACTCAATGTCCGTCAGATTCCTATACTCGCCATGCGATATAGCACCAGTCTGATACAGTTGCTGAAGCGGTAGATTACTTTGTTGACTCAGTCGACTTGCTCGTCGTAGATTATATGGTGGTTGAGGGGGACGTGTGAGAGCTAGTGCTGCTGGTGTGGCTGATGATTTACGGTGTCTGCGACCTACTATTATGACGGACATGGGTGCTGATGATGAGCGTGCTCGTGTTGGATCGTCGGGTGTCGTGGTTTGACTGTCGGTGGTGCTGGTAGCGTCAGCTTCTTCTTCGAGTATGTCAAAGGTTTGCATTGGGCACCAGCCTTTTATTCCAGTGTGTAGATTCGTGCCCCATACCCTGAACAGAGAAGTTGCGTAAGTACTTTGGCGGAAAAAGGATAAATGAAATGGCTCCTGATAACTCACCAGTCATGTGTAACTTCAACAGCCTCAACCCTCACATAATCACCTACAACCACCTCTAACTGATTCTGATCTTCCATAGCCCACGCATAGGTAGCTACAAAAATAGCAGGGTCTAACGGTTCCGGTTTGAAATGAGACGGATAAGTCACACCTGTAGATGTATCTTTAATGAAGAAGGCCTCTGAGCTGTTTTCTGATCCTTGCAGCGATATTGTGTCTATGCTATGTGGTGATGATACGATGACTTTATCGTGATCGTCGAATGTTACTTCCTGTGTGGGAGACCGGGAGGTATTATATATTGATTTCTCAAATGCAGTGTCTTGATGCATTTTGATTGCATCATATGCCATTTCGTTTGGTATAGACTCATATGCCATTATGTTTCCAAACACGCCTTCAGATACCGGCATGTCTTCTTCGCCAAGGTAGACGGCGTCACCTGTAATTCCATCGTCGATTAATATATGGTATAGGTGTTCAGTGGTTGGCGTAGCTGCTTCTTGCGTTGTTATGGATACTGCTGAATCTGTGTTTGTTGTTGCTGTTGCTTTAGAGTCTACTTCTTCTGCTGATCCGCGAGACGGTATTTCAGATGGAGAGGAAGATGTTGTGGATGTTGATGCTGATGTGACAGCTGGTTCGGTTGATGTGGGTAATGGAAGTAGGTGATTTTCTTCTCGTGTCGGTACTTGTTCGTTGTTTGGGGCGTTGACATATAAGTCTACTACTGAGTCATCAGCAAATACACTGTCTTGAGATGCGGAAGGTTCTAATGCGCGTTCTGTTGGTGATGGTGTTGATATTAAGCTGTCTCCCAACATCAACTCGGCAACCATTTCGTCTAGCCGAGACTGACACTGCGAGGATTCTACGCTTTCCGTTATTATGGCCTCACACGCAACAGCATCTTTCGTTGGTGAAATCCGTTCTGCCAGTGGTCCTAGACTCATGGGTAACACATTCTCACCCTGTAGTGGTAGCACTGATCGTGGTGTCCTTGCTAAAAACGAGGCCTCAGAAGATTCTCTACGTTCAAGGTCGGGCGATTTATAGTTTATAAAAGAGTCGGTTCCGTACTGGTTGAATGCGCTGGCAGATGCTGTTTCCATGTCTTTCAGGGCTGCTTTTCCCCAGTGGCGAGAATCAGAGCGTATAGGTTTTAGCATAAAGATTTCGGCTTCTAGTTGTGGTGATGACGGTGGTATATTTGATTGTTGGGAGGCTTCATTTGCAATCATCTTTTGCTTGCGGGCTACGAGCCGTCGCAACCTCGCAGTGTCGACTCGTTTGACTCTCATGGAGGGTCTGGTCTTTCTCTTGACGCCTGCTGGAGGTAGGACTTCCACATTTGTTATATTGGCATCGGTGGGTTTGGTCTCATTCTCTGCTGCTTTCCTTGACTGACTTTTTTGCTTCCAATTCTTGCCTATATTGCTGAGGCGACGAACTAGAGGCAAAGCTGCTATGTCTAGCTTCATGGTAACCCGATGCGACGATCAGAATAGTTTAACCTAATAGGTTTGAACTTGTGAGTGCGTTTTGTCTCCAAGCAAAGATGAGTGTTAAAAGTGGAGTTTACAACTTTTCTAGCGAGTGTTTACCTCTGGAGCTCAAACCACTGCGGCAATAGTATCCAATTATAGTCAATTGCACTGCTTTTATCTCTCGTTTTATGTGAGTGTTGAATTTTTCTGAATGTTGGGAGAGTGTCGGGAGAGATGTTCGGACGGAATAAAAAAGGTTACTATGAACAAAGTCCTTCAACACAGTAACGTGCTGCTTTATTCTACATATGAGGGCTTTATGCGAGATATACTTTACAACTAGCTTACAAGTGATTTGGCGTTTGCAACAGCCTGATCCACGTCATCCTGATAAAGCACAAAATGTCCCTGAAGCTGTGCCATACTGACATCTCTACCAGCCAACGCATTTACAAATATATCGGCTTTATCAACCTTGTCAGATCCATAAAACCTTAAAAAGATACTGCGGATCTGAAATGGCGTAGCGGCTCCCACAAGATGTTTCACATCTACTCGACCAGGTCGAATCAATGCTGGATCAAGTCTTACAACGTGATTTGTAGTCATGAATATAATCCGTTCTTCTGCGGATGTGACACCGTCTAGAGCATTCAAGAGTCCCGAGAATGTGAGCATGGATGTAAACCCTTGTTTACGATCTAGCTCAGACATTGCTGTGGCTGTTCTGCTAGGGAATGCGGCATCTACATCTTCTAGTAAAATAATACTGCGTGGTGGTGCATGTGATAGTAGATGATTCAGTCGGTCGTCCGTCATACCCCGTTCAGAGAGATTCAAGACACAGATATTATAATGCAAGTCCCCTGCCAATGCTTGTATAAAACTACTCTTGCCACTACCAGGCGGCCCGTATAATAAATAGCCTCTACGATATGGTATACCACGTTCTTGATACCACTGACCCATTTTCAAGAATCGTTGGACATCTGTTATTATGCGGTCTGAAATCCCTTCATCTAATATAACGGATGCTAGTGGGCGTCGTGACCTAGGTCTACCAAACGGTCTCCATTCGGGTCCCATCGATGTATATATAATTGTCTTTCCTGTTTGTTTCGACATTGCGAGCTCTGTGGCCTCCTTCAAGAGCTCTGACAGTAACGGCCGATCTCGAGATAGAGTTGTGAATGTGATGGTTTCCCAGGGCGTACCGGATTTGAGATCTATCATGGCTTTTTCACGTATTCGTTCCACCTACATGAAGGATCTCCTTAGCAAAAAATCGTATGCGAATCGCGAAGCACTGCCGAAAGCACAAATCCATTCAACAATCAACATTTCGTACTTTAAACCATGCTCTCTTGTATCTAAAATAATGTGAGCCGGGTCCAGGAGCTAGCACAAATGATGCCAGAGCAGATCCATCATCACGCTTTGAGTACGTGGTTTCTACAGACAGTTGATGCGACATTCCCATACTAGTCAGTCCAGCTTTCTGCCCTTTGGAGGCGGCTTCTCGTTGCGATGACAGCCATGCCAGCACCCAGCTGTAAGATGCATCTTTTGATGGAATCTCCAAAGTGACGAGAAAATGACGACGAGCAAGTGTCATGCCATAGACGGCTCCCTGGCGCAGGACTGCTAGACCTGCTGTCACCCCTATCAGGCCAAATCCTGCTGAAAAGTACGGATTGGCTATGAGAGATACTGGGTCTGACATTTTTGAGTGTTGCAAGAATGCGAGCGATAAAACTTATGTGATCGGTGCCTTAAATACGAAGATAACTTCTATACACGTGTATTTACGAAACTTTCCTATTTTACTACTGTTTAACTGAACTGCGGTCCAAAGAAACTTGAAGAAAATGTTCAACTCATAGCCAGGTAGCGATTCCAGCTTGAGGAGAATTAGTGGCCGCGGCAGGAGCGACTGGAAGTGCTCGCTCGGCGGCAGGCTCAGATGCCATTGGTGGGTTGTTGCCGTTAAAGAATGAAATCTTGCCTTGGGTTCTCATCTTTTCCTTGTCGTTAGTGCTTGGGTGGACATATCCATTGACGTAACCTTCTCCGTCTTTCTTGTCATCAGCTTGGGATCTTGCAACTCCCGTAAAATTCCTGTCAGGTAAAGAAACTTTAGTTCAGAAGATCATGGTCGAGTCAACATTCACCATCTTACTTTGGATCGGTCAGCCTCTTGACAACTTCGTCAGCCTTGGCAGAGGTCTGTAGATGATGGGGAATGAGCTTTCTGTAGGCCTTGACACATATTTTAACCAGATTCGTACCTTGCCGGAAAGTGAGTTCAGACTACCATTCGAGTTGTAGGTTTTTTCTTTCGCAGCTTGCTCGAGTCTCGATCGAGTAGCTGATGGAAAGTTGTTTGGGTCGGTGAGACGTGAAGTAACGTCTTGAATGGTGTCCTTCTAAGTATGAAAGCAGTATTATGTGCTGACACGTCATCAGTTTACTAAACTGAGACCCACCTTGGACTTTGAGGGATCTATGGCCGTCAAGGATCCAACACTGGTCCTTGGACTCTTTTGCGAGGTGGTTGAGCCTCTTCCAAGACGCTCAATTCCGTAACTACTGCCAAATGGTGACGTTCTGGGAGATTTATTTGCCAAGTGCTATTAACCGCATGTTAGTGGTGAATTTAAGACAAATGTGACAATTTTCGCGTGCTTACAGCAATATCGTTGACACTTCGACTTCCGAATTTGCCTAGGCGACCGTCGTTGCCTGACTTTGAGTGCCTGGCTTCTTCGCCAGGCATGAAACTGACATCCTCATAGCTTGTACGCGATGCCACTTGACGTGCCTTGTCAATTCTTCCCTCTGAAAGTTCTAAGGAACGCTCGACCTACAAGGTGTGAGCGTTGCTATTCGGCGTGTATAGCAATTGTCGGAGCCTGTACGCACCTTGTCAAGCGTGTCAGCCAGGAGTTTGATGTTTCTAGAGGAGCCAGAAGTGCCAAGATGTTGCCTTGGTGGTGGTGAGGCGAGGCCATTGCTTAGATTTGACAAGGATGTCAAGGAACGTGAATTGCTGATGTTCATGGTGTGGATAAATGGGCGACACGAGTAACTAGGCCACAAAAGATGAATGAACAATAATAAAATCAATGATGGGAACAGAGCAACGACAAAAATCGACGGTGATTGGGAGTTACATACCCTGAAATCTAGTTTTGTAGGAAGTGCGATGATGTTATCTTTGTGCTGCGCGCTTCTCAAAGACGACCAGAAGTGGTATAGGTAATAAGCCACGAGAAAGTTCTTTACGTTGCCTGACCATCCCCACTGATTTGATTTCAAATGCGGATTTCGACCTTTTTTCGAAAATCGTCAACGTCAAACCACTCACAGCCAAAAACAAGATACGAAACCGCAAGCAATTCCAAGAGAGACAGCCGCAGAGACCCACCGGTGAATGGCCCCTGTCGCTGAAGCAGTCGACTATCTGAGTTACGAGGTAAGTCCCTCCTCCTGCTGTCTGTATATTGCCCAGAATCGGGAAATGCAGGAAGGATGCCCAAACTGCTTGCAAAATCTAATAACTGACTGACGACACAACCAAACTGACCTCTAATTCAAATTCCTCAGTTCAACATTCAGGACCTCCATAGTTGCTGGCGAAACGCAACCAAACATAAGGACCAAATCATCAACGGACGGAGGTATGTCAAACGCCATCAACCCATAATGTTTCGAAGAGAGTGGACGTCGAGATACACTCATGCGCACAGTGGAAAGCTGGTACTATTCAATCATGTCTTGGATCACTGCTGTCGACCTCTTGTTTCAGAAATGTCAGCACGCACATGTTGCGGTCACAAGACTTGATGTCAAAGACATTCACCTTCCAACCGATACTGATTTCTATTTATATATAGATTGGAAAATGCTTCATGGCGTAAATTCTTCCAGATGAAGTTCAATCTAAAAACCGCTGATCCCAGCATCCTTAATTGGCAAAAGGATAATGACGTTTGTTGGCTGTATGGACCATTCTTCTCCTACGAACCATTGCCCGTCATCGAGGCTGCTGCTCTAGAACGAGATCTAGCTGAAAAGGCTAATATGATGGGTGCAAACATTGCCAAAGATGCCGCTGCTCTAGCTGCTGATGGCACCCCTCTAAGGCCTGCTTTGAAGAAACGCAAGGAAAAAGACGATATATGGTTGGCGTTGAGAGAAAAGTATCTAGCCAATGGTGGTAATCTGAGGCCTGAAGATCTGCAGGCCTTTGCTTCCCGTGACCCATCGCCGCCGGCTCCCACTGGTCGTGGGGCATTGTTTTACTTGTCTGATTTCCCATCCCGATATGTAAGCAAGGAAGGAATGATACCTAGGGTAACTAGTGAAACATGGACTTCTGCAAAATGGGACCGTGTCAATCCATGGGACCAAACTACTGCTACAACCACCACCGCCAACACTCGAGTTAGCCTAGTCGTCCCTGAAGAGACATCTCCTATAGAAGAAGACGAATCGTCGTCACCTCCACAGCAATCACAACAACGAGGTCGTTCTTCTAGAACTGGTAAAAAACCTCGAGTAAGAACGGCCGACTCTCCAGACTCGATTGATAGTGCAAAACATATAAGATTCTCTGAAAGGGTCGAGGTCAATGACTTGTTGGATTCAGCCGAAGAACCGTCTCCTCGTGAAGAGTCGAGTATACAGGATACACCTAAACGTAATATAGTAGGCCTCAAAAAACCCATGTTTGATCAATCAGAGAGTGAAACAGACGATGAACCAGATTACTTTGTTGCAAAGGGTAGCAAGTTTGATGGTATAGAAAACAGGGGAAACTCTCCAATACGAGGTATCTCACCATCACCATCAACTGATACACCACCGTCGTCGCAACCGTTACCACAACAACCATTACCACATCCATCGTCTGCTATAAGTGAGAGTCTTCGACGTAGATTAAGTACACCCACGACAGCTGAAGACTCTGACGATGAGAATGAAGGGCTAATATATATCAATGTCCGCAAATCACCCAATCTCAGTATTGTGTCTCATCCATCAGAACATCTGCCCTCAGGGCCCGCTGTACCTGCCGCTTTGACATATGCCAATTCGTCTGGTAATTTAGGTGGACTGAAGCGAACAACGTCTACTGGTAAACTGTCACTAGCATTACAACAGGCGACCCAAGTCCAACAAGACAGGTTAAACTCGGCTCCTGCAACCTTGGCTACCTTTGACTTCCCAACAATGCAACCAGCAGCACCTGGATCGTATCAGCCGCCTACTAATAATTCAACATCAATTGTCGCCAATGCTCCGTTACCGATATTACCTATATTAAAACATACGTCTGAACAAACCGGCCAAGAGCCAACAACGAGTCTACCATCACCACCACCATCATCCGCAGGACCTGAATCTACGGGAAATAGTCCAGCTGTTCGTGAAGACGAGGATGAAAGTTATGTATCTGCTCATGCACCTGAAGAATATACTGTAGGTGACCGAGTCAATGATGTCTTGAATAATGCTTATGAGGTAGCACGTTGGCTTGGAGCAGCGGTTTCGAGTGGGGTAAGCCAAATGTGATTGGCTCTCAAAACGTTCCCGTCTGTCTAGATGCTAACTCTGATTTCTCTCTTGTAGTGGTAGTGTAATGCAAAGCTGACTAGTTAACTCAGCTGGAGGTATAGTTTAAATTTTGCTATAATAAAAAATAACCACAATAGAACTTCTCTTCGTAATTTTTGGCATACTTGCGACGCGTTTGTGCTGTTTCTTATTGTGAGTAGTGTAAAGAAGATTATTTCTAGAAGAAATGATTTGCGATTTGGAAGTGATTATTGGTTGATGGCGTTTTCCCAGCTTCTGCGTTTTCGAGATTCGAGACTCTTTCGAGACTGTAACTGGTGAAACGCAAAATCAACAAAGCAGACAAAGGATACAAACCGATACACGATGAGGCTTACAAGGATTTTATTACAAGCCAAAGAAGTAAATGCTTTCCGTTACTGACCGTTCCCTTACCAGTTCGCTCACAAACTTCAAAATGTTTGCTAACTTTGTTTCTCTTGAATCAGACAACAGGATTCTACGGCCTGCCAGTCCATCCAAACCCTAGACCAGTTCTCATCTCTGTAAGCCATCCAGCTCACATGCCTCACAACTCCCTCACTAACCTTTTATACCTCTAAAACATCAACAAAATCAACCAGCTCTACCAACGAATCCTCCACACATCGCAACGCCTCCCACAAGAATCCGTGTATCGTCAATCCGCCGAATCACTAGCCAAACACCGTCTAACTATTGTCGAAAAGGAAGAAGACGTGTCCAAGATTGAAGCTCAGATTAATGCTGGACAGGTTGAAGAGTTAATAAAGCAGGCTGAAGATGAGTTGGCGTTGATTCCAAAGATGGAGGCTTGGAAGGTATTGAGTATATTTTTGCATTTGGATTTGTTGAATGGTTTGGTAACCGTGAATGTTTTGTTAGGTATGGGAACCACTAGAAACTCCTCCTGAAGAAGGACAATGGAAGGGCTTCTAAAAATAACAATATGTTCAAAATACACGCTATTACTATATCCCTATCTATGCTGGTATTGTGGTTGCTTGGCTGTTATTCTTTTCAGAGAGTTGAAGTTAGCGGGTGACTATTGAACATCCGGGTTTTTCACGCAGTCCTCTGGCAGGTAGTTCATTGGTCAATGATATTGCAATGTACATCACGGTATATTTTTATCAATTTGGACATGCAAGAGGTCTACTGGTGGTTTACAACATGTTGGTGTGTATATATACAAAGGTATTTTCAAAAAACCAGTTTTCACCCATCCAAAACACTCTCTTCAGCAGGTGCATTTGATGATGATGGGACTGGCGTATTGACTGAAAGCGATCTCTCAGCTGGTCCTAGTTTCCTAACAGAAGTTGTCACAATATCCAATTTCTCTGGTCCAACACCACCACCGCTACTCTCATTCACACCTAGATGTGTCGCCTTGACTTTGGCTTGTGATGCCAAAGTATGCGACGATGCCAATCTTTCAAATACGTCATTGAGAAACATGCCTCCTCCAGCAGCTTTTTTAGGTTTTGTAGACCATAATCCACTGGTTGACGATTGATTACTATTACCAGGATTGGTGCCAGGCAGCATCGCTATACTATTACGTTGAGTTGCGTCTTCACTACTTGCAGACTGTATCTCGGCAGAGCCACCTTGCAAGACAGATTCTGATACTTCTACAGATGCGAGAGATCCATCTCGTTTATTCTCTGGCATGTCTAATGGGTTGTTGCCATAAGTCCATGAAGGTGCTCGATTACGGGTTTTGGTGGGGGTACTGGGTCGTTCTATTTCCGATTTATACGATGGGGTATCAATAGAAGATGGCCCGTGGGTCGGTGACGTTGATCTGGATAGTCGTTTGAGCAGCTCGGCTGACTCATTTACATATGATGTGTTTACTCTTCGGCGCCGTGGTGAGTCCGAGTCAGGGAGATTAGAATTACTGGTTTTTCGTTTCGGGCTGAACGGTCGTTCAGCTTCTTGCATATACTCTGAGATTCGTTGTAATACCGATTCCATCTCTGGATCATCCATATTCAGCTTTTGACGTGCACGTTCCAGTTCACTTTCGTAATCTAATGCTGCGTTCCTAGCATCAGTTCGAGCTTTCGCCAAAGCTACTCCTAGCTCAGCTGCTGCTGCTTCAGCCTGTCTTACTCTTACTTCTCTTTCATGATCTACAGTCATGAGAAGCGACAAGTCCGACATTAGCAGTTCGGCAACCACTTGCTTCTCTGATGACTCAAGACTTTGGAGCAAATTTACAGCATTTTGCCATGACTCTTGGGTATCTTTAATACTTATGCCGTCTGCATTCCACTCTTTCAGTCGACTTTCTAAAGTGGAGATTTCGGATTCTACTTGTTGAATTCGTTCGTCCATATACTGTGGTCGTTCAGGAATACCCTCTGCAATATCTGCTTCGACACAGCGCTGAATAAGAGTTCAAACGAAGTTAGCTAGTGACCAACCAGCGAAAAAATAAGAGATGGGGAGGTTCAATAGAAACCTTGAATTTCTTACCTGACGCTCCGCACGAAGCTCTTTAAGCTCTCCAACTAGTCTGATTCGACTAGATGTGGCCGTTTCCAAGTCTTGTTGTCTCAAACGTGACTTGACAAAAGACAATAATTCAGCATCCAATACTTGTTTCTTAAATTGGGCTCTCAAGCTTATAGGTGCAGTCGTATCGAGTGGTACGCTCGATTGTATCCCTAGACCAGCAGTCCAACTTGGAGATGATGGTGCAGTTTTGGGTCTTGGTGAGCCCGATCTGTTCGTCAGCAGTGATGACGAGCTGCCTGAGCTTGGTAGACGGCGAGTAGCTCCATGTCGTCGAGGAGATAATGGCTCTCGTTTCAGGACTTTATTCGCACTGGGCGATCGTTTAAGTATTGACAGGACACTCTTGAGTTTATTGTTGTGTACTTCTTCTGATGGTCTTCGACTGAGCATCATCCGCTACGATAAAACAAGTAATTCAGACTGGGAAAATTCAGGAGAAATTGAGCAGTCAGCTGTAACGCACCTGGAGATGATTGTTCCTTTCCATCTTTTTAGCATTCTCAGCAGCTTGGCGTTCTCGACGAAGAACACTTGCCAATTCTCGATCTTTGGAGGCAGCAATGTCGCGTACGCGCATTTCCTCCTCTCTCAGCTTTTTCAAGACCTTGGCCTTTTCAGCTAAAAAAGGAAGCGAAACATGAGCCAAAGATGTGCGAATGTCGACTGTGTGATGAACAACCCCTACATTTCAAAGCATCTACTGACGCCTTGAGATTACGAATCAATGATTCATTCTCACTCCTGGCCGTAGTCATTGACTTTTTATTTGCCTGCCATTTCTTCTTGAGTTCAGAGATCTCAGCAGCCAGTTTTTTTGTACGGTCTTCATAACGAGCCTTGAGAGCAACAGTTCCAGGCTTTTCGTCAACAGACTTTTCGCCTTTTGCTCTCGTCATGGCCATATCTCGTTCTCGTTCTACACGGACCAGTTGATCTGACAGAGCACGTAATTTGGACTCATAAGCACCTCTCATAGCTTCATATTCAGACTCTCTGCGAGCTAGACGAGATGCCAATGCTTCGTGGTCGGCAATGTCGGCTTGGATCTTTTGGACGACACAATACATATCGTCAGTTGTTGCCGATTCTGCTTCAGAGGCAACTTCATCATCTTGTGCTTCATCACTCTCGGCAGGATGGCTTTCATCTTCGGCAATAATCTAATCAAAATGTCAAATGTTAGACTTTTGAACAGTCTGTGGTCAACCAAAGCAACAGCATACTGACCTCTGCCGAATTGCGACCCTCGGCTTCACTACGAGCCATACTAGATACGGACAAGATCGACTCTTCGGATTTCGATCCAGCGTGTCTCTTCGAAGGCAATCCTTCATGGCTCTTATTACGTGACATACCAGTGCGAGAAGGAGCTGGAGGTCGATTACTTTGACGGCTGACACTAACTGGTGCCTGACCTGCCACGCGAACAGGTTTACCAAGTTTGACGACCACATCATGATACCAAGCTGCTTTATCTTCAGATTCAGAGAGTCTTAGTTTCAAGTCGTATATTGTTGTATTATAGGCTTCAATCAAGGCTGCTGGCAAAACGTCTGCAGGATTATGAGAAGCGAGAAAAGAATCCAGAGATGGTTTAGACTCTTGGATCGACCCAATGCCACGACTACTGACGTTGCCCTCTTCCACTGTAAATTGAGTGCTGGCTCCAAATATTCGTCGTATCGGAGTGGGTGTTTTCTCATCATTTTCCTCGCTATCTACTACTTGAGTTCCATCACTGACTACTATTCGACTCTTTTTGGGAGTAGAGACGTGCAAGCCATTTAACACTTGATCACGTTCAGCTGCTGCTATACTAGCCTCCTGAGCAAGCTCATTAACAGTATTTTGCAGCCGTTGGCAGCGAAACTGAAGACGTTCATGTTCGAAATTTTTGGACTCACGTTCCAACAGAAGCTTTTGTATCTGGGCTTCTAAGTCTTCTCGACCAGCTCCAGCAAATGAAGTTTCGGGCTCATGGACACCATGGAAGGCTGAAGCTATGGCAGCACTTCTTTCTGCCTCTTCTCCACCCCAACCCTGCGATCGTAGAGTAGATAATTGAGTGCGTAGATGCGATACTTCGGTTCTAAGGGCTCTAATCTCTCGATCCTTCTCTGCGGCTCCAATAGCACTCCATTCTTGGTTGATTGTGACACGATTCTTTATGTTCTTGGCCCTATTTGCATATTCGAGGGTATTTCTAGTCTCGTTCATATTGGTATCTGCTGGAGAGACACAGGCCAACATCATGGTCTGTGAGTTGCCCCCCAACGAGTCTTGTAATAGACGAGTAAGCTTCGAATCTCGATATGGTACATGTGAGGCACGTCGTGTTTCATCTCCAAGAGCTGATATAACGTTGCCGAGCGCCAAGAGGCCCTGATTTATGGATATACCTTCCTTTTTTCTAAGGACACGTCCAATTTAGACAAAGAGTCTGCGAAGGAACAGATAAAAGAGGACAGCAAAAACAAAGCATCGATGCTCTTACCGATCACCTTCGGCATTTGTCCTTTTCAACCGTTCAGACCCAGCGAGATCGACAAAGTGGAATTTTGAATTCAGTCGTTGCCAAGAGCCGTCTGGATGTGTGCGTGGATTCACAATCAAAGGATCTTGCGCCTTCATGGCAGGTGAGGTGTCGGGCACTCCAATTAGGCCAGCTACTGGTGTTTCAGGATCTTTGGCTACTGGTGTTGGATCGTCCTTCTCAGTGGCGGTCCATATCTGCTGTTTTAGCGTAACAGAAAATATGGCGTGCGACCGTGAAGATGTTGCATTCATGTCGGTAGATGCAGTAGTTCTGCAAAGACTTCCCTTCGCCAGATACCTGGCCATCAAAGATAACAATGTGAGCAATGAGTGTAAAGCTGCGAAACAAGCCATTTCAATGAGCGCACCCTAGGCAATCTTCCGGTGTCTTGGCTTCTTCTTCTCGTACACCCGACCATACAATGTTCCCATTGGTATCTTCTCTGATTGTGAGTCCACCCCAACCTTTTTCTACACTCGTGCTTAGATTCGACAAGGTGGACGCTCGTCGAGGATTGAGAAGATCGACTAATTCTTCGTTGTGCAATTCCAAGAAAGAAACATAGACAGAGTATCTAAATCCTTCAGGGTTTCCTTCATGTTTTGCTCGCAAAGTTTCAAACAAGACATGGATGGCTCGAGGAACGATGCCTATTTCAAGCAGATCAATGAGTAATTGTAAAAATCTTGATAATTGAAATAACTTTAAAAACAGATCTAAACCTGTGGTATCTGGGTCAGCCTGCAAATCCAGTCCAGTTCCCATAGTGTATGTTTTGCCAGATCCCGTCTGAATACGAAGTGTATGATCAATTATACAATCCAAGATAATTTTCATTGTGCTAGTCAATAGTACCTGTCCATAAGCCAGAATCGTACAGTGAAAGCCATTAAGATAATTGTTTAACAAAGATCGGACACATTCTTCAAACAACAGACTTTGGCCAACGTCCGGCGAGAAGACATGGTCATAAGTAAATGATTTAACTGGACCTAAATCTTTTCCTTCAGAGTTTGACCAAGTATAGGATGGCTGCGTCAGGATTAACTGTGGTTCATTGGGCACATATGATAGGCACTCTTTCGCCTCTTCCTGAAGCACTTCACGAGCCGTAAGTGGCCTGACTCGTACAGCAACCTTTACAGAAGACGTGGTGCTCATACCGCATTGGGTATTGTTTTTCAGTCGACGTTTGGATCAATGTTGGGTTTTCGTTTGTGTTTTTGAGAGACAACCCCCGAATTTGAAAAACGCGTGGTCGTGCTTCTGATTTATGATACTTTGAACTATATTTACTTATTGCATAATAATCTACGAGACTGCAAAGCCTCAAAATATAAAGATTCGTTTGACTTTTACAAGCTTTCTAGGCGACAGAAGACAGCGAGGAATGCTTCAGCTCCCGTCTTCACAGGTTCGACTTGTTCATCAAGCTTATAGATATCCGTGACCGTCATTTGTTTTACCAAAACATTTCCCGAATCAGTACGAAAGCCATTACGTACAAACTGCTTCTCGTAAACTGGCAATCCCTCTGCAAACTTTTTCAATAGCACTTTGCACTCTTGCTCATACACGGAACTGACCACCGTCCTATACGACCTACAGACCATAGACGCCGTTTTGCGATCCTTGTGGCAGAGCTGCTCCATTATAAGCTCCATTATTTCAAGCGGGAGACCATCTCGGGCTGGATAGTCATAAATCTGCGGGATGGAAGGGAGCGCAGTTGTTGTTATGTATTGCAGTGTCTTGGCGTTATTCAGTGCGAGTCCTTCCGTCAGAAGTCGTAGTTTCGCAAGATATGAAATCAATGCGACTTCCCCATAATGACCCGGCCCTCCTAATAGACACACCTGGTGTGAGCTTAAAACATATTGAAGTGCGTAAGATACCCAAGATAAGAAACTGGGTGACTTGGGTATCTTGAAATGCTTTACATAAAATGACTTACGCCCCAATTCAATTGTTTGTATATCACAATTCTGTTTCACATGCAAGATACCCGGCCATATTCCTACAGGTGGGTTCATTACAATTCCAAGTGTATTTGATATGCTCAGACCAACATCCTCGACAAAGAAGCAATTGTCTCTAAAGTCGACAGTGTCTCTGATTTGTAAGATTTCACTTCGTGGTCCTGGGCATATGACCATAAATTTTGCATCCTAATCATGCGTGAAAATGTGTCAAATAATATGCTCACATAAGGGACACAGTTTGAACAAACCTGTTGCAAAACGAGTGAATGGAATTTCCGTTCCTCTTCATCAATAGTCCTTTCACCAAGACCTAATGTATTCAATTCGTGAGATTCATTCCTGACGAGGCAGTAGTACTGCTGGCGAAATGTCACCAAATGGGTCGATCCAATTTGTTGTTGATGCCTGTGTTTGAGCACCCATGAAGCTTAATAGAGACAACAATACAGGGCATACTGGACACCAAACCGCCTAGTGAATAACGATAATAGTAGTGTGTATACGATAGTTGCCGTTTCAGATAGGAACGAAGAGTTTGAATAAGATCAAAGCGAGATTTCAGACATGTGTGTTTACTTTTAAAGTGATAACGATTAAGATCCTCGTAGAAGCCTCTTCCTTGACGTTGATGATTTGCCCATTTACGTCAATTACTTGCGGAGGGAATTGAGCTCCAGCTTTCACTCGGGGTGACAGGATCATTGTGTTTGACGATTTATCACGAGTTTGGAAAGTCAAACACCGCAAATCACACCTCAGGAATCGCAAGAAAGGTTCCTTCTTATATAAATAGGATCGGTTTGCATGACTTTTACAGAGTTACGGACTGCTCACGATGTAAATGGTCAAGCGATCCATCACCTCTCCACCTCAAACACGTTCACAGTATCCTTATCGTCCATCCTACTAGGATAAACAAGAACCAAAGAAAAAGGGTCGAATCTATCAATTACCTTGTGTTCTAACTCGAACGTCAAACGCCTTTTGCATAAGTAGGCCATGAAGCTGTATCTACCAGACATCATAGCGAGTGGCGAAGCCAACAAGACAATACCTTTCGAGTAGCTTGCACCTTCTCATAGTCAACCGCAACCACACTTCACCGTAAGAAATCCTTCCTAAATCCAATAGCCTGCAAGTACCTAGCCCTAGCTTGATGATACCACCATTCCTAGTAAGCATCTTGAAAATCTCCAAAAAGAGTAGAAATCTTGAAGCATCTGGTGGTACGAGGAAGTGTGATTGCCAAACCAACTTCTACTTTCATCACATTTGGCGACACAATGAAGAAACAGCTAATTCAAAGTACTTTTTATTAAGACCCAACGTACGTAGATTTTGTAGAAGACCAAGCTCGTAACGTCCTTGATAACAACTGAGAAGAGTCTCAGTGAATGGAGCGGCTCCCTGCTGTTGGTTTCCAAGGCCGCCAATACGTGACCTGCATGGAATTCACCGCCCGTACAACAATGAAAGCTTTCAAGTCGTTGTAGGGCGAGAAATGCTGCAACAGCCACATCCTCCCATATATAATCAACCGATGTTACACGTAAATGTTTGATAGATGGTGACTTTGCAGCGGATTCTGCGAATTCTGGCGATTCTAAGGCTTCGGGACGACAGTCGATTGTATTTACTGCTTTCGGAAGGAAGCGAATCAAAGGCTGAAATTCCAGACTTCCAAACAGCTTTACACAAGTTGCCTGTTTACAAGCTCTCAGCAACTGCTCAGCCTTGGTCATGAGACGTGCCATGACTGCATCCTCGATATCTTCTGGAGAGCGTTCAGCTTGTTGGTCAGAAGCACTTTCTTGTGCACTGAAAAGATCATGCCCTGACAAACTCAATGAATCCAGCAGGTTAGCGAACACGTCTTGGCTGAATCCTGATTTTGACATTGTTTCGTTCTCCTCAATCGTCAGAATGCATTCACATTCCTTCTTTTTTGGAAGGTTTTGAGGACCAAACCCAAGCGGGTGTTGTCGCGCTGTATTTCATGGATTAGCGAGAATGAAACGGATGAATTTGAGAAGACCACTTACACTGCCCATTTCATAGTACAGGTTTATTGACTGCAATGGGATTCATACCTTTGCAAGTTCTGGCCATACTTGCCAATGAGCTCCTTGAAGCTATTGTCAAACTGACATCCCATATCTCGTAAGGAAGATGAGGCCCTACTTAGTGAGAAAAGATACCATTCAATGCTTTGAAATGGTGTTATTTTTTTATTGTCACAAACGATAGCTTCGACGCAGGCTTGATTCTGGGTTACTTTGGTTTTGGCTAAAGCTGATGTTGATGATTTCAAGCTAGAGCGAAGAAGAGTTTCAAAACTGAGCATTGTAGGAAATAAAAAAATTGTAAAATTACCAAGATATTTCTATTGACAGCTGTTTAAAAGCTTGACTCCACATCATAGACTGTTGCGCTTCAATTTTTCTTGACAGCTTGACATGTAATGCAGCGAATAGAGCGAGTTGTGGCTTCAGATATAGGAGAGACGCTACGTGGTGCGGAAAATTGTTGTCTTGTTGTCTTAGAGCCCTGAAAGGGCTGGGATTGTAATGTGAAGAAATGGTGAGAACAAATGGACGCAACCCGCGCGATGTTTGACCCAAGCATTTGAGACTAATTAGTACATAGCACAATCGCAAAACGACACCATGACCTGCGAAAGCACATTCTTTTATCTTATTTACCTTTTTACATCGTGATTTTACAACTTGCAAACATTGATGTATCTATCTATTGACCTCACCAAGTTTCTCTTTGACATAATCAACCAACGCATCCTTCTTCAACCCTGCAGCTTTGGTCCATCCTTCTCTAGACGACAAGCCTTTCAACTCTTCGACTGTTTTGCTCTTCAACTATGAGAACTTTGTTAGGACAAGCCATATCCAGACCTTTGTAACCTTTGTCACAAATCCTGCTTACGTTTCCATCGAGAAAAGCCTTGTGTGCAGCAGCCAAAGTCAGTGGTGGTTTGGCGATCTTGGCCTTCTTCATCACAGGCACATCCATTTCTCCATGACATATATCAGCAAGAACTCGTTTCAAATTCTTGAGAGATGTTCCAGCACGTTCGTAGATGTCGTCGGTTGGAGGCAATGTATTGTCTTTGACAGGTTCTGTTGGTTCTTGGAGCAACGTGCTCTCTACAAGCGCATAATGCCTTTGCAAATCAGGATTGTTGAACTCGTCGAACGGGTATTCACCAGCATGGTAGAGTGACGTGATTACTGCAGATGTGGCATCAAGCAATTCTGGTGGCACTAGATGGAGCAGGAAAAAAGTGTTCTCAATCTCAAGTTCAAGCCTCAGGAATGTTTGGTGCCAAAAAGACGATATTTACATAGTTTGACAGGTTTTTCAAATGGTGGTGATCGCTTATCATCAGCATATGGTAGAGGGGTTACATAGAAACCCCGACCAGGAGGGCTTTCTCCATGAGCATCGACTTTTCCAAGGGTGGTCTTCTGTGTCAGTTCAGCGGAAGATGTGATGAGAAAAATAAATCAAAACTGCAATTACAAAGCTGAATTATTGGAAAGATACAAAAGACTTCTGCAACCTCAGTAAAAGCTGATATGCACTTACCTCTGGATACAATGCGACAAGACGTGGAGCTGCATTAGCCTTTTGTATCATTCGACAAACAGCAAACACGTTGTTTCGAATCATTGATTCTCGTAAATTGGCAAATACAGATGAACTACCCAAAAGATTCTATAGAATGTGATTTCTGGCTTGAGAAACATATCTACGAGTAAACCCTTTCCATAACGACACATACCGACTCGTCAGGGTAAATATAAGAAGAGTGATCGAGTTGGTTTTGGGGCTTGAGTAACGACATAGGCTTGAATCCGAACAAGACGAGACCCTTGGGATATTGTTCACCAAAGTTCTTGGTGTCCTTCACTTCCTTCTTATCAAACACAATCTATTCCAAGAAAATCTTTGTTAAAGAAGTGTCGTGTCCTATCAAAATCCGAAACCAAACGCCAAACCAATGCGACTAACCTTGTCTTCGCCCACAACATAAGCACTTTTCATTTGATAAGGAGCAATAGTTTGTCCAGCGGCCTAAAAGGACCAGTCCAATTAGACACCGTTGCTTCGTATCCGCTACATAAGGTCATTGAAGAGCAGAGTTTCAATATAGCTTACGTTGGTGTATTCAGTCTTCGCCTTAAACACCTGCCCTGATTGCCTCGAAACCTGTTTTGGAGTTGGCACTTTGGCTTCGATGAGATGATTGTATCTAGAATGCCAAACAGTCAAGAATGAGTCAAATGAGCCCGCCTGGTCAATGAAAGCAATGGAGCATTACCCCACGATGCCAATTGTGAAGTCATCAAAGATAACGAAAGGCAGTCGGAACGCAACCCGTAATGCCATTTCGCGTTGTTTGATTTCTTGCAAGAGCTCTTCATAAGTTCGAGTCTGAGGTACATAGGCGACACCGTGTTCATCGTAACTGACCCAATTCTGATTAAGATGGGCGAGTTTCGTGAACGACAACATGATTCTTGTTTGCAACCTCCAAACGACATACCGTCCAGAATCGACCAAGGTCGAATTCTCGACCATCAGCAGTTTGATATGGGAAGAGGGTGCGTTCAATATCGGCTTCCTCTGCATCCTGAGCTTTTGTGGCGACTGCGTAGGTGGTCTTGACGCGATCTGGATCATTGCGCAATGGGTTATCATTGTTTGTCAAGACCCATATTTTGCGATCTGAGAGTTTCTTCTTCATGTCGCTAAACGAACAATCGTATGATTAAAGTGCTGGTCTGTCAGAAAAGAATCACGAAACTCACGGTTCATTAAAGTAGCGAATCGCCATATCAAAGACCTTGTCCAAGTCAACTTGATCAACAGAGCCTCCCAAAGAGTCGATAGCAGAATGTTTTTCATTTCCGGAAACAGAAGGTCCTGTTCCAAAACATCAAAGTCAATTATCAAGTCGCCACATCATGCTTTGACGAAATAGTCTTACTCTTGACCAAGTCATGAAGTCGTTTTATGATATCACCATCAGGTATTTGCAAGTCTGAAAGCACATGAACGCCTGGCATGTCTCGAGAGTTCTTGACGTCGTTCTAAAGGACCGATCGAAACCGTATCAAAAACAGGCAACAGCCTCAACACCAAAGCTTCACGAGATATTGTCGAAACAGAACTCACGACTCCATAAATCATCAGTCCATAGTATCGTTGACCACTGTGGAGAAAGTTCTTGGCAGTCACGAAAGCAGCCTTGAGACTGACTTGGAATGGTGTTTCTCCTGTTGGACTGTTGGCCTTTTGCATTGTTGGACTGCCATCAATGATAAGGATTAGGCCTTGTTTGCCTTGCGTGCCCTATTGTAATGATGATATAGTTACATTGTTAGTTCCAATAGTCACAATTGCAGAAAAACAGTCACTGCTCTTCAGAGTTGGAAGCTTTTGAATTGGAAGGAATTTACGTATTCTTGCTCGTCTTCGTCTCGATCCTCTTCTTCGATATTGGGGTCTGGATATGACTCAGACATCTTGAGATAGCGTGTAATGGTGTTCTCCTTTACGCTTGCTGTATTTTTGTGAAGCTTTTGACAAGCAGGGACGCCGAATCTACGACATGACCAATTAAGCACCTTTCTCGTGATTTATGCAGGTTTACGTATATAAGTCTCCTGATATTTAATATTTAATATCTGATCTGATATAGCTCCTATGTTGTGACAAGATCTGCTCTAGCAGTCAACCCAACTTTGCTTACATTGATGTGGAATGGACATTATGTTCGTGATAGTAATTATCAATAAAAGGCCTCTATATGAATTCACACTTTCTATGCCCAACAATCCTGCACATATCGTCCCTCCTTTTGCAAGTTCGCTACAAATGCTTCAGCTTTAGCTTCACCCATGCTGCCTTGCTTGATGCAAATCTGTACAAGAACGTCTGTGACGTCTTTGGGTATCCTTGTGGATGATCTAAACAACAAGGTTATGAGCAAGGAAAAAACCCCCACGGAATTAAGCCATACCCTGACAAGAAGATGTAAGCATTCTTTTCACTCAGAGCTGACCATATAAGAGATGCTTGTTCACCCATGCGATGTTGCACGTATATCTTGTGGTCCTAAAATTAAAAAAGGGGTGAGTGTGTTGATACTAGCTTGAAGCGAAAGTAGTCTGTACCTGATCTTGGGATGGAGCTGTGAAGAGAACCAGTTGAGAGTTTTTCGAATACATTTCGAATTCACTCTTGTAGTAAAAGTCCTTGGTTTGTTTCCGGAATCCGAAAAACAGGACATTGTCTGGGAAAGGTGCTCTTAGGTTTGTACGTTTCTTTGTCCTCTTTCCAACCATTCATTTACCTATAGCTCCCTGGTATATTCGTTCTTCAATTAGAGATCTCATTGGAGCAATTCCCGTTCCTACATAAATGATGTGAGTGAAGAGCCGAGAGCGTCAAAGAGTCTCGAACAATGATTTGTTACCTGGTGCCACACATATCACCGGGGTGTCGATAGAAGCCGGTAGTTTCAATGGTCCCTTTGTGACATTGTACTCAAATTGATCTAAAAAGCATCAGTTGTTGTTACACCAACAAAAAAAGCAACAATCTCCTCCACCCATGTACCTCCAGAACTTAGTGTACTCAACCACCTCGTACAAACACCATGCCGTATCTTCTTCATTCTGGTGTAATACGCTACAATAGCGACACACAGATGGATTTCACCGGGGTGGACCTTCAAAGAGTATCTGCAGTGAGACAAAACGAAGACAAAATTGAAAGATCTCTGAGCTTACAGAGAGAGACGACGCAATGGAAAAAGATCGAGGTCTCATCATTGGCATCAAATCCAATAGATAATCAACAGGAAAGACAACAGAAGCAAAATCTTGAAGCACTTCAAATGTCGTCCGTCTCATTCTATGACAATAGGCATATAAATCGCTCTAGCAGAACCCCCAGAATGACTCAGTATGCTTTCGGAAGGGTTCCAAGACGCGAGAACTGATACCTGGCCAGCTGCTGATGCGAATTCTCGTAGTTTGCCAGCTTGAAGTAGGTTTGTAGCAAAGTACGAGGCCAGTTCAAAAAAGTACCGTCTAGGGCGACCAAAGATGTCCAAATGTTTAATCAAGAGTGTGCGTATAGTAGTTGGCTGCTGGATGTCTTTTGGGACTTGGATGTCTGGGGGGACGAGATTTTTGAGCTTGTGATCGTCTTCACGATAACCAAAGATTTTCTCACCTGCTCGAGAAGGTATCAGTTGAATTGGTCTATCAGCAACATCTTCCCAGCCAAAATGGGTGATAACTTCGTTAACTTCAGTCCTTAAATTTTGAGGTCGAATCACCATCACATCTCCAGCATGGTATCTATAAACGACAGTGGTAAATTTCTGGAACAAAGGACAGAACTCGCAATCTAAAGGAATGCCAACCTTTGGTCTTGATCAATTCCAAATATTAAATGTCTAGTATCTTGGTCATGGTCTTGTGCAGTGATTCGAGAATTAACCTTGACTGTGGCTTTTAATGATGGATTTCTAGGAGTATCTGGTGATGCTATAGATGGAACATGCCCATTCACATCAAGAAACTGTATGTGATAACTTGGCGTAGGCGTTTTGTTATCGTTCATGGTGAGATCTGCACCAGCAGGTAACGGAAACATTTGCAAGACTTTCTGCCATAGTGATTCTAGCCACGGATCTAGTGCAGCGTCGATACTGCCACAGACAGCGGAAAAAACTCAGATTGACTTCTGGGGAATTGACATAGCGATTGTTTACCCCAAATCGTCTTGATCATTGCCGTCTCCACGATATAAAATTGAGCGAGCTCCTAACTGTGCTAATCGCTTGTAGAGCTTCTTTGCAGGGAAATTATATCTGACAAGAGTGAGTGCGTCAGTCATGTCATAATCGTCGCTCCAGTCAGAGCTCACCGACATCTTACTTTTGGTATGACGTGTCACCTAGTCCAAAAACAGTATATGACAGATCGCTCAATAAATCTGAAGGCAGATTCCGTCGTAGAAGAAACTTCCAAAAGCTCTGTTTGGTCGAAACAATTTCTAGTCAGTTCAGCTATGAGATATTCAAATCGCAGATATCTTGCTTTGCTTGCCTTCATATTATCTGGCTCTTCTCCTTGACCGGTGGTTGAGCATACAAATATGACGAGTCTCTGCTTGACTAAGTCTGACTGTAAACATGAGAGATGTTGAAGAAGTCAGGTCGAAAATCACTCAAGATGCATCGAAGAACGGCCAAATATCTTCAGTAACAGTAACACGGAATAGATGGGTCATTGAACCTACTCGATCAAAGTCATCCATAGCAGCTGATCTTGCACTAAAGTGAAGTCTTCGAGCTTCCCTCACAACTCGGTCACTCACTTGCTCAGCATTGCCCGTTTGAGAACCATACAATACAAGTAAGTGGCGCTCCATTGCTACAAACGAACAACTGATTTCTATGTTTGAGCTGATTTCTATGTTTTTAGCTTTTTGCTGGAAGCCGGTTGGGGAATGAGACGCTCGCTTCTATCAACTGTCGCGCACTTGAGCCCTGTGGAGTTGAGCTTTAGACTTTCAACAAAAAAGTCAAATCTGGAATCAAGATCAACACCATACATTGAACCGTTTGTCATCTTACATGGGCTGCTTGGAAGCAGTAGAAATTGGGGTTCGCTAAGCTCAAAGTTAGCAGAGACTTATCAAACTCCTGTCTACGCGGTTGTAAGTTCTCAAAGCTCCAAATCTGCAAAACTTCAAGTACGAAAATTTGGAAACTTACTACCCTCGTTCTCGTGTTAGGACTTGAGGAATCATGTACGTGTAGCTTCTAACTGGCAGATCTTTACATCACTCCACGCTTGTGGGATGTCGAACTGTCAGAAGCTTCATTTCAGCTCACCCAACACTTACAAACACTATAGGGGGAATCACCTCATTCTCCGATACATGATCTGAATGCAATGTCGGCTGACATCAGGCACTTTACTGAATCTCACTCGTTACCGAGAGTTTCAGTCATTGGTCACAGTATGGGTGCCAAGACAGCAATGTTATTTGCCCTTCAACATCCCAAACTTGTAGCTCGACTAGTAATAGTAGATGCTTCACCGTTACGTCAAGAACCCAAGAGTGAAATTGACTGGATTGAACGCTACATGGTGGGGTTGGAGAAAGTTATGGAGGCTAAGGTTACTTCGAATCAAGCTGCTGAGGCTATAATGCTGCCATTTGCTCCTGTAAGATGTCTCGACAAGCTAGATAACCCTGAACGAGCCTCACTGTGATTACTCTTCGTAGAATGTAGCGATTAGGAAATTCCTATTGACCAACTTGAAACGAGAATCGGATCCATTTCCCTCATTACACCTGAGGCCGAACTTGCCCGTCCTGAAACAGTATCTAACAAAGGCAATCTCGGAGTTCCCAGTAGCAATAGGTGATGCAGAATATACAGGACCTACTTTGCTAATAGTCGGTACAAAGTCAAAGTTTGTTAATCCAGCAACATATCCCACGATTCGGAAGTATTTCCCAAACTTGACTGTGAGAGAGATTGATGCTGGACATTGGGGTATGTGGTTTCTATTTCTTTGAATGCTACAGATCAAATACTTGCTCCATAGCTGACAACCGATAACATCTCATTAGTGCAAGCAGAAAAGCCAAATGAATTCCTACAGGCCGTTGACGATTGGATTTCTCCGAAATAGATGCTATATGATTGGTCGTTTATATCATAGAGAGCACTTCTCGTTGTACATATATAGATCTAGACTACAAGAAACAACTATGTAGCAGCTGGGAAGACAATTACGTCTGCCAAATTCATGACATGGTGAAGCACCTGAAAATGCTCACTCAGTTGCAAAAACGATAATCGTGGTGTATCATCATCGCAAATCCCACATGCGAATCGATTCGAAGTTCCATGCAGGTGCTTCCAATGAGCATCTACACCAACACGAGCTGACAATCCTTTTACCACCTTGTCAGGTATCCAGGCAAAACAATGCCTTAAGCCTGCTATTCTCGTTTCCTTTACGACCTCAAGATGATTGATGGCTCGAGATATACGGGTTTTATGTGTTGTCATGTCTTTAAGGAAGGGCCCATGTGTTGATTCCAGGGTGAGAGCCTCGTCATACCCTAGTCCCATAGCCTGCAATGCTCGTCGGACAAGCCCTTCTGGATGATATTGCCGTGGCGAGGGCAGTGACAATCGAATGTCATTCTAGAGCGAAAATATGTTGAAGACCTCTAAACTTTCAAATGAATCAGAATGCTTCTCATCTCGCATACTTGCTTACCCCTATAGACGTCCAATCATCACCATGTCGAGTAAACATATGCTGACGGAGATCTGCATATGATTTTAGCTTGATCGACTTGCTTTGACAGCATCCTATTTCGATCAACAAATCGCTCAGTTCTGATGTAGTTTGAATATGGAGGTGGCTCATGACTTTGAGTCGGATCTCTACAGATTTGATAAGGCTCTCGTTCCAAAGTGGTGTAAGAATCGCACCGATCTGTGTAAAGTGATTCCGACTATAATCTTCCACGGTATCAATGAGTTCCTGTGCCATCTTCGAGCTCATAATTTCCTACCAATTAAAATTGAGGTTGAAAGGTGTGAGCACAGGCAAATTGAGCGGATACGTTCAATTCCGAAAAGTACCTCGCCTGTTGGCCAATCCGAGTCGATGGCTTGAGGATGGATCATACTGATATCCAATTGACCAACCAGCCATTGAGGCATAACATGTCGTAAAATCTGTTTGAATTGTGACTTCTTAACAGCATTATAATTTGCTTCTGCATTCACAACTTCAGCGATCAGCTTTTTACGTATAGTGTACCAAATCGATGAGGTCAATACTGTCCATGATACCGATGCGTCCTGTAACTTTACATATGATGGAAAATGATGAAGATATTTGATACACCCAGTCAAAACTTTATCTTTTCCTATTCGTTCCAAGACTTGTTGCTTCCGTTGCTCGATCTGCTGAGCTTCAACTCTTCTCTGGGCCCGAAGATTTTCCAAATTCATACGTAGAATGACCTCCGTTTTTTCCATCAGCGTCGTTTGCTTTGTTTTTGCTTCCGTCAACCAAGAATCGTCCTGACTCGAGAGACGGGCTTGACGATTTGAGCGGACGTCTGATACCATAAACCGAGCATTCCATGTTGGAATTCCTTCAAAGGATCGTAAGCGTACGGTTGTAGCCAACATGTTGAGACAGACAGGAATCCTCACCAAGAAAATCGTCCAGCACATATCCATGTGCCATCAATTCAGCCTCACTTTTCGTCGAAGACAGAATGCATTCATCACATAATCGAAGGCAAAACATATGATATATCTGACTGGGTCTCCTTTTACACTTGAAGCACTTTGTTGACAGCCATAGAGAAACGTATACCCTTTCTTCAAGAAACGGAGGCGGTGTGGTCAACTGCGGACAAGTTCGTGTTCGATTTATCGTCCATAAGTCGGGATTCTAATACGAAAATGGCCAGAACTTGTTGACAAACTTCAAGCATCTTGATTTTTTGATGTCATTGGATTTACTTGCCTGCGCGACGATATCACGGAATTGACGGCTTAACCGAGTCGCTCTCGATAGTGCAAAGACATCTACATGCTTCAGAATGATGATCCACAATTCGGGCGGTAGAGTTTGGTTCTTTCAGCGATAAAGCAAAACTTGTGAGCTCAAGCAGTACAGACAGTCTCTCGAATCCAAGGAAGAGCGACTCACTTCAGTGTCGATCCTGTCAGCAGGCTGCTCTGAATCTATCCTTTTCTTTTTCAACTTTGCCATTCTTTCAGCGTCATTATCAAGAAGAAGTTGTAAAATAGAAATGTGTGCTGAGATGACTGACGAAGATATTTAAGCTACTCGACGTATGCCATCCAAGGGTGATTGGACGCTACTGGCGAGTTTTCGTCGCTGCTATTCTATTGTAATTTTCTACCAAAACTGTATTTTAGATCATAGTAAACAGCATTATCAACACGATCGAGTTCGCGATGAGGATGGTGAGATAGGGTGTCGACACCATAAAAGCCACTGGGATATACAGATGTGTCTTTGCTTCACAGACTTCAAATTCAACATTTATTACGGTATGTCACAAGAAGGAATCCGCGCTGTAGACCCTACTAGAGGCTATTGGCTCATCTCCAGATCTGACACCATTGTTGAATATGCTCACTCTCAAATTCATACTCATATCTGCAAGTTGGGCAAGCGTGATTTTCCTTAATCCAGTGATCGCGACAAAACTGATGAGGACACCGGGCAGGACAAGACGTGGTCAACCTTATTATCGCCTACACTTCAAAACTCAGTACACATACGGGATTTTTTGTGTCGATAGAACAGCTTTGTGAGCAGAAAAACAACGAGGACAGCACTCCTGATGTTTTCGCTGCACCTCGCCATTGGCTTCAAAGATATAATGATACTAAAGCTTGGTTGTAGGCATGGTCATCTTTGTTTAGTCTGTTGTAATTACCGAAACCGTCTCAGAGGGCAAATCAGTTTATTGTCAATTACGCAAAGTGTACAGGTACAAGAACAAAGTTGCGACGAGACTCGAAAATTATCACTATTGAAGTTTTGTGCACATATCAACGCATTTATCAGTGCTCCAATGGTACATGCTTGGACTGAATGCCCTGAAACACCGAAATCACTTTCCGAAGGTACTTTTCGTTGGTGCAAAAATCTACTTGTAACGGAATAGACTCCAAGAGAGAGTTAAATACAGCGTTAATATTTACTTTTATGAGAGTGACGCCGCTCACTTACTAGTAGCATAGCCTCGATTTCTCCACTGACAAACCCCTGAAGCAGAAAGAAAGAATGTTGAAGAGCAGCGGTTATATGCATAGTAAAGCACCTTTGCACTTCAAAGCATCAAAGTTTCTAAGCAAAAGAAGAAAGAAATGGGTACTATTTAAGAGAGCTTTGAGGTATGAACTCGTTGCATTCATCAAATTCAGTTAACTTCAAGTGCATCAAGACTTGAAACATGCAAATCAAGTCCTCTCTTCTCACCATCTTTACTGTACTAGCTGCACCAGCAGTCATCTCTGTACCTTTAACTACGATTACAGTGCCAGTCCCATATCCACAGGCAATTCCCGTGCAACCAGTTGTAAGTTGGATCGAATGTCGCGGAAGATGAAACACTCAAAAAAATACTTAATCCATCATCCAATCTTTATAATTAGGCGTATCCCAGTGCCGATGAGAAGATATTCATCACCGGCGCTTTCCTCAGTGATAAAATTGTCACCGATGCCCTAGCTTTCGTCAACTCGGTCGTTGACCCCAACATTCTTGCCATATTGCCTTCAACGTACATTCAGTATTCGAATGTGGTCTATCATGACAATGCTGTGAACAATTGCTATTGGCCATTAAATGGGTGTGTTCGTGCCACGGACGTGATCGATTGCCAGAAGGACTACCAGTGGGGTTTGACTGTAAGTGATCGCTGGCCAATTCTGTCAGATACGTTATTAACAGCCTTGTTACTCAACTAGTATGATGACGCACCTACTTCGAATGTCGTCAATGGTGTGAACTACAATGACAGCATATCGATTTTGGACTCTCTGAATGAGCTCAAAGTTAAAGCTACCTTCTTCGTTACTGGATCTCAGTACGTATGATGTGCTATCTCTGAAGCGGCAGAACTTCGTCTGACCTTTATTTTAGAGCCACCTACTATGCAGCAACTCTTCAAACACTTGCCAACAATGATATGCACATTGCTCACCATTCCTGGTCTCATCAGTAAGGACTCGACTTTCTGGCGCTGGTAGTGGTATAATCTAACCCCGTTTCCCATTTAGTCCAATGACGTCTCTCACCAACACTCAAATCGTTGCTGAAATCATGTATACTCAAGCTATGATCTACAAAGTAACTGGTCTTACTACCCGCTACTTTCGGTAATAATTCGACGATGCTGGGTATTCATTTGCTAAATCTCACCATTTTCCTCCCATCCAGTCCACCATATGGTGACATTGATGACAGAGTCCGCGGGATTATCGCAGCTCTAGGCTTCAAAATCATCATCTGGGATTCCGCATACGATTCAACTGACGCAGATGTAGCTGCTACGCCAGAGAATTATGAGAAAGTCATGGCTCGTATCAGAAGCTGGTTTAATGTTGCCAAAGGATTCATTTCTTTGCAACACACCATCTCAACTTTTACGTCGGGTACCTCTGTCGCTGCACTACAAGAGATCATAAAGATGGGCGGTATTAAGAATCAGCTCATGACTGTTCCTCAGGTACGCTAGTCTGTTACTACTATCAGAATGTGACAAGAATCTTATATACTTTCTTACGTAAATAGTGCATCGGTGATTCTCAATGGTATATGAACAAGAACGTCAACACCGTCTTTAATTCTTGCACCCTTCCTGGAGGTTGTAATGGTGCAACAGTATCGCCAACAGCATCCACAGCTCAAGCATCAGTCGTACCATCTGTAAAACCATCATCTACCCCTTCTCTGTCTTTAAAGTCTACTCTATCATCTACAAGTCCCACTGCGACGCCGTCGGCAAGTCCTCTCATCAGTGACATTACTTCTGATGCTATTCGCTGGCCTAGCTCAACTTCCTCGTATTTGGGTCTCTTCACAATTGCTGTGTTAATGATCACAGTTTAATCGATTTAATCAGTTACTGTATGTTTTAATATGTAAATAGTGTCTAAAAAGTCCAGTTAGTTTCGGATAATAATACAACTCATATTCTATGATCTACAATAGGACATGAACGTGATTTCGCTTATTGAGACTTTTTCATGCTATGCTATTTGCTTTATTTGGTATTTGTTCATCAACAGTGTTTATTGATTTCGTCTGGTACGAACTAGTTCAATTTCGTTTTGTCCAATCTTTGCAATGTCTGCAAAATTCATGAAAGAGTATGCATTCCACTGCTTGTTTCGAGACCACTCGAGCGGAGGGAATCTTGGTGATCCCAAACCGTGGAAGATTCTTGCGACACAACGACCTAGAGGGTTCGATCGAAACGATATCTTGACAAATGAGCAGAGCAAATACGTAATGGAATTGCATCAGCATTACAGCACACACCTGTAGTGAGAAGATCAAAGTTTTGGTTGACGAAGATGCGGATATCCAATTCCATGGCCTTCTTCCTATTGTTCGAGTAGAAAGCTATAAGAATACCGAGGCAAAAAATTATGTATCTGCAATCAGAGTGTTACTGTTCTTTAGCCTTTTCTGCCAACTCTGGGTCCTTGATACCCGTCAAGACTATCTTCTTCTCGTCTGCCATGAAGTAGGTCGAGATGCAGGCACGCAAGGCTGCTTCCCTTTCAGACTCGAGAGAATCTTCTCTTATAGGAGCTCCAATGTTGTAAAATGCAGCGTGTTCATATATGGTTGACGTTGCAGATTTGTAGAGTTGTTCATACAACTTTTTGGAACCGAGTTAGAGACATTCATCAATGGCACCAAATACGACAAGTCGCAAAACTCACTAAATCAACTTTCACGACCTTGGCGATTTCAAGCTGCTTGGTACTCTTGTCAAGACTTTCGCGTAATCCGTTTAGTATCACATCTCGTTTTTCTTCGTCCATTCTTGGCCAAGCATCTGACACTCCTATGCAAAATGACGGAGACTCAGAGGTGAAGGTAAGAGCCTTCTTTTTCTATCGAAACACACTGTCAGGTCATGTCTTCAAAAGTTATGAAACACACAAAAATTCCAGGAACAAACTTGAAGATCCCATAAATGACGATGGAGTTCAGCAGGAGTAGTTTTCGCTTCATGACATATCTAAAACGACAGAAATTGAGACATAGTAATAGGATCGCATTTTAAGTACCACAAACACAAACCTTGACTGTTTCAATCGTCAGTGAGTTAGCAACTTTTGCGCTAGTACTCAGAATCTTATCAACGAAAGAGTCGTTTTCTGCCAATTGAGATAATTGTCCACCAAAGTTGAGCGTATATCTTGCGGGCATATCTACACCGCAAAAAAGCGTCGGCCAAAGATAGGTTGAAATCACCAAAGGCAGAACAAGCTAACTAACCCGCATAGAGCTTGATGGGCGAATTTGGTGCAAGATCTATGTACGTTAACAACGTTCGTAGCACCGTCTCCTTAACATCAAACGATCGCTCCAGTTCAGCAATATCGAGAGCAACTCGTGACACTCCATCCACACCCTTCCTCTTCTTTTGAGGCTCATCTGTATCATCAGAGAGGATTTTGCTCAAGAATCTCCATATGGTAGGCTGATCAACACCTTCTGAATAGGCAAAGCTTCGTAATCTGATATAGTCGTCTTTGCTCACAAAGGCGTGGCAAACTGACTCCAATCCGTCACGTCCGGCGCGACCACATTCTTGAACATAGTTTTCAGTCGAACGTGGTAGAGAATAGTGAATTATGCCACGAACGTCCGATTTGTCCAGTCCCAAACCAAATGCAACTGTTGCAATAACAATTCGCAATTGGCCTGCCATGAATTTTCTCTGGACTTGTGTGCGAGTAGCATCATCGAGACCAGCGTGATAGGCGTCAACTGATAATGAGCGAACTCGAAGATATTGACTGAGACGATCAGCTTGATTCTGGAAGAGAAATACTAATGGGCGAAGTAATCATTTTGTCTGATGGATTTCTTCATCATCGTACCTGATACATGACATAAATGATAATGGAGTTCATTCTGGCAAATACAGGCGTTTTGAGCAATCCCAAAAGAAGAGCATCTCTTGCAACAATTTTGTTCATGTCAGCAATCAGTAGAAGCTGACTCGAACCAGTTCAAGAAACACTCACCGATCATCAGCTTCAGTGATCAACGTTGCCGTCAATCTCAAATTATCAGGCAATACACGATCAGTCATAACACAGTCTTCTTCAGACAGCTCAAGCATTCGACAGACAGCTCGACGTGTACGAGCTGTTGCAGTCGCAGTCAGTCCAAGAATACAAGAACATTCTAGCTCTGTCATGATTGTGCTTTTCAAATAAAGGTATGATTGTCTAAGCAAACGAAAAAGGTTAGAGACAAGCGAAAAATTTACATACCATAATAAAAACCTCACCTGAAGTTGTGAGACCATTCCGATAGACAATGTGCCTCATCAACGCAGGTCAACCAAACAGGTGGCAAGCCTTGAGAAGAGACGACGTCTTTCCATATCTGAGTTTGCAGCCTTTCAGGTGTAACGAAGAGAATGTCGGTGCCTTTTTCAAAGAGCTGCGAGACTGACTCAATAGTCAATGCCTGAAGAAGAACAGTGTCAGATTATGTTTGGGTTCAATAAACGCAAAGGTGGCATTTTGACTTACGGAAGTGTTTCCACTCAAAGTTTCTCCAGAAAGAGCGACAGGAATGCGACGCAATTGATCTTGCAAAAGTGATATTGTCGGTACTACTACCAGCGTAAATCCAGTTTTGGCTTGCTTCAGACGTTTCAAAACATAAGATGGTAGTAGATAGCATAGCGACTTTCCAGTGCCAGTCGGCAATACCACCAAAGTTGAACGACATTCCAAAACACGTTTGATTGCTTCCAGTTGACCTACATATTATACGTGAGGGATGTATCTCGTGAAGCTGAATGTGTTTGGACTCACCATGTCGAAAAGAGTCGAGACCCGTAAAAGACGTTAGTGCCCTGGTAAGATTAACTCGTACACCAGTACAAGTCGGATCTTCCATAAACTTGGATGCTACAGTACAAATTCTAGAGTGTAGGGATTCTATTGAGTTTTTTTCGTCCATCCAGTGCAACAGACTGTAAACATACTCATCGCCTTCTTCGTCATCTGCAGCTAAAATATCGAGTTCAGGTATTGATGTTGGTACATAAGTTGCTGGAGCTGCTGATGGTCCTGCGTAGTCATCGAAATCTTCATCTTGAGCAGCACATCGTTTCTCATGACTATGAAAATACCAATCTAACATTAAGTCGACGGACCAAAAGACACAAATGCCACGGCTACATACTGAGCTGAGAAATTCGTAGAGGGACGGCGAAAACCACTCTTGCCAAATCCACGAAATCCACCTCCTCGAAATCCTCCAGTTCGGAATGCACCACCTCTGGATCTGTTGTTGAAGCGAGCAAACTTGGAAGGCACTACTTGAGTCTTCAATTTAGAACTCTTGGCCTTGGGTTCTTTAGGCTCCTTGGCCTTCTTTGGATCAGCCTCTTTCTTGGAAGTACCCTTCGTACTTTTACGTTTCTGGGTGGGCTCTTTATAGTCATCAGATGCCTTTCCTTTTCTACTGCTTGACTTGCGTGCCTTTTGAGAATCGTCAGAACCTCCATGGTCCTCACTGGCTTCATCAGCTTCCGATTCATCTTCATCACTCTCATCAGATGATACAATACGTTTGGGTCTTTTGCCTTTCTTTCGCAATACAACTGCATCGTCATCATCTAGCAATGCGAAAGGTAAACAGAAATGTGGAGCAAATAAATCTGAAATACGAAACTTACCTTCATCGGTAGCTGCATCAGCTTCTTTTGGCTTCTCTGGTGTAACAGAGTCATCCTGAGCCCAAAAAAACTAATGAGTGTGTGGCTTTATTACTGTCGAGGAATGCAGCACCGACCTCAAATGTCTCGTCATCCTCTTGGTTTGGCTGCTCCTGGATATCTCCATCATCACGAGAGTCTTCTACTGCATCATGTGCAACATCAAGGATTTGCTCATCTCGTTCTGGTATTACAGTTTGAGCATCTGCCTTAAATTGTTTGGGATCTGGATATGTATATTTCGGTAGAAGCTTATTATTGGTGGTAGACAGCGACGAGTAACGGCGAAAGGCGCCATGAAGTAGACTATTGGGTGCAACCACAGCGTCTGAATCTTCGGGTTGAGCAAGGGTTGCTGATCGTGCAAGAGAGGGTTTAGACAGTGCTCTAAACAATGAGCTAAGAGAGGAAGACCAGTCAGTAAACCGAGCTGTAATTCATGACGCATGTCCGCTTACGTTGTCCTATTAGATATTGGTTCATATGTAGGTTTTTTGCGTGTAATCCCATTTTGATGCAATAGGCGTTCAACATAATAACGAGCAGTACTCTGATCATCGGTTTCAACATCATATTCAGCACCCTTATCATCACCGGCTACATCCGATTTTGACAATTGAAGTGAGTTCAGCTTGTTCAATGCTCTGCTAAAGACAGAGATTCGTTGCTGAGAGTTATCAGCGACCAGTGGCTGCGGAAGTTGATCCTTCAATGATTTATGTTCGTTCTCTCTTGTATCTGCAAGTGTAGAAGCTAGAGAATTGACGAATCCAGTACGAATCCGTTTAATGGGTGTTGGATCAATCTCCTCGTCATCGTCATCATCATTTTCATCATCTCCAGCACCTGTATTTAATGATCTAGATATTGTAGTGATGCGAGTAACGGTAGCGGGTTTCGATGGAGTGGCCCTTTTTCGTTTACTAGAAGGGGAGTCTGAACGAGCAGCAGCTTCGTGTGCTGCGCGTCCAGCGGGAATGGTCGTGGTGTTTGGAAGAGGAAACTCGTGATGGTGATTATCTTGAGCTTCTTTTTTCTGCCTTTCTTTCATAATCAGCTTCTTCAATTTAGCATAGCGCCGGTATGCATTGTGTACTTCCTCTATAATAAAACATAGACGATTGAATGTTGATGTTGAACAGAATTGAAAGAAAAACGAAGAGATCGCTTCACGAGACAATATGTCTACCTGTCTGGACGACATCGTCTTTGGTAGGAGCTCTCTTGTGCCTGGCCTGAAACCTACGTTCCCAATCATTCAGCTTGATCTTCAACTTTTCGGCTTCATGCTCAGTTGGAGTCTGTTCTGGCTTTCCAGCGTGATGATCGCTACTGGAAATAGGCTGATTTCCTAACATAGAACTCGATCACACATGTTCCTGAAAACAGAGGGCTCGTTGATGCACAGCTGACGATGCTTTTTGTTTCGCAAAGATCTACAGTTAGTACATCAACACTCTAGGAAAAATCTGGGGAATAATTTAATGGAGTTGCTATTGTACTGCTTCATCTGGAATTATTTATCTAGGTATTGTAAATCACCCTATTTGATCTGTCTTATACATTGCCGCGTTTCGATTCGTTCTTGTCTTAACCTTTGAGCGAGTGAAAGATGAGTTGATATAAGGCACGTCTGTAACAATTACATGCTCTTGGAATCTCATTATAACTAACATTGTATTCCTCGCTCGTCTAGTGGTTCATATGCACCTTGATCACTACTTGTGCTTCGCAGAACGGAAAGTTTTCAAGCTCTAGACAAATCTAAATCTAGTCCTTCTTGATCACGAAAAGCTAAATACGATGAGTCAGAAGGGAAAAAGACCAGCTAGGTAAGACCCGGTCTTAAACCTCTCTGTCTATTCAGTGTTTTCGGTGTCTGTCGAATCCAATAGTTCCTTGTCGTTCCGGTTGATCTTTGACTGATCTTTGAAAAAAATCTAGTGAAGACGCTTCTCCAACGTCGGGAGGAGCTACTATGCCTAAAAGGAAGTTCAAGTGAGTAGGATGTTGTGCTGGAACCAGATTGCAACATTCGCAACAATCCAACCAGCTTTTGATTAGGATTGCACAAATAACAGATGATCACAACCGTCAAGTGAGGATTGATTGGAGTTGGTGTAATATCTATCTACACTTGGTGTTCACCATCTTGAATATAGGTTACTTTCTTGAAACGAAAGGCAGGACTAATGAAGAAAGCATATGAGCTCTCGGTGCTGTGTGATTGCGAAGTCTCCTTGATTATATTTCAAGACTCCAAGATTGTTCAATACAACAGCTCAGACGTTGACAGGATACTCCTGAGATATACTCAGGTTTGTCAGAACGTGTACCATGTCGTTGGACTGTTCGATTAGCTAATCCGAATCTTGCCCTGATAGTACAATGAACCTCATGAGTCACGGACCAATGAAGATGTAGGTTGGACCTTCTGAGCAGACATTCTTTGAGAGGACTTCTAGAAAAGTTATCTTCTACTAGTTTGCCAAATTGACCAAGAGCAACCAAGACGACATGGAAGGAGATTCTGATTCTCCTCGGATTTCCAAATTTGATGACGACAATTCCAGAACAGGAATGAAAACTGCCGAACCAACGTCATCGTAAGTGCCAATTAGTTGAATGTTGTAAACTAGCTGACCTTTGATCAATATTAGAAAAAGAGGTCCCAAAAGCTCTGAAACTAGTCCAAGAGAATCCAAGAAAACGCGTAGATGAATATTTGAAAACACGAAACCACCATAAGTATTACTTCGAAATCGATGTCATATAGAGTTGCCTTCCACAATTTCCAGCGTTATAGCGACGCGGTTTCAGGACGAAATTATACGTCCAAATGCGATTTCATCAGTGCTTGCTTGAAATATCTGTTTGTGTGGGGTGCCAGTGCATGCAACAAGTCAAACTCTACAACACTTGGATCTTAGAGAATGCTTGAAGATGCAGAATGACATCGCGGTCCTCAGCATTGCCAGATCTATCAAGGCTCACAATCTTAGCGGCTCGTCTTCTCCGCTCTCATCCCCGACACGACAATCCTCGTATACCTTTGATCAAGAAGATAATGATCCAACTCGAAACATACCGCACCATGTCCTAAAAGCCATACCGATAACGGCCTCTGCTAAAGTAGATGAAGAGCTTAAAAAGGTCTTCACGCTTTTCCTTCGAGACTACGTCACAGTCTGGTACAATCTGATCTCTGAGGATGAAGATTTCGTCAATGCCGTACTCCACACATATATTCATTTGGTACGAGAATTGGAACGTAGACTCAAAGTAATTGACTGGGTTATGCTGTTGACGCATGATTTGCCTAACGTGCTACGCCGTCACGTAAACGATTATCGAATGTGTAAGGATAAACTAGGATCTACATACGCAGGAGGCAAATCTCTGGAGGAATTGTTTCATGGAACGCAGCCTCATATTGCACTTGAGTCTCCAGAGGCTGAAGAAGAGTATCTGAGAAGAACTGCTGAAAAGTTGACTCAGGTGCTGTTTCCACTATTTGAGAGAAAGTGTGAGATCGTTAGAGTCTTGCTTCGGGAGATGCTAGGGTCGTGTACCCTGCATTTTAGCTTTAATTCGGTCTCAGAGCCAGATTATATCAACCAGTTGCTCTTGACGGTAAGAGTGTGTTGTGCGAATATGTCAACACGGAGTCGATTTCTGTTTTTGCAAGTTCAACACTTGATGCTTATACCCATAGTTTCGCAATTCCTAGCTGCTCGGTGGTGACGAGGAGGGCACCGAGACTCCGGTGTGTTCAGAGATATCAACGCCAGCTCATCCGTATGCAGGGCTGGGCAATCTCGTCAAAACAAAATCATCACGTAATCTATCCAGACAATCTCTGCCCATGAATCCTATGGATCATAGAATGAATAGTCGCTTGTCTGGTGAATCTCAACGAGGCTTGTTCGGTGTTTTGAAACGTAATCGTCCAAAACGAACCAACAAGGCTCTAGTCGCTTCTGGTCGTATAACAAACACTATTGTGACTGGAATCAAGGGACTTGCACATGGTGGACTCGAGCGGGTCTCGAGCTCAATAGATCGAATCAAGAATATATTGCCGAATGATTCCAAAGATATTCAAAATCGTGACCGTCGTGGTAAAACAACTCGTCAGTCGACAGATCTCATGATGGATGACGCATGGAAGGCCACACATGCTCTAAATAATAATAGTAGCGATGGTGGTGATGACCTCATATGGAATGGTGGCTCGTGGTCTGTGAATGACTCCAATAATGATGGTGATTCTTATAACAAGCCACGTAGAAAATTTCGTAAACAGAGTCCAAGTCGACAGCTATCATCAGACTCGGACTGGTCTGATCGAGTCAACCCTCTCAATATAAGACGACGAAATCGATCCAACAGCCCTACCAAAGTAAACAACAACCCATCACTAACACCACCAACATGGTCTGACTCGGCCTTACGCCTAGTAAACGATTCTCCCAGGATCGGAATCATAACCACAGCAGGTCCTTCAGATCATATGAGACCTTCACCATCACTTATACCAGCACCGTCATTCAAAACATGGGAAGGAAGTCGAACGCCAACGCAAGAAGAGTTTGGTGTACCTGAGGTAAAATTCAATCCGCCATCTCCAGAACAGTATGACAGAAATACTGGTTCCGATGATGACGATGAAGATACTCCCTTATACGATGCTCAAGAAGACATACAATCTCCTATGGGGACGATACCCGATGTAGTTGTTGAGGAAGAAGAAGCAGACGACGAAGTAGGAGACTCGCCTACAACTGTTGATTTAGATGAACAACAACAATCAACAGGAATGTTGTGGGAGTGGTTTGGTGAATTGATAAATCAGCTGCATCTCATATACCAGGATATGACTTCAGGGCCATGGCGGCTTGGTCCTATAGATACATCAAGATATAGTGGTCTCTGTCTTCATGAGCCTGTTGCTGAACTCTTTCGAGACGTGGTTAAAGATGTTCAAGAAGGCATACAATGGACTCGTTGGTCACTTGTGTCGTTTACTCGACCTTTTGTGCGCTCTGTTCTGTCACCAGTCATAAATCGGTACGATTTCCACCTTCGCCATGATTCCCCGGTTTTTACTGAGTGTAAGGTTTCTGATCAATTCAACCAATTTCTTTAGAGCCATCTTGTGGGGTGTTTATAGATGCATTGAGGAAGATAGTGTAGCGGGATATCTCAAGAACTTTCGTGATTCGTTCTGGCCTGATGGAGTGCTTGCTACAGAACCTCTCCCAAGAAGTCGAATAGAGTCGGCAATGACAAAAACTGAAGTAGAGGCCAGACTCAAAGCATGCGTCCCACGTAAGTATTCTGTTTCGTTGCTGTCTGCAATGTCACGTTTCCTCTCTCGTACTTCAGTTTTTCGATCATCTTCGTTGAACTTATATTTTTATAGCTGTCCTTAAGACCTTAATTGGCCAAGAAGCTGCTGACGATAGACTTATGCTAATGCTCGAAGCACTGCAGAACAAAGAGATAAACAAACATCTGATGTTTGTGATGTTGGACTTAGTCCTAAATCGTCTGTTTCCAGAGCTGTAAAAGAAATGTAATAGCACACGTATATATATCTTGCATCATATATTTCATTTTTAAGTTCTGTATTTATAGTAAAACAGAGGTCTCTCTTATCTTTATGCAAATAAGCCATAATCTACAATAGTAAATGATTTGACGACAGCTTGAAAATTGGTGAGCGCGACTTGAGCAGGTACAGTTGTTGCACGTTCTATCGTCGTTGACGAAGAACGAGCATCAATTTCGATAGGGTGGTTGTATGATATTAGAATATCAGTATTTTCTCGTGCCAGCCTGATTACAGCCACGTAAATGTTGACTGTGTTTGGTACCGTTTCGTTGAATTTTGCGATTTTTTGAGTGCCTATGGCGATGGATACCGATTCTCCGGTTCTGTACAGAGTAAGATGGGATTAGAATGGTGGAAGATGATTTGATCTGCACGATTTTCAACCAGAACACTCCAGCAAAAAACCGTACCGTAGGTTTGGCAAGTCAATTCCAGCCCGTAAATTTTCTATAGATCCCAAAGCAGACTCAATAGCATCATTATCATCTGCCAATTGCTGGAAATGAAACCTAAAGGTGTCCAACAAAAGTCTTGAGCTTCACTCTGTGTGTTTTAATGTAGACCAAACACTCACTGAGCAGGGATTTCAGAGATGTGATCAGCAGGCGATTCTAATATTTCGATACTGATCGACTCATCGGTAGCAGGACTGGCATATACAGTTTGATTGTCTGGCACCTGACGGATTTCGCTAACATTTTTGGCACCAAGTCAGCTTAGAGCGTCAAAGCACGATATGAAGAACACGAATCCAATTAATTCACCTAACATCGTCAAATCCTTGCGGTATCCATACGCGTATTGCACCTCCAAATAACTCTTGGTGAGCTTCGTTTGCTACAACCATTTGATCTTGGATGCTATACAAAATTCTTTTCAAGCGTCTTTATAGATACATTTACGAGTTCGGGAATCTTTCATTTTTATACGCTGCTCTCTATGTATATAACCTGTTTATGAATCATCACCAATCTTCGGTGCCAAGTAGTAACTGTTCAGCAAAAAATTGATTAGATCTCTGTATTAAACGATATTATTGCAAATGATAATTACCGAATATGCCCCTCATCGGAAACCTTGTACTCTACCAGAAGAGGTACTTCGTTTGACATGGATAGAGTAACAGCCTTTGAGAGCGAAGTTGCCTTTGTAAAGTTGACCAAATACTTTAGAGAAAAGGTCAAGGTCACATTAGATTGCAACTCGATTTCGGTAGGAACATCGTCCTCCTTGTCTGCAGATCCTCCACCAGCTTTGAGAGTCACGTTTCCGTTACCAATATCACCATTCGCAGTAAACTTGACGCTTTCTTTGGTGGCCTCGATAATTACTGTGATGAAATAGAGGATTAATTGAAATTTCGAATTGCGAATCATAAACTTGAGACTAGTTTGTATATACCAGATTCACTCAATTGCATCAAGTCACGGCAAATACGTTGGAATTCCGTAGACGACATCTTTATGGATGCTTCATAGTTTGTTTCAGGGATACCCAAATGTTCGCTGTCAATATCCATGAGTTTGAGTTCATATTCACTGACTCTATCTTGATCTAAGGATGGAATGTAGGACGTCAGTCACTTTGCGCAGCCCCAATTATTTGAATAGGAACTCATCCAAACCCCAAGCTTTCATGATAGAACGATGATGAAGTGGGATTATAATTGATACTTACTGTTATTCTCAAAAGTCAAACTGAGAGTATCTTGTTGGTCGTCAGCCTTAATTGTGAGGACATCGTCATTTGCAGCACATTTCATGATTTTGCCCAACGAGGCCAAGTTGATTCCAATAGAGAGATTTCTGTCACATCGGAACGGATCAAACATGCCGGCCTTCAATGACAGAATGACCAATGCAACATGGGAATTGTCCATTGCTTGCAAATTAATTCCATTGTCGTTACAATCAAAGTTGGCATCTGATACCAAGTCCTTGATGGAATCAAGTACCTTTTTGAATACGGCGGATTGACCTAATCGTGCTTCTAACATGTTTGGTTCACTTGTTCGTTCTCGTTCTCGTTTTACAGTTTTGCTGGGTTAGTGCGATGAGTTTTTGATGGGAGACTCAACTGTGACTTCGCATTCGACCAAACACGAAACGCGTCGAAACTTTGACATTTACGTGTGAATTGAACTCATATGATAGATTGCAATATAATTCGTCGTGATCTATTAAAACGGACATGTTTTCAAGGCCTATCTATGAGAGCAAAAGCGTAACGACTTCACAGTTTCGCCACGGGGAGACCAGTTCCAGTAACCCTCTTGATAACATCATCTGTATATTTCATCAGCCCTGCCACAACTTTGGGATCGTTGGCAAGAGGGCTAATCGGACATTGCTTGATTGTTTCATCCTAATTCAAACCGTTGATGAATGAGTGGTCGCGTAATGTGATCGTTTCATGAAATGGAATGCGAAAAGAACGAGCGCATAATCCCGCATACTTACATAGTATTTGCCATGGATCTGCATCTGGATTACATCAGGAGATGTCGAAAGCCATACTTGGTTGATCGCTCCCTTGATGGTTTGAAACTAGTCAGCCTCCAGAGATACAGCGTTTTATCCCTAACTTACATCTGAAACAGTCTTTCCAAACAGAGGAGCAGCAATTTTCCCCAAGAACGCAAACACGCCGCCCTGGATTTCAAAAAGTTGGTTAGCACATAAAGATCTTACAGCGTCCAAGGTTGGATATTAACCCACCGTTGCCTTTCCTTGAATGTCAGTCTTGACAAACCCTGGATTCAAAGAATTGACAAAAACTGTATCTCCAATTATCTTTTGGAACTCCATAGCAAAAATGGTGTTTGCGAGTTTGCTTTCACAATATGCGGCAAGGCCAGAATATTTTGCAGCAACAAGACTCTCCGGGCCGCCCCATGTGGTGTTCCTTGCAAATGTATGAGCACTGCTGGAGAGAATGACAACTCTTGATGGCGCAGATGCCTTCAACACATCGGCGAGCAAATAGCACATGTACGCGCCAGAGATATGGTTTACGAAGAGCTGGTGGTCCACACCGTGAATTGGTGAGAAGGGTACCATGTAGACACCAGCGTTCAAATGGAGCACATCCAGTTTCAACCCTCGTGCCTTGAAAGCTGTCACGAATTGCTCAATCTAGTATGTTATCAATTGTCAGCTTTGGAACATATTGTGTCCTGTACCAAATGACGTACCGATTTCAAGTCAGCTTGATCAAAGACTGCTGGTTCTAATATTCCGTTGGGCGTAACGGCTCGAATTTTAGCAATTGTTTCCTGACCACGAGCTTCACTCCTGACTCCGAGAAACAGATGCGCATTCTTTTTGGCGAGCTGGATGGCACTTTCAAGTCCTAGTCCCGCCGCTAAGATGTGAAAGATCAGGCATCTCGATGTTATTATGGTTTTCGCCGAGATGACAGGGAATTCGGCAATACTGGATTACTTACATGCACCAGTGATGATCATCACTTTGCCAGACTGGTCAGGAATATCAGCATAAGTCCACTTTGCCATAATGTCGTTCTATCGTTTCTACAAGTGCTAGTGACGTGTCGGTTTGAATGTCTTTCTTTGTAATTGTTTGGGGGCTTTGGCGCAAGTCGTTCTAGGTTCATCACTTACCTGGGTGTCAAAAATGTCTATAGGCTTCCTTCACTCCGTTCTATGCGTGCTTCTACAGTGATCTTCGTGAGTCTGTGTTTGCGAATTCAACATTTCGAACTCAGCTCACCAGGTTTCGCGTTCGCGTCTTTTAACAGTTGAAACAGGCTGCCTACAGAATATTTCTTTCGCGTGGGATAACTGTCGCCAGCGATGCAAGGTAGTCCAAGTGATATTGTGTATTTCGTACATGTTACTCGATGATGGAGTGCGAGCACTAAAAGACTAGCTGACTTTGGAATGAATTCATATACATAATTTGAGGTGTAATGCCCGTTGATCAATAGAGAACACGTGGGCTCGTAACGTTGTGCATCAAACCAATGCTTAGTCTTTCACCACGGGGAGATCAGCTCCTGTAACCCTCTTGATAACATCGTCAGTGTATTTCATAAGCTCGGCGACGACTTTCGGATCTTTGGCGAGAGGGTTTGGTTCAGTTTGCTTAATTCTGCCAGCCTAGTTGAAAATGGTAGGGTAAGTGTTACGCGTCGTACACCTTTAATCTACACGAATCATCTTTCACTTACATAGTATTTGCCATGAATCTGTTGATTTACTACGTCAGCAGACGTAGAGAGCCAAACTTGGTTGATAGCTCCCTTTGAATGACACGTGTCAGCATGAGATACAGAGAAAGCACTTCCTTTTGTTACTCTTACCTCTTCAACGGTCTTTCCAATTAAAGGGACAAGCGCTTTAATCACAAAGGCAATCACACCGCCCTTAATTGTAAACTATGGTGAGGCCAATCCTCGCAAAGACACAAATTATTCGGACATGAAAAAAGTCCCACATATAAACACACCTGAGCTTTTCCCTGAATATCAGTATTCACCATCCCAGGATCCAACGAGTTGACGAACACATTATCCCCAACCATCTTTTGGAATTCTATTGCGAAAATTGTATTCGCGAGTTTTGATTCGCAGTAAGCGCCGTATCCAGAGTAGGTGGTTTCAGTTAGAAGCCCTGGACCGCCCCATGACGTCTTCTTTGGTGACAGATGCGACTGGCTTGAGAGAAGGACAACTCGTGATGGCGCAGAGACCTTCAACACATCAGCAAGCAAGTAGCACATATAGGCGTGCGAGATGTGGTTTACGAATAGTTGGCGGTCCACCCCCTCGATTGGGGAGAAGGGAGTTATGAATACGCCAGCGTTTAGTAGCAAGACATCCAGTTTTAAACCCTTTGCCTTGAATGCAGTCACAAAGGTGTCAACCTGCAGGTGAAAATGAAGGTATAAGCAACTGAGCGTTTAAGCAGCTCTGCCTTGGATGAAACTACGTGCAGATTTCAGATCTGCTTGATCAAAGACCGCTGGCTCCAATATTCCATTGGGCGTAACGGCTCGAATTTTGGCAATTGTTTCCTGACCACGAGCATCGCTTCTGACCCCAAGTAGTATATGAGCATTCTTAGTTGCAAGCTGAATAGCACTTTGGAGACCCAGTCCAGCAGCTATGCGTGTGAAAGATCAGCAAGCTTGAAATCGTTATGCATGCATGTATAACAATGGGCTCGAAAATGATAAGGACAAACTTACATGCACCAGTAATGATTATGACTTTGCCCGACTGATCAGGAATATCAGCAAACGTCCACTTGGCCATATTGTGGTTCTTTCTCGCTCGTTCTCTAAATGAGGGGAAAGTTCTGCGTGTGAGTTGGATGTATTTCTTAACGCCCTTTTGAGCTATGTAGATCATTCACCTACCTGAGCGCTCCTTCGCTGTCCTTTACAGTGTCCAAAAATGTGTGACCGTGAAGCTCATGCGGGGGATGGCCTTTTAAAAAACACCGAATCAAACATTTCGAATCAACGTCAAACATTTTAAAATGCCGGAAATGGCCAGCATGAGACCGCATTCCGCATTCATACGATATTATAGACCGCAACGCAACGTTGCCAACAAATCAAGCAAGAGAATAAACACCTATTATTGCGTCGAATACAGAGATCCGCCTTCCATCGGATACTCCCGCTCCAATATTTGAATATGGAAGATGAATATGGAAGATGAATAAATTTACATATGAGCAGAAACTGCAACACGTCTATACATGCGGCATGGGGAGATCAGTTCCAGTAACCCGCTTGATGACATCGTGAGTGTATTTCATAAGCTCTGATACGACCTTTGCGTCTTTTGCAAGAGGATTCGTTTCTGATTGCTGGATTCTTCCAGACTATATCAAATGTTGAGTGTTATCCGTGAAACTAGCTACATGAAGACTCACAAAAACTTCGTAATTCCGCAGATGGTTGCCAACGTACATAGTATTTGCCATGAATTTTTTGTTCTATTACTTCAGACGATGCGGAAAGCCATACTTGATTGATAGCGCCCTGGATGATAAAAACGAGTTAACTTCACATCGAAGGGATGTAGCCAGATCGGGCCACTCACCTCTGAAACAGTCTTTGCGAACACAGGAGCTAGGATTCTAGACATGAACGCAACGATTCCTCCCTTGATAAAGTCCAACTTTTCAGTCACTAGACCGTTCGTTCGTTGCCTTGAGCAAATGTTTCAAGCTTTAACCGACCTGAGCTTTCGCTTGAGCATCAGTCGAAACAAATCCCGGATCCACGATATTTACAGACACAGTGTTTCCAACCATCTTTTGGAACTCAGTAGCAAATATGACATTCGCCAGTTTTGATTCATTGTAAGCGTTGAACCCAGAGTAAATTGTCTCAACAAGGTTGTCTGAACTACCCCACGAGACGTGCCTTGCAGCGAGATGAAGACTGCTGGAGAGAATGACGACTCGTGATGGTGCAGATACCTTCAGAACATCGGCAAGGAGATATGTCATGTATGTGTGAGAGATGTGGTTTACGAAGAGCTGGCGATCTACACCGTCGACTGGGGAGAAGGGCACCATACAAATACCAGCGTTCAACAGCAAAACATCAAGTTTCAACCCTCGTGCTTTGAATGCAATCACAAAGGTCTGGATCCGTGAAAACAAAGCAAGCATGAGTAACTGAATCTCATGGAATATCAATGCGATCGCATTCTGTCTAAAATTTCGTACCGATTTCATATCAGCTTGATCAAAGACTGCTGGTTCTAGAATTCCATTGGGCGTGACTGCTCGAATTTTGTATATAGTGTCCTGCCCACGAGCATCACTTCTGACTCCAAGAAATATATGAGCATTCTTCTTTGCCAGCTGAATAGCACTTTCGAGTCCAAGGCCAGCAGCTATTGTTGAAGAGATCAGAACTTTTGAAATGTATGGTTTTAGTAGCAGAGCTCAGAATCGGGAATACTTACATGCACCGGTAATGAAGATGATTTTGCCCGACTGGTCCGGGATATCAAAGTAAGTCCATTTTGTCATAACGTTGCCGTTTCTGTCCAACCAGGAAATTGATCGTAAGTTTACTGTTTTTCGTGGTATGCTTTGAGAAGTTTGGGCACGTCTTTCAACTGAGCACTTGCTTGAGTCAACAATTGTCACTGTAGTGCTCCTTGACTCCTTTGCAACGTGTTCTTCGTGTGATATTCGTTGCTGTGTGTTTCCCATTTCGGAACCTCCAACGGATGTCTCGCATCGCCCTCGCTGTCCTGCTTGAAATAGGCGATTCCAGGAGATCACCATCGATATGATATTCCAGTTTGCAAGACAATGTCGCCAACAATGCGGCAAAACGTACAAACAAGCGTTGCGTCGTTCGAACATACTCAGATGTGACATTCCGCTGTCATAAAGCCTCTGCATCTGATTTTCGATAGAATTAATACATAAAATGGCAGTTATAAGTAATACGTAACACCGGTCCAGCTTCTCAAGGGGGTCTCACGGTGCAACACTGTCATCGTTGCGCCATCGGGAATTCAGATCCAGTAACCCTCCTAATAACATCATTAGTATATTTCATGAGCCCCGCTACAACTTTGGGATCCTCGGCAAGAGGATTGACTGGGATTTGCTTGATTCCATCAGACTAGTCACACGTTGATGATTAGTGACATAAAGGGGTTTGATCATAACGTAATTAATCATGTACTCACAAAGTATTTGCCATGGATCTGCTGACTTATGACATCAGGCGATGTGGAAAGCCATACTTGATTTATGGCACCCTATATATGTTGGACCAAGTCGTCAGGAGATGCAAGTAATAAAGCTACATGGGGGCGCTCACGTCTTCAACGCTCTTTCCAAAGAAGGGAGCTACAATCCAAGCAAAAACCGCTATTAGTCCACCCTATCGGTTTGGATTGTACGTGATTGAACAAACCGTCGACAAGTAATTCAGTCAAAACATTGCGGCAGACCTGAGCTTTTCCCTGAATATCAGTTTTGACAAATCCCGGATCCACAGAATTAACAAACACGGTATCTCCAATCATCTTCTGGAACTGTGTTGCGAAGATAGCATTTGCCAGTTTGGACTCGTAATATGCAGGGAAGCTAGAGTAACTTTCGGCCAGAAGGGTCTCTGGATCACCCCACGAGACCTTCTTTGCGAATGTATGAGCACTGCTGGAGAGAATTACCACCCTTGATGGTGCAGATGCCTTCAACACATCCGCGAGCATGTAGCACATGTACGCGTCTGAGATGTGATTAATGAATAACTGGCGATCCACACCTTCGATTGGCGAGAAGGGTGTCATACAAACACCAGCATTCAATAGCAAGACATCAAGTTTCAACCCTAGTGCCTTAAACGCAGTGATAAACATCTCAATCTAAAGTAAGTTTGGATTATCAGCTTTGCAATGCATTGCGGCCTTTCTGGTGCCATAGTGCGTACAGATTTTAGATCAGCCTGATCGAAGACTGCCAGTTCCAACACTCCACTCTTCGTTGCAGCTCGAATTTTGCCGATTGTTTCTTGACCACGAGCGCCACTCCTCACTCCAAGAAAGACATGCGCATTCTTTTTCGCGAGCTGAATGGCACTTTCGAGTCCTAGCCCAGCAGCTATCGTCAAAGGTGGTCAGCGTGCAATGTCATTGTTGTGATCTACGCAGAGGTTGATGCCAATGAGAAGAAAGAGACCGTGCTTACATGCACCAGTAATGATTATGATTTTCCCAGACAGGTCGGGAACATCGTCATACGTCCACTTTGCCATATTGTCGTTCTTCTTGTGGGTTCAAATCAGCGAAAGTCGTGCCAGTTTGATTTTTTCGTGTACCTTTGGAGACTTAGTGCGTCTTTCATAATGTGCATCACTTACCTGGGAGTACAATTAAGTCCACGGTACTCCTTCTCTGCTTTCGCCAGGGGGTCGTGAGTGTTCTGATATTCTGCGTCTGTTATATTTACAACATGCAAACTTGTCACATATCAATCTCAGCCTCTTTCAACAGTCCAAAATATCCACAAGATCGCGATCAATACAGTATCCGAGCAAATGACGGGCAAAGCAATCTTCTGGAACGATCTCAAACCGGAACAAACACGTCTTGCGTCTAACGCAGGAATGAGCGCCTTTCAGCTGATTTTCTGACTAGCTCTACATTGAATTCAGACAAACGTTGACATGTAGTGCCTGGCGACAATACAAATCAAAAACTTCCCACAGTTCTACAAGACAGCAAACGTATGACACCATCAACGTTGCTTCACGGTGAAATCCGCTCCAGTTACCCGCTTGATCACATCATTGGTGAATTTCATTAGCTCTGCCACGACTTTGGGATCATTGGCGAGAGCATTTGGCTCGCCTTGCTGAATCCTTGCAGTCTAGTTAAAACGGTCATGAGATACGTGACTCTAGCTATATGAAGATGCTGCAGCTCGTTTTTAGCATTTGCTGTTTACTTACATAGTACTTGCCGTGGATCTCCTTGTCTACTACATCTGGCGAGGTGGAAGCCCATAGTTGATTAATAGCACCCTTGACAATCCAAGCGAGTCAGACTTACATACGAAGGAGCTCAAACAGGCTAGAGACACTTACCTCCTCAACAGTCTTTGCAAAGAATGGAGCCAAAATCCTAGACATAAAGGCAAACATTCCACCTCCAGCCTTCGCTTGAATATCGGTCATAACAAACCCCGGATCAACCACATTTACAAATACATTATCCCCAACCTTATTCTGGAATTCGGTAGCAAAAATTATATTTGCCAGTTTAGATTCACAGTAAGCATCATATCCAGAGTAGCTGGCAGCAGCCAGAAGCTTGGGACCACCCCATGAGGTATTCTTTGCAGCCATGTGCATGCTGCTAGACAGGAGGACGACTCTTGATTGTGCGTTTGCCGTCAGAGCATCAGCAAGGAGGTAGGCGAGATATGCGTGCGAGATGTGGTTTACAAAGAGCTGGCGATCCACCCCTTCGACTGGCGAAAAAGGTATCATACAGACTCCAGCATTCAAGAGTAGGACATCCAGTTGTAATGCTCGTGCTTTGAAGGCCGTCACAAAGGTCTCAATCTAAGAACGGAGTGAATTTGGCGTGTTAGAGTGGTCCGTGTACGAACCCTTGGAATTGGGATGTGATCAAACATCCGCAATGTCCCAAAGTACGTACAGATTTCAGATCAGCTTGATCAAAGACAGCCAGCTCCAGCAATCCACATTTCGTCGCAGCTCGAATTTTGCCGATAGTTTCTTGACCACGAGCATCACTTCTGACTCCCAGGAAAATATGTGCACTCCTAGTTGCCAGCTGAATAGCACTTTCGAGCCCTAGGCCAGCCGCTATCGTGAAAGAGATCAGAACCTCTTGCAAATGTTGTGGCAGTGTGGGACCAGGGTCGAGATTTGATGACCACGTACATGCGCCAGTGATGATCACGACTTTTCCAGACATGTCAGGAATATCACCATAAGTCCACTCTGCCATGTTGTTGTTTCTTGTTGGTTTCTAACGAGAAAATTCAAGTGATAATGTTAGTTTGGGGGGTTTGTCGTGTTTTTGGGCCATTTTGCGCACTTAGTTTAGTTAAGTACTTACCTGGATTAACGAATAAGACTATAGTGCCTCTTCACCCCTTCTCAAGCGTGTTTCTGTATATATATAGATATGCGTTTTTATGTTTGCACCAAACTCATCCTTGCAAACAATGTCTCGCATCAGCCTCTTTCGAAACCTCAAAGTAGCAGCTTCCAGGAGGCCGCCATGTATACGATATTCTAGCACAGAAGCAGCAAAGGAGCCATCGCCAATAATGCAAGCTGTTTCCAGAGAACAAACAGAGATCGTGTATTCAGTCTTACATCGCTTACGGAGATCTGCCTTCCCACTAATGCTCTGGCTGACTTTGGGATCTATAGCTTTAGAGCTTCGATGGGCACGCAATGATTACCGTGAATACAGACAGGATGTGACATCACGAACGAGACATTTGGAACGTGAATTGGAAATGTGGAGGAGTAAAGTTTTGGGAATAGAGTCCCCCGAAGCATTAGAAACCACTGTCACGGCTGTGGTTGAGCCTCTTGAGATTGTCAAGGTGGTAGAAGTCGCTAATTCGGAAAAGGCCGTAACTGACGCTTCCACTTCCACTGCATCAACACCACCAGCTAGTGAGTTTGGGTAAAAGAATCATCTCCGATCTGCTGCTACGTTGATGACGTCTCGTTCTACGCTCGCTAACATCTTTCTCATCCAGAAACTGTAATATACTAGAACCACACAGCACAACCAACTTTACAAACTGTACATGATGCACTTCTTTAGAGATATATATTCACTACTATTCACTAGACAATCGAACTTGAGAAAGCGTGTCAGGCCTCTTGGTTTTAGAGAGCTGCATCAGTACAGCTCGTCCATAGTCAGATTGATGTAGATTTGCAGCCATCAAAGCTTCTGATATCCTCACTCGTTTATCAGCCATAATTTGATCCACTGAGAAAGAGTTCATGCTAAATAGTGGCCTCGCATCCTCTGCTTGTGCTGATGATGCTACTGTTGGTGAGATGACTCTGGTCCAATCGCTAGAAAGGAGACGAAGGAGACGTCGGGATTAGTCAGCCCAGGTCAGAGAATGAAGGGAATATGAAATACCTCTCAACAGAAACAGCTACTGAGTCACGCAAGGCTTGCAGCTTGGCCTCAAGTTGCTTCTTTCGAGTAGCAGCTTCTTCCTCCAGCTGTTGCTGATTTTTGATTTTCTGCACAATGAGCTCGGAGCGATGCTCTACCTTTGGCTTGTTTTTCTATCATGACATATCAATCGGATGTGAGACCGTGCTCTAAGAGTAGGCAAACGATATTCACATACTTTGATTTCAGCCGCTTTGAGAGAAGCAGCCAGTTTCAATTCTTGCTCTCGTTTCAACTGGAAGACATGCTTCTCGACTTCTTGGGAGTTCTTGAACGCAGACAGTTTCTTCCTTGCGGCATCTCGAACTCGACGTTCCTCTTTAGCTGTCAATTCACTCAGATAACGTTCTTTTTCCATTTTGGCTTCACGTTGGGCCTCTATCTGTCTGATTTGCACTAATTTGGCTTTACGTAAGCCGTCCAACCGTTTGGAAATTTCGAGACTCTTTTGTTTCTGATTGACCAGTTCTGTGAGTCGCTTCTCGGCTTCGAGCATCTCTCCATCGCTGTCTTTCAATAGGTTCAAAGTGTCTGTAACAAAGTCGTCCGTATTTTTCTGGAAGGCTCTACGTATTCGTGCCTTCTCTGTCTGCAAGAAATCGGTTCGAGAGAGCACATCATAGGCATCCTGATAATAATATGAAAGGTCAGATTTATTTGCTGGTTATTTGTTTTGAAAGAGCCAGAACGTTTACCGATATTTCTTGCTTGGACTTGAAGACCCCTTCATCCTCAAGACGAGATAAAATCCATGGAAACTTGCCGTGTGGGACATGTCGAGACATGTCCATCAGACGTTTTAGAGTCGAAACTTGGTCGGTTGACCAGGTAGGCAATTGAAGCTCCTGAAGAGATCGGGAGACCTTGTCCAGCTGATCACAATACGACTGCTCCAAGTGATTCAGCTGCTGTATGTGCCATAAACCCAAGTTTGAATCTCGCCATGGAAGTTCTCGAAGCTCACAGACGAGTCCTTGGTACGTCACCCACGGATTGGTATTAACGTGCGAGACCAGGAAGTGGCTGCGATCTTCTAGGTCGTTGGAAATTGCTACGATACTCTTGTCGTCCTGCAAAATGGGTAGCGGTTATTGAGGTGGTCCTCAATAAGACAGGGGGAATGAAGTCGTACCTCTTCTATCAGAGTTTCCGCTTCGATTCGTGCTTTCGCCACTTGAGCTTGACTATCTGTACTGTCTGATTTCGATAAGAAATCTGCGAGCAATCGTCGATATGTTGCTTCCTCTGAGGCGAGAGCTTCGGATGCATGACTCATTGAATGAGAGACGCTTTCGAGGACATCAGCATCTGCTGAATCAGGATCCAAGTCCAGAAATCTCATGAGTGCATTGTGAATTTCGACTTCAAAAGAAGATCTGGGAAGCGAAAGATATTATGCGTTAGAAATTGTGTGATTCGTTATCAAACACACAGCGTAGATCTCACGCGACAGAGTTCAATCTCTGGAATTCCGAAGTCCATATATCTTGATTTTCCTCATTCTGTGATCGAATCTTGCGAATCTTGCACAAGCGTTCCAGTTCATCCACTTTTTTGGTGTCTGCTTCGGCAGCACTTGCCAAACTTTGCACGAGTTCGAGTTTCTGGTCCAGAGAACCCGCGGGAACTCGTATAATCTTGTTGATCTTGGGTTTGGTTCTTGATGCGACCATCCTGCCAACTGCTTCATGAAGCACAACCTTTAAAAGTGATGAGCAAAGTTCCGGCAACAAATAGTAATCAACAGCAGCAACAGGCAGCGCCTGCGCAAAGCGGAGCATCATCTCCACTACAAAATCAGCCTACCAAACAGCCTCGAATACCATTCACGGAGATACCTGATAGTCAGAAAGCCTATCCTCGCAATTCGCATCCAACAACAGGATCAATCGAGTCTGCTATCAGGAGCACTCTACCTCCAAAACCTCAACGGCGGTATGGATTTTCTCTTGGATTGGGTAAAACTGGGTCTATAATACAGCTTTCGTTCGCATTGTTCGTTGGTGTGGGAGCTGCATTGTTTCTCGCAAACGCTATGGTCGTGTATGATAAAGTGAGTTTGGAAATGATAGATCATGCTGTCAATGGACTCGTTTTGCTGCACTTCTACTGTTGCTAGTCTCTGTTATGGACGAACTCTCATGATGGTTTTTTTCTTGAACTCATAGGAAGAGTATATACGGAAGCTTCTTGATGAACGTAAGCGGCTAAGGGAGGAATTAAAGCCACTATCAGCTCCATGAGGCTCGGATGGTTGACTTGTATATAACACTACCATGTATTTCTCGACCTCACGTATCGTTGATTTTATAAATATTCATTTCCAAGTCAAGATCTACTCGATACAGTTGAATACGTTTTTAACTAATGGTGCTCTCGTGCTGTTGGTTGAGCAGGATTTGCCTATTGACGGAACAAACAACGTGAGTATATGACGGCAGGATTGGAAGCATTCAACATTGCTTCTTACCAGGGCAGCAATCAATTCAGCATATCTACTTCGTATCTCTTCAGGTTTACCAGCAGCAATCCAACTCTCAATAACTTTGGCATCTAGGAGCCCTTGCTGTTGAGCAGGCTCTTGTGCCGCACCCAAGCTCAATTCTAAACCCTCAAGAGTTTTCATTCGACAACCCATCAGTACCATTTTAAGAGCTGCATTGGCCTTGTCACCACCTCGTCCTCCATACGATATCACGAAGGTTGGCTTTCCAGCCCATTCGTGAAATAAATGGTCTATGCCTATCTTGACTACAGCTGGATAAGACCAATTATATTGCGGAGTGAGGAATATCAAGCCACTGTAGCTTTGTATGAGTTTCGACCATGCATTTACAGCTACGTCTTGATACGGTGAGCTGTCGGGTGTTGGTTTTTGATATGCCGGAATTACAGATCCAGATGGCGAGACAGGTAGTGGATGATCTATTAGGTCCAGGATTGACAATTCAAAACCTGGTGTTGTGGGAAGCTGTTCCTTGATGAATTTGGCAATCAGAGGGCCAACTCTTGGACTTCTGGTAGAGCATATCAGTAGCGCGATCTTGATGTCAGGCATATTTCCGGATGATGACAATGATTTGCGTATTTGCTACCTAGTTGTGAATGCACAATGTCAGAAATTAATTCAAACAAATGTAACATTATCACTGCGAGAGCCAAAAATCCAAACGGTTCTCTTGTTCTCTCACTTAGTAACTTAAGTTCTGTGACTGAAAACGTTATGATGCTCCGAAACTCAGCAGATGCAACCCTCTTTTATAGGTGCTTCCTACAACACGAAAACACAGGGCAGTTCTACGTGGCAAGATCACCGTTCACTACGATTAAAACTGGGCCAACCGTTTGACGTGGACTTCTACAATTCAATGGCAGCAGCTTGGAGAACATCAGTTAGGTCATCGGTTCACATTCTCATACCATCACATCCCCAAATCGATCAAATCAGAGCACTGCACGACAAAAGCAATCTAAGATGGCCCTCACATATAAATCTGCTCTATCCATTTACCGAGACACGTGTCTCGGAATGTGCTGAAGCTATAAGAGCTGAGTTGACACAGTTTGCACAATTCACTTTGACCTGTCGCAAGTTTAGCTGGTTTGAACATGACAATTCGTGGACTGTCTACTTGGAAATCGATACTGGCGAGGGATTGGATCGGCTTATGTTGCTACAACAACGGCTGTTTACTCTCTTCCCTTGGTCCAACTCCCTGAATGAACTGGTATGATACTGCTGCTATGCTATACTTCGGATCTGTTACTTTGACTCGCTTTCTCAATAGGTTGGCTCTCGTGGATATGTCCCTCATCTAACTGTAGCATGGGTCGCAAAAGGAAATAGTGTCAAAGTCGAAGAATTCGTAGAGAAAATTGCAGTTGGATTTGAGCCTCTAGTATTTACCGTGGACAAGATTTATATATCAACGAGATCAGATCATGCTGCCAGGTTCCTTGTCGCGGAAACAATCGCTCTCGGTCAGACATTGCCTCAACAACTGCATTGGATTGGTGGCCTGAAGCCTATACCATCATACCACTATAGTATCGATGAGAGTAAATGGACCGAGTGTGTGTTCGCTTCAGTAAATAGCCCTATAGGACGGTTACGGTTTGCTACATTCAATCTCCTCCACGATCCAATACGAACATCACCACAACGACACGCTCTACTCTGTGATTACATTCACGGGCTAGAATTTGATGCAATGTCGCTACAAGAAGTTACGGTTCCTTTTTTGACCATGTTTCTGGCTGACGAAAGGACGAGGAGCAAATACTTCACCTCTCACGTGGAGACATCTAGTATTGCCAAACGTGGAGCAACTGTCATTATATCGACATCTCCGTTTCGTCACTCTGATTTGCCTCTCGCCTTTGAAAAAAATTGTACGATTGCTAGTTTTGAGATGGGGACGTTGTCTTTGACTGCCGTGTCGCTCCATTTGACGTCAAACCGAAGAGGCGATGGTCGTGAGAAACGAGCCAAGCAACTCGATGTACTTTATAGTGTTCTGGGTGGCGTCGAAGACGTCATTATAGGTACGAGAGATAACAGAAATATTTGCAAGCAATGTACTAAAGTTTGCAAATTTCAGGTGGTGATTTCAACGAGGGAATCGAGGAAGAGCCTGTTATCAGAGACGACGCATACGTGGACGTGTGGCGGAAGCTTTGTCCTGATGATCTTGGAGCAACATGTAAAGCACTGGCTGTTTTGAGTCGATTGTACCTACGATTTAACTTAAAAACCTACAATATAGATGATGCAACAGACAACACTCTGGCTGCCTTAACCACGAATGGTTTGTTTCCTCGTTTCTGTGAGCGAAGTTTCAATGTGACATGGACTATAATTTGCCTATAGAAATCGGTCCTGGAAAGCGGTTTGATCGCATTATTTTCAAGAGCCCACATATGGAACCCACGTGCATAAAGATTTTTGCCACGGAAAAGGAAGCCTATCCTGACGGATCTAGTGGTCATATATCGGATCACTTTGGTGTCATTGCGGATCTTAGTGTAGACCAGCCAACATTGAAGACTGCAAACCAGGAGTCAATGTATCAAGACCAGAACTTGGAGAATCTGCTATCCTCTCGCAGTTGTCTTCCGTCTGCAGAAGACGCAAATATTAGGGCCACTGCTGTTGGTACTTTAAAATTGTTTCTTCAAAGAATATTAGATCATCCATTCCGCATGGCACCTGTTGGTTCTTATGCTCTTGGCACATATTCACCAGCATCCGATATCGATATGCTAGTGGTATCGAAGCTTAGCAAAGACGCCTTTTTTACGACTTTGAAAAGGGGCAGCTGTAACGAGGTCAAAGTCATTCGGGTAATAGATGGATCAATTGTCTCCATTGCTGAATTGGAAATCAGGCAGCATGGGTTAACTGTGTACTGTGATGTACAATATGCTTGGGCTAGTATTTCTGATACCGACATGTAAGGAGTGGGAGCGACTTTGGTTATACAGACGACTTACGTATCGGCTTTTTTCGTATCCTTTAGAATAGAAGACTTGAGTGACATTGATACATCACCAATATTTGCACGACTGCCAGCTGCGTCTCTGCACCCAATAAACTCGTATCGAGACTACCAGTGTATAATCAACACGCTAGGCACGTCCAAAAAAGCCTTCATCTTGGCGCATCATACCATCCGCTTATGGGCTCGCGCACGAGGGATCTGGTCTGCTGGAATGGGAATGTTGAATGGTCACAGCATATCCATCTTATTCGGACGCTTGTTTGAGCACTCAGCCAACATGACTGCAGTTACCGCAGTCTCCACATTCTTCAAAACGTATTCTAGCTGGCCATTTGATACTGTGCCTATAGGATTTGGTGAAACTGCTAAAGGATGGAGCCCGCCGGCAAAGACTTCTCAAGCACTCAATGCCATGATGGTGATTTCACCAATCAAACCTCAGCATAATGTACTTCGTAATGTGATTGTTTCGACTCGGGCTGTTATTGTAAAGGAGATGGTGCGGGCAGCTGCTTTGATATCCACAAACAGGGCTACTTGGTTGGCGGATATAATGGTTACTGGTATTGATGAGTTCTTGACCAGGTAAGATGAAACAGGCGTGTCTGTGTTTGTTTTGGAATAAAGGGATTAATGCACTTTACAGCTTTCCAACTTATATAAAGGTCCAGCTGGGAGCATTGAGTAGGGAATCTTTGGACCATCTAGCTGGCCGTTTCGAATCACGAGCTATTGGGCTTCTGTCAGAGCTCACTCGTAGGCTTCCTATGATGACGCCAAGACTATGGCCGAATCCATTCTCGTCCGAAAGCGAGTCACCATTTCCAAGCTTTAGGATTTACCTGGTTGGTCTTAGTAGACCAGCTGATAATAGGCTGGATAAGTCGCAGGTAAGTGATTCTGGAATGTCATGGTGGTCGCGGCGCGTCTTTGGCGACGAAGATGACCGATCAAGTTGCGATGACGTATTGAAAGAATGATAATCTTGCTCATAATGAAATTGAAACTTGAAAATAGATCTTGATCACATTTGGGGAAGTACTTCGTTCTTGGGAAGACGCTTTTCAGACGACGCACTGGGCTGAACGAAGTGATGAGCAATTTGTAACCATTCAAGCTACACCAAAGTCTAAACTGACTGGCTTAATTGTGCTATAAAACATGTATAAAGTGTGTTAAATTGTAAAATCAACTTGCATCTACTTAAAAACACAACTTGATCATGGCAGCGACAGCCGCTCCATCGCTACCGTCCATACCATCGGGAGCATTCAGCTTGGTAGTTAATGGCCAGATCGAGTCTGCCTATGTAGGTTCAAAGCATACAATCCCTCGAGTTCGTTTTAATAACAAGAAATTAAACAAACTAGTTTCCTGGCATGGACCACCTGTATTGTAAATTTAGCTTTACGAACGGACCAGACTGGGTCTTATTATCGGTATGACACTATGGAACTATGACGTTGAAACAGCAATCTATCTAGATCTACTGCAACATTAAACACACACAAACCCAGGGATTGGAGGAAGGAATCACACAAATGTCCAGAAAATCAACGGGACTACCCAGCACGAAAGAGACGATCCCGCCGAATTCAAAGATTTGTGTATTTAACTTTCCGATTGAGATTGCTTTCAAGTCTACAAACGCTTTTGGTATGATGTTGGGCGCAGTTATTGAACATTTTGTGTATTTTCTCATACATCTCGGATTGCAATTTTAGGATGGCCACAAATGGTCTTATCCGTGTATGGACTGGATGCGATGGGAAGAGATGTGGTCCGTGGGTATGGAAGTATTCGACTTCCATTGAGTCCTGGCAGGTAATTATGTGATCCTGTCGTTGGCTGCACCGTAAAGTGTAGAGCTTTGACACGTTGTGTTGTAGATTTACAAAGGAAGTACCAATGTTTGTACCTGTCTCATCATCGGCATTGGGTGGATTCTTGTCTTGGGCAACTGGACAATTACCAGAATTCCTGGATCCCAAGTTTGTTGCAACGAATGAAGGACGAGAAGGTATACCATCAACCCTTCAAACTGTTAGAATGTGTGTTTACTGATTGCTTTTATGTGCTTCTAGTAACGAGGGTTCGGAGTCAAGGAACTGTTCGAGTAACTTTCAACGTAATGGTCAAGGACTTGGTTTACAATCTAGCAAGCAATCCGCCACGTAGATGATTTTGATTAATTTCTTCACCTTGTTTATATGTATATTTACTCCTTTGCATGGGTGTCTACCCAAAAGTAATTAAATCAGTATCATTCATGGGAATCCATCATGGCCTGTGCGGATGTCCTTCATAGTCTATGTTGACGCGTTTGAAAAGGTCTGGAGCGCTCCAATGTCAATCACGCTTCGTTGGCTGTCGAGGTAGTCATCCAAATTACAAGTCCTTTCAGAGAGGGATTCACGTAGATTCACTTAGGCGGTCGCTTTAACGTGGCAAGGTGAGCTTCAACGTTGCAAATGTAAATATTTCGCTCATTCGTCCACTCATCGGGACAAGACTTTTATTTTCTCGTACTTTGCGTCTGAGTTATTTTGAAAGCGGTCACACGTTGCATCCCAAAACCGATTACCACATACTAGGAGCGGGAGAAGCAACGAGCATTGAATCCAAAAATGCAGATGCTTCTGCTCCTCGCTTTGGTCGGGCTCTGCTATTGCTCGACTGACCCGAATGTTGTTTCCTTGGATTACGGTAACTATTCACGAAGCTCGCACAAGCGCTAGACAGCACAATGCTTTACGAAACCAGCTTTAATCCGATTATTTCGACATAAGGAACTGTCAAGGGCTCATTATATTTGAATGGCGTGCGAGCATGGAAGGGAATTCCTGTAAGCAGCTTCTTCGAAAAAAAACTACAATGAAGTTTGGTCACCATCCCATATACAACAAAGCAGCCATCTGAACGTGATTCCTTTTTTCTTAGTATGCTGCTCAACCCGTCGGACCATTGAGGTTTAAGCCTCCATCACCTCCTACCAACTTGACCAACAATCCGTATATTGCCACCAGTTTTGGAGCTGCTTGTGCACAGAAGTCTGGAATCCTGACTCCTGTCATTGATGAGGTAGGCGCATTGTCGACGCTGAAGTTGATGTGGCAGACGTGCTTTAGTCAATACCTGCTTACCAGGCATGTTTCGGTATAGGCATGTTTGTTTCTCAATATATATGCACCTGGAAACATTCCAGCCAATACTGTATATCCAGTGATGGTCTGGATACACGGTGGAGGAGATACGACTGGTTCTGGTGGTGCTCCATTCTCTGGAGAAGTTCTGGTCAATCATGCTGCTTCACCTGTAGTAGTGGTGACAATCAACTATCGATTGGTGAGCTTGTCAATGCCTTCATTTCAATCACGATAGGGTCTGAAATTTCACGGATGGCATCTTTCAGAACGTCTTTGGCTTCCTAGCTGGTTCTGATCTGCTGGCTCAGGGCGCCACGAATATTGGATATCTCGATCAGCAGTTTGCTTTCAAGTGGGTTCAAAAGTACATCAGGCAGTTTGGAGGCGATCCCTACTCTATCACAGCCTGTAAGAGAAAACGAAAATTTGAAAGTCTTGGCATCCTTGCAAACTGGCTCCATCGGTGTGATTTCGGATTTTCCACCGTTTTGACTGTCCTTGCATTTCTACAAACTAGTTGGTGAATCTGCTGGAGCTCTTTCCATTGGTTCGCACCTAATCGCCAGCAATGGTAGACAGACTATGTTCCATCGAGCGATTTTAGAATCTGGAAGCTCTCTTTCTGGTGCCTATTTCAACGCTGATGCACCAGTACCCACAAGCACCTATAATACGATTGTGGCTAATGCGGGCTGCTCGAAGGCTGCTGATAAAATCAATTGCTTGAGGACGTTGAAATGGCAGGACTTGTTTGCGGCAATTCCTTCCAACGTAAGAAACGCAAAAAAACGAACAGTTTCTCACGTCGTAAGATTATTCATTGTTGACCCTTTTGACTTTGCAACCAGGCTTCTTTTGGACCTGTAATCGATGAACTATATCTAAACAATAAGCCCAGAGTCGCTTTCGCAAACCAACTATTTAGTAAAATACCAGTCATCATCGGCACCAACACCAATGAGGTACGTCACACACAATAGTCCCAAGCGGCGTGCCATTTGACTGTAGAATTGATTCTCACCTTGTCCCCTGTCGCCCTTCATGCAGGGAACGCTTTTCGTACCGTCAAGCCTTATCTTGTCGTTTTCTCAAACAGATTTCAATAATTGGTTTACGCAAAGTCTGAATAGTCAACTTGGGCCTAACGTTGCCTCAGCCCTGTCGACCGTCAGCACTTTATACCCACTCTCTTCGTACGGAGGATCTGCATTTAGCGCTGCTGCCACAGTTTTTGGAGATGCTGGATTTGCTTGTCCCGCCAGAGCTGTACTAAAGGCATATGCTTCTGCAGGAGTGCCTGCATGGAAGTATCGATTCAATCAAGTGATTACAGAATTTGCTGCAATTCAGGTAAAGCTTTGCAGAGTGGTACTGGGGGACTTGCTAACCAATTTTCCATTGATTCTTTTGGTTCTCCTATAGCCTATCTTCGGTGTCTTCCATGCTGCAGAACTACCCCTCGTGTGGGGAACCCCCGGTACATTACTGACTCCACTAGAGCTCTTGCTCTCTGATGCCATGATGAAGCGATGGACCAATTTTGCTGTGTATGGAGACCCGAATGGCCTGGTCAGCAATGGAGCAAACTGGCCACAATACACTGCCGTGAATGGCAAACAGCAAGTTTTCCAAGAGACATTGTTGGGATTCACGAATGAGCTTGATAACTTAAGGGCTGCTCAATGTGACTTTTGGGCTACGACGAATGTCATTGACCATTGAAGGGTGACAACGGGGAGGGCGTTAAGTGTCTGTTGCGTGGTATGGACTGTTGCTATTTATAAAGGGACTGTGGCGTGGGTCTGATATCTATTATCCTTAAAAGCTGAAAGCTAAACTAAAATTTATAGTTTTAAGTGTCTGACGTGTGAAGCAAGGAGCAGGTTAGAGTAGTTCCTTTGATTGTCGAATTCTGATGATTCGCGTAGATCGTTCACTGCTCTGATAGTTCCAGCATTACGAGATCGACGTCAACTCCTCTGTCTATGAGCTCCAAGAATAACTGTCTGTTTCGGCGTCGCATTTACTCGTCACTTCAAAAAAGTCAATTTGGGTGGCAAAACACCTTGAACCCAAGACACTGCTTATAGACGAAGGACCTATCAAGTCTCTCTTTGGCTTCATCAATAGATCCTAGTTCTCTCCATATATCTCACTACCGCTCTTCTACACACAGAATGGCAAGTAAAAAGCGCTGAATTTGACGAAATACAAAGCAAATTAGACCTATTGGCTAACATGGCTGCATCCATTCTCTAGTCGTCTTCATCAGAAAACCACAATCCTACCGTTATCAAACGAGTCACCAAAGGTAATCAAGCGCAAAACAGCAAACGTCAATTTTGTTGAAATGAAGTGTAAATCTTTGGACTATAGAACTACAAGCAATGAATGGAAAGCCTGCCGGAGGGATCAAAATCCTGCTCAATGAAGAGAATATAATGGACATTCAGGCCTTAATACATGGTCCAGGTACAGTTTGACTCATTCTCTAGCGACTTTCGACAGCTAACATTCGGTCTTTTGGCACATATAGAGGGCACACCATTCGAGGGCGGAGTGTTTCGAATCAAGTTGATTATCGGGAGCGAGTTCCCAAACGAACCACCAAAAGGCTTCTTTGTCACCAAGATATTTCATCCAAATGTATCAAAAGCTGGTGGAGAGATCTGTGTAGATACGTTGAAGAGAGATTGGAAGAAGGATTATGGAATTGATCATATCTTACTCGTATGTTTCGTCACAAACACTTGTTTTCGTCCTGTCACTCGATTGCGAACTAATCCCATTCGATTCTACTTCAACAGGTCATTCGTTGTTTATTGATTGCACCAAACCCAGAATCAGCTCTGAACGAAGAGGCCGGCAAGCTACTCTTGGAGGATTACTCTGCATATACACACCACGCAGCAATGTGGACTAGAATCCACGCACCAAATAAAGGCGAATTCCCATCTATACCTAAAACGAAGACGACAACAGCATCAGCAACAGGAGACAAGTTGGTTGTTGAAGCCAAACTAACTGCCGATTCGTCAATACCCAATTCATCAACCACAACAACAGCAGAAAATACAACCAATACTACCACTACAAGTCCAACACCAGCAGCAGGAACGACACTAGCGGAGGTACTGGGTCCAAACGCTCATGGAAATGTCATGTCTGGATCGGTTGCGTCTGTGAAGAAACGGCCAGCAGATAAAAAGTTGGAGAAGGAAGCGACTGACAAAAAGAGAACATTGCGAAGGTTGTAACTTACATCACTCATAACAACACGCACGCACTAGTATATATACAATTTGTACAGGAATCAGACTCTTTTGGTTGAGAACAATACATGTCAAGTCTCGTGAAAGCAAAATGTCCCGCGTCTTCCGCTAGAACAGAAGCAAACTGCTATTTAGAGGCTATGATATTCTATTCAATCCGAGCAAAAGCAACAAAAAAAAGGAAAAGGAATACAATTTAAAATGCTGACCATTTAAGCTTTTCTTCTTGAAACACCACCTTCAAATCCACATTCTTATAGTTATTTCGTTTTAATATGTTGTTATACATTGGGAGGCCACTACGTTTGGGGGAGTTTTTTTTACACAATAGGTTTGTCCATTACGAGTAGTAGAGAGAGCTAAGGTTGCATCCTTTATAGAGCCAAAGCTGCAACAGCAACTAGACCAGCCAAAGATAGACCAGTTGCTGATGAGATTCTTGAGCCGTCACTCTTGGCAGTACCGTTGGTGCCAGTGCTTGGATTGGACGATCCAGACGAGGTAAACAAGACAGTGTCAATTATGTGCATTACACCACCAGCAATGGGAATATCTAAGCGACAATAGTACGCATGTTAGTAAAGCACTTTGTATCTGTCTACATATGCCTTTTCGTGCATAAACAAACCTGAGGTAACTACGTTGGCAGTAACACCGTTGGCGGTAACTGTCAAGCCAGATGTACCAGAGAAGCTCAAGCTTCCACCTCCAACAGTGTTCAAAGATTGTCCAGAGACAATGCTAGTACTGTATACAATGGACTTTACAATGTGATTATTGAGCAATGTAGTGGTTTGGGCAGTTGAGTATCCATTCAAGGTTGAAGCTGCTACTTGGAAGGCAACGTCTTGTGGGACCAAGCTAAAAATGAAACGATGAAAGATGAGGATTGAGCTTGTCAAGCTTTCTCTTATAGTGACAAAAAGAACTGAGGACTAAACGTACATTGTAACACCAGACAAGCCATTTACAGTTGAAGTCAAGCCAGTAGCATTCAAGGCAGATACGAACTTGGAGTTGCCGAACGTACCAGCAGCAACGGAGGCAAGGGCAGGTGGGAACATGAAGGAATCAATTACGTTGACAACACCTAGGCAGGTGGCAGTGCAAAAAAGGGTTTAATACTCCATTTTGATGACGCAAGTCAAAATGTAGGAAGGGATTCACACATACCATCAGTAGCAACAAATGTATCCAAGATAGTAGCTTGTAGAGGTTGCCCATACTTGAGTTTAGTTGGGGCACCCTTGATGGCGAGAATCTTTTGTCCACCACTTGGCAAGTTGACAAAGGCTGATGGTGCTTTGAGGGCAGTTTCCAAGAGACTGTATGGGTTTGTTTCATTGAGGGTTGGATTGTATTGCTATATAAAAGAAGCGTGGGATTAGGTCAAATGAACTGTTGAGGCCGTTTCCAAAGTGATGTCAGAGAGTACTCACAGTACTCAAGAGAGTATGGTAAGTCAAAGCAGCGTGCAAATAGTCAGAGGTAGCGACGGCGCCCAATCCAGTAACGGCAGGGATATACGACGAGTCGACTGGGGCAAAGAAGGTTGAACCACCTTGCGAGACCAAAGCCTGAGCAGAGCTGTCAGCCCTCAAGGCAAGGGTGACGTTGTTGAGAGTATATGCCTATCAGATAGAGACAAGTGTTAGTCTTGAAGAGTACCGATGGGACGCAAGGTCATCCGAGGTAGTCAAGCAGCATTATTTCGGTTAAGCAAGCTTAACCATATCTCCACTCCCAACACGATGGCATAGCTGAGTGGAAGCATTGTTCTTTACTAACGCTCAAAATCATGTTGACATGATACACTAGTCACAAAAATGACAGAATGTGCAGCACAGGAATGTATAGTTTTTAATGCCAGATGACACACAAAGACCGACTTCATGAATAGATTCGGAAGTGATCCAGAGTATGTATCCATCATGTGCATAGCAATGATGTATGTATTCACTGCCTCCGACACTCTTTCCCCTCATGTACGCCACAAGTGAAACTGAAGCAAAAAAACTCACCTTTCCTGAACCAGCAGCCGAGTAGGTGCTGAGGATTTGCATTATAGTCTGAGTAGCTGCCAATTGCATGAAGGATAATGAGATGACTGTCATGGCTGCAATCTTCATTCTATGTTGTGTGTTGTGGAGGAAAGTTGGGAACTGAAAATTGCGGAGAAGTCTTGCTGAGCTCGGTATCTGCAATTTAAAGACGATAAGCGTGGTGTCAGTAGTGGAGAAATATGACGGCGACGGATCGCTGAACCTACACTATGAGAACGTCCTGCTGTGGTATGTTGTGGTATGTTGAGCAAGTTGCAAGCGGTACTAAACTTTGGTGAAGGAAGGAGGAAGACAAGAACCACTCTTTTCTTCTAAGAAACAAGAAGCAAAGAAACCATCACAACTTCGGGGCTTTATTCTGTTCTTTTTCGCTTATAATGACCCTGACAATTCCTTGCGTTCGATCAGAAATGTCAGCTTTGCCATTTTGACGCAATTGTGAATGTTTGTCTATTGTTTCGCATATTTCGATACTATCGAGCTCAAATCGATGGACTTTAGTAGCAGTGAGTCAAGCATGCCTACTACATGACAAGCATATAAAGCAAGGTCTGCGTCAGTACGTGACGAAATCACCTTAGCAAGTGAAGAAGCCAGGGCTTTCAAGCATTTTGCTAAGTGATGAGGTTGTTTTTAGTTACCGGATGGCTTCCATGTACATTGATATGAGGCCAATAATGCGTATAGATCAGCAATTTACCACTCACATAATGAATCTGGCATGTTTTGTGAGACAACACACTTCTTCAGAATCTTGGTCACCAATTCCACTACCATCCAAGCAGTTTGCATATCAATACGATGCATCCACACCTCTTCAATCGTAACTGGTTTGCCCACTTTACTGTGCACCATGATTTGGTCGAATTCAGTTCTGAGTGAATCAATGAGACACACAACCAAATCACTATGATGAGCACAAGCATCCAAAAGAATCTGACTCAGTCCATTTTGTATCAAATTTGAAGGCAGTTCTAGAGTAGTTGTAGTTGCAGTTGATGCTGTTGGATTGCCTGGTGCAGCAGCAGCAGCAGGAGGTTGTGGGTGATTTGTTGAAATCGCTTCCAAGGATAGAGTTGGTTTAGCATTGACTTGGTGAACTACAACCAAAGAGTGAGGAACAGATGCAAGAAGCTTGATTTGAGAGTCTCGTATTCGTTTTGCATTTGGTGAGGTGAGTATCGATGATGTGGCGGTTGCTACTCAAAACGTGGATTATTGAGTCTCAAGACGTGGGAGAAGGTTGCCACACATCACTCACAAGCAACACCCTTCAAAATGGCATGCATGGAATTGATGAGATCTACTGATCTGTTTCCACCAGTTGTTTGAATGTCTTGGTTGACTGGCTTCTCAACTAGAGTCTTTAATTGATCTTCCAGCAGCTTTAATACAGATTCACAAGTATCCACAATCGTTTCTTGATTTGGAATTCCATTATCTAAGTTTCTCAGATGTGTCTAAGTCCGATCGACAGGTCATCGAATAATCACATCACCTGTTGGGTTTTGCAACGAGTCTGCAAATTTGGCGACTACCATGAGAAACTCGACAGCTTGACGATTTGTGTCTGAAAATAGACTAAAAACTGGTTAGGAGCGAAAGAGTAAGTTTCTGGTGATCGCCTCCATTGGTATTGCAACAGGCATACTTTCTTTCACGGCAGCACTAGCTTTGACTTCATCAGCAGCAGACTTTACTTTTCTTCTCTTGGCGCCAGTTTGATTAGATGCATTTCGATGGGTAGCAAGCTCTAAACGTTAGGTTGTCACAGATGTGTTAAGCTGTGTTGATACGTCTTCTAAACACACCTAGTTCCAGCTCCACACATCGTTGCCGCGACTCATGTAATGACATCCCAAGAGACCTTGTATCAATGTCGACTTGGTGTCCCTCTTGAGCAGTGGGAATTGGCGATGGTAACAGCACATTGGTGTTATTTTGGTGCTCAGTTTGTGATGCCAGTCTGTTTCGTACGTGACGAATATGATCTAGTATAGAAATGAATAGTTCTTTAGATTTATAACAATTTACGATTGATTCTAATACCTTCAATAGACGCTCCCAATGGTTTAGTCTTCAAAACTGCGAAAGCCTGTTTTTGGCCAAAAATTAGTCTCTAGCTGCATAGTTTTCGAGAAAGGGAGTGCAATGAGTTACTAAAGCCAGCTCGAAACCGTCTCCCATATTGGAGACCGACAAACTAATAGCCAGGCAAATGTGTTATCTTGAAATTCCGATGGAAATTCGGAAAACACGTGAAAGACATTGGCATGAATTTGGAGTCAATACCGGTTTATTTATTTAAGATTTTGGATATGAGTATTACACTTTCTCGTACTAAAGCGAGTCGGTCTGTTTACAATTTCTATTTACATCCCATGCGGAGTGAGAGACGACAACTATGCTCATATCAAACGACAAGCTTGGTAGCAAACGTTCGGAAGAGTCCTTTGAACTTCAGTCCTTTACTATCTATAGATACCTCCTTGGAGATATCTATTTTCTTCTCGTCTCGTTGTGTGGCAGTGCGGGTTTGTGCCATTACTTTTGGTTTGTCCACTAGCACAACCTGTACGGGATAGCGGTTCCACGGTAGATGCTGTCTAGGATGCTGTTGGCATTCGAGATTTACTTTTACCATTCCTTCTTCCTTTGGAATGTATTGGCCAAAGGGGAGAAATAAGTTCAATGGTTTCGGGGATACAGATGCTGATACTCGTCGTAGAGCACCAAACAGCCGTACTAGACTACTTGGGCCACATATGCGTTTGGATTTGCTGCTTTTGGTTGGCATGGGTTCATTATATGGGTTGAACTGGCTCCTACTAAAGTTTGCGATCCTGGCGGATAGATTTGCAGCTTCAGAGTTATTTCCGGCCATGATTTGTGTGCCTTTGGGTCCTATGCTACAGGCTCTACTGGCGACTTTGTATCAGAACTATAGATAAAGAGATGCGATGATATTATGATAGTTTGTGGAGGTGCGTTTTTTTCCCCAAATCCGAGCGAAGCTTTCGCGTAATAATGACGCGTAAGGTCATGAACAAACCACGAATGGAACTTAATCAACCATTCGTGGCCATCAGGTCAGGCCGAAGGCCGATCAATACTGCTACGTATGCACGTTTCTTGTTTCTGAATTTTGCTATCATGCTATGTGTGACATAAGATATAGCAAAGAGACACGCATCTGATCTTTGGCTGCATCATAAAATGAGGCCGCTTTGTCACAGGAACACCTTGAGAAAACGAGTTCTGACTTGCTCTGATCAATCTCATCAATCGGTTTTTTGGGGTCTCGGTATCAAGGCCTTGAACCCCAGTTTGAAATTGGGACCGTTGGCCTCAAGAGCACTGTTGCAGCTGATATATGATTTGATTGATATTATTTCAGCAGCTTCAGACTCTCTTTGTCCGCTCCCAACGTTGGCATACACGGGATTTGACGTGACATTAGTCGTAAACTGAAAACCAAAACGAAAGCAAACAGGCCGATTTTTTGCACCTGATTGAGTGTCAATTAACAATTTTCAAGGACTTGTTGGACATTTGACGCGTATCGGTAGCCTCTCTGGCTCCGAAAACGTGCACATATGGACTCCATGAAGCATAATGATGTCGGATCAGACCTCTTAAAAAATGCAACAGGATTACCAGAACTGCCATCATTGAAAGTATCCACCACCAAATCGACGCGTAGACCACGATCCAGCTCACTAGCCACAACAATACCAACAACACCAACATCTGCGTCATCACCAATTTCCGTAACATCACCCTCCCCACTTTCAGCACTACCTTCACCGAGCATTGAACATTCAAATTTCGACGATGACAATGAATCCGAATATTCCTTTATGCCTGAATACCAATATGGATCAATGAGTCGACCCAGTGGCGATAATGGCAGTGGAAGTTTACGTGGCTCCACACACTCTTCACTATCGCCTTTTCAGCTTGCATCAAACGGCCGACTCGTCTCTCCACGCTCTATAAGCTTTGCAGATTTTTGTCGATATGATCGATTTCTCGGAAAACAAAAGGATGGGATGAGGGCCCTTATTGATGCAGCTGCTCGTGAACCAACAGCAAAATCAGACAAGAAGAAGGGCAAGTAGTTTGCAAATCTATATGGAAGTGATCATCTTCTGACACCATGTATTCTTACAGGTGATAGCAAAAGCGGCAGTCGAAAAAACTCTGCCTTTGGGAAGATGACTGGATTTTTAAAGCAGCCAAACAAAAAATTCAAATTTACCCGGGCTGGTATGTCACTGTATGATTGAAGGCACACCAACGGATGTTTCTCAAGCCTCTCTCCCTCTCTCTGGTTTAGGTGCTCTCCATTTGCTCTCATTAGCTATTCACGACAACAGGACGTCATTCGCTTGCCAAATTATTGACGAAATACCTTTTGATCACCTAATTGCACATCGACGACGAGAAGCTTCACAAGCATTCTTAAAAGCCATGTTTAATTGCATGGAGTCTGTCTGTATCGTCATGTTGGAACATGGGTTCCCAGCAAATGTGAATGACCCAGCTTTAGAAGCTGGACCTCTGGACTTAAATGACTTTACGTATCCTAGCTACTTTCTTATCGCCGTCGCCCTAGGATTAGACCATGTTGTGAGGTCTATGATAAAGGTTTGCTCATCGATTTTTGTGACGCATAACGGTTGTTTTTGTCAGCCTCTGATTCTTAGCTCCTCTTACAGAAAGCAAACGTAAACCAAGATTGGTATCAAGTGAGGCCACTACATTTAGCATGCTCTCGTGGAAACACACATACAGTAAACCTCCTATTGGATCATGGAGCAAGCCCAACAAAGGCACTACCACTAGATCGCCTGATAATGATGCAAAAGCTCAAGTCTCCATATGCTCGAAAGTATGGGAAAATGAAGAGTCCAGAAGCAAATTTACTTCAAGCGACACTACCATCGTCGACAACGACCGCATCAGATCCGAAACCAATTGCAAAAAAGGCTAAAGTTCCTCTTCGAGCATCACAAGAAACACTGCTGGCGAATTTCAACTCGATGAAGGCTATACTGCCATTAGAATTGGCATTGGCAAATGGCGAGACGGCTCTAGCAAAAGCCTTGATTCCCAAGTAAACAAAAAAAGCTGCATTTAGAAGTCGTATTTCCTTTCAGATGAACTTACAAACTGCACTCTATAATTAGAACTGATTCAAAGACATTGGCAGCATCGCAAGTAGCTTTACTACTATGTCGAGACTATGAAACTTCCGTGGCATTATGTCGAGCAGGTGTTCCCATGAAGCAACTTGATGCTTTTGGAAACGGCCCACTGCATCTTGCTGCTCGTCGCGGTGACTTGGAACTGGTCGTCTCTTTAGTGATAAACAAGGCTGATATTGATGGGAGGGGTGAAAATGGATGGTATGGTTTAAAGAGAAAACATCTCCCATTTGAGACTAACTCATTTAACAAATAACTTAGGACGGCTTTGCATGAGGCCATTAGCAGAAAAGAGTTAGAGATAGTAAAAGTCCTAGTACATCTTGGTGCCAATGTAAATCTCGCCACTAGCACTGGTCTGAAACCACGAGCACTTGGATTGGCAATGGGAATCACTTTAGAAGATTTAGAATCAGCTCTAGGTACGCATATGCTTGCTGAAATGTTACTGCTTGTGAACTCACTCATTTTTTAACATATAAACAGATGCAAGAAACCCAATGAGACCAGCAGTAGCTGAAATAGTGCAAACAGTCAGCGCATCCACCAACTTCTTATCCTCATCGTCTGGGCACAACTCACGAAGAAGTGTGCCTGTCGTTGTCGGAGCTCCATACGTCCCACCTAGTGCTGCGCTCCTAGCCAAACGCAGATCAGGACTAATCCAAGGCGGTGTCGTCACAAACGTTTCTCATCCATCACTGTCACGATCCAACTCTCGAACTGGTAGTGGTGGTATTTCCAAAGTGTCTGAAAATGAAGCCGACCATCCTGATATATCAATGCCCCTTGTTCAGTCACCATCTCCTGTACGAGCCAATGCCGAACATGCCGAACAAAGCCCAACATCACCTTTAGCATCTAATGAACCACCACGAGTTGATTCTCCTATTCCTACACCAACTGCACCACGTGCTGGGACAATGAGAATAGCCCAACCAAGAGCACGTTCCAGATTGAGTAATGGTTGAGGAGAGTAGTGTAGCAGTGTATTTTATGGTGTTAGAATTAATGAAAAGTCTCGCAAATACAGTCTCACTTCTAGTTCAGTTGGCTTTGAAACGCGGATCTGCGTCCGTCATCAAAAAAGCTGAGTGAGCATTCTATCTGGCCAGAGCATTATCGTCCATTCGAAAACGATAAATGGAGATAGTGAAAAAGCTACAATATAATGCGTTCTGGTGGACCAATTGTATATTATCATACATCTTGCCTTGGTATGTTGCACGAACATGCCATCAGCTTTTCTCACAACCTCGACGAGTCAAGGCCCCAGAATGGGAAATTGCACTTGGGAAGGAGGCTCAAGAATTGGACATTACATTGCCAATACCGGATAGTACTCAAAAGTTACCCAATGGAGGGGAAGATCTACCGAAATCTTTAAAAGCCTATATTTTTGGATCTGGAGACAAGAACATCTTGCTTGTTCATGGATACATGGGAAGGTATTCTCGATTAGTATCTGGGATCGATTGCACATATAACATGGATTAAATCCACACATTTGTCTCAACCTCAGAGGCCTGCAAATGAGTCAGCTTGCCAAACCTCTCGTTGAGAAAGGATATCGCGTTATTGCCGTAGATTTTCCCGGTCATGGAGGCTCTGGTGGATCGATTGTGAACCCAGTCGTACGTGCAATTGTCATAATTGTGAACAGTTGCAAAGATTGCTGGCGGTTAACAAAGCACCCATATTTTAGGTGTTTGCAAACGCCATCAAAGCACTATCCAAATGCAAAGAAGTCGCCCCGATTCGCTTTATTTTGGCACACTCTATGGGATGCACGGCTGCTATACTTGCCAATTCTCTATATCATGTGCAACTGGATGGAATGGTGTTGATATCAGGGCCAGCAATGTTCTTAAATGTACTTACACGGTTCTTCGATGCTGTTGGGTTAATTTCGCCATCAGCAAGGAAGCTTGCGACGGATTTGATTGTTGGGACTTATGGACACGAATCAGGTGTGTTGAACTTTTGCTGATTCAGCATTTCAGCTGCCCATGAATTCCGTTCAGCTTTCATTTTTGCACGAATATTTTGACTCATGCTCATTTGCCTTTCGTTACTCTCAAGCTTCGGTTGGCTTCTCAGATCTGAATGACATTGGTGCTAAACACGTCAAGATACCGACCTTGATTGTTCACGATGAAGTTGATAAGGAGGTGCCAGCATCCGAATCCATGTATTACCAAGCAGCTATGATCGACGTCAAACGCATTGATACACAAGGTTTGGGCCATCGCCGTATATTGAAAGACACGAAGGTCATTCAGAGTGTGTGTGATTTTGTGGCGTCTGTTGATGAAGGCAAAGTCGGCAGGTAAAACAATACAACGTAATACGATGATCTTATAGAGTCTATTTTGTAGTTAAATGGACAAAGATGTAGATGTGTGCTGTTATAGATAATGAATTTTCATATCTGATACGATCGTTGAAAAACGTTGGTTTCCGCCTGTATAATCCAGCAAGAAGCTCGAAGTCGATCAAAATCGTCAAAAAATTGCTACCTCGGCTCTGCTTCGTTCGCTAACAGTAGTGTAGGAAGGCGTCGAATGTTTTGGAAGTTCTTCGAACGAGGAAGATTATGATGGAAGATCTGTGAAACACGAGATAGAAAATGACCACCTTTCTTTGCTACATCAACAACACTCAAAACAATATACTGATTCTTCAAAACAGAGATCTATCCTCGGGTAAGCTTGTGAATAACGTCAATTTTCCATTCACAAATCACAGGTTCGCTAATTCAACTTTCCAAAATCACACGTAGATACAAATCTGTCACCATGCAACACCAACAAATGCCATTCCAATCTACATTTATTTTCGTACCAGTATTTGCTCCTGGTGCTCAATTCCAAAACAATCCACAATCACAAGAATATGCCCAACAAGCAGCCGCTCAAGCTCAAGCATTTATGAATATGTTTGCTCAAGCAATGGCAACTAGTATGGCAGCTATGAATGAAGCTCATAAGCCTGTTCTACGACGTCCAAAGGTATGTTGATGCTAGTAGTCATATCTGCGTCCATGATCGAAAATCTTCGACTAAGGATTTCGACTGAAATTCATCTCTATTCAAACATAGGCTTCACAAATCAAAACTCTTCCGTTAACACAACATCGTTATGATCAAAACTCTTCCTGTGGAATATGCACTGAAGCATGGAGTGTAGGAGACTTGGTCGATGTCTTACCGTGCTCCCACTTCTATCACAAGGACTGTCTTGGCCAGTGGATATCCGAAAATCACACATGTCCTATATGTAGATATGAACTCGAAGTCGAGAACGACGAGGAGTTCAATACCGGTGTCAAATCACGGATGGCCAATCGACCACACGACTACTGGAACTCGGATCACGATGTCGAAAAGGAACTAGTAGCAGCTGCTCATCAAACACATTGTGGGATGCAATCTGTTGGATTGTGTAGCATTGACAATAGGGAAGCATGTAATCCTGTTGATGTCGTCACGTTATCTGGTTGTCATCATACCTTCCACTCTGCTTGTATGGACGTACAGCTTAGAGCTGCTGGACACAATACTCCGGAAACAGGTGCTATAAGGTGTCCTATATGCCGTCATAGTGGTAGCATAGTTAGACCAAGTATAGAAAGTTTAGAGGTGCCTGATTTGGTGTCTGCTGATAACTAGAACTGATACTCTGTTGCAAACTAATTAGAATTTGTAGATCTTCCTCGCTGCACCTTTAATATAGATAATTTTGCTCATAATACGTGTTCATCAACAATCATCAGAGTCACGGTATTACGCTGGAAAAATGGAGGGAGGTCTAGAGAGTGCCTCAATCGTAGTCTACAATCAAGACCACCATTTTAAATCTGATCCATGTTCTGTATCCGATCCTCGACCTAGTCTTAAGCTTTTCAAAAGGTTTCTCTGCTCTATTCAAATCGTGTTTTTGGAAAAATTCCAACAGATGGAAACCCTGCCTGCTTATATCGGTCAATCGTGAAAGGGTTTCCAGCCGGCTCACTCCATTGTGGACGCTTGAAAGGGCTGATCGCTTGCTTTCGCCAGAATGATGAAAAGGAAGTTTCATCAACATCAGTCAATGGAATTCTGGTGGGGTTGTTGAAGAAATCCCATGATAAGCTAGTATATCTATCTCGAGTATGATTTGGCGGTCGGTCCGTCAGATCTCCTCAATCGTTTCAACATATTTACTTGAGGATTACTGCGACCGTGACTTCAGACTTAGTCGACATCAAGACAACGAGTACAGACTCGACGCACACGAATATCGAGTACACGTATTAAAACTTGGACTTTCAACCCATTTATCGGACTTGGTATAAAGTCACGTCGTTAGACGGTTTCGTCATGGGACATCAAGTTTCACGTGCTGTTACTGTCCCAGGCACAATCTCAAACACAACAAAAGTTAACGCGCAGACATTGATGCTAGCGTGTGTCTCGTCCGCTTCTGGCAATATGGCCGAGACTAGAAGACCCCTCGAGTACGCAAATAGAGCCAATAAGATAAAGAATGGTGTAACAATCAATCAGGAATGGAGCACTTGTGGTGTAGCAGAAAAGGGTAGATGGATCGCTGAAAGGGATAGACATATCACCAAACAAGGATAGACAGATCGGAATCATGGAGGGACAGCTCGATGAAAAAGATAGACAGCTTGCAGAAATGGATAGACAGCGTGCAGAAAGGGATAGACAGCTCGCAGAAAAGGATGGACAGATCCGAGCTATCACAACCGAAGCCTCCTATGTACGGACGCGAATGTCTTCATTGCAATCCAAGCTGATGATGCCGAGAGACGTATGGTCTTGGCGTCGACTCTGCATCCTAGTTGTGAGACTGAAGTCGTATTAGCCTTAGCTCGTCAAAAGATTTAGAAGACCAAGCTCAACAGCTGGTGAATACTGTCAACGAATACGCCCAAGAGGCAAATAAAGCAGCTGTCTCTAGAACTGAAATAGGCATCGCTGAATGTCAGAGAGTCGATGTTGTACCCCAAGACACTTTTAGGCTAACTGTAGATATGGTAGTCTGTCATGCGAGTACTGACACATTACCTGTCGAAGACTTTGGAATACCCATGACGCCCCCCAGTATTCTAAATCATCACTTGACAGGCTTCTCGCTCATCGTATTCTTGCTGCTCATGTACCCAGATATGACATGTCTGAGTCCTTGATTGATTCATACAACACAACCATACACGAGCTGCTACTAAAGCTTGCCCAAACTCAAAAGAAGGGGTATTAGTACCATAGTGTCATCACCAATCTTAATAACGCGCTGAGGAATCCAGCCATTAGTGTCAACCGTCAAAGTGATCCATCTCCAACAAATCTTCTCGTACTAGGCCAAACCCTTGAAGGATTGCTTTCGAAGATATCTGATGTATCAAATTCCGAAGAGTCAAACTTGTCAGTATCTAATATTGCGCGCAGTGAGTCTATGGAGGTGAGCGATGCCAAAATGGCCTTTGGCCACATGAGTTCAAGATTCTAACGCTTTCGATTCCTGCCTAGCGCCTCGCAGTGGATTCAGATGACAACGCTTGTAGAGAAGAAGTGAATTCTAGAGCCACATCACCAACAATCGACGATATCACTTCGCCTAGAAAATCGCTCTTAGTGAGTTAGAGGTTCGACATGTTGTCGAGGTCAGTGCTAGGTTGATAGTAAAATCTTCATCTAATCTAACTCGGAATATTCCTGGTTAGGCCTTTGGTGAAGTCTTACGGCAGACTGTGAATGATGGTGAAAAACGGGACGAAGCTGTTCATGAAGTACCATTAACAACCACCAACGCATTACAACCCACCAGAAAGGCTCCTCTCTAAACGACTCTTCCCAAGGAGGCTTTTCCCTTCAAAAACGTAACCCTCAAGGTGAGTACTGGGGTGGCTGCAAAACCTTCATATTCTAACTCGAACGATTCCCGCTTAGGCCTGTGGAGAAGATTTAAAACAGGTTGTGGGAGATGGTGGAAAAAGGGACAAAGCCGTTTATGAAGCACTGTCAACAACAACCAACACCGGAGACTCCTATCTATAAACGCCCTAAACCCAAGGCAACAAGAAGACGCTTCCTCGTTGATTCAGAGGGCGAGGCGTTCGTGTAAGATGACCACGAGTCTGAGTACGATGATGAACCATACGTTGAGTCGGAGACAGAAGATGAGGATGAGTGTGGGACTGACTACGAAAGTGATTGCGTAGAAACTGAAGACCCTCCACGTTCACCACTAATAACACCCATCCCAGCCATCCGACAAGCAAAAGAAAGAGCAAAGTCTCGAATGTCTCGTATACAGAGTGGAATTCGACGAATACCTCGTGGTGGCAACATGAACAGAAATCTGGCCCTTTACAATCATCGTATCACTACGGCACCCTTCTTGTCACCAATCCCACGATTTAGACCAAACCCCCCACTTAAAGAGGTACAAGATTGTAGGAGTGATTACTATCGACTATCCTAGAATTATATCATACCTTCATACTTAGGCAAATATATCGACCTAACTGCATTCAAAAACGCAAACGTGTTCAACTCATGAATTGGCAAGCAGCGACGAATGCAAAGCCCAGAATTCTGTTGTTCGACTTCCAAAGGTGTGTTGATGGCAATATTCAGATCCGCGTCCAAACATTAAGAAAACAACCAAGACATTGTCACAAATTCTACAAGACATCCCACGCCTTCCACAAGGACGACATCTCGATTATAAAGATCTTTCGTGTTGCAGAATGCACTGTGTCATGGTATTTAGGTACTTGGTAGACGTATCACGATGGTAGCATTTCATTCCAAGACCAACAAATCACATCAAGATGCAACAGCAAAGACAAAAAAAGGCAAAAACTTGCTTTTCGACACTATATCTATATTCTGTGGCATGAAATAACTAGCAAAAGCAAAATATAAGAGTACAAAGTAAACACACTCCAATGACTTCCAATGACATGATAGCCACATATAAGATATGATTTAACTTGCTAATATGTCTTTTCAGAATGGGAAATCCAATGGGTTTTGAGCATGGTTATAATTGGGTGGTAGCACAGTCACACCAGCCTTCAATCTAAGCAGATGCATGCGTTTCTTTTCCTTACATATGTTCACTAAATCTAGTACCTAAGTCATTTAATGTGGGGATCCGATCAATAATAGGCTCAATCAAGCAATAGTATGTTCAACCAACTCACCTCTTCTTTACTCCCAGAATTGGCCGCTTCCATAATCCTGTCTTGTAGCACCTATTCCAATTACAAACACGATATGCATGTTAGAATATTCAAGTACGAAAAAAAGTAGTACCAACAAAAAAAGGCTGCAAGAATCGGAAGAAATGCCTGATTTTCTTACCTGCATCTCACTACACTGTGCCTTGACCTTAAAGATCTCACACAACTCATCCATCAAACCAGCTTCCTGGATCAATGGCCTGACACTATCAAGAGGACCTGTTCCATCGGGTTTGTAACAAGGTTCCTTGACACCATTAGCATCATTGGCCTGCACTTCAGCAGCAGCCTGCGACCCAGAGCTGAATGATTGAGTCTGGGTTTCCAACAATGGGGATATATCGAATTGAGAATCTAGATTATTATTGGCAGGAGGAGTAGCCAAGGAAGCCAAGAATTCAGTGAATTCATCATCACCAATAGTTGGTCCCATAAATCCAGATTGACCCAATAAGGAGGCATAGTCTGTTGGTATGGTATCTGTTTGATAGTTGGTCAGGTCATCGGTCGCAGATGGCGTGTCACGATATTGGTTGAATATGGGGGCATTCAAGTCAAATGATGTTAATATGGGTTGGTTGTTTCCAGCTAGGATGGATGACAAGTCAATGTTTGACAAGATATTGTTTCGCGAGTCTGATGGAGTTGTGGTTGCTGTATTGTATCCGCCGTCAGCCACACTGGCTTCAGGAGAGCTTGCATCTGTATCGCTAGAGTGGGTGACAAAGTCTGGAGTACCGTTTGATTCGTAGTCCTTTGTCTAATGGAGGTTGATTATAATGTTAGAGACCCACTGACGTATGATTGGCTGAATACACCGGTGACACAAAAAATCATTTTATGAAGATTTACTGGGAACGAATCGGGATATCAACGTATTCGATTAGGGTGAACTTGCCTGTGGCGATGCACTCCTCGAGTCCATTTGCTGTGACTGTTGTTGAGGGAATTCAAAAGTAAATGCCATATTCTTGAGCAACACGTTTTCCGATTGAAGTTGTTCTAGTTTAGCTTTGAGCTGCTTGTTTTCTTCTAGTATAGCCATTGCACCGTCAGGATCGGTCTTAAGCTTGGAAGCCTGTTCAAGTTCTTGGACTCGTTCTTCCAGTTCCTTGACATATCGTTCTTTACGTTCACGGAATGCGCGCTGAGCAGCTCTGTTTTGAGCGGTACGTTTGTTTGTTGGCTCCGTAGTAGCTAGTTTACGACCAGGCTTCTTCTTTGGACCAGATGGTGGTGATGCTGAATCTGTTTGTAGTAGGACGGCGGTTGTGAAGTGTTAGTTCCAATGTTGCATATTGCAGGAGGCAGTCGATAAATGCCCAAGTCTACTAGAACGACATGATAACATACCATCATCATCGGCTGACGAGTCGTGAGCATGATTTTTGCGATGGGTGGCCTCCGAGTCTACCGATACGGCTCGTTTCTTGTTGTTTGCATTGTTTCCCCATAGTTGTGCCATTGGATCGTTTATTGAAGGATAGATGACTGTGTATGGATGGTGGTTGAGTGTCGAGTTAGTATAATTTGAGTTGCGAGTGACTGTATAAAGTTAGAATGCAAATGTGACCTTGATGTACCTTGTTGGGCAGCTAGACTTTCAAAGAAGGAGCCATCCAATATGCTTCCCGAGTAGTTGTGGGCCATTTAAGTATCTACTAGGGTTGTAGTATGGTAGTATGTGGTTTACTTTTATCGGTTGAGTGGACCTCGAGGGCAGGGAAAACCTTGAAATAACGTTGCTGAATCGACCGGCAGATATGCAGAATCGAAAGCGCCTGGGGTGACTAAGACAAGGACTGGTTGATTCGACGAGCCTACGGCAGTGTCTCTCTCCTGCTGCTGTCAGATGTGAGTGGGAATGAAGGAGGGGTTCAGCATGCCAGCACACAACTTGCCATTTCAAATCATGTTCAAAGCTGCCCCTGTCTATGAAGGAGAGCAGCTGAAGAGGTATCTTGTACATAATATCATATGAAACGAGCATACACGCCATCGGAACGCGAAATATGCACCTGCTCGACGAGTTCATCGCACCGTGTCAAAAAGGTTGTCAACCTTCCAATTGCGCAGAAGACGACTTGATAATTATATTCATCACGAATGGAGTGCTACTTCCCATGGCCTTCTAGTGCCAGTTCTAGTGTGCGTGTCCTCGCGTACTCCACGCTATATTTTCAATGGCCCAACAAACATCACATTATAGCTCTATTGGGACAAGGACGATACTTTGAAGATGGCACAGCAAGGTGCTACTACTGGAATAACATCCTTACTACCGCCACATCTCGCTCGACTATTCCATCCCCGTCCTCTTTTACCTGCTCCAACACCACTCGACAAGGACTTTGAAGACAAGCCAAAGGTCAGGCTAGATGGAATAGCCCAGTATCTCGATCTATGTAAAGAACATGACAAGGACTACACTCCTACTGAAACCGCTCAACAAAGGAGAGAGAGAAAGGTATATACAACATCATGTTGCATTTTGCTTTTTTGTTGGTCTCGTTGTGAATTGTACATCATGCAAGAGTTCCTATTCAATTCTCATACATCATCAATTAACATCCACATCCATTCTATAGAAAAAGGAAAAGGCTGCTCAAGCTGCTGAACAAGTCAAAAAGGGCCTGGAAACTTGGAATCCACTCAAAGACCCCAATATAAAGTCAGACACTTACAAAACTATGATTGTTGCAAGACTGGTATGGATCATGTAGTGGTGTGAATACTGCCGAAGATACCGGTGAATGATGCTGAAGATCCCGTTTATTTATGTCCTTTGTAGGATTACAGGTGTACTGAACGAGACTTGGCTCAAGCATTCAATGATTTCGGTCCCATTCAATCTGTACGTCGGATTATTGACCTGCTGTGTTTTGAACTGCATCCACATCTGCATGGTCTTCTCCCCTTGCTTGCACTCAACCATTTCTCATGCCAAACCATAGATCACAATCATCAAGGACAAAATAACCGGAAAACCACGTGGCTACGCATTCATCGAATTCAAAAACGAAAAAGACATGAAGGCTGCCATCCAATACGCTGACGGAATGAAAATCCTCGATCGTCGCATTCTAGTCGACGTAGAACGTGGTCGATCCGGTGTAAACTTTCGTCCTCGTCGCCTCGGTGGTGGGCTGGGCGGTACCCGTATTGGATCCAAACATGACAATTATGTAGGTAAATCCCCGAATGATCCTCTGGTTGCCCCGTCTCGTGCTGGCGGCCCTTCCTATGGTGATCGAGACAGAGGATTTGGTGGTGGTGGCGATAGGAGAGGTCCTCCACCCCCTCGCAGATATGATGATAATAGAGGTGGTGGTGGGTTCGGAGATAGGGATCGTTCATCGTCATCCTATGGAAGACCCAATGATCGTGATCGGGGATATGTTAATAGAGATGCTGATAGGTCAAGAGATGGTAGGGATTATCGTGATGATCGTCGTGGTGGTGGAGGCGACCGTGGTGGTGGTGGAAGGAGTGATGGTGATCGTGGTCGTGATGCAGGTAGAGGTGGTGGTGATCGTGATAAGAGAGATGATAGGAAGAGATCTAGGAGTCCTCGTCGTGATAGGTAAGTTAAGAACGACATCGTTGAGGAAGAGTGTTTTGGTTTTATTTGTTGTCGTCTTTCTTTTTGGTTTTGAAATACCATGGTGAGCATTATACATGGTGAGAATTATACGGGCAATGAAGGCAATGCAAAACAACCCGAAATGCAAGAAATCGCAAGTATTATTATCACAATCAAAGAAGTGGAGTATGAATCTTTTCTTTTGTTTTCTTCTCAAAGGTGGTGAGTATCAACAGTGCTAGACACATCAAACCCCTCCGAAATTCAAGTCATCTCCAAGACCCTAGTATAACTGTAATTCGCATGAAAAACAAGTATCTTGCTCCTTTTGTTGTTAAAAAGCTGTAGAAATAAAGATTCAAAACATTCAGAAGCAAAAAATAGAGAACTCAATCGTGTATAGTCCATCTAACTTTAGCGCCTTTCGATAGGCTTTCAACATGCAGTCCAACCTTGAATTTAAGATGCAGCGAGAACCCACTCACTAAGCCTGAAACAGTTCCGTTGTCACGAAGAAGCGAATACCATGTATCGTTGGTATCAAAGATACATCAAAGGCCAAAAACCCACACAAGATGGTCAAACCAGTTCGTTTTTTAACAAAGAATTCAACTACAACTGTGATTCTTTGTTGATTATGACAAACTTAAAAATAACAACCTACAAAGCATAAGCGACAAAAGCAAATGCACAAATCCAAATCCTTCCTATACAATGTTCATAAAACCCCCCATCCCCTCCCTACTTTGACTGTTCACCGACCCTCCGTTCCAAACTTGCAACAACATCAACCAACTCCTCATTTCTAGCCTCTAGATTCCTAATAAACTCAACAGTACGTTCCAATATCAAACTCTTGGAACTACCACCTGCTCCTCCCTTCAATCCAGGCACCAGATCAACAAGTGATGCAAATCCATTTCGTAATAAATCTCGTCGTTTCTGTTCTGATGCGATATGGTTTGCTCGTTTCTCATCTTCGGTTAGCAAGTCTCGACCTGATCGTCTTTTGCTGGCCGCACTCTGGCTGTTACGTCCTCCACGTCCTCGTGGGTTGACTGGTCCATCATTGTTTTCACTCTTTACTTGGACGGATTCACTACCAGAGGCTTCTTCAGAGCCTGCTTGATCTGCTGCAGTGGTGGTGTTGTTGGGAGTGCTGATACTATTGCTATTGTCACCTTCATTGTTGTAGTTGGTATGGTTGGTATTATTGGGTGTAGCTAATCCAGAGCTAGTCTGAGATACAGCACGTTTACCACGTCTGTTTCTGGAAGCTGGACGAGCAGCAGCACTAGCCTTCTTACTACGAGATTGCCTTCTACTTTTAGGTCGAGCTTCAAAAGCATCGTCATCATCATCGTCCTCTTCTGGCTCTGGTTCTTCTTCGTCCGCCTCTTCTTCCTCTTCTTCTTCATCGGAAGATACTGGTCGACGAGTTGCTACCCGAGGTCGTTTCTTAGCTGAAGCTCGTTTGGGACGGGTTGTTTCAATCTTTACAGACACAGGTGACGGTGTTGGTTGTTGTTCTGGTTCTTTGACTGATAGTATAGCGGCAGGTGATCCAATACTATGTGCCAGAGCTGCAGGAGACGATGGCTTACCACTTATAACACTACTATTACCACCACTACCAAGACCACTACTACTACTACTGTTATTTATACCGTTTATGGATGGATTTGATAATCGTTTACCAGCTGATGATGATGAGATATCTTGCATAGATGCTCCAACAGGATTATATTCCTTTCTCTTATCACGTGGTTGTGGTCCTACTAGATGCTTGTTAGGTTTTTCTAACTGATCCCTGTCAACTACTGGCGGTGCGGGTCTATTGTTCACTACTGCATTGCGACCATAAAGCGAATCTTGTTGTGCATGTTGAGCTAGGTTTGATAATTGTTGAGCAGCCATTATTTCTCCTTCTAAAGATGCCCTGCGATTCATATTTACACTACTCTTGGTATCGACAACTGTAGGCGGTGGAGGAGCTGGTGCTGGTGGGAAGCTACTAGGCATAGGTAGTAATGGTGATGGTTGAAAATTGTGTGGACGACCTTGGCTTAATTGAAGCGGTAAATGTTGCTGGTGTGGTGTCTGAGGATAACCATACATTAATGGTTGAGTATCATGTAATGGTAACGGTCCAGTTGGTACTGAAGGTGGTATACTATTGCTAACTAGGGGATTGCTAAATGGTGCAGCGTTATATGACGATGATAGTGCTGACGACGATGCAGAAGATATTGGTTGTCCAGCACCAGTTGGTTTATTAGCATCTGTTACAGCTTTTTCTGGCGAAGGTGCTTGTTGCTGTGGTGTATCATCTACCATCAGTTTCGTTAAAAAATCTTCCCAGTTTTGCCATTCTGTTGGATCTAGCAATGAATCCGTCTGAGGATTGTGCAGAGGACTAAATCGAAGATATTCATCTGCTAATGCTACTGGCAGATCTGATGGGAAGGTGTATTGCGTCGATGCACCTGTATATTCAAAATATTTAGATGAACTGGCCCTGAAGCGAAACAAAAGGGATGCACTTTGCACTGACCGTCGAAGTACGAAGTGGCAGGAGGTATCGGTGGAGGTATTGGAGATTGGCTAGGCATAATATACGATGCCATTTCATGTTCTGCGAAGAATTCAAGGTATACAATTAGTGAGCTGCACCATGATCTCACGATATTAGCACGATATTACCGGTCTGGTATCTACCTCGTCCGTTACTGCCAGCACTTGAGACTCTGCTCCTTAACCTTTTACCCTCTTCTTCATCAGACAGCTTTCGTTTAAGTGATTGTTTGCTACTACCAGGGTTCATAGCGGCCAAGAAGGGAGGGTCAGAGGCAGGAGATGCAGGTGGCGATAGCTTATTAACTGGTAGGACAACCGGCTTCTCAGCTGGTGCATCAATAGGAGGAATTGAAGTAGGTTTATAGGCAAAAGAGTTTGATGATGAGTATATATGATTGTAGGGAGATGTTTGGTGGGAAAGTTGATGATGTTGAATGTCAGGTGTTTTGTAGAATGAGGCCTGTGCCGTATTTGGTATTCGGCTCATATTAAGAGCGTAGTTTCAAGATTGAGCAACTCTACAATATTACAGTGCTCGTGGTTAGCATAAGAGGTTTGCAGACTTGAAGTTTTAACATGTGAACGGTGAACAGGCAAAATGACGGCTTCATAGAAAACTAGTACTGCTCTCTAAGCAACTAAGAGCGTTCAACTGACAGGAGCCCACGACATTTACATTCACCGACTGACATTCACACTCTTCAAGTTGACATGAGCTTGTTTTGTTGTGGTTTACATGTTCACTTCCAACAGCCATGATGGTCTTCTTCTAGTAACTCGACTTACTTTGATGCAAACTTCCACTGCCCAACCGTATCGAACTATGCTTTACTTGTCTTGACCATTCATTTGATGCTGGTCAGTAAGTGCTCTGCTCTTTGAGAATGTGAACGAGTTTGCAGAAAAACGCGAGCAAGGACGAACGCATTTATTGAAAGGTGGATAACATTATCATCGCGATCAAATACGCAATGTTCTCATACGATTGGGCGACATCGTTTAATGTTCACATCATTCTTGGATTGTAATCTTCCCATACAAAATCGAGATCTAACAGAATGGCAGACGTGGAAGCTGCTCCTGGCGATACCCCTGTAGAGACCGAGAATGCACCGGTCGCTGCTGCTGCTGAACCATTGTCTTCTGAAATTATCGCTGGATGTCTTTCGAATCTTTCTCGTACTTCGAACGGATTGTCTGTCGCGTACACAAAGCTAGATTGTAGATCAAAATCCATCGCTGATATTGATCTACTCAGGAACTTTCACCATCTAAAGTTTGTGGTGTGTAATATCAAACATTTGTTCCATTGCATTGAATGTAAATACCGTAGCTGTTCCCATCCTGATGCACTCACCGCATTAGGATTTATCGGATAATGCCATAAAGAATATTGCGCCCCTTGGTCCCTTGGATAATTTATTGACCATGGAAGTCAAGAACAACCAAGTCAAAGCAGTACCCATTGATCTAGACGCCCGTAAATACTTGCAAAGAGCAGATTTATCTTCAAACAAGATCGAATCCTTTGATGTAAAGAGCTGGCCTCTTTGTCATTACTTGAATCTGAATGGTGTGTTGCAACTTGTGTGTGTGTGAAAGGCAATTCCAATCAAGTGTTCCTCACCCGTCCTTGAAACATTTCTAAACAGACAATCAGTTGGAACAGCTACGTTTGCCTGACTTCCCCCAACTCTATCATTTGGAAGCTCGAAACAACAAGCTGAACAACACCGGTGGTATTGGAGCACCTCTGTTGCAAAAACTCTACCTTGTATGATCTATTACCGTGTCTTATTCAACGAGAGTATTTGGTACTGAATTGCATTTTTTTCGCTTCTAGGCTGGAAATCAAATAGACACCATTGTCGGTTTGGAAAGTCTCACTAAACTAGAGTTCATGCATTTACGTGGCAACAAGATCTCACGCTTGGACGGGTTCTCAGCCAATAATGTGGCCCTTACTGGTCTCAATCTGAGGTAGATGAAACGGATATGGTTGTAACGTTGCCTCAATTTGCTCACATACATGCTGTTTATAGGGGTAATCTCGTTTCGGATCCTAACGAACTCGACAAACTCACAGTACTACCGGCATTGACCAAACTCACATTGTCTGAAACTCCACTTGCCGAGAACTCACACTACCGCTTGGAAGTTGCCATGAGACTGAAGAACCTAACTATGCTCGACAAGATTGAATTCACACCTGACGAACGCGAGGAAGCTGTGCAATACAAGGAACAATTAGAAGGTTTGTGTTATAATTCCTTTGTCGTTGATCTCGCACATTGGGTGATTTGATAAAGGATAACGTTTACTGACATGGCGCTTCATTGGTCGTTCTAGCTGAAAAGGCAGAGGCAGCTGCAGCATTAAAAGCAGCCCAAGAGGAAGAGGAACGTTTGAAGCTAGAGGAGGCTGAAGCTGCTAAGGCTGCTGCTGAAGCTGAAGCTTTAGCAGCAGCAGCACCTGCTGAAGCCCCGACCGAAGGTGGTGAACCGGTTGAAGGAGGAGAAGCACCTACAGCAGGAGAAGAACCTCCTGCAGAATAAAGGCCAAACGACGAGAACGAAGAGGAATGTACATATTTGTAATGCTTTTTGTGCCAAACTACAAGTAGAGCGTCACGAACGCTGTAGATCAAGGTTTTACCAAATGCGTCCCTTGCTGGTGATGTGCGTGTTTGCGTTAAGCTGTTTGACGTGATCCGCACGTTGCGAACAATTTTACATAGAATGATACGTCTAAAATATCTCGCCGTAGTCAAGAAAAGAAACAAACTTTTCGACGGAGGTTCTTTCAATCTTCTCAATCACACAGGTGAAACGGCTGCCGAGACGAACTTCCCCATTACGTCAAGAAATGGCTACGAAGGTCCAGCAAATGTATGAATATCCGCCTTTCGCTAATCTATTGAAGCATTCGGTGTCCCAAAAGACTGCGTCTGCAAACGACAAGAATGGTGAGTGCCGGTTCGACCAGGAAACCTCGAAGTACGGAGAGAGAGGATCCGGCGATCTTGTGCGTTGAAAGTGTAATCGGTGGTCTATCCTGGAGAGTCGAATATCAGGCTACCTGCAGAACGTCACAGTTCCTGACTCAACATTTCAGTGGTTGTTTGGACGAGAGAGAACCATACCAAGAAATGTTGGAGGCAACGATAGATATCGCATATGTTGCATTGAATTTGAAGATCTTCGCAGCTTTACAGTGAAATAACCCTATCCTTTGGGTGCTTTTACAAACAGGTTAGAGACTCACTGATCTCTCACTTTTATAGACTACTGCCTGATGGCGTCTTGCAATGCAAACGGATCTCCGTGCATGAACAAGGTTGTCTTACTCGACATACTAGCTTCTGATCCCAGGATCTTACTCTTTGCAGGACAAGTAAAGAACGCCGATTTGATGGCAGTCTGCAAGGTCTCTCCTTCACATGAGATCCATGTATCGCGAGGAGACGATGTGTTTATATTGTCTGGAAAGATAAACGTTGTTGCAAGCCATGTGGTTTCTTCAAGGTTTCGTCCACCAAGGTACGGATTGATGGTTCTATCAGATTGATTTGATTCCATAAACTGATCGTATATCTATTGCTACAGATTGATTCAACTGCCAGATGACGCTTCAGATCCAGACGAGTTTTGGGACAATGAAAGACTACGACAATGGAAAAAGTTGAACCAAGGATTTAGGTCCACTTTCACCTGGCCGAATCCAGGAGAAATTGCAAAACCTCGCTTCTCGCATCTCATAAGCACAGTAGACGTTGGATTCCGATATCTCAAACTCGACGCAATTACAGAGACAAAGACACCACAATCATCGATTATGGGAGCTCCTGGTGTTGCTGGGAATAATGGGAAGGAAGGCGCTCGAAATAATCTAGGAGGGATGATTGGGTCCACGAGCGGCATACCGCTTTCGAGAGATGAAGAACTTCGTATGGTGCATGATGCAGCTTTAGACGTACGTGACTCTCTACATTTCTGACTACTAGATCCAGTTGCTTTCAAGTTGCTAACTTTCACTCGATTTCACAGAACTTTGCTCTCTTGGTCTTTAAGATAACACGAGTAGACCATCTCGACCAGTCGGAAATGCCGCCTAGGCGAACACTGTTTGAAATGTCAAAAGATGGAACATGGAGCTTCTCTGAAATCAACCCATAGTCGATTGAACTGGGGTGTCAACTTAGAATATGTTTGTAAAGACTTGTAGTATGGGTATACTGGGGTTGTTGATACATTTGCATAGTAAAACAGAAACGCACAAATTATACATTATATAAAATAAAGGATTCCTCATATCAATTCAACCAAAACCATCTCTTTTAATGCTTCAATTCAATTCTCTGTCCAGGAACCCAGTCCTCAATAGCCTTGCCAATATTATCCCAAAATTGTAATTCCACCGTCAAATCTCTCGCCTTTTGGTAGTCCCCTTTATCAAATGCATCCTGTAAACCGAATTCAGCTCTTATTCTTTTCTTGTCGTTGACAGCTTTGACCTTTAGGACTTCATCATCTGTTTCTGCTGATTCGAGGTCTTCTCGTATGTCCATTACGGCAGCGAGGAGGTCTGGGTTTGTGAGGGATTCGGATTCCGATATTTGAATTCCGTGTAGATTTAGCTAGACAAGGTGAAAGAAAGATCGATGTCGGTCTTCAATTAGAAGTCGTGAATACAGGCATTTTTGGTCCATCGTTCAACATACCATATACAAGGCACGCGTCAACGGATCCCTCAGCACTTCATAAGCCTTGTTGAGCTGTGATGATTGAGCATCAGCAAATGATCTTTCGGTCTATCAAGAAATGAGGATTAAGCGTTAGCAAATGGCACTAGTCAGTTTTGAAGCACAGTCCTTCAACTTACATCAGATCTCCCCACCACACCATCAGGATGCACCTTCCTCTGTAGCTTAATAAACGTACTATGCATATCCCGTAATGGCACCTCAAATCCTTCCTTGAGTCCAAACGTCTCAAAATACGACTGATCTCGTACAGGCTGTACAACACCACATATCGTCTTTTCACAATGTAGTTTGGAGGGTGCTGTTAATGGCGTGTGGCATCTCCAGCATTCGCTCTTATTATGGGCTGAATGTGATTTGGACGAGTCGGTCGATGTGTTGTGGAATCGGTTTGTGGTGATGCGGATTTGGTGAGGGGTAAATCGAGCTCTAACGGGCTGGATTGTGTTGATTTGATATACGTTTATGAGTGCTCGTAGTGCTGTATAGTGTCTACTGGCCATGTTTCGTAAAGACATTGTTGGCGATTTGCAATCGTGATATTTAAAGTTGTCAAGTTCAAGGTTTGTCAGCGTTACTCGTCTGATATTTAAGGTATTATTTACTTATTTTTTTCTACGCGACCTCACACTATTTACACGTATTATGCAGTCCGACGAATTCTTATGAGGGTTTCTTGCGTCGTGAAATAACATGATTCAGTTCATCGACTAAAAGTAGCTGCTGCCGTAGATCCAGAGCACCAGCCTTTTGGATCTTCGAGTTTTCCTCAGAGACAGATATTTTCATCTAACACCAAGAAATTAGGATACAGCTGATGAGTAGCTGAATTTGGTTTGCTTCTACAACTTACCTTACTACGCCTCTTCACACCTACATCCACTACAATGGCTGCTTCTCCTTCAAACAAAAGTGGGTCGTCCTCTGAATTTCCCGTTAAATCGGATCTACAGTTCTCCTCCTCCTCTTTTACAGCCGTTGTCGCAACTGATATCTCCTCTGATGAAGCACAGGGAATCATAGAGTAACCAAGTTCCCAGTCTTTAAGTAGAGTTGATAGTTCTTTTCCAGCATCTTCATACTCCTGTCGAGCCGATATCCAATCATGCTGTTTACATGATTCATGGCAGAGCATCAATCGCGCTTTGGCTGTGTGTAGACTAAGATCTGCGTCACGTAAGAAGCGGCTTAGTGGAGTAGACTGCATGGAGTGTTCAGTTGATGGTTTAGAAGACGGTTTGGGTGACTCGAAGCCTATCGAGATAGAACATATTGGTGTTTTCTTTTTGCCCAAGGACAACTAATTTATGAGAAATCAACTTACAAAGTATGCGATTGAGTTCACGTTCAATTAGATCAGCTTGGGAGTCTACAAAATCATGTGACATGCCAGATGGCAAAAGAATGTACACACTCTCCTCTATTCGCCGGAGGATTTCGATACTCTCTAAGAGGACTTCTTTAAAATGTGACTGGAGGTCTTTAAGTGACGCAATCGAATCATCAGCATCATTGACTTTATAAGTTTGCTGAGAGAGTTTGTTTAACACGTTCCGCATTGATTCCTTGACCAGCACTCTGAGTCCAGGAAGCCGTTTTGCAGAAACTCTAAAGCTCTGTTCAATGTTGGATATTGGGGCCATTGGAGACGATCTGAAGCAAGTTATGGAGTATTTTGTTGGATTCATGATTCAAGCAAAAACTTATGCAGTACTTTCTCTCTCACAGTCGATAACCTCGAGCCAATAACTCTGCTTCCTGAATAAGACGAATAGCCTTTGAGGTAATCTTTTCCAAGCGATTTATGGAGACAGCAAAGAGCCTGAGATTCGAAATAAAGCGCTCTTTTATGTAAACGTGGGAGATTCGAATCTGCATGGAAGTGTCGTTAGGTTGACACAGACATAAACATAGATCAGTTTACATACAGTTGCCAGGGCCAAGAACAGCGCCGAAACGATGCCAAAGAGCCATCCTTTTTGAAAGAGAGCAAGAAAGCTTGACGCAACTATAAGAATCAGCCATGGATTGGAAACTGTTCTCTCCACTGTTGATCGTAAGGCTGATCGTGTCAAGATTGCATCTTGAGGGTTTGAAATCAAGTACTCGATGCACTCATCAAACACTGACAAACGAGAGCCATCGTTGGATTTGAGTAGAAACGGTTGAAGCAAGGTCAGCTATGTAATGGATGAGAATTGTGTCAACAAGCGCGGCGTAAATGTGTAATGTTTCAAAGATATTTACATGACTCCAATATGAGATTGATTGTGGATGAGATTGATCATTAGCAGACACGAGGGCATCCTCTTCTTGAAGTGCTAAAATAATCACGTTCAATGTTGTTGGGTCGCTACGTATAAATCACGTTCATAGGACAAAAGGTACCTTTAAAGTAGTCAGCGAGTGGTCCATCATCATAGACTAGAAACTCTTCCAACACGTTGTTTGACTGTACACTCTCCATCTTCGTCCTCCAACAAGACAATCAATAAACATGCCAATTGCCTCGAATCAAATGGATTCAGCCAAGATCATAGCAGCATCGCACAAGCATCCACGACCAAATACCGTATTCACTTATGGAACTGCTGGGTTTCGCATGCAGTAAGTCCAATTCAAACGAATGTTGAATTTGTCGTGATATTGAATTTGCTAGCAATAAACTGATTGTTTAAACCACCAAATTAGTGCCAATAAATTGGATTCAGTCATGTTTCGAGTGGGTTTACTAGCTGTTTTGAGGTCCAAATTCCATCATGGTCGCGTCATTGGAGTTATGGTCACCGCTTCTCACAACCCTGAAGAAGTCAGTGCCTTTGCCTGTTCTATCTTTGATCTATGAATGCTTCACGTTTCCTTACCATATTTGCTACAGGATAATGGTGTCAAATTGGTTGAACCCTTGGGAGAAATGTTGGTTCAAGATTGGGAGGTTTACGCTACTCAACTTGCAAACGCTGCTACTGATGATGACTTGATCAGTGCCGTCAATGCTATTGTCACAAGTCAGTCTCTCTCCATGTCCACTCTTGCTCGTGTTATCATCGGTCATGATACTCGGTATGTACAGAGTGCCAAAAACCTAGGCTTCACCAGTAGCCAATTACAAGTCGCGTTGACCTTAACCTCTTTCGTCAATTCAGACCAAGCTGTCCTGTTCTGTTAGCTTCACTTCAAGATGGAGTAGACGCTTTGGGTGGCGAACTCATTCAAGCTGGATTGAAAACCACCCCTCAACTTCACTACCTGACTCGATGCTTGAACACGGCTGGAACTCCCGATGCTTATGGTGAACCTACTGAAGAGGGCTACTTTGCAAAGCTATCTGAGGCATACAAGCGTATTGTGGTATGTGGAATATTCTGTCCGTTCCAGTGATGTGGCGATATTGGCAAACGGTGTTTTGGCCAACAGGACAAGAACGCACCAAAAACACAAGTGACGGTAGATGCAGCAAACGGAGTTGGTGCTCCAATGATGAAAAAGCTCATCGACGTCATTGGCACACAACATCTCAATGTCAACCTCGTCAACGATGCTGTTTATGTCCCTGGAACACTGAATCACGATTGTGGTGCCGATTATGTAAAAGTAGGACAAAAGCCACCTGTTGGCCTTGATTTGAAAGTTGGTGAACGGTATTGCTCTCTGGACGGTGATGCTGATCGTATTGTTTACTACTACAAGAGTCAAGGTAGCATAGCATAGCAGGCATTCTTTGGACTGCCGCTTTTATCGCATCACACATGACATACATGTCCATTTATAGATGACATTTTCAGGCTTCTTGATGGTGACAAGATTGCTACTTTGGCTGCAGGATTCATTATGGACTTGGTTCGAAAGTCGAGCGTCAAAGTCACTCGAAGTGATTCAAGTGTCTCTGAAGTTCATGTTGGATTGGTGCAAACTGCATATGCTAATGGCAGCTCTACAACATATGTCAAGAACACGTTGGTGAGTATTTGTTGTTCTCGTAGTCATCCATTTTTATTTGGACTTTGGTGCAAAAAAAACTGAAAATGCTATATTTCAACAATAGAATGTACCTGTCGTCTTTACTCCAACTGGTGTGAAATATCTGCATCACGAGGCAGAACATTTCGATGTAGGAGTCTACTTTGAAGCAAATGGCCACGGCACTGTTCTATTCAGTCGTGAAGCTATACGCGCATTCAAATCTTCAAAGGGGTAAATGCGTGCCGATAGTACGGAGACGTTTTCACTGATTATCCATCACTTTCTAGATCTACCACTGAAGCACAGGATGCGTTGGATACATTGGTAGCCTTGACTGATCTCATCAACCAAACAGTTGGTGATGCGCTGTCAGATATGTTGATGGTTGAAGCTATTCTTGCATGCAAGAATTGGTCACCTTCAGACTGGGATGCTGGATACACTGATTTGCCAAGTAGACAAGAGAAAGTCAAGGTGGGACAATTAGTGATGTCCATTCTGATAATGATTTACCCTCATTTTTCTTTTGTCGCCTTCTTAGGTCTCGAATCGATTGGCGTTTGTTGCAATCAACGCTGATACTGAATTAGAAAAGCCGGATGGATTACAAGCCAAGATCAATGAGCAAGTGGCCAAGTTCCCTAGTGGGCGCTCGTTTGTCAGGTACGTGAAAGCGGTTACTTGCCTCTGGATGATGTCTTCCAACGTTCCAATACGAACTTCAACAATCATAGACCATCTGGAACTGAAGATGTGGTACGCGTTTACGCGGAAGCAGACACACAAGTCAATTGTGACCTATTGGCCAACACGATATGTGGCATCGTGTTTGATGAGTTTGGAGGAGTTGGTCAACGACCTGAAAAATTTGTCAAGCTGCATTGAGCTTAAAGAGCTAAAACTAGATCCAAGTTCTTGATTGTAAAAAATTGATTTTTTAATACTTGTACATCGCGTGAGAACGCGAACACTTCGAAAATCGAAGCACTGTTTTCGCACAACAAGCATTCTACTTCGAAAGCACAGAACGGCAGAGAGCTTGGGATTTTACATATTTTACGAGGACTACGCAGCTCTGTAAATGTCAGAAGATTTCGGCCCGTTGGCAGGCAATGATGATTTCGCAAAGGCATTTGCTCAAAGGAGGATTTCCAGTTCTGTCGATCCATGGAATACAGGGTCCACTACGAATTCAAATGCTCATTCTCCAGTATCGGTATCTCGTAAGTCTACTCGCTTTACTTTCAGATCCTTTCTGTGCTGGCATCAACTGGCTTCATCTGTTTAAAACACATCTTAACACCTCTTGGGTTTTGTAGAAACTAGAACGGTGGACCTGGCCGCTAGCATGACAGCCGATGATGATCTCATATCCGCACACTTATCATCATCAAACATGTTTGAACGACCATCGACAAAACACAGCAATAATCATACAACAGACGACACTTCACCATCGTCTACATCCACAGGCCCATCTTCATCAATCGAATCAGACGATCCATGGAGTCATCAGGGAGCTACTCCTGCCAGGAAACAAGCTTTAATAGCTAGTAAACCTGTATCTGTCTCAGAAACCGAAGGATATGTTCCAAGTTCACCTCCATCACATAATCAAAGGCATGTCGAGTTTGGTGGTGTGTCGTTTGCTGAGACTCCTCCTCAGAGACCACATGTGAAGAGTACAAAGTTGCCTGATTTGACGAATTATGTTGCAACGGCGTATCCAGTCAAGGTACCAACTTGATTTTGTTGTAGCTGTTGGAAGCAATGCTGATAACAATGGTACAACATGTTAGGTCATGACGGCTCCTGAGAAGGGTGGTGTGGTTTTCAAGCATGTGCAATATGTTGTTGAATGTTCGGTAAGGGCCGTAAGCTTTTCTACCTCTGAGTCATGACATGGCACTCAAAATTTTTGAACTCAAAGCTACCACCTGCACGCGTGCTTCGACGGTACTCGGACTTCGTATGGCTGCTAGACGTTCTCAGCAAGCGGTACGCATTTCGATCATGTAAGCTCAAAAAGCTTTACCATAGTTCACACGAACGCCCTTTCGAGCTTCAAGGTCTTACGTCATCTCGTCGATAGTACCAAGTCTCCCTCCCAAAAAAGTCAATGCTCAATCAGACGAAGCCTTCCTTGAACGCCGACGTAGAGGTCTAGCTCGCTTTTCAACCTTCATAGTTAACCATCCTGTGTTGAAGGAAGATGTAACAGTTGGAGCATTCCTACAATATGGATCAGATATTGCCACGTATAAAAAGGGACACAATCTGCCTATTGATGAAGAATATGTCGATGCAGATTTCGGTCCAGCAGAAATGGACTCGCTACCTTCTGACTTGGATGACCGATTGGCTAGTTTGAAGGGCAATCTGGATTTTCTGAGTGATCAGTATAAGGAGTTATGCACGCTTATGGAAAAGATATCGAGAAGGGCAGATGGTATGATCTTGTTGAATTCGGCTGCCAACTTTCAAATCAATCTAAGATTTTATACCTTTTTTTGCAGGATCCTCCCAGGACTTTATGAGATTTGGATTTGTGCTCAAGTGAGATTTCAACTCTCTAGTATTCGTAATTGTGACCTTACTGACAATTTCTATTGATAATAGTGCATTGACTGAGAAGCCAGATTGTCAAGAACCAGAGTGTTTCAACTGTACGATCACAAAACCACCAACTTTGTTGCCATCGACGTTTACAATCTCTCCATTTTAGGTCCTCAAATCAATCATGGATTTTCTCACATCGCTGGAGGCTTACAGAAAATATCACGCCTCATGGAAGAAGAAGCGTCCAGCACCTTTGATGGGGTGCTCGAGAGCCTGAAAGCTCATCGAGATTTGCTCATATCGTTGCAGGTAGTCAACGATTGAAGTCGGTACGATCTAATCAACTCAATAGTTTTTTGTTCGTTGACACAGGAATTGTTTCAACGACGTGACAAGGCGATCATTGCACAACATGCAGCTATTGATGCCCTCAAGAAACGCATGACACAGAACGATACCAAAGCAAAAGATCTTGCATCAAAAGGAGGACAGCAGAAGGAAGTTGAGAGGTTGGAGAACTGTATCATTCAGGTAATAAGTCCGTATTGTCGGAGTTTGCCTTTTTCCCTCTCATGAATCCCTCCCTTCTCCTAATTAGGATCGTCATGAGCTTGAATGGCAGTCGCACAAGATTGATTTCATACGTTTCGCATGCTGGCAAGAAATGACATGTTATCATGCTAGAAAAGGATTTGTCTCTGGTCTATATCAAAACTATGTTCGAGATCAGGTGAAGTACAGTCAGCAAATGTCAAGTATATGGGAAGAGCTTGGGGCCAACATATCTGAATTGCCAACATCTTTCTAAAAAAGCATTGTAAACGAGAAAGATATAGCGAGAATGTAGATATGCTTTTGTGAAGTAAAAGGAACACTACAACAGAGAATTGGCAAAATAGATATATAGTATATAGTCCGAGATAGTAATTATTTACTACTTAGTACAGAGGGAGTTTCTACCAGGAAGATGAAGTTGGAATCGCTTCCTTTTCCTTGTTGTAATCTTGAACTTTGGTTTTCAAGTCTGGGTCAACAAAGAGGTCTATGAGAAAAAAAAAAACGTCAACACTGTGACGGGGAAACAAATGCTTGCAATAACAAGAATACCTGACGTGAACTCTTGCACATTGGTTGGTTGCTTGAGCAGTATTTGATGCAAAACATACTACGAAAAATGCAAACGTTAATGTCGTTGATCTTAACCACGAAACGATAGATCTAAGGCATGAGCATGCATGTTTTGTTGTTACTTGTATGATATGCCTTATTTCTGGATGTGCTCGTAGGTATTTCTCATTGTCTATTCGTTGTGCGATCTATCAAAATTATTTTGACTTTCAGTTGACGATTTTGGGGATTCTGATGGCGCAGGGTAGCTTACTGCATCTAATTTCAATTGTTTCATGAACGCATCTTGATATGATGTCTCTGGTTGGACTGCTTCTTTGGTTTCCTCCATTACTTCGTGTTTTTTGGAAGCTGCGAATGATTGAAGGCGTTCATACTCGATCCCTAAACCAGAACATGTGCAGAGCATGATTTTCAATTGCCAAGTCCACGCTTCCAATCAACAATCAACGAAAAACGAAAAAAGTCTGCGAGACAAGTGCACTGAATGATTTAAAAAGTCTAAATATTTTATAACAAGTTTGGTGGTTCTACTTCCATTATAGTCCGCTAAATCCTTACTTTATATTCTCTTTTGCAACACAAGCTATGTCCTCTCTTGACCTGCTTATTCAATTTCAAGTTTGCCAGACAACTTGTTAGCTAATGCATCCACCTCATCATCCTGATCAGCTTCAGGTTCCTTTTCTTCTTCCTCCTCCTCCTTATCTTCTTCCTCGTCCTCTTCATAATCCATATCATCCAGCTCGTCAAGAGCATCAGGATGATCATGAGACCTCAATATATCCTTTATATGTTGAACGACACTTGATTCAGCATCAAATGCGTTTCCATTCAGTTCCAGCATGGCAAGACTCTTTTTATTGGTAATCATATCGGGTATAAGTGCAGCACCAGCTGTATCAATTTCCCCAAATGCGAGATTCACACGTTCGAGTAATTCGTGGCCTGGTGTCAATGCTTTTATAATAGCAGCTGATCCTTTTATACCAAGTAGACAGTCACCGATGTTCAAATGTCGTAAGTTATTGGTGAATACGGGTAGCGCTTTTGCGAGAGCCATTGATCCTGTATCTGTAAATGTATTATCTTGTAAATCCAAGGTTTCGAGTTGGGTGCAATGTGCGAGTGCTGATGCGAGTATTTCAATTCCTTCGGGACGTATCGAGTTTTGTGGCATACGTATTTCTGTCAAGCTGGCATGAGCAGCAAATACTTTTGAGAGGTGTTCTGCGCCCTTTGATTCGAGACGATTGCGACCTGCGATAAAGACTCGAAGAGATGATGTTTTGCCTTCCTTGACATTCGTTTCTTGGGCTTCTAGCAGAGCTGATGCGATCAATCGTCCTCCTTCAATACCTAGCGATTTGGTGAAGATGAGCTGCCAAGTCAATAAAGCAAAAAGACATTGGACATAACCACATACCCAATCCATTATTGTTGAAGCGTAATACTTGTATATGTCGATTATTGGATAAGAGTCTCATCAAAGGTTTGGCACCAGCAGGACCAAAAGCATTGTCAGACATGTCGACTTCAACAAGGTGCTCTTTATCTTCCAGTGCTTCGGCAAAAGCATCCAATACCAATGGGATCTCTTCACGTAATCGGCCAGTAAACATGTCGGATAGATTTACTTTCTACAAAAGATTAGAACGTAGTAATTAGCAAAAAATGTGGGGTTTGATTTTTTAATGTCGATTGAAATTCACAGCAATTAGACGGGAAGACAGCTATAACATACCTGGATTAATATCTTATCTTTCAGAGCAGCAGCAAATGCTCTTCCAGCCTCGACTCCTACGGTATTCCCACTAAAGACTACTTCGCTCAAATTCTGGATTTGGTTCATTTCTGCAATCAGTTCCTGTGCATCCTCTGCTGTATTCAGCTTCAATCCTCGAGCTCCAATCGTGTATACGGTACTAGTCGGCATTTTCGATGATGCTTTTATTGGAGATGTTCCTATTGATGGGGTCTCAGTTGCCAACATTGTCCAATTAGGTGTTTGGTGTGTTTGCACAGTCGCTTGATCGATCAGAGCAGAAATTATGATGAGAAGAAGGGAATCGCGGCCGACACGCGACGGCAATACAAATCTGAATCTGTAAGGTTTGGCCTCGAATGCATGTTTACGCCGCCGACCTTCCAAAATTACCAAATTTCTTACTCTTTGGGAAGCCACTTCCAACGTGTAATCTCTAATAGACAATAGATACGTCTTGTAGATTGTTCAATTTCATTGAAAACCTCTGTCCAAAATTGATACGTAAAGGCCCTCTGCATTTCTCAACCCGGGCTTGGGACCGGCTATGGCAGCATTACCTACTGTATAGCTACCAACCACGTCAACGTGGATCCCCTCTATGCTTTAACGCCTCCTCGCTTGACAAGGTCATTTAATCTCAGCAGAGCCGAGAGAGTCCTTACCCATGTCACCAACCTCGGTCTTTCCGTCAATGGACGAGCTCACGAGGCGGAAGAGTGTTTATGGCACGATGAGCAGCTCATCTCGTGCGTATGGGTACTACTTACAGTTGCCCTGCTGCTGACGTTGGGAGGGTCATAGTCCTAGATCCATCCAGTTTTAGGCAAAGGGCACTTGGTTGAACACTTGATGTCAATATCTTACCGGAAAAGATACGACAGGCAGAGATGTGGATGGGCAATGAACGGTTCGGTTATCCTCCTTAGATTGCGGCCTTATTGACCTTGTAGTACTGGCCTGAGCTGCACAAACCAAAACAAGGATGTGAGTGATTTTGACGGCAAGTGCAAAAACAGTATCAACCCATGCTTTCATCAAAATGCCATGCTCTGAATACGTACCTACAGTGGTCTGGAGGTCTGGATCTTGCTCCTACAGACCGTCTGTCCAATCCTCTAGCGCTTGCTTGTTGGATTGGATGTTTGGAATGGAAAAATGGATTCGAGGAGAGTTGGACCTGAGACAGACACCAAAACGGCGTAAAAGGACTTTAACCAATCGAATCCATCGATGAATTGCTCATACAGTATTTGTGAACCAGTCGGAACTCATCAGATTTACGCTGTTGGACAAAATCTGCAGATGGACGCTATTTCGTATTTTGGTCGTTCCAGGAGAGAATCATGTCTATCCAATCAGCAATTTGTGGTGCTTCTATCAATGGCGATCTGCTGATGCTCTGAGAAGATGTGCGTACGAGCTGTTACGAGGGGCTAAACATTCAAGATTCTACTTGGACATTTAGTTGCAAGCTGCTACAGTCCTAACACTAAATTTCGTTACACTTGCGCTCACGTATTCGTTTCTTAGAAGCTTCACATGGGATTGGCCTGAACGGTGCTAGAAGTAGAAGCCACCGCGTGGGGGCCAAGAAATCGCTCGATTGAAACGTTCCCAAAGTTGGCCACGCTATTCACATGCCAGCCATTCACTAGCTGCTTTAGAGGACACATTGTCATATACACCGATTTCAATATTTTCAAGCTCTACGACTCTCGTTTATTGTTTTCGACGTTTGGGTGGGTTGCTGGGTATTAGAAATAACAATGCCATCTTTGTTGCGCCTGCTCACCTTCTCCTCGCTTATTGAAATGCCGGAGGTTTATGCCTCTCGCAAGACCGAATCGCTACGAGGAGACCCTCTCGAGAGCAAGCTTCGTATTTTAGTGCAATACGTACGATTCTTTCATATCGAGGATAGGTGCTGTCGTAATCATAAATTTAGTCATCCGGGATTAGCTCGGAATTTCCACTCACTGCATTTCCTCCGTAGATGTTCCTCTTTTGAAACCAAGTGATGAACCCACTTCAGCATCAGCCTTCCATCTTCGCTTCGGTGTGAAGTGGAATAAGTAATATTCAATCCAAAACACTTCCTCACTAAGAACACGGGCTACTCGTATTGAGTTAACGAAATGAGCACAAAGCATTGCGAGGTCAATTTCCGAGATATGGCATCCTGATTTTGCTACTTTGAGATCTCCGTGACCTTGCTGTGCACCTTTAATTGAACATGAAACGCACATCTTCAACGCTTCAATGGTGTAGGGGTATCATGCATCGTTGCCATTCCATAACTGGTTAATTTCGATGCGACACGAGTTCAAATCTCGTTTGAAGCATTTTTGGTGTGTAACGCCCATATTCGGTCTAACTGACATCGGGAAATCTTGGTGCAGGTTGTATCATCCGTAGCTCAGAACAGACTTTTTGACAAAACTGATTCGCCATACCGCATGTGTTGGCATGTCTTCAGGAACATTGAGGGCATTTACATCCTATGCCCATTTTCCCTGTGGGGAACGAGAAGCTAGTGAGTGGAGACTTAGTGATTTCAACATCTGCTTAAACTTGGTGATTTAAACATCTGCTCAAATCGAGGATGGACATGCAGCACCCTCATTGAATTGTCGCTAGTATCAATGATGGGTTGACGACAGGTTTTCTTTTATGGCATTACTTGGGTGCCACCCGCTTTGCCTAAATTTCAATAATACCAAGCAGTTTCTTCATGGGTCACAAACAACCTCTCTATCGGCTCGTAGGAAGGACGCCATGGCCCACATGGCCCAAACTGTGTTGTACTGTTTATCAAATTGGGTTTTGATGGGCATCGCCACGCTGTGTGTTGAAATTCAATACATTGAGTACCACATCATAACTCTATGGCTGCCTTGGAAACAGTTGGACAGATGTTTTCTGTGATCTGTTGTCATTGACCTTACTTGATTTTGTTTTCGCATTCAAGATGTCAAGATCTTTCTCTAGCCACATAAACTTTGAGGTCAGTCGCATCACAACACCATGCATACCTGACGAGTTTAATGATGGACCCTCAAATATCGTGTTTTTTGTCCGTTAAAATAGAATCTACTATGCAAACAATGGTTGAAATGGGCTCCACAATGTTAAATCGTTGGCAACGGCACGTCAAGCAGATACGATCGGAGCTACAAATGCATCATTTTGAAACCCATCCTGATACAACAACAAAAAACAGACCTGCTCCAATTTGAAAATGATAAATGTTGTATATTTTACTCCCTCTAAACGTTCTAATTAACTAACTACTTTTAATTAACTATGTACTAACCAAGTCCGTAGGCCATGTATCAACCCTCAGCGTTAATTTGTCAGTCCATGATTCAGCCATGCCCTTTAAAAGGACATCTTTCTCTTGGTATCGTTCCATAGCCCATTGTGTCAGTTTTTCAGGATCAGTCGGCTACAAGAGTTGATTGATAGGGTTAGAACGCTTACGTTTTGCTCACAAGAATGCAGGTGAAACCGGCAGCAACAAAACAAACATGAAACTCCTGCTTCTGCTTACCAGTGAATCTAAGGCATATCTCTTCACATGCACATGAAACTTGTATTCTCGGTCTAGAGAACCTGCGAAGACTCTTAGGAGACTTGGAGAATGTTGTAACCCTTTTGTGACGTGTTTGTACACGATGGTAAAGTCATATACGTGTTTGACATGACTTTTTCTGAAAGCCTATTACACAAAAATATAATATCAGCAACTTGTTGGTAAATGTATTCCACAGAGATGATGACTAACATTAACAGTAGCAATAAATCCTTTAGTTCTCGGTAAAAGGACTCGATCTAGCTGTGGTAGGCCCTTGTCTTTTGCAAAGGCGTGACTCTATAGTTGAAATACGTGTCAATTACCGCCCAAAAATCATGACTGCCAACTCATGATGCTTCCCAATCTGTACTTACTTCAGGCACCTTCTCAGCAGTGAATCTCGTACCCTCCAAATACGAAATCAGCCAAACGGGTAATTCCAAGTCTTTAATGTTTGCAAAGACCTTGGCAATTGTTTTAGAGTCCGACAACCAATTCCTAGCCATGAATGGCATTCCCATAGCCCACATTCCTAATGCGTGAGACATATTTAGTATATGGGTTGTTGGTAGGGTTTCAGAGGGCTGTTACAGCAGCATACCCCAGCCAAACAAAGGTATCTATGAAGATTAGATTGAGTTGGCTCGATACAATATGAATAAAATCTTGCATTCATACCCATTTGAGAGAGTCTTTGGCAAAGTACTTGCAGTTTCCCAACATTTTTCTTCGGTATGCTTGAGTATGTATCAGAACTGCAAAAGTAGATGATCGATGAGTATCGTATGTGCACAAGGAAGTGACAATGATGCATACAGAAGTCCGAGAAGCCGACGTGGTTTGATATGATGAGAGCATTTTCACCATCTGGGAGCTACGTGGCGGAGGTGTGAGTGCAAGTTCTACAGGAGCATGACTATACTTTACAGGAAGATAACATCAAGATCAAAGCAGGCTTACATGGTCGCCACTGAATGTGACTTTGGCCCGATCCAGACGTTCGAATATCTCTTGTAGGACTCTCCATACAAACCAAGCACATAGACAGTTGAATGCAGCCGTAGTCTTTGGCGCAAATGGCATCATTGCCAAGGAAACAAACTGGAGGACATTTAACACAATGGTCGGCCTAGGTTGGCAATATAATGTGAGTTAGCGTTTAGTGCAATGTGTCAAGGTATGAATGTTTTAGCAAGGAACAAGTGTATGAGGTGGAAGACAGGGTGACTTACGTGCATAGTCCTACTAGGAGGACGACAATCCGTAATGTGCTCAACATTTGCATCCTTTGTCTCTTATTAGTTGTTCCCTTAAATAGTCAGCTGGTTCAACTTGAAGATTTGCAATTTGCACGAGCTATTGGAACAGAGAGAGATAGGGAGTGTCAACTTGAAGCCGATGATGGAATGGACACGTGGAAGTGCTGCCTGTCAAGTAGATGCCTGTCAAGTTCAACTCAAGAACGTTGGAAATTGAATTTGAGGTTTTTTTTCTCTCATCGATTTACGGAGCCTTGGAGCTTCATGCCTGGCTTCACACCAAACAAGGTAAGCTTCGCCCTAAATGCATATACTGTATTGGATGCACATGTCGGGATGATGACAACAGTTATATCCATTCATTGAAGTACATCAGCATTGAACATCCCATCATCGAGGATATGGAGACTTGCTGGGTTTTCTGGCATCTCTCGTAATCTGACTTGATGCGCATGTTCTGATGCGGGGAATCCATCATTGGTTACCGTGATTGTGTTGGTTTGACATTCCGTTAGGACACACTCATACCTGGTTTTGACAACTCGGCTAGAGTTGTTGAGGCTAGTTGGTGCATCAGGTTTTGATGTGCCTTCTTATGTGTGTGTGCTATTGGGATGTCATCTCTTCGTCTTGTATCAGGTTTTGGTGCAAGAGGAGGAAGTCAATCAATCTGATGCCTGTGGTCAATTCCTTTCTTAATGGTACCTAAAGAGAAAAAGTACAGCCTGCTGACCGGATATGCATGGAAAAGATGCCGAAAGCTGTATACGAGAGAATCACAACCACACGGATCTAACAAACCACTCTTGACCTATTAGGTAAAGCTCTTCCAAGTTGTGACCTTCATCCATTTTCCTGGGACTGATATCAACCTTCCATGCGGTTACGCTCAGAAATTCAATGGAGATCTATGACCTGATGGTCGTGATATGTCTCTGTTTCCAGCTTTTTTGTTGTTGATTCTTGTACTTCACCCATTTTTCAACGCGAATACACGCCAAATACATTCAGATTCTTCTTATCATACGCGATTCTCTCTGTTTCGTTGCAGAGTCGGTGCTTGTAATCTCGCAGTTCGATCGTGGCTAGTCAGTCACAATCTTACCCACAAAACTTGGAGACAGCATGGCCGACCTCCTGAATATGATCATAGGGAAGAGGCTAACGCCCGACGAACAGGTACGCATTACTGCATTCGCTTCGTTGCCTCTTCCTTGCAAACAATCGTACCAAAACTCGACACTTAAACTAATCACCCAACAACATTTCACTTTACAGGTCAGGAAATGGAGATCAGACATGCGCTCCCAAGAACGAGAAATAGATAAACGCATACGCTCCATCGAAACTGAAGAAGCCAAAATCAAACGAGATATTAAAGCAGCTGCAAAGCGAAATGACACCACATCATGCCGAATCCTCGCCAAAGAAGTTGTGAGAGCAAGAAAGGCTAAAGAAAGAATGTATACTTCAAAAGCTCAGATGAATTCAGTTGTTATGCAGTTACAACAGCAAGTTGGTGAGTTGTGGTGTTGGAGCGGCAAGTTATACTGTCGGTGATTGTTGTTGATTCTTTTTTTTTTCAGCTATGGTCAAAGTCGCTGGACATTTACAAAAGAGTACAGAAATGATGAAACTTGTAAATAAGCTGGTCAAGCTGCCGGAAATAAGTAAAAATATGGAGGAAATGCAACGAGAGATGATGAAGGTATCGTACCCATATACAAGCAAAACAGGCTAGATGGATCCTTCGTATATCGCTATTCTCACTGATTTCTCGTACTTTTATTAGGCTGGCATCATTGAAGAAATGATGAATGATGCGATTGAACTGGGTGATGACGATGGTATAGAAGAGGAATCGGATGAGATAGTAGATAAGGTTCTATTCGAATTGACGGATGGTATGAGATTTGCTCAGCCCATGGAGATTAATTCTACCTTTCTAATTTTTTTGGCTGACACTCGCCTTGTTTTCAGGTCTTCTCGGACAAGCAGGTTCAGTCAAGCAGGATGAACCAGACGAAGTGGAAGAAGAACCAGCAGAAAAGGTCATGGCTGCTCGCCTCAAAGCTCTGAAAGCAACAACGTGATTTCTCATCATTAAACATACGCACATTTACAACATAATCCTCAGGTTTTTAACACATTCGGTGTTGCAAAGAAATGGGATGCTTCTTTTTTGTAAATACAATAAAATGGAAATTATGTTTATTGACACGGGTGTTTTGGCAATCAAGGTGTGGTTTATCGGACGTCTAGAGCAGAAAAAGTACATAATGAGAAATGGATTGGTAGAAGGTTTGGTCAAGACAAACCACTTACACTTGTTCATAAACTTCTTATGGAAATCAGACCTCAGCATATCATTAATAAACCTCTTCTTAGGCACCTCGTCAACCCCTTTAGCCTGATTCTTGAAAATCACATCATCATCCCACCGTCTCTTGACGCTGAAGTCCTTTGGCCCACTACCAACAACCCCCATACCAGCAGCACTACCAGGCATACTCAATAACGGATTCCCACTAGCAATCTGTTCTTCTCTCTTCTTGTCTTCTTCTTCAAGACGTTCCCGTTCTTGACGTTCCTTTTCTTCAGCACGTTCTCGTTTGATTTTTTCTAATTCTCGTAAGAGTTCGGCAGTGTCGTCTTCATCGTCGTCATCGGAATCGGAATCGGACGCGTTGCTCTTGTTTAATGTGTTGTCCTTGTCCGAGTCGTCATCTTCAGAGTCTGTATCGTCGGCGTCAATGTTTTTGATTGATTCTAGGCGTTTGGTTGCGCGTTCTTCGTCATCTAAAGGAGAGCGATATATTTTAAGAGCAAAAAAGCATTGCTAAAAATCTAAGACGTACCGTCTTCGCGTCCTCTCTTCCCCTTCACAAGCTTTCCTTCAGCTTCTTCCAATTGCTTCTTCAAGTCTCGCTCCTTGATATCTTCTGGAGCATTCTGACCTGGTTGTCTACATATACAATCACATCAGCACAATCGTCGTCAAAAGTACAACACTTCTTTTCAACACATGGGCCAGACATTTACCGAGTCTTGAGAGTCAATTGTGAAGGCAATGATCTAGCACCGATCTGCTTTGTAGGAGCAGCTCCCGAGTCTCTGTTTGTGTATCCTCCCATTGCTGTTTTTACACGGTGAAATGATTGATGTTAGATTTGAATACACTCAACATCCCTTCCGAGCAAGAGTATGGCTGTGTGCAATCGACGAATGTGTACCTGGGTTCCATGTTGGCCTAAAAGATATTGAAACATATTAGTTTCATTGCTTGAATCTTTTGCAAAACTCGGGAATGTTTACCTAGCTGCCGAAGTCATTTTCTGATATAAAACAGGATGTGAGGCAGTTCAAGACTTAATAAATTAGTGACTTGGAAGACAGAGAACGGGTTGGCGAATCCTACTTTTGTTTGCCTTTGAGCAGGTTGTTATGATACGAGTTGAATGATGAAATGTGAAGTACAGCTCCTAAGCGTGTCAATGAAGCAATTATCGTTGAATTTCGTGTTGATTTATGGATCTCAATGCTCTTTACGCTCACACACGCTATCGTCAAACAGTTTCCAAATTCTATATTAACATATATACAGATGCTCAAGGATTTGATCTAACAACATTGCGCACGAGTCTCTTAATCATTTCGTCGTTTTGAACTACAGCAGCTTTAGCTGCACTGATCTTCTCAAGCTATCAGTGAAAGTATGGGATTAAATCAAAACAATTTGATGTGGTGGAAGTAAGCGACAGTTTTTTCACCTGCTCCTCAATACTCCCTTCAACAACCTTCAGCTGAGCTTCCAGAGGACTGAGTATCTCCTCCGTCATCCGAACCTCATCCTGCAACATTTGCTTGTATCGATTGGCCTCAGTCCTCCAACTTCCAAATTCTCTGTTCATGGCATCTAAATCTTCTTGGATGTAATCTAGTGTCTTGCCCAATGGCATGACTGATTTGCATAGTGTTTGTATGAGATTTCGAACTTGTTCGACCTAGTTGATTTTCAAAATCAGGAAAAGTTCCAAAAAAAAACAATGATAAATGGCAACATACCTCTTTGGCAGCAAAGGACTTGTCCTTTGGATTCACGGGTTTGCCGGACAATGCTTCTGAATCCTGATTGTCGAAATCACGTCGGGTTTCCAAAATCTTGCGAACAAGACCACCTAGGTTTCACAATTGATCAATCCCAAGCGAATTGTTTTGATCTCGGGAATCCTTACCATGCTTCTCATCTGGACTAGAGGTGTCCATTGCCTATGTCAGGTGCAAAAAGGAGGTTGGATTCGCGTCTCTATGGCACAAAAGCACTTGAAACCTACCATAGCAACATCCTCAGCAGCATGCGACACGAGAAACTCGTCATCAATGGTATCAATTTTCGATTCCGTAAACACAACGGGGACATTCCTAATTCGAGGGGAAACATAATTTTAAATCCCCGATTCATTCACCAACAACAAAAGACCCACGCAAGTCACGTACGATGCAGCCTCCTCTGCATCTTTCTGACCACGCCTCTCCCTCGGAGGCGGCGGTTTAGCAGTCGTAGGCCTCGGTGCCATTCGAGAAGACGGTCGTGGTGGTAACCTCTGTTGCTGTTGATTAATTGGTGATATATTGTTTGATCTCGAATCATCAGCTTCCATCATACTAGTGTCTTGACGAGCTGATTGTTGAGGTGGAGGTGAACTTGCACCGGCCATATCATTACCGCTTCCAAAAGCAGCAGCAGCAGCAGCAGATTCATCTTCTTCGGCATCCGGTCCTACGTCTTGCTGTAAATCTTCAGCTGATGGTGCGTTACTTTCTTGTAGTGCGTCTCGGGAGTTTGATGTTGATGAAGGGGCTGCTCTGCCGGGTGACCTGGATTTACTGGTGCTGCTAATTGATTTAGATGGTGTTTTAGTGGCAGGTCTTGATGGCGATGGTCGTTTGGATGGTTCTGATGCTTTTGAGGTTGATCGAGCTGGACTAATATTACTACTACTTGAAGCAACAGCCGGTGCCTTCTTCTTTGGGTCTTTGCTTCCTGCATCTGACGACCGCCTCACTACTTTTGCAGACGGCTCAACTTCTTCTGTTTGTTTTTTGACTATTTCTGCAGGTGGTGGTGGTCTACGTTGTTGACTGGCTGATGGTGGTCGTGCTGGCCGTTCAGGTGGCCTGTTCTCAGTTTCTTCGGTCACTGAAGTTGTTGAATCTTGGTGTCCACTACAAAGAAATGTTGAAGATCAGCATTAATTCTCGTCGAGCGAGAAAATGCAGGGTTCAATTTTTCAAATACCTAGATTCAAAGAGAACGCGTTCGACTGCCTCACTGTGAGGAACCTTAAATGAAAGGGATGGTTCAGCATAATTCGTCACTAGTTCCAAATAGATCCATTACATCACCTTCTTGATAATAGCCTTCCCTAGCAGTTGCAAGAATGCATTCGTCTCTTCAGGCTCTAAACCAGCAACAATCTTTAATGGATTTGCCCTGACTGTTACTCCCGTTGACAATGCTATTTTCACAGTCAAGATTAATCTATGGATCCCGTTAAAACGAAACGAACGAATTACTTACAAACTGTGTCTATAATCTTTTTCAGGAAAGCCACTTTGGCATCCTTCTCCTATAATCAAATTCATGCGTTAACAACTGCGCCCACTTTGATGTCCAAATGTTGTGAATATAAGACGATGCAAAACAGATACCGACCTTGACATTTTCAGAATTTAATTCGGGATCAGTAAACAGTCCTTGTGCCCATCCGGTACTTGTTACAGACTCTGTAATCAAGTCATGAAGAAATCGAAATGGAGGTTTTGACAAGAGTTTACTGGTCAATGGTGTCTTTTTGATGAACCGCGATAGGATGTCAGCTGTTATCTTGGTTGAATCTTCTAACGACATGGTTTGGAATGCCCTTCCTGTTGTGAAGTCGGCGAGTCCAACTAGGTTTATAATTTGATCTACGACAGACAACACAGTAAAAATCGCGATCTGAATCAAAGATGTCAAATTTAAAATGTTTTATGTGTTTGACACTTATTTCAGAGCTGTTCCTGGAGTGAGCGACGTGAACAAAAAAAGCCCAGTAGAAGGATCTAAAGAATAGCCGTCTGACCTGACCATTGAATAAATCATCGCTTGTACACTGTATAGATTTAGGCAAACGTTCTGTATATGCCATGTATGAGTCGGTTTTTACATGCCATCCGATTGAAGTAATAAGTTACATGCCCTTAAGTGATGCCAATTCTACAATCCAAAAGCCTCCTTGAAATTCAAAACCTGATACCCATTTTTGAACTGCTGAATATTGACTTCCTTCTTGTCCTGAATGTGAAGCCTTGTACATCCAATCCAGTCATTCGAGCATCGTATAAACAAGACTGGATCTGCCTTTGAAGAGTCAATTACGAGAGTGCCTGGTGGTGCATTCCGATTCAGTGATGAAGGGAATGAGGTAATAACAGGATCCAGTAGTGTTATAAGTTGAGCTCGTTTTCCTCGATAGGTGGTATAGACAGGTATCTATGGCGAAAAAATAAGACTGGTAACTCTGCCTTGAGGCTCTGTGGATACGCACTTTTGAGCCCATTGCTCGGTAAAGCCTAAACACATTGTGACTACTCATTTGCGACCACTGTACATGGGCTTGTGACTTTTGAATCTTGGGTGCATGCGATACAAGTGCTTCATCTTGCAGTTTGGCATTGAGCTACGTAGACCGCAGTATGAGCTCATGGTTTTAGTGGAATCGGACTTCAACTAAAATATACCAAATGATTTGGAAAGTCCTCAAGAGTCGAAATCAATTCTTGTGCTCCAAGTTCTGCAAGCTGATCGTGTAGTTGATCGTAGTGTACGTTAAGTGGTATGGCCTGTATAATGTACCCGTGAGAAAAGTAATCAGTCGAGAGTGGTTATATTACAAAAAACGAAGATGTCATCTATACTATACTCACAAGTTGAGCTTGCCGCAGTAGTCTTCCAGCATCAAACTTCTCTTCATGTAGTTCTATGATTGAGACTCCTGTCTCTGTCTCGCCATTAAGAATCGAATGCTGAATAGGTGCAGCACCTCGATACCTTGAAAGATTTTCGATGATGAGAGCTCGCTTTTATTGTGCGATCTACAAAGGCTCACCGAGGTAGTAAAGACGGATGCACATTCACGGCACGCAAAGGAAGGGACGAAAGCACCTTCTTTGTAATGAAATAGCCAAAAGACACCACAAGTCCAATATCAAAAGACTGATTTGTATCTGAAGCGGTTGGAATCTACCAAGAAATGATTCAAAGAGGCAATTGAATGCCTCATACAACAGAATAGGTTGTTCCTCATACAACAAAAATTTCGTACATCCCATCCTTTGAGTGTTTTTGGAGGTGCGTGATGAATTTTTACACCCGCAGATTCAGCAAACGTCTTGGCAGCACCTATTTGCGACGTGTTTTAGACTCTTGATTCCTCTGGGCACAAGTTCAACGAGTTTCGGTACATTGCTGTATCTTGGTCCGCGTCGAATCAGGAGGACAAACTAATTCCACATGTCGAATAACATCTAGAGGAACATAAGTTACATGTCAAATCAGGTAAACTAGTATAACTTGGAAGGGACACTCCGATGAAATGCTACCTGGCCTCTCTAACAAACGTTTGAGCGTGATGGCAGAAAACTCGTCAGTTCCAAAAAACAAGACAGAATACGGGGGCCTGCGAGCCTGATGAGGAAAGAAAGCACAGTAAGCTTTCGGCTTCGATCCTGTTAAGATGAGATCTAATCTTTTGCACTCACTTGTGTTGAGAATGACCTGAGAAGCCTCATGTTAAGGAATGTTTTGAAAGATTAAAACTTCGCTGCTGAAGTGGATCACAAGTAAAGCTTTGGTACATTGAATTCTAACGTGTAGATGGCCGATGCGATTATATTTTAGATTAAGAAGTTCTGTACTGGGCTGGATATGCACAATTTCCAATATGACGAAGTTCCTTCCCACTCAAGCTTATGAGTTCCCCTTGTAAACACCAACAACTATATTCTCATTTCTTTGTATATGCATCGTTCTACGTATAGCAAAGTTACAAATTGTCCATAAGCATGATAACTGACGAACATCACTCACTGCATGTCAGATTCTACAGTTATTAGGACGTCTTGAGCAGCAGACGATGAAGAAAGATGTGCGGCTAGTTTCGTAGCTCGTGATGCTATAGACTCGAATAAGGGAGCAGCTGTAGCCTGAGCTCTTCCTCGATCTGGACAAATGTTTGGTCAAATGTTTGAGCTTTCAGGTCGAAAACACTAACGATCAATACAAGAAGAAGCAAAGAACTCACGACCAAGTCGTAGGCCTTGAGCATCGACTGCTATGACACCCTTTACTTTTGGGCTGTTTGCACTGTGATGATGGTCGTTAACGAGCTTCCTTGTCTGACACGACCGCTGTAATGTGACTTACAGAGAATCCAAAGTGGAATTTAGACTTTTTTCCATCTTTTATGATGAGTTCGCTTCGTGAGCGAAACGGGCTTCTGGCGTTTCTACTAACACACTTTCAAAAATTCACGAACGAACGATGAAAGTTCTCTTTCTTTGTGGTGGTTATGGAACAAGATTATTACACGATCTTCATGCAGAGCCTAGTCAAGAGCATAAGACCTTGATCGGGATCGCGAAGGCTCTCTTGCCACTGAATAACAAACCGTTGATCGATTATTGGCTATCAGACGTTAAAAAACTACCACCGTCTATAATAGATATCTCAAAGGACGTATATGTAATCTGCAACCAACATAATTATGGCCAATTTACAGTCTGGGCTGAACAGCAATCCTTCTCTTCAGCACACATCTTGAATGATGGATCAACTAGTAATGACACGCGACTAGGAGCTATTGTGGACATGGCTCTAGCAGTCGAAAAGTTTAGTATACAGGAGGACTTGCTGATCGTTGCTGGAGACACGTTATTCTTAAAGGATTTCAGTCTGGAAGGCTACTTGGACAAAGCTTCAGCGACACCCGGATCGTTGGTGACGACCTATACCGTAAAAGATGAAGAAACTAGAAAGACGGGGATTGTGGTGTTGGAGGATGAGGGTGGGCGTAAGCGAGTGACAGCATTGTTGGAGAAGCCTGATCCGTCAGAAACTACATCACGAACCGCTTGTCCATGCTTTTACTACTTGAAGAAGGACGCGTTGCCTCTTCTCAAACAATTTGTAAATGAGAAATCAGCGTTGGAAGGGTTAGAAGCAGTAGATGCAACTGGAAGGTTTATATCATGGCTTGTCAGCAGACACCCTGTGTATTCATATAGTATTAGAGGAAGATTGGACATTGGGGGGCTAGCATCACTATTAGAAGCAGAAGCATATTTGAAATCATAGTTATATATAATAAAACCATCATGGACACTCAGATCCAGCTAGTATGGCCAAAGAAGGGACTTGCAACAACACCACCATTGCATTTGCTGCCATGCAGAATAGACCATAATGGAACAGCAAAAGTTGACTCGTACTTTATTATTACACCACCTGAAAAATTGACGAGAACAGATTCTGCTATCGACTTGGAAGCTCCACGAGTTGGTAAGTGATGGAACTGCGCCAACATTAGACAGTTAAGTTTCGTGTTTTCGAAAGCTGACGACCCCGTTTGTTAGAAGATGAGACTATATATGAATCTGCATTTCGCGGAAGAAAATTACGTGGGCGTCGACTTTATGTACCAGATGAATATCAAGGTCAGAACTTGGAACAAACAACTGGTCGTTTGATTCTGACAGTTTTTACTCTCCCCTACTAGGAGTCATGTTTCAAGAACAAGAATCTACAACAGATCTAGATGCATCTCGTGTTTGGATGGCCTCATCGTCATTCGAGTCGATGATGGTGTGGAATCATGATGATGTTCCAAGTGCCAGCTCTGAAGGTGCAATGATGTCGTTGTGTTGGGCTGAAATCGCTAACGTTGTGAGTAAATGCTGGTTGAATGTCGAATTATAACAGATCTAACATGTTTTCCATTAGTTGCATTCTCATGTTGAGCCAGTCAAGGATGTCAAGACTGATGTTACATCTCAATGTTAGTTCTCAAAAAATTCATTCTCTTTGTAATACAACTTGTACATATAGTCAAGACTGATGATAAATAGATCCATATGATACGGCAGTTGATAAATAGATTTTATGTAACAATTGCTTGTACCAATACTTCACTAACATTTCCCCCTACACGAATATTTGCCAAATACATTCAAATTTTTGGTATTAAACGCGATTCTTGCTTATTCAATGCATTTTGGGTGCTTTCAATATCTAATCTTTCAATCGTAACTACCTACACTCATCATCTCACCCACATTGCAGTTATGGCAGTTGATAAATAGATCTATGTACCTGATATGGGTTTAAATTTTAAATTGTACATACTACATAAGAATCACAAAATACACGTAAATTGTTGGGGTGGCCGCCAAGCACTACGTATCGCTCACTTTCGTCCAAACGCATTTGCTTGGTGGCCGTCGTTATTTCGAGACACAAGATAACCCCAGAGCCTGCTACAAATTGCGACATTTCTTGCATCGTCGAGGCAACACGAGTAAGCTACAACCTGATTACCTTCTTGGTTAACATGAATTGCTAAATCAAAGCTTAACAAACTGTGAAATTTAGTGTCGAAGCGAGACGTGGTCATTTGTGATAATGGAACCGGGGTAACTTTCAATTCGATAAATCAGCACCTTTATAATATTCGATATATACTAAAATCTACCGTCTCTAGTTTGTCAAATGTGGTTTCTCAGGCACAAATTTCCCAGAATCCATCTTCCCAGCTGTAGTCGGCAGACCCATTCTCCGTGCAGAAGAAAAGATTGGAGACACAGTCATCAAAGATATCATGGTCGGTGATGAAGCTGCAGAGTTACGGTCCATGCTACAAATGTCCTACCCAATGGAGAATGGAATTATTCGAAACTGGGACGACATGTATCATTTGTGGGATTATACCTTCTTTGAAAAGCTAAAGATCAAGAATCCCTCTGAACATAAAATACTACTGACCGAACCCGCCATGAATCCTAAAAAGAATCGGGAAAAGATGTGTGAAGTCATGTTTGAGAAATATGGATTTAATGGAGTTTATGTTGCAATTCAGGCTGTCTTGACTCTATACGCTCAAGGTCAGTATAATGATGTTAGAGATATGGGCATCTTCGTTTTAGACCTTCCATATGTCTCCATTCCTCTTGATGCTGCTCACACCATAATCATGTCCAGGTTTGCAAACGGGAGTCGTGGTAGACTCTGGTGATGGTGTCACGCACATTGTCCCAGTTTATGAAGGATATGCCATGCCACATCTTACACGACGTCTCGATGTCGCTGGTCGTGATATCACCCGTTACCTCATTAAACTCTTGTTACTACGAGGCTATGCTTTCAACCGTACTGCTGACTTTGAAACGGTTCGACAACTCAAGGAGAAAGTCTGCTATGTCGGGTACGTGTGTTCGAATTCTTTAGACAATCGATCATTCTAATCGGGAGCGTTTATTGTCGCAGATATGATTTAGCATTAGAGCAAAAGTTAGCCAATGAGACAACAGTGTTGGTGGAATCGTATACGGTACATTTGCTAGAGAGCCCTTCCTTTTCTGGACGCGTTATCTAATGTCTTTCTTCCAGCTCCCTGACGGACGTGTCATCAAAGTTGGCTCTGAACGCTTTGAAGCTCCTGAAGCCCTCTTCCAACCACATCTAGTTGATGTAGAATCTGTCGGTGTTGCAGGTGCGTATTACTGTACAAGACGGTTCTTTGCCTTCGTTGCTTACCAGAGTTAATTAGAACAACTATACAATGCCATTCAAGCTGCTGATATTGACGTGCGTCCTGAATTGTACAAACATATCGTTTTATCTGGTGGTTCATCCATGTATCCTGGCTTGCCAAGTCGTCTGGAAAAGGAAATCAAACAGCTCTATCTCACTAAGACCTTGAAGGGTGATACAGCTCGTCTAGCGGTACGTCTGAGGAATATGATTGCATATGGCGATGCGTCACGATCTCTTATTTTGGTTGCTCAAATGTCGTGCATTTTATAGAAATTCAAGATTCGCGTCGAGGATCCACCTCGTCGAAAGCACATGGTATTCTTGGGTGGTGCTGTGTTGGGAGAGATCATGAAGGGCAAGGAATCCTTTTGGGTTACCAAACAAGAGTGGAAGGAACAGGGTATAAAAGCTTTGGACAAGCTTTCACGTGGTGGTGCATAGTGAAATGCAAATTCTTATGCCATGGTGGAATACATTTTTTTCTCGAATATAGCAGTTAACTCGTTAACTCTATGCGCGTGTTTTGTGAATTCGAAGTCCTTTCCAAGCCATTCACGTTGCATCCTGCAAGCATCTTCAGAGTTTTCGAACGATGCAGGCGAGACAGGTGGAGCTTCTGATTGCAGAATCTCAGTTCGATCTGCTGATTAAATCTACTGATTCAAATGATGTCGCTTCGTTGTTGGATTGTCCAGATCGCTCAACGGTTTACTTTGGTAAATCAAGACGCTAGTGTCTCATTCCTTGATTTTCTGTTGTAGACGATTAAAAACGTTTGATACATATTTAACATTGATCCGCCATATAGATGAAGTGCTTTACTTCTATCTCGTCTTGAAACCACCGACATCAAAGTTCAACATGCTCGGAACACCATCAATCGCCGAGCTTGTAAAACACCTAGATCTACGAATTACTGCAACTCTTGGGAACATTAATGCTGCCTTCCCGCTAACAACATATCAGCCTGTAAACACTAATCCGATCAACCAACAAATCGCAACGACACTCAATCAAGAGTTATCATCGCCCTCAACACCTCGATTTTCAGGAACAAGCCCAACAAGAAATAGAACAGGATCAAACGCTACTCTGGACGGCAGGCCTGCACCGTCGTTGCTTAAATCGTCGTCTCAGAGACGGATCTTGTTGAAAACTGGATCACATCCTGCTTTAGGACGAGCATATCATGATGGTAGTAATGCTTCTCCTAGCTCTGCAAGTTCAGGACCACCACAAGCTATGCCACCGTCTCCGTTGCGGCAGGGTACTGCGATGAGTATCGCTGAGGAACGACCCGTGATGGAGGAAGTTGTGTTTTCGTATACGTACAATCCGAGAGTCCCTGGTCAGGAACCGCAGATGCTGCCTAGTGGTGTTTGTGTTTTTCCTTTGAGAGCTGCTATAGGTTTGTGGTACTCTGTTTTAAAAATGGTGCAAGTAGTGTTCCAGCTAACATGTTTCCCTTTGTTTAGACGTGTCGAAAGTAAAAGGAAACAACAAGTTAGAAATGTCGCACTTAATTTTAAATGTCACCGTCTTGCAAAGGCCTCAGAACCAAATTGTACAAATTAACACGCCCGAGACGGATTTCGTTGATTCCGAGGAGATTGAATCTGTCAATCTGTTGGAAGGACTTATCGATGGTTAGAGTCCATGGATTCTGGTACGCTTCTTTTGTGTACACTTAAAATTAACGACGTTCTTCGCTCGATAGATCCTGTATTCAATCCGCAAAATCTCCCAACTCATCGACTACCAAACCAGATTCATAGACCTTTGTTCAAGGCGACACCTGCTCATAGCAGAACCATACGTAAAGTGATTCCAACTCAAATACCGTTGTCAGTTGGTGTCAACACCCACAGTGCATCTCCGTCAAACATTCTACTATGGATATCCATAGAGAGCAATTCATCAGAACCGATTGCTTTTGACATTATTTCTGTCAAGCTGGAAGTGTCTAATGCTCTTGTTAAGGAAGTTGGATTAAACAAACAGGAGCAGGTAATTGCTAGACTTGGTTACATTACTGTAGTACCACTGAATCCATTTTGCTCTAGATACTGACTCTAGACCCATACGACCAACTGAATCTTGTATACTCCATAACGTTGCTGGACACTTACCCACCTTTGTCTTGCACTTCAACGTCGCCGTCAGCGGAAGAAAGACACGTGTCGAGAAGCTCGTCCATGAGCTCTTTTCTCGAAAGTACAGAACGACGACTTGTAACTGTATCTGTGGATGCTAGACCTAAAGTGCTAGGCCTCGGTCAACAGATTTTGAATTCAAGATGGTTTACATATCTGGATTTGGTTGACCCGAAATCCAATATTCGACAAGGACCTTTAGTGCACAATTGGCGCAAGTTGGAAGTGCCAGGTAGAAGGCAAACTTTCCATGAAGGCGATACGCAGGACTCTCCTGATGCTGGAGACGGTATATCGGTTTCATTCTCGTGTAAGCTATGTCTTCTCGTTCAACTGGCGTGATGCATCATGAATGGAGTTGAAGATCAGTGATCTCATTAAGCATATTTATGTCGTTCTTTGTTTCATACCCGGCTCATCGCTTTGTTCTGTTTGTTAGTGGTTACACCTGCCAGGTTACGTAAAGTGTTTTCTGTACAGTGTTGCATGTAAGATCTACAAGCACTAGCACTCGCCACTGGCAAATTTTCGGAACTCAAATTCCTAATGATTCCTATTTGGTAGTGTCAACCGGTCTCAAAAACTTCGACATTTGAGTTTGGTGGTACCAACTGAGAATCGACCATTCTCGTGGCACGGCATGTAAGTTCTCGACAAGTTATTGCTGTCATCCAATAGTATATCCTCATTAAACTGTTTTACTAGAGATCAAGCTGAATTTTTAGCTAGTGCGCCCATTCATTTGTCGGATGAAGGTAAATTTCAGGGCGTGTTTGTGCTTGAAATTTTATCGCCCCACACGTGACGTATTCCATCCGAATCTTTGGTTTTAGAAGCACTGCGGAGGTATCTTATGACTGCTAAACGTGATGCTCTTGTCTGTCTTGACAATCAAACGCGTCTGATGTAAGTCATTCTGAGTTATGTGGAATATCGTTGTTTGAGTAACTGAACGTTTGTGTTCACAATTGATTCTATATAGGCCAATGGCTCCTATGAATGTGCAGAACGTCAATTTGCACTTTATTGCATTGAAGGGAGGCATCTATTCTATTAATACGGTTGAATTGGTGGACCATGATTTGAAAGTCATGACCGCTTTACGTGATGTATTGCATGTGCTCATTACTAATTAATTGCCAGTAAATAAGAAGGGCTTGGTATAGCCTTGTAAGAGCAGGACTAGTGCAAGGAAACGCGTATATAGTTCGTGGTTCAGAGCGAAAAATGTCGTGAGGCGGAGTGGAGTGTTGAATGTTCTCTCGGATGGAGAAGGATGTTCAAGCCAATTAGGTCATTTCAAAACGCCCAGCCGTTGTTTCTAAAAGGAAGGAAGTTTGGACCTGCAAAAATGAAGATCTTCCAACATCCATAACACCCCGTTTTACTGAATGAGGCACAGAAACGTGACCTCCCAACGAAACAATAACTTGCTGATAGACATATCTAGGATCGCAATGCCTGGCAAGGATATGGACAAGATGCTTCCAAAGCTGGAACTGTCTACATCGCATTACGGAACAATGAATTTGATTTCTAGGCCTTGTGGAATGGACTACCTATCAGAAGAGTACTGGGACGAATTGGATATACTGGAGACATATCGCCATGTCAAGAGGAGCATGAATGCACCCTCAAATCCCCCTCTGTCCTCAACATCAGCTGTTGGCGACAGAACTGACGTACAGGAAATCACAGCCCAAGTAAAGAACCATCGAATGATGAATGCACTATGGAGAAGGTGGCATCAATCCCATTATACTAGCAAGAGATTGCAACCTGCTGCTATTGGCTGGTACGTCTCCAAGATCTATCAAAAAAAACCTCAAATTTTTCATGCAAGGCTGAGTACATACGTGACTGAGAATGTTTGTCACTACTACAGGCTGAAAGATGCGGACGCCCAGTTTCTGTACGGCCCGTTTTGTACTGTTAGAACTTCACCAGCTGGTGTCAATGTCAAAACAGCTAATGACCGGCCGTTTACAAGACAAACTACAAACACCACCAGGAATAGTGGTGACAACTCGACTGATGCTATAATACAAACCGTAGAGCATCAGAAACAACCTGCCACCACCTTATCAGGTTCTCCTCCCATCAAACCAGCCCGAATTGTGACCTCACCAGCCCAACAAACTATAAACTGTAATAACAGGCCAGCTGCTAAATCAGTACCCAATTCACCATCTCTAAATGCATCAAACCCACCCAAGGGAATACTTAAACGTCCTTCGGAATTAAATTTACTTGAAACGCTCTTGACACCACTAGCACCATCAACACTCAATTATATAAATGGACTGGATATATCTGATGATACCAAAGACCTGATTGAACGATCTGATGTATCTTCTGATGGTACAAAGACACCAGATACACCCACTGGCAACTCAACGACAAGGAATAGTCGCCTACCACCATCGCGAGGTCCACTATATAAACGCCATTCAACAGATTACGCATACTCAATGTATCTATATGATCTAGCTACCAGTATACCCGCCGACGCATTCCAACAACAGCAACAGCAACAAGCCTCACATCATCTCCTCTCTCGAAAATCAACCAGTCCTCATTCTTCGTCATCTACGGTATCGTTTGCTAGCATGTTGGAAAAGACAGTGATTATAAACGAAGCTCATGATGATGACGAGGATGATGAATATGATAGTGATGAATATGACGATGTGGAAGATGAGGATTGGGAAGCAGGTGGATATCATATGGTCGAACCTATTATTACTCATCCTGTAGTGTTGGACGACGTCAAACCAATCGACCATAATAGTAATGGTAGTAATAGTGCTATTGCTGTCGTGCCTGTTCGTGAACAGTGCGAACAAATGGTGGCATCCGTCAAGGAGGTGTACAGGAATGGTGTAGAGAGCTTGAGTCAAGTACGGGAGGGACTTGGTGAGGCCTTTGAAGTGGCAAAGAACGCCATTCTCTACGGTGGTTTGGGACCTCTCTTATTCTGAGAGAGATTATTGCGGGATTCAGAGCGTGGCGTGTTTTTATAGTTGTTTTGGTGACTTGGGTTGATTTTATGAACATCGTCTGTGTATGTGACTGGTGTGTCTGATTTGGGTGTAGAGTATTGTGTGTGGGGTGCTGTATCTTTGCTTGTTCTTTTTTGTTGTGAAGTGACGTCAAGTACGCACATAAATACGAATGTACGAGTAAATAAAATAATGACTACGAACTGTTCTGTTTTCAAAACTGGCTTCAGATGTTCTCAACGCGCTAGTGGCGTGAACTTTGGCAAAATAATGGCTGTTGCTGACTATCGCCCAGTGAATCCCAATCGGAACACTGTAGATTGTACCAAGGATTCACTCTGCATGTTTGTCTGAATGAGAATGAACCAAAAGCCACAAAACTACAAATCAGTTAATTTTTGATGTATATTTTTTTAGTTGCTACGATCTTTAATTTTGATTTTCTACTGGAAACTCTATAGAACAATGAAAGGATTATGATTAGCTTACATCTCCTCATACAGCAAAGTTGCCAAAAAAAACATCCACTTCATACCTTAGCAAAGTCTGCCAATACTACTTTAATCTTCTTTTCAATATCATCGTTAATCTTTGATTCCTTTCGGATGGATTCAAAGATATCAGCAGCGTTGGCTTGGACGTATGGAATGACACCAGCTTCAAAGGCAGTTACTCGGTTTACTGGGACCTTGTCCAAGTAACCATTCACACCAGCGTAGATGACAACAACCATATGTTCAACAGACAAGGGCTTGTATTGAACTTGTTTCAATAACTCCGTCAGACGAGAACCACGGTTTAACAAGAATTGAGTGGAAGCATCCAAGTCGGAACCGAATTGAGCGAAAGCAGCGACTTCACGGTACTATATGCGGAAAAGTTTATTTAATGAGTCAAAGTTGCTGAGGTTTGTCGAAGGTAACCAGTGTCGAATGCAAATGGTTGTCCAATCGCCTCGACATGTTTCATGCCCCAAAACATTCACTCAAACACAATAGAACCTACTTGAGCCAAGAAAAGCTTTAGAGAACCAGCGACTTGCTTCATGGCACGGACTTGAGCAGCGGAACCGACACGAGATACAGAGAGACCGACGTTAATAGCAGGTCGGATACCTGGAATGATAAACATGACATTTCATGAAGACCTAGTTAGCTCTCCGCAAATAGAACAAAAAAACGGTAGGCGGCGCAATGCAATTACCCTTGAAGAAGAGTTCAGCTTCCAAGAAGATTTGTCCATCGGTAATGGAAATGACGTTGGTTGGGATATAAGCAGACACATCACCACCTTGGGTTTCAATGACTGGGAGAGCAGTCAATGAACCACCACCCAGCTTAATGTTCATCTTGGCAGCTCGTTCAAGTAGACGAGAGTGGAGATAGAAGACGTCACCGCTATGAATCGGTAATTGGAGTGAGAAAGTGCTCTCCCTATTTGGTGCTCTCTACGGTTTTGTTCCCGTAACGGCCGCCACAATCAACGATTACTTACGGGTAAGCTTCACGACCTGGTGGACGACGGAGCAATAGAGACATTTGACGGTATGCTACGGCTTGCTTAGACAAGTCATCGTAGATGATCAAAGCGTGTTTACCATTGTCACGGAAGTATTCACCCATAGCACAACCAGAGTATGGAGCAAGGTATTGCAATGGAGCGGCATCGGAAGCAGTGGCAGCAACTACAATGGAGTACTTCATCGCGTCTGAAAGCGAGAGAGAATGTCAGCTACACCAAAAAAGCAGGACCGTCTCCTAAGTGATAGCTTAATGATGTCTGTAGGCATACCAGATTCTTCCAAAGTTTGCACGAATTGAGCGACGGTGGATCGCTTTTGACCAATAGCAACGTAGACACAGTACAATTTCTTGGCTAGAGTGAGGAATGTCGATGAGTTCCGATGAATATTTTCTTTGCATTCATGGAGCTGAACTTCGAATCTGCTCTGCCAACAAGGAGACATAAAGCTTACATTCGTCACTGCCAATGTTCCACTTCTTTTGGTTGATGATGGTATCCAAAGCGACGGCGGTTTTACCAGTTTGACGATCACCAATAATCAGTTCACGTTGACCACGACCAATTGGGACCATGGAGTCAATACATTTTATACCAGTTTGCATAGGTTCACGGACGGATTGTCTAGGAATGATACCAGGGGCCTTGACGGAGACACGTTGACGGGTAACGTCAACGAGAGGACCTTTACCGTCAATGGGGTTACCCAGAGCGTCGACGACACGACCAAGGAGACCAGCACCGACGGGTACGTCAACGATAGCACCTGTTCTCTTAACGATGTCGCCTTCCTTGATGAGACGATCATTACCAAAGACGACAATACCGACATTGTCGGGTTCCAAATTTAGAGCCATTCCCTAAGAGGAAGGTAATGAATAGTTTAGTCGCATATAGGTAAGACAATTCCATTGATTGTATTTTATAAGTATATGATAGTGAAGGAGCCAAAAACACACCTTCAAACCAGAGGAGAATTCAACCATCTCCTCGGCTTGGACGTTTTTCAGACCATAGACACGAGCAATACCGTCACCAATAGACAATACACGGCCGGTTTCTTGAATGTCCATGCCACTTGAGGCCGATAAAATACGGTCTTCAAGGATGGAAGATACCTCCGCCGTGCCTATCATTCACACAGAGGTGAAAAAGTTCTTAACGTAACATTCCGGGATTCAAACGTCCATCCAAGGCTAGAAAGCATCAATATGGGGCTTCTATGGTATATATGATGGAATAACATACCTGGTTTGGCAGCAGCTCGGAGTGCTGAGGCATTTGAAAAGTTGCGAGCAAACATGACTGGCACATTTACGCGCATCTAAAATAAGGCCAATAACGAGTTAGCTTCGTGCATCATTATTCAACGTATTCCGATGAGAGATGATGAATCTTCTTGAGTGCACTCTATCCTCAGTATGGGGCAAGGAGCTTGCATATTCGACACTCAATTGAAAAAACTACATTCGAAATTTCCATCCCCCGTTGCAAGCCCAAATGGGACGTGGCGAGAGAAGAGAAAAGCGCTGCCTTCCATCTCGGTCATCCATAGCATTATGTATCTCGTTGACTTGATTAGCAGACCACCAAAAAATGTCTTGCCCCAAACTTTTTGTTGAACGACACACATGAACAAAAAGAGCGATACAGTAACAAGCGAGCCGGTCCTAATAGAAGAGATACGCACCGTTTGAGTGGCAGCCACCCTGGCGACAGGGGCTGCTAGTCTGCTTGCACTCCGAAACATGGTCAAAGTCTCTCTTCTTGATGTTTTGTCAGTTTACCTGTTTCTTGTGCAAGCGAAAGTGTTCATCTTTGACGAAACAGCCCGATGAAGGGCGGAGACAGTATTTTAAGGCGTCTGAGTTATCTGTACTACTATCTATCGACTACCAACGCGTGACAATCGCCGACAGAGACCCGTAGTCAGCAGCAAACACACCCACACTTTGCGTCAAAACAAAAGTTGAAGGGGCGTATGCGTAGTATTATTTAAGAGGATTTTATGGATATTTCAGCGACACGTAAAGCAGTATGAGACGTCGTATTGACTACAATCTTGTCCTGCCCACGTTTCTTCCAGTGCTTCCTCACTATCGGTTTACCAACCGGATGTTCCACTACTACCAACTTGACAGTATGATAATCTGGATGTACATATGGATTACCACGTAATAGATACTCGGCAGATCCAATCTCTCGTACGCGATCGAGCACAAGCACATCACCAAGTCGAACTTCATTCATCCTCATAGTGACAATCACATCATCTACATGGACATGATATGGCCGGCCTTTGATTTCTAGAATGGCATAGTGAGACGGCTGTGATGATATCAAGGACAGAGCTTCTTCTGTTGTGGATGAGCGAGGCCCTAGTTTCATTGGTGCTAGTGGATCCTCCTTAATCTTCTTCTTCTTTATAGCTGATGGTTCTGATGGAATCGACGCATTTGATGCTGGTTCTATCGGTATTGAAGACGATGTTGTCAATCTTCTTCTACTGGTATACGGTTTGAGTTGTCTTGGTATTGAGTTTAATGATGGTAAAGGCAGCACCGTTAGATGGCCTGGCACTGGATGGCAAGGCGAGAAATATGTTATTCTGCAGGCATATAATAGAATCAATCCGAAAAATCACACCTCTTGATATTGCGGGAATCGAGGATGCAAACGCTGGAATGTTTTTTCTCAATGTGAAAGCCATCGTTTCCTGATAGAAACAGGAACAGTTAGGATCACCTCTTCCAGTTCTACTACAAGGAACTCAGTTTTGCTTACTTTCTATATGTCCTTCTATACCTGAATACACCTGCTTTTAGCGATTTGTTGATTCGATAGCAAGCAGAGACGCATAAGTATTTCAGACACCAGACGCTTTAACTACGTGATTTAGAACAAGCTACTGATAATCCAGATTATATGAAAGATACCCGAAGGCCTTTGACACGTTCTTCTAACATTTTGTCATTCAATGCCTCGACGACGCGAACGGTAGTTGAGGATTCACCGATAAAAAATACTATAAGAATTGTAGCATTGTAGCCTGTAATGTCGCGTCGGTGTCTTTTCCATCTTCAAGGCATAAGAAAGAATGCTCTAAAGGTGATATATTACACTGTGTAAAATGGATACTGGGTTTACTAGAGTGATCAACACTCTTGACTGTTCATACTCCAAAACTTAACAACTTCCAATGTTCGGTGTACATTTGTATAGGCCGTCGTTGCTTTGTTGCTTAGAGCAACAGCCTGACTGACACTGTGACGAGACTTTGCATGGATCCCATGCTGGACTTTTCGTGCAGGACGATCCTCCCGGTGTACACTAGATTCGTTGAAGGATGAGATTTAGACTCTAGCCACAAAACTGTGCCACATGGCTTCAGGAGGACGAACCTTCAAAACGCCGTTCGAGGCCTGGGAACTACAGCAACCATTGAGACAGTCGCTACTGTAAGAGCAATAAGCCCAGTCGCCCAAGGCAGCCCCTCGGCAGCTGCGACCTCCTGGCGTACACTACCATTCGGAGAAAGTGTTGGTCACGGTTGATGCCTTGCAAATCACCTGAAGTTCAAACACACCTTGTAGACACCGCCAGAGTATTGGCTCGAGCAGCAGCCCGATGAGCACGTGCTGCTCACGTTGCAGTAGCTCCAATCATTATACAAGGCAACAGATAGGCATTTGGTTCCACCAGGTGTACACTAGTTTTCGAAATGATTTTTGTTTAACTTTCCGATCTTCAGCAAATAAAGGTCGTTTCAACCAACCTTGTAATTGCCATCATTCGAATATTCCTTCGAGCAGCAATTGTTTGCACATTGTGAACTCTGAGAACAGGGTACCCAGCTACCGAGACCTCCGTTTTGGTATGTCGGAGTGCCGGATGACGACGTCGATACCGCAGATGAGGATGAAGGCGCAGAGACCAACTTGACGGCGGATGTTGAAGCAACACAGCCTGATCCCGCAGACGTGCACTATAGAGGTGTAATAAAGCAGTGTAAGATCTTGGAAGTCAAACTCGAATGAAAACGGAAAGACAAGACTTACTTGGCCCGAAGATGTGCAACAAAGCGACTGGCAATCCGTACTTGCACTGCAAGATCCTCCATTGCCTACACGATTGTCGGTTGAGTCACCAGGTCCCTCGAACGAGTATTTTTGTGACCTCCTGCCAGTGAATCCCCACTGGACACCACTTAAAACGTTATTTTTACTGCCGGGATAGTAGCCGGCAAGCGACGTGTATGCTCCAAGCATGAGATCAATTGATCCCGGAGTCAGCACCCATTGATGACTGAAGCCGTCAATTATGTACATTGTTAGATTGCGTCCATTCGCTGGGTTATAGACCCAAGCCTCTAATCCACAATCTATATATTGTAAGGTGATGAGAGTGAGAAAAACATAGGTCGTTCGAGTGCGGTTGCAAAGGAGAAAGAAGGAGGAAGGATTCATACATTGGCCGCCGTATTTATACCACAACGAGTTAGGGTATACAGCATTACTGCCGGCAGTCATTGCTTGTAAATCAGGAGCAAATCCCATCGAGTAGTCCTTGTAAGGAAACGAACACCACGAGTGACCGTTGGTAGAGTCTAAGTTGTGAGGTTGCAATTCAGTAAAAGACATGACACAAAAGACTCTACTCCGAGTTGGCCATTATCCCAGCTTGCTACTGTGGATGTCAAAACAGACGCATTTCGACCAGATCACCAACCTTGCGAATTATCTGCCCTAAACCATGATCCAATACCGTTATTTGAACCCAAGAAAGTCCTAAATGAAGTCGTCCGTTAGCATCAGAAATGGAGCTTGGCAGTAATGTAGATATTTCTATCCGAAATGACAGAAAAGCCGGGCACGGAACTCACGTTGGGCCATTGCTAGTTACTGAGTACAAGGTATCTGCACGAGAAACTCTGAACAGCAATGCTGCCAGCACCAACGCGTGAATGTTTCCCATCTTGGTTGCGAAGGATCGCAGTTTGGTCTTGTGAAGGTGGTATGGGCCGTAAAATGCCACAGCAATGCAACAGAGGTATCAACAAATAGCAGTTAGACTCTCAAAGGTGACCTTTAGTCTATGCTCCACCAAACTTTTGTCCTGCAAAATGTCTTACTTGCGCTGCGAAAGAGCGAAAGACTCCCCTTTTGCTCCTTCGGCGTGTAGTACAAGTAGTCTTGCCGTTTGGAGGATCCATTTCCACAGTTGGATTTGAGCACGTCACAAAGCATACTATATCGGTCTCGACGACTTGATACGTATTTAGTGGTTTGATCTCCTCCTCCTCTTTCTCACAGACTCTATAAAACCCGTCACTTTTTTGCTGTTCACCTAAGACCGGAATAGCAAGATCGAATCATTCTGATTCTGTAACAATGGACACCTTCCGTGTGCCCTTGTGCCCTTACATACTGGATTACAGCTCGCCTTAGTGATCTGTGAATTGGGCAACAGAGTTTAGAAACATTCAAAATGCAGACATCACAGGGCGTTTTATTTAAAGTGAGAGACCATTCGTGATGAATAAGTTAAGGCACTTATGTGCCTTTGGCACGTAACTGGGAACGTTTCGTCATGGATTTACGCGAGCTGAATTGAATTTTCAACTAATATTTAAATGGCCAAAATCCAAGCTCACGTCCTGCAATCCTTCGCAACAAACTCTGGGCCAAGACATGGCAGGAACGAGACATCTTGATGGTAAGATGCATCCGACTTCATGGATCTATCTCGGTAGTCCCTGCATCCTCTCGTATCCTCACTAACATTCAGATTCCGACAACTACCAGGAATCCTGCGTCAAGACTACGCCTTCTCGTCAAGGGCAACCTTCCATCCCACCGATACAGTTCCAAGAGGTATCGTCAAGACAGCCTAAGATCGTTACGATGATGGCAGCTGCCCTTAGGCTGGCTGTCATATCGCTGGGAGAGGAGGTTCTCGCCATCAACACTTCCAAGAGGTAGTGCCAAATCAGACGTTTATTATTCCCCTGGGATGCCAGATAGTTTTGGTGAAGAGGACGGTTACCGATACTCTGACAGGTGCGTATGTAGAATATGAATCGTCACCGCCATAATTTATAATGGACCAAGCTTAGTGCAATATACAAACTTTCCGATGTATCTGAAAATGGAGAGTATTGGATTCAGAAAAAGAATCCAAGCAGGCTGCTTTGATATCGGTACTCACTTGCACAGAGTAGTATTTCAAGATGTGACATCAAACGAACTCCTGGGTGCCTACGCTATTTGGAGTTTGGAGATCATACAACTGTGGACGCCAAATCATCTACGCGAAGAAAAGTTTCCTTTCTGCAAAGAATTGTTGACGCTCTAAACGCACATGTAGGCCATCGCTGTCGAATCCGGAAATATGCGCAGATCACAACACAAGAAAAAGCAGATACTACATAGAAATTCTGTTCAGAAAGGTAAACTACGGACGAGGAAGCGATTATCAATACCCATATTGATTAGGTCTAACATTGGGATTGTTGAATCCAGGCTGTCCAGCCATTCCACCAAACCCAGTCATATTATTATTCATCCCCATATTCGGGTTCATTCCCATGGGATTCATGCCACCCATATTAGGATTCATTCCCATATTGTTGGTATTCATCCCCATGTTTCCCATTCCTGGATTCATCCCCATACCAGGATTCATTCCCATATTGGAGTTCATCCCCATGTTGGTATTCATGCCCATATTGGGTGTCATTCCCATAGTGGGATTCATCCCCATGTTTGGGTTGTTCATACCCATATTGCTGCTCATGCCCATATTACTATTCATGCCCATGTTTGGGTTCATTCCCATAGTGGTGTTCATGCCCATGTTGGGGTTCATTCCCACATTATACGAGCCTGGATTGGTATTGGTGAAACTGCTGATGCCACCAGGACCGATAGTTCCCATAGTGGTGGATGATGATGTGGCGAATACGGGAGTGTTGAGGTTGCTGAGACTGGGAGGAATCAAATTTGTGGCAGGTGGACCTCCTACACGAAAGAAGGAAGTATTGATTAGTCTTGAGACGTGTTTTTTTGCTTGGCTTTCATCAAACGTACCAGAGAGTCCAGAGCTGAAAGAGCCTGGATCAACGACACTGAGTAGTGCTGCGTACTTGTCCACTATTATTGACAGACAAAAGCCATGTCAGTTAATTCAATTTCTACGCTAATTCAAATACTACTCCAAACTGATCGAAGTACTTGATACATACAAGACGCATTGTTTCCCATGGGTCCAGTACTCAGACTAGACATTCCAGATCCCATAGTGGATCCCATCCCAAAATTCGAGCCCATTCCCATACTCGAATCAAATCCTCCCATTCCTGTTGTTCCAAAATTACTACTTCCGAAATTCGTGCCACCTAGTACTAGGGCACTCGAGGGAGTAGCAATTAATGGAGCTTGTAACCCAGTAGGTTTCGTTGATAGCGGAGGCATAGGTGGTGGAGCTCCATATGAGTTTCCTCCTAAAGTACCAGCTCGACCTTCAAATCCACCAGCCATCAGACTAGCGTTTCCACCATATGATGTGCCCATATTGCCCATATTACTCATACCAGAGCTTCCAAAGCCACTGCTGCTACTACTGGTGCTGCTGGTATTCATGGTAGGCAGGTTCATATCGGTACCGTAATTGGTGGATCCAGTCAGCAACCTGGAATTCGTGAGGCCTGTACCGCTTAGACCAGTTGAGGGGTTGAATTCGATATTGGATGTATCGGTCAGATATTTGCGGGAGGTTGGTTTGCTCTTTTGCTCGGCTCTATATCTAGCATCGTCGGATTTAGCCTCATCGAGTTTCTTTTGGAGCTCTGAATCCTTGAGTGATTGTTGAATTGCTACTTGTTCAGTCCATGAAAGGTCTTCGTCGCCCTTTGATCTGAGCGCGACTGCTGTGCTCTTCTTGACAGTTGATGGGTCGACGGTCGTGGATAATACTTTGGATGCTGCCAATATCTTGGCTTCATCCACAACATTACTCGGTTTGTTTTCAGATACTATTGACGGGAGACAACGACAAAGTGAGAATTGCAGCCTTGCCAAAAGGACCGCGAGTAACATCGTATTAATGCGAGTGTTGATATACACACCTCGACGTGGTGCTCCAACAGGAGCAATGGAGACTGCTGATGGTTGTGGAATATTAAACGATGGGTTGAAATGGTTGCTGGCTGGAGAAGCAGGTGTATTCCTCTTGAACCCAGAGTCCAAAGCACTCATAGGTACACCCATCTCCTGAGCTTGCAATTTTCGAGCAAACTCTTCATCAGCCTTTTCCAATTCGGCTCGTTTCTTTGGATCCATTGGCTTTTGGCGAGATTCATCATCCTATATTTAACGAATAAAACATGAGTAACAAAAAAAACAGGGGGAACATGACATGATGCAAACTTACAGCAAGCCGTCTAGCAAATGCAGCATCCTCCTTCGACAAGATCTTGTTTTCTCGCACAGAGGCTTCTGACGACAATGGTGCGTGCTTTCGTATACGTATGATATCACCTTCAGTGACTCCTAAAGCTTTGAAGGTCTCACGATCTACATCCTGCAAGATGGACTTGTCCAATCTCTCGGATACAAATCGTGCAGCATACTTTTCTGAATCCCCTAATCCAATACCAGCTTGTACCAAGAAATTTCTCCAATTGAATCCATTATAAGAGTAACTAGCTCCAGGTCCCATTGCCGGACTAGGAGAATCACGACCATAGGTGGAGGAGCTGGAGGATGGTACCATAGATGGGCCGTTTGAGGCGTCACCACCACGAGGTGGTAATCTAGGTCCTGAAGATGGACCGGCAGATGGATTATATATGGGATTTACAGAGGTTCCTCGGGGTGGTAAAGGTGGAGCGTCACCTGATGGGACACTGACTTCTTCGCCAGTCATAGTTTGTATAAATGCTATATCTTTAGAATCTAACTTTTCCAGTGGTACTGCAATCTTGACTCCGTTGACTTTGTGCAGCTGGACTTTTCCGTCAATGACAGATAAGAATTCAGCTTCGACTTTGAAGCTACCAGTCTTGTCTGTCCATGATCTGACGTTACCAGGATTGGGTTCTATTCCAAAAAGGATGTGAGTTGACCTTTCATTTTCTTGCGCAAGTCAGGTAGCCACTAGAGATGCAAATACATACTATCTGTTGAATCATCAATTGATTTGGCGCCAGGTCGTGCAGCAGGACGTGCTAAAAGCAATTGCAAATGTAAACTTTCCTATGAAGATACGAGAAAGCTTAATATCTAGCTGTACTTACGAGCCATGGCTGGAGGAGGAGCTGCAGCTGGGGCCTCCATTCGAGGGCGTTGAGGCATAGCAGGTCGAGTTGGAGGTGATACTTGAGGCCGTGCAGGTAATCCAATGGGCATGGTTGGTGGGGTTGGCATCGATCCTGCACCATCGTCTGATCGTTGTTTGCTCTATTTCGGTAAGTGACGAGAGTTAGTGAGGACTAAAAATTACACAGCAAGGCCAGATGTTTGGCTAACTACATTTCCTCAACTGTCAACCATACCTCAATGTAGTTGAATGGCACAAGACCTTCTCCAGCTCTACCGCCTTTACTTATGATTCTAACCTTAATCCATTCTGGATCAGAGTCATCTAGTACCATGAGATTATCGTTCTCTTGAATGTCCAGTTCTTCATCTGTCTGAGCAGTGTAATCATATAAAGCTACAGCCATTTTAGGACCAGAACCTGTTGGTCGTGATGGCAAATCCATAATTGGTGGACCATGTCCACCCGAGTCCATTAATGTTACATGCATGGGTCGTGATATCTTGCTCTATTTGAGATTACATGACAGTGAGATGTCCATTTTTTTTTTTGTCTCTTTAGCACTAAATAATTCAAACACTCACAGCACGATTGAAGTCTTCTAGCTTCTTGTTGATTGTCTGTAGCTCCAACTTGTCGCCTTCAATGACGATGGATTCGCCGTCAAAGTCGACTGTCAATCTCTTTCCCTTCAATGCTGTCTTGAGCACCTCCTTTAATGACCATTTGTTCAAGACACCCTATTGAATATGTGTCGTCAGTATTGGCCAGCGTTTTCGTGATATGCTCTTTTTTGTTACCTTGTCCTTCTCAGTGACAAAGTATAGGGTATCTGTATCCAATCCGACCAGACCATTACGTTTTTTCTTGATCTTCTTCTCGTCCACCTATGGAAAGAGAGAAATGCTTTCAGTGATCGAGCAAAACAGACAAACACAGAACCTTAGACAGACGTTACCGTGACGGGATAATACATGAGTGCTGGCCCTGTCTCAGCCGGAGGAGTTGGGGGTGGTCTTGCAGCTTTTGGTGTGCTTTTCGAACCTCCTGGTGCTTTTGGAGGGCCTAGTGGCTAAAAAAGTATGCGAGATTTGTATGAGACAGGCTGGAGCGTGTTGAATCTTAGAGTATTAGACGGGTTTTTTTTACCTCAATAGCGGTCAAGAACGCAGCTCTTTGAGCAGCCGCTTCTTGCGTTCGATCAACTTCAGGCTCGTCTTGCCCTTGTTCTTCCTCTTCTTCTGGCACGTAATCTGCTTCTACGCCATATTCGTCTTCAGGCTCAGGATTTCCGTCCTAAAGATGATGTTTTGAATTAATAACTGTCTAGTGACGTAAACGTGATTTACGCGACATTTCTTGTCTCATAGATATATCTGAATTAATACAATATCAATGTGACATGTACCTCTGAGACATAGGTGGCAGGAACAAGACCGACTTCATCGTGATATCTTGCGAGCCACCACTCAGGATCATTTCGTTCGAATATCTCTATAGTAGCGGCTTCCGGGAAGGATATTTCGTCTTCTGTTCTAGCCTGATAATCATATATTGACTTCCATGTAACGACGGGTTGAGCCTGTATGTTATAAGCGGTCAGTATTAGGAATATGAGAGCAAAAGGATTTGCGCTTGGATTCGTTGAATTGATTTGAAATATGGGAGTAAACACAATTGCAACGAGCAATCCAGTAGACATAGGCCCACACCCATCATCACCAACAGTACTTGCAAACCAACAGTTTCAAACATAAGACAAATGGAGTTAATGCCGCTTACATCTTCGACATAATTTGAGGGAAGCAAGCCTGTGGATGAGTCCGAGAATGCGTCCTGGGATCGATGCCTAGCAGTGACCCAATCGTCGTCGGTTCCATCGTCCAGAATGAGCAGGAAATCACCTTCTTTGACATTGCTCAATTCTCCTTCGTTTGTACCGTCAAAGTCATAGGCGGCACGAGCAACCTTCTTGACTCGCATCGTCAATCTTATTATGGTATAATAGCACCTTGTCTCTGAGTTCCTTCTATTCTTTCGGTTTGTGCGGACGATGATGGTTTGGAGTAATATTGCAGTAAGAGAATCAAACATAGTACACCATAAAAGTACACCGGTCATTCAATCATAAATATTACTGGGATCGTGCATTGGCGTGAAAATCACGTCGAAAGCTTGCAGCTCGGCCACCACACCCAGCAACAACGTCTTTTGCTTCATTCCTGCTTTCAGCAAGCAGGCTACAAGAACGAATACGCTCTAGAATCCTTGGAAATAGTTTAATTGAGTCAACGACACGCTTACTCCTATGGCGATTGGCTGTCTTGTCACGTCAAGCCTATTCGCTTTTTTCACAGATTCAAATCGCATTCAAGCCTTGACAAACAAAAGCAGATTCCAGTAAAAAGACATAAGTATGCTTCCATTTACATATAACCATCTACTTCCTGCTTTGATTCATTTTAATAACATCGCATTTGACCAATTGACACTCTTTTTCAATCTACAGAACTCGACCAAAACGACAAGCTTGAATGTCCCCGGTACCTGACTACTCCAATCATCGAGATGCCATGGAAAATGGTGATGATGAACTAGATTATACTGATATTGAAGCTAGATACCACGTACAAGTCCCAAAAGGTTTGAAAACATCAAATGTTAGCATGAGAAAAAAAACCAAGCATACGGAAGCTCACACCATTAACATTCAACCATCAACAGGATTTGATCGAATAGTCGTAGTAGACGGCGTCCCAATAGTCGATGATGCAAAAGAACAAAAGCTACTACCCGTCATCAAACGTGTCTTTAAGGATGTTGGAAATATTATAGAAGGAGGCATCTTTCATCCCAAAGATGCCGAATCTGGCAAATCAAAAGGGTAATTCAGCTTGATATAAAGAATTGAAAGAAAATAATCGCTTACTGACTCAATCATCATCACTACACAGATTTATGTTTATCGAATTCGAAACTGCAGACCAAGCAGTCCAAGCCGTCAGACGTGGAAACGGCTATGCTCTAGACAGAACACATACCCTATCTGTAAACAAATTCGATGACGTCGAAACATTCACCGAGATGGACCAAGAATACAAGGATCCTGAAACGGCTACTCTCAAAGAAAAGGAACACTTGAAGAGTTGGTTGATGGATGCTAGAGCTAGAGACCAATTCGTCCTGATGAAGGCTGAAGAAGTATCTGTGTTATGGAATAATAAGACCGAAGCTCCAGATGTCGTCATTGCAAAACAGGCAAGTTTGTAGGGATTCGGTTGTCCTCTTGTTTTGCTCGTTAGTCTGATCTTATTACTTTCTTTGCAGGGATGGACAGACTACTACGTACAGTGGTCGCCAAAGGGTACCTACCTGACTACATTCCATAAACAAGGTGTCCAATTATGGGGCGGTCCAAATTGGGACAGAATCAACAAGTTTGCCCATCCAAATGTAAAGTTGCTCGACTTTAGTCCTAGTGAAACGTATATGGTCACATGGAGCTCTGAGCCATTCATGACTCCTGAAGGAGAATCACATGTAAGCTTCCATTGTAGGTGTTGGTGATCGCGTTGGGAGGAATTGTATGGTGTGATACAGTACAATCGCAAGACTTCGGGGAGTTTTGGCATTCTGCCTATAGAACCAAATTCGTCATGCGCAAATGATGAAAACGCCAAGGGGATTTGTATGCCATTTGTTTCAAGTTGTAAATCCACCCTTAAAACAGGTGGATTTCCTTAACATTTGAGCAATGACAGCAGAGAAACTTGAGAACAGAAATCTGATGTGCACGATGTTTTATGATGGTTGTGGGGTTGGATCAGGGTTGTGTTTGAGAAAACTCGACGGACTTTTGCCTTTTGGACTTTGTTTGGACCTTGTTTTGTCTCATCTCCAACCTCGCTCCTTGTTTCATTAGCACGTTATCGTATGGGATGTCTTATCAGGAAGCCGATTACGATCCTTCTCTGTTGACCCAACATCCATGCAACGAGACGGAAAAGCTGAAGCTCAAGCCAGCTTCCAAAACTGGCCAATGTTCAAATGGTCGTTTGATGACAAGTATGTGGCTAGAGCTACTCTAGGTCCGCAAGGAATGATTCAAATATATGAAACCCCAAGTATGGTCTTACTTGACAAGAAGAGCATCAAGGTAGGCGATTTCTGCTAATTGCATTCAAAGAGAAGGCGATTTGACCTGCTTCGTCTTTATTTAGATTGAGAATTTGATGAGCTTTGGATGGTCTCCTGCTGATCACTTGATTGCTTATTGGACACCGGAGGCTGGCAATATTCCAGCACGAGTTACTGTGCAGCGTATACCATCTCGTGAAATCGTACGAACCAAGAACCTCTTCAACGTACTGGATGTAAGTATCTGCACATGGTGCTACATGATATACAGTGCGACTCGAGTCACTTATTCTTCATAAGACGATGTTAAACTCTTTTTTGCTTCACTTTGAATGGGCTTCGTCTAACCAATACGCCCATTTCTTTCTACCTTTTAGGCTAAAATGGCATGGCAATCCAGTGGTGATTACCTACTAGTCAAAGTAGATAGGGCAAAGACCAAAAAGTTGTCATTCACCAACTTTGAAATCTTCCGCGTAAAGACAAAGGAAATTCCCGTTGACGTAGTTGAGTTCAAAGCTGGTGAAGCCGTTGGTAAAGTCTTTTGGGAACCTCATGGTGATCGATTCGTAGTATTATCATCCGAAGGCCAAGTCTCTCGAGTGTATCTGTACGAAATGCAATCTGCCCAACCAATCACAAAACCAGGTGCTACGCCGACGCTATCCGAAGTAGTAGGGAACGCCAAACTTATAAAACAAGTCGACCGTAAATCCTCTATAAATGACTGTGTATGGTCACCAAAAGGTCGATTCTATGTATTAGCAGCCGTACGAACATCCGGTGATTTAGAATTCTGGGATGCTGATGAAGCAACCATGATGAATTCAGGAGAACACTATTCCATGACGGATACACCAGTATGGGATCCTACAGGTCGATATGTCATATCGTCTGTATCGTGGTGGAGAGTGCAGTCAGATACAGGATACACAATCTGGTCCTTTATTGGAAACAAGCTCCATACCGCCGTCGTACCCGTATTCAAGCAAATCTCATGGAGACCACGTCCAGTAACACTCTTAACCAAGGATGATCAAAAACGTATACGTAAATCGATAAAAGAGTATTCCAAAGAATTCGAAGAAGCTGATGCTGCCACCACTTCTAAAGCATCACAAGAGGTTGTTGAACGCCGATTGTCATTGTGGAAGGAATGGCGAGATTACCGAGCTCGTTGTGAAGATGATTATAAAAAGGAACGACGAGCCAGAACGGAAGTGTATGGATTTGATCCTGATAGTGTTGAACAGGATGAAGGTGATTTCGATGAGACTGTGGAAGAGGTTATTGAGGAGGTGGAAGAAGATGGTTGGAATTGAGAGAGTTTTGAGAGGGCTTGCTGGATCATATATTGATAATTTTCGTTGCTGAAAAATACATATTGGAATTCAGGGCAATTGTAGCAGAGTGGGAATCTGATATTGAATGCGACGGCTACTAAGATATGAGCACTCGAAATCTGCGTCTTTTCGCCGTTCATTGGTCCCTTTTCAATCGGACATCCCTGTAAAAGACAGCTTCTCCGTCGAACACGGTTAAGGCGAGGGGCACTGCAGGCTGAGCTTGAAGAAAACGAGCTGGAATTGTTTTTCTACTTGTTTATTATACAAGCATCCATTTCTACAATTTGATTTGAAGCTCTCTCCATCCTCCAGCAACCTACTTTCAAACTCAGCTCCCTTAAGTAACATGGATTTGGGTCTCAACATTTGTCAGAAAAGAAGGCTGACGGGGTTTCTTTTGATATAGTTTCGTTGCCAACAGCACTGGGCAATGGCTCGCAACCTCCGTGGTGTGGTGTCCTGCGAGATCACCTCCATACCAAACGGTCATCTCGATCGAAAACGGGATTCATCATTTTTTACGATTGGCCTCAGGGATTTACAAGCTGCCAAGACCTTTGTTGCGTTGGTGGACGAGCGTCGAGCGTCGCCAAGCTGGTAAGAGGTCGAGGCTGATTGCGACCGTAAGACGAGAGCTTCAATGACCGAAGAATAGGAGCTGCAATGGAAATCAAAACGTAGCAGTATATAAGTACATCCATAACGCTAACAAAGATGATGAGAACAAATGTGTAAGATTTTAAAAGAGGGACTGTAACAAAAATTGTAGCAAAATAAACACAAACCTCAGCGTTTTGCAGACGTCGAGTCAAGGGGCAATTTGTAGTTGTGAGGATCTTATTTTTAAACTGTGTGCTATATGTACAAAGTGTTTATAAAACGCTTAGTTTCCTTTCAGCTGTGTACAAATTCTTCAAAAAAGGCTTTAATTTCCTTTAAGCTGTGCCAAAGCCTTCGCGACAAGTTCTCTTTCCCTGCTCGCAGCCTCAGCCTCCTTCTTCGTCTCCATCGCCTTACGATAAAGGGTAGAGAAGAGTGGTACCTTGGGAATTGGAGGTTCCTCTTCAACTTCAGGCTTATGCAAGATCTTGTGAAGACCAGTTCCAATACCCATAGGTACACCCATGATAATGCATTCTGAGACTCCATCAATGGTATCCTTCTTGTTGAAGAATGCTGCATCAAAGAGATGGTCGGTTGTCTTTTCAAAGGATGCCAACATGAGAACAGAGTCCTTCATTTTAGCAATTCCGAATCGAGTGATACCCAATACGTCGCCCTGAGCATTGAGAGAGACCGTGTGAGAAACGAGTATGTCGATATGCATGCCTTTTCTGGGTTTGATGTTTGCAAAACATACCTTCAAAGTCATCAAATCAGCCAATAGCATCAGGTGACGTCTATCAATGGTTATACCATAATTCTCCATTACAAAGTTGACTTCATTGATAACAGCGGTACTAGTTTTGGTAGACAATTCATTAGGAAAAGCACTCACAAAAAAACAGACAAGCAGAAAGATTCATACCGAGCAGCTTCGATACCAAGCACTTTTCGAATTTCAAGAATATTATTCGAAGTAGTTCGAAGACCATCAACTCCTGAATTCAGAAAAGATATTGTTAAGAATGTCAGTTCAAGCAGTTCACACACAAAAGAAAAAGGACTTCATCGTTATACCACATACCTAATGTGCCCATAACTTCACTCAATCCAGTACCCTCAACCATCAACTTGTATTCCTTGCTCTTTTCATCTTGTGCAACAATAGCATGACCAGCAGTAGGTAATCCCTATTAAAGGCGAAAATATGGTTAAAGACTCTCGCAAATATTGCACATACAAACTAGTAACTCACTTGAATGACCACTTTTGGTAGTTCACGACTTAGAGCATGCATTCGTAGATATCGATCAGATGCATTGCTCTTGGACTCCTTTCCGTCAGGGATTGTGACTCGAATGATGTTCATGCCTCTATCAAGAGTTATTGGCTGCGAAAAAAGTGAGCACGAGTGGGAACTTCATTCAAGGGATCACTTACAGCAGATGCAAGCTTCAATTTTGGTGCAAGCAGAATAGCCTTTGCAATAGAATCCAATGTGATTTCCAACTAAGGAAAGGGACGAAAAAAAAGTTGGAGTTTTTGTTATAAGAGCTCACAAAGGAAACTCAAATTCGTACGACACATACCTTGAGTCTTTGAACCAGATCCATATCAATGCGTACATTGATACTATAATCATCAGTCATTGATTCTTCAAAGAACAATGCCACATCATTGAGAGTCGTCTTTTCAATTCGAGATTTAGCGAATCGAGCAGTCACTTCCGTGGCACCGGCATACAACATGGCTGTGATGGCTGGTGTTGATATGTTTTTGGACGCATTGATGATTTCCTATGACGTCCAAAAAAATAAGTCCTTGAAAAATGACCTGAAGCAACCGCAGGCTCAACTAACCTTAATACGAGGAACACCAAGCGTAACGTTCATACTTCCAATACCAGCAAAATGGAAAGTTTTAAGTGTCATTTGAGTACCTGGTTCTCCGATAGATTGAGCTCCCACGGCACCAACAGCGGTACCTGAAAAAAAGAGGAGTGTCAGAAAAAAACTTTCAAGAAAATGGTGATATCTCTAAACGAGCACCTCTCAACGTGTCCTTACCTGGTTCAATTTGAGCTTTATCATACTTGTCAGAGCAAATCTTCATAAAGGCTCGTATCTGAGTATTAGTAAATCGCAAAGGCAATCTATATCCACCATCACCTTCGTCTATAAACGCTTCACCATCAACCTTCTTTTCATCCAAATGTGATGGCAAACCAAGCCATTCTCGGCGTTCAGCCAATGGCACAACACAATTGACGTCTATAAACTTTCGTAATGATTCTTTAAATTGTGCTGATACTTTGGTAGCCATACTGTCGAGTAAGTGAGCAGATAAGGAACGGATTTGGAAAGGTAGTAATCGTGGTTCTTCGGGTGTTGGGTTGAGGGCAATGACGTGGGCCAGGTTACGGCCGAATTCTACAGGTTGATCATCTGCTTCAATATCTACAGGATCTAGACGATCGTCGCCGTATTGGAATTGGACGACACCACCAGTAGAGTTTCGGACTGTATCGTCATAGTGTACAGTGATGTCTTCCAGGGCCTAGTACAAAGGACGAGCTGGTCAAATCCAAATACGATCCGAAGCCGTGAACTTCTTTTTAGCAATGGTATTCTTTACCTTCATCAATCGACGTTGCATATAACCAGTTTCTGCAGTCTTGACGGCCGTATCAACCAGACCTTCACGACCAGAAACAGCGTGGAAGAGGAATTCGTGGGGTTCTAAACCAGTGTAGAAACTGTTTGCAACAAACCCTTTGGCAGCAGGAGTTTTCGCTACAGAGACAAAAAAAGGTTAAAATCCAAACAGTGTATAATGCTCCTTATGAGTGTGTGCCAATCACACAACAGTATGCTTACACTTGTGAGGAAAATGGGGTAGGGAACGATCACCAAATCCATCAGGAATACGTTTTCGGCTAATATCTTGTTGACCGACACAACCAACCATTTGTGACACGTTCAGAGAAGAACCTAATATCACGAATGGAGGGTGAGTCCGCGGATTGCGACTCGCGTTTTTATTCCTAGATGTTTTGTCATATTTTTACCTTTAGATCCACACAATGACATAATCAAGGGAGCATTGGACTTGTGTAGTTCAGACAAACACTTCTTTCCAACTTCAGCACGCACGAAATTGAGTTCTTCACGGATTTTCGACTACAAAGGCGAAAAAAGAAGAGTAAGTATTGGCTGAATAATTACAAGCAAGGGAATGCCATCATCATCTTCTTGTTTCTTCCCTCAAGAGTCTGTTCAGCATTCATTCCGGATAAATTCTCCAAACTGCCGTCCTTAAATTGTTGAGTATATTCGTCGCATTTGGCATAACGTTGGTCCACAATCTTCTTTCGTTCAACTAACAAGGATGCGCTAGCTTGTACATCGTCAATACCAATAGAGAACCCATGGTTGCCTGGAAAGATCCCGAGACCGCCAATGTGAGAAACAACGCAAAAAAAACTAATGAGCAAAGAAAAAGAACTTACCCAAGAATCGAGCACTCATTTTAGCAGTACGATTCATGGCTTCTGCAGCTGCTTCAACGCCATAATCTCGAAGCAAGACATAGTATATACCGCGTTTGCTTTCAGCTCCAATAATGGCCTTGTCAATGACTCCACACATAACCTCACTATTATGTATAACCAAATAATTATCGGTGGGATCCATACTAGGGTGGAATGGAAGGCGATTTGACATCATGGATGTCGGCTTCTGATGGTTTCGACATTTAGTTTCCAAGTTGACTTTGATGGGTGAGTCCTTGTTTGGTCGTAAGAGAGTACTCCAAACTTGTTTGCCAGTCCATAGAGGTCGAGGCTATTGTTGGAGATTATATATGTGTAAATGAAATAAATGAGGTGAAAAGAGTAGAAAGAAAGTCGAGAATTGCATACCTTGATGATAGCAGGAATAGGCAAATCCAATCGTAGATCACCAAGTGTAAACGACATGATAATTTGACAGAATTCAGAGCGAGTGAAGAAAGCATCCTTTAACGAAATTAGATATGATGCTGTTATGAAATCTTGAGTGGCAGCAATCAACGGTTGACCATTTCGTGGTGTAACGAGATTGTTTTTGGTCTAACGAAGGCCCAAAAAAAGATAAACTATTGGTCACATTGGAACTTCAACCAGACACATTTACCGCCATCAAGATAAGAGCTTCAGCACGAGCTTCTTCAGTTTGAGGTACATGCAAGTTCATCTCATCACCATCAAAATCGGCATTGTAGGGTGTACAAACACATTCATTAAATCGAAGTGTTCGCCAGGGAAGAATCTTGGCCTAATATTGTGAAATTTAGGAAGAAATTCGTCAACACCAAAAAAACCGTATAATGTGTTTCGACTAATAACTTACTCGATGACACATGATACTGAGCTTGTGCAATGACGGTTGACGATTGAAAAGCACAATATCACCATCTCGTAGATGACGTTCAACGATATCACCAATTCGCAATTGATCGGCATGACTGGACAGGTCACCATACTTGAGGTAAAACCTACAAGAGAAAACAGAGCTGTATGAGCTCAAAGTGTGGGGTCAATTCAAAGCTTCACTTGAGTGGATACCTCTTGGTGTCACCAGGTCCATAAACTTTTTCAAGGTACTGAGCACCAGGATGCTTCAAGGCACCATTTCTGATGGCAGCTCTCAATACTTCAATATTGTGCTCGTTGACACGTTCGGGATATGTCAAAGTAATTGCCATACGTTGTGGAACTCCGACCTATCAGATGAAATAAGATAAGAACGTATCTTTAATTGCCTACTTTGAGATATGTAATCAAACATACTTGATCAATACTGAGATTGGGATCAGGAGAGATGACGGTACGACCCGAAAAGTCGACACGTTTTCCAGAAAGGTTTCCACGAAAGCGACCATGTTTTCCTTTCAACCTTTGACAGAACCCCTTCTTTATCTTTTGAATGTTCTACAGGGTGACCAAGATGTTTGTGTGAGCTCGCGGGACGGTAAAAACAGACGCAACATGGTAGACACTCACGGCTTGAAGATGACCAGGAATACCGGGGAGTTCACTTGTCACGAACATGGCACATTGCAATTGAAGATAGTCCCAATGATCCTAAATTTCGTGACCGTTGTGTAAGATGAAGGGAAAACAGCACTGTACAATTTGAAAGCATAGCAATACCATGAGTTGTTGAGGACTGTCACCACTGAGTTCAAACATCCTGATTTTTGCATTTGTTTCGACGATTTCAGACATCAATACAGTGATATCATCTTCAGTACTACACGAGATGAAATACTTTGAGGTCAAATTGTCAAAACAAAGGACTGCTTATATGATAAGGAAACATACGTTGCACCCTGTTGAGTGATGGAAGGACGAATGCAGACAGGTGGTACTGAGATGTGTTCAAGAATGAATCGTTCCGGACGACCAGATTCTGGATTCAATCCCATCAATTCACAATCCTGTAAAGTAAACAGTCATGTTCGTGCCAGAATTTGTACGAAAAAAAGAGCGAAAGTGATTCCATTGATGTACCTCATCGGTGACACGTTTCAACAATTCCAATACAGTACGAGGATTGAGATCTTCTTGAGCCTTTTTGATGTGTAGTTTTATTTCGGGCGTATGCTTGATTGCGGAATCAAAGGTATCATAGAAGTCTTCAGCTTCTTGAACTGCATCTTTTCGTGGCTTTTTCTTGTATTTTTCGTGGATGAGCTTGAGTGCACCAACTTTCTTGATTGATCCTGTAGACGGCAAAATAGAAATAGAGGCGTTATGAGTTCTGAGAGAGGAAAAAAAAAGCTGAATAGCCTGTATGGTTATGGCTGGAATTTGTACCATTGGTAGCACCACAATGAGGACAGACGCCGGTCTTTTTACACAAGACGTTGAGCTGTTTGATGATTTCACCACGCTGAATACCATCTATGGTACGGTTTCTGAGTCGATGAATAAAGCTTCGTCGTTTTCCTTCATCGACCATGACGCAAGCACAACTCTGCAAGGAACGAATGAGAGAGTGTGAGATCGTTAAGGGCAGCGATACTTGAAAAGAATATAATTGGGCTTTAGCTCATTTTCTGCCTCGAGGTTACCTTGCAAATGTTCTGTAAGACATTGACCAAGTTTTTGAAGTAACCAATGTGAAAGACGGGTTTGTTGAGAAGTATGACACCATAGTGACCAACACAATCTTGTATTCCTTCTTCACATGTGAGACAATTTGATTTGGAAGAAGAATTGCACCCCTGTGATGGTCAGAGTACAAGTCAGTCACGATCAATCGACATGCGTGACATCCAAAGGAGACATGAGACAAGGAAAGTGTGCTAGTAGTTTGCGATCGCGATACTCACGAGTCTTGCGTCCAGAACACCATCCTTCATGGCAGGACGGCCAGGTTGATTGATGTCATATAGATTGTGACTTGCGACTCTGAGGATGGAGAGTCTGCTTGCTTCTTGAGAAGAAAATACACCAAATGAGATTTCCTTGCTAATAAAAGCAATAAAGTAGTGAGGATCAGATGGATCGTCATGGAGCTTAAAGCGTTAAGCCTGTTTTTTGTTACTTACACCTTCTTTTGAGTCGTATCGACCACAGGCTGTATAGAACGATGAGAAATTAGTTCGATAATGAGTACAGCAAGATCAATAAGCTCTCTATGTTACCTTCTTGGACTTTGTCGCCTCCATCGCTGCTGACACTGTTTTGCTTTCTTGGTGATTGTCAAAAGGACTAGGAGCTTTCTTACACTTGAATACATGCTACGAGAGGATTTCACGTCGGTAAACGTCACAATGACGCGTCTAAAATGTAGTGTTCTTCTTTTAAACACGTGCCGGTATCGCGGTTGATGCACCAGCTTCTCTCCAAACCTCACATTTTATTTCACTCAAACAAATAGCAGCACACGCTATATGATAAACAAGAGCAAAGAAGAGGAATGAAACGTAGCTCATAATATATTGAAATGCGTTGCGATTATTTATATTGGCGAAAGAATTGAGCATGGAGTTTGGTCATAAAGACAAGAAGCGAGTCAAGGTGAATGTTCATACTTCGTTGCTGGTAATAAGCGGCAGCGAAAACAGAGAAGCTCACCTACTATTTTGTAGGTCGAGGATGCATTCAGTAATTTGGATCTGTCTCCTTATTGCGCCATCTTTTCAGCAATCTCGAAGGTGCGTGTTTTTCTAGCATTCAAGCTTCATTTTCATGTTTGCAACTTTCAGCATCAAATCAACCAAAATCAAATTCCCGACCATGGTTTCGTCCATTCATTTCCAAATTTGACAATTTTTTAGGATGCAATCACCAACTCTCACGACAAAATCCTCTACCTGCTGAACCGTTACATCAAAATCAAGCATTTTGACAATGTCGATGTCATCGCTACGGCTGTTATCCAAAAGTTGGTCGATCCAGATCCGGAAACACGAACGGTTGCATTGAATTTGGCTCTAGCTTTGGTGAACTCGCCTGCTTCACGCTCCGATCGACTACCATTCGACCGTGCTTCATTACAACAGTTGGCTCTCTCTTTCCTCAACGATGATGAGGGTCAAGTCCGTGTCGTAAGTCCTTGTTGTTCTTATCCTGTGATTGACGACTTTCTTGTGAAAGTGAACCCCTACGGAGAAAGTTTCCCAAGATCTTTCCTGTTCTGGTCACTCTATCTCTTTCTAAACTCGTAGGCTGCTTTGAAGGCCTTGTACCATTTGCACGGCACAGATACCTTTTGTGAACCAACCAATTACGATCGAATATCAAAGCTCACAAGAGTTGATGATGTACCGGATGTGAGAATGCAGGCTATGACTCTCTTGTGGTATGTCAAAGTTCGTTAGCACCTTTTTTCGCGTACAGGTCTCCTCATTCTTCATCCGAACAATCCTAGGGCCATGGCACACAAATATCCAGCTTTCGATCTGGAAGCCAATGCTAAACGACGCAATGGATCTAACTATCCTGTATGGACTATAGAGAATGATGCATTCATGCGCTTTTGTGAAATGGCAATGGACTCTGAAAAGGAAATTCGATCAAGAGCTATGAATTTCATTGGAACATTTCGCTATGTCAAGGAGGCTTTTATCTTGCAGACTCTTAATAAACAGAGTATAACTTCATTCAAACGGAATGCTGGGCAGCTAGATCAGCAATGGGTAAAGAACGTTGAGGTTCATCTTTGAGGCTACAATGATTGTCGTTGTTTGCTTGATTTTCTTTCTCTACTTTCTGTCCTGATTTTATTCGTCTACTGATCAGGCTCTTCGATCTGGCAAGGATGTTGATTATATGGACAATAATGAACGTCTTGTCGAAATATCTGCTTGTGGTGCCTTTATCCACGGTTTGGAAGATCAACATCCTATCGTTCGTAATGCTGCTATTGGTGAGTGCAATCCCAAACTGAAGACATTAGGTCCATGTCAAAGCCTCTTTGTTTGCTTTCGCATACTCCACCACTCTGTTTTCAAAACACAATATGCCATAATGTAGATGCCATGTGTGAATTGGCATGCCGAGCATCCAATTCAACCCGTTTCGCTGCTGAAGCAGTCACCTTCCTAATCGACATGTTCAACGATGAAGATGAATCTGTTCGTCAAAATGCAGTTTCGTCTCTCTTCAAACTCGCTCGTGAACGACGCATCATCATCACAATCAAGGATTTAGATAACGTGAAACTGATATTACAAGACACGAAATCAAGTGTTCGACAATCTGCCCTAGACATGTTGGGGAATGTAATGGTGGACTCGATTCAAGCTTTTTCGAATTTGCATGGAATGATGCAACACCATATCCAGCATCGTGAGGATGATCGAGTGTATGTTTATCGGTGTCTTGGAAAGCTGGGGAAATCACATGCGCTCTTTGTCCGTAAGTCTGATATCCGGAATTACATCTAGTGTTTTTTGCGTGAGGAAGGCTTACCATTCACAAATAATCTGCAGGAACTCTGATCAATGCCATGTTTGATCTGGATGATCGATACGTTGCTCAAGAAAAATGGATGGACTCTCCAGCTCGCAAGTCCAAAGCCCGAAGAATCTTCTGCTCTAGGCTCGTATTTACCAAAACTTGCAACTTTAGATGTTGGCAATGTCGTCCTTACTTACAATGCCATGAGTGTTGCTACGAGTTTCATCAATGAGCTCCCTACATATATTATACGGCACTATCCATACTACCGTGACTCGTTTCCAGAAAGTGTACCTGATTTCGCCTTTGAGGTATGTTTGGCTTCGATGCAAAAAAAAAAACTTTCTATCAGTCCAAGAAATGAATTTCTGTAGGGAAACTCGAAAGCACCTAGTTTGAATCCGATGTTAGATTCCTCAATATCTCAAATCCAACTGTTTTCACAACAAGTCGTTGAAATGCTGCCCAGTGTCCTGCCGCTCGTGACTACTCCTACTCCATCATTACTGGAATCTGCAAGTAAAATGTTGGAATCTCTGAACTGGTATTGTGGGAAAACTTTAGGTGCTTTTTTGGCGTTCACGCACTGACAAACCTCAATCCTAGTCGAATTGAACATTTGAACTCGTTGGGTGTCAAGTCCATCATGGGATCTGCTCAGTTTTCATACCACATCTTGTCTGTGTATCAAATTATCATCAAGGTATGCGTTGCCCCGTCGGTCGGTGTTTTTTGCGCACTGCTAACACACCTTTGTTGTCAACACAACACAATACAAATTCAATCAACAGGCAAAGAAGACACTGAATCTCCTGACACCATCTCAACCACTACGTGATTGTGCATTTCATATAATGTCAATCACGTATACTCTCCATGTACATTTTCTTGGTGTGCCTGTCCAAGAATCCCCAGCACTACAGACATTGAGATTGTTTGCACATGCTTTATGGGTGTATGCATCGATTGCAAGTGGCGTAATAGCACAGAATGAGTCGGATGTTGATCTGAAAAGTAAGGTTGAGGAATTGGTAGAGAGAGCGAGAGGTTTGTTACATGTGTAAGTAACTCTGCGAGTCTGAGGCCTTTTTTTGGCGAGAGGTTGTAACATTTCCTCAATCCATCTTTTAGATGTCAAGGACAGGAGACGTGCACGTTTGTGTACTCTATAGCTTCAATACAGCCAGATTCAGTTCTAAGGGTCAGCAGTCTGCGAAACGCTATTTTGGTATGTTGTTGCAAAAAAAGTCGCATGACTACACCATTACTCACCCAGTAATTTCTGGACTGAAACCATTCCCTCTTACCTAGAATGCAGCTGTACCACACCTAATGCACCTAAAACTGTTGCGACATACTCATGCTACGATTGATGGGTCAAAACTAGTTGGCAAATATACTTTGCCACATATTTATGAACTCGCTGTTACCTTTAATGTGTACAATATGATGGATACAGGAAGTATTCGCATTCATGTAAGGCTTCCTTTTATTAGTGCTTTTCCTCTGCCGTTTTGCTGCCCTCACGAACAGAGAGCAAGAAAACTCATCATATACCTTCAATTAACTAGGTCTCAATAGACAACACCCGCCAATCATTCAAACCATCCTCCACCGATTTCACAATCACGCCGTTTGAATCAACATGTACCCTACACATCCCAATCAAAACACCATCAACTATAATAGGTCCATATAACGCAAGTATAGAGATTGTGAATCTGTTTCATGTCAATCATTTATTGGATGCCAGTATATTGAACTGGGGATTGGATCCTAATTTTGGTAATTCTCAGAATGTTATTGGTGGTAGTACTAGTAATCAAGGTCAAGCTCAGAATCGGTATGGACGTCTTTGTATGCATTCCTCATCAGTCAGTTATAGCATACCGAACATGCCTGTACAAAGCAATGGCAACTATGAAAGTATAATTTAAGAGAATAATATGGAAGGTGTTTTGCATGCGATTAGCTTCGTCTAACTTTCTTTGTTGGATCGCTAAGAAAGGTTGAATATTCAAAGACTCTCTCTTACACAATCAGTACCACAAAACATCAAAATGTAAGATCCTTAAACCACGAACTCGAAACCTGACTGTAGTTTTGATGAACTCGCGCGCTTCACGTTCTCATCTCGTACCGTCCAACTGTGATTCATTACAACAATTCAACGCAGTTACCGAACACACAATGTAGACGCGGTGCTTGTTGCATTCAACAATGTGGCGTTCAGTATGTCCCCTCGTTCTGGCCTTCTCAAGCATGAACTGGCATTTCAAAAGACATCTATATTACAAAAGAACAAGCTTGGTATATTCTTTACGATCGTGTTGCTTTACGTGTTGATGCTTTTGGGGTAGCTTTTCTCCTTCGTTTCTTGCCAAATCTATTCAGGTAGCAACACAAAGAAACTGTCGGTGGACAAATAACGATGAAATATCTCACAGAATCGCAACTTACGTGGCAGCAGCAGACATACTCCGTCCAATATTATCAGGCTGCTTGACAGCATAAATCCTTACAATAAAGTTCTCAGTAGAGTAAGCCTCCTCAACGACATGCAGCTTTATCGGCTTGCTCTGAATACCAGTTCCTCGCACACGATCTTGTGCAGCTCCTGGAGGGAAGAGTTCAGCAAATCGATAATATGACATTTTATACATTAGTGAATTCCTCATTGTCGGAGTGGCTGCATCATCTACTCGATATTCACCACGATCAGTAAAGAAGGATCGTTCACTGACTTTATCGGGCCATACTCCTTCTGCTATACGGATCATCCATAGGAATTTGTTGATGTCGTCACCAGAGTATCCTAGAGTTCCACCAAAGATGATTAATACGTAATCTACATCATGTTTTCGCATGATTTCATAGGCATCGTCTTCTCCTGATGACATGGCTCGACCAACTGTAGCAATATGGGTATTATTCCAGGTATTATTGTCTACTAGTGTGGTCCTGTTCGAGAAGCCGGCTATCTGATATCCGTAATCCCACCATGACATGATTTTGGCGTCTTCTTTGGTGTTTTGACGCAACCAGTAATAAGCTTCACGGAAATCATCAATGATATGTTGAGATCCGTCCGCATTACGTGATGCTAATACTACAGATGGCGACGAATATGCATTGGATGTGACCCAAGTACAATGCCACACAAATACTATAAATGCCCAAGCAAAGACTCCTACGATCGCTGGTTTTAGATCAAATGCCCATATTCCAGCTTTCTCGTCTTCTTTTTTAGCACCGCTCCTCTTCTTTTTCTTATCTTTACCAAGATCCTTCTTGTCGTCCTTGTCGGGTTGGACGGGAGTACTGGGTGTGCTATCGGATACTGCCGGTGTTGATTGCGTTTCACCTTCTTTTAGATATGTATCGAGTATACGAGAGCATGCGATGGCCGATGCCACACATACACATGGCGTCAGTGTAAGAATCAATCTCACCATGACTCCGGCAAAATACGAAGCAGTGGCAGCATACAAGATGACAAATACATGCTCATCTCGCAATTCTTTAAAGCAAAAGTATACACCAGCTGGGAATAATGGTACTAGTAGCTGCATATCAAAGAAGAAGGATGTCCATGCTGTAGGTTGATGTTCAGAGACGGATGCGATAATGGGTATATATTTTTTAGCATATCCTGTGTCCCATAGAGAATAGAAACGACCTGTAAATGGAGCAATGAATCCACCAAACGTCATTGCAACTAGTCCTACAAATCCAAAAATAAAGAAGCCAGAGATGATGGTGTTGAATAAGACTCGGAATTGTCCTTCAGACAAGTGGCTCCTAATCAATTCACAGAACGCGTATATTTGCAGCAGGCCAAAGATGCCTAAGAGTCTAGAGTGATTAGTACTCGTTCCTGCGGCATCCGTAAATAACATCGGTCGCTCTTTTTGCCAGTGGGTTGCACCAGGTCTCTCAAAGTTATATCCGGTTACTTACCAAGAGCAGCCATATGTTCACTGGTACGAGTAGGCATGAAGCCAACGAATGGAATCTCCATAGACGACAAGGTACCCAAAATATAAAACGTGGAATACGTGACATATAGCCTGTTTGAGTATTTGCCCATCAAGATCAGAGCAAAAGCATGTAATGGAATCAGATTGATGATGAATACATATCCACCCCAAGCTGAAACCATGTAAAAGTAATACAAGGCCGCGATTCCAGCATCCAATACAGACCCTCGTTTGAGAGCCTTGATCCAATAGTAGAAGGTAATCATCAACAAGAAGATAGCGATACCCTCATTATCGTATGATCCAGCTACCGATCTAGATATATAACCCGGAGCAATCGATATAAAGGCGGCTGACAGTAATCCAGCAGACGAGTCTTTTAGTTCTGAAGTCAGCAGGTATGTGGCGTATGCTGTGAATGCTGAGAATACTGGAGCCAAGAAGACACAAATGTCTCGAATGTCGACTGGGAAGTTGATGTAGTGGAGGAATTTGTGCATTATTCCAGCAGTGACCATAATTCCCGGATAGACAGTTCCACCAACGACACGGCCAAGAGGATACCATGACCGTTCGTCAAACCTGTGTCAAGAGATTCGTTTGGTTAGTTCGACAGGAACAAGATGAGATTGGCTCAAACTGTCATGTTGTTGTCAAATTTCACTGTTTTCAACAATTTGACAAAACATCGCATCAAAGACAATCGGCATACCAGTTCAGAAATTCGTAAAATCCATTCTCTACGAGATGTCGCGTAGTTCTAAAGTTGAACCTGTTGCGAGTGGTTGTTTGAACGTGAGTTTTGGACTTTTTACCGATGTCGCCAAGAGAGTCAATGAACTTGCCATGGGTCGAATTCGTGACTGTTTCAAACAAATATTGAGCATTAGTGACATTTCTTAATGATGCTAATCCACAGTTTGAACTCAAATGAAGCACATCAAACAAATCCAAACGTAAATTCATAAACGTACATGATGGATTCAAAGCGAATGACAGCGAATAAACGAGAGCCAAAACCAAGAAGGCCGATGGCAGCGAGCACGACCACCTTGATCCAGATGGCTTCCGACGTCGTTGACGCTGTTATAAACATGGTGCTCCTCTTTTTGGCGAATGTGACGGAGCTCGAGTTGGATGTCAAGTTTGTTTCAGAGTGATGAAGTAGGTTTTTATTATTATCGAAATTATGAGATCTCAATTCACATCTCAATGTCAAGCTCGTCAAAAGATTAAAAACGCGACCAATGAAAATGCACGGCGGCCCGACTACCACTAGCAGGCCAAGGAGACCAGGATCACGGTAGAAGACACTCTCCACCGCATTGTAGTAATATTTTACGCGTCGCCCTCGTCTATTTCTCACCTTTCAGGATGGGACCATGTGTGATTCTACTTCTTGATCAGACCTTGACCTGGATCACGTCCAATTTGCGCCAAACTAAGCTTGCAGTTTACAGTAGCTCGAACTGCCTGACATAGAATGTTTGAAACGCGTTAGGTCCCTGCGCTTTGCAGTTCTCTTCAAGAAAACAAGCTCTCATTTACGACACGGTTTCGTATCCAGATTTGCACCAAAAACTGGACCACAGAGCAAAGCAGCATCGAACTTGAGGAGAATGTCACTTGTATAGATAGATTGCCGATCATATCTAGCATCGATATTATGATGACCTGTATACAATAGTGGCAAAGCATATAGAGGATACGACAATGGTTGCCCTAAACCAATTCCTCCACGAACTTTTCTATAAACATGGATATTTCTGTGCGAGCCACCCGGGAGTGGTCATTCTGTTGTCTGGTATTCTGCTACTGACGCTGTCTTGGCCCGTCATCCAGTCGGCACATTCCTACCTGTCCTTGCGACCCTCAAAATATGAACCAGTCACCTTCTGGGAGGAACCAGCTGCTGTCTGGAATGAAGGAATGCCTTACGATGGTATCAATCTACGCCTCGAACCACTCGTCATCCAGTTTAAGGGCCTCTCACAGACGAAGTCATTAAAACTCACTGCTGACAGAGGTGCACTTGATCGTGAAATTTTAAGACAGGCTCTACTCATACAAAATCATTTAATGTCACTCACCGTATCTGATCCTGCTCTTGCTTCGGGATTTGCTCCTGTGGGTCTGGCCGACCTGTGCTTTCGTCCCTTGGGCGACTGCTATATACACTCTCCACTCAGCTACTGGTCTCATAACATGGACTTGCTTATGAACGATCCTGATCCACTCGCTAGATTATCATCATCACCATCGCCACCATCAAGTGATGATCAAACTATAAATAGCACGTCACCACAATCGTCTGCTGATCCCGTCATTCCTACACCTATAACATCCGTATTAGGTGGTATAGTCATGAACCAGAAACGAGTCAGCTATGCAGAATCACTGGTCTTGACCTTCTTCCTAAACGATAATATAACCATATCTGGAATGAGTGTTAGAGACGTCTGGCGTAATGTCATACTCAAAGCTCTCGACTTGGACGCCGTATTAGGTTATAATGTTCCTGTGAAGCATAGTCGTAAGCCACAGGGACATTTAACTCTTGAAGACGGACCAGATATATACGTGTCACCAGATCTTTCCAAGCCTGTCGTATCTGCAAACACTGGTGTCTTGATATTAGTAGCTCTGATGGACATCCTTCTCTTGTCATTGACATTCTGGGATGTAGCATTGGTAAAATCAAAGTTTGGATTAGGAGTCACTGCGATCTTTTCGGCTGGTGGATCGTTTACAATGGCTCTAGGTTTATGCTCCATGCTAGGACTCGACATGAAACTAGTATCATGGGAAGCTACGCCGTTTGTGTTGCTCATATCAGGCTTTGATAGTTTTAAGGCTTTGGTGACCAGTGTATGCTCGACATCGCTGGATTTACCTGTACGTGAACGAGTTGGTCGTGGTCTCAGTCAATGTGCTGTTGCTAATATGAAAGCTAGAGCTATCGAAATGTTAGTTATTCAACTCATTTCGTTTCTTGGTATACCACAGGTCGAGGTAAATATTGCGTTAAGTCAATACATTGTATCAGTATATTGATATTTTTGGGGGTCACTCGTCATATGGTATAATTGAAACCCTTCGTTGAATCAATAGGAATTCTCGATGCTTGCCTCGATATCAATCGTATTCTACTACTTTATGCAAATCACTTTCTTCACTGCTGTCTTGTCTATCGATATTCGACGTCTCGAGGTATGACTTTGAAAATGCACAGAAAAGTCAAAAATCACTTTTGCAATCAGTCCAACACTCAACAAACTTGCAGCTGACGGATCTGGCCAAAGTCAAACCTGGAACAGAAGATTTGAAGGGCAAGGCTTGGTCTGTTTTGAGAAACATTGTTGTAAGTCAAGGCAAAAAATAATCCAAAACTACCGCATGTTGGTTTTGACACCTTCATTTAGGTCTTGGTCACAGCCTTGTTTCTTGGAGTGAGCTTCTTCTCGACTCCTCATCTGTGGACGGTAGAAAGCATGGCGTGGCGAGATCCACAAGCCAGAGCATTTTGGGCTGCTATCAACCCAATGGCACTCCATATATTAAGCCTCACCATCGGCTCATCAACAAGAATAACGTTTGCTCTGCCCACAAAACACATGACTCCAGAATCATTGCAAAGACCTGCAATCTTCACCTTGTTGATTGTCGTCAGTGTGTTGGCTGCCACAACAGCTTGTATCATAATAACGTCCATGTTTCTAACTCGTGATAAGCGAACATTTGATTCAACAGTCACGTCTCCTTGGTCTCTTGAGGAATGGAAACATGCCCATGTCACTAAAAGGTCATTTGAAGGACTGCCGGATCCCATATTGAATGGTAGTGACATCAAACCTGTGTATGTACATAACGATGGTCGAGTTGCATGGGTGGATTGGTCTGGTAGGCCGCATGTAGTACAGGCTGGTAAAGACATAGTCATGAATTGGCAACCACGAACACCCGACTTTACCATGACGAACCGTAAACGAGGTGTTGATCGAGTAAAGAGCTGCTGTATAATAGGTGACAATTTGGTATGTGGGACCAAGAATGGTCAATTACTTGTGTTTGATATGGCTATGGGAGCTGTAAAGGCTGTTTCGACACAACAACAATCGCATTGTATATCTCATATTGTTGGTCGACAAAGTCATTCAGTTGTAACGCTATTTACAGCTGACGATGGTGGTCATGTATACGAGTATAGTAACTTTCCCGGTAATTTATCATCACGATTATTATGGAAGCAAGAAGGGTCTGCCTCTGTCTTGACTATATTAGGACGTGACAACCATGTATGGTCAGCAACTACTGGTAGCTCCCGGGTGCAGACAACAGCAACCAGAGCAAACTTATCTGTTGAGAATTCCAATGCAACCTGTCTCGATCTACTTGAAAGTGGTGACAAGACATGGTTGGCAGCAGGTTGCCAAGATGGAACTGTAAGAGTTATGGATGTCAAGACTGGACAATTCATTTGTAGAGCTGAAGCTGGTTGGGCGCCATCACCACCTATACTCGACGTGCTCGTATCCGTTCCAGCAGACACGAGTCACTGTCATCTAGTCAGTTCAGTCAGAGGACAGGTCTCCTTTTTCGAAATCGATGCGACCAATACATGTCACCGAAAGAAAACGATACCGAATCCCGGTAGTAATAGCATAGCACGATTAGCCAATGATCTAGGGGTACTATCATTACGGCAAGTTCTTGGTAATCCTCAAGGATGTGGAGAACGTTGGTGGGAAGTCTGGATTGCGGATCATCGTGGCAATGTATTTCGAACCTTCAAATTGGGTCGAATACGAGGCCTAGTTGATACAACCCTGCAAGCTACCGAACGAGGATGGGGCACGATGTCTTGGCCAATTGATTGGTGGAAGATTAGGCGTAGTCTTCCAGATAATGTGACTTGGGCCAACGCTAGCGCAATCCCGCCACCACCGACAGCTCTACTATCAACATCATCCTCATCTTCAGATCTCAACGGAATAGCTGGTAAAGGTAATGGTGAGAATGGTGGTATAGCTGTCAAGGACGGAGAGACAGTGACGATGACTCGGCCTCGTAGAAGAAGTAGTCGTCCATATCGAGTTGATGGATTGGTGCCAGTACTGCCCGTAGCTGGTACACTGGCTCCGGCCACATCTCGAGATCAATTCCATGATTCGAGTGTGGATGATGGCGAAGTCATTCGAGGTGTACTTGCTCGAGCAATGTCTGCTCCAGAATTGAAACAACAGCAGCCGCCGTCAGCTCTAATACTACATAACATAGTACCAATGACGTCGACAACTGTAGACGTAGGAAAAGTGGTAGCAGTCCAAACTGAAGAATCAAAGGTGGGTACTGGAACTTCGTCGTCATCGTCTTGGGAAGTTGCAAAGACTCTTCATCCACCACCACCGCTGCCCGCAGTAATAGCTAATGAAGGAAAACCGCCACTAAGCCCATCCTCCAACACGACCAAAAACAACCATAAAGCTCAAACGGACAATGATACAGCTACTGATGCCGAAACTGTACATGAACATGAAGAAACCACTGAAACACCATCTGACGAAGACGACGAAGAAGAGAGCACTCACAATAATAGTAGTAGTAGTAATATTAGCAGTAATAATAGTATTGACCTCGATATACCCACCATGGAAAACAGCCACCATTCCGAAATAACGACTATTGAAGAAATCCCCTATGATGAATTCCGATCTGAGTCATCGCCAACCATTCATATGAGTGGTAATGTACTGGCTATAGGACTTGATAAACTGATTACGGCAGAATTTGATTTTGGGGATTCCTCGACACGGCTTTCGGACTCTGGTTGGCAGACGATTGCTGATGGGAAAAAATCGCTGTGAATGGTCTTTTACGTTGTGGTTTTGGGACGTTGCTATGGGGACTTGTGTGTGTGTGTTTTCTGTTTGCATCTGTACAAGTGCTAGTAAAGTGGCAAAAAAGAAAGAGTAGAGAGGCCTCCCCAACTGCAACAAATTATACATATGTAAAAGCATGATATCAAGCAAACCACTTTTGGTTTTAAGTAAAAAAGTTGCAAACCTTGTATACCAAAATAACAACGCACTAGTATATCAGTCGAAACAGTTGAATGTATTGTTCTTTGTGTTGTGTGTTACTACATAATATCCCTCACTAATCAGACTACTACTACTAACTACTACTCTACTCTTAAAATTCACATGTTTTTACCTAATGGTTTTTGTACACTTTAAGCCACCCATGATATACCGTTCCCTCATCTTATGATACCCCCATCACCAACCAACTGTATATCTACTCCGCTGCCCAGCCTCATCATGTGGTTTTTGACGTCACAGCTACCTACAATATCCAATGTCCCCACACATCAGCACTCTACACGTTCCAGAGTCCTCGTCCATCCACGATGCGACTCGAATCTCGAATCGATGGTGAATGCCTTCAATGGTGATGAAGACATCAAGTATCCGTCCGAAACAGAGGGACGTCTGTTCAAGATGGGACCAGATACGATCTGGTGTAGTTCGATTATGGCTCTAAATACATCATCATCTACTTCCTCATCGTTATTACTACTATCATTATTGGTTTCATCGTCAGACAACTCGAATACGACATGCTGGTCTGGTGATGTTGGGGTTGACACCATACTGTCGCTGTTGTTGTGCAGTAAGGTAACGTCTACATTCAGAGACGATACACCGGTAGCAGCGTCATCTTCTACAGGACTGGTATATACTGGTGCACTATTAAACCGACTTCTAGCCCACTTTGACGTTCCTGATACAGCAGCAAACGTTGGCACACCTAATAAGGGAGATACAGTAGCGGTACGATGTAGGCCTGGAGTCGTCAACCGTCTAGGAGATGGTGATAGGATATCCTGCTGCTGTTGTTGTTCAGCCGACTTTGTAGATGTTGGTGAAGGAGTTGATGTACATATCCGTAGGGACGTTCGACGTGCGTGGACATCCATTGCTGATGCCGGACGGGATATAGGAGCTTGTATGGTATGGGTTTTCGTCAAATTGTTGTTCAAAGGAGGGCTTTGCAGTGGTGTGTGGAGCGACATGGTTGTGTGCTAGTAGCTAGAAGAAGAAGGTGTACGAGCTAATTGTGTATCTATCGATGGTACGTTAGGTGTCAGTGTATCGGCTGGTAGCTGTTCCTTGTTTACTATCCACGGTGCGTCTGTCGTGGTTTTCGACGCTTTCGTTTTTTCGAGGTTGGCTCAGAACCTTTTTTTGTTTGTGCTTCTATCGATCTTATTAGAAGGGAGTGACGGCAGCATCGTTTGGGCGTTAAGAATGAGCTATAGTTTGGGAGCTCGCCTGTCCCGTATACGTGTTGGTGCATCTCTAATCCAATGTCATCACCCAATGCACAAGCTGACGCAAACAAACTCCTTCCATTCCAGTATCAGTCTTGGAAGTGGCCATAACAAGTGGTCAAAGATAAGACATCAGAAGGTATTTATTTTCATGGTGAAATTGCTCTTGATGCTTTTGGGATTGTTTCAACTTTGATCGATTTTTAAAAAATTGGGAATCTTAAGACCAGTCACATTCTTTTCATATCCTAGGGCGACAATGACTTTCAAAAATCTCAAATACTGGGTCGAATCTCAAAACAGATAACAGCTTCCATTCGTGCTGCCAAAGGAAACACTGATCCGAAAACCAACATCTTGCTTGCATCAGCTATATACCTGGCAAAGAAGGCAAATGTGCCGAAACTCAATATCGAAAACGCTATAAAACGAGCTTCAGGACCATCTGATGAAGCGGAGCCCGAATATGTCGTGTATGAAGGACTCGGAAAGAACAGTGTTGCTATATTGGTCGAAGCTCTGACTAGTAAGGGTGCTAGTAACCAGTGTTTTGGCGCAATGCTAACCGTCGACTATAGGCAATAGGAAGCGAACGATGATGTTTGTGCGCTTAGCATTCAAAGACTATGGCAATGGATATGGGAATGTTGCATACATGTTTGCTAAAAAGGGCAGAATACTCTTCACAGAACCATCAACCACAATGACACCAGAAGAACTATTCGATAAAGCCACAAACGATTGTATAGAATCCGATCTGATTGAAGATTTAGAGCCTGGAGAAGATGATGGAACAGTTGCAGCTATATGTGATTTCAACAATTTCATCTTGGTTAAACAATTCCTTGAATCAAAACAGTATGAAGTGAAGGAGTTTGAAGGGGTGTATATACCGAACTCTGAGAGTATGGTTGATATCGCTGATACGAAAGAGTTGGAAGTGCTGCTCGACAAGTTAGAGGGGCTAGATGATGTGGTGGCCGTGTATCATAATGCTAGGATACCAGAGACGTGATTTATGACATGCCATTATTGTAAATTATCATTCATTTACATAGAGGCTTTGTTTGCATCGTGAACTGGTTGTTTGTGAGTCATTTGACTTCGAATACTCTCAACCTCTCCAAAGGCTATTGAAACAAGCAGAATAACAAATAAGAAGGCAAGCATCCTCTCACCTATAGTATTACCGCTATGAAGCAACACGGAACAATCGCAGAAGGTATGCCAACAAAGGCACAGTGGCTCGCGTATTTGACAGCAAAGTCTCGATGTGCATTTTGGACTCGATCGCTCTGATTTCTAATCGCTGTCGCCTGCTGCTAGCATTGGCCAATGGCTTCCACATCTCTGAATATCACAAACACCAGGCAAGCGTCTCCAAATTCGTTCAAATAATGACATTTGAAGCCTGACACATTCCATTAAACACAACAGGAAAACAATTACTACACTGTACATGTCTCTCAAGGTGATGAAATCATGGCCTTCACCAATTTGACTGCAGGTGAGTTTGAAATCTCGTCCATCGGATTCGAACTTGATCTGTATGACCGATCGGTCTCGTGGCAAAGTCGATCGTTTGGTTTTAAAAAGTGTATGTGAATTGCAACAGGAATCTTTCGATGATTGTATTTTTTGATATTTAGAACACTTGGACTCCTTGTTGCCTGAAGGTCGCAAACTTTACCAAGTATGTCAATGACGCTTCTGCTTGGTGAAAAAGCAATCGCTCATCGTCTTCACACACCACAGACAACTATCAAACCCTCACCATGCTCTCCAACAAAAGGGTATTGAAATCTTGACACGATGAAAGTCCTATAAATGCTGACCGACTTGTACAAACCAATAGGTACACTTTTGAAGAATGTGTTGCTCATGGGCAGGTCGAAAATTATCACAAGACTGCTTCTGATCATTTTGTCGTTGTGGTATGTAATCATTGTCGCTCATCCAATGTGATGTACATAAACATTGACAAATATCTTTGTTGTGGTGAAATAGATCAAGACGGAAGACGGACACGTCCGCACTTTCCCGTCAGTGACGCGAGAAAAGATGGCCAAGGCTATTCCTGAATTCAAAGAAGAGTGAGGAGTCTGCTTCAAATCTCATACTTGGAAGGCTTGGATATAGTATTTTGCGTGCTTGGAATTTGCTTGTGTGTAGTAATGGTGCAAAATATATTGTCCTTTTCTAAACATGTGGTCTAGTCAGCCAATGCTTTGTCTATTCGATTAACTGGTCCATATCATAGTCGAGATATCTTCATTTGTCAGTCCAGCAATGTGAATCGTGGGCAGCGAGCTCAATTTGGGCGGTTCTATAGTTGAAATTTCAAATTCAGTTTTCATTTTTGAACCACAACAAAAAACTTCTTATCCTCGCTCTAGTGTCTGATTGTTATGCTCTCAGAATTCGAATCACTAAACAGGGCTGTAATCCAGTGTAGAGGTGGAGTAGACGCCAGGGGATTTGGATTCAATAATTTGCAGAAACAAACTAATACGATTTAGGTAGCCGCTTCGTTCTTGTGAACACACTAAGAAGTGAAAGTTTTGTAACGAGAAAGCCCGCGAGACATGCTTCAAGATCAGAACCGACATAGTATGCTTTGTGACAAGTGCACAAATCCTGCTCTAAAATGATAACTCCCAACGCAAGAGTGACAAGGCCGACGGGCTAAGACAGCACCTTCCATTTCTTCTTGTTACGAGCAAGACTTAGCTTTGAGACATTTTGCCGGGCAGAACGTCTTCAACTTTACTGGATCACTGAGGCATTCATTAAAGGTCATGTTCGAGATCTGACAGCTGTTTGTTGATTGTTTGTTGCACCGCTGTGACGTTTTGCGGCAATATCCTCTTCAACACAACATCAAAAACAACCCCCGCGAACTCTCCAAACCAAAGATGGGAAAGATTCACGTACTAGTGCTGGCGTCATTGCTGTTTAGAGCGTCTAGTGCAGACACACTGTACCAACTGACTACCAATGGCCCAACGTGAGTTCTGTGCCGTTTTCCCTCATACATATATTATGTGAATGCCTCCCTACACTTCTGATGCTAACGGAAGAATTGATACAGGTCCTTCTTGGGCGCGAATACTGGCATTGGCTCTTGGTTCAGGGCAGACAATACTCAAGGTTTGTGATCTGGTGGTTTGCGTCTTTTGCAAACTTTTCACTCCGACAACTTGGGACAATTACACCCTAGTTTCATCACGCTGTGTACTGAACTCCAAAGTCACAATCTAGATTTTACCAACGGTCGCTCTTGGTGTTCGTTCCCATATAAGGACTACTCGATGGGATTTGCTCCCGATTTACAAACCATCACTGCTGGCAGTAATGCTGTCTATCCAAATCCTCTGTGGTCTAAATACGGCAGTCAATGTATGGATATTTGATTTTTCAATTTCCTCATATATCTATGTGCTCCAACATCACGTTGCTCACTTTGAATATCCGCTATATAGACTGTGGACTAGAAGCTTGGGTCTACAATCCAGCAAACGGACGCAATGTCACCATGTACATCATTGACGGCTTTGCCCATGAATGGGTAAAGACTCCAGGATCAATTGATCTAATGCTGGGAGCCTATGTGGCGCTTGCTGGAAAGCTTCCTGACAGCAAAAATGATGTATTAAGTGGTGTCCAATGGGGATTCACCGGCCAGCGATCACAAAAATACTCGTTCGGAGGCGCTGGTGATCCAACAGACAGTCGGGCTGCTACTGGAGGATCGTGCAGTGCATCCACGGATTGTCAGTCGCTTTGTTGCACGTCTTCTGGTCAAGTAAGTACTTTCAGTTATCATTGCACGGCTGTCTTCCAAGTACTTACGCTTTTACATCTCAATAGTGCACGTCTGCTGGATCAAGCTGTGTTGCGTCAGCATCCGCCATCAAGTTGGTCGATGCAGCATCTCCACAATCCGCTGCAATATCGACGTCATCCTCAAACACTCTTCCTCCCCTAAATGTTCGTCGAAGTACTTGGGCATACTGTTCTAAGAGCTCACAATGTGCAAACAGTTGCTGCTCGAAGGAGTTTTCGAATGATGGCAAATACAAGGTGAGTTTCCTTTGACAAACGTCTTTTGTTGTCGCTAAAAACTAAAACAACACTAAATTAACAACTAGTGTACACCTCATGGAACCAAATGCCGGTAGTTTTTTCAAGTGAAAGTGTGTCGTCATATTTATCGTCAAGCTTGTTTGTCACTGTTGCTGCTTTATAGACTGTTGAGTGTTTAGAATAACTCATACTTGATGAATCTGTTTATACCTAATGTTCTTTATCTATACCTACATAAAAGTTAATGTAAAAGGGAAGATCTGGTTGAGATGGTATTTTGAATAGGGTTTGGAAGGGGTAAGGTTTTTTAACGCCTGTGACAATTTTTAACAAAAGCCACGGCAATATGTTAATTGAAACGGTCCAAAATATCCTTTTTGACGGAAATCGATCTTCGGATTTTGTTTTGCCGCTGTTTTGCTGTCAACTTCCAAAACCGAACCAATTTGATTGGCTTAAGCCAAACTCAAATTGTAGAACTCCCTAGATTGGCACTGGAACTTCCAAATTGGCAAACGGTGCTTGTACAGCAGGCTGAAGCCAGCAAAAAATCTCTTCGTTCCATATCACATGAGCGAGAACTTCTGGAAGACCATTTTGGTTTTGGTTCAGAGTTTTGGGGGAGCATCGATAAAAGACCACGTTCTAGTGTCAAATCATTTCTGACTTTGAATTTAAAACTTGTTGATTGTTTGTTTCATCGCTGTGGGATTTTGCGGCACTATGCTCGCTCTTCAACACAAATCGGCAACCAAGATGGGAATCATTCACGTACTGTTGTTGGCAGCATTGCTATTCAGAATCTCTCGTGCAGATACGTTATCACAAGTGACTACCAACGGGCCAACGTGAGTTTGGTGCCGTTTCGTCTCACCTTTTGTCATTGAAATCTGATTCATGTCACGCTGCTACATTTCTGCTTACTAACAGTCAACCTCATTAAGGACTTTCTTGGGCACAAATTACGGGATCGGTTCTTGGTTTAGAGCTAATAACACTCAAGGTTAGTGTTCAGGCCTGAAATGCGTCATCTTGTCACAACTTTCAACGGTGAAAAGCTGGGATAGTTGCTAATTTAGATTGAATGTACGCGTTTCATGCTGTGTACTAACCCCAAACGCTTTCCATAGACTCCACCAACGGTCACTCTTGGTGTTCGTTTATATATAAGGACTACTCAATGGGATTTGCTCCTGATTTACAAGCAATGACTGCCGGCACCAATGCTGTCTATCCAAATTCTCTGTGGTCTAAATATGGCGGTCAATGTATGGGTCTTGTCTCTTCAGCTCCCCTGCAGCTGTGCAAGTGCACTCCAACCTCATATTTCTTTTGACCTTGAACATTCAATACGTAGATTGTGGACTAGAGGCTTGGGTCTACAACCCAACGAACGGACGCAATGTCACGATGTATATCATTGACGCCTTCGATCACGAATGGGTAAAGACTCCGGGATCCATTGATCTCATGCTGGGAGCATACGTGTCGCTTGCTGGATCCGTTCCTACCGCAAAAAGTGTAGTTTTGAGCGATGTTAAATGGGGATTCACTGGTAGGCGATCGCAGAAATACTCTTTTGGGGGAGCTGGTGATACAACAGACAGCCGGGCTGCTATTGGAGGATCTTGCAGTGGAAGCACGGATTGCCAGTCGCTTTGTTGTACGTCTGCTGGCAAAGTAAGTGTGCTTCTGTTGTCATTGGGCTCTCGAACTCCAGATTCTTAGACTGTTTGTTCAATCTGCATAGTGCTCGTCGGCTGGTACAGGCTGTGTTGAATCAATATCCGGCAGTAAATCGGTCGCTCCATCATCCGGACCGTCCGCTGTATCCTTGAAGTCACCATCAAGCACTCCTACTCCCCAAAACGGAGGTCTTGGTGACTGGGTATTCTGTTCTAAGAGCTCACAATGTGCAAACAATTGCTGCTCAAAGGAATATTCGAATGATGGCAAATACAAGGTTAGTTCTTCAGACGAAATTTACTTTTAGTCACACAAACCTCAAACGAAGTCCACCATAAACTAGTGTACACCTGGTGGATCCAAATGTCTGTAGCACTCTAAATTATGAAACGGTGCCTTCGTTTTATACGCACACGGTTGTCTTGTCACTATTGTTTATCGTAGATTGGTTGGGAGTTGAGACTGGACTATGCCTTGATGGCTTTGTATGTGGAATCTCTGCCCTGTACTTATACCTATATTATCTATCAAATGGATGTAAAACGGAATATTTAATCGACATGGTAGTAATCTGAATAGAATATATAGATGATTTACTTTTACGCGCTCTTTCAAGCAAGCAAGGGCTACACTGTATTTTGATACTTAAAATTCGAATTCAGCACGTACCATCCACAATTCACGACAAGAACGTACAAATCTATAGGTTGTGGAGACGTAGGCTTTTTTTACATCTCACTTATCGCTCGTTCCTTTTAACGAAGTAAAACACCTCTACTGTCTACATTGTCAATGTTTCTCATTTCTGGCTGCGAAATTCAACAGATCTTAAAAGGAGGTGCGTGTAATCCAGTGTACAATTGAACAGAAGAAATAGAATCGTTGCAATAGTACACTAATCTCCTAGGAAAATTTGCTGTGTTAATAGCGAGGAAGGGAATATTCTGAAACTGTATGTGGTCGAGCGAAAGCAGCAGTGCGCAGGCAAAAAGAGTTGTCAAGCTGGTGGCGAAGTGACATCAAATCAACCTTGAGACCTTAATTTCTATACGTTTACTGTTTGTTGCATCGCTGTGGCATTTTGCGTCAACATCCTCGTCAACTCAAGTCAGAACCGCGAATTCTCGTAACCAAGATGGGAAAGCTTTATAGACTGTTGCTGGCACAATTTCTATTCAGTTTCTCTCGTGCTGATACACTGTATCAAGTAACCAGCAATGGACCCACGTGAGTTCGGTGTGATTTATATCAGACTCAATGGTAGAGGCAACGTAGAAATTATTATACGAATGCCGCGCTACGTTTATGTTTGTGATGCTAACAGCCTACTTCCTTCAGAACTTTCTTAGGCACAAATAACGGTATTGGCTCCTGGTTTAGGGCAGATAACTCTCAAGGTTAGTGCTTTAGTCAAAATTGCGTCGTTTTTGACATCCCCTGTGACAAACTGGGTCAAATATCAAACCAGAATCAGCACTTCGTGTCGTACCGTGAATTCAAATCCAAAATCATCATCTAGACTCTACTAATGGTAACTCTTGGTGTTCGTTTCCATACAAGGACTATTCAATGGGATTCGCTCCTGATTTACAGGCAATGACTGCCGGCAGTAATGCTGTTTATCCAAATCCTCTGTGGAATAAATACGGTGGCCAATGTATGGATTTCTGTTCCTCGCTCCTCCCTTTTACTGTTGCAAGTGCCCTGAAACGTCAAGTTCTGTTTCTCACTTATAATTCAACAAACAGATTGTGGACTAGAGGCCTGGGTCTATAACCCAGCCAATGGACGCAATATCACAATGTTTATCATTGACGGTTTTGCTCACGAATGGGTTAAGACTCCGGGGTCAATTGATCTCATGCTTGGAGCATACACATCCCTTGCTGGAAATTATCCAAGCAGTAAGAACAATGTCTTAAGTGGTGTCCAATGGGGATTCACTGGTAGAAGATCGCAGAAGTACTCGTTCGGGGGAGCCGGTGATGCAACAGACAGTCGGGCTGCTACTGGCGGATCTTGCAGCGCAAGTACAGATTGCCAGTCCCTGTGCTGCACATCTGCAGGCAAAGTAAGTTTCGTTTCCTTCCTTTGCCATTTGGCTCTCGACATACAGGTCCTTACACGGTCTTATTAGTGCACGTCTGCTGGATCCGGCTGTATTGCGTCCATATCCTCTAACAAGTTGGTCGCTGAATCATCATCCGTTGTATCTTCGACGTCACCATCAGGCGTTTCTGCCGCACAAAACGGAAGTCCATCATCCGTGCCATTGGCTGAATCCTCGACATCCCCGTCAAGCACTCCCGCCACCCAAACCGGTGGTCCATCAGCCTCTCCATCCGCGAAATCTTCAACGTCACAATCAAACACTCCTTCCATCCAAAATGGAGGTTTGGGGAGCTGGGTTTTCTGTTCTCAGAGCTCCCAATGTTTAAACAATTGCTGCTCGAAGGAATATTCGAATGATGGCAAATACAAGGTTGGTTCCTTAGACGAGCTTTATATGTGTTCATGTGCATCTCATCAAAAGCAACCTAATAATAGTGTACACCTGGTGGATCCAAATGCCTGTAACTGTCTCAATTACAAACTGGTGCCTCTTTTCTGTATTGTCAAGCTTAATATTTTTGAGTTGAAGATAGATGGTTGAGAGTCGAGAAAGGATTATACCTCTATGAATTTGTTTCTAATATACCATATCTCTACTATACTTACGCTGTCTATATCAATATGTAACCATGAATGTAAAGTAGAAGATGTGGTTGTAGCGGGTGCCGCGAGCAATGGGGGTGACGAGTACTTTGGTTTCAGCCAATAGCAACAATTAAAAGAGTGATTCTGTACTCGTGTCCTTGGATGAGAACACGAAATGAAGCAAATGTAGTTCCTCGGAGGCGAGGCTTCTCGCGTGTTATACAGTGCCGGAAGTTTCCTTTGGTAATTCTCAAACATTCTTCAATGCGCTGAAAATACCAACAACTGATCTACAAAATTTACCGAGTTCACGATTAGAGAGGAAGGCGTCTCTACAACGTTTTGTGTTTTTGACAGTGCGGAACTTGGGGCAGAAACTGAATAGGTAGTTCTTCTTCGTAGTCTGTAACGAATAATCAAGCCCATGTTCCTCTTGCTGTAAGACCAGCCACAGGTTGTATACGCCTTTCGTGTCACACGGAATGTCAGTCAGTTGGCGTGGAGGGGCTCCTTTACTCTTTTGAGCGAAACTCGAGAAGACACAACTTGTCAGTTCCAAGACGGAACTGGATTTGTGAGGGCATATTGAATCATCTCCAGGGAGAATTGACTGTCAGCATATTACGCACCAAAGAGCCGTAATGTCTAACTCGAGTAGAATTGAGGGCTCGTGTCGGTGCTCTCTTGAATCCATACTCTTGAATCCATATCGGCAGATGGAAATTGTCCTTGACGAGAAGTCGTCTTGATGCAGCATTTCTAGGCGTTGACAGAATAGTGAAGAAACGTAAGAATAATGCAGGTGCAAGAAGACACTGACGAGATAGATCTTTGGTCTAGGATGCAATTTACCATCAAATTATTTCGTTCATGCTATGTTGCCGGCCAAGAGTATCTTACGTAAGAGTGCAGGAAGTGAGCTCCAGTTTTTGGCGGTATAAGCTAAGTAGTTGGAAATTCAGATTCTGCTTGCACATTGAGGCCATACGAGGACGTGAAAGAATGTCACCTCTATAATATTCGATACCCCAACGTCATGGTAACCCAGCCAGCCAGATATGCTTTCATTTGGTTCGGGAATTCAAAAAACCGGCGAATCCTAACAACCAAGATGGGAAACATTCACGTACTGTTGCTGGCAGCGCTGCTAACCAGAGTTTCTCGCGCAGATACCTTATCACAAGTGACTACCAATGCCCCAACGTGAGTTCCGTCCGCATATTTTTTGGTTTGGATGGAAATCTGTACATTCTGGATGTCAAGTTACATTTCTGATGCTAACGGACGACCTCATTTAGAGCCTTTCTGGGCACAAATAACGGTATGGGTTCATGGTTTAGAGCAGATAACTCTCAAGGTTGGTGGTTGGTACAAATTGCGTCTTTTTTCAAGTCTGCTGTGATGAGCTGGGCTGAACAGACATCGTGTCCTACTTTCGTACTCAGCTCCACACTCAAAATCTAGACTCTACCAATGGTCACTCCTGGTGTTCGTTTCCATACGAGGACTATTCAATGGGGTTTGCTCCTGCTTTACAAACAATGACTGCGGGTACCAATGCTGTCTATCCAAATCCTCTGTGGTCTGAATACGGCAGTCAATGTAAGGATCTCGGCCCTTATCCCCCTCTTGAGAATGCGCTCTAGCATCAAACGTGTTTTATGTTTTCTCACATTGAACATTCTACATGGTAGATTGTGGACTAGAGGCTTGGGTCTATAACCCAGCGAATGGACGTAATATCTCGATGTATATCATCGACGCCTTTGGTAATGAATGGGTAAAGACTCCGGGATCAATTGATTTCATGCTGGGAGCATTCATTACGCTTGCAGGAACCGTTCCTGCGAATAAAAGCGTGGTTTTGGATGGTGTGCAATGGGGATTTACTGGTAGAAGATCGCAAAAGTACTCGTTCGGCGGAGTTGGAGATACCGGTCTAGCTGCTAACCCGTGGGATAGCAGTGCGAGTACGTCTTGACTGTCACTTTGTTGGACATAAGCACGCAATTAATTTTTTGTAATCATAGGACGATCGCCTGCCCAAAGTCTTCAACTGTATTATTGGATCGCAATAGTCCACGTGTGTTGGTACATGCTGTGCTGTGTCAACATTCGGTAGCGTGTCAGTCGCCCCTTCTGTTGATAGACCTCACAATCTGGAAACAGTTGCTACTCGAAGGGGTATCGGAATCATGATACCAAGTTAGTCTACATTGATGAGCTTTATTTGTTATCACACGATCCTCACACAAAACCACAAACTAGATGGATGGAACCCAGATGTCTGTAGCTCTTTCACTGCTGAAATGGTGCCTTCGTTCGTAACGTAAAGCTAGTTTCGTGACTGTTGCTGCTTTGTAGGAGGCTGTGAGTTGAAGTGAATTTTACCTTGATGATTTCGTTGGTAATGTAGCATATCTTAACTGTATTATTAATGTAAAACGGAAGATTTAGCTGACGGGGTGGTGCTCTGAATAAAATCGGTTGAATGGAAATCCATCCACACAATTCTTCGGTGACGCGAACCTTTACTTTCTTCAACGAAGAGTACAGAAGGAAAGATGGACTCTGTACTCATTTCCTTTGATCATGCTACCAATTGAAGGTAAAGCATAAAGTCGTCTGCTCGTTCTTGACGGTGAAATTGGTTGTGTGTCTTCCTCGCCACCAGTAATGTCAGTTGGTTGATATATAAGATAACCTTCCTCTTGCAAGTAGACATGACTTGTCAGTCCCATTTTGGAACTGTTCTGGTGTTGAGAATCTTCCTCGTCTCTACCGAGAACTTGCCATCACGCGATGCTTAGATAACAGGGCCTTCCTCGAGTAGAGTTGACCGTCCGTGCCGGGATTCTCTTGAATCCTCATCGGCAGATGGAAGATTGCCCTTGAAGAAAAGCGCTCTAAATACAGGATTTTCTAGTTGTGAGAGAAGGAGTTTTAGTGAGACTACGAGTGGATGCAGACACTAGGGACATAAATTTATGGTCTAGGACGAAACCTACCACCAAGATGTCTCGTTGCTGCTATGTTTTGGTCACGAGTATGTTGCGAACGATTGCAGGAAGTGAGAACTTTAGCATGTTAAATAGTTGAAAATGCAAACTCACCCGCATAAACCTATGACAAAAAGTTCAAATCAACGTGCCAAAGATAGTTGTTCACATTCAAAATTCAAAATATTCATCATCATTCGGGCCTCGCTTGAAATCACGTAAAAGCACGCACCCGTTGACTTCAGAGCTGTTAATCAATGTTTGTTCAGTTGCTCTCCAAGATGCTGTAATCAAGTATAGACGTAAGTGGAGAGAGTAAGTCCTACCTACTTCGTTGCAAAACAGGACTGTTTTGATATTACTAGAAATACTTGCTTTGTCAACAGCCAAGAAGTTGCGAGACGCATTAGACTGCAGTGAGAACGTCCAAAAATGTGCCCGCGAGACCAGATAACTGGACCTGCATCAAGACATCCAGATCGATACAGTATGCTTTTTGACGTGCTCGAATCCAACTGTAAGGAGGGATCTTTCAAAAACTGGCAAACAGAACTGTACTCCTCGCTTTTCCTCACCAACAAGACATTTTGCCAGGCACAAAGAGTCGCCACACTTGGTAGAACGTCGATAAGAGGTCACGCTGGAGAGTCTAAGTGCTATTTGTTGATTGTTTGTTGCATCGCTGTGGCACTTTGCGGCAATATTCTCTCCAACACAAGACCAACCAACCCCATGGTTTCTCACAACCAAGATGGGAAACATTCACGTACTGCTCCTGGCTGCATTGCTATTCAAAGCTTCTCATGCAGATATATTGTACCAATTCACTACCAACGGGCCAACGTGAGTTTGTTTGGTGTGATCTTTCTTATGAATGGAAATCCGTAGATTAATGCCAAGATACATCCCTGATTTTAACTGCCGATCTCATTTAGGACTTTCTTAGGCTCAAATAATGGTATCGGCTCATGGTTTAGGGCAGAAAACTCCCAAGGTAGTTGATCGTGTCAACAATGTGTCGTGTTTTGACATCCATCGTTACAAGCTGGGACCATTATCAACTTGAAGTCAACATCTTCGTATCATGTTCTATGCTCAACTCCAACCTCGAAATCTAGACTTTACCAACGGTCACTCTTGGTGTTCGTTTCCATACAAGGACTATTCTATGGGGTTCGCTCCTGATTTACAAGCAATCACTGCCGGCAGTAATGCTGTCTATCCAGACTCTCTATGGCCTAAATACGGTGGACAATGTATGGATCTTTGTTCTCCTCTTCCCCTTTTGCAAATGCAATGCAACATCAGAAGTTTTCTCACCGTGAACATTCGATACTTAGACTGTGGACTAGAGGCTTGGGTCTATAACCCAGCAAATGGGCGCAATATCACAATGTATGTCATTGACGGGTTCGCTCATGAATGGGTCAAGACTCCGGGATCAATTGATCTCATGCTTGGAGCTTACACGTCCCTTGCTGGATACTATCCTGGCAGTAAGAATAATGTCTTGAGTGGTGTCCAATGGGGTTTCACTGGGAAACGATCGCAAAAGTACTCGTTCGCTGGAGCTGGTGATACTACGGACAATCGCGTTGCCAATGGAGGATATTGCAGTGCAAGTGTCGACTGCCAGTCGCTCTGTTGTACCTCTGCCGGCCAAGTAAGTGGCTGTTTTGTTGTAATTGGACTTTCGGCTTCCAAGTCCTTACAATGTCTTTCCGCATCTCAATAGTGCACATCTGCTGGATCGGGCTGTGTTGCTTCAACATCTAACAAGTTTGTCGAATCGTCCGCCACTGTTACTTTCCGCAACGGAGGTTTCGGTAACTGGGAATTCTGCTCTCAGAGTTCACAATGTGCAAACAATTGCTGTGCCAAGCAATATTCGAATGATGGCAAATACAAGGTTAGCTTCAGTGACGAACTGTATTTAATATCATGTGAACTCTAAAACCAAACCACCCTAAACCAGTGTACGCCTGGTGGAACCAAATGCTTGTAGCTCTCTAATTCATGAAATGGTCCAGCCTTCGTTTATACACTCAAGTTTGTTGTTATGGAGTGAGCTCCAGTCAGTCTATCTAGTCAAGCTGTTTGATCCAAATTTGCAACGAAAGGAATAACAAGTTTAGTTCTAGTCATTACTGTACGCTTTTCGTTTGGTCTCGAATAAATAAAAAGTGTATTAAGCACAGACATAGTTCTTACAGTCTAAGAAGTTATCGCTATTGTCCCTCATATTATATGTGTTGTCGCTGTTGTTGTTTTGCAAAGTGGTACATAGTGATGTGAGGGAAGTAGGCTTTGATGCGTTTAGTTTGTAATGTTCCAGGTCTAGAGGTGTATTATGGATATTCATATCTATAAAATTGATGTAAACCCCGAAAATTGATTGACGTCGTGGTTTCTGGTTAGGTTAAGGAACGATTGTATCCAACTGAGTCTACAGTGACGCGAGCCAAGATGGTGCGGTGTTTTCAAGATTTCAGCGACGAAAAACAGAGATAGAGATGGATTTTGTACTTAAATCTTTAGATTAAGCTCTTAATTTAAGGTGGTTGTCAGTTTTTCATAGGTTAAGCGTATCTGCTAGGTTGCTCAACCCTGAATAGGTAGTAGTATCCTTTGTCAGCAATTTGAAACATTATTCTGGCATTCCAACAAGCTAACACTCTATATTTTCCATCAATTGAACTAGTAGATCTCTGGCTGCACCCTTCCGGAGAAGCTCCCAGCGTTCTTATACGACTTCTCGGTAGCAGGAGAACGTATAGTTCATCCGATCGAGTAGATCGAGTAGATCTACAATCGGTGGTATCTAAGATCTACGAGCCTGCTCCGAGTTGATCAAATACAAGTCGGATTTCAGATTGTAAGGTATTTTGGAAGTCACGTAGAAACAGACTCACTCCAAGTTTCGTCCAGGTCGTTCTGACTTTGGACCTCTTCTTTTATAAAATCAAGGAGCAAACTGGTTTCGGCAATACGAGAGGCTGAAGCTGCGAAACGAAGCACGCTTTGTATGGGGTTTAAGAAGGTGCACAAGGCATGAAAGTACCGAATTTATGCATTTCCATACTATACCAGAGTTGTTTCTACCCAATTGAAAATTTTATACTCTTCGCAACCACCTCTTTCAAATTGAGGTGTGGCCCACCGTCGTTTTAGCAGTCCTCACAAACCATCCTCCAAAAAGTTGAAACCATATTTCAACCTGCTTGGAAGGGAATGGAACAGCCCGAAACGGACTATAGCTTCCTAAATGATCTCCAATTCGATGGTGAGTGTTCGTTTGACGTCGAAACCGAGCTTCCTTCGCTCTAGTGACGAAACACAAAAAACCGCAAGCATTTTTTTCGACACAGTTGGGAAAGTCGTTGCTGCCGTAGAGGCGGAATTGTGCCGCAGAGCAACGGAATTCTTCGATGCGAGCTCACTGATCTTACTTCTTTCTCTACCCAAAACCATAGAAATCGATATGGACAGCAGCATTCCTCACATGCCTCACGTGATGGACTTTGAAGATGAACTCATGACGAATAGAGGAGTTTCAGGGAGCAGGAGGCAGAGCGAACCTGTAGTAAAAGCACATTACGCCTCTAGACAGTCTAGGAACTCTGTGCCAAGTATACCCGTCAAACAAGAGAACTTGCGAAAAAACGCCCTGGAAGCGTCATTGGTTTACTCGACTCCAACCTATGCAAGTGATGATGTATCGAATACCCCTATACAGATGGATGTACAAAGTAATGATGCTAGCATAACACGGAGTAGGCCGAAAACAAATGTACTACCACCAACTCCGGCAGCAACACCGCTACCTCTAACTCCTAGAGGAACACCAGCTCCATCATCACCTGCCAACACGAGAACTAGTAGTGTTGCTGCCCCGTCAAGTAGGAGGAGCTCTGTCTCTGCTATACGGTCACAGCCAAGCATAGCTGCCAGTAGTAGACCATCACCACCTCCTAGGCAGCTACCTCAACAACAGCCTCAACAACCACAATATCAACCACAGTATCAACCACAACCATTAGTGCCAATGCACTATTACCCAGCTCCACCGCCAACACCAATAAGTCATATGCAGTACGCTCCATACAGTCCCTACGGAATCCAATATGGATGGGTCGATTATGCAGCACCCCCGAGACCTAGGCATCCTCATCCTCACATGTATGGAATGAGTTACGAATGGCACGGACATGGATATATGGACAGACCCTCAATGCCCATGTCCAGACCGCCGTCGCCACATGAGGTGCCACCTGTCGGGTACGGAGGAATGTTGCCAATAGACAAGAAACGCAAAAGGCATATAACCGTGGATGTACCAGAAAATGCTCCACAACCAACATGGGGTTTGTCGCCACACACAACTCTAACACGAAATCCATTGGCTTATGGTGGCCGTGCTCCGTCGGGTAGTCCAATGCCAATGTCTCCAAGGCCATTGGGTGTGCCGAGTCCATTGAGGAGAGCGTCAACATACACACCAGATACTCCGTCGGTTTCTATAACAGATGCTTCAGAACCAGTCATTCTGCCGCCACCTGTCAGAACTCCAACAGGTTACAACATCTTTGCAAAAGAGAGAAGGAAACAGCTGGTGGCTATATATACGGAATTGAAGCCAGGTGCCATGTCGACGTTGCTAAGCGAAGAGTGGTCTAGATTAGAACCGGTATGGCTAGGCTTGACCTAATTGTTGGTGAACCCAGATTTCTTACACAGTTTTCACTTTAGAGCGTCAAAGAAGGATATTTAGATGAAGCAAGACGACTGAAACAACAGAGCATAGATGCTGCAGCAAGCTTTGATAAGTCGAGAAAGAAGGTGAAGACACTGACACTACCGAATAGTAATAATAATACCAACAACCACAACATACCACAACCACTACCGTCTCCAGTCGGCTCTGGCTCGCAATTGGGCGAGATGCCAGTATTAGACTTTGATCTGGAAGACTTGGGAATAGAACTAGAAAATACACTGACACCTATAACGCCCATGACTGCCTCACCCGCTAGCACAGCTGGAACGCCAACTACAGAAATCGATAATCCATATGGATCATTGGGCCGCTCGACATCGTCAAATCCATCACCTGCTTCAACGTCTGCGAGTGACTCACCGCCCCCTCGTCGAATGTCGCTGGCCACATCTGTGCCGACCCCGCCTAGGAGGCTGTCTGTTGTAGAGCTGACACTACGACCTGCATTATCGAATAATAAACCAGCAAGGACGCAATCTCTGATGCATGTCAAGACTGAACCGAATAAGCCTGTTGCTCAAGAAAAGATACACCAGCAGCAACAACATCAACCGCAGCAGCAGCAACCGACATCATCAGAAAGCAGCTCTACTGTAGTGGATTGGGGAGGTGATGGTGTACATGTAGCTAGGAACGGAAGTGGTGGGGTAACTATGACAACCACCACAACGACAGCATGGAGTGATAGAAGACGAGCATCAACATCCGTACTCGACTCGATACAAAAGACGTTAATGGAACATGCAAGCCAACACCTCAATGTGCATTTCAACGATCTGCATCTGCCGACGATAACATCATCAAGCTCATCAACAACATCGAATAATAATAATACCAATAATAATAGTACCATTCCTTCAATAACGCATACACCAGCTGACACACCCACAACAACCCAAACTCTGTACTCTATATATTCAAACAACCCCTTGATACCAGATAGCATTGAAAGCGCCATATCTGCAACCGCCCACATATACAGCCAACCACATAACGGCGTACTACCATCTGCAACTGGCTTTGAGCAGGACATAGCCATGGCACCCCATAACAACGGATTCGATTTACAAGGATACCCAACTGCACAATTAGATCACGATACACTCGAATCCGTGTTTGGGATACATGATAGTGATGACCAGCATATGCATGATGAGTTGTTGAGTGTGCCTGTTAAAACGAGTGTGCCGAGACTGATGCCGAATAGTAGTACTGTTAATAGTAGTACTAGTTTTATGGTGGATATGAGCTCGAGTCTGCCAAGTCCTGTCTCAACACCTGCAAAGACACCTGTAGCATTACCTAGCCATACCAGTACTGCTGCTCACACTGTATCATCTAAGGAACCATCACCCCTGATGGAATTCTGATAAACAAACTAGACTGCATCAACAAACACCTACAAATGATAATAGTACCTTCCTGACTTGTCTCGTCTAACAAAAGAGAAATTATGACTGCATTATTTAGATTGTCTCTATCATTTGTCTGTAATCTTACCAAAATGTCGTTATATGTCGCCTGTCTGCTCTCAAGTAAAACGTAAAATTTATAGTGTGTGTGAATAAATAAACAAGTTGAAAAAGTAAAGGACATTGTCGTGGTGTTTTTGACTTAGACTGTTTTTGTTTCTATTCTAGATAGAGCTATGTAACAAATATTATAAGACTTCTGTTTACTCTTGAGGATGGGCTTTCCTCTCTCGCAAGTTCTTGGCTGCTGCGGCAGCTGATGGTGCCGGTTTAACTACGTGCGACGTATTGTTGCTGTTGATGGTGTTGACTAGCGATTGTCCAACAGAATGTAAATCGTTTTGTGCTACGGGAGCTGGTGAATATTGCTGTTGTTGAGCTTTCAAGGCTGCTGGAGATGGCGCTAGTGGAGGTGGTGGACCAGATTTCTTTATTGTATTTGATGAGTTTTCTGTTGGTGTATGATGTTCGGTTGTTATACTTGGTTTTGGTACAACGTCTGTATGTAAAGCAGCTGGTTTAGGTATCACTTCTGGCGTCAATGCAACACTAGACTCTTGTTGATGATGATGTAATGGCTGTTGTTGGTGTTTTGGTTTAGGAAGCAATGGTGGTGGTTTGGATACATCAGAGCTCTCAATACGTGAAGGAAGTGCTGAAGTTAACGTAGATCCATAAAGTGCTGCCAATTCACGGACACGAGATCCACCACCTCCCAAGGCTGGTGCCTTCGGTTGTGGAGCTGAAATAACAGGTCTTGTACTTATTGGTTCTGCGTGTGATGGAGATTTGGGTGTTGGAGTGGTTGATATTGTCGGTGCTTCGGATATTGTCGGAGTAGTTGGTGTCGGTGAGGCGACCATGGTATTTGTCGATGGACCAGACATGGAAGCACGGGTTGGTGACGATGGTTTCTTTGGTGGAATGGGTGGGGGTTTCGATGGTCCACCAGCAGCAAGGCTCGATAAACTGGTTGATGATGGGCTAGGTCTAGCAGGAACTGGTGGAGCACTTGACGGTATAGATTGAATCGACAATCTCGAATCTACATTAATAGTTTCACCAGACTTTCTAACGCGACGTAATCTGGGACTACCTGAACCTTCAGGTTTTGACGCTACATCTGGTGGTCTAGGTATGGGAGCACCGATTTCTTCAACTCTAGGCATTGAAGAGGATCGTTTCACGAGAGCTGGATCTGAGCTTGCCAACAACGAAATGTCCGTAGACGACGTCTTGGTCTTGGAACTTATTGATCTACTGCTCATCATTTGTCTTGCAGCTTCTAAATTGGCTGGCGACCATGTCATGGCTCCTGGTTTCATATCACTGAGCTGTCTCTCAATCAGTGATAATTGAATCGAGCTGCTGCCCTTGATTCCAGTAGGCGATATACAGTCCTTGGCATCTCGTATAGCACTATTGAATGAGTCCATCCATATTTTCCGTTCTTTGTCACTAGCACACTCGAAAATGTACGGATCCTTGCGTTCTTGAATTGACAAGGAGAAAGCACTCTTGGCCGTTGTATCTGGAACGATTTCCACGGTTTCGAGAACTGATAGTGGGTAGATTTTGGAGACTTGTGCCTTCTTGTTCTTGATGACTCCGTATTTGGCAATGATTAGGCAGTCCGAGAACAGGACGACGTATCGTTCTGCTGTGTTCATGGACATTCCCAGATCAAAACGACTAAGCATGCCTTCATTGATGTATCGTCGAGAAGGTTCGTGAACCAGGGAACCCTAAGCCAACCATTTGGTAAGTTGTTTTTGGGTGCAAGCTTCAGCTGTTGACTCCCCCACCTCTGAAAATTCCAATTTCTGCATGATGGCCAACATCTTCTGCTGATTCTCTACAAATCGACGTCTTTCATTGACGACATCGACCACCTTGTTGATGTTTGTAGCCGCTAATTCCAGATTAGCTCTGTCTGGATGTCCTACCGGTGTGTGTTTGAGCAATTCCTATATAGACATATGTGAGTAAATCTTGTTACATCTTGCAAACAATGAACTTGTGCATACCTTGAGAATCAACGGATATTTGCAAACACGTTGTACTGGCTTGATTAAGAACGCACCAATATCCAGGCCACGACAGTCAGGTCGAAGGAAGCAATACATCAAGAAGCCTCTTAAGTCCTCATTTCCTTTTTCACGTTTGAGATATGCCATTGCTTCCGGCTGATTCGCACAGTATAGAGTATAGATCTTGAAGTATTGTTCCTGGAGTGAAAGGTATGAGATCGCTTGAATGTCGCGTTTTTTGCCGTCTCACAAAAAGGTGGCATACCACTTTGATGAATATATCTGCCACTTCTTTAACAACACCGTTAGAGAGCCGCCGTCTCTCTTCCAAACGAGAAAGCAGTTCCTGATATGATAAAAGGTTCAGAAATCCCGCTTTGGGCATGTGACTGGTACAGCAAAGACTCACTTGGTTGACTGGAAGTAATTGTTCGATATTTGAAAACACCACATGCAAATCTTTGCCAGGCACAATACTCTTATCCCTCATGTTCTTCATGAAGAGCTAAGCGTCATGGCGTTAGAGAGGGCAACAGAAGGCAAACAAAATCAAACGCACAACGTACATTAATCACAATATGTAAATCCCGCACGTATTCTCGTTCGGTAATAAGCAACTCATAGATAACCTCCTGTCGTTTCAATTCCTCTTTTGGCAGTTTCTCAAGCGCAATCACAAATCTCGGTCGTCCATCATCCCACGAAGTGACATGTCCCAATCCAGAAGCAGGGGCAGTTTCGAAGTTCACTTCCGAATCATCCAAGACAAACCACTTGTCGTGTGCCAGCACACCTCCAATTTGAGCAAGTGGATTGATCTTCTTTTTACCAGCAGGTATCCCATCACCCTCTGAAACGGATGTAACAGATACCTCGGAAAACTGACGTTCGTGGGCTGCTGTAGGTGACAATGGAGCATCAATGTCCAATGTGGAGGCATCGCCAGGAGCCATGGATAACCGAAGTGACGAGTCGTCTCCAGGCATTGGTCTCTTGTACTTGAGATACCATGATCGCACTTGCTGAGAGTCGTTCACAGAGCCATTACTTCCCCCTTCAATTGAGCTATCGTCATCTGCACCGACCTCTTTGGATTTTGCAGACTCGAGGCTTGTACCAGAATCTCCGACTTCTTCAGTATTGTCATGCTCGCATTTTGACTTCGACCTAAATAGTGCATTCCACGATGCATTCGACTGAGATTTCTTCTTCAAGCTCATTGATCCCATTGGATTTGATTCAGCTTCTGCGTATTTCGAAACAAGGGATTAAAAAGTTAGTTGGGTTGTAACGATATGACAAAATAACGCGTCTTGTACCATTGGTAGGTCGTCTCTGCCTCCTATTAGGTCCAATGGTGCCGCCATCACCAGCGGCACTTCCAGGGCGTTGTGAGTATCGAGCTTCCAAAACTGTACGAGCAGCAGCAACCTTTTCCTGAGTTTCCTCGCCGCCCATATTATTTGGTGGTCCCCCAGTAGTGACTACTGGACGTGGAGTGGCCATGTTTGATGATGAAAATTCCGTTTGAGGCCGTCAACCAAAGCTGCAACGGTGCCATCAATCTCAAACCCAAACCCGGTGGCAAGAAGCTATCGAACGAGAGAATCAGCGCAAAAATGTGAATATTGTAACGTGAAATTCAAGTCAAATATGACACATAGTTGATGTCTTTAAAGTTCATTATGTTGTATTCTTCATTCGCAGAAAAATCTGGTCGAATAATACCTAAAGAGACGGGTCAACTTTCATAGGGGCTGACAGTAGATCCATTCACTTACAGGACGTAAGCAAATCTAATCTATCAGCATCATGAGCTACCAGGCAAGTGTCCAACAGGGAGGAAGAAATGTTTTTGGATTTTGAGGAAATGTGATTTTGGGAAAAATTGTATCAGAACGATGGAGACCTAGGTCGAGGACACAAGATCAGACATCATATCATATTGATTGTGCACTGTACTTATTATGACTCTACGTGAGAATCATTGCTGTCTCGTTGAACTATCTAACAATGCATTCGAAAATAGGCTGCCGATCAAAAGAAGGAGGACTTTCGAAAGTATCTGGAAAAGAATGGAATAACGGACGCTCTCACTAAAGGTACCATTTAAACGGCGTGCCTGAGCATGCATTTTAAAAGTCGGGTTCTCACAAATCATATTCAGTGTTGGTGGGTCTGTATGAAGAACCAGAGAAACCTGAAAACCCTGTAGAGTACGTGTATCTCGATTAATGCTATGTTTCACAACATCTCTTTAATTAACTCTGATCCACCTACCATCAACTATGCAGCTTCATCAAACAATTCTTGGGTGGACCTTCAAACGTCGATGTAGAGGCCCTTAAACACGAGAATGAAGATCTACGACGAAAGGTCGATGAATTGCAAGCCCGATTAGATGAAGTCCTCAAGGCATGTGCTCGTTTTGTCACGGTTTTGCAGACGACGTATGTATTGATTGAACTTTATAATCATAGCCAGCGATGCCTGAGGCAACTTCAGACGCTCCTGCTCAGTAAAGCGTCCTGTAATACACACTGTAGATACTGTAAAGATGATAAGAAATACGTGATTCATTTCGGCATGAGCAATTCTATGATGTTTGGTTGTCATCCAGTCACCTGAAATTGAAGGCACGAATTCCAACAAAGAGAGTAGGTGGAAAGATTTAGATCCCTTCGTTCTAAAGCAATGGCACCGCGTGTTGTAGGAGTCCTCTTATTCGACGTTTTCGAAGCTTTGGATGTAAGTGATGAGCGTACAATGGAAGCAACCGCCAAAACAGACTCACTCATTCCACATCTCTTTGTATTTAATAGGTTTACGGACCACTGGAACTACTCTGCAATCAGCTTGTTGCTTCACATTTCAAGATCATCACAAGTGCAACGTCAACATTTGCAACATACACCTGTTGAAATCAGGACTGATCAACTTTTAATATCACAATTCAGTTTCAGCTGATGGAGGACCCGTCAACATTCATACTGGTCAAACTGTTCTAGTTGACCACTCTTATGACAACTGTCCAAGTGAATCCAAGCTTTCTGTTGCCTTCTTACTGATTAGTCACGGTTGAGGCTGACCAAAATTTGTATTTGAATTTATAGAACTGGACATCTTGTTCATTCCTGGTGGATTTGGTACACGAAAGTTGATTGATGATGTACCAACAATCAACTGGAGTATGCGGCGCTTATTGACCTGACTACAAAATCACGGAGAAACTCACCCGGGCATTCTTCCAATAGTCAAAACTCGATCTCAAGAAGCTGAATACGTTTGGACGGTTTGTACAGGTGCTGCTGTTCTCGCCAAGACCGGTCTACTTGACGGGAAGCGAGCTACCAGCAACAAGAGAAGCTTCGCGTTGTAAGTTGAGGCCTCCGAAATCTCACACGAAGCTCTTCCCTATTCTCAGTCGTTGATTGTAGTGTCGTCTCAACTGGCCCAAAAGTATCATGGATTGCTAAAGCCAGATGGGTTGAGGATGGCAAGTTCTGGACTTCATCAGGAGTGGCTGCAGGTCTGTTTCCATATGTCTTACCTTGTTGTACGTTTGGAATCTGACGGAGTGTGCTGACGGAGTGTGCTGTTCTAGGAATTGATATGACGTACGCTGCAATTGCAAAACTGACTACTCCTGAACTGGCCAAGCAAGTTGCTGATGCTGTGGAATACTCTCCACACACAGACAGCTCATGGGATCCATATGCTGATATTCACAATGCCAAAGACCACATTCCCAAATTGTAAAATTGGTCTTCCTAGGGCATTGTAGGGAAGAAATGTTTATTCAGAAATAGATCTCAGTTCAAGACAACAACCTGACGCCGTGTCATTTTCATTAATTGCAAATCAAAAGGCAGGATTTTTTGCTGATGTGCCCACCAGGCACAAACTGGCTAATTTGAAGAGAGAGATGTGGTTCAAACATTCACAGGAAGGTCTCAATTTGCAAACACTATGGTTTCGGGCCATTTTGTACGTCAACACTCGAAATGGCTGCCTTTCCGAGCTCTCTTCTAATCTTCTAACTATGTGCCAGTTTCATACAATGCTCGAATGCAAAGAAATTACTCGGAATTACTCCGAGCGGCTGTGATGGAAACGGAAGCTACAATGTGAACTCTCAAGAGGTAAATTACCACTTGTTTGGCTTCTCTGTGCTCTGACTTTATAATGTTTTTGACGCCATTTCTTCGTATAGTGCGCAGAAAGCAACTTCGACTCCTTCTCTCAATGTTGTCGTAAGGCCGGCAAGTTTCCAGGACCACCGTATGTCTATGACACCACTCTATCTTGTGGAGGCAAGCACAGAGGAACAATCGGCTAAAAACCATTCTGTTGTGATTTTTGAGATTTCGTTTGTCAAATTTGTGGATTGATTTGTGTAAGTCGTTGACAATTCTTCACATTTGTTCGAGATGTAGTCTCCAAAAGAAAGCTTGATGTCCGGTTGTACATGTGCGAAGGCTGTATTGATTGAGTATAGCGGCACTACCCCGATTAGTCAACTATGCACTATTGTTTCTTGGCATGAGCCATATCTCTTAGAGCGTCGACAATTGCGGTAGGAGGTACATTGAGCCTGACTAGCTCCAAGATCTAGGAGAACCCACACAGCCAGATGTTAAGCAATGTTGATACCAATGGACGTCCGTTCTGGCGATTCTTACAATCTTAAAGACATCCTGACGTATTATAAGTCCAGAAGACGCGGCCAGATCGTACAGTTCAGCATCAACTAGTATTGATGTGAGCATAGTTCGGAAATCGCAGTTTGGATCAAACAAGACGCCAACATTGTTGAAAGATGGAACTCACCAGACTTTTGGAGCAATGACTCTGGAACTTGTGGAATGCTTGCTTGCATACTGATGTCCTGTATATATGTAAAGCACGTCAGAAAATGGACGTTTCAAGCAAACGTGATATTTGAAACATCAAATGTTGGCTTAAATTTCGTGTCGAGAAGCAGTAGTTCTCCATAACATATTGTCATGACACGTACTAGATCCTATATTGCTAGTCTGAAGCTGGTGTTTGGTATCCTCTCTGTACTGTCGATTGCTCCAAAAAAATAAAATTTCATCCACCACAACGTACTTGAGGGACAAGCAAAACGATGCAAGCTCCAATAGCATTCTCCATATGTCGGAGAGCTCTGGCGTCGGTATGTAAACATAGTCCCTGTATGCCTCTTGGTGACTTAAGCAATGACCAACCTTTTCTCATTTGCAAAATAGGGCTGCCGATTCAACAATACTCTTCCAAGGCATCTCGCCACAATCCCAACCAGTAAGCATACACTAGCAATGCCAATGACAACGTACTCATACTCTTCCTCGTTTAGCTGATGCAGATAGCTTTGCACCTGGGACTCTGGTCTCATCATCACCACATCCAATTTCACACATTCGATTGCTCAAGATTATACCACACGAGAATGAATCATTGGAGGTACATGAATGGAAGCACATATTTGTATCTTACTGTGGGACTCAACTCGTATGTCTGTTATACAGGAAAGGAATGGCAGACTACACAGAGAACGACTACAACACTTCCATCACCAGTTCTGGATGGACAATAATATGGACTTTGTTGCTGCAAAGGACAACTTTGAGACCGAGTGTAAGTGTTTGCACCTCATACAAACATACTGGTATACCAATACTTTCTTTTGCTCCACAGTCATGACTCAACACGGCCGCCCAGCAGCACCATCCGACCTATCTCGCTTCTACAGATCCTATCTAGAATCATCATACGATCGACACGCAGAGTACAACTACAAGGTCTGGAAGTCATCGTTCGAGGCCCTTGTGCCGGCCTTCCAATCGGAATTCTCAAGATGGAGGAGGAGGGTGTTTGCTGCGAGAGAGGAGCGGTTGCCGTGGGCGCCGCCGAGACCGTCGTGGAGGCGATCCTTCTCGAGGGGGTTGGCGCATCTGGGATATGGGTATCGGGCTGTTGGAGTTACCGTAAGATAGGAACGTTAAAAGCACACATACACACCACTACCAAAATTTTGTAAAGGTCTCGTTGAATTTAGGTAAATTTGATACATTTTATAATGAAAGACAATCTTTGGCTTGAGTTGGATTGTATTGTGGTGTAGTGTGTGAGCACCGTATCCAGTTCCAACATAGAAGAGAGTGCGCAATATCCATTTCCAACAAAGAAGAAACCGAACTAAATGACACAAGCTAACACAAATGTCGTGTTTTTTTTTTGTACGTACAGTGTATTGAGTAAGTCTCTAGAAAGAACCAAATGATACTGTACGAAGATTTCCTTCCAATAAAGAAGATTCCCAGATCTTCAGGCTCCTTTGTATACAAGGCACCTCCACATCATCCATATAGTCATCATCAGAATATCCATTCTTTCGGGGTGGAGGAGGAGCATCTTCACCAAACTTCTTTGTGACCAAGGACTATGCGATATGAATACATCCGTCCGTGTTCCAAGCATCGTTGAAGAGCTCAGATTTTACGTCATCAGCCTTGATGTGCCGAGCTTCACGAGCATTTGGATTGTAAACGTTTTGATTGGCTGCTCCAACTGTTGCTGGAGATGCATGTTGAATGATACGATGAATGTCTGTTTGTAAGGCGAGCGAAAGTCTACTCAAGTCCATTCATCATCGTTGGATGCCTACCAGCTATGAGAATGTATAGTAAGCACATAATATTGATTGTACATCAATATCGATGGAAGAACAATTCAAATATTGGCGAAATTTGCCTTGTCTGCTGGAGCATTGTTTCGAATGAGCAAAGGTTGATGTCCATCAATACTGATATAGCAAGGAGAGAGATCAACCTGGTTGACGGCAGCATCCAACAAGTCCTCCAGAGCCTTCTGTGCAGCAAGAAACTGCAGCTTTGGTGGTCCACGGTTCATTCTAATACTTCAAAGACTAATTAACTGCGCTCAGAAGATATATAAAGGCATTAAGAAGGCAAATCATGACATAGACTGAGGCTTACGATAACATTTTTTTTTGCTTTAGTCCTTGATGATCTTCAGTATTGCCGAGCTGATTTTGTGTCAAAATGAACGAACAACTTGACTTCTTGGTTTGAAGGTTGGACGGAAGCAAGACGGAAGATTCACGCGTCGAACAAGTCAAGATCGCCAATAAATATTTCCAGTGCTTAGAAAAATTGTAAGAACCGAACTTCTCATTCTTGCCAAGCTGACGAAGCAGGCTCAACTTTTGGACGACCGTTGAAAGGCAGCACACGACTAAACCTGTAATCGCATACGTGAAGGACAGAGCAACAAAGCAACGATGAGCGCTCACAAGCCTGTTGGGATCGAGCCAGGAAGCGAGAATGAGAAGCCTCTTCTCGCTGCTTCGAATTACGATGTAGATCCTTTCAAGGTGTTTCGTGGAGCAGAGAAAGTCACTCCCGAAACGCATCCAGATCCATTCGATCTCTGTGACGAGGTAATGTTGCACTGGATTTACGTGTGTCTACTTCAAAGACGTCCGCTTTTGCATTGGATTTCGAGGAATCATTTGATCGTGGAACAGGAATCAACGGTGACACAAGTCAATCGCTTACCTATCGCATATATAGGACCGAAAAATCATTCATATGTCTCCAGCTCCAAAGTACTATAAGCCAGTGGAACAGCTCAGGCCCTTGTACGTGGTGGTTTTTCTTCCTGCGTCTGTTGCCCGTTTTTTGAGACCAATTGACCAACATGTACAAATTAGGTCCATTGTAGGTGTCGGACATGGAATGAGTGGAATTAATTTGGCTATCATGCACAACTATAGGCTGAAAAATACTACTTTGAAGATCTAGTAAGGCTTTGTATTGACACACTCACAGTCATAAATCACTGATATCTTTCAACTTAGCGAAAAGAACTCTGACGTTGGAGGCACCTGGCTAGTTAACCGCTATCCTGGAGTCAGATGTGATGTACCGAGTCATCGATACTGTTGGAGATTCGAGCCAAATGACTGGACATCAGGATATGCAACCTCAGCCGAGATATGGGAATACTTCAATCGTGTTGCCAAAAAATATGACACTGTCAAATATGTCACGTATAATGCAGAGGTCATTTCTGCTGAATGGCTTGAGCCCATGTACAAATGGAAGGTCAAGACCAACATCAAGTGCCAAGTTGTCGAGGAATACTTTGATGTCTTTGTAAGTGACGAGTGGTTTCGTTGTAATGTGGCCATTGTTATTGATAATGCCACAATGCCTGCTTTAGGTAAATGGGCAAGGCGCTCTTGATAGACCGAAAATGCCTGAAGGCGTTTCTGGAGCGGAAACCTACAAAGGAACCATTCTACACTCTGCGAAGTGGGACACCAACTTTGATTATACTGACAAGGAGGTTTCCATCATTGGAACTGGTAGCTCTGGAATCCAAGTTATTACCGCAATGGCTAGCAAAGTGAAGAAAATGGACATTTACATCCGAACTCCATCATACATATTGCCATTCTACGAGCCTTTGGAATTCACAGAAAAACAACGAGCTCAATTCAGGAGTGGCGGCTTCCACTGGCAGTACTTCCGTGACTCCTTCCTCCGTGGTGAACGCTTCTGGCCAGTATTCAATCGAAACTCTAAAATGCAGCACCGCATTCGTAATGTAAGTCTTCATTGTCATAATGAGCTTACATATGTTCCTTACTACTCTGTTTCTAATCAGGACGCATTGAAATTATTGGAGAAGGAAGTTAAAGATCCAATACTCAGGAAGCAATTGACACCAAATTACGCTCTTGGATGTCGTCGTTTGACTCCGTCTGAAAACTTTTATGATGTCGTTCAGATGCCTAATGTACATTTGATCTGGGATCCGATCGTTGAAATCGCACCAGAAGGAATAGTTACAACCAAGAAGGATGATCCTAGTGTTCGAACTCTGCACAAGACTCCCATTATTGTCTGTGCTACTGGGTAATAGCGCTCGTGTTGTGTGGTTTTGAGTACGTCTAATACTGACACCAACAACTTTGGGTAGCTTCGATGTGTCGTACAGACCTCCATTCCCAGTGGTTGGACGTAACGGAGCCACACTTCAGGACTGCTGGAAGGAGAACCCGATCTGTTACAAATCTGTCATGTGAGTGGAGATGACTTCGCAACACGTCTCATATCATCTAACATTCTGTATATATAGGACTGCCGGCTTCCCAAACTATTTCATGATGATGGGACCCTTCGCTCCCGTAGCAGCAGGCGGCTTACACATGCATACAGAAGCCCAAATCAACTACATGATTCAGTGCCTGCATCGCCTGCAACAGGAACCTGAGCTAAAGTATGTGGAGCCAAGGTTGGATGCACAACAAAAGTTCAACGATTGGATACAGAATTGGCACAAGACTGAAGAAACAGGTAAGCAGAAGTTTGCACTCAAGTTAAAGCCAACAGTTGAAGTGTTAACGTTCTATACAACTTGTCTTCCACGTTTAGTCTGGGGCACAAACTGTGGGGGATGGTATTCCCAACGTAATGGATTTGTTATTCAGTTCCCTGGTAGTGCAACGCAATACCATGACATGATGTACACACCAGACTGGAAGGAATTGCAGTATGGCAATGTAAGCCAGTGGTTTAGGACATTCATACCAATCACATCAACACTTTTGAATCCTTCACTAAAACGATACTTTTGTAGGACGCTTCACCAAAGCTGTAAGGCTTTAAGTAGTGCCAATCGAACATTGTCCATGGGAGCGAGTTCCTACTTTTTTTAATACGACTTAAATGAGATTAGTAGCAATGAGAATTTACCTTGAAAATACTTAGCGTGCAACTTAAACTTGGTATATAGAGGTCGGCGCTTTTGGTTGTTGATGATCTTCAGAATTGATGTCGCGTCGGCACGAATTTGAGGTTCGAACTTCGAATCATTGAATCGAAAAGAGAGCAAGTTTACGTGTTTGTCAACAATCAATTCAACATATCAGCAAAAAATTTGTAAAATAGTGACGGGTACTAGCCGCTGCGAACTAGGTTCCATGCAAGTTTGGATAGGAAGTTTTGATTGAAACCACAACAGTCAACTTCATTGTAAATCGAAAAGAAGAAGGCCTTGTTGAAGCAATTGAGGTGAGCGCTTTGTCATACGAAGCTTCGTGGTTTTTGTCTGAGCTTGTTCGCAGAATATTGTGCTAACCTTTCAACCTTTCGCTTTTCATCACAGCACAAGTTGGATCGATAAATTTTAGCAACGAAAAGTCGATAGATGAATCCAATTATGCTACTTTTACTCTTCTCAAAGGCTCGTCATTAGCTGGCTTACTGAACTCCTCGTTTTCTAGTGTCGCATCAACCTCATCAACTGCCAACATGGTCGACCAATCCGAGCCAGAGCAACTAGAGCCTCATCATCCCTTGGAGCTATGGAACATGATCTGTTCCAAGGCTGCAGAGATCTCGCTTGGAACTCTTGCAAGGACGTGAGAAGACATGAACTGTGTTGCTCTCAAGTACTTGGATCGTGTTATTGGTCTTGTAAGCTTGCACCTTTTGCTCAAATTTTCAAAATGGAGCAATTTCTTAGCTCTGTTGCTCTCGTATAGGGTTCATGGGCTGACAACCACGGAGATTCTCACTTGAATCAGCCCTGTGAAGCATCATGTGTCTTTGCCGATGCTGGAAAATCGTAAACAACCAGCAACCATATATCAGCAACCCAGTTTTTCCAACGTACGAATCGTTAATCTTTGGGAGCTCTCGGGAGGCTTCCGTGTGCTCTTCGAAGAAGTATGTCCCCTCCACTTCCTCGAAGAACAATGAGGGAATGGGTGGATAAACGCGTCCTCACCGTCGCTGCAGAGCTCATCATCGCATGCAATCTCGCTGTATATGTAGAGTTGTCCACTGATATCCTAGAACATTTAGTAAGATGGTTTCCTAGGACCATTACGAAACTCTCAATGCAGGCCAAAACGTTTGAACTTCCAGAGTTCGCGGCATTCATGGCCAAGTCACCTAGCATAAGGAATGATGTATTCAATCGTGGACCCTATGATGCAGTTTCTGCTTGCATTCAGTCACAGCACCTCCACAGTTGTCATGTGGAACTTCGTACAGCCCGTTTATTCTGGTAGATCAATCATTATAGCTTTGGAGGTTGATAGTGTACATACTTTGAAGGAATTGGACTTGAAGTCACTCGATATAAGCCACGTACCTGGCTTCCGTTTCGTGAAGTACGAAAACTTGACCAAGTTGAGAGTAGTGTTTCATTCCAGTCGGTTCAATGGCCTTGGAAACAGGAAGGGCAAGCTTAAGTCGCTAGTCTTGGCCAACATTATTACCGCAACTGCACCCATTATAAATAGTATTATCCACGCGAACCGTCTTACTCTGGAAGAGATTGAACTGCCCTGTCCTCGATCTGATGACGAGGAACATGAAGGTATAAACCATGACGGGCTTCATACTCCACATGTATCACAAGATCTCGTGGTAAACATTGTTCGAACTATATTCGAACTCGAATTTTCACTTTGAACATGTCAGTCGATAATGCCAACCGATCCTTTACATCACGAGGAAGTTCAATCAAAAAGCTACGACTGCCTTAGTATACCGAAGATGAGTTTGATATCAACCTCATTATAGAACACTGTCTCAATCTGAAAGACTTGGCTTTGGACCACTTTGGCATATCATAATCGCCATTATTTCTAAGTTGGTAAACTTAAAACGAAACTGTCTATAGGCCCACGAAGTAGGACCATGTCGTTAAATCTCATAGCACAGGCATTTAAGCATCGAGATCCCAAGTCTTCAGCAGTCAAACTTGAATTTGGGGAAAGCACAGAATGTCAAGCTAGTGATGAGCTAGTCGAGTGCTTGAAGGTAGTCGCTCCAGATGAGAAGACTTGGACGTTTATACGAGATTATTGCGGACAGTTGCATCGTCACGTATGGTATAACCGTGGCCTGCTCAAAGACATCGACAACAACGTATATGTTTAGTGCTTTGGTCTGCTGCTCGAGTTGATCAGTCTTGTAGTTAGTGCGTAAATCGTAGTGGCCCTTCTCCGATTGTAGAACTAGTAAATAAGTGAAGGAAACTGATCTAAACTGATTCGGTAAATGAATTCCGCACAAAGCGACCAAAAGCGTCAGAGGCAACAAGCGACAAGAGATTTCAAGAGATTTCATCTCTGTGGTTTGGCAAGCAGCAGCAGAGAAACATCGATGATGTCCGCAAAAGGTAAATTGGCCAATCATAGATTTTTTGAGACTTCTCTCATTCAATGCTGAGCCAGAAAACGGTTGGAAAACCACTCACAAAGGAGGGAGGACGGCCAATGAAATCACTAACGAGAAGGTCGCTCTCGTTTAGCGCAAAAGACCAGATAGACCCATATTCGTTACTCTCACGGTCACTGAATAACTACAGTTTGGCTGTGAGAACATCCACTGTTCCCTTCGACGACGATTCACCACCAAGTTTCTTGTCGTCGGGAATAGGGAAGCAGCTTGCTTTACCGTCGCAGAGCTTCAACTTTAGGGTACGAGTTGTTCTTCTTCTCCTTTCACTCCTCATGTTTACATGGACGGACAACATCAACCGTTGTGAGGTGTTAACGTTTTCAACACATAGGGTCTTTTGGTTAATCTTGGATCTGGATGTAGGCCGTGGCCCGTGACGGCCTCGACACCGCTTTATAACTCGACCACAACGCTGGGATTTGTAAATTTTGAAGGAGACTACAACTGTACCTCCTTCGACACTGCCCTCAAAACCATCACAAGTCAATTCTATCCAGTACCAGCCGGCTCTCCGCCGCCGATATTATTCGTTTCCAACTATGAGATTGACCTTGTTGATAATTTTGTGGTAAGTGGCAGCATCAGAGGTTAGTCAACACCTCGCGTCCTAACAATATTTCAATCCTAGGCATCTGGCATTCAGGCGAATCTGATTCTTTTAGATATCACCATGGGCGTTTCGATAGGCACCCTTTTAAACACCATGAGCAACACGACATACGTTTTAGCTGAAGTGCAACCTGTGCCAACAGGGTCTGGACAACTGAACAATGTAGATAACAATAATCAGCAAGATAATGGTGGTTCAACAGCAGCCAAGACAGGTGCAGCCGTAGGTGCTTTTGTAGGAGTGCTCTTACTAGCAATGCTGGGAACTTGGGCATATTATCGCAGAAAGCGACAATTGGCAGGATATCGTAACGATGGAGAAGAAGGAACGCCATTATCCAACAACCCTGATGCTCCTGCTATACCCCTATCCGATATATCAGCAACTGCACCACCACTTCCAGTATACTCGCAAGAAACACCAACATTTGTGCCGCCACCAGAACACTCGCCTGAAATGTCGCTACCGCTTACAACAGCGGCTCGAGCAATGAGTACAGAAAATATATTATTCGGAGAGCCGCCGCCAAGCTATAGTGAACTAGGACCAGAGTTTTATGAATCTGGTCCTGAAGAAGGATCATCTGTATTAGAAGGCCACCCCTCTGCGCCATCTTTAGCAGTTTTGATAACACCAGGAAGTCCATCTGTCGCTAGTGGGTCTCCCGATATTATTGCATCGTCTTCGGCAGCATTGATACCAATAGCAGCAGCAGACGAAAGCAAGGGGTTTACGGACGATAACAGCACTATACCAGACTCTGAATCACCTATATCAAGACCGTCAGCACCACGCACATCATCACTAGCGCCAGTATCTTCTGCTTCAGCTCCCCCTATACCCATAGTAGCTTCACCGTCTGCACCACCACCAGCTGTATCGAATATTGATGCTTCTGCACCTCCCGTAGCTGAATCGATAGAAAATACCAGTAGAAGTAATAGTTTAGTGGATAGTGCCGTGCTAGTACCATCAATGCGCGATGGTAAAGATATGTCTGTAGATTTAGTACGCCAACCACTCTTAAGGACGAGTATGGAAGGTGAAGAGTTGATTGAATCTCAACCCACTCAAATACCTGGTAAATCTGTTGTTTTGGAAAGTGCTTGGGTTGATTCTCATGATGCGGTAAGCGTTGTCGAAATTGGTTGCGCTTGCAAAGACTTGGAACTTATTTGGTATCTTTTATTCAGGGATCATCGCGGCCAGAGCACTCTGCTTATCTAGTTTAGTATTGTTTTGAACACTTGAAATTGTAACTGGCACTTATGTAAATAGACCACAAGTTGAAACAGTAACACTCTCTGCTCAAGCGCTGCTCGTACATGCCAAATAGTTGTTTGCGCACATACAACTCTGATACATTTGATACAATTTTCTTAACACTTTTCATACTCGTTTCACACACATTCATCACAACAGATATTCACCAAACAAAAGGGCAACGATTTTAAGGTTGTATTCAACTTATCCGTCGTATCCCTTAGGACGAGGACAATCACCTTCTGTTTCACGAGGAAGCCCACCTGGATGATACGCAGGTTGAGGATGGCCAGTTTGTGCAGGAAGAGCACTTTCAGTATCACGAATGGAGGTGTCAAGCACCAAGATGGCGAAACGTTCAGTGATTTTTTCTTTGCCTCCAAATGCATAATGAGCTAAAATGAGCGTAGATGAATAAAGTATCCTAGCAGCCGAGACATTACTTTTTTCACCTCCTTCAGGCATGTGCATGCCACACTTGCCTTGTAAGACAAGATTGAGGTTGTTATGTATACAAGGATGAGGATTGCGTTTAGCTATAAGAGATCACAAAGCACATAAGAGAGTCTTATCTTACCAGGATGTACACTTTGCCCCTTGTCATCTTCATGGATGGCTTGACAGACATACAATGCACGACCATCCTTTTCATATCCGCCAGTGACAGGCTTCAAGATGCCTTGATCTTTCATTTCAATCATGGTGGTGATTCCTTGACTGATTCGTTCCCATCGATAAAAGGGTTGAGAGCTTTTATCGACGGTGAGGACTTCATAGTCATTTTTGATGGTCTCGTGTCCACCATATGCCACATGAGCGCCTGTTGGATGCATGTGTGGACCACATTCTGTTGTGAAAAGGATAATGAAGCCGTGTTAGGGAGTTGGTGATGGTGGCGATGTCTTTCACAACATGTTAAATTGAGCAATCAAACTAAAGAGTGAATGTAGAAATGATCCTCTATTGCTTATTATGATGATCAAACCAATGAAAAGAACATCCGATCTTCCAATGTTGCGACTCATCGAGCGAATGTCATTGACACATGACAACTACCATAACAAAGATACGAAACGTCCTCAAAACTTACTTCCAGGATGAACTCCACCATCAATGAAAGCTCGAGCAATGTAGAGTGGATGTCCAGCTTCACTCCCTCCTTGAATGGCGTCAGGTGGAATGCTATTTTCAGTGGCAGGTACAAAATGTGGAGCATGTTTGGACCAAGGATTCGATGCATTGGGAGCTTGATAGTGGAGTGCTTGTCCTGCCTACATGATCAATGATTGAAAAATTCAAAGTGTGTTTTGCCTGTTTGATGTTTTGAACATGCTGGGGGTTGATGTCAGTGATTTTGATGTAAATTGACAATTAACTGAATGAATAATGGAAGACGATGCGAGGTATTCGACATAAAGCTGAGAAGTTTACCTTTCGCAGTATGTTTCTGTTCAAGTCAGTTGGACTTAATGAGAGTGTTTTGGTGCAAGTGTCAGGCAGTGAGGAACGAAAACAGTACGAAAGTGGAGAGAACAGATGAAAATGCAAGTGGTTTCATCACGTAGGAAGTTAGAGAAAGCGAAAATTTAGAGTCGGTTGCTTCCTTGAAGTTCACATATTGTATGTGAATTTCAAATGGACGCAAAGACCCCTTTTGACCAAACGGGCTCCAAGTACAGGTAATTCATGAGCCACCTTAGGACTATGGGGGAATTTCTTCTTTGAGGGAGATTTGCACTACATCGCTTTAATACAGTGGATACAGATTTTTTTACGTCTCTACTATTTATACTTTTATGACACCAGCGATATGTTTACCAAACGCCAGGTACACCAGGCAACTCAAAATATATATTCATCATAACCATTAGTACGAGGAGTGTACCTAGCAGTTATCACAACGTCGCCAAACTGCTGGGGTTGCTACAGGATTCGTGCCAGGACCTGGATGAGCTGTATGACCTTGGATCACTGCATAATCTTGGCCATGGAGCGATATACCTGACCTGGCTCATAGGTAATTCCTTCAGCCCATTCACGAAGACAACCTTGAGTGTGATGATGATGAGAATGACCCTCTTGATGGTGTTGATGATGATGCCCAGCTTCAGTATAACTAGGAGGATAATCACCAAAGCGACCTTCATTTGAACGAGGAGAATGGCCACCATAATCGCCTTCACTTTGACGAGGAGGGTATCCAAATCCACCATAGCCACCTTCAGTTGGGCCATGAAAAGCACGACCATAACCACCTTCAGTCGGATGAGGATAGAGACTACCAGAACCACCTTCAGCTGGACGAGGAGGATTGGCACCCCAGCCACCAGATTGACCAGGAGGATTCGCACCATAACCACGTTCAGATTGATGGGGAGGAGCACCACCTTCAAATTGACGAGGAGGAATACCACTTTCAGATTGGCGATGGGGAGTGGCAGTTTCAGTTTCAAGCAAGGAGGTGTCAAAAACCAAGAAGCTGAAACGGTCAGTTGTCCATTCCTTGTCTCCATAGGCATAATGAGCTAAAACCAACGTTACCAAATGAATAAAACATACTAGCAGCGTTCGTTCCGAGACGTTACTCTTTAACTCCTTCAGGCATATGCATGCAGCAGTTGCCTTACAAAATTGGAGATTGTTAGGCTTTCAAACGTACGAGTGCTTTCCTAGAACATAGGAGAGCAAAAAGAACATAAGAGCGTCATGGCCAGTTAGACCGCTGATATCTTCACAAATAGCTTGACCGATATACAATGGACGACCGTCCTTTTCATATCCACCAGAAGCAGGTTTCAAGACGTCCTGTTTCGTCATTTCCATCATGGTGGTGATTCCTTGAGCGATTCGTCTCCACCGACAAAAGGTTTGAGTGTTTTTGGCGAGAGTGAGGCCTTCGTAGTCATTTTTGATGACTTCTCGACCTCCATATGCGAAATGAGCGCCAGGTGGATTCATGTATGGACCACATTCTGTAAGAAAGAAAGAGAGATACTGTTAGCATCGTGCAAGTTCATCGATCGAGATGAGGGATGACAACGATCGCTCATTTCAACAGAGAAACGATCGTCTAGGAGATCGACCTCTATCATATGGCAGACGATAACACGTAAAACACATCTTGTACGATTTTCCAATTTTTGACCACGGTTCTGCTTCTGAATGACATATGACAACTATCGCTCACAACAAGAAACGACATTCCTTCGAAACTTACTGCCAGGCTGAACTCCACCATCACTGAATGCTCGATCAACGTAGAGTGGATGCCCTCACTTCCACCTTGCATGGCGTCAGGAGGCTTGTCGTTTCCAATAGCTCGTACCCAGATTGGAGCATACTTGGAAGCAGGATCCCAGGCGTCAGGAGCATGAAAGCATAGAGACTGTCCTTCCAACATGATTTTGTATTAGAGTAATCAAAGGTTGAAAGTTGCAACGAGTCCTCTGTTTGATGTTGCAGGGGATTTAATGTTAGCGAGGTTGATGCAGAATGCCAATTCAATGACAGAGTAGTGGTTCGATATGCGAAGTAGTCAATATAATTCGGAATATCTACCTTACATAGTAGTATGTTTCGTAGAACTTCTAGCAGAAGGCTGATGACTCGATGACTTTGATGATGACGATGATGAGTGTTTTCAGCGTGAGAAGATTCGTCAAACTTAAACACAGCAATTGGCGTGCAGCATACGGACAGTTCAATAAGTTAAAAGCGAGAACTGGAGGAATTCACGGTTGATAATTCGCTTCAGTTTCCTTTAGTACAAACTTTCGATCGACGCGAAGAAGCTTTTGGACACAAACACAGGCAGATGAAGGGAGAGACTATCAGTATGGGGGACTTCATTCTTTGAGCAAATTTTCTTCTATAAAACTTTAATACATTTGATACAGATTTTTTACATTTTATACTTTCTTGGGACCAGAGATATATTTACGAAACACCAAGCATTTCAAGATGCCTATTGATCATGACCACTAGTACGAGGTACGCACTTAGCAGTTCCCACCTCGACGCCAAAGTGCTGGGGTTGCTGCAGGATTCCAGCCAGCACCAGGATGGGCCGTATGACCTTGGATGACAGTATAGTCTTCGCCATTGTAGCGGTAGACCTGACCTGGCTCATATGTGATTCCTTCGGCCCATTCACGAAGACCACCTTCAGATTGACGAGGAGGATAATTACCATCATCACCTTCAGTTCGACGAGGAGGTTCACCACCATAAGCACCTTCAGTTGGACCAGGACCATCACCAAAGGCACTTTCAGTTGGACGGAAAGGATAACCACCTTCAGATTGACGAGGAGGAGCTGGAGTTTCGGTTCCAAGCATGGAGGTGTCAATCATCAACAAGCTGAAACGTTCAGTGGTGCGTTCGTTTCCACCATATGCATAATGAGCACCTTGTCAAATGAACGTATATGAGCAGGGCAGCCTAGCGGCGTCCGTTCCATGACGTAGTGTTACCTTCAGGCATGTGCATGCCACATTTGCCTTGTGACGAAGAATGGAGATTGGTAAGTACAAAAGACCTCCATTTGAACATGAGAGATCAGATCGGTCCGAAAGAAACTAAATCCTTACCAGGATGTACAGTTTGACCGCTGTCATCTTCATGGATGGCTTGACAGACATACAACGGACGACCATCCTTTTCAAATCCACCAGTGACAGGCTTCAAGACTCCTTGCTTCTTCAATTCCATCATGGTGGTGATTCCTTTACTGATTCGTTCCCATCGATAAAGCGTTGAGAACTTGGGGCGAGGGTGAGGACTTCATATTCATTTTTGATGGTTTCATGTCCACCATATGCCACATGAGCCCCACTAGGTTCCATGGTTGGACCACATTCTGTGAGAAAAGGATAATAAAATCACGTGCAGGTATCATTGCGACATGGCGTTTCCAACGCGACAATGATCGTCGATCATGTGTCATGATGCATACAATAACCAATAGATCATGATCCTGATGAAAGCCATAATCAAGAGATCATGAAAGAAATCATCGATCGCTAAATGTTTAGATCATCGATCGACATGTCATCGTTGAGACAACGATCAAAATGTGATCGTTGAGACAGCGATTGCAAGCAGAGAAACGATCGTTACGAATGCACAGAAGATTGATCGAAACCAAAACATCAACGACGAGATGCAAGATGCTCTGCCATTGATTGACACATGACAACGATCGTTCACCACAAAAGAAACGAAACGCCATCAAAAACTTACTGCCAGGATGAACTCCACCATCAATGGATGCTCGAGCAATGAAGAGAGGGTGTGAACCTTCACTTCCTCCTTGCATAGCATCCGGAGGCAGGTTGTTTCCAGTAGCTTGTACCCATTTTGGGGCATGTTTGGAGGCAGGATCCAAGGGATCAGGATGAGATTGTCCTTCCAACATGATTTTGTATCAGAGCAATGAAAGATTGAGAGTTTCAAGAGTTTTTTTCTGTTCTGAAGAACAATGTGTAGTTGATGTTAGCGATTTTGATGTTAAATTCCGATTGAATGAAATGATAATGAAAGAAAATGCAATACAGTCACTATAAGAATGAATGACTTGCCTTTTGTAGTATGTTTCTCCGAAAGTCAAGAAGATGCTCGACACCAATATGAGGTTAGTGCTTTTAGGAGTTTAGGAGGAGTAAACTAAACCAAAAGTTGAACCAAAACTGCCAGGGCGAGTGCGCGTATAATCTCATAATGTACAAGCTAGAATGGCAAATTTTTCATGGTTAGTTGCTTGCTTGCGTTCATTCTAGCCTAGGACAAACAGTTACTCGAGAAGTTTATATCGGGAGCACGCGCCATACAGCCAAATTGACGTAAGGACCAAAGTGGGTTCATATTCATTCATAATATAAACGTACAGAAGGAAGTCATTGCTCGAGTTTGGGTGTACCTTTTTTCATGAAAGCCCTTGGGCTGACTGACAAATGCTGCAAATCAGCAAAACTCTTCCGGTCAAGTTTGGATATCAACATTTAAAGTCGTCGTGAGCTCCCTAATCCCGATTATTTCGCGTCTTCAAAGTCCGCGACAGCAGTCTCATCATCACCATTCTTCCTTCCAAAAATCCAAGCAGTCACACTGCCACTTTGCTGATAGCTGATATAGAGTCAGATGGAGAGCAGTATAGAGGAACCTTCTGCTGCAGTGTCTAGTGCACTTGTATTGCCGGCTCTAGTCCCTCTCCCTCATCAGAAGCTCAATGTGCTCAAGGAATCACCCTTTGTAATTTTGCTGAAAGCCAAACTAGGCTACCGTATCATCACAAAGCAATTCCCCCAATTCAAAGGTATCACGTCGGGTATCTAGTATGAAATGTACGAAAGTCGATCTTTAACTCCTCCCACCTTTTAGTCGCGGAACATACAGAGCTCGACATCATCGACGAAACATTCGAGTACTTGAACCGTGTTTGTGCAAACCAAACGTCAAGGACTGTTAACGTTTTCAAGCTAGTCAGGATGATCAAGAAGCTCAATGACTCGTCCAACGGTGGAATGGCGAGTAGAAGAGTAAGCTTTATTGTTGTTTTGCAGGCTAAAGAGCTGAAAGCTGACCATACAACGTTAAATTCTCGTCGAAAATAGAATAGCACTGACTCTCGATTGGATGGCGAAGACGTTACAAATATGCATTCAGGCTCTCGCTCCTCGATCGACTCCAATGATTCGCAGCAAACCGATGCCTCAGATGGTCATATAGATTCAAACAATGTATCAGATGGAGTAGGTGAAGGAGACCAGCAACCACCATCTCCTCCACAATCAACCAGTCCTTCTGACGATACTCAAAGCCCAAGCATCATCCCAGAACTCGTAAATTACTGGTCGTCGCTGTTTGAAGATCCGTCAGTATCGTTAAAGAGCTGGATAAACTTTATTATGCTTTCTGATGAGGAAAAGGCTGAAGCTGACAAGAAGAAGGCTGGGTACAAAGGTATGATTGACCATTAAAACGTCAGTACGTCATTGTTGATTTTCTAAGTCACCTTGAATTCTCTATAGCTATAAGTAGTGTGGCTAAAGCAAAGGGGCGAAGAATCGCTATAGCCCTTCTTACTTTGTTCCTATTGATTGTGAGATACTCAAGCTTCGACTGCTTTTTGTTTTTGGTAATTGCAGCAAACGTGGGCTTGTTGTATGTCCTGACGCATCCAAATCAGATCAACAAGACACTGATCAAGAACACTGTAAGTCCTGTCCAAACGGTTGCTGCGTTGTGAGAAGACTGGTAAATCTTACATCGTTACAATCTGATCTAGGTAAAAAACAGACTTGGATGGGCAAAACAATCCTTCTTCGGCCGTGGGAAAGCCGCATCTGCGCCAGCACTCCTATACGGTGGTGATGAAGGCCCCTCATCAGATTATAATACAGCGCCCAATGCAGATAATAATAAGCACAAGAAGCAATTTGGAATATTTCGTGCTAGTAAAGCATCAGAGAATGCACCAGCACCGAAAAGCAAATTATCGTCCTTGGACTTGTTGGCTGCACCATCAGCACGATCGTCGCAGCAACTGGACAGAGCATCATCCGATTTGCTTGCTCCGCCATCATCACGAACATCACGATCATTAACTCGTAGTGTCTCGCCGTCAGCAAACAATCATCATTCCAGCGAAGGTGAACATGAAGCGGTCGCTTCATCCGTCTTCCCATCATCGTATCCAAAACAAAGTATCACTGGTACGCAAAGCTCATTGGCTAGTGCACCATCATCTACATCATCAGGTACCTCTACACCTAGCCAGTCTTTGCCAGCATCGCCGTCAGCTTTGCTAAAGGAATAATTTGTAAAAATAAGAACCCATAGTTGTAAAATATTGTCATAAAACTACGTTGTAGAATATTGTCCAGTAACTCATATACGTATATTTGCTATGTTCAAAATCAGCATGCATTTTGTGATGCGAGGTTGCAATAATAGACAGTGTCAAATGCGAACGATCTTGAACAACTTGAGGAGCTTTCTGAGGAGCTTTCAACAATGGTAATAACATGATCGGAACGGGGCCACAACTACATTGTTCGTAATACTCACTTTCCAGTTCCACAGCATCGTCGTCTGTAAAATCAGATGCATTTTGCACATCATATTCATCAGTATCAACCTCATCGTCTTCGTCTTCATCTTCATCTACATCGTCTACCTCCTCGCCATCCTCAACTTTTTCCCACTCATCTTCGTCCTATGTCTCCTCCTCCTGCTCCTCCTCCTCATCTTCATCATCCACATAAACGTCTTCAATAAACACATGTTCACGTAACACGGCTTTCTGCTCTGCCGTCAAGTTTGTGGCATCATGAAACGAGCCTGTCATGAAATCACGCCAGCCCCACTCGAGTAAGTCTAATTGATAAACCGTGTGTACATGAATGGAGTTTGACGGTACATGGCTGCTGTTGGTCGTAGTGTTCGAACTTTTAGTATCCGTAAATTACAATCTGCTTCACAGGGCCTCTTTTGCGGCCACGGAGGATAATCGATACGAAAGTTAGCAAAGGAAGATCAGCGTTAAATCAAGTTCATGGTGCAACTGTGTGTCAAGTGTCATCTGAAACATCCCGCAAAAACACAAGGAAGTGAAGCTTACAGGACCAACGTCACGGTACAAATACTTTAGAGCGATGCAGTTCATTTCCTTTGACGCTCTAGATAGCTTGTTCCATACTTCGTGGCCTGGAATTGTACAGACAATGTGCCAGATATCATCTGGGAGCCAGAGCTCTACAGTGGCAGGGTATGGTTTCAGCGATTAAGAAATTTCGGGAGGGCTGAAGAGCACTTTAAGAGCTATGCATCCCTTTCGTACCATCATCGTTGAGTGCATCGTCCCTTGGTCCCAGCCCTATCCAATCAAGACGTTGCGACTTTACTAAGGCCACGGTAGCCTCATAACCACCAGTATTAGATAATTTTTACGTTAAGAAGTTTTATAGCGGGTAATTTTGACAGAAATGCAGCGGAATCTGGTAGTTCGATTGTATCCGTTTCCACATCGACTTTCGTTATAGAATTCGGGTAGTGGCGTATAACAGGTCGAGTGGATGCAGCTACTGTTTGGATTTCATTAGCAGATGGAAAGCTTTTGGAAAGCTTCGACCAAGTCTTCGATAATCGGCAGAATCTGTGTTGCATGCTGTCTCGTAATAGAGACTCCCCAGCCTGATGCAAGTAAGTCCAAGTTGAGATTGCTGTGTATCTAAATGCAGTTTGCCGGTATGCGGTTGTTGAGACTTTGCATTGTGACAGGATATATTCAATGCACGATGCCCCAGAGGGTCCCTTTGGAGGAGATAGAGGAGCGACTCGATGGGGCCAGGTAGCCTATACCATTGTTGAGTTAGAGTTCAACAGTTCAGCAAAATCGTAGAACGGGAAGCTGTGACTTCGTATTCCAAAACTAAAAACGACATACCGGGCCAAGATCACGATACACGTACGTTACAGCGACCGAGTTCATATCTTTTGAAGCTCTTGCGAGCACATTCCGCGAGGCATGGCTTGCAACTTCACAGACAATGTGCCAGACATCAAGGGGAACACGTGGACTATCTACAACAGAGAGAAGAGTTGGGACTCCGCTGAGATTTGACATATAACTGGCTACAAAGCTCTAGACTTTTTGATTGTTTCGTTACCTTTGCGATTGAAGACTTTGGACAAGTGTGATTTTGATCGCAGCCTGGTGAGCTAGTCTTTCGGAGGCACCAAGTATAGAAAAGGCGAACCGGTATGAATGAGCGAACGACTAGACTAATGAAACTACAAGTGTCAGTATCTACCTATTTATACCAGCTTTAGCCTCCGTGTAAATTTCGTCTGCTTGACCTCCTTGATTGTACTTCAGTAACAGAATAGCTTTGATTTATGACTGTGATGATAACTGAAAGCTTTAATGCCGGCACAATTCCTTCTCTGTCAGTGCTTGTCCCGTTCTCGTATGATTACCGAACGTTACCGAGGGCTGATTTGTGGACAAAAACAGAGAACACGCATTCTTCAATTCCCAATTCATCCCAACTCTTAGAAGGCTAATCTTTCTTTCTATAGCCATTTACCAACTCAACAATTTACTGTAGCCGCCTCTGCATTGGAGACTCTGCGTGTGAATTACGAGAAACGATGCAGTCTATATTGGACAATGACTTGTACAAGTTCACGTAAGTCTTCATCCACCAAATTACGAGAAATTTCAATGTTTACATGCCCCACTTCCACTCATAGCATGCAGAACGCCGTTCTCGCTCTCTATCCCAACATTCAAGTCACCTACCGATTCAAGAATCGAAACCTCAAACAAGCCTTCACTAAGGAGGCGTTTGACATTTTACAAGCTCGTGTTAATGGTAATTCCATTTGTCTACGGTCCCTACGTTTAGATCAATAACAGCTCACCCGCTATGTTATCAGGTCTATCAGAACTCGTTCTCCATGCGGACGAAGAGGCATGGATGAAGACCAACCTCCCATTCCCTGAATCCTACTTCACGTATTTAAAAAACTATCGATTTCACCCTGAAGAGCATATTGCCATGACTCTTGGATCTGACGGAGGTGTTAGTATTGATATCACTGGTACGTGCATTGAGGGATGCTGCTTTTTTTATCATTTCACTTAAGATCACGTTTACAATATAGGTCTCTGGACAGAAACAATCCTCTACGAGGTCCCCATCCTCGCCCTAATCTCCGAAACCTATTTCGCTTACATCGACACAGACTGGTCATTTACATCGCAACTTGATCTCGCAAACACCAAAATATCTAGACTCGTAGCATCCAAGATTGTCTTCTCAGATTTCGGGACACGGAGACGCCGAAACTTTGAGACTCAGAATCAGTTTGATGCGTGTTTGAAAGAGGCTATACAGAAACATGGTGCTGGCTGTGGTATTCAGGGGACTAGTAATGTGTATTTGGCGTACAAGCATGGGTTGAAACCTATTGGGACTATGGCTCATGAGTGGATTATGGCTGCTAGTGGTGAGTTTGGATATGAAAATTCATATTGAGGACATAGAATCTCTTCTATTTGCTCGTTTCTCCAAGCAGCTCACCTCTCTCACCCCTACAGCCCTCGTAGCAAAAAACGACATTGCACATTCAAACCGTGCTGCCCTCGAAACATGGCGACAAGTCTACCCCAAAGATTTTGGAATAGCCCTTACGGACACATACGGAACAGACGTATTCTTTGCTGATTTCTCACCAGAGCTAACACGAGATTTCGACGGTGTACGCCAAGATTCGGGAAACCCCAAAGTATTCGTTGATGCCTTCGTAGCACATTGTGCACGTGTTGGTGTGGATGTTGGCAGTAAGGTGGTCGTGTTTAGTGATAATTTGAATGTTGATTACTGTTTAGAGGTAAACTTGGTCTATCTTTGCAGTCTTGTTTTATGTCGCTGAGTGTTTGTGCTTTTTCAATAGTTGGAAGAATATTGTCAAAAGAAGGGAGTCGTAGCTCGTTATGGAATAGGAACGCATTTCACGAATGATTATAAGAAAGCTTCGAGTCCCTCTGAGAAGAGTGCTGCTATGAATATCGTTATGAAGGTAGGTGAAGATTATCTTGGCAAAAAAAAAACACATAGCTCGTGGATAGTGGCTCACTCACATTCGTTCTCTTCTCTCGCAGTTGCATGAGGTAGACGGAATCAAAGTCATAAAGCTCTCTGATGACGCATCCAAACATACTGGAGATGCAGAAGCTCTCGCCAAAGTATTGGATGCTATAGCTGCCATGAAGAAATGAAGCTGACAGACTGCAATAAACAGTAGCCTTTCCTATGAAGTGTAGACGCTCTTGTGTACATTCATCTTCGATTAAAAATCGTCTATATTTCACTCGCTCCAAATTTTAGTTTTTCCTAAGCCTGTCTATTTTGCTGTTTAGATTTTCTTTGGGATATCTTTGTTTTCTAATTTAGCTCACAGTGTTTTTGCATTGTAGGTCTCTTAGAACTCGTTCTACAAGAGGGAGGCTAACCTGCCGCTCCAGGAACCCAATTTCACATGTACCTCAGAATACCGATTTCGACCTAGATCATATTACGATGACTGTTAGGTCATATGGAGCTATCATTCTTGATGGAATCAGTAGTCACTAATTGACCCTATTTTTTGCTTCCTCTACAAAGGCTCCATCGTCGCCCTCATCTCCACAACGTACTTCACACACATCGACAAGGACTGTTAATTCCCATTCCAACTTGACCTTGCAAGCACCAAGATATCTATGCTCGTAGCATCCAAGATTGTGTTTTCAGCTTCGGGACTAGGAGACAACAAAACGTTGAAAGTCAAAGTCAGTTTGATGCATGTTTGAGAGAGGCTATAGAGAATCATGGTTAAAATGGTGTATAGACAAGAGTTGAAAGCTGTGGGTACTGTGGCGCATGAGTGGAGTATGGCTGCTAGTGGTGAGTTGCGGTTTGAAGGCATCATATCAATGTGTATCTCGTCTTTTTTTGCTCATTCTCTTTCTGGTGCTTCCATGTAGCTCCCACTTCTCGGCAATGTCCCTTGCACAGGCGTCATATCAACAATCACATTGCACAATTCAAACGGTGCAGTCCTCGAAACATGGCGACAAGTCTACCCCAAAGATTTCGGAATACTCTAACAGATTAAGACGTTTTCTTTGCCGATCTCTCAACCCGAGACTGTGATGGTGGACGTCAAGATTCTGAAAACTCTTAAGTATTCGTTGATGCTTTCGTAGCACATTGTGAACCTGTTGGTGTGGATATGGGCAGTAAGTGGTGGTATTTAGTGATAACTTGAACGTGGACTACTGTTAAGAGGTAAATATAGCGTGTGCTGCGGGGTGCTTCTTTCGTCATGTCGCTAACTGCTTTTGCTTCTTCAAAAGTCGGAAGAATATTGTCAAAAGAACGGAGTCGTAGCTATGGTAAAGGAATTCATCTCACGAATGAGTATAAGAAGGCTACGAGTTCTTCTGAGAAGACTACGGCTATGAACATCGTCATGAAGGTAGGTGAAGATTGTTTGTGGCGAAAAAATGGGATTAGTTCAGCACACAATTTCTCACTCACTCACACCCACACACGCTAATCCCTCTCAAAGTTGCATGAGGTTGATGGAATCATAGTCATAAAGCTCTTTGACGACACAAAGATACTGGAGACGCAAAAGCTCCTGCCAAAGTTTTGGAAGCTATAGGTGCAATGAAGTCGACGGCTAGATCAAACGGCATATTTCCATGCGCTCATATTCTCTTTTTGTGTACATTCATTTTTTTTCAATAACTCGTCTATATTTTACTCTCAATCCAAATTACAATTTTTTGTTTCCAATTCTGCTGTTTTGATTGTTTTCGTATTGTCCCGGACAACTTCTAGATATGAAAAAATCCACCCCATTGAAACAAAATCCGTACAGTTAAACTGACTTTCTCTAATTTGCAGCCTTTGCAACTGGAGGCTGAGATCCCATCTCTCTGAGATAGTCTATGTGACCAATAAAGGCTTCCATAAAAGTGTCCTAATAGTGGGCGAGGTAGTAGAATGTTAGCCAAAAAAAGGAGACAAGATAGCACTAAACCCGTCAAGATGCTTGACGTTCTACCAAACAACACACGATAATTACCTTGATTCTGTATCGAATACCAAACTCGGCAGCAGTATTTTTCACGATGGGCGCCAATTCAGGGTAATACGATTGATTAATATTTGGGAAGATGTGGTGCACGGCTTGATAATTCAAGGATCCAGACAAGTTTGCCCATAGAGTAGATCCATGTTGGTAGTCTTGAGTGGTCTCTACTTGCATTTCAGCCCAGTCAATGTGCATGGCGTTGTTTTCATCTGGTTGTGGCCATTTCACGTCTATGAGAAAAAGAGAGTGAGAAAGTTGAAGCAAAAAACAAGAACAACGCGTTGAGACAATAGAGTCTTTCACGGACGACGGCGCCTCCAAACACTGTGTATCTTACCAGTTACAACATGATTAGCCTGGAACATGAGAGCCAACCAATAACTAGATATAGCATCAGCAACAATAAACAACAAAAACACTCGTCCAGCCGAGCTGTTGCCCAACAAGTACGGCATCAATATTCTATAAACAACAAAGAATGCCTTTCCACCCCAAAACAAGGCAGCTTGATGAGGCAGAACAGGGTTGATTCTAATCTGGTCTAGTTTCTTGTGAACAAACAAGATGGTGATGTCCTGTATTCTGACCTTCATTCCTAGGAAGGCGTAAGCGATTGGTACCCAGATGTGTTGGTATGTGTAGTGGGAAAACCATTGTTGTTTTGTTACAATACGGCGGACGTCTGGGTCGCCGACAGCCTGTGAGAGTGAATGAAGATGAGCCAAAAAGAATGAGTTCAAGCCTCGGCATATTTATAAGATAACTTACAACATCAGGATCAGCACCAGCGATATTAGTATATGGGTGATGACCAAACATGTGCTGGTAAATCCAGACCATGAAGGAAGCACCGTTTAAAAAGTCGTGAGTGGATCCTAGTGTCCACCATAGTGTCGAGCTATGTGATATTGAGGCATGTGATGAGTCGTGCATTGGCATCAGACCAATCTAAAAGGTTGATAGTGGTCTTGTTTAGAAAGAGAGCCAAAAACCGACTCGTTATATAGCTAGATTGTACCTGAGCACATCCAACACCTAATACTATGGCACACAATAACGACAAAATATTACTGTTTACTACAGTTGGGTTGTAGAACTGCAGATAGTAGGAGATTGCAATCGATGCGTAGATTATAAAGTACTTGAGCAAGTTAATGGGATGGAACTAATCAGGCAAGAAAAGTCAGAAGAGGCAGCTGATGCAAACTTGTCAACAATAAATAAAAGACTACCTTTGCATCTTGGCGAGTGTCCTTAAAGTATTGACTGATTCTCTTTCGCAGAGTGACGTTGAAAGCACTTGGCTTTGGGAACGTGGGCAGTTCAGCATCTGTAGTGTATCCGATGTGATACTTCCTACAAAATTGCAGTAAGTTTGATTGTGTAAGCGACACTCTCCTTGTGGTTGATATGGAGGTTTACGACAAGTTGTCATTGGCAGTCACGTACTCGAGCACTTTGGCGACTTTGGCAGGGTCATGATAAGTCTCAAAGACCTGATGCGAGCAGAAGGAGAGAGCGAGGATAAGTATGAGGCCATCAAATAGTATCCAGATGCTTAAATACACGGCGTGCCTGAGTAGCATCCCTGCCCGCTCCCAGTAGAATCTAGACCGTTTGGAATGTTTGGAATGAGATGCAGATTTTTCGACGAAAAAGAGCACGAAAAACCAGAAGATGCGGACGATGCATACCATATCACGACCGCCAGGATGCTTGGCTGCGAATTTAGTGATGTCGTATACACTTCCTCTTACGATAATCCAAGCATTGTCGATCGTGTTTCGCTTAGCGACCTCCTTCCATGTGAAAGCCCTTCCTTTTGTGTTGTTTGTATAGTAGGACTGGGGGATATCTGACACGACCGTGCCCTCCTTATGAGAATCTTCGTCCTTCCATACCTTGAGTCCCATTCTCTATGTGCTGATTCGCCTGTTTTCTTGTTCTTGTGAAAGTAGACGTGAAGGGCCCTGCTGGGAAGTGTTGGCGCTCCTGGAAAAGCCAAATCACGCTGAAATGGTATTTTATATTGCCTATATTGGATCCCCGTTGCTAATTTACATCAACGCGGCTAGATGGACGCGACATTTCGAACCTCGTCTACCTCAGACGCCATTCTGTGTGGTTGGCCATTCAACCCACCATGGCCAAAGAAATACGCTTGTAATCTCTTCCCGTCTTAATTCAAGTTACAGTTTCAATCGAGCTTCTGATTATCCGGGTTCCAGGCTTTTTACACTTTTCCGTGAAGACCCAAATCCTACCAATCCTAGAGTCACCCTCAAATTCTTGAAGGCCACGAAACGTCTGTTGTTTGCAACAGCCCCATTCTCATTTGCAACCATCATGAAGGGGAATATACAGTGGGTTTTGGTCGCGTTTTTGATCGTGTTTATTGAGGTACATGAACCTTTTAGATCGCAGCAATACCATGCTGTCTTCGTGGTTTCCACTATGGTTGAAATTAGAACCTTAACTTCTTCTTAGATATCGTTGGCAGTTCCACTGGCCAGTACTACGACAAGGGTATACATAGTTCAAGCCTTGTTGATGACTTTCAAAACTACGATGGGTTATTAATTTGTCGTACTCATCTCCGTAGGCTAGCTCACCTGTCGCTAGTGCTGTTGTAGCCAGTCCTACCCAAAGCACGACAACGGTGAAGGTTAGTACATTTTTCACAGTACGGCACATTCACTCGGACGCTCTGCAAGTTGAGCAGAAAGCGCAATTCTGATTATTTTGACGTTTTCTAGACCACCACGACGACTTTGATGACAACAGCTACTACTTCCAAAGTCGCTAGTCCAGTTGCTTCTGCACTTACCACCACTACGGCTGTCGCCAGTCCAGTGGCGTCTGCACTTACAACTACCACTACGGCTGTCGCCAGTCCAGTGGCGTCTGCACTTACAACCACTACTACGATTGTCGCCAGTCCAGTTGCTTCAGTACTTACAACAACCACTACGTCTAAAATCGCCAGTCCAGCTGCTTCTATGCTTACAACCACTACGGTTGTCCCTAGTCCAGTTGCGTCTGCAACTACAACCACCACCACGATTGTCGCTAGTCCAGTACCTTCTACTACCACCACAACAATAGCCAAATCACCGTCACCCTCCGTAAGATCCAGGCAATAGATTTTGGGTATTCATCGACTGACAATCTTGTTTTCTCATTTAATTAGACCACCACGGTCGTGTCATCGCCCTTAGCTTCCATCACTACCACTACAGTGATAGCATCAGCTGCATCCAAAACAACAAGCAATAGTCCATCGTCAACTGTAAAGTCGTCGTCAACAACACTTGCTGCAAGCCCTATACCATCTACAATACAAGCATCATCAGCCGTATCGCCCACCACGTACGTGGGAGCAACACCAGCAGGCACCGGAGATGTAACAGCAGCCGCAACAAGTGTGGTCGCAACCGATTCGCCATCTCCGTCACCTTCTCCCTCCGCAGGCCCACCGCTCAATTCAGTAACGGTGATAGCAGCTGGTGGTGCAGGAGGCGCAGTCGCTGTCGCGAGCATAGCGGCAGTCGTGATCTTCAGACGACGCAGCAACAAGAAACGAGCCGAAGAGAACTTTTTCGATGAAGCAGGATTCAGAACCGAGTCTCGATTACACGATTACTTTATTGCTACATCCACAAAGCAGAGCTCTAGAACCAACTTGTTGGATGATGGCGTGGTTAACTCGAGACGGATGATTGCTATGGAGAATATGAACTCTACTTCTGCGTTGGATTTGTTGGGACAGTCTGCTTTGAGTCTGTCGCTGCCTGATGATCGGGGGTTGAGTGGAATGTCTACACGGTCTAGAAGGATTTAGGAGGAGTCACATGGATGTAATGGAGCAGTCAACACTGCTGCAACTATCACATACGGATTTTCGAGTAAAACACACCGGCCCATGTTTATATCACTTCAAGTATATCTAATATCATTTATTTTCATTGTTCAAAGAATATGCATATACCAACTTTAGCATCAACACTTGGAGGCGTAAGATTTGTGGAGAACTTTGACATTGTTGAAACAGAGCAATCTAAAGCGACGCGATTCGAGTTCGTATCGACGCGGAACTAGTATTTTTCGACACGCGGTTTGAAAAGGGTGTGAAAGTCCTTTTGACTTGTACTCCTCGTTCTTTAAATTGTACAAAACACCCTGTTCACGAGCTAAACAACACAAACCAAGTCGGCAATATATCATGAAAGCTGCCTAAGGTAGCCAGCAATGGTCAAATTCTCGTTCATATCATTGTTGGGAGGTAGTGACGAGACAGAATGGATTCAGCAGGTAAGTGTCAACATAAGGTGAAAATAACAGTTATTGGTTTGATTCTTTTTGTTCTATGTACTAGTACTAAGCAACAACTCCTTTTTAAATGAACAGCCTATCGTGCTTATGATGCCAATGGAGAATGTAGTCGTGGAACATTGCTTGCTTCGAATACCTGTGTATCTTCACCGTCTGTTGGACTGGGTTTTGCAGAATGGAAGTGATACGTTTGGTGTGTTCTGGTACGTATTTGGAGATCGATACTAGTGTGGTTTGATCTTGCCAAAAGAGTGGCATTGTTTCTGTAATGTTTGGGGTTTGGTTGTAGTTGTTACAGGGCGTTTGAAGTGGCGTTGTGTGTGATATATCTATGACTTCGTCAGACAGTTGATGAGAATGTCGCTCGCAATGGCATATGTCACCTTCATATTCGTCTAAGATGCTTAACGCTCTACACCATACACTAGCATGAGCGGAAATCGCCAACTGAAACAATCAATACACGCCAAACTCGCTGAATCTGGATGGCTCTCCCGTCATGTACCCTTCCAGGATATCCCATACGATGATCTACTAGGAATCGTACACCAATCATGGATAGCAGACAACCCAACAATAGAACCGGTCCCAGACGGAGTCCTCGAAACAGCCGTGGAAGCCCTCGCGTGCGCCCAGCACATGCCAGGCAAATATGTCACCATGAAATGTGCCACGGAACTATGTAAACTGAAACGAAATATGACTGTACGTAACATTGCTAAACTGGTCAAGAAGCATATGACAGCTGAACGCATGGATGTCTTCTTGTATGTGATATGGGCAGTTGCGCAACTGAAGGACAATAATTGTCCGGTGTTTGCTCCCATGGGTGTCATGTTGGCGTCGTCGCTTGCTGGGAATTATTTTTCGATATTGAGAACTCTGGGGCGGCTTAGGCCTATTTTGGCTTATTGTGTAGAGAATGTGAATGAGCTGCTGCTGGTGCTTAAACCGCCGTCGTCGTCAAGAGGTACTAGGAGTAAAGAAGTAATAGATCAAGATGATACAGTATCATGTACATCGTCTATATCTACAGTATCGTCATTGCCAGGTCAAAAAGGTCAATTGGGGCTTGAAAAGTAGTGTAAGTTATTAGTGGAAGATAGCCGTGTAGTCATTCTGTCATGTAGCATTGTCAATTCTGTAGTTTTAGCAAGTAAATTAGTAGTCAATCGTGCATCGAGTAAAATAAAGTATATGAGCTTCATCCGTCTTTATTAACCGGTTGACTTCTTCATGACTTTGTCAGTTTGGTGCCAACAATGTCCACGGTGCTTAACGAATAAGACTAAGATCCTAGCAAAAGAAGACACTTTCGACACGGCTTCACGTAAATACACGTTAAAATTGACGTGATTTCACCTTAATTGTATTGGTCACAATCCAGCTTCAACTTTCTGAATTCTTTCGACGAACTATTTGACCATCAAAAACGCACGCTCAAAGATGTCGAGCTCAAAGACATCATCAGGCTCGGGTAGTGGTTCCAGGTCTAGCAAGCCGTCTTCCTCATCGGCGAGTCAACCTACCAAAAAGTAAGCTCAGTTCAAATACAGTTAATTTCGAGCATTTTGAGCATTTAGAACTTACCAATATTTCACTATAGGGATCCACCAGTCGGATGGGAATTTTCAGCACATCCCAGATACAGGAATCCACTACCAGAACTGCCCTTTGATCCCAAACTAATACCACCCAAACTTGGCCTCGAACGACATTATAAATTTCGACCTGATGAGCAAACACCCATGGACGGAGACTTTACAATAGGAGTAAACGTAGTCGATGATCTCGTTGGCGAGTCATTAAACCTGGCAGATATGGGAGTGCTTGAACGGATTGTGAAGCGAGATCCATTTATAGTCAGACCGTCAGCTACTCAGCATCCGCTCGACTTGGATATTATCAAGGGCAATATAGACGCTATACCGCTAGTCCAACTCGCAAAACCCGCATCACGAAACCCCGATACGCCCATATCTCGCAACGTTGGTCCATCTGGTGAACGAGATGTTGCATGGCTGCGACGAACAACGTATATTGCTTCAGAGGCAGTCAAACCACGATCCAAGAAGGCTGCCGCGTCTGCTGTTACGACACATAAAAAGATGACTGATGTGTTGGGACAGTCGCTTGTGGACGACATGTCTATTGAAAACCAGATACGGATTATCATGTCAACGTTTAGGAGTGTTGATGAAGGGTTGGATAATTTGGATAAGTTGGAACATCCAACAAAGAAGGGGGTTACTGCTGAAGAAGCGGTGCCTGTTTTCCCGGATTTCGAGACTTGGGGAACGAATTATACTATTATTCATTTTGATGAGGATCCTTTTCCTGCTGTAAGTTTGTTATTGCTTTTCGGGCAATCCTTATGCTTATGAATCTCGGCAGCTTTTATGCGAGAGAAGTAGAGACAAAGAAATATATTTCACAAATTCACATGTGGCTTTTGTTTAGCCTATTACGAATGAGCAAGCTCAAGTTGCTTTGGAAGAATCTATTCTCGCTATTGCTGATACAGGCTCTGGAGAATATGCTTCACTCTTCAAACCGACTGATGAAACAGCCAGGAAGATGTTGGGTAAACGAAAACGTGGTGAAGACTTTGGTGATGATCCCAATACGGTATGCAGAAAATAGAAGACTCTTTGTGATGGATATTGCCTACCTCTCACATCACACATCTTACCCTCTTACTAGGTATATGATTATGACAACATTCGCGATTATGACTTCCAATTGACAACATTTGATTATAATCCGACTGATAAACCCGCACCAAAGAGTCGAACGGTTGATTTCACGAATGATAAATTCAAACGTTTGTCACTTTCTATTCGAGATGTAGCTGAAACGAGGGCTGCCTTCTATTATGTGTTTGAGAATATCGTTACTTTCAAGAGACGTCGTCTGGTGGTACGTATGGATGCACTGTCGTCTCGTGTGTTTGGTGCAATGTCGTTGCACAGACAAAAAGCCGGCTCGACGTTCAAGAAATACGGTGTGAAAACTCACTACCACAACTTCTACAATAGGGCCGTCATCGAAGTAATGATCGAGTCAAGCATATACAAGTACGACCTCGACCATTGTCAGCTCAAGAAGTTGAAGAAAAGAGAGCACGATTGATGAAGGTATTGGCAGACGCCAATCTTGTTGGTGAACTAATGGCGGAAGATGATGAAGAGCAAAAGGCATTGCAAGCAGAGCTTGAAGCTAATGGTGGTGGAGGAGCAGCAGAGAATGGAGTTGGTCATCACGATGGGAATGTTGATCAAAAGCAAGAAGGAATGGATGTGGACGATGTAACAACAACAGCACGAGCAGCGATGCAAGAAGTGTAAGATAGTAATAGCATATAGATAAAAATATAAAATATGACGTGCATTTTAGGAAAACCGTGTTTTTCAATGTTATCCAAACCTCCAGACACACCTCCGATTAACGAGACTTTCGGTTTGCAGAGACGGGTTTGATAAAGTAGCTCAATAGTTCTTGTATACAGGCTAGATTGCCATTTCATAGTATCCGCTTCGCATTCTTCTCACCTTTAAACAAGCTCGCAAACATGATGGAAATCGAGTCTACGAACGGTACAAGTGTTTTGATACCGAGTAGCATTCAGATTTAAATGTGAATATTAATTCCATCTATTTATATAAACAATAGGAAGCATTAGTTCTACTCCTCTTCCTACCTCCATCGCTCCAATCCTCAACATTTCACCAGAAACATCCCCTCATGAATTACGAGATGCCCTTATTAAAATCATACCACAAAACAGTATGTATTTTCTAGTTTTGCTTGCATTTTGATTTGATGCGTCGTTTTCCTCCGCGAGCAAGAGTCTTATCAAGGAAACCATCATCGTCTGAACTCCCATTCCAAACATAGATGAAGAACGGATTGCACTGGCAGGATCAGATGCATTCCTATCATTTCTACGCCAAACACTCGAAATCGCTGCCCAGAAACAGGCAAATTCTACAGATCTAGTGTACAAGGAAATGGGGGCTGCTGCTGCGAAGTTGTTGGCTGAAATCGCCAAAGCTGGTAATCATGTTGCAGTAACTCCGTTGTTTTGCTCTAATGTTTTAACCAATTACTGTCGTACTTGACGCAGAGGAAGCAAGACAGCATATCGGTGAATCAGGAAACATACCTGCCTTGTTATCTCTCCAGCGTTGGTCTTCACGAAACTTGACGGATATCAATGATGAACGGGAAGATGGACAATATGATGAAGTTATTGTGCAGACATTACGTGCCTTGGCAAACTTGTGTTTTGACAATGGTATTTTGGATAGATTGAATGTCCTTTTTGAGCACTAGTGTATTCTTTGGCGAGTCTCTAACAACCACATTTTCAAAATAGAAACAAATCGAGAGATTGTACTAGATACCAAAGACAGCATCAACAATATTGTTCGATGTCTGAATTCACGTAGTTCGCAATTGTTGAATATTGTTTGTGGTGCTCTTCTCAATATTTCCATGGAGAATGGTACGGAATGCACTTACATCGCATCTAAAATTTGCCCAATTCGACCTATTGATTCTTTGTAGAACCGGTACAAGTTGAGATCCTGAATGCAGGTGGTTTGACATTGCTATTAAATGTCATCAAACTGGGTACAGATGTATCTACTCGGAGATCATTTCGTGGTATTGGACCTGTAGCTATCAAAGTTCTGAGCAATCTTGTGGAAGCTGGCAAGTTATCCATCGGAGTATCCACACAATCCTCTTTTCGCTTATCGCATTTTGCAACAGAAAAGGGAGCTCAAGAACTCATGTCCTCTGGTGGACTATCACAAATGTTGAGATTATTGTGGCAACAACATCAGAATCTGCTAGATCCTGAAATTGATCGAGAAGATTATGATGAAGCGTTAGAGTTGTTGGACGTGTTGACTACTGTGTTGGAGACTATTGGAGAGAATGGTGAGCTAACTTTGTCATATTTGATCATCACAGGAGGAATTAATTTTTTGCAGATCAAATTCAGCGAGCCATTGTGGACAAGGACTTGTTGGACATACTATTAGATTTCGTGGATCATCGACCACCTGCTCGTGCTAGAGCTTCTGGCAATGACGAAACGTTGATGAAAGCAGTTACTACGTATACTGACATTCGAAGAACAGTGTCACGTATTGTGACTTTGGTTACCATGAATGGTATACTGTGCAGCTTATTTTTTTGCCCATCAACCTTTCTGTGAAACTAACAATCATATCTTGGTTTCCAAGATGCAAATATGGTGGATATGCCAAAGAAGGCTGAAATCATCAATCGATTCAAGAGGTGGATGACACTAGTTCGACAAGTTTCTGTTGACGATGACGACGATGATGAGGATCAAGAAGATGAGGATGAAGAAGTTCGGATGTCTGGAGCACTTTGTCTTGGGAATCTGGCTCGTAGTGGTGAGCCCTGGCATCCCGGTCACTTTTTTTTCTCCTTTTGTCGAAGGCTCACTCGTCTTTGATTTTCCTTTCCATTTAGACGAGACATGTGCTACTTTGGTCAAGACCCACAATGTAGTTCCTGCTCTAGTCAAGTTACTCAGACTAGAAACTGAACGATTGAGAATGGCACAAACTGGTGAAGATACTAAAATGGGGTTGAAAGTTGTTCATGCTGTTATTGGTGCTCTTAAGAATCTGTCTCTTGCTTGTATGTTGTCGCAATGATTCGACCTGTACAACGTTGTGGAGTACCCTTTTTCGCTTACACATACCATACCGGTAAATTAGCTGCCGATCGAACTATTATGGGAGATCTTGGAGTCATCAACGCTGTAGCTGGTGTGTTTGACTTGGAGAATATCAAGCCAGTTCAATATGGATGTGTTGGAATCATCAAGAATCTTTGTGGGGGCCAGAATGGTATGAGCGTGAGTGCGTCTGTATTTTTTTCAACTTCTCTAACATCATGGGTGTTTTGGTGATCTCAGAAGCTAATGTATATCGAACAATTGGTGGAGTTGATCCCCCGCCTCCAACAAATGACTTCAAGTTGGAGACAGCAGAAGTCCCAATAGTACCAGGCATCAAAACTCCATTGGCTCGCATTATTTCATTGATTTGGAGAGCAACTGGTGATAGTGATACTGGCATACGGAATGAAGGCGGTCGAGTTATTGTCAATTTGACTAGGTCATCACATCGTGCTCGAGGTAAACGATAAGCTACAATTGGGCTACGGTTTTGCTTTTGCTCACGACCTCTTTTCAAACTTGTTAGCTCCCCAATTCATAAAAGCTATTGTTGACTCAAACGGAATACCGCCCCTCATTCAAATTCTTACTGGGGCGCTCTTGACTCGAGATCTTCCACCAGATGCCATGTCGGAGGACTCGACTGATGAAGAGGTGCATGTGCACTTTGATGCTCTGCCATCTGCAGATCAAGTCTTTCCTCTAGTGCAGAACGAGGGTCTTGTTGCCCTATCCCTCATTGCTACCAGTGCGTTCTTTGATTTGACGATTATTCAACTACTCAACTGCTTCCTTTTTTTACTAGGTGTCCCGTCATCCATACCAATTATCACCAAATATTCAGCTTCACTCATTCCAACTCTAATACGTATCTTGCAATCCGGATTGCCAGAATTCGCCGAACATACTCAACCAAAAGAGTCGAAACCATCACGTAATTCAGGACATTTCAAGGACGATGTGGGTGGAGATAAAGAGCACACAGTGTATTCTGACGAGACCAAGTGTAATGTGTGTACTTTGGCGGATACGCTTATCAAGAGAGATGGTAAGCTAAGTCGATTTGGCCTATTTTTTTTGTCACGCCACTTTTTCGCTATACCACTTACATGCTCTGGTAAATTGTAGCGGCATTCAAGGCACGAATCTCCGAAGACTTGAAAACAACACTGCCGGCATTACTCAAAGTTGTGAAGGCCAGTCCATCCGCATCATCGGCCGAAAACCCAATCAGTCCCACTACCTCAATCCACACAACTGCAGAATACTCCAAGAGAGGGACTGTTGGTTCTGGTGGAGGACAACCTACACAGAAAGAGTTGCAACGACAGTTGGGTGGTGGTTTAGGACGTGCTATGAGTGTGGTCGATATTGCTATGTCGTTGGAGAATGCTGCGAACAGTTTACTGGGCAATATTTGACTTTTGATGCATAAATTTTATACCTGCCGAATATACCTTTTCTGATTGTGAAAAGCTCACGATTTTTCTTCAACGACCGGTTTTTGGAGTTGAATGTGGTAACATGTTCCTAAGCATTGTGTAAAGTGATACGTATTGCTGATGAAGGCCTATCCTATTGTGACAGTAAGATTTTTGATTCTTTTGCTCCCCATGGCATTGATATTCAATTTCATACTATTTGCCTGAACGATTAGCACGTGATAGATCCGCTCTTCTGCCTGCTTTTATCGCAATACTCAACATTCACCGGAATCCTTTCCTGATGCTTTACAAGACGCCCTGATTGCAATTTGTACCACAAAACTGTACCCTCTCAAACAGGGGAGGTTTTTTCGAAATAAAGTTGGTGAACCGTTTGTATCTGGTTTTGCAAGACTCTTTTCAGTGGAAACGACAATTTTTGACTCCCAATATGACCAATATTTAGAGCGAGAACGAATTACATTGGCCCTTAAAACTAGAAATCGCTGCCCAAAAAGAATAAAACTCTGCTTGGCTAGTATACAAGAGACGGGTTGCAGTAGTGTTATGCCGAATATGGAGCTTTTTTAAGTGTTAGTTAGCTTATGAAATATATTTTGTTCAACAACCTGCATCTCTAAATATGTTTCTACGATGTGTGTACAAATGACATATGTAATGGTGATGACGACACCTTCCAACTATTTGGCAGGATGAGGGTGTACAGTGACATCAATATTCTTTACGTCCAAGTCACCTATGGCCTTGTTGGTGATAGTTGCCACCTTTCGAGGAGTGTAAGGTTTGCGTAAATCTTCATTGTGAGCAAGGATACGATCTGCGAATGTGTGGTTGACGTCGCGGTGGTTGGCTACAAGTCAATAAGTTGAATTTTGAGTTCAATAATGGAAGACAGGATGGTCAAGAAGCGACAGACAGTAGATAGCTGGTATGCAATCGTAGGGGTTTCGCCTTACCTTCGTCAGCACGAACCGCTAAAACCACGTCCCTGATACGGGCATCCCTGGGGAGATTGTAGTAGTCGAGAGCAATGTCTGGCGCTGTTGGTAAGATGGTAAGTTGGTAAGATTTGGGTTGGTCTTTAATCTTCTGAAACAGCTGGAAAGGTTAACATACCTGGTGTGTTGGGACTGTAATACAGAGATTGACGTGATGAGAAGTTGGGTTAGGTCATGAGCTTTTCGCTAACATGAAATTTCAGAGGCAACAACAAAAAAGGAAGCCAGTCTATCCAACAGTATATGTTGACTCTTGCCAGCTACTTACATGTCACCATTGTCAATGGCCTTCAAGAAGTGAGTGTAAGAAATCACAGCTTCTTCTTCCAAGTAACCAGTAAATCGATGAGCGCAGCTTGGCCATAGAATGTAGAGGATTGAGAATATGGCTGTGAATGCGTATTGAGTGACTCCTACAAGCATCCTTTCTGTGAATGAGGGTTGACAGACCTTCTAAAAGACCATCACAAACGGTGCCAAGGCGTTAGTCAAAGAATACGACCGATACGAAATAAACAGGCAAAAAGATGAAACAGAATAGCACTAACCATCCATATCATGAGATGCATTCTCTCATTATCAGCTTCGTGGAGTAGATGACTGATCCAACCTCCATCATGTTTCATCTTTCGTAGAGAAGTCAAGTGCCTCCACATTCCAGCAACGAATCCGGGTACTGCAGCAACTGTTTCGAGGGTAACTGCTCGATGGACGTATTTGTTTCTGAAGAAGAGGTCTGATAGTGGCCCTACACAAGTTGGAAGCCAGAACGTGTTAGTGATCCAAGGTCAGCGAGAAAAGACTGAAGAAAGTGAAGGACAGAAATAGCGACAATTTAACAGGTTGCAAAAACAAAGCTGGGACATATCTGTAACAACTTACTGAGAGTTCGAACAGCGCCCCAAGCGACATAATCGCCAACAGTCACCATTTTGCGATGAGATCCAATTCCAATGTCCAAGTCTTCAAGTTGCTTAGAGTTGAGAGAGTACGAGATGAATTCTGATCGTACTGGAACTGGATGGACTTCGTGAAGTTTATGAGTTGGATGAGGGGTCTCATCTTCATTCCTAACACAGCAAGATAAAATAGAAGTTGGGCTCATCTGTTAGCTCAATTAAACACGATTTTCGGATGGCTGTGCCGAAACACACAAAACTCACTTTCTGGATGTTGACATTTGTCTTCCGGACGAAGAAGGAAGGATACGGCCAAGAGTGTATGAGTTGGTGAGCATGAATAGTGGTTGCTGCACGACCATTCTTGTTGGGTTGATGAGGTGCATTGTGGCAGATGCCACCCTCAAATGTTGACGTCCAACGAGAGTAACGAGAGTTCTTTGAGCAACCATGTTTCGTATAGCTTGGATGTGATCTAGGATGACGAAATAATATCAGGATTTAATGTCGCGATTATCGAGCTTCAGGGATGCAAATGTTTCACGCTGTCAAACTGATCTTGCAAAAATAATGCAGACAAGCGATAAGGACCGCATACCCTTATGGGGAAACCTTGTATGATGCAGATACTGTAGAAATAGTTGAACGAAATGCTCCTTTTCAATATTGACTGGCAATGAGCGAATAACAGCACACACCCTCAAATCCCGGTAAAAATTCAAAAGTCGCTCATGTGGCGGATTGGTGCAATTCAATCGAATAAATGGTAGAAATCAAGTCCCAATTTAGTCGTATTCGTTTCCTTCTCGCTGGCGCGTCGTATCGTTTTGGATCCTTCATTTGATCTTTGCCAACTTCACGTGAATTCCTAAAACGACTAGAAAGCACAGACAACCATTACCATGACACCACATCTGACGAGGGCTGGTCCATACAACATATCAGATGATTCGGATTTTGATCTCTTTCAACACCGATCGCGGAGAAACTGTCGGTGCAAAAGCGCCAAGACAGCAAAGACACACCTCAACCAAGTAAGCAATAAACCCAACATTGTTGTATATCCTGCTTCATCTGGATAAGGACATATTGGCTTGTGTGTATTTCTATACAGATAATGGTGTATTCGGTGATATTAGTACTGTCTGCATCCATGACTGCTTAAACTGACGTTGTTGATGAATTGTGGTCTTGATGATTATCGAGTTTTGAAGTATCGAATACCAACATCCTGAAATTGTTGGTTTCACGCTCACGACCGCCATAAGCATAATAAGCTCCTATTCTCAATAAAGAGTGTGAAGGAACAGTCAAAGGCGTCAAAAAAAGTGTCCTACCTGGAGTATGAGAACCGACTTTGCCAGGATGAGTAGAGCGACGGGTACCCTCATCGTGGACTGTTTGAGCGATATAGAAAATACGACCATCCTTCTCATATCCTGCGTGAGATCCGAGGTGTTAGCTATATCCTCACACGAGGCACTTGATCCTAGTTCAATTATTCGCATTCTCATTATGCTCACCTCCAATAACAGGCAAGAATCGTCCTTGCACCCTGATCTCTTCCAAACCGGCAACACCATTCATCACAGGAATCCAGGTATAAAACATCTGGGACCCATCAGGTATAACCAACACTTCATAATCATTAACAAGATTCTGCTTTCCAGCATACGGAATATGAGCCCCCGGAGGCTGCATCAAAAGTCCTGCTTTTCCACAATGAACACCTCCAAACATATACGAGCGACAAACATACAAGGGCTGCGAATCATTGTCGTGGCCACCAACGAGGCCTCGAATAGGGATACGGTTTTCAGAGGAGGGAATCCATTTAGGTAAATGTTCGTGTAATATATCTTTGGCAGTCGGTGAGCGAGATGATGATGTACTGTTGGAATGATGGTTTGAATCGCGTGATTTTGACTTTGCGATATGGGACGAAATTATCACATTCATCATTTCAAAAGTACCAAAGTAGATGGAAAGCTGAGAATCAGTGAGTTCATGAGGTTTTCAAGTTGACAGGTGACCGTCGGAAAAGCTGTCAAATTCAATTATTTTTTGTCGGTTCTTGTCATTTGATGCCAAGAACTGTGACCATGAGACTAGAAGATAGTCTAGTGAAGGCTTCAATATCATTTTCAAGATATTTTCAGGTAGGGTCTTCGTGAACCACGTCCGTAAATTTGCTGGACGGTCGGTGAAAATGATTTGCGTCCAAAGTGAGCCAGCCAATTTTTTCAAGATTGAGAATGTAGGCACGGAAAGGGCATGAATAGGAAACCTCCAGTCACTAAATTCATTATGAGCAAACTTCTGGTTGGCATGTGCGTCCTCGCCTTGTTGCCCGAAAACCAGTCTGTTTTATAACCCAACCAAAACCGGAGATCAACGACAGGGGAAATCAATGAGAGAAAAACCTAGTAATTCGAGAAAGGAGCAATTTTCTGGGTGCATGGAAACTCTTGGGCTGAAAGCTAAGTTCGCTTCTCCTTTCGCTTACCCAAAAGTACGAAAAATCTGTTTGAAAGAGCTCAAAACCCCCCCCCCCCCCCGCGAAATATAGACGCACAATAAAAAAGGTTATCCAAATTGATTTCTTATTTGCGAAAGAAAGAAAAGACAATGCAGGACAACACACAGATAAAAAGCAATAGGAAGAATAAGATCTCTAAATCTTTAAACTGTATGAAACACAAATCAGATACCTCAAACACACTTCAATGCTCCAGGAATTCAAAATCATATAACACACCTTCTCTTCACTAACAAAACTTGAGTCGGTTCTGAACCTGTTGAGCCTGTTGGGCCAAGTCTCCACTAGAGTCTTGTACACGAGCGATTGCCTTCTCGACGGTATTGTCAGGATGGCCTCCACCAGCAACAACGGCCAAAGTTTCGAAGTTGGTTAGACTATGCCCAGCGGCTAGATGAGCTGGCAGAGTACTGTTCATCAAGGAGAGAAGAGAATCGTTTTGGCACGTCTGGACAACAGTCATTGTCTGGTTGTAAGCCGCAACAAAGTCGTTCTAGAGTATGAAATATCATGTTTACATTAGTTTTCTTGGCTTAAAAGAAGCCCACTAGGGATCAATACTTACGAAAAGCTTGATGGATGTCTGGCACGCCGACGCAAATGTTGGATCACAAGCATTGATTTGCAAGGTAGAAGCTTTCAGAAGGTTTCCAATTGTGACCATATCGTTGACTGCTGTAGTTAGAGCTTGCGTCTAAAGAGGTGGTGGTGTGCAAAGTGCGCGGTCAGCATCGACCGCATCTCCTACACTGGAATCATCAGAGCAAGCAAGCAGGTACTCACAGCCGCAGAATCCGCGCCATGGAGAACAGCAAATGTAGCCAGAGTCATGTAAAAGAAGGCCTTGACTGAATGCATTGTTGCACAGAGTCTGTACAGAACAGCTAAAGAGATGATTGAAAGAGCATGTTAGACCATCTTGAGTTCCTTTGGCCTTAAAGTTTCAAGCGATTGTGCATACTTTAGATTTGTTAGGCTAAACAGGTTTGCGAGCAGTTGGGTTGGAGTTCCTTGCCTTGATTGTAGATTTTGTGGAAAACTGACGATCTGCCTGATTTGCTGTTGCACACTAGAGAATCACGTCCGTATGCCGTATGACGAATTCCACCTGCTGTGCTGCATTGAGTATTCAACCAGACTTCACGGGGCCTCTGAAATCAGTATTGCTGCAAACTGACTTTCCAGCACCGTGGCCGAAAAATGGACAACCTTGGTGGTTGTAAGATCCGTGGTAGTAAGATCCAAACTACTTGAGTCCTTGAAAGGCGTGCCAGTGCACGAAAAGAGGCATGTGTTTATTATTATTTTTCAGGAACGATGGAGAAGGAATGATGTATTGTCATTGGGAGGAGTGGATGAGGATTCGTGATGTTGATGAGGATTTACTCATCACTAGTGACGAAGATGCATAGTATCAAACTGGTGTATCTAGCTTTAGTCGATTGTCCACAGCAGCATGGTGGGGAACCTCCAAATATTTGTAGTACTTTTCTAGAAGTAATAAGATTTTGTGTTTATTGACAATCAAAAGACAAAACTATGAACCAACATAGCTTGAATTACGTGAAAGGTGAATGCAACACAAGTGCAATTCACCGTAACTCTTCGTAATGGCAAAACTTCCGATTGAACTATCCAAACTACGGGGCCCTGTGACTATGTGAGACCAATTTGGTGGATACTCTTCAAACACACCATGAGAATTTGGTCTTATGATAAACCATCATGGGTGTCAAGAGCAGGTGGCTTAACGACAAAGAATGTTGAAACATCATGCTGAAACAGTAGAACTTGCGATAATTCCGATGTCATATCCAAAAACGAAACCACACAGAATAGAAAGAAATGTCTTTGTTAGAAGCAAGATCTCTCTTCACATAGTAGAGATCAGGGTTCATTGATGTTGAAGACTCTGCGTGCTTTGGCGCATCTGAAATGTCATGAGGTTTGAATATCAAGATTCGTATAATCAGGGGGTGCCATTCAACGATGAGTCTTTGGTAATGACAATATGCATTCTGGTTGAAGACTGACCGTCCTCAGAAATCCGTTACAAAACCAAAAACAATTTCGATGACTTTGCTTTTGGAATTTTCAATTTAAAACTTATTAAAACTCCAAACTTACCCTTTCCACCGCCTACGGCGATCAATACCGAGAATATGTTCGACATCTCGGTGTTAAACTACCCTCAAAATAGATCAGAGTTTTTGACGTGTTGATAGCAGGGAAGAACAGTTTGCAGAAAAAACACCCGAATCACACATCGGTCAGTACGGGAAACAGGACGATGATCTAGCTCCAATTCTTCGATCTCAGCGCCTATAATCTTATTTTACTCGAGTGTTGACTCGATGGGCTGTCAACCTATCATCTGTAAAGATATACACTTTTTGGTCTATCTCAGAGGATACGCCCCGCTCTCTCTCTCTGTTGACTATGCACTTGGTCGTGACGTCGCTGTGGAAGTACTCACTACTTTATTTGTTGATCTTGCTGAGTACAATGGGCATATATATTCACTACATATGGAGACTCAGGAATAAAGATGTTTTTCTTTGTTGATGCAATTTGTAAAATCCAGCTGCCATCCTTCAGATAGCTTCCTTCCTATCAATCATAGACATGGCAGCTTCTTCGGGATGACCGAAGACAGTGCCCATATCCTCTAGTTCAACACCCTTGGTTTCCGGAACAAAGAAGATAGCGTAAACCGTCATGATAGCTCCAAATCCAGCGTACACGAGATATTGGTATGCACCAAGGTTTGTTGAAATGACTGGTGCGACTTTGGCAATGATAGCGTTCATCACCCAGTTCGAAAGTGTTCCCAGACCAGTTCCCTAAAGTTTCGGTATCGGTGAGAACCTTCGTTGAAGTCCAACCAAGCAGAAAAATAATCAATACCTTTGATCGGACTCGTAAAGGTAGCACTTCAGATTGAACTACCCAGACTACTGGGCCCTACAAGTACAGATGTTGTCGGAAGAGTTGAGACCAAAAAGGAGGAACACGCACGGAACAAAATCCGTAGCGAGGACGCAACGTACCCAAGTTATAGCAAAGAAGAAGACAAACATGTAAACAAAGACGATTGCTCCCCATGCAACTGATGGGTTTCCGTTTTGACTGATCTTGAGACAGATGGTGACCATGGTGTGAGAGATTGCGATGCCAATACCACCAACAACCAGGAGAGTTTTTCGTCCAGCTCGTTCAACGAGGTATAAAGCTGGGAATCTACAACACATATTGGGTTGTGTGAGTTTTGTATGTCTGAGCGGACGAAGGTGGCCAAGGAAACTTACGTAGCCAAAAAATTGATGGCAGCGTTAGCAATAATAAAGGATGTCGAAGACTCAGCGTGGCTAAAACCCATGTCTTGGAAGAGAGAGCCCGCATAGTCTAAATCGTGAGCGTAAAAAATATACCGATGAGAAAGGCTGCCGGAGTTCACAATCAGAATTCAGTGGCAAAAGTCACTTACAAAGGATGACGTTGATACCGGTCCATTGTTGGAGGATTTGCAGAATGATACACATGAGCACACGAGGACGAATGCTTTTGTGAAGGATTTCACTCCATCTAGCTTCACCGATAGCTTGATCACGTTCAACAGCAACTTGGATTTCTCGGTATTCTGCTTGTACGTCTGAAGAATTTACAGCCTATGAAAAAAAACTCCAATTTGAGATTCAGCTAATTTATACTGGCAAAAGCAGAAATGCAACAAGATGACGTACACGTCCACGAATACGAGCCAAAACTTTGAGACATTCATCCATTTTGCCTTTCATTGCGAGGAAACGAGGAGTTTCAGGCAAGAGCAAGATTGATAGAAGTAAGAGAGCACCAGGAGCCATCTGTAACCCAAAAGCGGTTCTCCATTCGGCTTCTTGTCCATCGAGACCTTTGATGATTCCAGTGTTGACGCATGATGCGACCAAGATACCAAAAGTGATCATGAGTTGCTACAGGTAAAAATATCATTTAGTATGCGTGAGTATGAACATTAGGTTGAAGTTGACAGTTCGGACGAAAATGACGAAAACGTACGAAAACAGCTGTCAAAGTTCCTCGAATTTTGGCAGGTGATGATTCAGCGATAAACACAGGTACGACGGTTGATAATACACCGATTCCAGAGCCTCATGTTTGAGAATTTCGTATTAAATCCAAGACTTTCAGTGACTCGTCCAGTTGTTCCACTAAGTACTCACCACCGACTATTCTTCCACCGTATAGCATGCCGAGACTTGATGAACCTGTTTGAATTGCAGCACCAATCTAGATCCAGGGCTCGTTGAGTATTTTTGTATCGCGAATGACACTGCAATCAGAACTTACACAGAAAAGACAACCACCAATGAATATAGCACGTTTACGTCCAAGAACATCACCAAAAAGAGCAATAGCAAGCGCTCCGATAACACACCCAACCAAAAATAGAGAAGCAATGTTTCCATTGATGTTTGTCTGATCAACAGCGGTGTTGAAATAGCTTTTGAAGCTATCCATAATGAGGATTTGATCCTACAACAAACCATGGTACAGGTGTCAAGAGCAGGTGACATGATGAACTGAAACATCATGAAACATAAACATACGATGATTCCGATTTCATATCCAAAAAGAAAACCACCTAAGATGAAAAGAAATGATTTAATTAGATGGATTGGCTCTCTTTTACTTAGTAGAACTCCAGTTTCACTGATGATTAAGTTTGCGCGTGACTTTGGCAACTTGAACATCTTGATGTTGTGAAGACCAAGATCCGTATATGATAGTGATGCCATTCGACGATATGACTTATTTCAAATCAATATTGATCTTGACGGGCGAGCGACCGTCTTTTCAAATGCATTGCAAAAACAAGAAAACATGTTTGATGTGTTTGCGTTTGGAATTTGAAACTTACCCATTCCGCCTCCTATTGCAATCAGCACACTGAATATGCTCGACATCTTGGCAATTTATTCAGCTCAGTTTTAAACAGATCGATGTTGTTCTTGTTGTTGTGGGTGATGGAAAAGTTTTGAGGCAGAAATTGATTTTGGCTTTTTTTCGGAAAGGGCTCTCTCTGGCTGACACCACACCCCTAATCATTTCCCTGCCATGGAAAAAGAGCGAGATCTAACAAAAATTCTTCCGTTTGCTGCTACGTTTATACAGAAAATTTAGCTACTGAGTCACACACGCAAAGCCCTCGTTATATGTACAAACTCCAACTTTCTTGTATCTACTACTGCAACCGTCATCACTTATTGGAATGCTCCAGCTGTACCAGCATTACTACTAGTAGTAGACGCAACAGCATTCGCACCACCACCTGTAAATGCAGATCGATCTTGATTTCCAGGTCTTCCATGCATTATTCCTATTGTTGGAGACCTCAAACCAGCCTGCATTCCGGATCTAGCTCTTTGAGGCCTCATGTATTGTGCAGCTGCTGGACCTGGACCAGGACCGTACGGTGATATGTTTGTTGGATTTGGACCTCCGTGGTATGGGAGTCCTGGTGGATATTGAAGCATGTATGGGAATTGTGGAGTTTGGAATGGTTGGGACGGTGATGGCAGAGCATCACAGCCTCCTATAATAGAGAAGGAAATGTATGCTTAGTTCATTGATCTATTACTCAAGCGCTGCTGTCTCCTTTTTCCCCTCTTACCTTGAATAAAGAACGGTGGAAGAGGAGTTTGAGGCATCATTTGAGGTTGTACAGGCGTAACAGGCATCTGAGGAGTAAATGATGGTGGCGCTGGCATCATTCCTTGTGAGGATGGTGATGGTGCGCCAGGTGGTATAATATTCATCATTGTGGGTATCATGTTTGATACCATCATTGGCGACTCAGGTTCACCCATTGGCATACCCTCATAATCATATGTAGGCATCCAGAGTGGACCACTGTCGCCTGATAATACTCTCATGTGTACTGGACTCTGTTTGAATAGTGCGGTCTGTTAGATTTGGAAGCCAAAATCCCCAGCAAGGACTATTGTATTCTCACTCACCATTGGAGGAGTGACAGGCACAAATCCCCCACCTTCCATTACAGCATTACCTTGCGGAAATGGAGGGGGAGGAGGAGGATAATTTTGATATTGTTGATTCATGTAGATTGGTGGCATCATATGAGGTGGAAGAGGTGCAAGTGGAGCTGCTTGCGCACTCGTTTGTAGATGTTGTTGATTCATATATGGTTGTGGTCTGTTGCCTGGCGATTCTTTCAATTGGACTTTGAGAGGTCTGTCAATCCATGTTTGGCCATTCTAAATTTGAAATGCATTGACTTTGGCTGCCAGGTTTTTCTTTCATATCAACTACCTTGCATCGGCATCACTTACCGTATCTTCGACAGCCCTGTATGCACTCTCTTCTTCTTTGTATGTCACAAAGGCATGTGCTGGTTTTGTATCTAGAGAGCCATGGATGGTTTCAATCAGTACCCCCCAAAAACCGACTACTGCAGTACATTCACCTACTTGTGGCACCATTCTTCACAGCATCATGCAACCTCATTCCAGTGATAGATCCATACTCTCCAAATCGTTGCTCAAGTAACTGATACGTGACTTTTGGAGTGAGATTCCCAACAAATATGGAATTGTAATCCACATATTGTCCATTTCGACCTGTGTCGGCCCTCTCTGGATATTCGGTAGAAATAGACATATTCAAGTTGGACTCACACCATTCGCATATCCAGCGATGGTTTCGTCGTACGCCCTATAGGAAAGCAATGTTGAGCTTCAACATAAAAAGTACCAGAGAAGTCGACGAATTAGCCTACAATGAAGGCACGAATGGCATCATCACGAAAAGCAAACTTGACATAAGCACAGTTTCGTGATCGACCAAAGTCATCATTCACAACAGTGAGATCTTCAACTGGACCAAATCGAGTTAAGCAATCCATCAAGAATCGCTCGTGTGATTGAACCGACTAAAAAAAGAAGCAGTTATGAACGACCATGGTTAGCTTTGAACGTTGAGATGAGACAACACTCCTGTTCGTACCGTATCAGCAGCATGACGAGCAAAACGAGCAATAAACAATGTACGATTGACTCTTGCTTGTTCCACACGAATACGTCGTCCATCGACCGTTGTACTGTGTGCTGCAGCCAATGCTCGTTTTGCATCATCTGGGTTCTAAACAATGTTGCAAACGGTCAATGTTGGTCAATTCCAGATGCAAGTAGGGAAATCACTTTTTTTGGTTTACTCACCTCGAATTGAACAAACGAATAAGGTCTCGACATGACATCTTTGAGAACCTTCACGTGCAACAACGTGCCCCATTGTTCAAAATGCTTTGATACAGACTCTTGAAGTTGTTCGTCTGTTCGAGATGATGAGAGACTAAGCAAGGAATGAGATTACCTGAACTGATTCCATTTCTATCTGGGGTTTGCCCTCAACCCCACCACCACTGCGTTACAAACCTGGCGACAAAGAGACAAGCAGCAGGCAGCCCTTTTGGATGTTCTGGTTCAAGTACCTCTTCTTCAGATGGAGCTGGAGGGACTAGGAAGACAAGATGAGGTCATTGTCGATCCATCAGTGTTTTTTTTTGTTTCGCAAGAACACTACATACCTTCAGGAGTGCGAACATGCTGAGAATTACTCTCAGCAGCTTCATTTGCAGCAGCACCCACATTTTCATTACGCCCTTGATTCTCCTCAACAACACTACCCTCATTATCAGTCGCATACCCCGTCCTACTCTCTTCTCCAGTTTTGGCACCTCCAGCACCAGCTTCATCATCCATTCCCACCTTTTCTACCGGACTAGCAGGGGCACTATACGATCTCCCAGGCACCCTAGTCTCAATATGCAGTCCATCCACAGCTTTCGTCAATTCAAGAATGGCCGTTGGAGTCGAACGCCCCGAACTCGATGATGCAGGCGGTGTATGGAGCACGACAGTAGACGATGATGATCGGACTAGTGGATGGGGCAAGCGATCAAACATTCTGGAATGGGATGGTGAGAGTGATCGGGCTGGGATTTGAGGTCGTTGTTGTTCGGTGGGTATGGGAGATTCAACAGATGATACGATCGTAGTTGGATCTGTTTGTGTTGATGTTGATACAGATGGTTGTGGTTTGTCACGATCCGTATGACGTTTGGTGGATGATGGTGATGGTGAGTGTGTCATGACTGTAGGATTGGGAATGCAACGGAGATGAAGTGCAGGAGACGATGAGATATGCGACTATCTGATGCAAATGCGATTGGAGTGCCTGTAATAGATACACAGAATAGAGCGATCGGTTAGTACGAAGTAGTTGATGTAATGATCATAAAAGGTTCAAATGTTGATTGCGATTTGTTTCTGATTGTGCAGTGAAAGCTGGTTAAATAAGGAAGCCAATATTCAAAGACTTACTATGCAATAGATTTGGGCTGACTCTTCACGCCATTTTCTACTTTTGAATGGGGAAAGCTTTGTGCTAGAAAATGAGTCAGTTATGTTTTTTGGAATGAAGGAAGTTTGGCGAACACGACACGCGTCTTATCTTCAAAACAACATAAATATGTACGATTTAACAAATATTGATCATTTGGGAGACGCTGTCCTCTTTCTATAACCTCGTGAACGTCCGTGTGTTTCAATGCTCACCAAACATCAAACCAATAATGACAGCACCTTTGTTGACAACACACACGTCAAATCCCAAAGCCAGCAAGTTGACAGCTACTTCAATTCGAAGCCTCTCTACTGCACCCAACAAGTAGATATAAGCACTTTATTCTATAATTTATAACTTTAGAAGTGGTCTTCCAATAAATCTAACTTCAGCAGTCTCTAAATGCTTCAACTTCCTATGATCCCACGGTGGCAGTCGGGCAAAAAGGGCTTGCGTCATTTGGCACGTATCCCCGTGTGCGACAAGAACCACAATTGACGGTTTCGCAACATCCTGTTCTATTTTCTCAATCAGCCGTTTTACACGTGCAGCAACCGATACAGGAGACTCTTCATTATGTTCTAGCTGTCTTTTGGCGTCGTTTCCCCATGTTATCTGGTAGTTTGTATCAGATTTGAGGTCGTGGTCACCAAAGAAACGTTCCCTTAGAGCCTCCGTTTTGATTACGTGGCATTTGCAGACAGATCCCAGTATTTGGGCTGTTTGGTATGCCCGTAAGAAATCAGAAGTGTATATGATAATGTCTTTGGTGTTTGACGGTGGTATTGTTGACGTGATAAAATGTGTTGATGATTGCATGGCTTGCTTTCTCCCGAGGTTCGTCAGCCCAAACGAAGCCACACCAATTGATGGATTACTACATATGATTTTCTGCACGTTGGCCTCTGATTGACCTATGTAAAATGAAAGGATGGTGAGCCGTAAAACATGCCAAACACTTTGATGCAAAAAATCTCATCTGTTTCGCGCTTCCTTGTTGTTGCCAATGCATACCATGTCGCATCAAGTAATAATCATGTTTAAGTCCCCCCATTCAATACCATTCACGTCCTTTAGGCACTTGTCACCACTTTTCGCAAATCACCACGATCTTATTGGTTGACGACCCATCACAATTGAAAGGCCTAAGCTCTTACAGCATGGAGGGCATAGAGGGGCCTCAGAGTCAGAGCCTGGTCGAGTATTATGGTACTCAGCATCAGAATTCAATCCAGGTACCTAACAAACAAAATCACCAATGTTTTGGGAAGTTTTAACCAATGAACGACGAGCATTTGACTAACACCACAATACGCTATTGTTTCATAGAATCAACCACAAATGCAAGCTGCATTCAACAATTTGAACAATATGAATAGTTTCCGTGTCCCTACTCAACCCAATAATAACGAACATCAGCAACACCAACAACCCCAAGAACAACAACCTGATGATGAGGAATTACATGAACAACAACAAGAACAAGAAGAAGAGCAACAGCCTGTAGCTGAAGAACCACTATACGTCAATGCCAAAGTAAGTGCTTTTGGAGTAGATCAACATCCAACGATCACGAACTTACATAGCTGATCTGTCTTCCAACGTTATAGCAATATCATCGAATACTAAAGAGACGAGAAGCACGAGCAAAACTTGAAGCTGAAATCAAACATGCAAAAGCCAAAAAGGTACAGCCAAAACAAGAAAGATGCCACAAGTTTCGATCTTACACACATCTCACATAGCCATACCTACACGAATCACGTCACAAACATGCTGTGAGGAGGCCACGAGGTGCCGGAGGACGATTCTTGACTGCCAGTGAAGTTGCTGCTTTAGATTATCAGAAGCGTGAATCGGCTGAATTGGCTGACTTGCAACGTGAGAAGGCGGCTGAAAATGGTGGGGCTCCTGCTGATGCTTCTGGTTCTGTTTCTGATGCTCCTCCTCATGGCGACTCAATACAAGGCGGTAGTTCTGAACGAGGTACTGATGGGATTTGAGGACGAAGATATGCGCACGATGAACGAGGTACTGATGGGATTTGAGGACGAAGATATGCGCACGATGAACGACCTGTATTTGCATTTGTTAAATAGAAAAGAGTATATATTATTATATAACGAGCATGACAAGAAAAAAATACATAAATATAGTTTTTGTTGGACAAGTTTGGTGTTGTGTTGGTTGTACGTGCTGATGGTATCATCGCTTGGGTATCATGACTTTGTGACTTTTACTACATGATGGCGTCAGGAGCGAAGAATGTTTCTTCGATAGCTGTAGTCATCTCTCTACTGCCTAAGTACATGATGGAAGGTTAGTTTCATTTCCTCGTGTAACTCAAAATACAAAACAAGCTCTTACCTTTCTCTCTAACATACACAAGTAAGCGGTCTTTCATACTCTCTTTTTCAGGCGAGGGTATGAATTCAAGGATCGCACGAGCATATGCTATTCCTACACTGACACACACATCGAAGGCTCCTACTGCGTACACAACTCGAGCCCAAAAGAGTTGCAGCGATGCAGTATCAGCGAATGCGTTCTCTTGACGAGCATATCGTTCCAGCATCCAAGAGATCAAATCACCATCATTGCAAAAAGCCAGATTGTCTGCTCGAGCGAGTAATCCGTGTGCTAGCAGTTACTAAAGGTTAGCCTCTAATCGACACTGGAACAAGTATGCAATGGTATATCTTACGTGTCGTGAATTCCAAAAGACATCTACCCAGTAAGGCGTTTCCAAACACGTGTGCACAGAGTGACATGTCGACTAGCTCGGCGTCATTGTTAAAAAAGGACCGTCGAGCAAGATATTGAGCGACCTCTGAGTCGCCATTGTGCAGAGCTAGATGCCATATCAATCTAAGGATCGGGTGGCACCTTCTACGTCCCTTCTTTACATCCAATTTAGCTTCTAGTCTATCTATAATGGCAATAGCGACATCTTCCACTAGCATGTTGAGCGGAAAGGACCTATGATCACTGGATAGCTTGAAGACTAGCTGATCTGGATGAGACCGTGGCGAGTACATGAACTTGTCTGGTAAAGTAGCCAACTAAGGTGAAGGTTCTTGGTCAATCAAGAGCCAGCCAGACTTTGCACAAAGTAAATCGGTAGGTACTTACGCGAAAGTTATGCAGAAACCAAGATGTCTTTACAAATTGGGTTTCGGATAGCTCGTGCAAGCGAGTGCACGTCGACACCAAGTGGTGAGGATGTTCGACATGGACGAAGATGTGGGTGAGTATCTCAGTAGGTAAGTTGACCAATGGACCATTTTCAGTGATGGGCTAAGTGAGGACGAGATGCGGTTAGCTGTCTGAAAATAATGGGATGCATCACATGTTGTGGGTGGACATCAATTTTGGGTTTTTGTAAGTTTGAGAACCAAGTTGAATAGGAGTTCAAGGAGGGCCGATAAGTGAACTTCGAAATCAAACCAGGATGCTTACGTTGGATGTGTTTAAATATGGTAAATCTAGACTGAGTCTCCTTAATAATCCTCGAGCAACACTCAGTCGATTTGTGAGTTCCTCAGCAGCGTAATAGGCGACCTCAAGTAATGGGACAGAGTTGCGTCGTGCCACTTGGGCCATGGTCTATACTAAGAGCTTTTTTACAGTGGCACACACTTCTGAACTGGACGTGTAGTTCAAAGTCCAGCAAAAAAAAAACGAACGGCAGAGTGGGTTGGCGATATCAAGGAGGAATGCAGGCGGCGAAAACGTGTTTGAGCTACTTCTAGAGATTGGACATACGTCTATTTGGTAGACCAACCTTTCAAGGCGCGTCGAAATGCACTCTTTCACTAGTTCTCGTCCGAAAATTCGAAAAAATAGACACAGCTCGCTCAGTGATCTGATTAAGGGATGGCAAGGCATTGCAATGGCAGATGCGTATCAATTTCCTACTACAGAACGGAGTCACGACAGGTAAGAAATCAGTTTTTCTGTTGCTGTGTGTGTGCATCGCATCCAAGGAATATTTGAAGCTCATCGATACGCTTTGATCATGCTATACAGTATTATATTACATTATATAACATTGACTTCAACCCTTTCAAAGGCTTCTAACGTTTATGGAAGTCTTGGCTGAAGAGGAGGACCAAAATTTCATTGAAGTACAAGGTCCATCTGATCTACCAGAAGCTGATGGAGGCTTGTCGCCTGGAACCTTAGCTGATACACTCTATACATTTGAGCACCAAGAGAGCCTCGCAAGACCTGTTCGAGCCTTTGGATTGCCCAGTACTGCAAGACGCTACTCAAGACGCAGAACGCCACGTTATCCTGATCAACTGGATGAAGCGGTTGCAACACCTTCTACTGCTTCTGATACCAGAGAACGGCGTCTTTCTTGTTGGAAGAGGTCCTGTAGTTTGCAAAGCGACATGCTCCAAGCTCTCGTATTCATGCGCATCAATCTGTTACTAGATGGAGACTGACGTGGATTCTCTTGGTGACTCTAATCGTGATTATTTTGGGCGTCACTTTGGGGGTTGTCCTTGGCATACCGTCACTAGCCAGTAAGAGCTTAGTTCAGGTCGTTTTTCTGCAATCACGTTTGTAACATTTCTTCATTTCAAAGGATCGGCTGTAGCTTCTGCATCCTTCTCAATGGTTAACGCTAGCGTCACCTCGCTATCGCTCACATCATTCAATCTGGACCTCCACTTCAACATCTCCACAATCTCAGCTTTCCCTTCTACCATCACGCTGCCGTATCCCGTAAATGTGTCGCTGAATGGTGGCCTTCTTTTCATGATACCTGTAACGAACGAGATTGCAGTCTCTGGATCGGGATTTGCACAGGTCGATATAGTTAATACGTCAGTCTTTATACGTAATCACTATGATACAAGAATGCTTTTTAAGTTGGTTGGGAGCCAGAGCAATGTATCGTTGGATTTTGATGCGACGGTGATTGTTTCGGCTGCATCGCAGAATGTAGAGGTTGGATTTCATAGGATTATTGCTCTGCCAGGTGTGTGTCGGATCCAGTGATTTGTGTGCATAAACCACGATCTTGAATTTGCTGCCACGATTTTTTCGCGTCTAGGATTCCAAGGGAAAGATATGGCAACTGTAACATCATTGAATCTACCTCGAGATACAAACAGCAACAGTAGTATCGCCATTACTACAACTGTATCGCTTTGGAATCCTCTTGGCATATCGCTAGACCTGGGAGCACTGAATATTTCTGTATTAACACAGAGCATGGACCAAGTCGCAACATTATCAGCAATCTTCCCTGTCCAGCTACTCAGCACTGTCAACGCAACAGTAGCCATCCAAGGAACGCTACTACCAAACACTGCCAACTTGCTCACATCCCAAATCAATCAATGTCTGATTGGTGGCAGCACACGATTCCTCGCTACAGCAAGCTCATCGTTGAATAACACGTATATCAACGCCCTGCTGAATGGCACTATAATCAACGTCTTGATACCTGGTGTTGCTAAACCTAATATCGTGTACTCGATTGTGATGCCTGGACTGTCTTTGGTTATTCCTTCCAGGTCAGCCGCATCAGCAATAACAGATTCAGTGAATCTGACTCTGGCTGATACGTCTGTAAATACCAACTTTGGGTTTTCGACCCAAGTCATGTCTATATCGTCTACTTTTGAGTTGGCAATACAGCCAGACTTTTCATTTGGAAGAGTGGGTATGAATCAGGTTGTGTTGAATTCTACCAAGAGTGCTGGGAATTCATCATTTATGGTATGTAATTTGGGTTTGTGGAAGATTATAACGCATTTTGCATTGTTAAGCCTTCATTTTTCCCTTCGTTTTCAAAGGTGCCTGGATTGGCTCAACGTTTAATTTTAACGTCACCAACCCAATTCCAATCTTTCCTCCAACTCGCAACTGCAAATAGCACCACGCTACAGATTCATGGTGTGGCGAATGCAATAGTGCATATCCCCATTGGAACTCTAAACTTGATGCAATTGCCCTTCTCGTTCAAAATATCGCTGCAACCCATCAATGTAAATCTAAGTTTGGCTAGTTTGCAAGTTGTTAGTATGACTAGTAACGCTCTTGTAGTTCAGGCTGTTGTGTTGGTGAGCATCCGTAACTCTACTCAGATGTTTTTTACCGTATTGGATTGACCCTCGACTGACGACACTCTTCATTTGAGTAGACACAACAAACCTCAAACTTCAAAGTCGGTATAACTCAACTCACATTGGCACTCGTGATAACAACCACTCAAGCGAAAGTTGGTGTCTTGACTACATCAATAGCACCTGCAGCATCCCAAAACACGTCTGCAACTGGTTTGATCACGGATGCGGCATTCGTGGCTAGTTTCTTGAATGGGAGTCAGATGCCTATTTCATTGAGGTTTGAGCAGCAGGGAGTGGGTGGTGGTTTCGGGTTGTTTGCTGCTATTGGGTGATAGATATTTTCTTATTTGGTGAGTTGCATTTTTAAGCTTGTTGTTTTGAGAATGTTCAAACGATGGTAAGACCACTGCGCTTAAAATAGGCAAATCTGACACTTTTTAATTCGTTTTGCTGTTTGTGTTTAATTTTCTGTATCTGTTATTTGTATATCCATTTGTTGATAGAAGAGTTCAAGATGAATAGATGTAATTGTAGTGAATTAATGTTGAGTTTGATCATTCTGTCAAGGTACAACGCGTCCAAGCGGTGCCCACTAGTTTCAGTCGCGTCGAAATATCGTTTTTTCCTTCCAGATCTATTGATGATCTACTGAACAGTCGAGCATTAATCCTTGTACCCAGGAGTATTCTCTGCCGTTTTAGTCATGTCTAGGAGTCTACAGCAGGCGTTCTTCCATGAAACCGAATCACCGGAAACAAGGTTGCCATTTTTCTGCGTCATCTCAAGTAAGCTCGTTTGTGGCATGATTTTAATAGGCTAGCTGCAACATCAATTCTTGGCCTGCCTCGTCATAATCTCAGCCAGCCACTCTCAATCCCAGGTGGCAAAGCAAAACGACAACGACACTGCCATCCTGTTACATTGGTCACAACTTACTACACGCTAGAGAAACACAGACGCTGCCCCATGGCCACCATGGATAATAGCACTTCATTCTCCAACGGAGCTCTAACGGCACTGGTAATTGTTGGAGGTAACGCGTCTCTCGCTCTCTTCCCATTGATTGCTTCCAACAAAAAAATGGACGCAAACGACCCCAACTAACAATCCCCTCTTTGTAGTGATGCTCGTAGCTGGAACGCTGATACTAGGCTACAGGATCATACGAAATCACCTTGAAAAGCGTCAGAGATTCGTCCCTGGCAAGACACAGCATCCAAAATTATCATTCGACTCAAGTAAATCTTCTAGTAAAAAGTCGTATGGCACGAAATGGGCTGTGGGATCGTTTAGCGCACGAGCGAATCAGGCCAAGACGCCAATATCTACTCCAGTGGTACACTTTTTAGGATCAGCTTTTGGTTTGTCGAGGCAGTCTAGTCGATTGAATAATGAGATCGGTGGCTCGTCGTTTATATAGCAGGATACACGGCATAGTAATATTAATTTAAATAATCCAACTTATAATTCCATAGCTTCTTCCTCGTTACACGTGTCTTGCTATCTGCGCAACACTCTCAACCAGACCAAATGAAGAGACAGTGAGCATGTCGTGGGCAGCGATAGCAGCAGGCAAGAAATCGCCTGGACAAGAGAATGTAGTCAATAATATAGGTCCAACTCCATCAGCAAGTCTAGCAAAATCGCCCAAACAAAGTGCTGCACCCAAAAACAATGTTAGACATCAAGCACAGTCACCTCCTACTCCAGTCAAGCCATCGCAATCTACATCTCCTGTGGCATGGAAGACGCCGTTAGTGGCCAAGGCACCAGCTCCAGACAAGACTGATGACATTGGTGGGAATGTGATACATAAGGTCTTCTTTGATTCATCCTTCACATCGAAGCTACTTTTGAGAAACATTAATTTATTTACAATATTCTATCGTAATTTTCTCTGCAGGGTCTAAAATGCTGGATTCGATGGCTTCACCCTGCTGATGAACGACAAACTTTGGTCGTCGTTTCACGAGTTTCCAAGGCTGTACGTGATTTTGATGAGCCTTCATCTTCTGAATTTGATTGACTGACACGCACATATCTTGATCTAGTTCAATGCCGTTGTGTTATCAGTACTCTACAAGGACTGGGACAAGGTTATTGCTTCACACAATCCAAACAATGGCATTGATTCAGTCAACGAGTTGAGTTTGGATACTGGACCTATCTCTCGGAGAAACAGTAGCTTAAATCATTCATTTTTCTAGTCTACGAGACCGTTTGAGACCACTCGCACGCTCCATTCGAGCAATGTATGATGGACAGCCCCGAACTGCATACGCCCAAAACGCACTATCATACGTCCATGGACTGGATTTGCAAATCATTATAAAGGCATTCGGATGGCGAGACATATATGAAGACGAGGATGAAGACAACCCATATGGAAGCACGCAAACAGTATTCAAAACCCAAGCTGAGAAAGAACGGGCATTTGTGGATCAGATGGCGGCAGAGACTAGTGCTACATCGAATATGCTGGAATATCAACAGCGTGATGAACCGTTTTCACCTCTTCCGCCTCCTACTGGGTAAGTTTGTTTCAAGTGAGCTGTCCACAAAAAACGTAATGACGAACTGCATCATCTCGTAGACGTCTGAGTGACGAGAGCATCAAATCCATATGCAAATACGTCCTCAAACACTGCACATCTCTGAAACGCTTGTCGGCCGAGCATTTCCTTGACTGTTATGATGTTCGTGCAAGTGTACCGTCAACCGTGACATCGCTTACAATAACCATGACTCGTCCACTACTCTTATGGGAAGAAGCGTGGTCTCGTCTTGCTGAACGGTGTAAAGGAGTCACATCGCTCACGATTCGAGAGACCTTGGAATTCTACAAGACTCTGACGTGGAAGTATGACAAGGAAAAAAAGTTTCAGCCACGTAGAATGCCTCGAAATCTCCCATTTGCTCTTGAAAAGTGGAATTTGGAGTACTTTGAATATGGTTTCGATATGCGTTCGAAAGATGTGAGTGTCTCTCATATTGAGTACACAAACATTTTATATACTGACCCAGATGTTTGACTTTAGGGTACAGAGCTAAAAGGACTCTCAAAGCCAGTTACAATGATGGAGAAATATATGATTGATGCTGTAGAAGCGTCTACGGGCCTCAAGAGTATTAAATTAGTAGGAGCATCAATATTCCTGGACCAGGAAAACATTGTACGAAAACTACCCAATTTGGAAGAGCTACGATACAGAGATTGCTATTTTGGAAGGTAACAGCTAAAACAATTGCGGAATCATGTAGTGTCTTTGATTCTTATTTACCTTACTCAACAAATCGCAGTCCAAACCAAGTCGCTCATATAGGCTATAGATGCACAGAACCGCTCACCAGCTTGAAGACTTTGGAACTCACCAATGTCAAAGGTCCGCAAGTCGCAGAGATCTCCACATGCTTGGAATCTCTTGCTCCAACACTCGAATCATTAACACTAGTCCACCCAACCGCATCCCTCATAAACAAATCCATATTGACGACTTGTGAATGGCCCAAACTAAAATCTCTCAGCATATCCCACGAAGATGCAAAGAAGGCTGGACTTGGTCACTTCGTCAGTGAACACGGATCCCAACTTAAAGAACTGGAACTCTACTACCCCACTGCATATGCCACGGCTCCATACACACGAGACCCGATAAACCTATTACACTGTACGAATCTCCGCGTCTTGAAACTCCATCTCATCAAGACGGTCGAAGTAGGAACCGAACCAGCATATTACAGCTACGACGAACACCACAAACGAAACTTGAAGGATGATCCGGAATGTGTAAATACCTTCATTACCGGTATATTGACCTCGATGCCTAAGCTACAATTGTTGGAAAACAATATGGGATATGCGGAATACTCTGCAGATGCACTATATTCAGCTGCCTTGGTACGATATGACGCATGGGCTACACCAGTAACTCTAGATTGTGCTTTTCCTCATGGAGTTACAGTGCAGATCGATCACTGTGATGATGGGAATGGTGGTGATTCGCATAAGCAGTCTGTCAAGAAGTGGTTGAAGGAGTGTGGTAATCAGATTCATTTCGGACCGAATGTGTATCTTATTACCACTCCTCAATGTAAGCAGAATTAGAGTTTTTGCTTGTTTGACACGTTTACTCATTATATCTCTGTTCACATTAGATTGAGCGCATGTTTCAATGAAAATATAACATAGTGTCTCGAACCTTGTTTTTCACACCTCTATGTGTATAGTTGGTATGGCCTTTTTTATTATAACCTCAATAGTTAACAAATACATGAGCCTTCAATTTTAAAGCTTAGCTTCATCGGTTAAAGTCAACTTGTAGAACCTGGCGCAATTCTCTCTAAAGATCTTGCGCAAATCTGCTTTTGATGTAACACCCATATCCTCCAATGAAAGGACATAGCTAGCTAGCAACTCGCCATATCTAGCAGAGGCCCAGTCCACGAGGAAGTTGGATCCAAAGAAGCATCGCTCAACACCAAACAGCTTCACAGTCGTTTTGATCATATCGCCATATACCGAGTCAGCAATTTCACGTGCCGTGGGACCAGCAGTATTCCATGGTTTCTTATACAAGAATTCGCGGAATCCTAGTGGTACCATCAACCCAGACAGTTTGCAGTACACGTTTGGGCATTTAGATAGTTCTCTCATGTCTTCCACCCATTTATTGTATACTTTCTTGTCATTGGCAACATCGATTGGTGTGCCAAAGTGGTTGAGCGCTATATCAAAGGCAGCGATTTAGACCGTAAGAAAAATTGGGCAGAGAAAAATATCGTGCTGCTACTAATGGCATACCCATACGAATATTCGGGAACTTTTTAGCTAATTTGATTGCCTGATGTAACTGATGACCGTAGCAATACCTTTTACAATAGTGAACAAATTAAAACAAATTAAGCTCAAAAATGATTGTCTGAATGTCGACATTTGCCCACTTACAAATCAAACTCGGCACCGAATTCCTCCAAGACAGCAAAGTTTTTTAGGAATGTAGGGTCATCTACTAAATTGTCTCTAGGATTGAATGTAAAGTCGTTCATGCCAGCTCGCGGATGAGCTAGGATGTATCGAATTCCTCTGAAGGCTAAGAGAGTTGCATCAGTGCGACCTTGCTCCACATATGTGATTTAGACCCAAACATACCCGAATACTGGAAATGAGCCTTCAGTTGCGCCCGTACAGTTTCAGGCGTATTGTTGAGCAAATCGACCATTCCAACAATCCCAGTCGCAACCTGTCCTTTACTAGGAGCATTTACTTCTTCCTGAAGCCATTTGGTCTCTCCCACTTCGCCAAGTGGTCCTTGCTCCCAACCAGCTTGTAGATGAACTGATCCAGCTAATCTGACGCCCTGCGAATAAACAAGTTGAGCAACGTCGTTTGGGTTAGTTCCACGGATATATGCGACATACAGCTTCTTCGACCATCGACAACAAATCGGAGGGAAGGAACGTGTTCATAATAGCTTGTGGGGTACCAAAGAAAATGAGATCGTGGCGAAGGTTTTCGGCCAACACTTCGAATGGGACGGCTATGTTCAAGAGTACGTCCATTGTCCGCTTAGCGACCATATAGGGAGAGTAAGGTATAAAGTCCCAACGTACGTGGTTGATAACCAGGAGGGGCAGGAGGTAGTGGCTTGACCAAGGCCTCGAAACCGAACTTTTCAAATGGGAAGTGCAGGTGGACATTTGATGGGCGTGGCAAGGTTTTCAAGTCCCTAGCAATTGTTGATTGTAACCAGATAAATCCACCAAAATGTACAAAAGATGTGAAAGGTTTACCATCTAAATGTTCATGGGTTTAGTTAATGTCGGTGCTTTCAAGGTCAACGCAGAAGACTTTATCAAGAGTTACAAGTGATGATGACCATCTACGATACCAAAATCAAGCTTCTTGTTGGCTCTAGCAGCCTCTGCACTCAACGGAAATCTAGGAAAACTCGTGTTTTTCTGTTCAAGGGAATCAAAGAGATCAGCAACTTGGAAACATGGTCAGCAGACAAATAGAATTTCATTATAGAAGATAGCTCACTTGCGACATTGCTCCCTTGCCTCACTGTCGCTGTTGGGTTTCGTGTTGCGTCAACCTCACGTTTTCGTTTGTTGCACCAAAAGATAGACGAGACGTGAGGGGGGTTTACAACTGAATTGTGAGTCCTTTGCTGTGATTTCGCGAGTGCTCAACCTCAACCTCAATATTACTTCTCTGGTATACGAGAACGTTTGACTGGGACTCTTCATTTCATGACCAATGTAAGCGTACAATATCCCACCCTATAACTGGATACTTCCTGCTAGAAACTCTTGCTCCAAGATTAAAGGCTTAAATCGTCAATTCCAGTGCTCTCGAACGAAATGGCCATCTGGTTGGTTGATCTTGCCTAACACGCCTTTGCTCGATTAACGTTCTGTCGCAACACATAATTGACTTGACTGTCAGGCAAACGTGAACAGGTAGATGTACACTTCGCTATAGAATCTAGCACATCCATGTCTTCAACCATCAGACCGTTCAATACAGATTATTCGGCCGGACAGTTATAGTGTCAGACTTTGCCGAGCCTCCCAAAGAAATACGCAATTTGAAAATCGCTTCATACAAAACAGGCTTCCAGAAAACCCAAATACACATGGTTGGTAGCAAAGTACTGCATCCTGACATGGCTGAAGCACATACTGTTACCATACCAGCATCGGACAGCGACCGTAAAGATGTTAAGCCTGTTTCAACCGCATTACCAATAGCTATTGCATCCATGAAAATAGCGGACGAAAAGGAACCTCCATCGTTTCCATTGCCACCTGTACCTTCATCTGCATCGGAATTGGGTACACAATTAGTGTTTCATATCCTCATTGGGTTGGCGTTTGGATTCTTTTTGCAAAAGGGACGAGTTTACGAACCTAGACTTATTCAAGATCAGATGCTGGTAAGCAACTTTGTTCGGATGTGATCATTATCTCGACTGAAATGTCGCTGTAAACATTTTTACATGGGTGGTGCCCTCAGATCGTCAGTTTTCTATCGAGACTTGGACCTGTTGCAACGTTTCGTGTTTTCCAAGCCCCAGAAAGCATATCGGCAGTTCCTAATCAACATTTCAATTCACTCTAGTTTCGAGACTTTACAATGCTGCAAATGTTTTTAGCGGCTGCTGCCACATCGGCCACAGTAATTGCGTTGGGATCACTGTTTCCAGTGCATTATATTAAGACAAGATTCGTAACAGTTCGCCGTGAATACCAAATCAGAGAATATGATCGTGGCATCTTTGCTAGTGCAGTCGGGTGAGTTTGCTGAGCCATATGAAAGTGTATCAGACCCTAATATGTAAGGTTGAGGCTAAGGTATTGACGTTTCAAATAGTGCTGGTTTACTTGGCGCGGGCATGAGTATTGCGGGAGCTTGCCCTGGAACCATCTATGCTCGTACGTGTTTGCAAACTATCTCTAGTGTCATTCTCGTTTACTTATCATTCTCTCCAAATCTAGAATTGGGCAGTGGAACACCAGGCTCGTGGTTTGTCCTCATTGGTTCTTTCGCTGGCGTAATCCTCTATGCCCTGGTATTTGAAAAGACTCTGAAACGATTGACCTTCAACCGTATAAAGTTCGAGAAAGGTCCCAACGTTGATGACTTGGTGCGTCCTTTGTGTTTTAGATAGTTTTGAGAAAAACCAACACTGACAAATCTGCATTGTTGAAATCTAGTTTCCAAAATATTCATACACAGTTTTGGCTTTGGTGGCAGCCGTCATGTTCTACGCAGCTTCTCTCATCTTCTTCAAATTCGCACCAAACTCGACACCGCTTCAAGTCTCATCAACAGGAAACCCATTCACAGAAACGTATTGGAGCGCACCAGTATCTGGAATCATGATTGGACTACTCCAAGTACCGTCTATACTGTTTTTGGGAGCCCCGTTAGGAAACTCGTCAGCACTAGTCGCTGTACTAAGCCCGATTTATATTGCTCTTCGACGAATCGTACCGATGCTTCCGGATAATAATGAGATGAGCTCGTGGCCAACCGTTGTGGCGATCCTAAAGATTGTCTATGTCGCCTCGAGTATTTTAGGAGGTTTCGCATCGGCGGCCTTGTCAGGAATGTTTGGAATTGCTCCAGGATTGACTAGTGCCGCTGGACCTGCTAGTCCACATGTACTTAATGGATTGCCTGGAGTGGTACAGGCGCTTATTGGAGGGTTGTTCTTATTGTTTGGAGCCAGGTAAATAGTTTTCAGATGGTGCATTTGGAACGTTATACTTTCATGACTGATTGACCTATCATGACTGATTGACCTTTATCACATAGATACGGTGGCGGCTGCACATCTGGCCATGGAATCAGTGGGTTCGCATTGCTTGGCACGAATTCGATAGTCGCCGTACCTGCTATGTTTACTGGTGGCATCATAACGGCATGGGTCATGGTGGGAATTGGTGCTTCTTGATGGTCTGTTACTCTCTCTGAATCTTCATTATACCCGATGAACTCCTAAACATCTGCTTGCACCAATCTGTGACTGGGTAGATTCATAGTTGTAAAATATCTTTTCTTCTGCCTCACAGTTACAAATATATGAGACTACAGCTTTTCTAGTACTTTTTCAAAGTTTAGCTTCATCGCTCAACTTGAGTTTATAGAATTTAGCACAATTCTCCCTAAAGATCTTGCGCAAATCGGCCTTTGAAGTGATACCGATATCCTCCAGTGCGAGGACGAAACTAGCTAGAAGTTCGCCGTATCTGGCACAAGCCCAATCTACAAGGAAATTGGATCCAAAGAAGCATCGATCAACACCAAAGAGCTTTACAGTGGTTTTTATCATATCGCCAAAGATACTGTCAGCGATATCTCGGGCAGTTGGGCCTGCAGTTCTCCATGGCTTTTGGTACAAGAACTTTTCAAGTCCTAGTGGTTTCATTAATCCAGAGAGTTTGCAGTAAACGTTGGGGCATTTAGATAGTTCGGTCATATCATTGAGCCACTTCTGGTATACTTTCTTGTCATTACCAATGTTGATTGGTGTGCCAAAGTGGTTGAGAGCTACAAAAAGTTAAAATTTTGAGACTTGTGACGAATGCGGTATCAAAAGCTCTGTTCGTACCGATACGAATATTTGGGAACTTCTTAGCTAGAACGACACCCTGATGCAACTGATGACCATAGCACCACCTGTAAAGAGTCAGGTAAGAGCCCAAATTGATTACTTGCATGTGAAGTGAAACTTACAAATCAAACTCGGCACCGAATTCCTCCAATACGGCATAGTTTGCCAAAAACTTTGGATTTTCTACCAAGTTGTCTTGTGGATTGAAGGTCAAGTCGTTCATGCCAGGCCTGGTGTGAGATAATGTGTATCGGATTCCTCTGAAAGCTATGTACAACAAGAGTCTCACGTCAAACGCGTTAATTGATACACGAGCACCAAACATACCAGAGTACTGGAAATGAGCCTTTAGTTGAGCTCGTACAGTTTCGGGGGTATTGTTGAGCAGATCCACTGTTCCTACAATTCCGGTCGCAACCTGTCCTTTGGTAGGTGCGTTGACTTCTTCTTGGAGCCATTTGGTCTCCCCTAGTTCTCCCATTGGTCCGTGTTCCCAACCAGCTTGTAGATGGACGGATCCAGCTAATTTGACACCCTAGTGTTCAGAGAATAGCTCCAGTCAGAGAACTTCGTGGTGTTTGCAAACTGGACCAAGTGGAACATACAGCTTCTTCGACCATGTCGAGCAAATCAGAAGGGAGGAATGTGTTCATTGTAGCTTGCTGAGTACCGAAGAAAGAGAGCATGTGGCGAAGATTTTCAGCCAACAGCTCGAATGGGACGGCTATGGAATTTTTGTGAGATTAACGAGGTAAAGCGACGCAAACGATGCTACTAGGCACCCTTCGAGCATAACAAAGCTCCAACTTAAATATTAAAACGTACGTGGTTCATAACCAGCAGGTGCTGGTGGCAAAGGCTTCACCAACGGCTCGAATCCAAACTTTTCAAAAGGAAAGTGCAGATACACTGCTGATGGACGTGGTAAGGTATTCAAATCCCTAATTCAATCCGTTATTGTTACAACACGATTCCGCCAACACCCATGAGGAAGCAAGCCTAAGGTTTTACCATCTAAATGTTCATGGATTTAATATATGTTGTGGCTTTAGACGTCAAACATGTCGTGGGGTTTGAAGTCAGACAGGACGAAACACATCGCCACTTACAGATGATGATGACCGTCTACAATACCAAAGTCAAGTTTCTTGTTTGCTCGAGCTGCCTCGGCACTTAATGGGAATCGTTGGAATTTTGTGTTTTTCTATAACCCAAATAAGGGTGTCAGCGACGAGGAAAGTGGGCCCAAGGAAGCAAGCGGAATAAAGGGTAGAGAGCGACTTACTTGGGACATTGCTCTCTTGTTTCTGTTTGGTCTCTGAGTTTGGTGTTGCGTCGCCTCACGTTTTCAAGTGTCGCACGAACGAGACTTGATGAACCTATGTGTCGTTTTACCGCGTTGAACGCCTCTACCCAGATCAGGGTATGAAGACTCGCTCTGGGACCTCAGCCAGCACAGAATTTTGCAATAAGTTGGAACGATCTTTTATTTGCAAAGTAAGAAGTAGAAGAGGCTCACAAAGATCCACAGCAAGAGGAACTACCACCGAGCAGCAATAACTGAAAGTAAAAGCATGTCAGACCCTTCAAATCAACTTCAACCACTCTAGACGCCTTTCAGACCTCGTTCTTAACAAAACTGAAGTCGGTTTGAGATTTGAACAGATATTTTCGCCAGATCACCGGCACTGTCTACCACGCGAGCAATAGAATCAGCACCAGTGCTATTGGCATGGCCTCCACCTGCGACAAAGCCCAATTGCTCAAAGTTGCTTGCACTGTGCCCATAGGCGATATGAGCGGGCAAAGTGGCATTGACCAGACCAAGCAGGGCGTCATTGTGGCAACTACCCACTACGAATGTTGTCACGTTATAGGCCCAGACGAATTGATTCTAATTGAAAAGTCTTAAGTGAGTTGTGGTCTTGAAGAAAACACTGTTGCAGCTTACAATCAAACTTACGAAGAGTGAGATAGAGTTATAGCATTGTGAGGCAAAAGCAGGATCACCGAGCCTGATTTGTTGCGTAGAGTTATCCAGTTGCTGACCGACGGCAACCAAATTTGCGACCGCTATAGTGAGCGAGTTCGACTGGCGGTTTGGTGTGCAGGGGTAAAGTCAGTAAACAACGTACTACCGCTTCTTAGCCATTCATTCATGAAGCAAGTACTTACAGCTGCAGCGTTGGCACCATTGAAGACAGAAAAAGAGGCCAGAGTAACGTAAAGGAGATTCTTGATTGAATGCATAGTTTTAACAAAAGTTGTACGAATTGCTAAAGAAGGAGTAGAAAGACGAGTTAGATCACTTTGGGTACATGAATATGTGTCAAGAGACTGTACACACCTGGATGTAGTTGCGGTACTTGGAGGGCTTGTTGTTGACTTGCTTTGGTCGTTGGGTGTGTACAGTTAAAAGAGACACATAGCAGACGATTTGTGGACCAAAATTGCGGTTGCACACCGATGAATTGCGTCTACACCGCGTGATGGTGTGTGGAAAGTTCTGCCATGAAATGAGCAACCACCCTCCTCTTAAGCTTGGTGCTTGGAAAATCAGAAAATTGTAGATAGCCTTCGATGCTGAATTCCCAGCAATACGGCACGGTGAAAACATTGCTGATGGGGGCGTCCGGTGAGTCTCTCGCCCACTCTGTGGCAAGAAGCTGGAACGTTGATGCACATTCCACTACAGGTTTGATTGCCTGCTTTATGTATGAAGCGTTAGTTCGAGAAGGAGCACAGAAAATAGAACAAATGAGAATAACTGCTGAGAGGTCAAAAGATGGCTCTTGTTGATGCTCTGCAACCTTGAACATTGAATGTTGCGTCCAACAGAAAGAGTTGAAAAAATTACCCAAACTGAATCAAAACCTGGTTGACATGTTTGGTGCGTCCAAGATCCAAGATGCAATTGATCAATTCTAATCTATTCGATTTTCTTGTCAATTTCCTTAACCGAAAGCATCATTCGAATAATGCGGTTTTCATCCTGAACGAACCCCATTTACCATAACGAATGATCAACGACCGAGGCGGAAATCAGAAGCAGAGAAGTGAGGATAATAGGAATCAAATAAGTAAGTATACTGTCATACAACTAGTATCGTTCGTCTTGTCTAACCGTGAGCTAATCTTTCCAAACATCCTGTCGTCATATAAGATTTCAGGTTGATGATGGATTCTAATAATGGCACGCCAGTCGACAAATCCGGGTATGATGCATATTTAATTATTGGATGTTCCTGATCCGCTGTTTGCTGACAATTCTTGGTTTCTAGTTTGACATCAATAACAACACCACGAGCTGAACAATACCATGTAGAACAAGCCGACGAAGACGGTAAAATCGAATTTACTCTCTTGTATTCCGTCTCGCATGGTCAGTTACCCGTGGTACTTTCGAAATAGAGCCTTGGCCACCGTTCGAATTTGGGATATAGCTGCTCCTTCTCGTTAAACATCAATCTCAGCGTTCTGGCAAGGTCTTGCAAGGACATGAACTCTGAAGCATTTGTACCATACACACGGTCATGTACGTTTCAAGTTGCTGCATGCTGAAAGTCGAGTCCACTCCTTATACGACTGCGCTGGTCGAATAGGGCACAAGATCCCAACAAGATGACCAGTATGAGTCGACAAACACAACGCAAAGCCAATATATTTTGCTGATGCTGGAAAATCGTTAACAGTCAAAGCAACATTTCAGCAAACCGTATTCATCAACTCACAAGCGTGACCTAGTAATCCTTTTGAGCGCTTGGCGCCGAATCTTCCGGGACCAATACTACATTTCCCGTAGTGGCTCTTCAACCAATTCTTTGTATAAGCAGATGAATGAGCATGCATGTCAACGGAGCTCTGAGGTCGCCACCGACGTAGTCACAGCCTGCGGTCTCGCTACCTATATTGAGGCAAATATCGAGGTCAGCCCTGTCCTACAACCTATGATACCCTGCCTTCCAAGTACCGTTACCAAACTTGCCATCCATGCAGATACGTTCGAGTTGCCAGAATTCGCAGAGGTTATGGCCAAGTCCCTAAAATAACAGATACAGTAATATACGCCTCTGAGATTACTCGAAATGAACCTATCGCTGATTGTATCCGATTACAGCAACTCCAGAGTCTATCATTCGGAGGGCTTGGGGCCCACCTGCAGATTCCGGTACATCAATAATGATGGCTCTGGATATGGGTAGTATAGAGAGTATGAAGGAGTTGCAGCCGAGATACCTCGATATAACCCAGGCATCCAGTGCCGCTTTGTCTCTGGAAGGTGTTCTGCTGAATCCTTATTATCTCTGGATTTGAAAACACCAAGTGAAAGCTGAAATCTCTATTATTGACAGGCGTCAAGAACGCAGACCCAACCGATATATGTAATGTTGGAGATCGAGAGCGAATCATCATGATCTCCTCCAAGGACCTATATTCGAACTCGAATTTCTCGTTTAGATTCTGTAAATATGTCAGTTGCAGATGCTAGCCGTGGCCAATTTATACGATTCTTGAGAGCACGAGGCAATCAACTTAAAGAGCTACGTCTGTCTCATTACACCGACGACGAGTTTGATATCGGCCTCATTATCGAAAACTGTCAAAATCTCCTCATGTTGACTTGGATAACTTCGACATTCCCAACAATATCATTATTTCCCTTATATCTGAGTTGATAAGTTCGCCCCTCAAGCTGGCGGTTAACTCGTCGAGTGCTTTAAGGGCGTTCCTAATTATGAGCAGTCGAAGGTATGTGTGACTGAAATTGATAGGAGATTGTCGCTCTATGATATTTCTTGTGACTGGGATGAGTTCGCGAGTATTCACAATGTAGACAACATTATATAAAAAGCCGTTTCACAGCACTAAATCAATCGCTTTAAATTATAAACCGTTTGTATGATGCGAGATGTCTAAACTCGGTACTCCAGACTCGGCATTGCGTCGTCGAGGAAGAAAGTTGATTGAGAGGTCAGAATTTAGCGAATAGTGCCACTTGACGTGTTTGACGCGGCAGCATGGTGATTAATCACTTTGAAATGGATGATCTAGCCGATGGTTTGTTTCTTCGAATGTGAGTGATCATATCATCAGATTGCAAGAAACATGCACTGGGGTTTACCAAATTCCAAGAGCAAACAACCCGCACAAACTTATTCATACAAACGTAATTTAAGGAGGTTTATATTACAAGTATGAGTACAATGCACCACGATAACCCCCTTTCACCGACCGTCAGCTCAAGTGTAAGGTTCTTCATATTACCAGATTCAAGGAAAGAGACATGAGTGGAATTCGTAAACTCGACAGCAATCACGTCCCTTTTCCATCACTAGCTTTTTTCAGAAGTACCTGTACGGTTGTCATCATCGTCGGGTTTATGGAATTATCATGGTGAGAGGATTCAATATTCTACGGTCTGGTGCGAGACGTTGTTTTCTTTGATCGTCTCACCCATTGCCTTTTAGCTTCTTTATGTATTCGTTTGTATTCAGAAGTCAGTTCTTTTCGTTTGGATTCCCATTCTTGGACTAGCTCTTCTCTAAGATCAGTTAGAACGCAAAGTGAGTAAAGTGTTTTGACATTGACATTGGACCAAGGCTGAGGGTGCTCACTGAGTTTTGGTTCTGGCAAACACAAGTGTCGGATCGAATCTATACACGTACGAATGTTAGAACGAGACCTTCGATATGAAGTGATCCGGCATATCTCAACAATTAGTTTTGCACCTTGGTCGAGTCTGCTGTCGTTTCGATCCCAAAAAGAACATTTTCGACACAGTGAGCTCAGTGGCTGCGACTGTGACATCGTCCGGCTTGTCAGCAGTAATAAACTAGGTCAAATAAGGTTGTTTTGAGACGAAACGTCCACAACTTCACAACGACCCGTGCGAAAAATACCCTTCTCTTCTTTCCAAGCCTGACGGGAATGTCATCGTCCGAGTATATAGGAGAGCTTCCTGAGCTCTCTGTATCGCTATCATCATCGTCTTTAGCACTCTTCTGCTTGGTATCTTCCTCGTCTTCGTCATCAGAAGACTCTTGATCACTTTTTTCAGATCCGCTGTCCAAAGCTTTGCCAAATGAAAAAGATGCAGCTGCAAGGGTGTATTTAGTGTTAGTATCGTGTAAACGGATCAACAATTTGTGCTTCTTACGTTCAGTATCGTATACAAGCGACCGTAAATTCGTCTTTACAGAAAAGTCCTGTCCAACAGTGTTTAGCTTTGTCAAATCTGAGTAAAGATATAGACGATCAGTTAACGTTTATAGCTTTGAATGCATTATATAGACTAAATACCAGTCTCCATCGTTGTAAGAATCCCTCTCTAAAGCTGCAAGCCTTGCTTTCCGCTTTTTTTTTGCACAGCAAATAATCACATACACTAACATTATGAGCACGATGGAGGTCGTATCAGTCACGCCGAGGCGTCTACATATCAAAGGCCTGACGCCCGACATAACAGAGGAGGAATTGCGTGGTCGGTTTGCAGCGTTTGGTCAAGTGAATTCTGTTGAAATTTGCAAGTCGGCACTAGATCGTAAGTTTTCGCATACAAAGTTGTATGTGCTGCTTGTGTATTAACACCAATTTACATTTCAGCGCCAGAAAGCCGTGGATTTGGATATGTCGAGCTAGTATCGGACATGAAAAGGTTCTCCAAATGTGCGTCAACATCTGTGTTTTTTGATACTCTTGGATGCCTTCAACTAGAATTTGGAAATGCATTTGCGGTAAACTTATACTCTACTAATTACTAGGTCTCTTGGCGTATAATGGAACCAAGTGGAAGGGACAGACGATGCAAATCGAGCTCGCGAAACCAAACTACATGGCTAGACTTCGCCACGACAGCCGACAAGACGCGAGTCAACAAAAACAGAAGACCATCAACAAGAAGAACAAGGAGGTTGCCATGTTGTCTAAACCGTCGAAACTTTATGTAGGTTGCATCGTCAGACCGTGGCTAGCTATCGCTTACGTTCTCTTCTTCTTTCACAGGTAACCAAACGCAAATCGCAAAAGCTCTATGGAAATGCATTCAACGTGCCTATATCGAGATTGACATGGTCTATGGAGGACCCAATGGGTACTCCTCATGTAGAACCAGCTGCTTCATCAAAAGTCGAAGCTCCTGTCGAGCCAGCCGCTAAAATCTCACCGCCGCCAGCATCAATTGTCAAAAAGGTGGACGATTCTAAATGGGATGAGCTAATGGCGATAGCTGCAGGGTTGTAATCGTTTTCTCGCATGTTGCTGTACGCACGTTCCAGTACTTGTTCTATAATCTGTAGATACTTGTAAATCTGTAGATCTTTCACGTTCGTATATATCTCGCCTCTGTTACCTGGTCGTGACATTGTGCAGCAGCTTCTTTCCCATTGGTCCAAACTCCAGATTTCGGCACATGCCAAAAAGCGAGACACGTCACTCATGAGGTTTTATCCACTAAGGAGCATAGAGAAAGCATAGATAAGAGGCTTCATAAACATGGGATCCAAGACACCCTTCTTTTATACAGAGAGTGAATCAGAAAGTGAAGAGGATGCAACTGCAACACGAGCTACCAAGCGGGACTTGCTGAAGGAGGCTCTGCTGCCAATAGCTTCGACACAGCAGCTATCGGATAGCACCATAGATACCATCCTCCGTCTCATCACCGAACAGACACCTGCTTCTGTAGCGCAGACATCTGAAGTGCCAACTCCAAACAGCATAACAACGCCAGCAATCGTCGATGAAGAGAAAGAAACAGGGGAATTAGCATACATCACACGTCAGTTCCTCGATACAGATGCCGAATCTCAGTCAACAACTCCCAACCGAATCCGGAATGTCTCACACCGACCTCATCATAAACGATCATATTCAAATCCCGAACTATACATGCTATCCTCACTAAGTAATACTCCAATGCCACACGGGCAGCTCCCCTCATTGTACTCCGCGCAATCATCTATATCGTCTATCCGCACCTCAACACGTAATCTATTGACTCCTCAGCAATTTGCCTACAAGACGAAACTAGCCGGGAAGACACATGTAGAAGACCGCTTTTCTCGCTCTCGCTCCGAGAATGTATCGAATTCATCCATGTTTGGAGGATCTACTACGAGTCAGCAGGTACCTACCTGTAGAATATGTCTAGGAGATGATCGTCCACAGAATCTGTTTAGGCCGTGTAGGTGTGATGGTAGTCAAAGACTGGTACATTTAGATTGCTTGAATAGGTGGAGGCGTATGTCTCCTACGCCATTATCTCGCTTCCAATGCGATATATGTAAATCATACTACAAGTTTAAGGGTGGCACTGGTGAAAAGCTCTTTGGTGAAAAAGTCACGCTCAGTAAGTTGAATGGCAAAACAGGCTTGGCCACAGCTTCGCAATGAACATCAAGACGTCTAATGCTTCCTCCCCATCATGCGCATTAGCTACAACTAGAATCGTCTGCTGGCTCCTGTTGTTAGCCTACTACACTCTTTGCTTTTACGCAGTCGTCAACATAACAGCCCTCTTCTCGTCATTCATCCCATTCCCGGCCGTACCACCAACAGTAATAATACCACCTGGAGTCATAACACGCCGTCTACGAGAACACTTGATCCCATGTCTCTTCTTCCTGCGAGGATATAAACCAGTCTCGGATTCTCTCTTCACTATGGTCATCATACTCTATAATGCTCTGTCCTGGTTTGCTCAAAAGTCACATCCTGCTGCTCTGGCGGTGGATATACTGTGGTTTGGGCTGGTTATAGTAGGGACGATTGTAACTGCCATTGCTACGCATGCTCGAGTTGCTACCATGGCTCCTCGTCTGTTGGGACTGCTGGTGGATGTCAATGATGAGGCCCGTGAAGTGATTGCCGGTTAATGAGACTCAAGAGACTATGGGAACTGCCTCGATTTTTAAGTTATATGTCAACCAATTCTCTTGTTATATAGTCAATGTTTTGCACGTACATAAATGACATTATCCAGATCTTCTACTTTCTACAGTGAGTACTGAGTGTGACATACCATCAACCATGTGTTAGTGAGTGTGCTTTGAGCAACAAAATTGGGGATGCTTTTGCTCAACGTTTCATTAGCACATGATCACAAGCAAGCGCACCGGAGACAGTATTGAACTTCTTCAAGAACTCGTGAATGAGTTTTGTTGGTGCCCTTTTGGAAGTTCGGTCAAATTTTGACGTGAACTGTCAAATGTCTGATTAGACCTCACACAACTTTTCACTCCACAAAACCTCACACAACACAACAAGCCAGAGACGCATTCGTTCTCTAGTGACGGCCTGACTCTGTCCCATCCATCCAGCCCCTCACAATGAACTCTCAAAAAATGACAAAAAAATCACCTGTCAAATTATTGATTACCGTGATCTCCATTGCATGTGGAGTTAATGCAGCCGTCACAAACTTCTACAAGCCTCCTCCATCAGGAGACTCTGTATTCGATCTTGAAGTGATGCCAAAGCCTTGGATTCTAGAAGATCCACCATGTATTCCTATGATTGAGGGACACGACATTTGTGCTGGGGACTATGTTAACTTTTTCGCTGAGAGGGATGGTGAAAAATTGTATGGGGAAGTTCAAAAGTGTTTTGATAATGACTGTATGTTTGCGTTGTGATAGTGTGATGATGTTCAAGGAGATCAAAGACGTCAAACATGTCAAACTTACTTTTGGACGTCGATGTAGACAACGATTGCTACAATCAAGTTCGTGCTGTGCGAGATCCTGCGAAGATTGAGGACTCAATGATGTTTCAGGTACTTTGAGTCAATTCCCAGTTATTTTGATATGGCTTTTTGGTGCCAAACGGATTGACCTGACATTTATCAATATAGATCTTTCCTATTGGAATGAATGACTTACCGCCGGTACCCCAATCTCCCGTGTTCTGGTATAGTGGAAACTCGTACTTTGTCTTGTTGCGAGACAAGACTGGAAAGTGGTTGCAAACTGGTCCTCAAGTGAGTTTCAAAGGCAAAATATGACAGCATGGTTTGCTTATATGATAATGTATTGCAATCTTTTACATTCAGACCGTCTCTCCATTCAAGAAAGCCAAAGATCAGTACTTCAACTACATGGGGTGAGTGTAACGATACCTGTCAATTGCAATCTCCTATTCTTTCGTTTTTTTTCTTCGGAGAGTAAGACAAAGTAGGACCTGACTGTTATAAGGTTGACATTTCTTAATTTGAAATCTAGAGCCTACAAGTACCAGTCAGCAGCTTTCCCAACTGCTGAAAAGTTCATATTAGTCAAGCCAGACTTGATGCTAGATGCCTTCTACTTGCTTCGTACTGATGGCAGTCTCTTCTGGCAATTTGGAGATGACACGGTTGGAGAGCTTTTCCTGTTTGATAGACCATGTGAGTTCGCGTCTGCTGATGGGTGTAACTACGTCAGAAAGAACCATTAAACGATCAGGACTGTTGGGTTTTTTTGTCTAGACATGCCAACCAGTGACAAGATCAATATGGCCCTCTTGCATTTCACTTCTTTATCAGTCCCAAAACCAAATTACGAGGAAAGCTTCACTGATTACTACCTCGAGTAAGTTTCGTTTCTCATTCGCAACACAACACAACACAACACGACACTACAATACACAACAACACTGTCAAATACAAGAATATATGACTTTATTTGAAATAGTGTCACATCCGGACGACGTGAACTCAAAACACCTGAAGTCGTCATGTCTGCATATGCTGAAAATCAGTCTGCAGAGGTAATTCTTGTTATTTATCCTGTTTCTTGTCATTAGCTTCACTAATGAAGTCGTTTTCTCTTTAGAAACAAACTGTCTCACTAACTTGGTCAAGAACCATTACTGATTCTGCTACGTGGTACGAGTTTGCAGCACCATTTGGCGACTTGAATCGAGCAGTGGATAAGGATAATGATCTCGCTTAATAGGACAACTGCTCGGGACAAGCTAGTTGGAGGTGGTCTTGAGTTCAAGATGGGAGTTCCTGGTTTACAGTCAGCCACTGCAGGTCAGCAAACCGAAAAACGCCACTTGGATAATTTCTCCCATAACAGTCTCGCGTACTATTCTTTCTTTGTCCCCTAGGCATTGGCGCCAAACATGAAAGAAAATGGACGTATGGTAATGGAAATGGACATACAAATGCTACAGCCATGACTGTTGCCAACCAAGTCGCTGTACCTCCATTCTCGGCCGTCAGTGCTTGGGTCACTGCTCAACAAGGAATCCTAGATGGCGTAAGCTTCAAAATTTCTTACAATCGCCGCTTCTCAGGAGACTTTGCAGCTAAGTTCGAAATGAATGGTACTTGGTCAGTCATTCAGTACTTTGATGTCAAGTGAGTTTGTGTGTAGTCGACATTTTTCGAGCCTTTCTTTGGTGCAAACGGTCTTGGTAATGTTAGGGTCTGCTGGGGACAAGCACCAATGATTGAAGGCGGTGATCATTCAGTCAAGGCTGGAAGCATTACTGCCGTCACATGCGCCAAGCCTGAAATGGTCGAAACGATTAAAGAATAAAGTTTCTTTGTATGTCCCAATAGCATAAATACAAGACGAATCACGCTGACGGAGTCGCGTGCCTTTTCATATCAAAACTGTGAAAGGTGGTTTTTTGTTTGTAGCGCAACACCACAACAGACTACTATCGACTACCCTTGGCGACTCTGTAGCCAGATCTAGATATGTTATGGAAAGTGTTTGTAAGTATCACTATCTGTTAATGTACTGTGCTTTCCCGGTTCTGTGCTTTCGCGGCATTTTGGACGATTGAAAGTTTTTTCGAGTATTTCACCAATTCTTACAACGCACAAGGCTTTGACGTTCCTTTAAAAGAGATTTAAAGAGACTGATGGTATGATTGTGATCTTCTTCTCTATGTTTGTTACAATTGATTGTTTGCATCCCAACTAACATCATGAACACACGTCCACCACTATCCAAATAGAACCAAAGTCGAGAAATGGGGTTTTCATTGTCATTTCAGCTATAATGGATAACAAAATTTGAGAATACAAAGTCAGATTCACCACAAAACCGGCCGACAAGTTTGCTTTGTTTGCGAGCCTGGTGGGATACCTACGTTGTCACGTCGGCTACAAGTGGATTAGAAGTGTTTAGAATGATGAATGCCTGGTGGGGTCATCATTGCTTATGGTGAGCTTCTTCATGGTGCTGTTTTCAAGTTATGTGGAAGGACGACTAATGGCATTTCATCACGATCATAGTTCCAGTTGATATAGAAGCTAAAACAAGTGAAAATGAAGCATATGCTGCAAGTTGACCTGTAGTCTGTTAGAGGCGTTTCGATTTTCTAAAATCAGAGGGTGAAAGGGACAGACACAACAACTCTTCGCCCGAAAACCCAACAAGTATCATCAACACTACTAGACTCGTCACTACTAGACTCGTCACCTGCAAGACCTTTTAAGGCAAGATGTCGAGCTTATTCAGTGTGCTGATTGCCATAGGAGGCGGAATGGGTAAGTTTCTTTTGCATTACGATCTTCGGAGAGGGTCTGTTTCTTTTGGCACGAGTTGGAAGAGGAGTCTGATGAAGGAGAGCACACATTATCGATAATCCTCAATCGACCGTCGTATTCCTTGAATGGTATGGAGTCTCTTCTATAGCTCGGTCGTCACTGCCACTGTCACATCAAAACATCAAAAAGAAGCGCTAAACATGTTTCAACGCTGATGCATACTTGCTATCATGTATTGCTATCATGTAAAACTCATCATATCACTCATTTAATTGCTTACATCTACTAGGTGGCTTCCTTTTCGGATATGAAATCGGAATTATCGTATGGCCTCCTGTTTCGCTGTTTCAAACAACATTGTCAATTGTCCCAACTCAATGTGGTATAGGACCAAATCCTCGTCATGGACAGCTTTAAGGCCTACTTCAACACTCCCAGCGACCTATCGGTCATCAACGGCAACATTACAGCCTTGTTTCTGGTTGGTTGTGTTGCTGGAGCTCTCGCCGTCGCTTTCGTCGGGGATGTCCTAGGACGCAAACGTGCTATCTTTGCTGGTGGTTGTGTCTTCTCTGTAAGTTATACATACGTAATGGAAACTCTTAACGATGCCATAAACGACAGTGCTAAACTCGCAACATTGTATAGGTTGGTGCTGTTATTCAAACCGCTGCTCAAAGTCTCGGAATGCTATACGGTGGTAGAGTAATCAGTGGTAAGTAGTTAGAGGTGCAACTGCATGACTCACTGAAAGTCTTAGATTTGAAGATTCTCACTAAGTTTCGTAAATCTAGGTATCTCAGTCGGTGTACTCTCGACGGTCGTACCAGTGTATATCGCCGAATCATCATCTGCAAAACTCCGAGGAACTTTGACTTCAGTTTTCGTAAGCCTCATCAACGTCTTAACATGTGTAAACGAATGGCGAGGTTGAAAAACTAAATCTGTCTCTTTCGACACGACCTAGCAACTCCTGATCACCTTCGGTATTCTGGTCGCATCTTGTGTCAACACTGGAATCATCAAGGGTCTCGATGGACAAGAAGCTGAATGGAGGACCGCTTTCGGGTTGCAATTGGTTCCTGGTGCTCTTCTCTTATTGTCGATCTTGTTCTTGCCCGAAAGTCCTCGTTTCCTCGCCATGAAGGGAAAGATGGCCGAATGTCTAAGCGTCTTGGCCCGTATACTTGGACAAGTATGTTTTCGTGGTTCTTCACGTTGGGTGACTCAACCATTATTGTCGACTCCTAAGCAATTCGCTTCCTTTGATGGGAGTTTTTTCCTTCACCTTAATCCTGACTTGAAGATCCACTTTTCGTGATAGGTTGTAAACGCTCCAGAAGTACAAGCTGAATTCCGAGAAATCGAAATCATCGTGGAACGTGATCGAGTGCTGGGAGAAGCTAAATGGAGTGAAATCTTCCAACGAAGTATTCGTCCCAGAATATTCCTAGTCCTTGTCTTGCAAACGCTTCAGCAATGGACTGGAATCAACGTCATCCTTTGTGAGGGTTCTTCTGGACAGACTTTCACCAATGTGTCTTGACTTCTTTTTTGGCACCTTCCATTTTAGACTATGCTGGGACTCTCTTCCAAGACATGGGTTTCAGTCATGCCGAGTCTTCAACATCCTTTGTTATTGCCAACGCCGGGATCAACTTTTTGGCTACGTAAGCTTGTCCCCCTGCATTTCAGAGAACCACTCAACGACAATGCTTATAAAGTATCCTCTTACAGCTTCCCTGCGTTGTATCTTGTTGAACGAGTTGGACGAAAGACTCTATTGATTGTGGGAGGTGCTGGTATCGCCTTCTCACATACTATGGTCACCATATGTCTTAAAATCAGTCAGAACGGAAATCCTTCTGTAGCTTGGGGTGCAATCATATTCGTTTACTTGTTTATCTTCTTCTTTGCCATCACTTGGGTAAGTTGCGAGACTTTTAGCGCTTGCTTTGTCGCCCATGCAATAAATAAACCTTTTCAGACCTTTTTTGCCTCAGCTCTTCAACCCCATTGCTTGTAGGGCCCTGTAGCGTGGGTTTATCAATCCGAGATATTGCCTTTACGAGTGCGATCCAAAGTACGTACTTTGATTCTTTTAGGTTTGAATGTATACTGTTGTTTACAGATTTTGCAACTTTAGGGAACTGGTCTTGGCACCGTAGCAAACTGGGTGTCTAATGCCATTATTGCGAAGATCTCACCAATCATCGCAACAAGTCTTGGAGCCTACCAGTATCTTATATATGCTGGCATGGGTGTAATGATGACAGTGTTTGCCATCTTCTTCATCCCTGAAACGAAAGGGGTTGAACTGGAAGATATGGCTGCTGTGTTTGGCCATCCTGAAGAAACTTCAGTTGCAGTGATTGATAGAAAGGAGGAGGCTGTATAAAGTAGATGGTCATGTCACGTCGCACTATAGAGCAGTCGTTTTCAAGTGATAGATTTATTGGACAAGTCCCAAGCAATACACTTGAAACAGGCCCACAGATCATTTCTTCCTCCGACTCGTGAGAACCAAAGAAGCAATAATCACACAAGACAATGCGTTGCTTCACATACAAGGCTTTTATTATACAGAGAGCGAGTATATTTACAGGAGCAAGTTGTATTCTAACGACAATGCTTTGGGTGTTCTTTGGTTGTTTGTTTGCTCTGATGGTCTTGACATGCGATTGGGTTGCTGATATAATATAAATCCTTGTTTCATCCAAGACCAAGAGCCTCCTCCATTTTAAATACCTAACCTTGGACGACTACCAAGCTCTCTAAGGCCTGGTAGATGCTGGTTCTCAAACCATTAGAATCTTTTCGTTCAAGCAAGGACTACTGATAGAGTTTCGACGTTTTATTACGCATCTTGTCAAAATCACATCGTTTATTTTCGTCATACAACTGTATTTGCTGCTGCTTTCCCATTTCACCAACAAACAACAGAACCCCTATTCTCAACGTCGAGAGCAATAGGAATGTAAATGCCATACTTGTCACGTACTTATGATGACTAGTATAGCATCGAATATTACCATAAGTAGTGATTCGTGGGACCCGTTGCGTCCAAGTCTACTCCATCCGCTTAATGCCGCAACATTTGACAGGCGTCAAGTGTTGAATGTGTTTCTAACCGTGTCGACTACGAAGAGAGCAACGATACGTGACAGTATACGTGCATCACCTACAATTTTAGGTGGTGGTCTCAAGCATACTGCTACTGGCGCAGATTATCGGTCAGGCCATTTTAGTGTATTTCGACGTGCGTGTTGGAGGTGAATTTCAAGTGATGCAGACACGGTGAATCTCTACCTTTTCCATGAAATGTGCGTGATGTTTTAGCTTTGCACTGTGCAGCTGACGGACTGGTCTTGGATGGCTGGTCTATTGACATTCCGGTTTTTGGTTCTTATGCAGCTTATTACGAACCACATACCAGACTAGTGACACGAGAAGCTTGCTTTGATACTTTTGCTGCATTTGACTGCAACATAGCTTGCTACTGCTGGTATGACACTTCCTGAATGATCATTGCAAACTGGATGCAACCCAACCAAGCCAAGCTTGTGCAAAGTACTCTTACCGCAACAAGTGAGATGCTTCTTAGGCCAAAGATCTCCTGTAATTGTGTTTATGATGGTTTTCATGGTAACATCAGCTAATTGTCACGACGTCACGACATGCGCCGAGTCATATCTCGTCTGGTATACTCCTTTGCTCTCCGCTACCTGGTTTAGAGTTTTGTTGCCCGTGGTTTGAATTGGAAGACAGTTTGGAAATAATGAAGCATGCCAATGAGGCAAGTTTTCTCTATATTTTATTTTGCGAGCACTGTTCAGAGATGGAAACTATCAATTCTGACCAGTCAATCTTTGACAACGCTTTCGTAGGGGAAAAATGCGGCGGCAGAGTCGTGATGAAGTCTGGTATCAGGTTTGCTCCCCTTTCACCCTCCCTCATTCTTCGAAACTCGGATATTTACTCTTAGTGGCAAGCAAATCTGCTTGATTTCTGTACACCGGAAATTCAATTTTACACATTCTTCTGGATATAGAGGCTCTAGCTGCTTGTTTTGGCCTGCACCAAAATCACGACTGTGATTGTCGACTTTGTATCAGTATCGGAAGACTATATGTAGCATTGAGATGGGCTGGTCTCATTGTGGTGTCGGCTTACTGAAACGTATATCCGAATGGTCCTTTCACTGAGTCGTGTATCGCATTGCGACACCTTTACTGTTTCAGGGTGTCTGAACTTTTCAGAATCTCAGCAATAGTGCAGACTGAGTGACAGCCTATAATAGTGCATCTATATCAGCATCAGTCATCGCATCACAAGAACATCAGTAGCAACCACCCCCAGAATTAGAGAATGCTACTGCTCCTATCACTACTCCTATTGGTACGACTAAAGGCGGCATGTAGGCGCCAACACAGTGGATTGAGCGAACGTTGACTGACTGGAGAGCGGAGCGTAATATCCATTCAGGAATTAAATCAAATCAATAGAGCCGTGTTGGGGGACTGAGAATGCGAAAAGTGGTTATGTCCCGGTTCTTGGTAAAAAAACGGATCTGATGGGCGACGGCTTGGTTGTTGCTGAACGGTGCAAATGGATGGGACGAGATATCTGCGTCAATGGTCAATATTGATCTTTGGGATCCCTTTAATACCGGCCTTTACTCTTTTATCACGCACGTCCTGGTCGCCAAGTTTAAGCTCAACCCCCTTGAAACGCGTCCTTTGACTTATAGCCGCGAGTAAAGCACCCTTTAGACGTGAACAGTGTCCAGAGATTCAGAGATCAGACATTGTTACTTGCGTTGAGTCTTAACCGTTCTTCATTCTCGCTCAGAAATCACAACTACGAACCAGTAAGCTCCTGAAGCAAGCAAGTTCAGAGCATGAGAAGGCCACGATCAGCTAGCCAGACATTACAAGAATAACCAAGTATTATTTGAAGTGTGGATAAAGGACTCGTCGCTTCGTAAAGCTGTCGCTACTGAAAGTGACGAAGCCGCTACTACCATTAGCGTCGCTACAAAGGTCGACAAGTCAAGAACGGTAAGCATTATGGCATTTCCGCACTTTATGAAGATACACCTTACTTAATTGTCTCTCTCTTCTAGACTAACAATGCTATCACAACTCTAGCACATCAAACACTATAGCAACATCCCGACTCCATTAGTAAATGTTGAAACCTATACTCTCACTGTCCCGAGAGCTTTGGTATTAATGTCAGAGTATGTGCTGCAACATGGCACGCAAATCAAGGGCGTATACAGGTATGTCACTGCGCCTACATGAGTTTCATTTGCATTTGGCATTCTTGAGTTTCTTACCAAGAACTTGCACTGGTGATGCCTTCAGCGACTGTATAGATAATGTGACTGCACCTCTTGTTGCATGCCAAGCATCACCATCACCAAAGGAAACCCACTCACTCGTCAGCGGGTGGAAGAAACTCGTTAGAAAAGTTAGTGGTCTGTGGGCAGGTGGTAAAAGTGAAACAAACAGCACCACTACCACTGAGCCGCCTGGGTTCAACACTGGAGCTGAAGTGTTTGGAATAAATGCCTCATAGCTAGGAATATTTTACCTCAATCTTTATAAAAACCCTGGAATAATCGCTTAAAAGAAAATACATATTATTTTGAAATCTCAAGAAGCCGACTGTCTTCAAATCTTTAAAGTCACTTTCCCAAGAGTGGTTGTTGGGTATGGACCTTGCGTAGATTCTCTACAGTTACATCCAAAGACACTGGCTGTACAGCCTGCATTGTTGATCTTGCTGCATTGATACAAAAGTTCTCCTTTGTAAACGTAAACCTTGGAGAGACCAATGCTGACTGGAGTCTTGGCAACATTGATCTCGACGATGGCTGTATCAGGAAACAATCGGTTTCAGAGAATTCGACGTGCAAGCAATCTATAACTCAGTAATTTCGATTGGCTTTATAACGCCGTTCAACTGATCCCAGTACTCCCCAACAGTTTCGTATTGAACACGTCTCAATACCAGGTGGGAAACCAATCGCAGCCAACTGTCGTTGCATCTTTTCTCAAGAAGTCATGACATGATCCCACATCCAATGATTTACACCGTAGTGATAGATAGTTTATAGACCAATCATATTTCATCCAAAAAGCCTTCCTTTTCAATACTCTTCTATATATACAGAGCTTCATAACGCAAATACCATTATTACATCTTTGCCTTCTTCAGAATGGGAGACCCTTTCAGCATATCGACCTACGATTTTGCGTAAGTACCAACTTTTGTATTAAACACACACCGAACTTACTTCGCCAGGCAGCGAGCAAGTAATCAGAGCATCAAGAATTGCTCTCCCAGCAGTAATCTCTAACTCATCTACTTGTTCAGGCGTAATAAACTCATTCTCCTTGCGACCAGCGAAGATCATGGTACAGGCTGAGGCCCGAATGCTCTTCCCCGTAGAGCAAGCAGCTAGATGTAGCAATTGATAGCTTTCCATTTCGAGAGTCTCACATTCAGGATGCGATTTGCGAATATCTTCAATTAATGTTTCATTCTCGTCCAAGAAGGATGGATCGTGACGACCTTTGAGAGCAGAAAACAAGCCTGTCAGTGCTTCCATTCTCGTACGAGACAAACGAGAACCAACATCAGTATTTATGTCTTTCAACAAGAAAACTGATAGTAATGAAGCATCCAGACCCACCTTGAGAAGAATAAAACGAGCACGCCGTAGCATTCATACACGGAATAACCGGAGTTCGTAGTTTCGTACTGAGCGATTTGATTAGACACTGCGACAATTCTGGATCAGCCTGTTCGGGCGACGATATAATATACGGTGGGCCTGCATGTTTCAGCCCTTTAGCAAGAGCACTGAAATAATCCACATTCCGTATAATGTTGATGGATCCCTTAGTAGCGACTGCCATATTCCCAACATGCGTTCTGTCCGATATGCCTCCACAGGAGCCGAATCTGGTAGAAAGAAGAGTGTTGAGCACGAGAACAGAGACTATTTGGGTCTGAAGTATACCTGCATATGAGCATTGGTCCATCAACAACAGCCCTACATTCACGAACAAAGAAATCTGTCATAGGGAAGCCCATTCCTGAAAAGATAGCGACCAAGTCAGAGGAAAATACGTCCTGCTAAGTATATCACGTTTTTGGCATACCAGTAGCAACAATGCTTAACGGTTTCCCCTTGTAGTAGCCAGTAAATGTCGTAAATCCTACAAAATAAAATATGTTGCATTGAATCAATCAGTCAACATAGACAGCATAGCGTGTCATTCTTTCAAACCTCGTTTGGTTGCTTTCTCAAACAATGGACCTGGCTTGTCAAATAACGTGGAGAGAGTCTTTGCCCGATTGGGATCTCCAACGCAGAGTATTCTACTGGCGACATCATGACGTTTCGTTCCGACGTGGTATGTCTCGCCATTCTCTACGATTAAAACCCGTCAATGATAATAAATGTGTGGATGTTTCGCTTCATACCCACCTGTCATGGGAAAGTTTGCATTAGTGAACTTGGGCATTTTTTATCGTGATATCAGATTTTTTGGCACTCTCCCCTTTTGGTCAAACTGGCTCGAACTGGTATGCTGATGAAACTCAATCAAAACTTCAAGAAGGTTTGAAAAATCGAGAAGATGAAGACACACTAAATATCGCGTAGAGATAGTTCGCTGAGCAATTATGGCATTCTATGTTCATTGAAGCAATTATGGCATTCTATGTTCATTGAAACATTAATTCGAATACTAAACTTATACGTGATTCTGGCTATAATTTGGATTGCGGCGACCACATTGAAACTTGTCCAACAAAAGTGAGTCCTAAGGGCAGTCCTGAAGTGTCCAATTTGCCGTCTGACTGGTGTAATTATACGTTTTCCATTGGAATGTCTTGGTTGAGACGACGTTGACGAGCACTCCAAGCTCTCTTCACTTTAGCTTTGGTGATGATGTTCATGCAGCTCAACAGGCTATGCAAAGGAACAAGCCGGTACATTCTGGATGCAGAATGTGGAAGAGTTAGTCGTTCGCAAAGGAAATCACATAAAGACGGTTTGCAAATACTTACACAATAAGTGCGATTAGAGAAGGAATGGTCATAGCAGTCAGCTCCAAGATGGTTGTTCCAATACTGGTTGCGGGTGTTGTTACGTCGGCCGCTCCATCAGAGGCACTAGGTGCATCTGCAAAGCCTAAAAGACTACTTCCAGTGCCTCGTATTCCAGCAATGAGACCAGCAGCCCATATTCCAGCGAGTATACCAAACATTCCCATAGCGAGGGTCTCAATGAATGCAAGACCAACACAAAACAGGATTCTGCTCCAAGTAAAGTAGTCCACGTTGGCTCCAGCTTCGTGAACCAGATATGCCGTTGCTTGACTGTTTCCAGAGTACACACTAGCGTACAAGCATATCCCACTGTGCATGTCAACGTCAATATGTCGATCCTCAAAAATCGTCTTGATCACAGGCACACTACCAATTTCGCAAACAGTTCTGACGGCAGGTAATTCAATGCGTTGCCATTCACGATCTGGCATTTCAGGAATGAGGCGAGTCAAGAGTTCTGTAAAGCGTTCTGTATATCCCATTGAAATTCTCCATGTTTGAGCTCGGGCCAGCAGTTCGTGAACCATTCCGGCTGTCGGGAGTGCACCACTCGTGAGAAGTAGCGCCGCCATTTCGTGGTCGTTATTGGTTAATGAGAGTTTCAGGGCGTTTTGTAAGGTTGCGAGTGGAAGTCTCACAGCACGAATCTCGGCTGATGGTGGCGGTGGAGGGGAAATCAAATTTGATGTCTGGGTGAGAGATGAGGTTCGTGATGGTATCGATATGACTGGGAGTGGACGTGGAGCCAGTAAAAGGGAAGCGACCCGAAGGTTTTTCGATTTCACAGCTGTGAGTAAGAGGGTACCACGACCAGATTCAGCTAACGTTCTCCGTCTTGGTCTAGGAGGTGCGATGACGATAAGGGGTTGTGGAGGCGGCGTTTGAATAGCAGCTGGAGGAGCAACATTCTCTTCGACTGGCGTTTGTGGTGGTGGTGTAGTGGCGGCAGGTGTATCATTGAGTGGTGTATTGTTGCCAGGCAGATTTGGTAACCGGAACGAGACTCCAGAATCAACACGAAGAGCTCGACTCAGCTTGCGGAACACTCGGAGTCCGCGATTCTTCATTACTCTGACCTAATCCAATGATCGGCAAAAAAATCGTCAGTGCTAAAATGACAATGCCTGAGGTGTAACAAACGATTTCAGCTTACATCTGGAGTAGCCCCCTTCTCGAGAAGCAAATCAGCCAAATTGAAATGAGAAAACGACACAGCCGCTCTTAAAGCAGCTCCTCCGCCAGCCTGGACATCACATCCTGCATCAATCAACATTTTACAGATTTGCACTTGATAATTCTCCAAGGGGCAGTTTATAACGGCGGGCGATTCCATATCTGTAGAGCTAATTTGTTGCGTACGATGACATATGCATGTAGGTGATTTCATAAATCCCAAAGTCCAGCAGTTTTGCAACGCATTTCTGCCATCCCGATAAATCAAGAATCTTGAGCGGATGAGGAGTGAGCTGGATAGAGCTTTGAATCTTCTCGATGCGAGGGGCAACTGTGTTGAAGATGATTGAATAATGATCTTTTCCAAAATCTCATTCGGAACGTCATTAATTGTTGTCTGCGTCGATATTGTTTGGTTGTCGATCGGAGTGACGCGGGACGTCGACAATCGAGGAAGAGACCTCAACAAAGTACTCGACCGTTTAAACTGCACTCTGCTATGGTCCTCCATCTTGACTTTTAAAACTGTGTTTTGTTTTTAACTGATTCGGATGAAGATTTCTGACTCGGAAATTTCTTGGACTTCAAAACGAAAAATTCGGTCATTCAACAGTTATAAAGTAGATGAGAGAACGGAGTTTTATGAGTAAAGGTTATTGATATACACGCGCAAAGCATAAATACACATTTGTACAGCAGTTTTTATATGGAGGGCTTTTAGAGCTCGTGGAACTCGAAGCGATTTTCGACCTTGAGGTAGCTGTAAGTGTCAGAAAAACGACTCAGACAGCAGGAAGATCACTTCGCGCACTTACTAAAGCTTCCATAAAGTCAATCAGGAGGACTTCTTGCCGAGTCTTCACATAAGAAGTCAAATCCAAGACTTCAATCTTCTTCTTCTCGAGACTGGTACCAAGCCATTCTTCACCACCGGCATTTTCAACCAATTCTGAGAGCTTGTCGACAGCCGAGGCCAAATCCGCTTGTCGATCTTCAAATAATTGGGCTTGGTTTGTTTGGATGGGCTTTTCACGTTTCATGTAGAAGGCAGCCACATATGAATAAGCGAGTGTTCGGCGGCATTTTAAGAGCAGATCAACCTAAATGGAAGACGTAAACATCTGCACGAAAGGAATGCAAATATAAGTGAACGAAACACTTACAGCAGTACGGAGGAATTGGACTTGGATGTATGAGAGACTGGTTTCAATTTGAAGCTGGGTCATTTTGGTTTCAATTTTTTCGTATGCTTGAGCAGTCAAATTCACGGCCTAAAAAAGACAAAGTGTTACAAGGGATACAACATGATTTGCGAAAGACGCCGTTGACGCTCACAGCAATATCATTGGTGTATCGGGTAAAGTAGTGAAGGTAGCGTTGGAGAGAAGCCCGTGATGCATCAGCAACACCTTGCCCTGCTTTATGCTGATCGATATCAAACTTGTTACATTGCTTGTCATAGCCTAGACATGCAAGCGAAAGGATCAGACATGGAAGCGAAACAAGCGGGAAAATCGTAAGCATACCATGCCAGTCCTTGTAACAATTCCAACAAAAGTGTGAACCACATTTCCAACATGACTAAAAAAAGGTGTCGTCAAGATCTGTCTATTGTCCACTCCGTGCACACAACAAAGTGCTTACCATGTGATGACAACCACCATTCTTTTCAATAGCGGTGTGGCATTTCAAGCAGTCCTTGGTGCTAATTTAGATACAACAAGTCAAACCTCAATAACTGGATGAAACAAAAAAAATATTGACAGACTAACATAGATGCAACAAGTCAAACCTCAATAACTGGATGGAAGAAAAAAATATTGACAGCGATTGCTCGTAACTTACTTTCCCGTAATCCACTTCGCAGTCTCTGAATCATCAGCACATCGTTTGATCCATTTTACCAACAGCGTGCAGCAAATCGGCTAGTGATCAGTCTCATGGTCGCAAGCAAAGCAGAATGATTGACCACAGTCACAAACCACGCGTGGCATCTACGTAAGGCGAAAATTTTCAGCAAACAAAAATATCGAGGTGGGAAGAATACTCAAACTTACTTGAAGTACTGGGTCGGAAATCTCAGCAACCATATTCTGGAATTCAATGACATATGTACAGTCGGGGGCAGGACAGCATTTCAATTTCTTCTTGGAATCAACAAAGCTTCGTATTTGCCATTGTTGAAGCTTGTCGAGGCATTCTGGAGCGATTTGTTGAATGGCAGAGTCACAAAGTACGACTTTGCACCCTGGACATCCAAATTGGAGTTCTCGATCGGCGATTTTTCGTGTCACGTATTCTCTAAGTAAATTTAAGTGTGGGAGCCATGTATTTGGTCAAGGAGGGGTTGTAAAAGTACATGAACATACTTGTAACAATCTTGACAGAACTTGTGCCCACACCCAACCAGCGACAAAACACGAGCATTTGGTTTTGGAGGCTCATCGTCACCACAAATACCACACACGAATCCACGCCTCCAATCACCCTCCTGGATCTGAAGGGATGATACTGACAGATCAGGAAGAGATGACAGTCCAGACTTTATGAGCAGTGCATCCCAAGCTTTGCCTTGATCAGCCTACAACACACGATTCAGAATATCAGTTGCAATGTTCTACTCAACGTCAGGATGAAGAAACTGAACTCACGTAGGCATCAAGCACACGTTCAGTCTTCCATCCAGCATTTCGAAAGAGGCAAGCGACAACATCTAGACTCAAGCATAGAGTCTCGACCAATTGATTGATTTCCTTCTTGATCATGTTATTATTGATGCCTGAAGGCGTATGCACCATGTATCGAGATTCGTAAAGCGCCTAATATTGTTTGATGTTGTGATGTTTGCACGTTAGCTCCTTTATTACAGCATGAACGACTATAAAGCGAAAGGGCAATCTACCTTGTTCAATGGCATCTTCTTTTTATGAGCAAGCCCATTCGCTTCTTCCTCCTCGTCAAGAGCTTCAAATGTTTGGTCTTCATCATCAAAATCAAGATCTTCGTCAAAGTCGGCAAACTCTTCTTCTTCGTCAGAGTCTATTCCAATCATCTCTTTAGGTACTTCTACCTTGGCTTTCTTCTTCGCTTGCATTTCTGGAGGATGTACAAACGTTGGTTTTTGCTAAGTCTTCAAACGCGAAATACACGTGATTGGCGTTCTTTCGACTGAACCAAAGTTTGGTCATAGGAAAGGGCACCTATTTTACGTGCCAATAGCAATTTGCGAGCTGCTTGAGTCTTCAAAACGCGTAGAAACTTTGTGTCGTCGTAGGGTAAAGAACCTAAAGAGAAGATCTCAAGTCATCGAACCTAGCCGCGTGCTAACTATGGAGTGCGATGAACGCTGTGCATCGTTTTCAAGTTAGAATGGTGAGCTGTTTGGGATGCTTTAGGGAACGTGATAATTCGTTCGGGAGCTACGTGAAGAAAATGAGCAAAGCGAAGTTCTATGAGTTAACAATCGATATACATGCGGAAAGGATAAATACATATTTGTACAAGCACTCTGCATATCTAGAGCTCATCGAACTCGTAGCGATTCTCGACCTTAAAGAAAACGGGAGTGTTAGCAAAAAACGAGAAGGAGCTGGGAAAACTGAAAGATGGCCTTGAAGCCCCACTCACCAAAGCTTCCATAAAGTCAACCAACAGAATTTCTTGACGGCTCTTCACATAAGAAGTCAAATCCAACACTTCAATTTTCTTCTTTTCTAGATTTGGACCAAGCCATTCATCACCACCAGCGTTTTCAACCAAGTCAGAGAGTTTGTCGACAGCTGAAGCCAAATCAGCTTGTCGATCCTCGAATAATTGTGCTTGGTTGGTTTGGATGGGCTTTTCGCGTTTCATAAAGAAGGCAGCAACATATGTATAAGCAAGGGTACGACGACACTTTAAGAGGAGCTCGGCCTAAATGGATAGATGCCAGAATCAGCTAAATAAACGAGTAAAAGCTTTAGAGATACGTACAGCAGTACGAAGGAATTGGACTTGGATGTATGAGAGGCTAGTTTCGTTTTGAAGTTGGACCATTTTGCTTTCAACCTTTTCGTATGCTTGCTCAGTCAATTTCACGGCCTACAAAAACACTTGTTCAATGGATTCAAATTCTTAAGTCAGCAAAGGTGATTTCGCACTTACAGCCATATCATTGGCGTATCGAGTAAAGTAGTGAACAAAACGTTTCAGAGCAGCCCTGGTTAGATCAGCTGCACTTTGTCCGGCTGCATGCTGATCGAGATCAAACTTGTTGCATTGCTTGTCATAGCCTAAATTAGTGAAGAGATAAGTACGTGTCAGAAGTCGCAGCAAAAAAAGTTCCAGGAATTGCTAGTAGTATAATACCATGCCAGTCCTTGTAACAATTCCAACAGAACTGTGAACGACATTTCCAGCATTGCTAAAGAATACGAGAAAGCAAAAGTTAATCATAGAATAGGGCGAGGAACAAGCAAAACCTACCATACGATGACAACCACCATTCTTTTCAATAGCTGTGTGGCATTTCAAGCAGTTCTTGGTGTTGGCAGTAAGCCATTTGGCAGTCTCTGAATCATCAGCACATCTTTTGATCCATTTTGCCAATAGCGTACAACACAAAGGCTGGTGGTCGGTATCATGGTCACAGCCAAAGCAGAAAGATTTACCACAGTCACAAACGACACGCGGCATCTAAGCAAGGTGAAAATGATTAGCAAGCAAAAAAAGAGGGTTCGAAATAGTCTCAGACTTACTTGAAGTACTGGGTCGGAAATCTCAGCAACCATATTTTGGAATTCAATGACATATGCACAATCAGGTGCAGGACAGCATTTCAGCTTCTTCTTGGAATCGACGAAGCTTCTGATATGCCATTGTTGTAGCTTTTCAGCACATTCAGGTGCGATCTGCTGAATGGCAGAGTCACAAAGAACGATTTTGCACCCTGGACATCCAAATTGTAGCTCTCGTTCAGTGACCTTTCGTGTCACGTATTCCCTAAAATGTAGCCATGTACGAGCGTCAGCGATCTGCAAGAGAGTGTACTTCATTCTGCGAGGATGTTACAGGCACGTACTTGTAACAATCTTCACAGAATTTGTGACCACACCCAACCAACGACAGTACATGAGCATTTGTTTTGGAAGGCTCATCATCACCGCATATACCACACATACATCCAGGCTCCCAATCATCTTTCTGGATTTGAAGCGAAGATGTTGACGACAGGTCACAAAGAGTAGATAATCCCGACTTTTTGAGCAGTGCATCCCAAGCATTTCCTTGATCAGCCTATAGCACATGAATCAGTATCTAGATGATTGGTTTATGCCAAATGCATGGGCTTGCAAATGAGAATACATACATAGGCATCAAGCACACGTTCAGTCTTCCATCCAGCATTTCGAAAGAGGCAAGCGACAACATCTCGACTCAAGCATAAGGTCTCAACCAATGGGGTGATTTCCTTCTTTATCATGTTATTATTGATGCCTGAAGGCGTATGCACCATGTATCGAGATTCGTAAAGCGCCTAATATTGTTTGATGTTGTGATGTTTGCACATTAGCTCCTTTATTACAGCATGAACGACTATAAAGCGAAAGAGCAATCTACCTTGTTCAATGGCATCTTCCCCTTGTGAGAAAGCCCATTCACTTCTTCCTCTTCGTCCAGTGCCTCGAATGCCGTTTCGTCGTCATCATCAGAATCCAGTTGCGATTCATCGAAATCAGCAAACTCTTCATCGGAATCACCCTGTGCGAGCATCTCGGAATCTACCTTTGACTTCTTTCTTGCAGACATGTCCTTTGCTGCATGAGTGAGGTTTTGTCAATGCACGGGATTGCAGAGGGAGACAGCTCAACACGACCATTTTTATTCGCGGTAAGAGAGAGCTCGGAAAGATCAAATTAATCAATTCCAAATTTTAAAAAACTATTCATAACGTGTGGAACATTGTGGGGCAGCAAATCGAATTTTACGTGTATTATGATCCAGTCCAGCTCTTACAACTTTTGACTAGGACTAACCGTCAAAGCATCAACCGCATCACATAGTGCAGCTCTGATTCTTTGAGTACGACGATCTCCTGCCGCGGATGGGTGTGCACCGTTCATGACAAAGCCCATGGAGACGTTGTGGTTTTGATCCCATTGGCAGACAGATCCACCTAATCCCATTGATTATTGGCAAGTGTACAGTTGTTATATCACCAAGAGAACGTAAAATTGACTCGCACCTAATCCCATCCAACCACTCCAGCACCAATTGGCTCTTCTGTTGGATCCTTTGCCATTTGGGAACCATGGTTGAGTCTGCTCAGGCTGTGGTGGAATGTTTTGATGGCCTCGTTAGTGATTCTGCAAAAACTCCAACAAACACACCAAGACACCAGCACATAAAACGCAAACTTCCTGTACTCACCCAGTGTGCATAGCCGGCGTTCGTTAACCGAATTTCAAAGTTGGAGTTAACATCAGTCATTAACTCTTGCTCCACATCAGCCTTCTTCATTGCTTCAACAGAGATCAATCTTTCTCCGTTCAAGGAGCCACCACCGGCCATAATCGCAGCGATGGTAGCTAATCCGTTCGCATTGGTGACGCAATTGAAAGATGGAGCTTGTCCTTTTCTTCCAACTCGAGTATTCACCACTGGAATCATTTCTGTAACTCCCACGGTGACGCGGCCCACATTTGCCGATATCGCAACTGTTGATGCCGGGAGCTCCTGTATCAGATTGTGAGTTCCATGTATTGCTTGGATTCCAAATCTATAACAGTACCTTTGCTGCTGGTTGCGGCTTTAATCCTTCCCTTCCGTAAGGCCAGGGCACGATATCACATATCTACAGGTTTTATTAATTGTGAGATCTAGCGAGGAAAGCGTTGTAAGCTTGCATACCCTTTTAGATGACTCGACCGAGTCTGGAGTTCCACAATAAAACTCAACCCCATAAGGTGTAAAAAGTTCGTTGACCAGAACTCCAAAAGACTTGTTGCCAGATACGCGTCGAAAGATTTCATTTAACACCCAGCCTCGGGTTGCAGCGTGATAACTGTACGTGGTGATTCCAGCAAAGTTGTGAGGTTGTTCGGCAATTAAATGAGCCATCAGTTCCAAGTCTTGCCAGTCTTCTCTAATCAACATAAACCAACCGTCAAGATATATGCGTGAAGACGACTCATGCACTCAAACAGGCTCACACTCTGGGACGATGTCTGGCATCAAACCAACTTAGGCCGCCTCGATGACCTAAAACATCCTTAACCTTGACGTTCTCCTTGTCGTATCGGCCAAACTCGGGCCAGTAAGCGGAGACCAACGCTTCATAGTCGAGTTTTCCTGTAGATACTAGATATGCTGCGACGATCGACTCGACGGTCTTGCCACTTGAGAAAACAACGTTGAGTGTTGACTCGTCGTACTAATTGTGAAGATTCACGTGAGCTGGCAGGTTGCAATCATCAACAGAAACTGTTCAAGTACGTGCATTCTGCGTGTAGGTGACATCAGTATAGCCTCCGTAAAGCTCGACCACCTTTCGACCTAGCGAATTCAAGAGTCAGACCAGATCATAATTCCAAATTATAAGCTCCAAGACCCTTCGGCCTAGTGAATTCTAGTGTCCGACCAAATCACAATTCCAAATGTTTACGCAAACGACGATTTCAATGGCAAGAATTCGAAACTAGCTACCAACGATTCGCATTTTCAGTGTCCATACCTTGATAATATATGACTAGGGAGCTTCCGATTTCGTCTCCATCATCAAAGTTGGCCTTGAAGGCCGCTGCTACTTTTGCAAATCCAGGTTCACACCTCACTACCTTGATGGGGAAGCTCTTTGGAGTAGCCATCATTTAGTCTTGACGTTGGAAAGCAAAAAAGTCACGCAAGGCCAGGGAAGCACCGTTCCAATTCAGCAAGGAGGTATGATCGTGGATTTTCAGAGTGTTGCACTGCACACAAATCAATGAAACAGAGAATGAAACCAGACGGCGAGAGTACCATTTCAATGTCTTGATCGTGTTATTTAACCCACCTGCCGTGATCAACGCGTTCCGCAGCATCTCTTAGGCAGCTCTGGCGATTTTCAGAAACTTGATTTCTTGATTTCAGAATTCATTATCTCAATACTCAACGCTGCAATACCTGGGTCTAGCCACCACGAACTAGCTTGAATTGAGAATTAATTTGGTCACACATCTTCGCTCTTCAAACCTTCACACGTTTGATCTTTTCGTTCAAAACTTCAGCTTTTGCCAGCCAACAAGGAAACTTACAATCACTATACAGATCTGATCATTTCGCTAACGATCTAAACATATACCGCTTCATTCAACTGTATTTTGAGCTTGCAGACAATGGATTCCAAACGAAAGCCAGAATCCCTTCCTGGCAGTCCCATAGTGAAGAAGGCAAAATCAGATTCAATGTTTCCTCCTGCAGCCGATGAAGATTCAGGTACATATTCACGCTTTCGACGATGAGCTTTGTCGAGACAGAGATCAGCGACATCAAAAAATCTAAACTTTTTTGTATTTTACGTAGGCGGAGGAGGCGAGTCAACAGTCCCAGAAGCTTCAATAGTAGATGGTGAAGCTGAGAACGAGGTAAACAAATTAGCTTACGCCCTGTTGCCCGCACATGTTAGTCTTAAACTTACTCTTTCAACAATCTAGGAGGAGGAAGCAAAAAAACCACCTTCCAGAGCAATACAAGAAGAACAAGCTGGATCTATCCAATTTCGAGTTGTCGTTAATGACGGAACTGCAGAATCCATGATATTACTGACGGGGCTTAAGAATATCTTTCAAAAGCAATTGCCCAAAATGCCAAAAGAGTATATTGCTCGACTAGTGTATGATCGAACACACGTATCCATGGCCGTAGTAAGAGATCAGCTTATAGTAGTCGGTGGCATCACGTATCGGCCATTCGAAGCTCGTCGCTTTGGTGAAATTGTGTTTTGTGCTATTGCTTCGAATGAACAAGTCAAGGTACACACTCATCGTGGTGAATTGACCAACAATTAGAGCCTTTTTTGGATTCGATTCTTAAGAGGAAATCTGTACATCTCATTACATCAATATCAACAATAGGGTTATGGTTCACGTCTAATGAGCCATTTGAAGGACTATGTCGCAGAAAATAGCAATATTCAGCACTTCTTGACATATGCAGACAATTACGCTATCGGCTACTTTAAAAAACAAGGATTTACGACCGATATTACTTTGGATAAGTCGATATGGGTTGGTTATATCAAGGACTATGAAGGAGGAACCATCATGCAGGTGTGTATCTTACGACAGAGTGTTGTATTGTACGTCATCATATGTTCAAATTTTTTTCGCATGTACTGAATCGACCTCTCTACATCGTTCTGTAGTGCACGATGCTACCAAAGGTCCGGTATCTTGCTGCACATGACATACTGTCAACCCAACGACGAGCAGTTTTGCAAAAGATTCAACAGATTGCCAAAGGCTCGTACACCATCCATCCTGGTCTGAATATATTCAAGAAGGGTGTAAAGCAAGTTGCACCAGAGTCAATACCAGGATTGTGTGAGTTTGGTTCTTCAATATAATGGTGGTTTGTGACTTTGTAGATAATATGTTCACAGGGATTTCTCTCTGTTAATTTAGTGGAAGCAGGGTGGGTGCCAGAAATGGCACAAATGCCTTCAAAACCTCCTGCTAGAACACGAGGTCCATTGTACCCCCTCATGAGAAAGCTAGTAGCAGAGATGGTTGATAATTCACAGTCTTGGCCATTCCATGAGCCCGTTACTGTGAGTTATCAATCCACCTTGTTGATCATTTAACTTATTTATTTAGCATGCATTGAAGTCTTTTTTTCTCCCCTCTTTAGGGTGTTCCTGATTATTACAAAATCATTACTGAACCTATGGGTACGTTGCCTACTCAATGAACACTTTTCAAGCATCTGCATGCTTAACATTTGGAACATTGGTAGACTTGAGAACATTGGGCGAGAATGTCGAAGACGATACATATCAGACCTTTGATGCTTTTTCAAACGATGTGCAAAGAATCTTTGATAATTGCAGAAAGTACAACGAAGAAGGGTCAAATTATGTGAAATGTGCTACAAAGTAAGGGCTTGGATCAACAAAAAACTTGGGTATGCGGAGTCTAGAAGATGTCGTTTAACCGATTTGTCTCGGTAGGTTGGAAAAGTTCTTCAAAGAACGATCAAAACAGTTGAGAGCAGAGAACCGTGATATACCGTAATGGCTTGTTGTGGTTGAGCTTTGCTTGGAGTTGTGTTGTAAATAATTACAGAAGCGTTGTTAGCTGTAACTGTGATCGTGAGTTTTCATCATCGCGATCTGAGTCAGTTCCAGTAAGGTCCGAGAAAGGCCTATGTTGGAAAGGCCTATGTTGGCACGCGACGCCAGCGCGGCGCAAGACTGCCATTGGTGATTTTACCAGCAACTCATAATCTCGCTTGGCGTTTTGTAAATGACTTGAAGAAAAGCTTGCGGAGAAGAAGCTTCCATTATATAGTGAGTTCCTTGATAGATCATTTTGATCGTGTTCTATAATGTTATTTGCCAGAGTGCTGACGCGAAATAATCCATTGTAGAATTCAATATGGAACCGATGCCAGCAGCGCAACACGTCCAGATTCATCTAGGCAATACATTGCATGTTTTGTTTGCTCTTCTCCACCTTTGCTAATGCGACGTCACGTCTCATCAAACGTGATTCTCAATTCACAATTTTTTTTTTCAATTCGTGCTCTTTCGCCTTTCGTTGGGGGGTATCTCGAATTGGACGAGGATTCAAGACTTTGGAGGGCAAAATTGACGTATTTAAACATGCTTTTATGCCACTCAGCTGACGTTACCATCAGTCTAGAACGTTGCACGGCCTGACATGAGAAATTTTGAAAAGGTTTAACTGACATCACTGACATCAGCTAACTTCGCACTACGCGTCCATCTAGAATGCTCAAAGGCGATGCTATCAATCAGAAATGGATGCACGAAGCATCTGGATTGATAAAGGCTAATTCGATTGATGCACGATTTTTTTTCTGGTGAGTGATTGTCGCAAGAAAGATGTTTGGAAACCACAAGACGGCAGAGATGCACGATGATGAGAAACGTTTACAGTCAATGCATGGCTTATCTGAACCCAATTTATGTGGTAACGTTTATATCTGAGTGCACTCTGCGCCATACCTTCTGAACTCGTCGTCTGAACAAGTTTCATCAAGTTGTTTTATCCGCAGCACCGTCTGACTCCTGTATCAGTCTCTATAGGTCAAGACATCATACCGCCATGAGATTTGCTCCATAATGGAGGCATTCGAGGTTTGTGAGGCTAATGGCCTCCTGTTTCTCGAGGTATCTTTTGTTGTTTCTTTTTGTTTGGTTGGTTTTAGCTGAATAGAGGTTCTTTGAATACATACCGTTGAGATGAAGGTTTGTCCTTCCTGCAGTTCATCGGCAAACGTCGTAAGTCGGACTTCATATGTCCTGACCGACACGTGGCAGGAAAACGTAACTTGTGTGTAGCTCGTCTTGTTGGCGATACTCCGGGCGTCGTTCTTAACTCATAACCTTCTCATCGCGTATGAACCTTGTCGCCATCAGCTGGTGTTGTTTCTCACAAAATCGTCATTCCTGTCTCCGCTTCTGCAACCGAAAAAAACACACGGAAGTTCAACATTCGTTCATCAGGACAGAACTTTGCGGCAAAAAGGCCATTTTGCTGCATTGTAGGAAAGCTTAGTTAGCTCGCAGGACATTAGTTCTTTAGCAGGTAAAGCTCAAGAGTTGATTAAAATGGAGTTACAAGTTTTTCGATGTGCAAGGTGGCCATGCAAGAGTCTTTCACTATAACTTGACCCTGTAGAACGATTTTAGTCGATTCTATAGTGTATACTTCCAACTGGATCCGTTTTTTTGCCTCCATCAGCTCCATAAAATAGTTTTCTCATCATCAAATCTCAACGTCGAACATGTCTCTCCCAAGGGACAGTACTGGTCGTTATTCGACCTCGGCATCAAGCTCATCGTCGCCACTAGTGCCAGTACCCATCCGAGTGCCATCGAGCTCAAATATCAACATTAGTGGGTCCAACTCTGAAAAGGGAGCAATCGCCATACCACGATCTCGTATCGACGGAAGCTTGCTATCCCACTATAGAACACAGCAACGAACCTTCGATAGTCTACCGCCATCATTCCAGTCCCAAACTTCCTTCTCATCGGAAAACTTGGATGATGATCAGGATGTGTCGTATGCTCCTTCATACTCGAGCGATGTCGCTCCACCACCGTCATATCGATCTGTTGGTCTGGCTCCAATGCAAATGGCTGCTGCCATCGCATTGAATAATAAACGGTTGGTATTGTCTACTGAAGTCAGGAAGGAACTCAGGTTTTATCTCAACGGGACATTGACTATACAACCCAATCCAAATCCTGATGAAAAGCTGATCGAGTACGTCAGACGCATGGGATTTACTGGAACCAAGTTGGGCTGTGCTGAAGGTGTGTGTTTTTGTTAGTGATCGATTCCACTGTGCTGTCTTGAGTAAGCACGTGCTGAGACATCATCAATTCAACTAGGTGGCTGCGGCTCATGTACAGTAGTCGTATCTGCATTCGATCATGCGACACGTTCAGTCAAGTACGTGTTTACTGGTCAGCACGGCATTGTTCTCCGCAAAACATAGTGTGTGTACCTGAGATGTTTGTGCTAACCAATAACATCGCTTGATTAGTACTTATGCAGTAAATTCCTGCTTGACTCCCGCAGTAGCTATGGAAGGAAAGCATGTTGTGACTGTAGAAGGACTTGGAACTTCAAAACAACCACATCCAGTACAAGAACGCATTGCCACCTCACATGGGTCACAATGTGGTTTCTGTACTCCAGGATTCGTCATGTCTTTATATTCAACACTTCAAAACAACCCAAATCCATCAGACGAGGACATAGAACATAGCTTCGATGGTAACTTGTGCCGATGCACAGGTTATCGTCCTATATTAGATGCCGCTAAAACCTTCTCCACTCGTAAATCGTGCTCCAGCTCGTGTGCTGTAGACGGTCAATGTCCACGAGGTGATGATGCTGAATGCCCAGATCATGACCATGAACCTGCAGACATTGAAGATCATATGACTTCATCGTCTGCATCATCACTTGCATCTGTCTCCTCTGGAGAAATCCCATTCCCACCATTATTAGCACAAACATATGCAGCAGATCCTCATCCACAATCATTCATGTTTGATAACGGCAAACTACAGTGGTACCATCCATCTAGCTTGAACGAAATGCTGGCCGTAATGGACGAATTCCCAAACGCCAAAATCGTAAATGGTAATACTGAAATAGGAATTGAGACTCGCTTCAAGAACTTGCAATATCCAGTCATGGTGTATCCTGCTGATATCTCGGAATTGAAGCAAGTAACAGAAACGGATAGGGGTGTAGCATTCGGAGGATGCATGACCTTGGCTACTCTCAACAAGCACCTGAAATCGTTAATATCACGTTTGCCAGCTGAAAAGTCAAAAGCCTTCAAGGCTATGTATGATAACTTGAAATTTTTTGCTGGTACTCAGATTCGTAATGTTGCTGCTTTAGCTGGAAATATCGTCACCGCATCACCAATATCTGATCTCAACCCTGTATTGGTGGCTGTTGGTGCTGTATTGCGTGTAAAGAGTTTGAAGGAAGGGTTACGAGAAATTCCAATGACGGAATTCTTCCTTAGCTACCGTAAAACTGCCATGAAACCTGGTGAAGTCGTCGTAGCAGTATTCGTACCATTTAGCACCGCCACGGATTATATTCGAGCATATAAACAAGCCAAACGAAAGGATGATGATATTGCAATCGTTACGGCTTGTTTACGTGCTACTGTGTCCCGCACCTCACGAGACTCCCGATATATAATATCAAAACCTCTCTTCGTATATGGTGGTGTGGGCCCAATAACCTCAGTTGCAGCAAACACAGCCGCTTTTGCGAATGGAGCAGAGTGGTCTGAAGCAACCATAAAAGAACTAGTAAAACGCGCTGAAGCGGAATTCAATCTTCCTGATAATGCACCTGGTGGTATGGTTGACTACCGAAAGTCATTATGTGCTGGCTTCATGAAGAAGTGGTGCCTTCACATAAATCGAGAGCTTGAAAAGACTGCTGGTCTGCATATATTGGATGCTCGTGAAGCAAGTGCCATTGAAGATACCCATCGTCCAGCTTCTACCGGCAAACAAGTAAGTATGCGTGATGAGAATGTGTAGGATGATGCCTATTGAAGAGAGCAATTGAAAGTTTACAACCGCTTATTAATAACCGAATCAATCATAAGCCGATGCCTTATTTTTCGCTGAGCTGTCCCCGTTTCTTGGATGAGACTTTGATTTTACTTGTTGTTAAATTAAATGCTAACTCCCAATTCCCGTTTCCAACTTTCAGGAATATGAGGAACCTCCAGAAAACGAAATTATTGGGGCCTCCACTATGCATTTATCTGCTCTCAAACAAGTTGTTGGTGAAGCAGTATATATTGACGATATGCCATTCTTTGCCAACGAGTGCTATGGTGCTGTAGTTTGCTCGACACAAGCACATGCCACCATAGAACACGTCGATGTAGCAGCAGCACTCGAATGCGAGGGCGTTCGTGGATACATCGATGCCAATGATATACCAGGCTATTCCGACGAGATGTATGACTCCCATCCTCCAGACTCGACCAAATTCCATTCACACAATCCAAATGTTATTGGTCCTGTCTTCAAAGGTTTGTTTCTCAAACATCGCATTAGAATGGTTTGAACTCAGTGTTTTTTTTGTTTGCGCTCGTCTAGATGAGGAACTATTCGCTACTCGCAAAGTATTGCATGTTGGACAATTGATTGGTCTGATTTGTGCCGACACAGAATCACAAGCTCGTCAAGCAGCTCGTCTTGTAAAGATAACATATAGGCCTTTACCAGCAATCATCACCATCGAGCAAGCCATGGAAGCCAAATCCTTCTTCCCACATCCAAAAGGTCTGAAATTAGGTGCTTATGCTAGTGAAAACGATGTGATAATCCCACTATCAGCAGCCACTCGTCATGTTGAAGGAACAGTCCGTATTGCAGCACAAGAGCACTTTTATCTTGAAACACAAGCTTCACTTGTCGTTCCTGGACGGGAAGACGGTGAAATGGAAGTGTTTGCATCTACTCAAAATCCATCTGAAACCCAACATATCGTAGCTCATGTGATGGGTGTTCAATCCAACAAGGTCATTGTACGAGTGAAACGAATGGGTGGAGGATTTGGTGGAAAGGAGTCTCGATCAGTATTCCTCTCTGCTGCTCTGGCTGTAGCTGCTCGTAAACTTCGTAGGCCTGTAAGGTGTATGTTGACTCGAGAAGAAGACATGTCTCTCTCTGGTATGCGACATCCCTTCTTGGGCAAGTATAAAGTAGGCTTTACAGAGACTGGTAAATTGGTATCTCTTGAATTGGACATGTACTCTAATGGAGGTTACTCGTTGGACTTGTCGTTGGCCATATTGGAACGAGCTATCACCCACTCAGATTCTACATATAAGCTTCCGAACGTAAACATTAAAGGATTGGTATGCAAAACCAACTTGCCAACAAATACTGCCTTCCGAGGATTTGGTGGTCCACAAGGGCTGATGATGGCCGAAACGTATATTACTCATGTGGCACATGCGCTCAACAAACCTCCTGAAGAAATCAGGGTAAGAAGATATCGCTATTCCTTGTTTTTTGCATTTATGCAATGACAATCAGAATTTTGACATCATTTTTTTCTTTCTGTATTAGCAAATCAACTTCTACCACAACTTGGAATTGACTCACTTCCGACAACAACTCGAAGACTTCTTCATTGATCGAGTCTGGTATGAGTTGATTGCCACATCCAACTTTTACCACCGATATGCTCTCGTCCAATCCTTCAACGCAGCCAACAAGTACAAAAAACGTGGCATAATCCTGTTGCCAACCAAGTTTGGTATATCCTTTACAGCTCGACATCTCAACCAAGCAGGTGCACTCGTACACATCTATAATGACGGCTCTGTATTGGCTACACATGGTGGTACCGAGATGGGTCAAGGTCTACACACCAAGATGGTACAAATTGTCTGCTCTGCCTTTGGTGTCGGCGTTGACAAGGTCCATCTACGAGAAACCAGCACTGAAACCGTACCAAACACTTCGGCAACCGCAGCGTCTGTATCTTCAGATATGAATGGTGCAGCGTTGTTGGATGCATGTAATCAGATAAATGCTCGTCTTAAACCACTTCAAGAAGCTAGTCCTGACTTGTCATGGGAGGCTCTAATTAAGAAGGCTTACTTTGATCGTGTGGATTTGTCGGCTCGTGGATTCTTCAAGACTCCAGATCTTACATATGACTTTGCCACAAACACTGGACGTATGTTCTCCTACTTTACATATGGTGCTGCCTGTTGTGAAGTAGAAGTCGATACTCTTACAGGTGATCACGTAGTCCTACGAGCTGACGTCGTAATGGATATTGGCCGATCTATGAATCCAGCTATAGATATAGGTCAAATCGAAGGTGCTTTTGCTCAAGGACAGGGCTGGAGCACACTCGAAGAACCACTCGTAAACCCCTCTACAGGTGTATTATTGACTCGAGGTCCAGGAGCTTATAAGATCCCATCTTTACGTGATATTCCAGCAGACTTCCGTATCCGTATAGTCAAAGGATCTCGAAACGTCCGTGCAGTACACTCTTCCAAGGCTGTGGGTGAACCACCTCTATTCTTGGGTTCTAGTGTCTACTTTGCTATACGTGAAGCCATCAAAGCTGCACGCAAGGAGAATGGTCTTTCCGATGACTGGTTCCATCTTCCTGTTCCTGCAACTGCGGAACGTATATGTAATGCTATTGGTGGTGTAGACGAATCTCGCATCGACACCAAAGTAAAGTGGGGAGTTGTTGCCTAAGCAGTGAGAGTAGTAGTTGTGGTTGCTTTGATTAAATGGATATTGGTAGAGTTGTGGTTTGCATCATATAATGTCGTGTGGTAAAGAAGGAAGTGGATTTAAGGAAAAGTAGACATACACAAATCAAAAAACTTTGTATAACAAATAAGGAATCTCTCTTCTCATTTTATAAATGATTCATATTGAATTGATGTGATCGTGTTCAAGTTTGGGCTGGTTGTGATTTGAAACTTCTCGAAATACGAAGTTTTCAGATCTTCAAATTCACATCGATACCATGAAGCTTACAATATTTGTCGTTGGACCGACGCAAAGCGGCAAGACGGCCATCGCGAATATACTCGCAGATTTACTCGAATCGACATCGGCTCAGTACTATCCGACACAAGGAGTGAGGTAGATTGAAGTGACAACATTTGTTTACATCACAGAGGAAGTACTAAATTTGCTTTCGATCTCTACTCTAGAATACTGGAAATCGAGAAATCCATAACCGTTCTTGATGGCAAGAAGGGAAGGGCGAGAGAAGAAAACATTCAAGGTATTTTGTTGATTGTTGGACATCTCGAAGAAACGACAAGGACCTGATTGTTGATTCTCCTTTCTGAATTATTAGTTGAATTGTGGGATACGAGCAGTGATGAAAAGTTAGTACCGTCTAGATCTAGTTGCATCATCCTTGTGAACCTGTGACGATTTTCAATTTTTGTAAAGATCCATTGTCGGAGAGGACGGCCTTCACTACTAAAGTACTGGATCCTAAACTTACAAGTGCATTTATTTTGATTGGCAGGTTCTTGAAACACTGGGCGGCTCTCTCATCATCAGCTCACGGAGCTATATTCGTATATTCTTCAGAGTCGAGGAATGAAAGGGAATTAGAAAAATGGTAATCATCTGGAACCAAGAAATTTGAATTCAATTTGATCGAAAGTGCTACATCATCTTTAAAACAGGTCGAAGATGCTTGGACTTAAGGAAACTCAAATGCTGGTAATGGGACACCGAAATTCAGGGGTTGCGGCCGCCACCAAACCAAGACTAAGTAAACAATGTTGGCTTTACATACAAGAGCTATATTAATTCATCTCTGAACTAGATAAACCATTGTCAAAGGCACCATTTGTTGCAACATCACTTGAGGACCCAAACGTCATAAGGAATGCATTCGATACATTGCTTCAAAGCTGCGTTTCTGTCGTTAGCTCGGAGGAACGTTCGCTTCTTGGCGAAGCTAGTCTGTAAATTTGTAGACATTCATAGTGACGACACGTGTTAAATATCGACATTTTCAAAACAGACGGTTTGAGTAGTTTGAGTTCCTCGAACGCGTTAATTAAGCCGAGACACACGTAAGATTCGTATCGCTCTATCATCCGGATGCGATGAATCATGTCTTGTTTGTCAACGGTTTGTCAAAAATAGCCATGCTCGGATTCACGTCCAAAAATAACTTGAATCATAGCAACAAACACTCTTTCTCAAACGCATTTGACACATCGAGAGAACGAAGAAGATAAAGTACAGAGACATTGTAAGAGAATGCCCATTGTCAGGACTGTATCAAACAAAGCTGAAAGCATGATCATGCCAGCAAAGTCATCGTTGATTTCAGACGCAATTCAATCTCAGCTTCCAGATGGGTACTCGATCAGAAAATTACAGCTCGAGGATTACGATAAAGGACTCTTGAGTAATTTGGCTCAACTCTCTACTGTCGGTGATGCGTCAAAAGCTGCCTTTGAAGGTACGAGTATCAGACATTTCCATCTTCGAATTTGATGGTTTCTGGCTGTGTTTTCTTAAGTGGTCGGCCATATCTAACACTGAATTCGTAGAAATGTTTAACTACATGCAAGCACACAGTGATACCTACTATCCTATGGTGGTTGAAGAACTTGCTACAGGAAATATCGTTGGGTGTGTGAAACTTGTTGCTCAGTTTGGATGTATCCCCTTTTACTGATCAATTTGATTCCTAGATCTGGAACTGTATTCATTGAACGAAAGTTTCTTCATGGATGTGGCAAAGCTGCTCACATTGAAGGTGCGTGTGAAATGATCATCATGACAGGTCATCATGAGATCATACATTCATTCTAAGAAATTTGAAGAAGCGGAATACTCATTCATACCATCACAATCATCATCTATAGACGTCGTAGTCAGCTCAAGCATGCGTGGGAAATCACTCGGAAAGCATATCATCGAGACTCTCAAAAATATCTCAAAAGAATCAGGGTGCTACAAAGTCATTCTGGATTGCGCTGAACACAATGTTGCCTTTTATGAGAAATGTGGGTTTTCTATGAAGGGATCTCAAATGGCCTGTTACTTTGATCACTGAAATGATGCAGCAAACAGGTTGAAGGGTGTAATAATGGTGGCTATTTTATTATTATTTTTACCAAATATAAGGCAGACAATTCAAAGATCTCCCCTCCTGGACGTCAGTTTCAAGAGGGATTCTCTCGTTTCCTCCGTACACCTTCGATGGACTTCAGTTATTTTGTTTCAATAACACGGCAGCCTTTTGTACGAAGTCACACTCAAGCTCAAACCGCAAGACTGGGTACACTATACGATTGGCAGAACCAAATCGAAATTGCATGTTGGACGGCCAACAAGTGTGCACTTGCAGTAGTATTTTCCAAGCCTCTTATGCCTACCAGAGACCCGGAACTGGTAGAAATCCAATTTTTGCTGGTATTTGATTCGAGAGAGTCATAAAGCTGGCGGCACTTTGGCGGCAGTTTGAAATTTTTTGCACAGAAATACCTTTTACAAGCTGAAATCGCACAAAAATATGATCCTTACTTCCAAATTGATTTCAAAAGGCTTGCTTCTCTTCTTTGCACAACATGCTATGGTATTGGCTTTTGAAATGATTCACAAACGTAGATCAGATGAACGGGTTGCAAAGCATTGCGCCAAAACAGACTGTGAGAAAGTACCAACTTTGTTGCTGACTTGCAAGACCCGAGACTGCCCTTCAGTACACGTTGAATGGCGAATTGATTCAAGTTGTATATATTCCGATGAGAATATACATCCTCTCTCGATATTTTGAAGGTTAACAATTCGAGCAAACAAAGACCTTCCACTGGACGACAAAGTCATAATATACATCTCCTGCTTTATTTGAAAGATTATAGGCCCTTCTATGGATGTGATGCAAACCCTTTTCATTCAGTCAAGAAGACACGTTCCTTGACAAACCTCTCAACTGCCTCTACTATTGCTGTTTCGCCCTTAAGTTCTTTGCGGACATCTTCACTGACGGCGGCCTGTAGACAAAGAAGGTTTCAGATTTAACATCCGAAACAAGCCACATTCATGGAGCATTGCATACCTGATACGAAAGCCTAATACGATTCTTGACAGTATCAATACACCTTCCCAAATCAGTGAAGATCAGAGACTGGGTGTGTCGTTTCAAATCAGGTGGGTAATCAGGACTATACATGAAGAGGGCAAGCTGTGTAGCAATCAAGGCCAGACCTTGAGTCAAGACACCAGCCCGTTGACATTCACCTCCAAGGTTGCCTTCATTTACTTTATATTCCATCAATACTGCTAAGATTTCCATGAAGGTTCCTATTCCTACACCGTTGCTACCATCAATCAAGTCTGGAGGGATTACTTGCTTTGAGTAGTCCCATTCAGCTTGCGAGTCAATACTATACAGGACGGATGTGGTGTCTGTTGAGGCTGCTAGAGCAGATATGGCATAGTAGGATATTAGGACATATTCGTTATAGACGTCGTTTACAAGTTGCCGGATCGGGAGATTTGGTATGGCAGCATCTTGAGCATCCTTCTCAGATTCTTCTACTGAGATGGCAACTGTATGTGAGGCTACTAGTTTACGATGATTGAATCGCCATAATACTGTTGGTAGTAGCTCTAAAACCGCTTGCTGATATTGGTCTACTATAGTTTTTACCATAGCAAGCGATTGAGCATCACGAGACCTGGCTTGCATGGCTTCAGTGGCAACTCGACGTAAATCTACAGAGTATACAGTCAAAGCCCAAAAGAAGCGCACTACATGTCGTGTTTCTTGGACATTAGCCAACGTGATCTGATCATTTGGCCCGCCAGGAGCCAAAGCATGAGCAAATTGAGCCCTATAGTGATTGGCAAAGACTGCCACACTTTGTACAAAGTCCAGACTTTCAGACAAATGCATAACACATTCAGCCATTATAGTCAACATCGACAACCAAGTTTGATGCCACAAGTTGAGTCGAGCACCTGTATACGGACGCACTGACCCTTCCTCCAAACGAGGAGTGAAGGCATTATTGGTGAAAGCCGCCAAAACACCATGTCCTGCTAATCTTTCAGCTGCTGGTGGGCATTGGGACAATGTCGATAGACAGCATAATATGGTTTCTATACCCACTGGTTGCTGGTCTGCCGGACATGACAATATCACAACCAGAGCTTGCAACAATTTAGGTATGACTTGGCATCGTTCTAATATAGTAACCATTACGGTTGGATTATTTTGCAGGTGTCGTACTAATTCCGAGACTAGAGATAGCGTCAGATTTAATTCCTTTGTATGAGATGCGTCGAGATCTTTCCCAGTATCTAATAAATCTGGGATTAGTCCTGGAAAGCTTTACATCCATAAAAAGAGGGTCCTGATTACATCAACGCAATCATCGGCATACCTTTTTCAGCCACCAGACCTGCAAGCAAGGCACTCGAATTATTACAAGCCATCGTCATCAATCCATTCAGAATGACTTCAGCACGACTAGCATGTCGAGCATCCAATTTTATAAGTCTCGTCACATCAGTCAAAGCTTGGACGGCTCGCAATATAGAAGATAGTAAGATGGTTTGCAATCTCAACCCATATCCATCCTCGACATCTAGTACACTGCCAGCACCATTCTCAACACTGGCCCATACTTGACTTAACTGATCGAGAATTTCAACCATTTGCTGATGCATTGATCTAATGAGTTTGGCATCGGCGCCTGGCAGTGGTGACTTCATGGAAGAGAGTTTCGTATACGTAAGCTCAGACCATGAATCGACCAAGGCCAGCATCGTTTGTGACATGATGGTTCTATATATAACGTACGGGTACTCGGATCCAGAATACTCGAGTGTTTTGCGTGACATGTCATATACACTGCGACTCAAGACCTGCATACGCGACTCGTCTGTTTCACCAAACAGAGCTGGTAAACGAATGGTGGCCAGCTTTATAAGATTAGACCATGACTTCAACAATGTCAGCTGAGCATCCGTTACAGACCAATTATGATTCGCTACACATAATCGACCTAAAAAGTCATTTTTGGCTTCAGATGCTGTCAATTTTGCATCTAGTAGATCTAAATCAAACATATACGAGTCTCCTGGTTGCCATTGTGCATCCAGTTCGGGATGCCACGTCAAGAATCGAACGGCGGTTAGGTTTATAGAATGATTTGGGTAATGGTTTGCTTCGTGTAGTAGCTGTGACTGTAGTTCTGGATCAAATGCAAACGTCTCGAATGGCAGCGGTATGGTTAAATTTACAGGTGCAGCAGGTGGTTGAAGTATTGGTGGTCGTTCTTCCTTATCGGAACCTCTATTTATAGGGTGATGTGGAGTAACTAAAGGACGAGCTCCATAGGTGCTTATCAATATAGCCGAGACTTGTTGTGGGATGTTTAAGGGAGTTAACTGCAAGTCTCGAGATAGTGTCCTAACTATGTAGCTCTTCACCAATATACTGGCAGCATGACGTTTTACAGATGCATCTTCAGCTGATACCCATCGACTACCGACTCGTTGCAAAGTGGCTATTTGAACGCCTTCCACCATTGGAGTTGGTCGATGCTTGAGCAATTCCGTCAGTGGATGCCAGAATTCATCAAATTGTCTCTGTCGTAGCTTGTTGAGAAGTCCTTTATATTTGGCTCCGTCTTGCCACAAGCTTTCCATGAATGCCGACGCTGCCACAACAACTAGAGGACGTCTCTTCAAAAACGACTTCCAGTTCTGAAGCACAAACAGCAAGGCAAATATTGCTGTGTTTTCCTTGACGGTAAACTCATCTGTAGTTGGTTCGGCCCTTCTACTACTTCCAAAGACTGACGAAGTCCCATCTAAAACTTGATTTGGGGACGGTTCGAATTTACTGGCTTCAGCTTTTAGCAATAAGGAGCTTAAGGCTGGCTGAGATTGTACCACAGCTGTTATAAAGTCCCATATTGGAACTTGTATTTCTGGTCCATAAAAATCGTCTCCTAGAAACTGTACCAGCGCAGCTGATATATGTGGAGCATCCATTCCGAAATATCCCAAAAATGACGACTGCCCTGATTCTATAGACTTTGTTGCCACGCAAAGCAGCGTCAGGGCCTGGATAGCCAGGCTGGGTAATTCAGAGTCAATAAAGTATCGAGAATATAGACCAAGTTGGCGTACAGTGTCGGTAGACGTTCCACGACCTGTTTTATCAAGTAAATATAGTTCGAGAGGTGACAATGCGGTCACTTGTCGTTGCTGAGAGACATTGACTCGAAGTCTCAATAATGTTACTAGGAGGTTCAGCGACTCTCGAATCAAGATTCGGACGGCGTTTCCCTCCCGCAGACGCATACGATGATATATGTTGAATACAAGCTGATGGCCTCCCTGTATAATATTTAGCAATGGGCGTGTCACTCGGCCCTCACCGTCATTCAAAAACGTATCTGCAAGCTGTTGATAGATGCGAGACAAGTCACAATTGCCATTATTACTGGTCTTGGTAGCATAACCTCGTACATACGTCACATCTCTCAGGATGAGTGAGAAGATAGACACTACCCGTGCTCCGATCTCATACTTGTGGAGTGCCTTGGCATACCTCCAACTCGCATAAGTCGAATATATATCGGTACGTATAAAGTGGACACATGCAGTGACCAACTCTACTTGTCGAGTCGTCATTCCGTTGAGTTTACGAGAATGTGATGTTAATTCCGACACTAAATCCAAGAAGGCAATGGTTGTAGAGTATTTGCCTTCCTGCTTTTCTTGCGGTAGTACTACAGCTTGTACAAAGCCGCTAGAGGGCATGGATCCAACACTTGAATACCGTGGCATGAAAGGATCCTGTCGTAAGTGATTCCATACTGCGTCTGGATAATGAGGCAAGAGTTGTACTATACATTTTAGTGATGATGTGATGAGATCTGGTGATGGTTTGTTTGAAACGCATGATCGTGATAATATTCGGCATACAAAAGTGACTAGATCGTTTGGTGTCAATGATGGTCCTTGAGCTGGAAACTGGCAGAGATGTTCCATAAGCTTATCACTCAAGGATCCGCCATTTCCTGCAGCAAACATGGCAGACATCAAATCTATAATACTACGCACTAGTTCAATCGTTTCACTATCTAAGTCACGATCCGGTGTGTGGAGATATGAGTCTATCACCGAGATACACCAATGCCATCCAGATAATTCATACTGGAATTGCACCTGTAAATCTGAAGTGACCGATAAACGATAACCCATCGTGCCAGCTGGTATTACTATATTGAGAGCGGAGGAAGCAAAAGGTGTTGTTGGTAATGGTTGACCAAGTTTGACTTGATTGAAACCTCGTTGATTGGTCATGAATGGATCATATACAAGCACCCGATCATCAACAGATGCAGTGAATGTAGGAAGTGTTCTAAAATATCGGTATACATATGTAGCGGTGAGATTAGATGAAGCTAATGCCGTCAAGAATTTGATAACAGGCGAAGCTGTAAACGGGAAGCGTGATCGAGGCCAATCAATCATATCACGACGATCCTCGAATCGGTAGTCTTCTTCCCAGAATTGTTTACACAGGTCTGGTATACCAGCGACAATCGCAGACATCGCTTCCAGCATGATTTCAAGATGAGGCCTAATCGAATCTGGGACCGCTACCAGCAATAACATCAGCATACCCTTAATGACACATCTATATTCCAACCCTTCATCTTGACACAAAGGACCTTTCAGTAAATCAACCAGATATTGAAGAGCATTGGCGTGTGTGGCGATATTGAAGAATATACTGGGTACAAGAGTGGTGTCTTCATTGGGTCCATTGGGTCGTTTGGCAGTCATGACATCTACAAGAGTTTGATACGATGCCGATGCTTTTATAGGTTCTGCTATATGGAAGCCGTACGCTGCCCAAGCTAGTAAGACTGGTGCAGCATCATTAGCAAACATTTTCGATTGAGATTCTCGAGCCAATGGATTAGCTGCATTTTGTAGCAGCCTGGTGATTTGTACAAGCGCTGCTGGTGTTGATATAAGTGTATCGTTTTGTGGTGCGGCAAATACGTCTTCTCCAGTGACTCCCAAATTCAAGACTTCTTCCAGGTCCATGACCTCTATAGATATTACGACACATAACTCGCATACTTGATGGAGCAGCTTACTTCCTGCATCATCGAATAGTTGGCTACAGGCCTGTTTACGACCAAAATGAAGGTCTGTAAAGACTTCAATGGTTTTGACAGCATCTTGCGGTTCTGGTGGGTTATAAAACAAGTATACGAGTATATGTAACAACCCTTTTTGCTCTTTGAGGGCCTGTCTAGTCCACATGGCCGTTCGTTTCGGTATTGATTCTACTTGTTCAGATAGTTTGGCTTCGGTACTCATCTTGAATTGAGTCAAGACTCGACCTAAGATTTTATCATCGACGAGTCGTTCAACTGTTTCCAGAGCAGTTGCATGGTGCACGTGTGAATCGTTTTGACTAGCCTTAACCAAACCAGCTACGACGGCCAACACTTCGAGACGTTCGTCAAAGTAGAGTTCAGCTACTTTTTCCATCAGCTCGTCGTTATACTTTACGGTGCTCGTTTTTACACCAGGCCGTATACTGCCATGTGCACCATCTATTTCAGAGCGGACGTAGGACCTGACCATGGCCAAGGCTGATATTTCGTCTAATTTGAGGAGGGCAGACACACCAAATGCGAATTGAGCCTCTTCTTGTATGACTTTGGCTGTGGCTCCATCTAGTATAATGGGAGTCGCATCGGAAGCTACAGCAGCTAGTATCTGTGCTTTGGAGGCTGGGTTTGGTGGTGTAAACATATCGAGCAATAGTTTGTAGTGTTCGTATTCTGCATCCAAGAAATTCGCCATCTCCTGTTGACTGGCTAAATCTATTGATTCCAGTGCAGCATGCAGATCTCTCCATGTTCTAAAAGAGCAGTCGTTAAATTCAAGCCAAGAATCCCTTCTGACCGACAATCACTTTCTGTTAGAGCTGTTGCAAGCACTACCTTGCAAAGCGTGGTTTGGCATGCTGATGCACATTATGAATAGCAGTTGCCTTTCCTTTGGCAGCAGCACTTGGAGTTGCGAATGGATTCAACATCTATGAAATGTTGATGACTTCTGAGTTGACTGATTCAAGGGGAAAGAGACGTGACCTGATATTCAAATGTATCAGATGTACTTTGAATTTATATATAGAAGACTGATGCGGGGCCTGTTATAGCCAAACGTGCAAAGAAGATGCAAATGAAAGCTACAGTGATATTGGAAATGGAGAAGGAGTCAGTTCTACAACACTAAGCAACAACGATGCATTATTTTCTTACGTTTACAAAAGGCTCTGACTTCATAACCGAATCATATTTCAGGCTTTTCTGTAAATCTTCCCTCAACCTGTTTTGTGTTTCTGGGTGTGGAGCAGTTTTTGAACCGTTTCAGAGATAGACGAGCACCGATCCGACGAACAAAACGAATCCGCTTTCTTAGAATACGCGTTCCCATTGTCGCTGAAACGGCGTACGCGCAAGGCTCATACTTTCGAACTAGCAAGCTTTTATAGGAAAGAATGTGATTTATATGATACAAACTATATTCAGACAAGGATAGAAGCCGAGGAAGAGAGGATGGCAGCTTCCATGCGTCTGATGCGGACGTACTCTCCATTTGCCCGAAGCAATACAAAGAAGCCTACGACAATCAATATATACGATAAGAATTCATTTTGGCGAGCGATTTCTTCCTCATCCATGTCGTCAAGAGAGGAGGGATCGTAGAAATCAGATTCATCCTGCATAGCCTTATTCTTCAACAAGAATCCATATCGGATCAGCGTTATTCCAAGACCACTGCGAGATCCGCACTTTGCGGCGTGTGAAGTAGACATCAGCGAGGTCAAGAGGAATCCAATAAAGTCAAAGCTCATTGAGACCATCTGTACATTGAGAAAATTGAGTTATGGCTTTGAACGTTGCCACGGAAACATGTATGTGTGTGGGCTTTAAAGCGAATATAATGCATTCGGAATCTTCCAAAGTTGTGCACGTTCGGCATTGCATGCCAACGAATAACGAATACTTACAAGGTTGATGAAGAAGGCAAAGAAGTTGCCGACAGGCATTCCTGTTCAGCAAGAGTTCATGTAAGCAAAGGAAACTTGCATAATGATGAGATTCTGCAAAGCTTACCTTCGACCATGATACCATCGTCACCATATTCATGGCTCATGACAGTAGTGTCGAGATATGCTGGAGCAGGATCGAATGTAGCTTCGGCGTAGCTTGGAGGTTCGAATTCTTGGAATGCTTTCGATGGTGCATCTGGCTTTGCAGCGAGATTTGCTATGAAGAGTTTGTTGGGTTGTGTGAGAAGAAATTGACTTTTGAAGGCTTATGACAACAACAACAGTGCGGAGGATCTGTCAGGATACGGGATATACTTGTGGTACCCCTAAAATCTGCTCTTTATGTAATCTGAAACATACCAAAAACACCATCGTTTTCTGTTATTCGTTGATGTGGGGCTGATGAAGTGGAGGCTTCTTCAGTAGAGGTGCGAAATAAGACGGTAGTTTCATCGTTGGATTCGTTCTCAAGAGACTGCTCTGTGGAAGCAACCTAGTTTGAATATTAGGCATTAGCTATCTTTGCATATTTCAACCATATGAACCAGAGCACCCACTGCGGTATATTGTTGGCTCATTGCTATAGGACGGGTGGAAGACAGTGCTATGATGGTTGCCTAGGGAGCTACACTAATTACCGAGGTCTCCTTCTGTTTCAGAATATGCTGTGTGAGTAGTGACTTCAACGACACGTCGCTTGGCAAGCGAGGATTAGGGTTATTAGTAAGAAGAACCTTCGAGCCTTCGAGCGGTTCAATCGCGTCGAAGAAGAGTGATTTTTGTAATGCAGATGCAATCTGTTCTCGTCGCTCAAACGATGCCCTCGCCAAAGTGCCGCACGTTGATTGCAAAATTACAGATGTATGTTGTGAAGCGACGATGATCTACAAATGACTAAGGGTTACTATATGAACTATGCCGATATTTCTTTCTGTATTTCTAATAAATCGAGCTTCGTGCCTGCCAACTATGATCAAGCAACAAAAGAGCAGTCAGCAACGTTTTTGAATTCCTGCTTCAAACAGCACCCCTTTCTCACCATATCTAGCAGTACATTGACCTTGAACTTGAGTAGCTGATTCTCGGCCTCCAAGACACGATTCCTTTCCGCAAGTTGATCTACCATCTTGGCTGACTTTTCAGATGATCCGTCACCTAACAAAGTTTAAATAGCATGAGTACAAGTCGATCTATCATCTGTCACTAGGATATTGTAATGACGAGTATCGATTTTTTAATTGTTCCGGTAACATCGTCAGAACAAAGATCCCTCAAAACCCTTCATGGTCATGCGATTTGTTTGAACAACAAATGTGGAGGGAGTGGTCCACTTGCCATCATCAAACTTGCTTGATGCAGCCCCGTATTTACCTCGTTTCCATTGATGATCTTCATAGACAAGAACCGTCTCGCCCAATTTCAGTTTGACTGGTGGAGCGACATTCTCTGGTTCAAATTGGCGCAATCTTGGTGATTGATTACCCAGATTGAAGGAGTCAGACAGTCTTCTAGCGTGTTTCTTGACGTTCTCCCACGCCATTTCCCGTTTCCTTCTCGGCTCTTGTATGGATTTATATGGATTTGAGTGTTTGCGTCCGTATTGAAAAAGTTCAGACGTTTTTGAGAGTCGGTACGTCGAAGAGTCAGACAAAAGAGAGAGACACAGTTACATAAAATTCGAAATAGTTCCAAGTTTACACGGCGTGTGATTTGCCTGTGGTTTGGAATTTGGAAATCTATATTCCACCTCATATGTTCTCGCTCAGTTGGGTATGTTGCGAGGGTCATTAAGGGCGATCGTTTCGATGGTCGATAGTGTGACGCTTCAATAGCCGAGTATTCAGCCGCCGACTCTCAACGCACAGCTTCGGCTTGTGTTCAGCCAAGAAGTACGTGAGGTTCTGAAGTACTGAAGTACTAGAGTAAAAGTCTGGCGGCTAGTAAGCAGACATGTTTTATAAAAGACAACTAACGTCCAGTACAGTATAAAATCAGCAATCTGGTCTAGTAGTATTAGAGCACGTCTCCCATCTTCATACGAATGATAAGCTGGATCTAACAGTGATATACGGCCGGTGTCGATGTGTCGCTTGAGTTGCAACTTAAGCAAAGTATACGGGATTGCAAACTTTGGCCAATCATTCGAGCACAAGGCTGCTCAAATTGCGTGTGCATCTCTCGCTTCATCTTGTGACTCACACTATGGCTCGCGAAGTATTCGTTTACTTAGTCTGTTCGCAACATAAATAAGCTCCACAAACAACCAGCCAAAAGCACAACCAGCCAAAAGCGCTCCCGACTTGATATATCTAAGTTTCCGAGCAATGTGGGCCTATGCACTGAAAGAACTTGGTGCTCCAGAAGTCCTGAAAAAGATTGAAGTTGCTCAACCAAGCTTACGGGACGAAAATGATATTATCGTCAAAGTTCTCGCTGTTTCGTAAGTGGTTCCTTCTTTAAGCAGCTTAAATCATGCAATTTGCATCGCGGTTCGCTTTGGAACAAGTTTGGCCATCAACATCAACACTTTTACTGACCTTTTTTGTCATTCCGAACCACCAGAGTCAACCCAGTGGATACCAAGAGACGAAAGAGTCATCCTGGTGTTCCTACTGCCATCCCTGATGCTCCACGTGTATTAGGATATGACGCTTCCGGGGTGGTCACTGCAGTTGGTGCAAATGGTGAAAACTCGGGATTGTGCTTCACCCTTAAAATGTAGTCTTTCGCTAAACACACTCTTCAATATAGTGACTCGTTTCAAAGTTGGTGATGAAGTCTACTATGCTGGTGACGTCACTCGAGCTGGAAGGTAAGACTTCTTGTCGAGCTGCCAAAACTCAATACTGGGTTTAACGACAAACGCACAATATTTAGCAACTCTGAATTCCATGCCGTCGATTCACGAATTGTTGGATTCAAGCCAAAAAGCATAACACATGCTCAAGCTGCTGCATACCCATTGGTTGCTTTAACAGGTAAAAACACAACAATAATAAGTTGCTCATTTACACTGTTTCAATTGTCTCTGTCTTATCAGCCTGGGAAGGAATATTCGAATCTCTTCGAATTCCAAAGTCGAGCTCGCCTTCTGCAAAGAGTCTATTGGTCATTGGTGGTGCCGGTACGCTAACAAAAATATTACACCTGTCCTTTTGTAACAAACCACTCAAACTGCTCGCATCTTTTCAAAAGGCGGAGTTGGATCACTCGTAATCCAACTAGCTAAAAAGGTCGCCGGATTGACAGTAGTAGCCACTGCTTCACGTCCCGAATCAGTTTCATGGTGTAAATCTCTGGGAGCGGATCATGTCATTTCTCATTCAGAAAAATTGATGCCACAATTGAAGGCAGCTGGATTCCCAGGTGGTGTGGATTATGTATACAATACTCAGGGAACTCCCGACTACTGGGATCAGTTGGCTGATATTTTGAAGCCACTTGGAGGTATTTTCAGCTTTCATCGATCGTAGATACCGCTTGTTTTGGATTGACTGACCTGCGCTACAATAGGTGTCGTGCTGATTAACGAGACTACCACCCCCGTGAACATTGCTTCCCTAATGGTATGCTCGTCGAGACAACTCAATACTTGACTTGTGTTGGTAGTAGACTCTCTCTCAAACCCATCCATGTCCTAATTTGAGCCTTTCGCTTCATAGGTCAAAAGAATCACAGTCAGTTATGAACTCATGTTCACCAGACCAATGTTCCATGCTGACGCACAGATGCAAGGAGACATTTTGGATGCGTGCAGCAAGCTGATTGATAACGGAACACTCAAAGCTGTGCAACAAGTGTCTTTTGATCTGAATGAAGAGAATCTACGAAAGGCTCACTCGCAAGTAGAGTCTGGTAGGACGATCGGAAAGGTTACTTTAAAGCTGTAAGACAATTGAAACAACATAAAGTATATCGTACTGATTGTACGAGGTTGGTGATATAGTACCTCCTAGTATAGCATTGTTGGGCTTGTTCTCAGTCTTTCAGCGCATTGGGGAAAGTGGACGCAATCAAGGTTTCTTCTTTTTTCGTATGTCGAGGGTCTTACAATGAAAGCGGGCATCATCTGACTTAGAGCGATTGAAAATATTGTAACGTGTTGATAGACGTGTCTCCATACAGCTGCCCTGCGTCAAACATTTTTTGAATCAACCTCATTTTGGACTATCATCCACCGCTCAAGCACATCCAGATTCCAAGACATATAAGTCACTTCGTAAAAGCATTCTCAGCAATGTGGGCTTACGCAATCAATGTAAACGGTGGTCCAGAAGTCATCAAGAAAGTACAAGTTCCAAAACCAACTCTACGAGACGAGAATGATATCATTGTCAAGGTCCTTGCAGTCTCGTAAGTCTGCAAATGCTTTGGAATGCTCATATAGAAGATTTTAGCTCCTTGTAATGATGTGAATATGTACTTTAACGGCTGAACATTAACTGACATCGAACTCATTTTCCAATTCTTAGAGTCAACCCAGTTGATACCAAGGTCCGAAAGAATCCCGGCGGTGTTCCTGATGGCGGCTCCAAGATCTTGGGATATGATGCCTCTGGTATCGTAGAAACTGTTGGCTCAAATGGTGAGCTCCGAAAACCGACACCATCGTAACTTTCTTTCTGTGAGACTTTGTTCGCTGATCGCATTGCAATTCTTGTAGTGAATCGTTTCAAAGTCGGCGACGAAGTTTACTATTCTGGTGATATCACTCGAGCTGGAAGGTATTTGCTCAACAAACGTCAGTTTGGAAACATTCAACCATGTTTTGACAGTTCATGTGTTGCGTAGCAATGCCGAATTCCAAGCTGTTGATTCTCGTATCGTCGGAATCAAGCCCAAAAGCATTTCCCATGCTCAAGCTGCCGCATACCCGTTATGCGCAATTACAGGTGAGAGGCTACGCTGAGATTTTAAAAGGCTACCAGTGCAATCTGACCCCCTTTTTCAGCTTGGGAAGGTCTATTCGAATCTTTGAATATTCCAAAATCAGACAAACCTACTGGAAAGGCTGTATTGGTGATTGGAGGTGCAGGTAAGCTACAACAAAAGAGGAAACCATGTATACAGTATCATGATCATAAGGGAGATCATTAGGAAGACGTGTTTCCACATGATGTTCAGACCTCTTTCAGTATCAGCTCTCTAACGACGTCCCACTCGTAACTACAATAAGGTGGTGTCGGCTCAGTCGCAATCCAACTTGCCAAAAAGATTGCAGGCTTGACTGTCATTGCCACCGCATCACGTCCCGAATCTGTCGCATGGTGTAAATCATTGGGTGCGGATCATGTTATTACTCACACTGCGAAGATGCAACCACAGTTGGCTGCGATTGGTTTCCCGGCTGGTGTTGAGTATGTGTTCAACACTCAAAGTGTAGAGCAATACTGGGATGAATTGAACGATGTTATGAAACCACTTGGAGGTATCTGTTGTGATGGTTTTGGGCTGCTGATACCTGAAGTTTCTGAGTTTGGTTGTTTTCTTCATAGCCATCGTCTTGATCAATGATGCCAAAACTCCAGTCAACATTGCACTGTACATGGTATATCAAGTGAACTCAAAGAGGAACGAAATTGCAGGATTAATTTAATCTTCTTGTTAGGTGAAACGTCTGACCGTCAGTCACGGCATGATGTTCACTAGGCCCATGTTTCAGGCCGAACAGCAAATGCAAGGCGACCTTTTGGATGAGTGCAGTAGACTGATTGACGATGGAACTCTCCAGGCTGTCGAGCAAGTGTCTCTGGATTTGACTGAAGAGAATCTCCGAAAGGCCCATGCCCAAATCGATACAACCACAACCATTGGCAAAGTGACTTTGAAGCTTTAAAGCCTTCAACTCAAAACGAGCAAGCCAACATTTATAAGATCTCAAAAAGATATAGTTTTGTGCGGATGGGTTCAAGTTATTTATAACCAATGTTATAACCCATATAACCCACGCAAAGCCCATATAAAGATAACGTATCGGTGAGTGCGGCCGTTACCTCAGCACCCCTGTTTCTACATAATGTTTTACATACAATGTTCTAATTGCAGTTTTGCATAATCCGGAACTTTTACCAACCTGACAAAAACCAAGATATACAAAAGAGGCAGGACCTCTTACCTGACGAGCGAGGGAGTCGCCTTTCCATGTTCGACTGTATAGTCAGTCATTGCGGCAGCTTCACTCTTAGACCACAGTAGTCAGTGAATGGGTCTACAAACAAATCACTTCTGACACTGTCCTGTTCGTTCTGGTATGGTTTTTGGTGCTGGACAGAGGAGCGCCTGCAAAAGGTCGCTCACTATCAGGGAAATATTTAGGGAGAAATCATGGCAGTCGGATGAGAGGAGACCACTTTCAGCACCAAAAGATTTCAATAGACTGGTTCAATCTAAACCGTGCTTCTTTTGTCATTACGCTTCACGTTCCACCGTCACATCCAAGCATCATTGAGTCTGACAACCAACGAACCCAGCACTCTCAGAGCAAAAGCTGTTAGACAATTCAAGCAGCACGAAGTATATCGTATTGCCTGCACAGGATTGGTGGCAAAGCAGGTTGTAGTGAAGTGTTGTTGTGCCTGTTGTCAGACTTTGCAGCATATTGAGAAATGTGGGCACTCGAGGCTTCCTCCCTTTTCAAATGTTAAATCTCTTATAACGAGAACGGGTTTCACCTTGTTTAGAGCGATTGTACACATTGTATGGTGTTGGAACAACATATGTCTCAGACAGCTGCTGTACTGTGTTAAACAAGGATATTGGGTATCTTGACCACCTCAATGTAACAGTTTAACTAGCCAGCTCAAATGTCATAATATCGTCGTGACCATCTCAGCGTAAAGGAGCTAGGCAGCTCGATTGTTGATAAGAAGATTATGCTTTTTTTAGACATGTGCAACCGTGATTTGAAAGCCTTGTTCAAAACGTCCCTCCGACACTCACGCACATACAGATTCCAACACATACAAGTCACTGCATACAGCAATGTCAACAATGTGGGCATATGCAATCAATGTAAACGGTGGTCCAGAAGTCATCAAGAAATTAGAAGTTCCAAAACCAACTTTACGAGACGAGAATGATATCATTGTCAAGGTCTTTGCCGTCGCGTAAGTCATCGAATGCTTTGGTATGCTCATATAGAAGACTTTAGGTACTTATTATGACGAGAATATGTATTTGAACGGCTGAACATTAACTGACATCAAACACATTGTTCAAACCTTAGGATCAACCCAGTCGATACCAAGGTCCGGAAGAGTCCTGGCCCACCCGGCGGTGTTCCTGATGCCGGATACAGGATTTTGGGATATGATGCATCCGGTGTTGTCGAAACTATCGGCTCAAATGGTGAGCTCAACAAAAAACAAACCACTCGTTCTCTACCTTTTCTAAGACCATCTTTTTTGTTTGCTCAACGCATTGCAATTTTCGTAGTCACCCGCTTCAAAGTCGGCGACGAAGTTTTTTATGCTGGTGACAGAAACCGAAATGGAAGGTACTTGATCTACAAATGTCAGTTTCGAAACCTTGAAGCATATTTTGACACGTCTCACGCTGCATAGCAATGCCGAATTCCAAGCCGTTGATTCTCGTATCGTTGGATTCAAGCCAAAGAGCATTTCTCATGCTCAAGCTGCTGCATACCCATTATGTGCAATTACAGGTGAGAGACTCCGTTGTGTTTTTGAGAGGCTACCACTGCAAGCTGAAAACAATTTGGTAAGCTTGGGAAGGCCTATTCGAATCTTTGAATATTCCGAAGTCAGATAAACCTACTGGAAAAGCTGTATTGGTCATCGGAGGTGCAGGTAAGCTACAGCGAAAAGGGAAAAGTGTATGAAGTATCATTAGGAAGACATGTTGCTGTGTCATGAGCAACCCGCTATCATGATCACTTTTCAGCTCACTCTCACTCATAACTCAAACAAGGTGGTGTCGGCTCACTCGTAATTCAGCTAGCCAAAAAGATTGCTGGCTTGACCGTTATCGCTACTGCATCACGTCCTGAATCTGCCGCATGGTGTAAAACATTGGGTGCGGATCATGTCATTACTCATTCTGAGAAGATGCAAACACAGTTGGCTGCAATTGGTTTCTCAGCTGGTGTTGAGTATGTGTTCAACACTCAGAGCGTCGAAGAGTATTGGGATCAACTGAACGATCTCATGAAGCCACTTGGAGGTATCTGCTGTGATTGTTTTGGGCTGTTGAGAACTAGGAGCTTCTGAACCTGACTGTGTTTTCAATAGTCATTGTCTTGATTAATGTTGCCAAAACTCCAGTTAATATTGCACTCTACATGGTATATGAAGCGACGTCAAATAAGAGCGAAAACTTAGTACTAATGCCTTCATCCTGTTAGGCGAAACGACTGACTGTCAGTTACGGCATGATGTTCACTAGGCCAATCTTCCAGGTTGAACAGCAGAAGCAAGGAGATATCTTGGATGAATTCAGTAAACTGATTGATGATGGAGTTTTCGAGCCTGTCCAGCAAGTGTCTTTGGACTTGACTGCAGAGAACTTGCGAAAGGCACATGTCCAAATGGAAACAAGCGCCACCATTGGTAAAGTGACGTTGAAGGTGGTGTAAATGTTGTCAACTCGAAACGAAAGAACTTGAACAGGTCGCAAAGACGTGACTTTTGTGTTGCGGGGTTGTTCAAGTTATTTATTAAGATGATGGTGTGATATACCTACTCACGTGGCATTTATTCCAACGCTTTCGGTTTTGAAATATACTTAATATGGCATTCATGGTTGGTATTTCTGGCTGGTTTGGCCAGCTGGTGTTGTAATTGTTGATAATTCGAATATCAAGCGCTAAGAGCACTATGCGGGCAATTTCGATTTGGTAAATCACTGGTGCCCTCTTTGCGATCGATAGGACAAATCAGCCCCGTGCTGAAGGCAAGCTACTGTGAAGTTCAGGTATTGTAAACTTTTAGTTCCCTGACAGATCTCTACATAGTAATACGTCGTGCTTTGTCGTGCTATGAATCGAGCAGTAGCTCTCTGTCGTTCGCGCTCGCTTCATGCGCGAATGTCGAATTGCGTGAAGCTCCTCACACTTTTGCAAAAAAAATAAAAAACCAAGCAATCTTGCAAATATGAAGCCTAGCCAACGTAAACCGGCTGTCGAGTACGACAGTCCCCTTCCAGTCATTCAAGATCCTCGATTTGCTCGAGTACATAATGATCCTCGCTTCTCTCGTCCACGGAAGCAAGATGCTAAAATTGTGGTAGACGACAGATTCAAGTCCATGCTGGAAAGTGATGAATTTATACATGCTCGTAAGTAATTCTGCTTTCTGTTGAATCTATTAACGCATCGGATCTATATCAATTCTGCTCTTTTATTGACCCTAGCTCGAGTCGATCAATATGGTCGGAGAAGAAAAACATCAAATCGAGTCGACGAGCTCAAACGATACTATCGCCTGGACAAGGATCACGATGAAGAGGATCAGGAAGATCATGATGCCAAAGATCCAAAAGCTGCTGATGAAGCGGACGACAAAGATCAAGCTAGTGACGATGGAAGTAGCAAAACCAGTGAAAAAGCTCTTCCAGACTCTGACGACGAAGAGTCTGACAAGGACGACGAGGAAACTGATGAAATTCGGTTAAAAGCTAAATCTGAAATGGTTGACCGTGCTCGTGGCATTGGGATACTTGACGACTCTGAATCATCTTCGTCGTCGTCTGATTCCGAAGATGAACCTGAAGCAGACATTGAAGTTGATGCTTCTTCTATGGCAATAGGACCATATGCACTTGTAAGGCTCTCTACCGCACGCAACTGCTGTAGAGCTTGCTCTCAACTCACCACACTGTCCTGCTAGGAAAACGTCCCGACTGGTGACGAAAGCAGACGGTTCGCAGCCGTGAATCTAGATTGGGATCATGTCAAAGCTGCTGATTTGTATAAAGTATTTGATGGATTCGTACCCAAAGAAGGCCGACTCTTGTCTGTCAAGATCTATCCTTCAGATTTTGGATTGGAGCGACTAGCTAAGGAGTATACAGAAGGTCCACCCTCAGATATCTTTAAGAAGGGACAAACGATGGTTGATGATGAAGAGGAAGAGGAGCTGTCAAAGCCTCTGATACAGGGTGACGAAGGCCAAGAGTTTGAGAATGAGAATCTACGAAAGTATCAAATGGAACGTATGAGGTACGACATCTTACCGTTGGCTCGTGATAGTCTCTAGGCATCTGATATGTTTCTGTCCCTTATTCAGGTACTATTATGCGGTGGTGGAAGCCGATTCAGCCGAAACAGCCAAATCAATCTATGTCTCATGTGATGGTGTCGAGTATGAAAAGACGGCCAATTATTTCGATTTGCGATACATACCGGATGATATGGATTTTACGGATCGGGAAATACGAGATGAAGCTCTTGAGGTGCCTCGCCTTCATCGACCGGCTACATTCACCACCTCTGTAAGCTACGACGACGCCTGTTGCAATTATCACCTATCAACCCGCATATGAAGCACTTGCAGCACTCCTTTCTGACCTCGACACTATTTCAATAGGCTCTTCAAAACTCCAAAGTCAAGTTAACATGGGATGAAGATGACCCAGATCGGTCAAGAGTCACCCGCAAAAAGTTTAGCAAACAGGATCTAATGGAAATGGACTTCAAAACCTACATTGCGTCTGAATCTTCTGATGGAGAAGGACCGGATGACAATGAAGACGATAGTGATGTTGAAGAACGAAGGAATCGATATAAAGCCTTGTTGGAAGGTGGTGATGAAGAAAGTAATCCATTTGGACGTAGTCGTAAGAGTGGAATGAAGGCAGATGCTGATGGTATGGGCGATATGGAAATCACATTCACGCCTGGTTTGACATCGTCCAAGGGAGATGAACCTCAGGTAGCTTGTGATATTGCCTTGTGGTTGTTGCCGCAAGTTACTAATTTTTGTTTGGTTAGGACAACGAGAGTCCATTCGAGCAATATCTCCGAAAGCAAAAAGAGAAACGAAAGGCGAAGAAGGATGCTCGTAAAGCCGCTACTTCTCAAAAAGAAGAGCAGTCCGAAGAAGACGAAGTCCCATCCTCATGTAGGTCCTTCGCCGCTAGTTCTTGAGATGTCCTGATCACTCATCAGACTTCACCTGCAGTGCAACCACAAAGTGCAAATTCTCTGCAGCTGCTATTGGATGATGACTTTTCAACACCTGGATTAGTCTCGAACTCATCACCTTCGGAAACGTCCCAACAACCGCCTGTGAAGTCGTCCCGACACTTTGATATGAAGGAAATTATCAAGGCAGAGAAGCTCAAGACTATAAAGCTCAAGGGGAAAGCTAAGAAGAAGCTTGAGGGGCGCCAGTTTGAGGCTCTTCAAGATGACTTTGAACTGAATCTTGAAGATCCTCGATTCAGTGCTGTTACAAGTAGTCATCACTTTGCTATTGATCCTTCGAATCCACAGTAAGATGTCGCTGTGGTACTGCTTGTGTCCTGCCTTGCTGATTTATTTTTTGCCTCTAGTTTCAAAAAGACGCCCGCAATGAAAAAGCTGTTGCAATCACGACGTGAAGAGAAGCCGGTAATAGAGGAACCTGCTATAAAAGGGCCTGAGTCTATCAGTGGTGGCATGGACGTTGACTTGAAATCTCTTGTTGCTTCAGTCAAGCGCAAGAGCAATGAACCAAAGCAACCTCGAGTTGGTAAGAGAATGAAACCAACGCCAAAGTAAAACATTGCATGTATATCATTATTTAGACTGTTGACTTTGAACAATACACAATTCTACGAGATGGGTTTTATGGGCAAAAGTGATATAATACAGATGCTCACTCACGAGCGAGACTCAAAGTAACATGGATTACATCGATTTATCTTTGTACTTCATTGGTTCTACGAGTATATAGGAAGAACTCGTATTCTATGCCATTTTCAGTGGTTCTGCCTTCCGGCACATCCTCCAAATGCCCTACTAGATCCCGCAGTTCATGATTACTGGCTAATTCCCACATCTGCGGGCTTGGATTTTCAAAGAATGCATCGCATTCAATATTGTCCAGATATACGCGAGTCAAGAAGATGCGATATGAAGTTCGGTGTCTCATAGCCTCCGAGTAGAGAGCAGTTCCACCTATAATCCATAATGAAGAATGCGGAGTAGCAGTCGTGTCTGAACCAAAGAAGTCCACACAATCGTCCAGTGATGGGAAGCAGTATACGTTTGATGTTGGATTGTGCGTGAATCTAGCATGTAAACGTAGTTGTAATGAGCATTTTAAATGGAGTTTTAACAGACTCAGAGACTCGAAACGATTCATCAACAAGTGTTTGAGATGTTACCTTCTGAACTCCTCATTATGAGACAAGATGACAGATATACGATTTTTAAATGGTTTATATTTAAGAGGAACTGAATCCCAAGTCTTTCGTCCCATGATTACTACGTTGGGAGCGTCATCGACAGAGTCACATTCCAAGTGTGTTGTAAGCAGCTCAAAATGGGCCATATCTGTTGGCAGCTTCCAGGGCAGTTTGCCATTGATTCCTATACCTCCTGCTGGAGTGGCAGCAGCGATCAAGCTTAGCTGTACTGGTGGCCTGGTCTCTTCCTTATTGCCCATCATTGTGCTTGACGTTTTTCGAATGAGGTTAGTGAAGGCTTGTGGCGAAAGGCCAGCGAAAGAAAGACGGCGATGTTGTAGATATTTGATAAACAGTTGTGCATACCACGCGCTCAAAGCTTGACTTGGCGTATCCGCGTCATCAGTCACGTTCCAAGTTTCTTGTTTTTGAGTGTTCATGATCCTGGACGTGTTTTTCATACTGGGAATAGCATTGAACCTCGGAATAAAGACATTTGACGCGTCAAAACTTATGACATATTGTCTTCAGCTTGTAGATCTTAGAGCGTCACCGATCCGCATCGATTGCCGTTTGATAATAGACTATTCAAGTCGACAAGCACATAATCCAGGTAGATCAGAACGAAAGAGGAAGATCCTCTTGTAGAAAGATATGTTTTACAGGTATGATAAGGCCTATAAATCAATTCTGCCTTCTTGCATCGCAACTACAGTGAACTAAATTCCCAACTTTTGTAGATTTGATGGAGACGCCCTAGCTCTACTATGCGAAACAGCACATTCGGTTGCAAATTCTCCGGAATTAACTGCTGAAATTATTACAGAATGGGTCTACTTGTGCTGTCCACCAATCGCAGACAAATTTGAGACATCAATCAAAACCCCTACGACAACATCAGTCGCAAAATCACCTCCCCTTGTCGTCGATTTCTACAGAGTAAGGGAGACCGACTGTCTCGGCATACTTTCATTTGAATCTTGTGTCTTTTCGAACGCTAAAACCATGCATCTTTAGGACCACTTGCATCAGATCGGCATACTTGGAATACTCGAGTTTATAAAGCTTGAGGGCAAAGGCTTGTATCGCACGGAGCTCCTTTCCCTGTGTCTGGAAGCTACAAGGCCATCTCACGATCTTGTGAACGTGCCTCATGCGTCAACTGAAGGTATTTGAAGCTCCTGTTCGTTGCAGAGGACCTAGATAGTCACACACCTTTCCAACTATGTTCAGTCAACTGTGCTCTCTTGGAAGACTTCTTTTACGAATTCACCTTCAGGCTACTTGCTATCGCAAACAAATATGAGAATGTCAGAGAACAAGCACTGACTGCTGTATGGGACTGGATTGAAACTTGTCGAGCAGTGTTTGAATCACCATCTGGTTTGTAAAGACACATCTCTCGCACTCAAATGTCACGATGCTGATTCTCTTATGACGCTAGAAAAACAAACTCTGTATGTAGCGATGGCCGCAATGGGTGGGACATTATGTGGAGCAGCAGATTCATCAGCAATGCTCCACCTTCCGTTTATAAGCACGTTATCATCAGCGTTCCAATCTATAGTGTCATCCAAAAATATCCTCAAAGTCTATCAAACACTCTCTACTCCCGATCCGGTCGTTCCTGCCACGAATGGCAACGACAACGATAACAACGACGTCAATATATCTATACACCTAACTACACTCGACCCATCTTATAATCCCATAACTCTTGTTAGCAATATGTTTATGTTCGCCCATGAGCTCTTGTCTGGTTGGGCTGTCTTCCGACCAGAGGTATTGGGAGGAGCTGGTAAAGTATGGGAGGCCCTCCTGGAACAAAAGCCCGCAGAGGTTTTGACGGCTGGTGATACTCGAGGACAAGATGTTGTTAAGAGTATATATGCTTCATGTTGGGATCCCGAATGGAGATTATGTATACAGAATGCTCCTGGAGCTGACGTGGAAGGTGTAGAGACTGTATTGCCAACAACCATTGTAAGCTATTCCCTTGTAATGTCTGCTTTTTTGCATTCGAGAATCCCACATATTTTCTCGCTTGATTGTTAGCAAACGGGAGTCTTGTGTGCTGTCCACGTAGAATCTTTAGCAGAAGACTGTATTCGTAATGTGCACCACGTCATGGAAGATGCTGAAGCTTTGTCACCAGGTCAAATTCGTACAGAAATCTATTTGGAGTGTCTCGAAGGATTAGGAGTTATTGGACGACAGTAAGTGCACACAAGAGTGCTCTGACTCACGCTAACTTCGTCTAACAACATCGCATCCAGGTATCCACACTTTCATCCAGAAATTGTGAAGATTCTGACCGACTTTTTGCTGGAACCTTCCAATGTCTTTGTCAATGGAACTGATGATTTTACTGCCGCTGCCTTACGACAATGTGCTGGTGCTATGTTGGCTTTGGTCCTGAAGGTAAATCCTGCTAGCAAGAAACTAAAACGCCCATAGGATAACCAAAATATCTTCACCCTAGATCGCACACAACCCACCTCTGACTAAGACAACTCTCTTCTCTTTCATCAACATGGCTCAATCGACACACGCCAACTTACCTGATCCTGGAGTCATCTCCCTTCAAAATCGAGCTTTTTTGAATGCTTTGACAGTCCTTTCCAGTTTGTCTTCGGTTTTGCCTCCAGATGAAGTAACGTTGAAGAGAAATTGGATTGGTTGATATCATATACTAACCTGGAATGCTTCAGGCAATACGATTCTCGATACCGGCGTTGACTCGACGCTTGGAAGATTGTGAACCATATCAAGATTTGATATGGGAGAATCTAGCCAATATTGGATTGACTTGTAATCTGGGTGTATTCAAAGAGGTGGTGTCGCTTTTGCTGGAGGATAGTAGAAAGACTGTCAGCAAGGTAAGCTATCGTTGCTTGACTTCTTTTTTGCCTTCGTTTGCTTATTGACTTCACCGGTGTTAGATATCTCGAGTCAGCCACACCCTCGCTAGAGTGACGGGGCGACCGCCAGAGTTTGCTGAAATGTATTTGAATTGCATTCTGACTGTTTTCAATGACAAGGCTGCTGCTCTACAATCTAAGCCTGTAAGCACTCTGCGCTGATTTCTTTCGGTGTCGCGACTCTATGGAAGGCTTCATCGGCTGAATTCTGTCTCCAAATAGGTCCAAGATACCGGTTTAGTCCAAGAATTACGAGATTTAGTCTCCATTTTGCGCATCATTTGTGATCAAGTCGATCTCAAATCTGAAGCAATCAACACTGAAGAGGTCTCAGAACTGTTTAGAAACTTTTGGTTCTATCTCGTCGTATTCGTGCTCAATTCTAATGGTAGCTGGCCAAGAGATTGGTTTGCGTCACTTCTGGTGGTCGCTACAAAGACACCACCTTTGCTCATGAGACCTCGTGAGAGCAATTTATTAGCTGACTTGGGATCTAATTCTATACTGAGAGCCAAGTTACCTGAATGGGTAAGTTCGTTTAGTAATAAATCTTGGTGTTTTTGCTTCCCTTTTGGATTTGTTTTACTGTCGCATTCTCAAACACTCATGTGTATTCTTAGGCCATTTCAAAAGCACGAACTGCCTTAGCTACACTATTGCCATCTCGTATATCAGAAATACGAGTGGCTAATCCATCACATGTCGTCTATCTCTTGGCTGTACATCAACTAGAGTGCATGAGGATACGCAAAACGTCATTTGAATACATACTGATGTATCTAGTGGATGATCGATTATATGATTCTGAAGTGTTTCCCATTTTGGAAGTGCTGGCTGATGATGTGAGTGCTGATCTTTCGAATCAGGTCAGGGTGGCGACCGCTCATCTTTGTATTGTCAATGCATAGGTGACTCGTTCTTATGTGAACGAAAGAACGAAACGTCCGCAGAAACCAACATCGGCTCATGCCCGAGACTTGATTATCAATGCTGCTCATAGACTTGGCAAAGTTAGAAAGTTTAGCTCACAGACCATTGATAAAGTCATTTCTCTTCAACCCGGTCTCTTATGGAATCGAGAGCTGGTGTTTTTAATGTTGGATATCTTGCAAGCTTTGGACTTTGATGCTACTGGGTCTTACGACAAGAAGGTATGTTCTCGTCAGTCTTAGGTCTCTTTTGCATCTCAGCCTTTTTGCCCTTCCTGCGATTTTTTAGATGGAAGTAGCCAGCAAGCTGGGCTTTGAGCTTAGTTTTGTAGATCGTGCAGATCGAGATGCAGCATTCAAACACTTTATGGAGCTATGTGCAACTTGGATGCAAGATTCTGTCAAGAGATGTAGTAGTCAAAGTATTGGGTTGATTCAAGGGTATGTTGTAAGTCTGAATCAAGACTTTCCTGGGTTTACTCTTGGTGAAGGATCTGCTCTGGAGACTCTGTTGAGTCGATTCATGTCTCATGAAGGTAAGGTGCAAAGAAATGGAATAAAAAATGAACAAAGTTGCTAATCAACTAACTGGTTCGTATGTTAGAAATCTCATATGCCATTATTCGATCGATGGGCAAACAAGCTCACTATATTGGGATCATGAAGGGCATGATTTCTCAATTAGAAGAGAATGGTAAGATGTTTCGCTTCTGCGCTCCGTGAAACGCGAACTAACGGTCATTTTTTCGCTATAGGATTGACAAGAGATGCTGCAGAAAAGCATGCGTCCAAGAACATTTTAGGTGATCTAGCTACGCTTACGCGATCAAAAGACGCCGCGCCATTGAAGGAATTACATGCCAAACTGTTCATGGCTGGAGCATTGTTAGTCATGTCTAATACGGTCAGAACCACAGATTGCGTCAAATTGTCTTTTTTGTCTTGAGCTGAATTTGTTACTTTCCGTTAGGTCGACGAGGGTTTATTATACGGAATCAGTTGGTATCCGATCCTTGTATTCAGTCCGCCAGTATTAGAGCTAGCTGTATCAGTTTGGAGGTGGATTATGTCATGGAGGCCAGATTTGAGTGGACCTCTCCTGTCTCTGCTAGTTATTGGATGGGAGACTTCCATTTTGAACAAGAAGGGTCTCTACTTGGTTGATGAAAAGTACGTCTGGAGTGCAGTTGCTGTCTGACCAAGGAAACAAGCAAACGCTGACACGATGATCTTCGCGAACAATAGGCCTCTGAATCCATTCTATGACAAGATGACATATACGCCATCCGTCAAAGTAGCTGATGTGCAAGATGACGCCGTAGCACATTTGTATTGGTTCCGCTTCTTGACTGAAAGGTTTCGTGTGGCTTCGTTGCAAGATGAAGTTCATGTGAGACTTTATGTCAAGTTGTTGCAAATTGCTAATCTGCATCTTGATACCATTCGGTGAGTGAGCAGCGACAGCATTCAGTAAATTTGCGCTCGCTCATTAATATATACTGTCACCACAGGGCTCATCCACGGATACGAGAAGTTCGACTTCAACTCATGATTTTAGCTGCCAAAGTATTAGAAGTCTTGGAAGCAACAGAGGATCAAAGTGCACCCTTTGTACGTAATTTCCTGTTTGAAGACTTATTCTCGTGGTTTTCAGTGCAACCGATGTAAGAAACCTGTGCAATGAGGTTTTGTGATATGTTGGACATCTTTGAACTTGCTAAACCATTAGGTGGGGTGGAGTCTCATCAGCTGAACTGGATCTACTCAAAGACTTGCATGCTCTCGTGAAGGGCAGCAGTCCATCAAAGTCGGACGTGATTGTCCTGACGTCTCCTCGTTCCGTAAAGACTGCATTCAATACTTCGTACCGTGCGTGCAAGGGTATGTCTCTTTACAGAAACAGGGGTATTGTTGTTGCGAATCTCACCTCTTTCGCTTTCTTAGTCTCCTCTTTGGATGCACAATTACTGGCAGTTCTTCTGCTTGAAAATGAGATCAGTCGACTATTGGCATGGTGGGATCCTCTTGATTCACGGCCAGCGTCTTTGGCACCAATTTCAGCTATGGGAGCAGACAGAACAGTATGCTACAAACTACATGAATTCCCTGCTACAATCAAAGGAGCTAATGCATCTTCGATTATAGATCAAGTGGAACCATCAAGTCAGGATTGCCTGGAGCATCAGTCCACATGTTGCTCTTCAGCTCCCAGCACGATTTGCAGCAGCAGCCGAGTCAATCGAAGCTGAACTAATGGTATTGGTGTCGTCTGCCGCCATCACTATCATGGATGCACCGGCAGCTCTGAGCTGGATACTAACTCCAGCGTCTCTTGCACCAAAAAACGATGATGGCAACTTGAGAGTACGTCATTATCAAAAAATGTGGATTTGTTGTCCTATGTCTAATTGTTCTATCACATTTTGATAGGCGTTGCTATACTGGGCATCAGTGGCTCCTATTACAGCTGTATCAATGTTGGTCGACTTTCAACATCATCCATGGGTGCTTCAATATGCCGTTCGTGTGCTGGAGAGCTTTCCAGTCGAGGAGGTGTTTTTCTATATACCTCAAATGGTTCAGGGATTACGGAATGACCATTCAGGTATCATGGACGTCTCGAGCTTCTACCCTTTCTGAATCTCCTCTGAAACTCTGTTGGTCTTGTAAAAACAGGATACATTGAGCATTTCGTGCTCTTAGCCGCCAAATCTTCCCAACTGTTTGCCCATCAGATTATATGGAACATGCAGGCAAACATGAAGAAAGAGTTGAAGGATAAGGAACACTCTTTAGTGGTGAGTGTTAGTACAGCGGGTGAAAACTATCATTTTGGTTAACATGAAGGGTTTAGGACGATGTCGTTATCAAACCAATCCTGGATCGAATCATCGCCAAGATCGTAACGAGCTTGTCTGGTACCGACAAGGAGTTCTATGAGCGTGAATTTACTTTCTTCAAGGCTGTCACCGATATATCTGGCAAGTTGAAGCCATTCATTAAAAAGACAAAACAAGAGAAGAAGGTGGGTGGTATTGAGGGTATGGTTGACCTTCCGCTGTCTCTGAACGATTTTTTTGTTCAATTCGTAGAAAAAAATTGACGAAGAAATGAGGCTAATCAAAGTCGATCCTGGTGTATACTTACCAAGTAATCCAGAAAGCATTGTGGTCAACTTGGATTACGACTCTGGACGACCGTTGCAGTCACATGCCAAGGTAAAACAGGAGCGTGAAAGAATTGATTCTCCAAAACTCACAAAGCACTCGTTTATAGGCGCCTTTCATGGCAACATTCTTGATCAAGCCTGCTGTTTCGAATTCTGTATCCGGCAGTGAAGAAGCACTTAATAAGGACGGTCCAAGCAAGTGGCAGTCCTGTATGTTCAAAGTTGGAGATGACTGGTACGATACGAGTAATTAGAAAGGGCTCTTTTTTTCTATCAAATGTCTCACTTTGTAAACTCTTCGTGACTAGTCGCCAGGATGTCTTGGCGCTTCAGCTGATGAGCATATTCAAGGGAATATTTACTTCTGTCGGCTTGGACCTGTACCTCTTCCCTTATAGAGTCGTTGCAACAGAACCTGGCGTATGTTGACGATGTCGGTAACTAGTAATTGCACTGAGCTTATCTCCTTTCTTCGTTGCTAGTGTGGTGTCATCGAGATAATTCCGAACTCGATTTCACGAGACATGATGGGAAGAGAGAAAGTCAATAGCACCTTTGAGTAAGTTTTCTTCCCACAGTTGAGTGCGAAACTAGGAATTTTTTGACACTTTTCTTGAACTTTTCAGTTATTTCATAGCCAGGTTTGGAACTGTCGATGCTGTCAGATTTCAAAAGGTAGGTAGTGTCCTCTCCATCACTGGTGGAATTCTCTGACATTTTTTCTTGTTTCTCCATTCAGGCTCGGGACGCTTTTGTCAGAAGCCTGGCAGCTTCATCCTTGATCTTGTATATCTTGCAAATTAAGGATAGGCACAACGGCAATATCATGTTTGACGAGGAGGGGCATATTCTTCATATTGGTTGGTTTGCTATGTCGAGCAAAAAAATCAAAGCCTAAAGTTTAAGCAATCCATTTCTTTGATAGACTTTGGGTTCATTCTTGAGATAGCTCCCGGTGGAATCAAGTTTGAATCTGCTCCTTTCAAGCTCACACAAGAAATGATTGCTGTATTGGGTGGTGATAACACACCCTCATATCGATTGTTTTCAGAACTGGTAGTGAAGGCATACCTTGCCTCGAGGTATTATCTTTATTGAGTTTACATTGGTTTGTTGTTTAGACTCGAGATCTGAAACCTTTGGTTCTCTCTAATTGTAGGCCATATGCCGAAGAAATTATTCAGATGGTGACGCTCATGCTCGAATCGAGCCTGCCTTGTTTCAAAGGTACTCGTCGACGTTAAGAGCTACATGTTTTTACCTGTTCACGATACTAACACTCTTTCTCTTAGGTCCTAGCACAATCAAAAATCTTCGAGAGCGCTTTCAGTTGAATAAGACTGAAAGACAAGCTGCTGAATTCATGATTGCTCGGATAAGGGAATCACACGGAAACAGTCGAACTATACTATACGACCAGTTCCAAAATTTGCAGAACGGAATCCCATACAACTATTAAACTACATACGTAAACCTTCATTTTTAATATAGCAACTTGCATGATAAATGAGGTTTGAAATATGTCAAAATATGTCGAAATATGTCTGCACTTGTGACTCTGCAAATGCTCTGAAGAAACCATGGGCGACCGACAAGAACTCCTCTCAATGAATAGAATGAAACGGCCACCCATACACGTCGTTTGCAACCAGTGAGCAGAAACACAAACCAATACGGCAACCGACAGAGGTACATCCACCGCACGCATCATATCTCATTACAGGTAGATTTCCAGGAATGAAAGTAGTAGCAATATCAGTGTATAGCTCCGTCATTGCGTTAAATGGTTCCGGGCATGAACATGAGGTCTCCTCGGCAACCTCCGTAACCAGCTTACAATCATTCCAAAAATTAGAGGTCTCGTACAGAGCCGCTATAGAGAGTTGGGTTCCATACAAGTTCCATAGCTTCACCCAAAACCGTGTGTCCCATTCCCAGAAACAAGCATGGGTGTCAAGTCCTCGAGTCCCACTGCAGTATTAGTACTGGTAGCGTTGGTATTGAATTTCCTGTCCCCGTGCGATGCCTTCTATGTGTCATTTTCGCATCATGCCTATCACGATTCCGAGGCAAGTTGGAGTTTGATCGTTGAATAGTGTAGACGATGATTGCCAGATGCTAAAATTGTTGTTTCATTCCTTGCTGTAGCCTATTCCGCTCTATGTCAACAAGATCTTCTCGGAAAAGACTCAGCTGGTATGGACATTTCATTAGCGCAAAACATCCCTGCAAAATGGACAGTTTTAAAGGAAACACCTTCTTATCGTTATTAAACATTCAAACATAGCCGCAAGCGTATTCAGAGCTTCCATTTGTTTGCACTCCTTCATCTGGGTGGAAGCACAAACTTCTGAATCTGGTTGGTCAACATATTGAAGTTTTGAGGATTGACGAGTAGACTGATACCATGCTTAATCTAGGGTGAAGTGCTACGCGGAGATCGAATCATGAACTCGGACTTTATTGTAAACCAGCCGCTCATCATCTTTCTTTGCCAACGTCCCATTTGAATCCCTCAAACCTTTGATGTTGCCAATGTTAGATCGAATCCAACGTACCAAGTCCGTGCAAAGTGCTCTGCACTCAATCAGTCAACAAGGAAGCCGCTGATCAGGCTAAAGATCTGGTTACAAACTTTTACAATGTCGAATGGTACGATTCACCACGCGTTTGCATCTGGGATTCTGAAACTAAGCCAGTTTCCTTGTGACATTAGGATTTTGGATGATTTGCCAGGTGCAACCAAAGTGATAGATTCGACGAGTCGAAAGACCTATGATATTGGCTTCCCCCTTGGCTTCTTCGATGACAAGGTTCTCAGGAAGGTGTTGTCAGTCAATTTCGTAAACCATTCTGACTAGCTCCTTTTAATGACTAGTCTGGCAAAGCCGAATTGAACACCCATTTCGACTTTAAAATCTTGTACGAGCGAAAGAAGAAGTCGGACGACAAGCTGATTGTGGGATTTGAAGTCTCACCCAGAAGGTAGCTCTCAAATCGCAATCAAAGGAATCGAAATTACGCATTCGCCTGTCTCTGAAGCAACATATCTTGATTCATAGTGTTAAGTTGAGTGACAAAAAATGCCCTCAAGATATCAGAACCGTGTCAGAAACAGTAGATCTGAATGATTCATTGACTGAAATCACATATACCTACTCAGTCACTTGGGAAGAGGTGAAATTGAGGTTGGCAGAGAGTTGGGAGCCGAAAACCTTACACACGTGTCACATGTAGGAAACTGAAGTCAAATGGGGCGATAGATGGAGTCTGTACATGTCTACCAATGATCCGCAGATTCATTGGTATTCCATCATCAGTGAGTTTGTCCTGCTTTCCGCCTAGGGCATCCTGTGAATTGCTGTGTTTGACAATCTGTGACTCAAACTTTGTTGAAATGCAGATTCCATTATTATCTTGCTATTCCTGACTGCTATGGTAGCCATTATTCTGTTGCGAACGCTGAATCGAGACATTGCCATTTACAATGAAGAAGATTTGAAGGTGATTTGAACGGAAATGAAACTTTGGCTAAGACACGGGCTCAAACAAACGCATCAATAGGAAGAGCCTGAAGATACCACTGGATGGAAGCTGCTTCACGGAGATGTATTCAGACCTCCCAGACTTGGTATGAGTTCGTCTTAAATGAACTCGCGCCGGTTAGCCAACACATTTCAAAAATAGCTGGTCTTCTGGCTCCTTTGCTTGGGACGGGAATGCAGCTTCTGTTGGCGATGGCTGCTGTAGTGGGACTGTCGATGCTCGGTATCCTGAATCCAGCATTCCGTGGAGGACTGGTGTCGTTTGCACTCTTCTTCTTCACCTTCATGGGGTCAGTGATCAATCTTCTATTCAGAAGTCTTGGGCGTAACATCAATCATCAATGCTGATGATTTGACACTTGACTTTAGCACCTTTGCTGGATACTTTTCGGCTCGGATGTTCAAAGCGTTCAAGGGTACTTCTTGGCAGAAAAACGCTATGTTGGTGAGTCAATGCACCAACGCTTTTAACCCAACCTGGAAGCCTCTCATTACTTTTTGGTCTTTTAGACGGCTTTGCTGTGCCCTGGAATTGTGTTTGTCGTAGTGTTCTTGATGAATCTACTCATATGGTCACGACATGCCTCAACAGCTATTCCCTTCGGGACATTCTTTGCTCTTACTGCTATGTGGTTTGGAATTTCTTTGCCCCTAGTCTACATCGGAGCCTACTTTGGAAACAGGAAGCAAGCCATTGAGGTGAGGTTCTGCCAAAAAGAGAACTCAAGTCACATTTAACGCTCCAATACATTGTATTGTTTAGCATCCTGTTCGAACAAATCAAATACCAAGACAAATTCCAGATCAAGTGTGGTATTTGCAGCCATTCATTAGGCAAGTGTGGTTTTGCACTCGTCGATCCTCCCCTCACGTCTAAACTCTAATTTGGGCTGGTAGTGTCATGATTGCTGGACTGATACCATTTGCTGTAATCTTTTTGGAGCTCTTCTTCATTCTAAAATCTGTTTGGCAAGCCGAACAGTTCTACTATATGTTTGGATTCCTTGGTGTGGTACGTTTGTTGGTGTTATTATCACGTCGCTTTTGAGCTCTGTCTAAGTTGCAAATCCTGATACCGCGTTTCCCCCTGGATATAGGTGTTTTTGCTGCTCGTGATAACTTGCATAGAAATCACCATTGTGATTGTGTACTTCCAATTATCATCGGAAGACTATACGTGGCATTGGAGAGCCTGGCTGGTATCAAGTGCCAGCGCAGTCTACATCTTCATGTACTCTGTGTATTATTACTATACTCGATTAGTGAGTTTGCTGCTGAATGTCCGTTTGCCACAGAACAACACAGACTCTTTACTGAATCTCCATCTTACACCTGTAAATAGGAAATAACGGACTTTGTATCGTCAATGGTGTACTTTACGTACTGTGCTCTATGTGGTTTCGCTTTCTGGTAAGACCCAGTGTCATTTATTTTCACTCTGCTTGCCTTGTTGACTAATTTACACTGCTCGTATTAAATTAATTGTCTAGGCTGGCGACAGGAACCATAGGCTTTATTACTACATATCTCTTTGTTCGCAAGATGTATGCCAGTATCAAGATCGATTAGGACCCAAAAATACGATGTTTAGATGTATATCACCTGATCAGTAGGATATGTAGAGAGCAGGCGACTTTTTGTATACGCAGCAAGCGAAAATGCCACGCCTTCGACTTTCAAAGCAATATCGCGTAGGGCAAAGTTGGAGGTGATAGAACGATCAAGGAACATTCACTTTCCGAGTTTCCGCTCCAAAAACGTCTGGGAGCCGGTCCAGTAAGTACAAAAGGGCGAAATATGAGCAAAAGAAGCGCTGGTCCTATTTTTGTTTCATGATGTACAAGCTTTCTCTTTCCTCTCCAAATCTTTGCTCTCTGTTCCAAACGCTGTGTATTCATTCTCTTCAACAAGAGCGAATTGGCGATGAAGCTGCCAACTTGCCCAAAAAGGTAATAACAATCTCTGTGATTCAGACACATCTTGGTTGTTATTACGTCCAATCCAAGGGCCGGCTAATTTGTTTTCGAATATTCACGGTCGTGGTGGTTCCTCAAGCCAAAGTCACCAAGTACGATACCTTCACCTACACGCGTGTGCAGGCGAATCGATGGACTCGAATCGATGGAATTGAGATACTGTCCAAACTTCGAATCCCTGCGAATCCTTCGTATTGCTCAACGTCGATATCTCCTACTATCACAAAGCTGAAGGGCTTCGTAATGTGTCCACACCGTAGAGTCATGTCAGCCAATATTATTGAAGAAGGAGCGAAACTTCGAGATCGAAACTCTCGTCACTTGAAATATCTCGCCAGTACTTGAGACATTAGAGGTTGGTGGTGATCTTGTAGGATTGTTGCGAGGGCAGGACGACGGTGCAAAGCGGAGGGCTTTCTGGGGCAACTTGAATCAGTTGCTGGATCAGTACAACGTGGCGGTTGATTGTGACTTGTACACAGGTCACAAAACAGAGGCACACAGCTTGGGTACTTCATCGTCCAGCGTCCAATAAAGAGAAAATGACAACCATTCAAGCTTACAAACTTAACTGTTGACTACTCTTTATATGATAACTGTTCGGAGACATGATAATAACTACAAAAGGTTTGAAAAATGTGCGAAAAGGAGAAGCAAATCTACAATCTTTTTTGTTTTGTTTCATGATATACAAGTCCCCTCTCTCCTTCATCTCTCTCCCCCGTCTCTAACTTCAAAACACAATATGTTCATCCTCATCAACATGCGTATCCAAAGCCGCCATCTTTCCCAACAATGTAATAACATTTTCAGGTGCAGCAACATGCCAATCAGCAGCAGTCAATTTACTTCCATGACCAATAGTAACCGTAAACAAGCCTTCATTTTCTATTGCTGCTGTAGCTCCAATCCATGCTGGTGTTGGTGCAGAATTCAGTGATGTTGGTGACGAGTCTTCATTGATGTTGAAGCCTGGGTTGCTGATACTATGTGTATATGGTGGTGATGACATTGTTGGTACAGCAGGTGATGGCTGGTATACAGGTCCTGTTGGTGGCGAATCTGCTGGTAGAGTTACTGGTGATTGAGTCATGTTCATGTCACTATTATTTTGGTCTGCTGCTGTCATTGTCGGACTTATTTTAGGGTTTGTTACACCCAATCCAGTAGTTGGTGATATTGTTGTTGAATAGGAACTACTGGTTGATGGTCGTGGTGGTTGAAGGATGTTGGCTGTTGATTGACGACGCAAGACTTTAAACATGTCTTCGTCTGTCTTGTCATCTCCAACACATAAGATAAAGTCTACATTTGGGTTGGCCAAGACTAGACGTTTGACTATTTCACCCTTGTTGATTGAGATAGGACGGACCTTTGAGAATGAAAAATATGCAATAGGTGAGAAAGCTGCGGAAAAAGGCAAGATATATTGATGATCTATGCTCACTTCCAGAGTCTTCTTTCCCACTAAGATTTCGACAGGGAGTTTTGACAATATAGCATTCTCCAGGTGATTGCGACATTCGTTACATTGGAACGTACTAATGGGAAAACAAGTGGGATGAGAACACCGAACAAAAAACGCCGAAATTTACAGCTTTTTAGTGACTTACCCAAACTCAGGATCGGCCATACGATAATGCCACGTAATAGCAGCTCGTTTACGTTCAACAAATGATGCAGGAGTACGTTCGGTATAATATTCAAAGATATCTTGAACATCAGTCATCCATCCCATATCAATGTCAGCCGCAACATTGATCCAATTAGTGGATTCAGTACTGGTGGCTGGATGCTTGATGAAACAACCATGCTCGGCACTATACAGCATGTTTAATGATTTAGATCATTGAAAACAAAGTCATAAAGATTGCAAAAACAGGAGAAAGATCTCACCTCAAACCCAGTCCTGGTATATGTCCCAACCACTGATCCATAGTAGCTTGATCACGTCCTGAAATAATGTAGACCACATTATTGGGATCTCGTGCCAAAGTTTCCAAAGATTGCAACATTTCAGGAGGTGGGAAGGCCGCAGTTGGTAATTTGACGATAGGAGTCAAAGTACCCTACATCGTGACCATATCAGCAACTGCTTTTTTAGGAGCCAACAGCAACTGATTTCAAAATAAAATAAAACTCACATCATAATCAAACATAAGCAATCGCTGAGTAGCTGCTTGACATTTGCTGAGCAATTTGGCTTCATCCAATATGGGAGTCGATTTGCTTTGCATAGGGATCCTAGTGACTTCTCGTAACTGAGAAACAAAAGACGCTGCCCAGAATAATGCTGTATGATTGACGACATGATCGTATAGTTGCTATCGTTATACGAAGGGGATATTAGAAAAAATTATTCTCCCAGAAGGAAAAAATCTGGCGGTAACAACCTGCATACCTGCTGTTTGTTGAACTTCTCCTCCTGCGACATGGTCAGCGCCTCATGGATAGCATTTGCAACACCAACGTAATCCCATGGGTTCACCAACATGGCAGCACTCAAACTTCCAGCGGTACCAGTAAACTCACTGAGAATCAATGGTCCCAGATTCTCTTGTTGGCAAGCAACAAATTCGTGACTGGTGGTGTTCATACCATCACGTACAGATGTGATGAGAGCAGTATCAGCTACAGACAAGAGAGCAAAGTATTCATCTTGGTCGAGATGCTGGTGGAAGTGATGTACAGGTGAGAATTCTAGGGATCCAAAAGTTCCGTTTATGCGAGACACTAGTTCAGACACTTTGGCTTCCAGTTTTGGTTGTTCGCGTTGTGGTGGTGTAGTCACTTGAATCAAGACAACCTATTTGACGACGAGAGCGAGATATTTGAGCAAACGAGGGAAAAAAGGAAAACATGATTAAAAGCCATATCAGAACTGACCTTTCCAAGGAATTCAGGATACATAATCATAAACCTCTCAAAAGCATTCAACTTGTGCTGAATACCCTTGATATGATCCAACTTGTCACGACCAATGATAATCTTTTTGCCAGCATACATATCTCGAATAATAGCCATCTTGTCTTGAACAGAAGCCATCTTACGACGAGCTTCGACACGATGGATATCAATACCGATTGGGAATGTAGCGACAGTTACAAGCATTCCCTTATATTCAACACCTTTTGGAGATGACTCTAATCCAAGCACTCGAGTGCAAGTACTTATAAAGTGACGAGCGTATGAGTATGTTTGAAAGCCAATTAGATTGGCACCTAATACGCCTTGTAACATTTCCTTGCGACCTAGTTTGAGTACGTTGCAAAAGTTGGAACAAATACAAGTAGACAGAGAAGGATGTGCACTTACGAGGTAAACACCTGAAGATCTCTGAACTGGGGAATGGCGTATGTAGGAAGAAGCCGATGGTAGCTTGTGGTAGTGCCTTTCGAAGCATGGCGGGTACCAATAGCAAGTGATAATCGTGAACCCAAACTGGAAGAAACAGGCAAAGATTTAAAGACTCAATCCCATTTAGGTCATTTAGCTGAATCAATGATCATTTTTACTTGTAGGAACTTACTGATATCATTTGGCTCATATGCAGCAATGACAGCATCAGCAAACTTCTGGTTTACAATGACATAGTCAGCCCAATGTTTTGATTCTTGAGTAGCGTTTCCATTCACTACAGTTTCCCATAATATATAGTGAAATAGAGGCCATAGTTCTAAACAGGTTGGTGGAAACATAAAGTTAGTTTTGAGTGTGCAAAAAAAATCCTAGATTACACAGGATTGCAACCACATCCATTTCTCTTACCAGTCTTGCAATATCCTTCATAATGATTTGTAGCAGCCTTATCATCCAGAAACACTGGTAAGCACTTTTTCGAATCCCATAATATATCACTCAACTGAGCTTGTTGCTCACTAGTGACTTTACTCGACGGCAATTCATTACCTCGAGCATCAGTCATGACACCAACCCATCCAATATGCACAACCTCATCACCACGATCAGTCAGAGATCGAATACCAGAGTACAGAGCCGAATGCCCACGACGTGATTTCAGGTTCCATTGCACATCACTGGTAGTGTTGCTACTATTGTTACTAGCACCATTACTATTGTTGCTGGTACGGTTTGGGCTTGGAAGCATCATTGATGGTGGTAGCGATGTAGATATTAGTGCAGGCATCGTTTTGGGCGATTGGACTAGAGGTGATGAAGGTGGTGACGGGTTTGGCGATGGCTGTCCATAAGCTACTGAAGCCGGGTTTTGGATGGATCGAGTTGTAGTGCTAGAGTATGATGCAGCTGTAGTGGTACGTGGTGATGCAGTTGCAGACAACATGCTTCGAGATACAGCTCCTCTACCGTCATCATCGCTGTCAATATCTGCGTCATCATCGTCGACGAGGAGACCACCTTCATCCGAGTCTGAGCTATCAGCGTTATACGTGACGGCGGAAGCATTGACGTTTGGAGCACTGCTAGAGTATGATCTATTCATATTTGCGTATTGTTGTGCCAGGACTTGTTTATATATGTTTGCGGAAGAAGCTGATGGCGATGCAGATCCGTTTCGAGAGGGAGTTGGGCTGCTCCCACTTACGATGATATTAAGTGGATGAGGTCGTGGTGGACCAACTCCCGTAACAGCAGCAGAAGTCTGTGACGGCAGAGTAGCGACAGTAGCGATTGGAGCATAGGGCACCATCCTGTGCAGAGAAGACGATGAGACGGTTCTGTTGAGCAAAGACAGTTGAGCGATAGACTGGCTAGAAGGCACAGTATTTGGATTTACAAGCACATGGCTGCCATTTGAGCTCGATGTGCGGGATTGATTGGTTCCTGATGTTGATTCTGGAGCAACATGGCATGTATATGGCAGATGATGAGTGACACATACGATACGACCAGCTCGTAATTGCAGGAAATTATAGTCAGAAAGCAGCATTGTACTTGGACGACGATAATTTTTGACGTCTTCTCGGAACGAGGCAGCATCTTGTCTGATTTGTGCCTGTTCAGCCGCCGTTGTAGTGCCTTGTGTAGCTCCCCATGATGCTGATGAATTAGTGGAGCCCACCATCATGATTATTGCTTGATCTTTACCCCTCTACGGTCTGTCTACAATACTTTGAATGGAGAAATGCGGTGTGAGTAAGGTTTTTGAGCTTATCTGACAAGGTTCGGACAAAGCATGCGCTTTTCGTAGGGGCCTCTCAAACGGCCATCACGAGGCGGAACAATTGTATTCTGGGATGCATTCTTCGCGTCGTCCGGCCTGATTATGCAAACCAGTCACAATCACGTTTTGGACTTTTTAAAATAACGGCAAAAAATACCAACTGACACGACACTTCAACAACTAGACTGTTCAGCTTTGATTTTTGATCTGTCTATCTGTCTAGTGAAACTAATTATATTTATGTACCTTTTTATATGCAACAACAACTCGCAGTTTTTCAGATCATTATGATGTTAATTTAATTGGCGGCTCCGGGAGACCTTAGTACGACGAAGCGCGTTAGAAGTCACACAATAGCAGAGAAGAGTCAAATCCTTGACACTTTACATACCAAACTCGTCAACTTTACTATTACTAGACGGCAGCTTGGTGGATCCAACATTTGGTAGTTCTGGTTCTGCAGTGGCTTCTTGTAAATAACTAGGTTCTCCCTCTTCTTCTACAGCCAGCTCATCTCCCAATGCATCCAATTCTAGTGTTTGGCATGTCAGTGTACACGTTGAAAACCGTGTCTGATCAACTTATTTCTCACCTGCTTCTAAATCAGCCTCATCGAGATCATCAGGTAGACCATATGTCCTTCCTAGAGCTTCTTGCACTTCGTTGGCTTGATCCAACAAGTCTTCCATATCGTCTTGTATTCGCTGTGTGAGTTGATGAAGTGTCAGTCCGATCACTTTGTCAAGTGCTCCTTGATACAGGTACACTTTTGAATACTGCTTTACCTCGACTTTGTCAATATTTATCTTCTTGTATTGATTCTTCAATTCCTTGTTTGCGACCTTCATGGCGTCCACTGTCACCAGTGTATTCTTGAGATTCTCCGTGGCCATATTCGCTATGAGAGTTGTCATATCAGCGTGTATAGTAGGAAGCAATCAATGTACGTTCTCTCCTTCTGCAATAGCCTATCTCTTCCTTCTCCCATACAATCAACCAAGCACTTGCCGCCACACAATGATTACCTTGTTCCATATTGAAAGATTGATTCATGAGCTGATCACGTTGGCCTTCATACATTTTCTTTTGTTTTAGTATCCTCAATGCTTTCTGTTTGACGGCATTCTTTGCAGGTCCCTCTCTCATTTTGGACATTTGTTCCTTGTACTTGATCAATTCAGCATCCAATTTCCTCATCTTGACCTCCACCGAGTCAACACGGCCATCAGTCTTATGCGTAGAATATGTTAAATTATGAAAATAACATCACAACACCACATCGAATTCACATAATTTAACATACCGAGGAGATAGCATCGTTCAAAGTTACTTTTGGTTTGGGCTTGCTAGTGCCAAAGAACCTATTCATGGCCATTCAATGAAGTATTTTGCTTTGTTGAGCTGCTGGTAACTCTCTGTTCTAATCTACTTTTGCCGAACAGAACGATTGTTTTGGAGTGTTTGGTCAGGAATCACGTCCCGTAGCATAGCAAAAGGAGGAGAGAACAAGGATCAATATCGTTATTGGAGCTTTATTTGCGTAACACACGTACTTTTAAGATTTGAAACTAGTAAGAAACTCGAGAAACGAGCAAGGCGCTTATGAACGATGCTTTGACTTACTTGGACACGCTGCCGACTCATGATATAATGGCGTAGATATAAATTGTAACGCGTAATAAATTCAAATCTCGACCTTTTCACCAACCAAATCATGTTTTGTCTAGTCTCTGCCCTCTTTTTTTTCAGCCCAACTTTTTGCGCTTGAGAGTTGAGAATCAAATAAGGAAGGATAACAAACAGAGACAACTCTATCAAAAAGTATATATTATTATAGTATGAGCGGTTGGGATGACAATACTTCTAATGACCTTGTAGCTAAAACTGGGTCATTGAGTCTGGGCGATGCCAAACAACAACAAGCAGCAGTCAATGGAAGCAACGGGCATATCAATGGAGCACAACAATATCCTCCATCTAATGCCAATATAGACAGGTCCAGTGCTGGTGGCGGTACTCCAACTAGAGGCAGATATGTCCCTCCTGGAATGAGGTCGGCATCACAATCTTCCCTCAATTCAAATGCTGCTCCCTTTGTCGATCAACGAGGTCCTCCTCCTCAGGGTCGCTACTCTGAAACAAGGTATTTGATTGTCTATTATACATCTTGCAATCTGGTCTGTACTGCCTCTGCCACAATGACAAGCGAGTGTGTGGAGAAACGCTGTAAAGGAGTAAATTTTTTTCGGCATGTTTTGATGATGGTATCAGAATGGGTATTGAATGAATTAGTAGTTATCTATCGCTCGTTCATGATGTCGATATGATCAATACCTCTTTGATCGCCTTTCAATGTTTGAACAACCACTCCCAAGGAGAGTGTTTAGTCACGGCCAAGCAGCAGAAAAACATTGCTCGATTGAAGACATACATCAATCGCTGTGAGCTAACCCATCATCATATATTGTAGACCTCAGGAACACGGCCGAGAATGGTCTGGAAATGGCATGCAAAACGCTCGTTCTCAATCTATGGAATCATTCAATAGTGGTGGACGACCAGGTGGTTGGACTCCAAGATCTTCTACTGGATCATATGGTGCTCCCAATCGTGGTGGTGGAGGCGACTATGGCAGTACTCCAAACTTGAGTGCTCGTCCTCCCATGACTTATAAAAAAGATCCAAGTGACGAATTCTACGACTTCCCTGAAATAAAACCTAGAGATGCCCGTATCGAGCAACAATTATATGGTGCCCAAATGTCGTCTGGTATCAACTTTGAAAAGTATGATGACATTCCTGTAGAAGCGTCAGGCTCACAAGTGCCAAACCCCATCACAAACTTCATCGAATCGGAAATGCATCCACTATGTAAATCCAATGTATCTCTAGCCGGGTATAATCATCCTACACCCGTCCAACGTCACGCCGTATCAATCGTCACTGCAGGTCGAGACTTGATGGCTTGTGCTCAAACTGGATCGGGAAAGACAGCTGCCTTCTTGCTCCCAATCTTGTCTCAAAACTTTAAGGACGGTCCACCTCCTCGTCCCAGCAACACTCGTCAAGTGTTTCCCGTATCACTTGTATTGGCTCCTACTCGTGAATTGGCTCTTCAAATCTATGAAGAAGCCAAGAAATTCTCGTATCGATCTTGGGTCCGCCCTTGTGTCGTATATGGTGGTGTCCCTATAGTAGAACAGTTACGAGATATTGAACGAGGCTGCGAATTGCTTGTTGCTACTCCAGGCCGATTATTGGACTTGTTTGAACGTGGCAAACTCTCTCTACGTTGTGTCAAGTACCTGGTGCTTGACGAAGCTGATCGGTAAGTACTAGGTTGCTGTGATCTTTGAGTTTATGGTTGCAGTGTAGATATGGTTGGGGTGAAAACGCTTCGTGGAGTAGTTTTTCCAAACCTTTTTTTGCCTACAGTTTTTCTTACACTCTTGTCAATCCCAATTTAGAATGTTGGATATGGGTTTTGAACCTCAAATCCGTCGTATTGTAGAAAAGGAAGACATGCCACAACAGCGTCAAACTCTAATGTTCTCAGCAACATTCCCTCGCAACATCCAAATCTTGGCTCGTGATTTCCTTCACGACTATATATTCTTGACTGTAGGTCGTGTAGGATCAACATCAGAAAACATCACTCAAAGAATCGAATATGTAGAAGATCCAGATAAACGATCCGTGTTGCTCGACATCTTGCATACCGATGCCCAACTCGCATCCCAAAACACCGCTACACTCAACCTCACATTGGTGTTTGTAGAAACGAAACGAGCAGCCGATATATTGTGTAATTACCTACAATCCAATAATTTCCCAGCCACATCCATTCACGGTGATCGCACACAAGGTGAACGTGAAGCAGCACTGAAATCTTTCCGAACAGGTTATACCCCAGTATTGGTAGCAACAGCTGTAGCTGCTAGAGGTCTTGATATCCCCAACGTGACTCACGTAGTCAACTACGACTTGCCATCCGATATCGATGATTATGTTCATCGAATTGGACGTACAGGTCGTGCCGGAAATACTGGAAGGGCCACTGCCTTCTTCGATCCTTCTCGCGATAAAGGTATCATCAAGGATTTGATGGATATCTTGCGTGAAGCAAACCAGGACGTGCCTGACTGGCTTGAACAATGTCGACGACGATTGGAAGGAGATTTCTTCAATCGTGCATACTCTTCTGGACGTGGCGGTGGAGGACGTGGTCGTGGACGTGGTGGCGGATCTCGATTCGGAGCTACTGATGCTCGAAAGTGAGTATGGCTGAACCCTCCAGTGTTTTTGTTTTTGTTTAGCACGTTTCTCGAAAACAACATCTAACTCCACTCTGCGTGATTAGGGAACCTGGATATCGCCCCAATTCAGGTGGCGGTGGATATGGCGGTGGACGAGGTGGTGGAGGTCAAGGTGGCCAACAAGACATGTGGTCAGGCTCCTCAGGTGGAAATGGAGGAGGTTCTTGGTTTTAAGCAAAATAGGAACCTATTTAGGATGAACTGCCAAAGCCAAACCACCAAGCCCCTTTTATTATCAACAACATTGATACAGCCAATTAGCTAAATCAACAAAACCACACAGCACACGAAAACAACAAATCCCCCCTTTTCTTCATATGAAGGGAAGGTATTATTGCTAGAATATATGTGAAAAATTCGCTCAGGAAACTTTTATAGATGGGTGCGGCTTACATTAACTTACATATGGAAGCCCGACATTTTTTCCCACCCAAACACCACAACACCAAACAAACTCGTATTGTTACTGTATATACGCCCTCATCTATAAGAATAAAAAACCTTTTAAGTAGAATAATGGGTGTCTTGTCCGAGTCGTGTTTAATTCCTCGTAGTCTTTTTAGAAGCGATGTTCTACTCGACTCTAGGAGCTCATCTTGCTCGTGAATCTTCATTCAAATGCGGAATATTGAATAATGTCTTGTTGCGAATCTTGGGGTCTATGATGGTGGGGGTCACTGCACAGATTGTCAAAGTGTCCTGAGTATGAAATCGTGTGCGATGTAGTTGGGCATCGATTGTAACAGTCCTTAGTTTGAATTTCAGAGAGCCAGCTTTCAGAAGAATATCTCTATTTTAATACTACGCGTAATGTACACCACACTGACCATTACACGATGCAGTTTGAGCGCAACCAAAGCCACATCACGCAAGGAAATCGTCATTATCTACGTCCTTGATTTCCATGTGGTCCTCCCAATCAGAAGACACCCCGTTCAGAGTCATTCGCTTCTCAAATGCGCCCACAAAGATTTCCCACTGTTGACCTTCTGGACTATCACTCAGAAACTCGACGAGTTCACCACTTGCTTCACGAATCGTGTTATTGCCAAAGGATAGCTTGAGCTTTGAAGCAGGTTGGTTTCGATTCTTTGCTGCTTCAGCGACAGTATTGAGCGAGACGGTTCTGCTTCTGGGATCTATACTCAAACTGCTCAAGTTTGGCATTTCGGATATCAGGGCAATCATTATATTATGGGGAATCTCAAAATTATCCAAAGTCAGGTCTGTGACATTACTTCCATGTTCAATAATAAGGATGAGGTCAAACTCATCCTCTGTATACTGAGATAGTCGTAGCTTGTTAAGTTGACTACCCCTCGTAGTCAAGTATCTTATAAACTGGCCACGGTTGGCATCTGCTACCGACATAATTACAGTGTTTAGATGAGGGAATTCGAGTTGGAATACTGGTCGATTGATTGTGGTGATGAGATCGTGTGGAATGTGCAGGCCATCACTGTTTATATCTTCGTCTTCCTCGGCCATTGAGCGACGATTCGTCAGGGCAATCTCCTGCATGGTACAGTGATTCGCTTCAATTATACTACAAATGTCAGTTGGGTTTGCATGCTTCACACTAGACATGACAAGCGATTTAAGCTTGCCTTTCGTCCCGTCATACTCGGTCAAATGATGATTGGGATAAAGGATTACATTGACTAGTGATAACGTCTTCAGGTTGACGTATGTTACTAAACGGATATCAGCTGCTTGGTACAGGTCGACATTATCTAGTTTCAGCTCTGTGATACTATCTGAGCTACTATACTTCAATGCCTCTAAAAGTGGATGAGCTCGTTCGATTCTGTAACCATAATATGGAATCCCAAATGTCAGACTCTGGAGACGCTGAGACCGTGTGAAGCTTATAGCAGCTTCGATTTGAGAATCTTTCCCAGCTAGAATGACTAGATCTTTTATGACTGCTGACTTTGCGGCAAATTCCTCGAATTCTCGCATCCAAAGGTGTCGGCTTCTAGTTCGAGCCTAGTCACGGTACTAGGCAGCCAGCGCACAAGAGGTTGTAAGAGGGAATCCTTCAACGGGATATCTGCAGCCAGGCTACATGCTCTAACCAATTGGGTAGCCACATTAACAACATATTCATTGGCCATTTCCCTTAATCGCATTCCCTCATCTGCAGTCAGCGACCACTCGTCTCGGCCTTTAAGGAATTCTTTCTTGAATAGAGAGCGCCACCAGTGTGACAGAGATGCAAAGCGGTAGGACTTTACGTTTAGGAAGACGGCTTGAGTGTACATATTGTTTGTTGGCCGTTTTCTATTTCTCAGCATTAATAGAAGACACTCTGCTTCAGAGGGCTTCAGAGATGTAGGCGGAAGGTATGCATCGTATTCAGCTCCCTACGAAGAGTCTGTCAGTCCAAAGAACAACTTTCATTCATTTTCACAATTAAGGACGGCGAAGACATACACGACCGAGAGTGTGATATAAACATTTGACTGCAATGGAATTCATATCCTTGCAAGTCCTTGCCAGCGTTCCAAGAGATCGGTCACAGGCCAAATTTGAGACAATTAAGTGCCATAATTCAATGGGAAGATTTGGCTCTATTTGAAGGAGTGAAGGACGGGCGAGACGGTGAATTTCCACTAGTATCTTCAGCATAGCATTGAAAACTATTAGGCAAAATTCTAGGTACCTTCACCGATTCCTGCTTTGTCATCAGATGAACGTTTTGATGAAGTTGATGGCAGACTAGCAACGAAGGAGCAAGTTAGAGAAGGAACTAGTCCAAATGAAAACATCATTGGAATAGTTACTTGGATGCATCTAAACCACTCTCAATGCTAGATAGCATGATCTCCAAGGTTCCAACAAATGTTGCGTCGAGGTTTGGCGGAGAGGAGATCTCAGAACAAGTCAGACTATAAATTACCCTGCAGCTCTTTTATAACCAGCTGTGTGCCCTGACCGTAGGGCTCCCTTTGCTTTGCTCGAAGCGCCCCTTGCGTTACGTGTTTCCTGGTGATTGCAAACTTTGCAGGCGTCAATCACTATTGTTAGATACAAAGGAATTTGGCGCACTAGATGCGGAACGATCGCGAAACAGCTAAAAAGAGTAAGACTGCTCGTTGGTAACCCACTTCTTGGTGAGCTTTCAAGAAGCAGACAACCGCTTCGCAACACTTCATTAAAGGTACTGTGTAAACTGTGGGGTATATATATGAATAAGCCAACTAAATACTACAAGTGGGTACATTTGGGTATCTGGGTATCTGAACCAGCACTTGGAAAACGAATACGAAAATAACAAACTTTAAAATCCCCAAACATTAAAAACTCTTTTGGCCAGTCCCGTCATATAGAAGACAGGGTTCAGCATTTTTTTAAATCCTCAGCATTTGTTTGTACTGCTCGTCAGAGAGGATTCCAGCATTCTTCAACACGTTTGGTACTGCTGGTGATGGAGCTGGTGCTGGAGCTACAGTCGGCTTGATGTATACCGGGTAGCTCACTACATCCATCTTAGATTCCTTCATTGGTACTCCGAATGTGTTGATGGATGTTTCGTTAGCATTGAAAGCACTACAAGAGATTTTGGTTAGCAACTTTGTGTCAGTGGTGATTTGGTGATGGGCCATTTCACACAGCACCATTGAGATAAGACATACCTGATTTGCTTCGATTGTCCTCTCGTTTGCCTTCGGATAACCAATCCAATAATAGCCAACAGACACAATAGACCAGCAACTACAATTCCAGCCAAGGCAGGAGGAGACAGATGTTGAGTTGGGATTGTTGATGATGAGTAGACCACCGAGCCACCAGCAGCCGCGGCAGATGAGGTAGAGTTTATTTCGGCAAGCTTGCCGCCACAAGATGTGTATGAGATGGCGACAATGCCAGCATTCAAGTCACCATTGTTAATTTTCTTGAACATGGCTGGAGTAAGATCAAGCCCGCCTAATATGTGAAGATATGTGTTAGATTTGTGGAGAAAAGGCGTCGATGACAAACGACATAAAACCAGCGAGTAGTCAGACCAGATCAACTTGCCTGATGGACATCCTGGACATTCATCCTTGACGACACAGTTGGCAGAGCCGTGAGGTCCTTTGACGGTCAGACATCGTCCACAAGAGCTGGATTTGTAGTCTGCTTCTGACTAACCAAGAAAACGAGGAGTGCGCTGTGAGTTTCGACATCGCGTGCGTGTGCATTCCACAAGGGAAACAACCGCTGGCATTAAAAAGAAAGCACAAAGTCTGGAAGGATTCTACTCACCATAGCACAGACCATGTCATTTGCAGAGATCCAGACACCATTGCAAGAACCAACTTGGTCGCCAACATACCTACAAGGCGAGGAACGAAATGATTAAAATTTCATTGCAATGACAGTGATGTAACACAGGTCAAAGCATCAAAAGCACTATTGAAACACGTACCAAGAAGCGCGTCCGCGTTTGTTCAGTCGCCCTTCAGCAGGCACGACTCGAAGAGAAGCAGTTCCGTAAGTAACAGCGTCCATTGCGACTTAATACGTGATTGCGTGAGGGATTTAAGAGTTGCAGAGATTGTCTCAGATTTTTGGTGGTAGTGAAATGCGTGTTGGATATAGGTTTGAAATTCTTGTTCGAGCAGGAAGTTTAGAGCACTGGACACTCAATCCGAGCGTGCCCATTTAGGCTTTCAAAAACCTGGAAATCCGAGCATTCCGAGCGAGGCTTAAACACATCCGCATCTTTCGAACACCCTTTTACAGACAATGACACCATCTTCAGACTAGGGTAGCAAGGAGCGACACATCTTGCATCTCATACCACTCAACAACAATTCGATCCACCTGATCAATTGATTCAGAGAAGCCCCATCATCCATCATCTCTATGCAAAAAAGCATTTTTCGCAATACACAATTTCAAAAATTTGAGAGCTATAACACATCAAACTTGTGTGCACGACGTTCGTTTGACGTGTCAAATTGCTGTACGAACATTGCAGTTACCACAGTTTAGTTGCTGGGCGTCCTCTTTGATGCAACAAAATGTCATTTGAGTTCAAACACGGTCGCTGTGTGGCGAAAGGTCATAGTGAATAGCCTGACTTATGTCTCTTCGGAGCAAGTAATTTGCTGTGAGAAGCTTCCTGTTCTTGTTGGGGCTTGGTACTGCAGAATATTGAGCAAATAATGTTGCAAACATCGTTTCATAGATCGGTGTTTGCTGGATTTCGGAAGTGAAAAATCCGTAAATCTGTGTCGGTATTTCACTACTTACTGCGGACTCGCTGACGGATGGATTTGCCTAAGAACAAGGCAAAAGTTCTAGTCTGTCATCAACATCTGGTGTTGAAGTATCCAGCCGTCCAAGAATCCGACGCTTTTAAGGAAAGTACCAATTGTGCGTCTCATACTAGTTATTGCATTGAAGATCTCGAATATTCACTCGTTGCCTTTATCGAATTAGAGCGTCATTTGCTTGTGACGAATAATTTCGAATGTCCTTTTTCCATGTCGAATTCAACACCCAGCCCAACATTCCACGAGATCTCGTTGTGCATATCAGTCTACCCGTATGTGGACTCGAACCACCGCACCTAAATTACTTAACTACGACTGCAGCTGCGCCTGGAGTGGTCACATTATACGATTCTTGACAGGAAGGGGCTCTCAGTTCAAAGTGCTGGGCCTGCTCAAATATACAGAGGCCGAGTTTGATATTGGACTCATTGTTCAGCAATCTGGTTATCTGGAAGACTTGACTGTGGATAACTTTGACCAGGGCAAGCATATCGTGATTCATCTGATATCCAGGATGGTGAAGCTGGAATTTCTACTTAAATTCCCAACGAGTGGAGGGATTTCGCTCAATCTTGTAGAAGAGCCAGCAAGGAATCCAAGTCGACAGTCCTCAAAATTTCTGACTTGACTTCGGTCACTTTGGACCACATACACACTCTGTGAGCTAATGGAAGATAGAAGTGATTGATCACGCGGTCTACAATTTTAAAAGTTTACGGGTGTGGTCCAGAAGCGGTTGGAGACCATTAATGTCATGGGGTGGTTGGATGAAAGTACACTGCTCAAGGACGTCGACAATGATGTTTACATCATCCGCCTTCTGTATCTGCAGTCGTGCGTAATGAAATGCAGTATGCTTATATGTTGGTTTTTGATTATGTGCAGCATCCGTGAATAGATTCTCTCTGATGCATACACTCGCCTCCATGGTTTTTTTCGGAACACAAAAACTTTCACAAGTCTTTATTGAAGATACTGCTTCATGATGGGAATTGTTCACGAGGGATAAGAAAAGGTCGCAGCTACAATGCACACCTTCGCAATCATCCAAACATTTCGCTACACTTCAACACTCAAAAGGTTACTGTGTTGACTGTTGGGGTATATATATGAAAAAGTAAAGCGACTCTATACAAATGTGCATCATTTGGAAATGTGCATCATTTGGGTATCTACTTGGGTATCTACTTGGGTATCTAAGGTGTTTCTATACCAAAACTTGGCAAAACCGAATATAATGAAAAAAACAAAACTAATCCCCATAAATTAATGACTCTTTTAAGACCAGTATCCCTGTCGATTTATAAGACTGGTGGGTGGCAATTTTTTTGATCAGATCCTTAGCATCTGTTTGTACTGCTCGTCTGAGAGAATGCCAGCATTCTTCAAGACGTTTGGTACAGCGGGTGATGGTGCTGGAGCTGGAGCTACAGCGGGTGCCGTGTATACTGGGTAGCTCTCTACATCCATCTTGGCTTCCTTCATTGGCAGGCCGAACGTGTTTACGGATGTTTCTTTGGCATTGAATTCACTACAAGTGATAATGATTGTTAGCAACTTGGGCGTTAAGATACGTAGCTTTTTCAAGGACTCACTTTATTTTCCTAGAAGCCCCTCTCGTCTGCCTTCGAATAATCAATCCAACAACAGCCAACAGACACAACAGCCCAGCGACGACAATTCCAGCCAAAGCAGGAGGAGACAGCTGTTGAGCAGGGATTGTTGACGACGAGTAGACCACCGAGCCACCAGCTGCAGCGGCAGATGAGGTAGAGTTTATTTCGGCAAGCTTGCCGCCACAAGATGTGTATGAGATGCTGACGATGCCGGCGTTCAAGTCACCATTGTTGATTTTTTTGAACATGGCAGGGGTAAGATCAAGCCCGCCTAAGATATGATGGTGAGTGTTAGATTAGTGGACAAGAAGGCAACGAAGCCCAAGCGACAAAAAAACTAGGAATCGAACTTGCCTGATGGACATCCTGGACACTCGTCCTTGACGACGCAGTTGGCAGAGCCGTGAGGTCCAGTAACGGTTAGGCATCTTCCACAAGAGCTTGATTTGTAGTCTGCTTCTGACTAAGCAAAAGAAACTGGTGTAAGTTCGATATGCTATGTGTACGAGCTCTCCAAAGCGGATGCAGGAGTTCGCACTGAAAGGGCACCCAAAGTCTTGAAGTATATAGCTCACCATAGCACAGACCATATCATTCGCAGAGATCCATACACCATTGCACGAACCAACTTGGTCGCCAACATACCTGAACAAAAGTGAAGCAAATCGTTAAAAATCCATGATCAAATACTTGGATCCACCACGAATCAGTGCATGAAAAGCAAATAACCAAAACACATACCAAGAAGCGCGTCCACGTTTGCTCAATCGTCCTTCAGGCACTTCAGACATGACTCGAAGAGAAGCAGTTCCATAAGTGATGGCGTCCATTGTGATACTTTGATACGTGATGCTGTGAGGTATGGTAGTGTTGAAGAAATTTTTCTAGTTTTTGGTAGAGAAATGAATGGTTTTTCTAGCTGAGAGATTCTTGGACGAATTGTGTCAACCTTTTTTTTGTTTGAGACAACCGGACACCATTACACCATTGTCCATGGCTCACCCGAAGAGCAGTCTGAAACACGGCCAAGCTTCCATTCCATTCCGACCGCTTGAAAAATTTCCCCCCTTGTTTAGATTAGTCTGTTTCAGCATATCGGACGACTGCATACATTTTTGCTAGTATGACTCCCATTGTAGAGTCCTCCACTTATGCAGTGGCATTATGTTGTCAATTCCTGCCTAAAGCATCGCGCTCTATCATAAGGAAGCGATCGATTTCTCGCCATCTGCAAAAAATACATTTTTCAAAATAGACACTTTTTCAAGACAAACGACCGCCAAGCTTTTGAGTGCCAGCATTCATTTTTACGTGTTGGCTGTCGAGATCCGCATTCTAATCTATGGCAACTAGCTACTAGACGCGCCCTTGACCAATGACGAAAAACTTGTTTTCAAGAGAAGAAAATGTATTGTGCTGTACAGAGTTTATATGAGTTAGTGCCGAGAGTGGACTATGGAAGATATGAAAATGACTAGAATCTAATAGGAAATAGACGCGGTTAGATATGGTCCGGCACATTTGCTACTGTGACATGAAGACAGGTACAAAACATACCTTGCAATGGAAAAAGTTTTCTAATGTGTTTTCAATGGGAGGCAGAAGCATTGGATCGTTTCTAAATATCGAGATTTACCATGTCAGAATTATTATCATCCCAATAGAATGCTTCATCAGCATCAACTTGGCAAACTTTATACCGATTTGGATTGAGTTATTCCAGTTTCGACATGAACCCCAAACTTGTTCAACTCTTCCACAATCCTTTTGTTGCTCATCTTGAGTTGATTGAGCTCGAATTGTAGCGAGCTAGACTGATCCAGAGCAACGTCATCAAAGATATTCGTATTTGAAACCATCATTCCCCACGATGGTCGTTCATCAACAGACGAGTATCCCGAAATACGACAGAATATAAATGCTGGATCATCTGTTATACAAGCTGGATATAGCCCTATAGACACGGCTACAGCTTCGGTGACTTTTATGGCGGAAGATATTTCGCATGGGATTATGTGTGCTGTGAATTCACAACCTACTGATTGTGTTGATGTTGATTCGAGGTATTCAGACACCATATCCCGTTCAGTTGGATCTACTAGATCTACGAGGCGTGTACCGTATAGTTGACTTGGTGTAGCACCCTTGAGGATTTGCGAATCGGATGTAGATGAAATATACAGGAAGAAGCCTTCTACAGACATTTTGGCCCATATATCGGATTTTATTGGTAAACTACCACGGTCGGATAGAGGCAAGTCACCTGTTAGTACTGATGATGGAGTCCAGTCTAGAGCTAGTTCCCGTTGTGACAGCTCACCCGTTGTTCTTTGACGGCCAGACAAGACAAAGCATTTAGTCTTTTTACGATTCTTCATCTCATACTTGTGGCCAGTGATTTCGACCCATACATATCCACCAATACGTTTTCGGAATCGATATATAGCAGATATGTTTCCATTCAATGTAGAAAACTTGAGTTCTCTCATTAGAGAAATCAAGTCTCCCGGATGACAGAATTTATCAATATTCCTGCCGATAAGCTCACCAGCTTCGAAATCAAACATGTCTTTACATGATGCTGGCGAAGCAAACAAGATGATGCCTCGTGACGACAAGATATGTATAAAGTCGGGCCCATTCTGTACCAAGTTATAGTGGCTCAGAGTTTCTGGATCTATGGTACCCTCTGGATATGCAGATGGCTCATGCTCTGCAATAGACTCTACATCAAAGTCAAAGTCTGGTGGTTGTTGTTGTTCATCCTCTTCTTGTTGCCCCATTCCTGACGATGCAGCAGCAATTGTAGCCCCAGAAGTCATATTCTCATCGACGCTAGGCGTTCGTCCTGATGTAGTAGATCCACCTATGAACGACGGCGATGATTGTCCAAAGAGATCGGGTATATCATCAGGACTTGTCGGTATTTGGAATGGGTTGCTTGAATACGGGCGCATACCGGTTGATTTGCCAAGATCTGGCATAGTTTGTAGTGGAGCCTGCTGTTGCACATTCCTCATCATTTGTGGCGGTTGTGGTATTGATGGCATCGGTGCTGTTGTTGATGAGGCAGATGGTATCGGATGTGCGGACTCGTGTTGTTCTTTGCTGTTGAAGTCTATAACATACGAGCCGTCTAAATAAGAGATCGATGTTTTTGTTAACGACATGTGTTACGGAATGAAACTCTCATAATCGACATCTGCGGTACGATTCGATAATGACACACATCACTGAATGATGAAAATTTTCACAATCGATAGGTCACAACTAACCTTCAAGCCTCCTAAGAATGGCTCGTGACTGCTGCATCATGTCAACTTGAAAGCCAACAAAATACGAGGTTTCACCCGATCCAAGATCAATCGGCACGACTGTTATGAGATTGACGAATGGCTCTCCAGACTTTTTATAATTGATGTTGATATATTGACATTCCTGTCTGTTTTCAATTGATGATTTGAGTTGCTGGACGACAGAGTTATCGACGAATCGACGTATGCTGCCCTTCTCAACGAGACCATCGGGAGCTAGATACATGATTATGAAGAGTTAATTTGTTTTAAGGTTTAAAAAAACTATGATTTAAATCTAAAAGATGTGCTTACATTGCAAAAATCTGCAGTTCTTGCCCATAATTTCTTGCCCAGAGTAGCCCGTCAGTCGCTCGAATGATTCAGAAGCGTATACAATCGGCATATCGGCCTTTTTGGCGTCCACAACGAGAAAAGACGACGATAAATCAACTGGCCCTAGATCAATCACTGGATTCGGGCGATGAGCAACTCGAGAGAGTATTCCGATCATGTCGATTCCCGACGAAGAATACAATCCAGAAGTCGGAAATGCCATTGGCTGTTGTCCTGGAGGTCTCAAGACTGTTTGAAAAAGGAAACGTGTTAAGTGCCATGCGACGAGAGCTTCATCCAATGCTGGATTTTTCAATGACGGAGAAACTAGATACGACTAGTATTGAGTTCGTACAGTAAGATTCCATCGGGTTTGTAGCCGTCATTTGCATAGCAGGAAAAGCTGAGCTCCTCATATCGGCAGGAGTTGATGACATTGTCTTTTGGCGTTTTGGTGGTCTACAGACAGATCGCGGATGAGAACCGGGATAATCAAAGTCATTTATCAGCGTGCTGTACATACGGTGGTAGTGGCCGATCCTGCAACATGGATGGTTGTTGTCGAGTTTCAACAACGTTGCGTTCCATGTGAGAGAGTTTTGAATCCACCCATTGCTTGAGGAAGACTTCTTGCCCTTGATTATGGGCCTTAATTATGGGCGATGAAACTGCAGTGGCGAACGGGGAAGGTTCAAGGAGCGAGGTTAGATTCGATGACATCCGTTCCTGCTGTTTTCTGTTGTCCAAGTAAGAATCAGTGCAGCGACACTATGTAAAGATGATGTAGTAGCTGTTCCTGCGATAACAAGAACTATATCTAGGGCGTATAAGTGTGAAATGAAATTGGTGATAATCTGCAACTTTTTTGTACCCCCAAGTAAATCCTTTGTTTCTCCTCCTTCATTGAAGATCATGGGGAGAGATCGAATCGGAGAGTTAAACACAAAGGGCATGCAGAAAATATTGATCTATGATCACATGAACATCATATTTGAAGCTTTTTTCTTTCATTGAATACTTGAAGTTTGTCCCTTGTCGCGTCTCCACATTGTGTGTGAATTGCTGATTGCCGCAAACGGATACCCCAAGGAACCCACGCTTTGCCATGCTCTGGAAGTGGCCGTAAGAGCTTTAATGGACCACTTCAATGGCCCTTCTTTAGCCATACTTCGCTTAGCTTCCATTCATGTAATCGAAATTGCGGCACAAGTGGTTGGCTTATATTATAAGTTTCAAGAAACACAACATTGCAATAATTAAAACGTTTATAACGATTGTATATTATCATATTACTCGCTTTGAAACCAATTAACAATTCTCTTCCATCAAGCCAAACTATCTAAGCTGGTACTACTATCCCAATTCACACTGCCAAGTCCTGCTCTCGACCCAGACCTAGACATGGGCTCATAAGCCTTGTTTTCAATTTCGTTTGCTGTTCCTTGATAGATTGGATTGTTGACAATGGAACTGCTAGTTCCAGCAGCTGCTGCACCACGACCAAATCCTCCATTCATCATCTTTCGGCGTAGTAAGAGGCCTGCTCCAACTAGTGCTACGGCACCTGCACACACCCCTACAAGCAAAGATGAGAGTCTCAGTTTTAGCAACTGTGTGTAATTTCAAAAATTCCTGATATCCAATGACTCGGATGATGCTCTTACCACCAATGAGAAGAGGATTAGCTGCTAAAGAGTCCGATGTAGGTGACGAAGAGGATCCGGATGATAATAGGCCTGATGATGATGAAGCTCCCAACTATTATAATACAGGATTGACCGTCAGTCTCCAAAGTTCGGTACCTTATTAAATTAGTCTTACAGTTGGATATACTTCAAAAACAGGCGTAGCTGTCGCAGTGGGTGTTGGAGTCGTCTCAGCAACATAATAGTAAATGTTGGGAGTTACGGTAGGTGTTGGTGTAGCGGTACCAGCCGCAGCATAATATGTCATAGATAGCGGAGGGCTGTACGTGACGGTCGACATCGTAAGAAGTCTATAACAGAGTCAGTCTGTGTGTTTGGTTGTGAGAGCAAGTTTTGTTTGTTATTGAGTAGGAATAGGTTTGGGTTCTCGAGCGACAAGAGTCGTTGCTTTCGGCAAGGAGCTCTTAAGAGGTGATTTGACGCTTATATAGCGCAATACATGGATATCGGTGCTATTGCATCTCCCTTATACCTCTAATTATATATCGATATATCGCATTGCGGCAACTACATTTCACAACAACACCAAAGTTTTTCTCAAACATAGTCTTCCAATTACAGACTTGGGAATCCTTTAAATATATTTCAGAGCTGAAATGATGACAGTAAAAATCTACTTGGGTATGTGATGGACACAAAAAAATCCACCACGTCTTAAACATAAACACTAAACTTAAGCTAAAGAAAGATGACTTTCACCAAACGATCCCAACCAATTACCATTACCCTCCGAAGCCTGAGGCTCATACAATGGATTTTCATTCTGACGAGCACCAGCCTCGTACATTGGGTTCGACGACAAGTTAACACTTGAAAACAAGTCAGCTTCAGATGGTGAAACCGTGTTTTCATTAATCCTTCTCTTGCGCATAAACATTCCAGCTGCGACGGCGGCTGCACCGGCACCGGTAGCACCAATGGAGGCGTAGATTACAGTGTTGGATGTACCGGCAGGGGCATCAGATGGGGATGGAGAAGGAGCTGCTGATGGAGTGGTGGTTGAGGGGGTTGATTCACCGGCGATGGCGCCAGATGTTGATTGTGGGGCACTGGAAACTTGGGCTGATGCGACGATGGTTGATGGAGCAGCTGAGGGTGCAGCTGATGCAACTGGTGAAGCGATGGTGGATGGTTTAATCGAGGCCACCTATATTCCCAAATGAACATGTTAGATGGCTTTTTAAGATGGACGTCCTTCCTGTCAATTACTTACAGGTGAGGCAACGACGGTACTTGGGGCGGCAGATGGAGCAGCTGATGGGTTAGGGCTTGCAGCGACAGAAGTCAGAGTTGAAGCGACTGGGCTTGGAGCGGCAGAAGTTAAAGTAGAAGCGACGGGACTAGGAGCAGCTGATGTCAATGCAGAAGCAACTGGGCTTGGAGCCTGTTAAAAATGCATCATGATCAGCTTTAATTACGAGTTTCGAGCGAATGAGGTACTTTCAGACTTACGGCAGAGGCACGGATGGTTGAAGCAACCGGACTTGGAGCAGCGGAAGTTACGGTCGAGGCGATGGGGCTTGGAGCCTACGGAAAACGGTGAACTGTTAGTTTCTGTTGATCGTTCAAAAACGAAATCGTATGTTCGGACTTACAGCAGAAGCACGGACGGTAGAGGCGACTGGGCTTGGAACGACAGAAGTCAAGGTTGAAGCAACTGGGCTTGGAGCGGCAGAAGTCAAGGTTGAAGCAACTGGGCTTGGAGCAGCTGAAGTTAGGGTTGAGGCGACGGGGCTTGGAGCCTACGGAAAACGGTGAACTGTTAGTTTCTGTCAACCGTTCGAAATCGTATGTTCAGACTTACAGCAGAAGCACGGATGGTAGAGGCGACTGGGCTTGGAGCGGCAGAAGTCAAGGTTGAAGCAACTGGGCTTGGAGCAGCTGAAGTTACGGTTGAGGCAACGGGGCTTGGTGCCTATTGAAAAATTGTGATGTCAGATATTGTGTGGGGTGAAGTTTTCACAGAATCAAATAAAATTACAGCAGAGGCACGGATCGTGGAAGCTACTGGGCTTGCGGCCTAAATCCAGTAAAAAGCACGTTAGCAAAACACGTTTCAGGATCTCCTCACAAAACCCCCCCAATCACTCCGCAACAAATACTTACAGGACTAGCAGTTGGTGCAATAGCGAAATTAGTCTGCGTAACGTCCGGCGTAATAACAACCCTAAAGTACACCCTTTTGTTGATATTACTGTTACAATCACCAGGCCATTGCATGCTAGTCGTATACTGGGACCCAGCCAAATTCTGTAGCGTAACTGGTATGTTTCCCCAAGTAGGTAAATCGGCATAACAGGTTTGGACTGATGCCATGTTCTGCCCGTTGGTCCATGATGCGTCGTTATAGTTGACTTGGGTCATCATTTGCCAGTAGTCGGTGACGTTGGCGTCCGGGGTGATCCAGCTCGTCCAGGGAGACTGGGCATTGTTGGATGTTTGGTTGGGTTTGAGGTTAACGGTGTGGGTTGTGGAGGGGGCGATTTGAAGCTTCCATGGTGATCTGTTGGTAAAATGAAAGGAAGATGTTAGTTGGGATTGGTTTGTTGTTATGCTGTGGATAGATTTGCAAAGAGTTCATATGCAAGAACGGAAAATGCATGAGTACGTACCCCATGGAGCCAGTGGCAGCATACACTTTTCCGTCAATCCATATAATAGCATCAACACCAGCAATTGTACCGGTATCCAAAGCATCAATGGCGACCAACCTACAAGATCAAAATATTACATGTTATTTCGACTGCCTTTGCTGAATCCGAAACTCAAACGTTGATGACTTACCATGGTCCATCACCAGATATATTAAACGTCAAAGTCTTAATGTTTTGCCACGCGTATTGGAATCCATTATCACCATCTGATGGTCCTGCGTATATAGACTTTTGAAAAAGTGTAATGTTAAGTTAGTGAAAAAGTTCAGCAAGTTGAGTGCAAAACACAGTTCTGTACAGCTACACTATACACCAAACTCAAACAAACTACAAGCATACATACACACATACCTGATTATTAACAAAAAGCTGGAAATAATTGTCAACAGCGATAATCATTGTCAAGTTATGGTATCCAGCTCGCACATGGGAAACACATGCTGCCAGCAATGTGGCAGCAGTAAAGATCGTGGTATATGAAAGCAGCTTCATACGATATCGGGTCCGAATCCAAATATTGAAGTTTCCTTGGTTATTTTAGTGGGATGATGGATATGAGTGTGTGATAACAATGTCTTCTTTCTTGAGGGTTGAGGGTTGTGGAAGCTAAAGAAGCGGCTGGAATTTCGTACCCTTGACACCATCGAGAGGGTCACTCGCGATGTTCATAGCGCTTTTGAAGCCTGTGGAGCGTGTCTAATAGTGTGTTGTTGCTTGTCGCTATTGTTTTCCACGTTTGCGTAATTCTGGTTTCTTTTTACTGGGAACACACCCGAACAAAAAACCTTTCGATGACACATCGGATGGAATCAATTCCAAAATCCCACTCCTAATGAAACACACTTTTGAAATACTTACGCAAGAAAACTCCTATTCTACACTTCTTAAGTGAACGATTCTATGCTGTAGAAACAGTGCTCTCAAACATGGTTGCCCAATTAGTAGAACAGCAATCCTTTCGACTCTTGAAACATGTCATCCGATGCTTCTTATGAACTACAAAAAATAACATGATGTTTATTTCCCCTCCTTCTATGCAACAGTTTCAGTGTGATGCGACCCCTGTTCCAACACCGTATCTTCCAGCTTTTCTACTATCGGACCAACCACACCATCATCACTACTATGATGATTCTCTTCTTCTTGTACTTCCTCTCCCTTTGTTATATCTGACGATGTTTGATTCTCTGTTGTTGAGACTTCAGGATCGTTAAGTAGTGCTCCTGGTTCATGCCTCTCTTCAGAATCACTCACTACAGCAGCACTCGGTATAGCATCTGGTATTACATCTGCAGTCGATTGTGGTGATGCTACTACAGGCTCGTCCAAAGTTATAAGATTACTTGCATCACTGCTTGGCTCTTGCCCCAACTCAGTGCTAGCGGGACCCTCAACACTACCACCACCAGCTTCCTGAGCAGACAAACTCAATGCAAGTGCCAACTGCAATTCATACTCTTCGATTTCAGCCCGTTCAGGTGACGTCAATCCAATACGATTAATCATTGCCGGATCATGGAAGTCTGAATGGGGGATAGTGTTATTACCATTATTGGTTGGTGATTGTCGTAATTGTTGGTGTGGAGAGTTGTTATCCGTCTCGTCTTCTCCGTAATACACGTTCGGATTACCGGGATACTGACCGGCTCGACCAGGGAATGCAGATAGCAGCCGTTGAGGAGGTCGTTGACTCGTAGTATAATCATCTGCAGAGAATTCACGATCGAATTCTCGTTCCGCTTGCTCTATAGCTCTACGTGTGGCGGGATCTATCATACGCTGCGGATCCATTGATGTCTTCCTTCTTGCTGTTGAAGGACTTTCTGCTGTTGGTCCGTCACCGGCCAGCAAACTCGTAAATGTCCGTCCAAGACCTTCTGAAAAGGATCGTAATCGAGTTACAGCAGCACTAGCACTCGATGCACCAGTACTAATATTACTATTACTACCATTGGCTGCTGTACTAGAATCCAGTTTTGGATTAGACGGTATTCGTCGACCACCTACACCACCGTAATCTGGTCCTGTTGATTTATCTGAGCCAACAATACTATTCCCATTTTCATCTACTATGGCCTCTACACCATTGCCATCTACACCAGCATGTTGAGATGCAGCGGTAGCTCCCAAAGCAGCATTACTAGGTCTACCGCGAACTCCATCTACAAAGTGATCCATCGTCACAGCTACGTCCTTGAATAAGCTATTGAAGAATCCCGTGGTATTCGTAATGACTTTATTAAGATCGGGATTACTTGGTTGGGAGGTGAGTCTTGGCCGTTTTGTGAGATCGCGGTCAGCAGGTTCTCCAGGCGATTGCGGCGTTGGCGAGAGCGGTAGTAGGTCTGGTTTTTGACCAGTTTCGACGGGTGATATTTGAATGTTGCTAAATAGAGGTTGATTAATTGACTTCCTTCAAGTTCTGAATTTGGTTTTTTGCCTTACTAGGTAAGGAAATCCTCAGGCGGTATAGTCAACGATTTGATGCTCAAGTTATATATGAATGACACAGCGCCCATCTAACCATGATCAGCTGATTAGTTCACTTGAGCAAAAAAAGATAAATTAAGAAGGGCTGTACCATGGTAGTCAAGTAATATTGGTTTTGACCCTTATCTAGCTCAGACTGATGTCTAAACCTCATAATGTACCTACAATGGGCTTGGTTTAGTCATTGCAACAGATGTTGCCAACAATCCAAATGTCTTACTTGATGTTTGCAATGATATTTGGAGGATTTGCACGTATTATGATGAGGATCAAAACAGGAAGTAGGTGATCACTTCCAGCATTCTCGGTTGTCTTTTTGATTAGATCTAGATCAATACGGCATGTTCAGCAAGTCGATCATTGAGACAAGCATTGGGATCAAACTTACCAACAGCTAGCTGCACTGTATTTTGTATAATGACGAGCTTGTCTCGTGGACTTTTGAAGCCATTCACTTTGAGTAGCTCGGCTTGAGCGACTTCAATTGCCGATTCCAGACTGAATGGTAGATCAAGATGGCGTTCCTGAAATATATTGAGTATCAATAACAATCCGTCTTTCAGCACAAAAGTCCATATAGTATCGTGACTTACTTGAATCCAACTAAACTCCTGGATCTTCTTTGTCAAATGAGTAGCCATTTTGGGTTCTTCTGAATTGGCGGGACAAAAGACTGATTCGTATATCTTTGTCATGACCAACTAGGATAAAGAGTGTTAGCTACATATAAACACGTAACTCTGTTCACACGCTCATTCAGCCACAAACTGCCACCTTTTCCCATCCTTCACGAATCCACGTAGACTGTTCGTCTTCATCAGAGTCCTTGTCCTGAGCAGCCTCGTCCTTCTTGTCCTTGTTCAAGATTGGATTCTAACCAAATGTTCCAATGTGTGTCAGATTACCCCAGATGACCCCAAGCAACAAACTTTTGCGATCAAAGCGACTATGATATACCTGTAATGACTCTGTATAAATGGAGTCTATGAACTTGAGGACCAGCCTCCTCTGCTGCAAGATGGGTCTCTGAGTGGCATTGAATGCAGATAGGAAGGACTTGAGCTTCTGGACCAATGGCGAGCAGTCATTCTGGCGTAGGTCACTGAGGAAGCGATCAAAGTCGAATGTGCTCATGTCGATGCAGATACCTTCATCGCGCTGGATTTGGTGCTGTTTCTGGACAATCAGATTGCAGAGTTTGGAAGGAGAGATGCTGTGGTGGAAGGAGAGTATAGAGAGTAGTAGAGGCATTCTCTACGTGTATTATCGCATATATAGTATGTATCTGGCTCTGGAAGGATCAGACTAGCGATGTTCATGTGGACAGAGCTGCTGCTTCGAATCACAACTTCAAAACGTGACAATCACGCTCAATCCAGAACCAGCGCTCACAGACGCATGCCATCACGTTCCGATCACGATTTATCACCTCTGACTTTGCACTCTTTCTCTGTCTTGAACTTTCTGCAATCGCACTCGACAAAAACATTAACTGTCGCCTTGTTGGATAGTCCAGTCAACCTCAACCCACCCTCATACATTCCATTATATTCCTCGTATACAATTGACCACGATGACTTCTATAGCTGCTAGATTAACACGATTCAGCACATGTGATTTAGCAGACTCATTGACAAAGCTAGGCATAAACAGCTTCATTCCTGACGTGACTATGAGGTCGCCACTACCTACCGCTACTGGATCATCAACCAGGATTGCTGGTCCTGCTCATACCGTCGAGTTTGTCGATGCAAATGATACTACATCACCAAAGAGTGGTGTCAATCAAGTCGACTCGGCACCATCTGGCTCGATTGTGGTAATCAAGACACCGCATGGCGCTATAAATGCTGTTTGGGGTGGTTTGGTATGTCGTAGTTGCTCAACTCTATGAACTGGACTAAGCTTACGTCGTTCACTCATAGATGTCAGCACGAGCACAACACCTCAACGTAGCGGGAACAATCATCGAAGGCAGATGCAGAGACTTGAACGAACAATACGCATTCAACTATCCGCTATGGGCTTCTGGAACTTCTACTCTTGGCGTCAATGGCTACTGTCGTGTCGCGACTGTCGGCAGTGCAATCACGCTCGCTGCACATACAAAGTACCCTGTTACTGTGAACTCGAAGGACTGGATTGTAGCTGATATTGATGGCGTGGTGCGAGTGCCTGCTGAGCGGGTGGAAGAGGTGTTGACTTTGGTTGCAGAGATGGAGGAAGTGGATGCGCTGTGTATGCAGGATATCAAAGGTATGTATGGAGTTCATCCAGGAGTTTCATTTTAGAGTGTGGTTTGACGCCTTGTTTAAATACAGGTGGACGGTCAATGGCTGAAACGTTCAAAGAGAGGAGGAAACCAAAGTAAGGCATCTATATTTCAAGCTCGTCGCTATAGATTGTGGTGTTTCTCACATATCTTGTAGAATGTAAAAATATTGAGTGCTATCAGAATACACCTCCATGGTCATCATTTCAATACCTGTTTCTTTTGAGCGTTGTGTCCTTGATCTCCCACCTTTGAACATCAGGAGTACAGCAAAACGACAAACTTCCGTACTAGACAGAATTCAAGCAAACTATACGGTGCTCATTTCTTATATGAGAGGCCATGATAAAATATCCGAGAGACGTGCTTGCAAAATCAAATGTTACAAAAGTAGAGGTCCAAAAAACAACAACCTAGCCTAGGATTCAGCCCAGGTAGGTCCTATAAAAGAAATGTCAGTACACGCTTTCATTCAACCCAACGAAATGTGATCCTATTACGTTTTACTTGGAGGCGACAGCAGCGCAGCATTCCGAGTACCTCCTTTCCCCTTTCGGTGCAATGCACTTGACGTTAAAGTGAAGTGAATGAAAGTCAGAAATCACAATTGCTTTGGGTCTTGAAGCAAAAAATCATGACAAGTCTTACTCAAGGTGTAACTTACTCCGTCGTCGTCGTCGTAGAAAATGGGGTCAATAAACAAGGCTGGGACAACCATGTCCTTGAGCAAAAGCACCTTCGCGTTGACCCATATCTATTCCTGGGTTCATACATCGGTCAATATCCATTCCGGCGACAGCTTGTAGCACGACATAATCACTTGTAAGAGTATCGACTTTTACTTCACAGCAGCCAGCACCACATGTAAAGTAGGGGAGCATCGGTCCATCGGTCCAATGTTTGCAGCAAAGTCACATGTAGGATCTAGAGTCTTGAAGAATCCACGAGCCGTCAAAACTACGCGATCAAAGTAAGCCTTCCTAATAAGAGCCTCCCATGACAAGTCAAGATTAGCTACTGCGAGTGGTTCGAGACGAGCGTTTGTGTGAGCATATTCATACAGCATCGCTGCACCATTATATCTGAAGATGCAGACGCACTGTTGTCGACAGCTTCGTCAATATTTGCAGTTGGACAAACAAGATCTTGAATCTAGCTTGGAAGATGTATCATCCCCGCGTCTGGTTAACTTATAATAGAAAAGTTTCTCAAACCGAGACGAGAGTTGATCTTACAGCATATCGAAACTGCTGCGTGTGTCTGATACCATCACCGGCTGCAGAATTCATGATCCCATTACCTCATGTTAGAGGCGATGCAGAATGTACAAATATATTTTATGAGGTCTCGGTCTGCAAACTATTAATACAGTCTGTCTTTAGTTCCCAGCCAAAGGGAGGATCAGTCTATCAAAAACATCACACCAGACGGGAGACAGACCTGAGAATGGGTATGGTATACGAAGTCGGGCCCGACCATGTCTCTCGACAGCATCAACCCCACCAAACCTTGGAGAAGGAAGTCATTTGAGTCTGATGTGCCCAAAACAGTCCACTCCAGAAGTGCACTTACGGAATTCTACACGATCTGAGTAACCTTACCCCATCTCGGAATGGTTGACCGGGTTTCAATAAGAAACGGCGTCGAATTTCCATCGTAGAGTGTTACAACTCCCCAAGAAGCAAACAGTCTCTTGAACTGCTCGTCCACAAATGGCTGCATTTTTGAAACTATATGTAAATCCAGAGAATCCAGCTTGCCTAGATCTGCAGCTAATACTTTACGCCCACTGGGAAGAAGCGATTCTGTTGCTGTTATTTGTGCCAACCGCGACTTGAGGGTAGACGAGCCAATAGCCGATCCAGTATAAGAATTACCATTCGCAGCCTTAGCAAATGACGTTGGTATCGCTACATGTACTGGATTATCGTATTTGAATTGCGGTCCTTCTTGTTCGACGTCCCAAGTATCATTTACGTGGCTCCAGCTAGCTATAGAGCATTCAAATACTAATAAACCATTTCTAGCAATTATTCTATACCACTGTTCTACAATGTCACTCTTCATAGGAGTCAAATACCGGAATGTCGAGTAATCAACGACAATCAAATCAAACAGTCCATCGGGTATACACTTCAGAGCTTCCATATTCTCGAAATCCATCCATAAATAAAGAGATTCGTTTCCTTCGATGTCCCTAAATGCTCCTCCAAAACGATCTATGTAAATCCAGATGTAATCATCGAGTTGATGATCCGTGACAATGACCTTGTCTTTTGGACCACGACCTAGAATTGCTGCTAATTTACGTTTATCATTGCGTTTCTTGACTATTTTATTCACTAGAGCCGGTAGTGAACATGTCAAACAGTCTTCCTGCGATGAATGTTGATGTTTGGAAAAGACTTCGTGGCCAAAGCGACCCCACAAATCACTGCTAGTAGCCTCACTAAATCCTATAGACATTGTCACTCATAGAAAGGAACGGCGTTACCTCCTTGTTTGTTTCGACAATTTAGAATGTTGACTTTCAAGTCAATTGGTGAAGTGAGTGACGCGGATGAACATTGCCAAGAAAGCACCCCCAATTTACTAGTAAAATGGCACTATTCTATTCGGACAGTACAAAACGCTACAGGTTTCTGTAATTTTGCTAAACAACTATCGTGACCTATGATCGAGGCACATTTCTTCTGTTCTACTATACTCCACCAATCTATCACATAAAGAAATCTGGAAGCAAACGAAACGGAGTGAAATATGGTTTCTGGCAAACTGGCGTATAAATCTTTGAAAGGGCATTCAGTACGTTTTGTCTCGCCGCAACCTTGGAACGACTTGAACGAAATCGAAAGAGTGTCACTAGTTAGTTATATCCGCCAACTAGCTCTTCTTACGCAAGCACAGCTCTTATTCCAGATCTTGGCTCTCCCTTACAAGACAATGAGGGAAGATGACCCCTTGTGCCTCCATCACTTCATTCCCCAACAAGTGAACACAAGCGGAAGGAGTACGTTCAGGGAAGGCAGGCTCTTCCTTCGCCTTTGACATGTACATCAACAGCAGCTTCAGGTGCTTGATCTCCTTCATCATCTTTACCAGAATCTTCAGCTCCTACTTGTTGCGACCCATTATCAAGCTCCATATTTTCATCGTCATCTTCTTGTTGTTGCTGACCACTAGATTGTTCATTGGTTGGGAAGAATCTAAAGAAAGTTCAAGGTGCCAATACTACTGCTGTTAGTTATCATGAACCCCAATATTCTTATAGCACAAACACCTTGTTCCTTTAGTTGAAGCAAAGTTATATTTTGCAGCTTTACACCATCAAATACCATTTCTCCCCTTACTGGCACTTCTTTAGAATTGTTTTTATGGTATCAACCCAAATAAACCCCCTGTTTTAATACCACCATTTCGAATCACGGACTACATTATAGGTTCCCAACTCCTTTCGTTCTACAATACCCAAGTCATCAATCATTGGCTTGAGAGCTTTAAGGTATTGTTGATATTGTTCCTTCTTTTCGACCTTGTTTTCCAAGGCTTCGAGGATACGGACTGCAGTTGGGAATGTGTTAAGTCGACGACAGGCCGTGAGAGCATCCTGGATGACTTCCAATGAAGGGACCCAGTCAGCGGCAAAGATGAGATTGAGACCTCTTTCTAGTTCAAAGTCGTCCAAGTCTGCGGATGAGAAGTGAGTTCGCCATTTAGTGACATATCCGTTGTAGTCTGTTTCGGGAGCGAGCTCAGCAGAGTAGGAGCGGATGATGGTTGTTGGGAGTGCGAATCGAGTGCCTATTGATTTGTTTATATGGCATGTCAGAGATGCTCTCACGAAATGTAATAAACCGAAAAAGAGTGAAAAAAGCAACTTTTTGACGTACGCTGAGCTAATGATAATACTCGTAGACGATGAGCTGATGGTGCTAGTCTGGTAGCTATGCTTAAGCGGTTCATGGCTGCCTTTACTCGTCGACTTTACTTATGACTCTTGTCGCTGTGTTTGGAGGAAATACAAAATTGCTAAAAGGGGAGCTAATGCCAACAACCGGGTCTATCTAATATGAGATAAATAATGTGTATCGAGGTTAATGAGACCAAATTCGCCAGACTCTCTCTTTTCCTCGCGTGAAACACGTCACTCGTCATGTCAGATACTCTATACAGAAACTTACGACATTTTACAGATTTTGACAGACTCTACTAGACATCTCATGTATAAATTCTAAATTCGACGTACTATGCGTGACTGATGTTCTATATCTCACCAATAACCAACATCAAATCCAATACTCTCACTCCGCCAATTCAACAAATAATGGTCGCTCCTTTGTTGGGCAAATATAAGGCAAAACTAGTCTTACATAGATATCTATCAACATTCTTAGGTGGATTTAGAGTCCCATATCAAGGAACTCCTCCCTTTCATTACTTGATCTGGCTGCTCGCACTCTTCATCTTTTGGGCACTTGCTGAACTGTTAACCGCGACCATTGAAGACGACGGAATCGACAGATCAGTCTATTTCGTTAGCATCACAAGTCTCATTTTCGGAGGTGCGGTTGGCTTCTACCACCAAAGTGTGCCCTTCATCAAATTCAATAACATTGTGTGTTTTTTACGCAAACGTCTAGTTCTCGTTGGGATATGTCTAGTCAGCTTATGGACGGTCGGGCTTCTGCTACAACGACGAGATTTTGGATTATCGTCGCCGATCGATCACGCTGATGAAGATGCGGATCTCATGTCGCTGGGAGATTCGTTTAGATTCCTTTTTCAGCTACCAAAGTCGCTACTCCAGGCTCTATGTAAAGTAGTCGTTTCTGTGCTCGCATTGCCGTTTGCAATGAGCAGACTGAGTATAGGTCTACTGCCGTAAGTCGAGAGTCTTTGACAAATCGTAACAAACAGTTTGGCCCAACACACACTTATGATATAGATTCGGCAATCTTTCTGTTATTGCACACACATTTGGATGGCTGAGTGTATCCATAGCGCAGTGGAGTATAACAAGGTATGCTCGGCCGTTGTGTTTGAGATGAATCCCAATCTCATCACCTCACACCTCCACTTCATCGCAGCTCTGCACCACCTGAACCTAGCACGACCTATTCCACCGACGATTGGGGAATTGACACATTTTCGCGTATTACTCATGTGGTTGTGTTACTAGCATTGAATACTATTGGGGTAAGTTGTTGCTCCGTAAACGGATTGCGTTAGGCTTTTTTTAGCCTTATCGCTAAAATACCCATCAAATAGGCTACATACTCTTCCACACTAGCAAGCGCATCTATGATAATACTTTGCACCCTGCCACTACTATGGGTCCTAGGCATAATACCATCTCTACGAAACTTGACTGAATGGACACTCGAAGTAGTCAACATGTGTCTACTTGGAGGAACAACCATGTCAACCTTCATACTCTTAACCTTCCAAGTCTGTTTTGCATCAGCATGTATCGCTATAACATGGGCTCTAGCCCGCAATTCATCATCAGCAACAGCACCGTTCGTGTGGATGGCCATAATATGCACGTTAACTGGATCCCGAGGATTCAACAACCCGTATTCTATATCGGGACCGTTCATAGCCGTTGAATTGGGATGGACGCTTGTGAGGACGATCATAGCTGGTGTTTTGGTTGGTCAGTTGACTGCAGTTAGTTCTGCTGCTGGATGGATTATAGTAGGATGTGGTGCCGCTCAATACGTTTCATATGTGGCAAGTCAGCCATACGTATTTTCGATACTCGCAAACCCTTTGGCAAAGATCACACAATGGCGTAGTATACAAGTGTCGCAAATCGTGGTGCATCATGCCACACCATTCTTGATACAGTGTCTTATATCAACCAGTGCTTTTACGAGTGCAAGCACTGAACCCGAGATCTGGATCTGGATTATGACGTTTCGTATCATGAGACGTGCTTGGGTGAACGTTACTGATTCGGCAGTTGAAGTGGCTGTTGTGTTTTTGATCTCGTTAAACTCCAGCTTAAGCGACTGGAACAATATTAGCTTTGTTAGTCGATGCTTTATAGTTGGACTGTTATGGGATCGTGTCAGGACTTTCGTAAATCAGTTATGGCTGGTTGGAAATTCTTGGGTGTGGTTTCTGGTATGACTCAGCTCTCGTACCTTACCGCTCAAACCGAGGGAAATAACTTACATTAATTCTCCTGATCTGACTCCTCAGTTCAGTAAAAAGCAAAGAAGGAACTCATGGCCCATCATGCTTTCAATTGGCATCGTGACGTTACCAATCACCTTGGCAATCATCGCAATTGCCACAATATTGGACGCACCACTAGTGCCACTATTCGGTTTGCCCTTTGTTTGGATTGGGTTTCCTCGCATTGCTCGATTTTGGCCCAATACAGGTATTCAAACGTTTAAGTAACAGCGGAAACCCTTGACTAATTGTACTCTTTCCTCAGGCTCAGAAGCACCACACTCTGCAGACTCGACTCTCTACTCATCACTAGCACCACCTCTCCTCAAAGAAATATCACGAAAATGCCAATCAAGACTATCTCCAGCACGAATCGGAACCACATACCTCGCCCGTCAAGAATCCCGCATCTTATTGATCCGAATCGTATCAACCAGTTTCGAAGGTATCACAGTTTCATTACGAGGCCTAGAACTACAAGGCACAAGCTGTCATGCTGTTGAAGGCAGACAACTTGATCGTGTGTTTGAGAGTGGGTGTTTGGATAGTAAGGACACCAAACCGAAGGTTGTGCTAAATCAAGACTGGCTAAGTGCGCTACAACCATTGGCATCACTGGATGTTGAGACTTATTCGGATTCAAGATTTTCAATGGTTGGAATTATGGATTCGCCTGATAATCTCAAGAAACTGCCAAGTTTGTTTTTCAAGGCTCTTGTATGGCTCATGTTTCGAGATGCCGATCTTGCGCTGGATACGTAAGTCATTCAGCAAAAAAATGGAATTTGATATGATTGACACAACACGTCGTTGAATAGATGGAAGAATCTACCCGTATCTCGGGACGCCATACAATTATCCCAACGTCAATTTCCTGTATTGTGGTGGCAGTATCTCAAAGGACGCAACGACGTAACATCTGAACCAGGTGTATCGTCCATACCGGATCTCGTCATTCGGCCAGCAGACACACTGTTTATGGCGACAGCTGCTGCTTGCTTTTGTGTATATCTGGGATTTGGTAAATGCTCCTGTTGCAATGCATCTTCTGTTAGAGTTTTTCTCTGCTCACCAGTTTTATGAACTTGGTGTCGTTTTTTATAGAAGAGTACAATGAAAGCGTGACACTTCCGGACCTGCCCTACCGACTCATGCAAGGCAAAACATCAACCACATCTCAACATCGTCAATGGATGATGAATGCAGAACAAAAGCCCTTGTTATCCTATTGTCAGTTGGCTGGACGATACGCTGTTCGTGCAGTGTTTGAAAATGCAGCTATACCTTCGACTGGTGCATTTGATGAACTGGAAGTGAGTTCATTTGTCCTCACCATCCGATGCTCTCTTTCTGCCATTTCTGAAAACTAACAAATCAACCCAAAAATTATTACAGAAACAACTGGACCAGTGGCACAAGAATGATTTCGTTGGTTTGGATCCAAGTGTGGATGTCAACAGTTCCGCAGAGTGGGATAAAGCTGTGCGACATAAGAGGAAGACATTGTTTGGAGTTTCCAAAGACAAGAATGGTGGGAGCTTGTATGCTCGAGTCATGCATCTTGGGATGCAGCGCGTGGCTTTGGGTGAATTGAATTCTGAGGTTGTTAGAGTAAGTCATTGGAAATACGTTGATTGACCGTTGGATATTTTGCATACGTTCTGAAAGCTGAATGTTCGAGATTGACTCCAAAACCTAAACATCTGTGTTGATAGGGAATATGGGCTAATCTATCTTTCGAACTGTTATATATGACCAACGACGATGACGGTATGGCTGCGCTCCATGTATCCGATTTTTTTCGCTCTCCTGTTGACACTATTTTTCTGTTACAGAACGAAACAGCTTACAAGCCCACGAAGGCCTCTTCCGCAACATCATAACCCAAGCCGCAGATCCACCACTAGGCTACCCAGTCTGGTGCTCAACAGGTCAAATCGACCAAGCAGGGATATCCTCTGCCACAAGATTCATTCATTCGATATGGACTAGTCTGGTAAATCGATTCCATGCGACGACGTTAAAGAGGAGAAAGACGAAGCAGCAGAGGAAGAGAGTAGCGCCGTTGAGAACGTTGCCGGCTGATTCACCCGCTGATTTACGGCCGACAGAGTTGGAACTTGATGAGCTTTGTGATGCGTTGCACGATATGTAGATGGTTTGTGTTGTTTGTCGTAGATATGTATACGATACACTTTCAGACAGTGGAACGTGGTTGTTTATGTTATTATTGGGTTGTGATGCCGACCGCTTTACTTTCGATCACCTCCTTATTATGCCAGCAAGAAAAATGAGTGTCAGCCGAATGCTGAAGCAGCCGTGATCGTAGATCACGCATCTCAATAGTAGATCAAAGTCGTTCTCATAGCAAAACAAGCCTCATCTGCTGTGATGATGTGGCTCAATCGAGTGCTAATCTTGTTCGAAGATTGACGTCCAATGAATTCTGATACTTCAATTGACAAAAGCAGATCAAAGATCAATAAATCAACATTGATCAATCAGCGTATTTTTCAACAAATCCAAAAAGATCATGGCGTGCCCTGGCAGTTTCAACGTCCTACACATCAAAGGAGCTGGTCTTGACCAGCGAAGTCGGTAGCCGCTACGTATCATATAGTGGTCAGTAGCGAGAGTAATCACCGAATCAATTCCTGGCGCTACGCGCCCCAAGAGTCCTCCTTCCAATGCCACTGAGCTATTCGTCCTTTGCTATAACAAGATGCAACCTGTGTTGTTTATATACCACACAGAGAGAGATTTGAAGATTTTGTTGAGTGTGAGAGGACATACTGATAAGTAGAGGTAGTCATTCGTTCTTGTTTCTTGAAATGCGCGTGCTGTATTTATGGTGTTTAGGTTTTGGGGTTGAATACACCATACAAGGACGCATCTGTTGCTAATCGTATCTAGATCATGTCATAGATTACTGCTAAAAGTCACATCCGTGATAGCCGTGACTGCCCTAATGTTGGGTAAAGTATCCGTTTTCTCGCATTGCGTTCGTTGTTCAAGAAGGGACGAAACTGCCAACACAACCTTTGAATGTTAGATATGCGTTGCCTTACCACACCTTGATCTTCTTAATATGGATCATTAAAGACACTGGAATTACTGGAATGGACATTCGAAGTAATCAACTTTGGCTGGCTCTCCTGATTTTCTCAATTGCCTTGCCATTTGACAGTCGTCGCTAGTTGCGACATCATTGGACGTACCGCTGCTGCCGTGATTCAGATTGCTCTTGGTTTGGACTGGATTCCCTCGCATCGCCAGATTCGTTGGAAATTGCCGAGGTTGTCGTTCAAATCTCGTGCTATGGCTAGTGTTTCAGGAGGCTGATCTTGCGCTGGATTCGTGGACCTATGAGCTCAGATTAATTTTCGAACTCGATGTATTGACATTCTGGATTTGTGCTCAAAAAACTCCTTGATCCCAATGATTGAAGTACTGAATTTTTCAGTATCCACACTGGACGATTGTGTTGGGAATCCTGCGATTCCGGCCTTGGTTTGTAAGATTAAAATCATTTCAAAATCTCGCGATAATCTAACCTCGCGATAATCCAAAAATGCTCGACGTCCATTCTGCAGCTGAACAACAATTCGTAAGAAAATCCCAAAGTCAAGATGCAAGGAGGGAAAGCACTGCCTTCAAGAGCAAGAAATTAGATCCGGAAGTTGCCATTTGTAGGAAATTCTGGCTCTTGACTGGCGTTTCACTTACAATGGGACTGTCTCTAGTAATATGGCTGTTTTATGAACTGATTGCAGGTAGAATGGTAAATGCTGATTTTGCTGGTGTAGCCGAAACAATGGTGAGCAGTGTTGATTTTTATATGGCGGTGTTGCCATTGCTCGTCCTTCGAAACATAGCACTCTAACCACACATGATTATTTTCTGACAGACTATTATGCAACCTTTAGTAGACTGTAAGGAAAAGCACTGATTTCTGAAAAAACTGTCACTTGTGTCTTACTTTTCTTTCAAAACTAGCCTCTTTGATCTTCTATATGGACCTTTCAGTACGCACCAAGGTTCTATCGTCGTTTGGATGGAAGCAAGAATTTAAGGATGTGAATGGCCCCCAACGCCCAAGTATAGACGCATTCCATGGCATAATCATTTTAATTTACTTTCCGGAACTACTACTCGGATTGCAAGGTCACTCTACTCAATATCAAGCAACACCTTAAAATATTTCCGTTTTGCTCTCTCTTTTGTCTGTTGGTGAACTCCCGCTTATACAAATCAAGATTCCGTTTGAATTATTTCGAGATTTTCAGATATTGCCTCACTCAGGCCCTATGGATGGAAGAACAAGAACATTTTATGTATCCATTGGTTCATTGGCGGCCGCTGTATTACCCTGATGACGATGGTGATATATCTCGGTTATCATGTCTCCTTTTTCGCCTTCCAGTGACACCGTTCCCCTAGCTCACGCAGGCCTCTTCCCAAGCAAAGTCACCTAACACGCAGATCTACGACCAGAGTGCCAGTATGGTGATCTTCAGATTAAGTCTGCCAAGCAGAAGTATCCTCAGCAACAAGATTCATTCACTCCATATGGACTAACCTCGTGAATCGATTCAACGTGACGGCGTTAGGGAGGAGGGAAACTAGACAGCAGTGGAAGAGAGCTGCGCCTTTGAGATCTTTGCGTGATTCGCCTGGCTGATATACGACCGACTAAGGAACTCGACGAGCTTTGTGTTTGTTGTGTTGGAAAACATTTCAGCTATTTGCATTCTATGATTTCATATTGTAGATACGCTGCAATACACGTAAAAAAATTCAGAATACAATTCTCATTCCGTTCGTAGTTTTTTGATGCGGCGATATTTTTCAAAAATCACACTTCACAGCTGAAGATAGGTTAGTAGAACTTCTGTGTGGGTAGAATGGAATTGTTTGCACTTTGATGAGTGACGAAGAAGAAGAAGATCCAACGTAAGTCGTAAGCTGGCTATTTTCCCGTAACTCTTTGAGGGTTTTCAGTGTGGTGATTGTTTCAAACCAAATCCCAAAAAATCGTATATACCGGTCGCTGACCATACCTTGTATCTTTAGGATGCCTATCGCAAAACAGCTTGGAAATCATGTTCAAGTAACGAAAAACTTGCAAAGGGCTCGTGTACGTTGCTGTTGACATTTACATCAAAACATTTGAAGCTCACGATTTCTATTTTTTTTCCCAGATTCGAGCAATAGCTACAATCGAAAGCATCGTATCTGCAACACCGACCGTAAAAGTCCTGACTCTAAAAGTATCTGCCACAGTACCAGACACAAACCTCAAAAAATCATGGCTGCAGTTATCAGGAATAGGAGAAGATGAATCGGCCAACACCACCAATAACGAAAAGTTTACCTTCAAAGCTGGACAATGGGTTGATACATTCATCCCAACCACTTCTTCTGTCGGTGGATTCTCTCTGGTGTCGACTCCAACCATGTTATCAACAACAGGACGATTTGAGTTGGCTATAAAACGAGCTCCAAAGAACCCAGTCGCTGAATACCTGCACCAGAAGGCCCTGCCGGGAGATACAATCCAAGTACGAGTCGGTGGTAACTTCTACAGTGAAACCAAACACAATGAACACGCTGGATTCCTCCTGATAGCAGGTGGTGTTGGCATAAACCCGATAATATCCATCATGACGGACGTACTCGAGAAATGTCCATGGAAGAAATGCCATATCATGTATGCAATCAAATCATTGGACGAGTGTCTATTTAGAGATCGGATTAGAGAGCTCGTAGCTAATTCAGAGGGAACCGTATCTGCTACTGTATACCTGTCACAGCAAACTGCTACGCTAGATGAAGCCGATGGACTGGTGATAGAGAATAGAAGGCTAGGAAAAGAGGATTTGGCTAGTGCTCTTGAATGTGCTGAGATTGATAAGGCAGCAACAACTCACAGTATATATTTATGTGGACCTCCTTCACTAGAACAGGATGTGATGCAGGGTCTAGAGGAGCTTGGAGTCAATCCCCAGGTTATTGCCAATGAGAAGTGGTGGTGAAGGAAAATAGAGACCACACATGACATAATGTTAAAAACACGCTGCTACAATCCCATCTCATCTAAATAATAAATTATATCACCACAGGATGATTCACCACGTTTTGGAACCGTCATGCCCCCACTTTCCAACATTCGGCTTGTTGGAACAAACAAGGCCCGTATTGGACCATACATATCCTTCCAATCACCAAAGGGTTTTTTGTTTTCAGTTTTGCGAGTGCAACAATTTTGTCACCGCAAAAAAGCTACGCGACTCTGTTTTAACTTGTACGTGATATACCTGAAATATCCATACTCGCGAATGCCTGTGGTAGGTCCATCTGCACGAAACCCAACCGCGCAACAACACCAAAACCACGCAAAACAAAATATCGATGTGCAGACACATCTAAAATTCTGTAGATGCTTTCAAGGTATTACTAAGATGTTTCATTTTCGTCTGAATTTAATACTAATTTCTCTGCCTGTTTCTTCTAGCTCACCAAATCCTAACGATTCAGTCATCAGCAATCCTACATTTCAGAAACTATTTGCGAGAGACCAAGAGACTTATTGCTAATGGGACGATACCGAATTACAAGAGTGCTCTGACGAGGAGAGCGAATGAGTCTAGTGAAGGTGTCACGCTGGGTGTGCCTGTGTCGATATTGATGGATGCGGCAGTAAGTCGAGTTCATGGTTTTTAGGCAGACCAAACCACTCACGCCTTTTATGAAATAGGAGCTACTGCGACACTCTATCTTCTTAAAAGATGCCTTCTATCAATTAGACAGGGTTTCTCTAGCAGCTCTCCGAAAGCAGTAAGCCCATCATCCAACCACGACGTGTGTCAACCATTAAGAAGTTCCAACTAACTCTGATACTTTTTCAAATTAGTTATCCACCGAAAAAGGACTCGAAAATCCGCAAACGAGAACCCGAACACCTCGAACGTAAACTAATCGCCCATAAACAATTAACCAAACCATCATCAGCAAGATCCTATTCACCAGAATGGCATCTCGTCAAATCCAAAATAATACCACGGAAACTCAAATTCGCTAAATGGAAGGAGACGGGATTGAAATTGGGGTCTTCGCCGTTACGGAATTCGTGGACTTTGGAAGCAGAAGAAGATGATGATGAAGTCGATGAAATTGTAGGAGAGCAAGTCAGTATCATTATCAGTACGATAGTAGCAATACAAGCACTACCACCGCCATCGGTCGTGCCAGCACCAAAACCACCAACGATATCGGTCGAGCCAGTACCAGACGATCCAGACTGTATCGAAGTCATCAATCCAGAATCCAAAATCTCGTCCACCCTACCATGTGAATTCGACGTTCGACGAGATTCAGGATACGTTGATACTCCAGCTGCAACCACTCCAAAGCCATTTTCTGAAGGGATTGATATTACAACATCCTCACCATCACCAGCATTACACCAACCTCTACCACAGCCAGCATCACAACCACAACCAATACCATCACCAGCAGTCACAGACAAATCATTTACTGCACTTGCAGCAGAAGACACAGACACATCGGCATTCTCAAAAGTCGAATGGCAGGATTTCGATGATCGACAGCCATTACTATGTACAGATGCACTAGCACTGGATGATATACCTGTTGGTGAAGAGTCACCACGACCGTCCCAAAGCAAGACGACTGCTGAATCCGGATCAAGTTGGGGGAATAGATTATGGAAGTGGTGGTGGTCTTCATCTGGAGCGGCAAGTTACTATAATTGATAATGTACGAAATTTCTATATATAAAGTATCAGTCAAGACAATATTACAGTATAAATCTTCAGCTTTGTCTCTCAATCACGATGCAAAGACACAGACTTTAAGACATCAACCACATCATGCAACAATGGCTCAGCAGCAAATACTCCATCTTCATGAAAGTACGATGCGAATGATTTCTTCATGGTTGCTGTAATTGGTTTCTTTTCTGAAGAAGATGATTTTGAGTTGGATTTGGTGGTAGATGATGACAAGCCAAGGACATAATCTGTTGATTCCTTTTTGATGGATGATGTGAGTGTTAGGTGTAACGCTGGGTCCTATTTTGCAACATGTTATTTTCGATTTTTTAGCTATATCATCCAGTAAGAGCAAGGTTTACCAATCCAAGAGGATCTTTTTTCACACCAACAAAAATCACATCCTTTTCGACATATTGCACGTATATCGTTGACCATGTGTTGAATATCACAAACCTACATAAACCCAACGATCAGCAAACAATACACCAAAAAAAGGCTTCTTTCAGTTTCACATACACGACCAGCCCAACAGCGAGCACCAATTTCGTCTGAGCATCCCAAGGCATCATGTACGAGTACAGAGAAGACGAGCCAGCTGCTATGGCAGCGATATATCCCAATACGAGTTTCGTATCTGTATGTGTGTGGTTTTCACTGTATTTTTGGTCTAGTGTCAAGATCTAATACGTTTGATGTGATGAGATGTTTGATGTCCTATTCGCGATTTGAGACTAGACTTCAATACAGTCAATATGCGATTTTTCCAGACGGGTAAATACCTTTCGAACACCATCGTCTATGGTATGTTTCAATTCTGCTAGATTATATTGATTGATTTGGACGGGATTTGATTCTGCTTGAAATATTGAGTTAGAACAACCAACTTGAAGTCAAAACAACGCAATAAACTTACTGTAAGCTTCTAAATATTTGGACTCTTGACTCTTTGGCTCTGGACTCTGAGGTGCCATCTTGTTTTCCTTGGTTTCAACGTGGAAGTGTAAAGTGAGGAGTTTTGAACCTAATTTGAAGCTCACAAGCCAGAGGGCAAAAAAACAGAGAGTACCCATGACAAGCAATGCGTATACATCCTCCTATATTCTTATTTCTTATATTTTGATTTTATACAAGGATGCTTCTTAAAACATTCCCAACTCTTTCACTAGCCCCCTTATAGTATCATCGAGTTGAGCCTGCTTCTCTTCAAAGCTAGCGAAAGAACTACTCAACATCTTTTTCTTACCCTCATCAACTTCCCCACCCCCACTTTCAGTCAACACATCCAACACTTCTCCATGAAACTTTTTGAATGCAGAAAGCTTATCACTATACGCTTTACTCAATTGTAGTGCTCCAGATGCAAGTTTCGGTGCTAGATCCTCGACGGCAGTACTGCCTTCCAATATGGTGGATTGTAGACCTCCCATTGTTATATCGACCGCTTTAAATGTTGATGTATACGAAGTCTTGCTTTTGGCGTCTTTGGCTTTTTCAAAGTCGTATTGCATGTTCTTGAAGAGGACGGTGGCACCTGAGGCGGCTTGAATGATTGAGATTCGGAATGTTGCGATGATGTCGTCCTGTCTTGATTTCTCATCCTATTGAGTAAAAAGACGAGATGTCAGTAGTGATTGCCAAAAAAATGGTCGTCATCCAATAAGGATTTACAGGTATGATGGAAAAGTCCAGCCTCAACACAATCATGGAGAGTACAAACAAAGCAAAGAATACACCTGTAGCCAATAATGGTTTGCGATACAAGTTGTAATCGGCATAATCATATGAAACCTACAAGCAGTTGTGAGAATCTTCACGAAATCAAAGGATTCGTGCATGTTTCTTTTGTGCCAAAGCAAACAGATACAAGAAGCTTACATAGACGATACCATTGTGCTCATCCACTACATTGTTCTTCTCCAATGTAACAGCTGGACGTCCCACAGTATCCAAATACCAGTAAACGATACTTTGACTTTCATGGTCTACTAAGAATGGTGCTGCTACTCGGACATTGCTATATAGAAATTGCAATTTGAAAGGTTAAAAAAATTGTCGCGGCAGATGAAGGTGACGCTTTCAGAACAAGAAAAAATCTTGCCAAGCTCGGATATGCAGAAGCACTCACTCGGCTCCTTCAGGCAAAACGACACGAAGCGTAACCTTATCATGCGTCACATTAGTAGTGCTAGCAATAAACGGTATGGCCAATGCATATTTCGAACCACGATGTCTCAGGAAATCCGACAACGGAACGCTATATCCGTGATACCAAGTATACTTCCATCCACCCCATACAGGATAACGTGGTTTGATTTCCATGACGGATTTCGTTCGTTCGTTACGATATTTGGAAGTGGATACATTTCCCACTGTATCTCTATAAAAGGCATTGTTGGCTTTGGGAGGGAATGTCAGAGTCAATTGACGGAGCACGTTTTGACGATCGTGTGTTGCTGCTGAGAAGGCGTAGTCAATCCGCGAGAATTGGCCCTTCAATCTATGTGTTTTGTAGAGGAGTGAGTGAGAAGCAAAAAAAGCAAGCGCTCTCGAGAATAGGGTCAAAATAAATTTTCAACGTCAACTTACTTGGCACCTTCATTAGCCAACTCGTAATGCTCTTCGACAGACAATTGTCCACCCCAATGACTGACCCATACATCTCTAAACAAGCTCTTTGCCACCAGTACAGGCTTTGAGTCTTCATAGTGTACGTTTATCTCGTTTATTGTGTTTGCAGCAACATCCTTGTATGGTCCATACGTAATAGCGTTGCCAGATTTGGCAGCTGGTGATGGATTTGCAGAGAATGTGATTACGTTCGAGTTTGGTAGTCTATATGTGTTGAGTGTGAGTTTTCAAAACCGCAAAGAAACCGGCACCTCTACAAGTTCAATTACCTGATGGTAGTCTTTTGAGTTGTTGTAGGGTAACCACTGACATAGTTGGCACTTCCAAAGAACTCTAGATACTGTTTATCGGATTGTGGTATTTCGATAGGATACGGGCGAGATCGTTTTGTGAATGCAGCCTTGATTGTGACTGTTCCACTCGACATTGAACTTTTCAGTTTTGCTCGATACATGTGCATTTGACTGTATAGGGGCAGGAAGAGAAAGGATGAGTAATTAAATAATATACATAAAATATAACGCGTAAACCATCAATCGAATATGCATACCTTGTCTGATTTCCCCAAGTAGCCGCAAAGTCGAGTCTGATGCCAGCATCATTGAGCATATCCAGAGAAGCCAGACGACCTGAGCAGGAGAGAGGAAGTGCGAATATATATTCATCGGTTGATTTCCCATCCTCTTCTACCCTGAATGTGACTTTGGTTGTCTCTCTTGTAATGGCACTCGTCAAATCAATTGTTCGTTCGACGTTTTCATTGATGAGAGGTATCCTATCGGATTTGGCACTTGCAAGGCCAAGACATATTAATAGCAGTAGCAGGATACTGCTTATTGGTATAGTAACTATATTCATCTCCGTCGTTTTAAATGGAGAGAATGCCTTGTAGGTGTTTGGTCAAGACGTGAATTGTGAATAGGAAACCGAGGAACAAGGTTGCAAGTTGAAAGAGGTTATGTGGCAATTGAAATTTATATTTTGGTGTCTTTCAAGTGAATACTACTAAGTGGCAACGACAAACAAGACTGGATTTACATTTATGGATTTATATGGTATAGTTCGTTGGACTTAGAAGAACTTCTTTATCTTGTCAAAGATCACAGACGATTTTGACTTTGCAGAACTACCAGACTTGGCACTCTAAAGGATGGGATGTGTAAGTAAGTGAGAAATGCAAACTAATTTTGAATTACGTACAGAGTTGGAGTATGTTCTTGGAAAGTATGTAGTTGGATATGAATACTCTTCACCTAACGAGTGCAGTTGGTCTGGTTCTTGCCAACTAGGCACTTCTACTGCCACATTACTGTTGGCCACCATAGATGCTGGATAGTATGTAATTGGTTGCTCGAATTCACCAGAGAGATAGTGCAGTTGCTGATCCTGATGAGTAGGCACTTTGACTTTGGGAGATGGAGCAGAGAGGATTGATTGCTGCTTCTTGTTGCGTAGCTGAGCGAATGCTTCTACAGATTTGGTAGACATCGTAGATTGAGTAGTTTCGAGCTTGTTGAAGATGCTTTGAGCTTGTTGAAGATGTTTTGAGTTTTAAGAATGTTAGCAGTGTCACGCATCAAGTGATGCTTTAAGTAGTGTCGCCAAAGTGGCTGTACGCACATGTGCCAAAAACAGCTGACTTGCTTTCAAAGCAGCAGGCCGCCAGAGTCTGGGGCCTTCGACAAGTTTCTAGGGATTTTAGATTTTAGGTTCAGTTTCGACCGTAAAATGCCTCATTCTACTACGGATGAATTCCACCTTTAAATTAGACAATCGATCTTCGACGACTATTCTCGCTCGAACACTCGTGTCATACAACAATGCAAAGTAGATGTCATAGGTATATTTGTTGTGTAAATTAATATACTTTGATACCTCATTATACGCCGACCGAGTAGACGCGATTCTCGCATTCCAAACCCAACTATCATCAAACATGTCCTCTCTTTCTCTCACTTAAAGGTGTTAACGTCGCATCGCATCTCTATAACTCTTCAAAGCATCTCATATTTCGCCCGTCAATATCTCAGTTGAAGCTCGCATCGCTGAAGAATTCAGTACTCGCTCAACTCACAACGATTGTATCAAATGACATAGCAAGGATGGTGCCTCCAAATGGGCCTCCAAAGCAGCCTCAGCAGCAGACAGCAGCATCGCCATTAAACTTTGTACGATACTTTGGAGCTAATAATCAACAACCAAGCACATCGTCAACATCAACACCAACACCATCAACATCATCTTCAACATCAATCATAAGCAATAATGGAAGGAAGCATCAACAACTGCAAAATAATCCTCCAATCACATCCAATTTCTCTTTTCAACCTTCTACACCTTCTCGAGTTCGTAAATCATCAACTATATCTGAACATCCAACTGTCAAGAGACCACGCACATCGCCTAGCAAGGAGATTGAAGAAGAAGAAGAAGTAGAAGAGGACGATGATACAGAACAACATTTACAAGTGAGCCAACCTAATAGTGGTGGTGAACAACAACAAGAAGGAGAAGACGATGATCATGAAGAAGACAATGAAAATATCGGAAATGAAGATGGGTTGACACAACAACAGGATCATACTGGTCAAGAAGGAGAAGAAGAAGCTGGTAAAACTGATGATGGGGATCAAGCACCTCAAACTTCTGGCGATGCTCAAGCCAAAATTGAAGGTATATGATGATGACCTGTCACTTCGTTTCAAGAATCTTTCATGTTGAACTCATCAATCGTACGTTATTCTAGAGTTTGCAAACAAGGCTACAACTATCTGTCGTTCATTATTTGAAGGAATTGCAATGTGAGCTCACACACTCTCACCACTGTGATGACACTTGAACCACATCTTCAATCTAGGATGACTCAAATTGAAGACAACTTCAAAGGAGAACTGATTCTACGTCGTCAAAGTATTGAAGAACGTGAAGCTGCATTGCAAGCAAGGAAGAGAGCTATACGAGAACGTACTGCTCCTCTGTTTTAAAACTTGCTGGTGAGTGAGAGTTGTGATAGTGAAGTCCTACGACAATATAAGTTTGACTACTTTGTAAAGAAAGAGTTGTGATGCAGAATGAAGGTGCCGTTTTCAGTTAAAGAAGTGTTTGCAAGTGTTAAAATATTTGATCCCGTCCATCAGGTTCAATTTCCAATATGCGCAATGCGCATTACTGAAAATGCTGCTTGGGATGTCATGATGTCTTGATGCACGTTTATATTATGGATATTTCTTGTTATCAAGGCACGTGTCCCCTCACCATGGGCGGTTTGGGCAGTTTCTGTAGGTAAAAGTAGATTGTCGCTAACACTTTGGCCGAGATAGATATATACAAAAATGTTGTAAACCATAGCTTCTAACACTGCCCAAGTCGATATTATCATAACAACGCTTTTATTATCTAAAGCTAGGTTGTACCTTCTCGTGCGTCGAACTCTCCGCGAACTTGCTAAGTTCAAAAAGCGTCATATGTACCGTTAGTATGACGTTCCTCCTTCCTTTTCAGCCATAGTACGTCCACCTGTATTCATCGCTCAGTCAGATGTATTCCCGTATAAAAGCACCTTCAATATAATACAAACACCGTTGATATCGTTCAGATACAAAGCAACAAAGCTTCTTCCATCTCAGGAACGAACTTTATGATATCGTCTACACAGCGCGTAATCGTACCACACGATCAGAAACACATCGCAGAATGTCGAATGTTGTGTCAAGAAACAAGATAGTATTGGAATTGTGTAATCAGAGGCAATTCATTCCATTTGGCACATAGAGGAGATTTGACTTGGAGCGTTCCGTGCAAAAGCTTCAGCAGATTCTTGTCCTTCACCATTCTCAAAACCACTCCGATAGCTCAAAGCGAGATAACGACTGTAGGCAATCGCCCCATAGAAACAAGTAAGTCCGTAGTCCACATAGCATGCAGTACGGGCATTCCATCAAACTAACTCTCCTTCTCCTGCGTAGGATGGGCAGTACAGGTCAAAAGTTCAAGGACGCTATGAAGAAGGAACCTAAGTGGTTGCAGACAATTCCGCCAGATCCAAAGTTTGGACATAATTATCTGGCCATTGCGCTTGATAACATTGGATTCGATGGTCAGGAATTTTCAAAGACCTTTGGGTTTGGTGAATCATCGTCATCAAGTGCTGGAGTCTCGAGGAGCAACTCGTTGCCGACAATGGGATCTAGATCTGTACGAAGGCAGAGGAGGAGTAACTCGCCTGATAGTGTCAAGTATCATGGATTTGCTCGCAGGTCCTTCTTGTCTCGTCTAGCACCCTTCTACAAAGAGGTTGCTGTTATTTTTGGGCTGTTTCTGGGCATGATGCTTCTGGTTTGGCTCTTTGCTAACGGTAAAATTCAATATCGATCGTGTTTACATGTCTTTGCTGCTTTACCGTGTGATCTGTCATCTCAGTCAACTCATCAGCAACACGTTGACACTCTATAGACCCAAAAGATTACGTCGAAGATTACTATCCAGGCCGCATCCCAGACCGAATACGCAAACACCCAATACCTATACCCGGTGACGTATTGTGGCCACGCCCGAACGACTACACACATGGATATCAATCGATAGGTGTACATCCAGACCTGGAATTCTTCCTCATTGGTCCTCCATCACCACGTCTAGAACGAGCGTTTGCAAGATACAAGAACCTAACATTTGCATCGGGATGTGGCCTTGTTGGTCAGAAATCACATCCAACATACACCACATTCTTACAGCAAGTGCATGTATATATAGAGCTAGGAGACGACGATGGGCCGATACTAGAGCTGGCCGATGAGATGTATACAATGGATGTACCAGCACTGTCAACGCAGGCTAGTATTAATGCGACTACTGTCTATGGGGCTATTCGAGCTCTCGAGACTCTGGCGCAACTGGTACGAGTTGATGAATCTATACCAACGTCATGTAGATATGTAAAACCAGATACGCAAGTGACGTATGTCATCAGGAATGTGCCGTGGTTTATAGCTGATAGCCCGAGGTACAAGCATCGTGGTCTATTGTTGGATACTGCTAGACATTATTTCCCCGTCGAGTATATTGAAAGGATTTTGGATGGGATGTCGTATACCAAGATGAATGTGTTGCATTGGCATATTGTTGATTCACAGGTATGTTTTTCGTGTTTTGTGATGTTAAAACAAGGGAGTTGTCTCATTTCGTAGTGTGTCTTGACTATTTTTTCGCATCGTTAGAGCTTTCCTTTTGTAAGTACGTCCTTCCCTGAATTATCAGCCAATGGTGCTTATTCGCAGGTAAGGCTTACAGCAACATCATGTATCTCAAGCAAGCACTAATACTCGCTTCATATAGGATGAAGTCTATACTCACAGTGAGCATTGGATTCCTTCCGTGACACCTTTTTTGCGTTTCGTGAGATACCACAACATTCAAACTCTGATTCTTGTAGGCACCGTTAAACACTTGGTGGATTACGCAATGGACCGAGGAATTCGTATCATACCTGAATTTGATATGCCTGGACATGCATACGCATGGGGTCTCGGAATGCCAAATTTAACAGTTTGCAATAATGTGCAACCGAATTGGCAAGACTTTTGTGCAGAGGTATAACAAGCGTGAAAGACGCACGATTGAATGTCATTTAGATATCCCAACACTTCGTTTTTTAGCCGCCTTGTGGACAATTAGATCTAACAAACCCATCAACAACCGAAACAATCAAAGCCCTCCTAACCGAAATCTCTCAGCTCTTCCCCGACACTGTAATCCATCTCGGGGCAGACGAAATAAACAAGAACTGCTACCAAACACCCGAAACCGCCCACTACATGATCCAAAACAAGCACTCAAGTATCGACTCCCTAATCGGTGCCTTCATGACCTCCATAATAGAACATACGAAAACCTTAAACAAGACAGTCCATCTATGGGAAGACATAGCACTAGATTTTAAAATCCCGTTTCATCCATCAACGGTTTTCCAGACATGGAGAGGTCAGAGGTCGACTGCTTCCATGACGAAATCGGGGTTTAATGTTGTTGTGACGGATAATACGGCGTGGTATTTGGATTGTGGGTTGGGGAATTTCATTAGTGGGGGCAAGAGTTGGTGTGATCCATTCAAGACTTGGAAGACTATGTATGTCTTTGATCCGATCAATCAATTGAAAGATGTACAGGCTGAGAAGGTGGTTGGTGGAGAGGTTGCTATGTGGACTGAAAGTGTAAGTTGTGCTCCTTCAGCAATCCTTGTGCTTACCGAGCAATGGTTTTTGGTCCTGAAACATTGCTCAATAAGTCCTAACAAACAATACTGCATCTACATCTTTTACTAGGTCGACATCAACAGCCTAGAAACAGTCGTATGGCCAAGAGCTGCAGCTGTGGCTGAAGTATTATGGTCACCCGAATACCTCACAAAGGATACGGCTGAAGCTTCTCCTAGATTAAGCCGATTCCGTGACTTGTTGTTAAAGAGAGGTATATCTGCTTCACCGCTCTTCCCAGCATGGTGTGGTGAACATGGTGGGTGTGGGCCGTCTCACAACTCGGATTTTTGAGTAGTGCCCTGTTTTGGTGAAGAGTATATATTGGTTTAAACTCTATAATCGCATTAACTTGTAATTTGCAACCAAGTGCACAAACATAAATACTAATGTAGAACCAGAACAAACTGACTCGTTCAGGTTGGGCGACAAGGAACAGATATTGTCTAGGTATATTAAAATGGCTCCAGCTACATTAACTCCCATTAATTACTCTTAAACCACTTAATTGGTATCAGCATTACTCCCCAAACAAACGATTCCTTCCTAACCAACCAAACAAACTGACCATCACACTCTTTTTCTATACACGTTCATTTTGGCTGATTTGGCAAAAATCATCACACCTCCCAACGTATTCTCCTTGCTACGATTCTTCAACCTTGATGTGCCTCTTCAACGCTAAAGATCAACAGTGTTAGAAGTTGGATTCGGAATCATCTGATCTCATAGGACCTGAAGACTCTTTTTTGCCTGCTCACCATCAGATCTCGAAAACCCCTTCCCGCATCTCGGACACACAAACGGTCGTTCATTTGTATGTAGTCTCTCGTGTCGACGAACATCATGTCCGCGAACGAATTTGGAAGAGCAGTATTGGCAGTTGAATAGTAATTCTCCTAATTACACACAAGTTTCAGTGTTAGTTGATACGTTGTCACCAATCACCCACAAAAAAATCACAAAGATAAGAACACCATCTGTCGGCCTCACCAGTATGCAACTTCATATGACTCCTCAAGTTATACTGCCTTGTAAACACCTTTTCACATCCCTTAAAAGCACACTTGAATTGTGGTATCTTGAAGTTTCGTGGTTTGCCGATATTCTTCATCAGGTCTGCTATTGCTTCGTTTGCTGCTTCGTCATCGACAATCACCTTTGCCACTATAATATCATCATCATAATGATGTTCCTGTTTGACTTTTGAGCGTTTGAATCTTGTGAATGTCGTTTTAGCAGTGGTGTTGATGGGGCGTGGTGTGGCAGGTGGAGATGAGAGATTATTGGAGGTACGACGACGACTGTCTTTATAATCGTCATCGCTATGTTCCTCTGCTTCAGATTCGGTATCACTGGCTGGTTGTTTGCCAGTGACGTGGCAGGGAGCAACGGTATCGATCTCCTCCTGTTTTATGTCTTGCACCTTTTTGGATGTTCTAGCAGGTCTCTTTGATCTTCTTGGCGTGATAACAGCTGCCTTCCTGCTTGTAACTCGTGTAGTATGTTCCTCACATTCACCAGCCCCTTCAGGCGATATAGGAGGAGACGGCAGCAGCGACATATACTCGTCCATGATCGAATTCGGGCTAGTACACGACCCGGTATCACTACTAGCACTACTAAAAAGCGACGCACAAAACATTTCATCCGCATGTCGTTCTATTACCACATCCGGGTGGAATGGATGCCTATTCTGGCGATATGGGAATGAAGATGGCGGATCGGTCGGGTGCACATCGATAGTATATTCCTGCTGTTGTAAGCACTGTGCGTCGTGGTCTCGTGTGCTTGGCATGGTATCAAGGTGTAAGAAGTGGCTGGATATGTGAAGGTATTCCAGGTATGTTTCAGGCATTCTAAATGGTGGAGGCGGGATTTGCGATGTGTCGATTAGTGGTATATGGGTGTATTGGGACCATGTGAATGCTGATGCGAGAAAATCGGGATCAATATTTGGTATCTGGGTAAGCGTGAATGGGTCGTAACAGGAGTGGTGATGTGGGGTGTATGTGGTGTCGGCCATCTATTAAATATAGTTGAGATAGAGCGGGTGGTTAGTATGCGGGCCTGATGCATCCACTGCTTAAACTGTGGGCGATGCAAGTTTTATTTTTGCGTCAGAAGTTTGGAGTGGCACCAACCACTTGATAACAACAATGTCCCAAATAGACTCTTACTTTGCTCTTGGATCAAGCTGTGTCAACCCTGTTGGTCGTGTCGTGGTATGTAGCGTCGGAACCTTTTAGCATTTGTATCGTTCGCACAATCTCCCACGATTCAGAGCTCGGAGCAATGCCTTGAAAGTCTGGATTGTCCTCATGGCTCCGCCACAGAAAGGGAGCAAGAGGGGTGGCTCGCGAAGAACGTCACTGGGTCGGCAAGAGCTTGACGAGCCCCATAACGGTTACTGCGGAGGGAGTCTCAAGCATCATGACTTTTGCACCGGCTTATATCACGGTACCTGTCTGGATTCTGTCTTTATGCAGGAGTTTGGAGAACTTGTTTCAAGTGGCTCGTGTTGATGTCATTGCAGTTAGCCTTTACACACCGCAGTTTACCAGCATGTGGATGGGAGGACGAAATGGAGTTAGTCGGATGCACGTCCCGGCTCTGATACACCAGCCCTTATATATATCGAGGCTCCTCTTTCATTCGTGCGTCCCTTTGGTGGAGAGCACAGTTTCAGTCCTTCCAGCCGAAATAGACCATTGCAGCCAGACAAGGAACTTGCAAAATATCGACAATCGCATTCGTCCCTTCTAGCACTATATACGTTGATGCTTAGTTGCATTCACAACCTACGCGAACTACGCCTTGCAACACGCCTTTTACCAGGTCCGATTTGGAGGATGACCTTGGGTGTATTGCTATTTAGCAGGTACTAGGTCCATCTAGGCAATCTCGAAAACCAAATTTTAGATTCCAATGCCAGAGAGAAAACACGACGTTTGTGTTGTGGTTGTAGCAATCGTGTCTTGATAAAGATTAGTTCATTCTTGTGATGTGCAATGGAGATATAAAGTTAGAAATTCAAAGTTTTAAATATACATAATCGATATAATAAGCATCAAGTTAGGCCTGGGAGTTTTACGGTTCTCTTTTTCATTTTCTCGCTCAATTGACAACCTCCTCAAAACACTCATAACCGAGCGAACAGCACAATAAATCAAGAACGCCAGCTGTAAGCAAATTCCCATAATGGACAAGAAGCCACAGGAACCCCCGGTCGAGCAAATTCATATCAACAAATCACCAGCCACTGGTCAAGAGATTGGTCTTGCAGCTGTCATGGTCGGTTGGAGCAGTTGTGCGATTGAGTGGACGGCATCGAATCATACTGACATATATCCAATATCAGGGAGTGTCATCTGGATATGCTACCAAGAAGATTGCTAAAGGGTAAGTGAGAGCATCATCAAATGTTGGCCGCTTTTTCATTTGTGAGAGATGCAGACGAGAGGGAGAGAGAGAGGAATCGGAGAGAGCCTTGGAGTGTCAAACTAATGATATAATAATGTTCTTTCAGGTCTGCCCTGGTGCTTGGATTGACTTTCATTGGATTTGTAAGTTCTACGATTGCCAAAACACCGAAACCTTGTTCACAGCACAGCAAAATGCATGCTTCCTTGGAAACAAGGGAGCTTACTCCCACTACTTGAATTATTCTCGCATCGATCCTCTCTATAGCCACACCTCATATCCATACTATCGTACACTTACACGCCAACACCTTCGACATGTAGCAAGCACTCTCACACACTGGAGTCATTCAAATAAACTGGAACCAAATTGAGAAATACATGGTTGCTCGAGTAGATCAGGACGGAGACGGCAAGCTCACTTCCAGAGATGTACAGTTAGCTGCTGGAAGATTCATTCATTTGTTGAGCTCGGATTTACCCTCGTCTGGTGCTTTTGCTGCTTCTTTCTGTAAGTACTATGATGATGTGTGTTTGTCGATACTGTATCGTCTGGTAGAGAACTTCCATTGACGAGAAACCGGGGACAGATCTGCATTAAGCTTGATGAAGTATGGAGTATACTCAAATGTTTACCTGTGTGATGATAGGGCTCGGTTTCCGATACGGTTAATATTGTATAAAGCGAAAGCTTGACCGAAATTGTATTCTTCTTGTTGTGTAAAACTGTAAAGTTCTGTTCTTCTGTCAAAGTTATAAAGCGTCATAAGATATAGGATACGCTTGCTCGCGCACCGTTTTCCAAATATGATATTACGCGTCCAGTGACGTCTTTCTTCCGATAACAAGCTAACCTGTCAATCTGTCGTTGTCTATGAGTGCTTGCTCCAAACCTCAACCAATGAGAATTTAACATCGGAGATTGGACTGTAAAAGTCGTGTTGTAAAGCCACGAAGCTACTTGATTTCTTTTTATACCATAGATATATAGAGAATGGATCATCTCCTGGCATCCATAAAGACTCATCTGCCTGACTGGCTTCAACAACACTCAGCCGAATTTGAACATTTAGTCAAGACGAATATAACAAGATGGATGGACATACTTCATGTCTGGATTCACGAGTATATTGGTAACCAAACAGGAATCACATTCATTGCAATCGTCACGCTGGTCGTGTCTCTTGCTATATTCTTGGGATTGGGATTCGTTTCGGGTGCTATTGGTGGTCGGTTCTCGAATGTGGATGTACCTGCTCCTCCTGGTAATTTGGGTTTTGAATGTGGATTTGATGCAGGATTTGGGATTGGAAGATGCGTTTGAAATGACTTTGTCGTTCCTGTCATCTTGACTGGAACCTCACCTACCTTTTCGTAACTCACACCCCATCACTCCTACACAGAGGCCGACTTAGAATGGTCTGGACAACCACTGTCAAACCCATCCATTCATCACCCTACAGACAAACAAATCATAATATGCTATGATCCTGCTACTGGTCAAAAATTAGGTGAACGTAGAGCAATGACACCTACTGAAATACTCGAAACGGTTGCAAGGGCTCGTCAAGCTCAACGTGAATATGCTAAAACCACATTCAAGAAACGAAGGGCTATATTGACTACGCTGTTGGATTGGGTTGTTGAGAATCAGGAGCTTGTGTGTCGAGTGACTGCGAGGGATTCTGGCAAAACTAGTACGTATTGTAGTGAAACTGAATGTTGATTCAGATAGAGAGATTAGATGTTCCTTTTTTTGCTCGGTTGACACCCGATACTAATCGCACACTCCAACTTGACTCCATAGTCGTGGACGCAAGCTTTGGAGAACTCTTAACAACGTGTGAAAAGCTCCGTTGGACTATCGCAAACGGCGAAACCGTTCTCGCTCCAGAATACAGAGGCGGTGGTGGTCTCGTCGTAGCCCACAAATCAGCCCGAGTCGAATACACACCCATCGGTGTCATGGGGTGTATTGTATCTTGGAATTATCCATGTCATAATGTCCTAGGTCCTATCATCTCTGCACTCATGGCTGGAAATGCTTGTGTCGTCAAGGCCTCTGAACATGTTGCTTGGTCTAGTGCTTACTGGCAGAGCATTGTGCGGACTGTGCTGAGGAAGCATGGTATTGATGATGCTCTTGTCGCTATTGTGAATGGGTGGTCGGATGCTGGTGAGGCGTTGATTGGATGTGCTGATAAGGTATGCATGGTACTTGTGAGACGGTTTTTTTTTGGCATCCTTCTGGTCAACCACAGCTAAAACAAAGAGATCAGAAGGCCATACAGTTTACACATGTGCGTCTTTCTTACTTTAACCTTCCGTGATCTCATTCCGTATAGATCACATTCATCGGCTCACCAGGTGTTGGAAAACTTGTCATGCGTAAAGCGTCAGAAACCATCACACCCGTGGTTCTAGAACTAGGTGGCAAAGATGCAGCAGTGATTTGTGAAGACTGTGATTTCGACCAAGTCGTGCAAATCGCTATGCGTGGAACATTTCAAAATTGTGGTCAGAATTGTATTGGGTTGGAACGCCTTGTCGTTCATGCAAAGATTTATGATAAATTCGTGAATGAGATGGAGAGACGGATTAGTGGATTGATACAGGGGCCACCGTTGAGTAGCACGAAGGCTGTTGATTGTGGTGCCATGACTATGTCTCAAGCTGTAAGTTCGCTTATTCATGAATTGGATGGAAACTTACCATCAAAGAGGTCGAGAGTTCATTTCGCAGTTGCTTTGATTGGGTTTTTACTCTCTCTTTTGCAGTCCAAAAACATTCAGCATTTGGTCGACGATGCCGTCAAATCTGGAGCTAGGCTACTTGTGGGAGGTAAACCTTACAAGTGCCCTTCTTATCCTTCAGTGAGTCCAGCCAGACACAAAAAGACTTATCTTCCACAACAGAATATTGACACTACGGTTTTTTTTGTTTCTCAATTGCAGGGTCAATACTTCACTCCAACACTACTAGTAGACGTTACTCCTGACATGAAGATTGCCAAAGAAGAAGTCTTTGGTCCCGTCGCAGTAGTCATGAAATTCAAAAACGATGCAGATGCTATACGGATAGTCAATGCTTGTCCATTTGGATTGGGATCATCTGTATTCACGTTGAATTATTCTCGCGGTGAAAAGATCGCAGCTGCATTACGTACTGGAATGGCCAATGTTAATGACTTTGGAATTAACTATCTTTGTCAGGTATACGTTAATGACTCCTTGTTGTTTTTTGGGCTTGTTTTGCGTCGTACTGAAATTTTTGTGCTTCTCGAATAGTCACTACCATTCGGTGGAGTCGGAATATCAGGTATAGATAGATTCGCAGGTGTAGAGGGATTACGTGGAAACTGTCACATTCGTGCTATAACAAGTGACTACTATCGATATTTCGGTGTTCGCACTGGTATACCACCATTACTCCAGTACCCATTATCCAAGACTTCGGATGAATTCCAAAAGGGTCTTGTTGAATTCTTGTATGGTGCTGGATTGTCGGGCAAGCTGAGAGGTATTTTTGGATTGTTGGGTGCTATGGTAACTGGTAAAGCATCAACATGAAAAGAGGAGGGAGTCTAGATGGAGGAGGAAGGTTGAATATATCATTATGGAATCTGCAGATTTTGTTGAGCTGTTGTCAAAAAGTACTCAATATACATGAGTTCTTTTCTGAACATTTGTTGTCACGCTTTGGACGCCAAAAAAACCTCAGCCCTTGATACATTTGTCGGTGTAGAAGCCTTACATGGAAGCTGTTACTTGCGCTATATCAAATAACTACCCTCTACTTTTGAGTGTTTCAAACTTGTATACCATCCATCACCGCAAGACGCATCGCTCGAAACACCTTATGAATTCCAAACGTGTCGTGCTGAATTCCTGTTCTCGGTTATTGGGCATACTGACTGGTTTGCTTGTTTTGGTTAATTGTGATGGTTTCAAGTAAAGCATCAACATGTCAGAGCAAGACGCTTAGCTTCAGAAAATGATCGACACATCATGGCGACCATGTATCCAAGCGGTTTTTTGGCACCTTCTACAGCCAAAAAAACAAAACGTTTAACACTATTGGTGTATGATCTACTTCACTTTTTGTTCAATAAGCAAAACAAATATACAATTGCCTCTCACAAAATTACAACTAGACTGTATACAAGAACGGTTTTGTTTTTTTGGATAATTTACATAAGGGACGACGACACCTTCCCATCACCTTTGAAAAAGTTGAGCACTAGTGGTGACCTTGAGACTTTTGGAGGTAGAGCGATGATAGCCTATGATGTGAAACGTATTTGCAGGTTTTTTAGCTTCGAGTTTACCAAACAAGCAAAATCATAGCAGGACTCAATGAATGTGCGTTCTCTCACTGCCACTCTCTTACCTCCATATAGGTCTGCAGCTGAGGCACACGTTGCTTAGCAGTATCCAGCGACACGAAAATCTTTTGGCAAGGTAGATCAGGTATGATCTTGAACTTTGAAGTACCGTCACTACCAGCGACAACACCGGCTTCTTCAGGGAAGTGTCCCAAGAGATGGAGATGGAAGTCGAAAAAGTCCTCGAAAGTGTGGTGGATTGTGTCGGTTGTTGTGTCTGCGGGGCCTACGCCTCTGTTCACCTGTAGGACGTATATCTATATGTATATTGTGTGAGAGTTTAGCCAAGATCACAATGAAAACACCTCGAAACAAATTGGATGATAAAAACACTTACGTATTCTTTCTTGGACTTCCCACCAACAGACATCTGAATAATATCCATAATGGCAACGGATTTCACTGGTTTACTAACACTAGACTTGGTTCCAGCTCCTCTAGCTAATTTATCAGCACCGGTAGCAGCAGTCCTGCTCGTCACACTGACTCGATTAATACTGTTATTACTATTATTACTACCACTGTTGTTGTTCATGCTGTTGTTGGTATGGTTCAACCCCAGACCACTTCGATTGACATTCTTGACCTCACTCAGTACAGCAGTCATCTTGTCTGCATACTGAGACTCAAGAGCTGCCACGTATCCAGCTACACCTCGTGGTAGAACCGTGGTGTTAGATGATACTGGACGTGGTGCCGGTGTAGGTCCTGAAGTGCCAGATCCATTTCGAGTTATTTGGGTAGCGATTTGGGATTGCCATTCTCGTACTGCGGGTGATATGGTCTGAGATCGTTGGAGTGGGATTGGTGTAGGTGTAGTTACGGATCGAGTACGTTCTTCAATCAATCGGCCTCGCATTGTGGCTGTTGCTGATCGAGATGTCGTGCTTGATCTCGTGGCAGGTGGTTGTGTTGTTGAAGTACGAGTTTCATCTTGTTCAGAAACAGAGGCGGGCATGCTGCCTGCAACTTGCGAAATGCCTTCCATGGATGTACTTGGACTTGCAACGGCATGTAGACTGCTCTTGCTGCCACTGATTCGTAGACTACCTTTACTTGCACTTGCTTTTAAGCTACTCTTGCTGTTGGATTGGGCAATGTCTCCACCAGACTGCTTATTGAATCCTTCATTACTTGTGCGTAGCGATACCATGTTTTCAGTTGACGAGCGGTTGTGTTTGGCCATGCGGGAGACAGAGTCTTGCACAATGAAGGGGTTTGATGAGATTCGTTTGTTGGATTCGAGGGATGATGCGCTTCCTATCAATGTCGTTGAGTTGGTGGTGTTATTGTTGGCAGATGTTTGATTAGCAGGTATCGAAGGTGTGGAATCGAATTCGGGACGTGCTGGTGGTGGTTTACGTGGTGCTTGCATCTGTTTTGTTGCACCACTAGCAATAGAATCATCTCCCATAGTTGTTCGAGCAGGCACGGATCGTCGTCCAGTACTCGCTCGTGGAGTATCGATATACGAAATCGGTCTGCTGGGTGAAGCATCCGAATCCGATTCGGAGAATGATGCTGCTGCTGTGACAATCCTCGAAGTCGACATGGAGTGCTGAACACCGCTCTTTTCAGCAGGTTGAAGTACCGACGATGTCTCATCCGGCAAATCCATATTTATAGACATGTTGCCCGTTGAAACAGTCTTTTGCACAAATTCAATTGGCATTCGTGCGGAAGGCAATCCAGCATTCGATATCGTAAGTAATTCAGCTGACGCTCGTCGAGCTTGATTCATATGTGTGACTTTAAGTTCTCCTTGTCCAGCTCTATCATCACTGACATTTTCTTGTGATTTACGGTTCCTGGGACTCATTTCAACACCAGTGGCACAAGCAACATCATTAACGAAATCGGTTGTTCGTAGTTGTGGCAGAGCAGGTAGTTTAGGCAGTGATGCAGCTCCAGGGGACCGTGGACTATTACTGCTACCACTAAGCTCCATAACACTTCCATTCTTGGGAGTTTTTGGCGCATCAGTAGGAGCTGATGGAGGTTCTTCAGAGGGTGGCTGGATCGGTACCAAAACATTCAACAATCGACGATCCGTGATTCCCTTTGTAATCATTCCACTAGCATTCTTGCGACCATTCAGATAAACATCAATAGCCTCTTTTAATGCTCGAATCCACATTTGCTTGTCCTGTAACGACGTTCCAGCCATAATGAATTTCGAAATCCCAATATGTACAATCTCAATCAAATTGATTCGGGTGATTGCCGATGACGTGCTTGTCTCGTCAGGTAAATCGGTGACGAGAATCATATCATATGGAACGGCAGCTACGAGTTTCAGCTTCTCGCCGTCGGATCCAACTCCCTTGGCCACCATCAGCATGTCAGTGAAGAGGTAAATGTTGCGTTGTTTACGTTCGCCTGAGGCGGATACCATGTCTAGCATGCCTGTTCTGACGAGTGTACGGTTTGGTGCTACTATGTTTTGTTTTGTTGTGAATCTGTTTTGGAGTTCGAGCATCTTGTGCACTCCTTCGGCTTGTCGGGCTCCTTCGTTTACGATTGTGACAACAGTTTCGACTTTTATGAGTGCTTGCTGACATATTTCGTAATCTGGGTTTTCTGGGTCTGTGCTTTTGATTAGTTCCTGTTTGGTGAGGATATGATGAGTGCCGTAGTGTTTTTTTATCGTGATTTTTGAAATTTTGAAACTGGTTTCTCTTACTCGTAGTAATAATGGATATTTACAGATTCTCTGAACAGGCTTGATTCTATAAATGTGCATGGCATGTTAGAATGGCCAAAAAATCTGACGGTGATGGGTTTGAAAACTCACAAGTAAGTAGCCAAGTTCAGATGCCGACTCTCAGGCATTGCTTGACATTGCTGAAATAGTTTAAAAGACAGTGTTAAAAAGATCAAAAAAAGCGCAACGTTGCAGCGAGTGTATGCTCACATCGAGAAATTTCTGGACAGCCTTTGAATGCCTCAAAGCTTGCAACTTGACCAAAGCGTAAGGGTAGTTACTGCAATACATCGTGTACATTTTCATGTAATCGCACTTGAAAATAGAGAAAGCGTTAGGAAAATCATTGACGTTCGCCCGGCCGAGCGAAAAAAAACTGCAACCAATGGAGAATATTAACTTACAACTCGAATAAAGATGTCACCGACTCGATCGACTACGTGGTTTTGAGCTTGACGTTCTTCTAGTAATTTTAGTAATTCCTGTAATAAAGAAGCAGCAAAAAATCAGCTCCAATACAATTGTTGTACGTGTCAGCTTCTGCACTTATGTTACCTGATTCATCGGCAACAACATTTCAATATTCGAAAATATCACAGCGAGATCTTTAGGCCTTAAAAGCTTATTCTTCCTCAATGCTTTGATATAAATCTAAATAATACAAATCGTCAGAACCCAACGAAAAAAAGGCCAAAATCACTAGTATGATGTACTTACTTCAGCAACAATATCTAAATCTTCCACATAATCCTTCTCAGTCTGAATAACCTCATAAATAACCTCCTGCCGCTGGCGTTCCGATTTCGACAAGTTTAATTTCGCAATGACTTCTTCACCACCCATCCATTCCGCCCATCTCATTTTCGAAGCAGCGGGAGCACCCACTATTGAGATCGTCGTGTTTGATGTGGGGGAAGACACGACTCGTGTTGGTTTGGATGATAAATCCGTGTTTGACTTCCGGATGGATGTAGCTCGGGCCATGGATGTTACTCGCAGCCATTCAGGTTTGGGCTCACTGATTGTGGTTGATGATGTGCTTAGTGGTTGTGTGGTGGCAGTGGATGGGGATGATAATTGTTGGGGTGAGTTGCTGCCATCGGATTCCAAATTGTCGCTGCTGTCTTGTAATGAGATGGCGGATGGCATATTTCGTAGTGTATCGGGGCCGTTAGAGGATTCACTGTTTGATTTACCGCGGGCTGATTTCTTGTATCTTGAATACCATGATTTGACTTGTTCGCCCGTACTGCTGCTACTACTACCAGATTCAGGCGAATTATTCAAATTAAAACTTGACGTTCTAACCACAGTCTCTGGCGACTGCGACGGTAATTGCTGCTTAGGGATCGTAGGTGTAGAAGGATTTGTCGTAGTGGGCGTCGACGATGCCGACACATTGGACGCAACAGCACACTGTCCTCCAGTACCAGCCAGTGAAGCAGCTAAAGCCTGACTAGCCTGTTGCGTACGATGTATAGAGTCCGATGCAGATACGAGGACGGCGTCTTCACCACCAGATATAAGTCCCTCGGCTCTGGCTTCTTCGTCAGAAAGGACTTTCACATATGTAGCAGGGAACCACCCTGTTTGGCCACTGCATTCACCATACATCCACCCTCCACGTACGTGCACGCCGACAGAAAGAGTCACTACGTCTTCTTCCTCGAGTGATAGTTCCTCGTTTTGGTTAGATACGAAGTCGTAGAGAGCCTTCGCATATCGAGCTTTAGGAGGCTCTGTAGGCGACGTTGCCGTCTCCATAATGGGCTAAGATTTTTTTCTTCCAACGTGGTTTGGAATGAAATCTTTTGCGTCGAGCTTTCAACGCGTTCGACTTTGAAAAAAGTTAAAAAATCTGACTTGGTCATGATTGGAAGAAAAACCGTAGACCCTGTGAACTTGTGGGTGGGTTGCAGAAAACTATGCTCGGAGTTGCTTGGCTCGAAGCGCTTAACAAGTTCGTGTGTATCGTATCTGTCCTTCTTGCTTAATTGAAAGCACAACTCCTTCTTACAGCCCACCACCAACGATGCGCCGACAAATATAACTGGCTTCGTTTGCGAATAAGTATATTGGGTCAACCAAGGAAAAGTCGTTCTTTTATGAGTATGAAACAATGCTAACACCTCCCCTACCAACCGCAGATGCCATAAAATTACGTTGTGTATGTTTGTGTGTGTTTGAAAAAAGATCTGCCAACCAAAACTCCCTCTTCCAACAAAAAATTCAAAAATCAGCCTCAAAAATGTGTAAATTAATCAGTGTGTGGTGTTGGTTTACTCCTCCATTCGCAGATCACGGTTCAAGGTACGAACAGTGACGGCCGAAGAGAAGAGAGCAATCAATAATAATCCGAGAGCTACAGAGAAGACAATGTACCTAAAAGTCGGAAGTGTGAGATTCGACCATTGTATCAAGTCGTACGTTGTTTAAATCGCATGTGTTTCGAGTGACAATGTTTTGTCGTGACTGCGAGTTTTTTGGCATGAAGAACTTACACAGCCAAAGCCAAAGCATTCAAATTGTCTCTCAGAGACGTGTAGCAAGGAGGGAATTGTGTAGTGTTGGTGGTGGCACCCGTGCATTTGCTACTGGGTTGGTAGTAATCAACGTCGGTAAGGAAACCGCAACAGAATCCCTATAAGCGACACCATGATCAGATCAGTCAACACAGAAAGCAAAGAATCAGCTACATTGGGCTTACAGCAATTTGAAGACTAGCACGAGTATCATTTGTAAGAGCAATCCATTGATTTCTCAGAGTAGTATTGTCTGATTTTCGGAGAGTGTTGATTTCGTGGACGGCCCAGCCTCCAGCAGTTCTAAATACAGATTGTGGTTATTAAACTGTGGGGCCAGTTGTCTTTACAACCACCGAACGGTTTTGTTGCAACTTACGTAATGAGTAAGATCTCCACCATGATGATGGTGGTGTCTGCGAGATGAGGTTAGGTCAGCTTAGACGGTTCAAAGTTAACCGCATCCGAATGCATCAAGCACTTACAAAAGATAAGGAAGCCTCTGTTATGGAATGAAGCACCCCAACAACCCAAGAAGGCAGTCAAGACACCGACACAACCAACACACACCCATACTAGCAGCGATGATGAAAGCACAGTCAGTTTATGCTTTTCCACACTGTTATGATGGTACCCCGATGCATACCTATAGCCCAACTTGGGTTGATTCCGTTCAAACTGTTTCCGTTATAAGTCAATAAACCTGGGTTAGCGAGAGCAATAGAACCACCGACAATGGCAATGATGGCCAGAACTAGCAGCAAGATGTTGATTATGACCTATATGGAACATGATTTACCGGTTAACAATTGCACTTGATAGGCACTAGCAGCAAAGTCTGTTGTGTGCCACCAAATGTAGGATTGCAGGGATGAAGCTATATGAAGGGACATACCAAGTAGACTCGGCCTACGGTTGTAGTGCCACGTTCAGACATGATGTGGCTTGACTCGTTAAAGTAGAGCGATTGCTTATTCTTCTCGGCCTGCTTTTCAACGAATTGTGGTTTGCTGGGTTAGGAGGTGCAGTTTCGGTGTTCGACGAAAAACAGAAAAACATCATCGCAACGCTCCGAAGAAGTGAGAGAGTTGAACGAAAGGGATAACCAGGTGTTGTGGGAGCGTAAGTACGTGTTGACGAGTGGCAGGAGCTTGCAATAATCGCGATCGGTGCGGGTTGTCTCCTCAACAACGGCAACGGTGGATCTAAATCAGAACTTAACCCTCTTGATCTACCATCTCAACAACACAAAACGGAGCTACTTTAGTAACTATGTTCCATATTCCTTCTTCAGAAATACAGGTGTATCAGTTTTACTGTGATTAAAAAAGTGAGACTTCCAAAATACCAACTGGTCCTATATAAGGATACCCGTGCAAAGCTTTCTTTACAACTTAGCACGAATATCAATAACTTGCTTGTACTCTTCGGCCCCAAAGGGTACATAGACCTTATTCTTCTCATCAAACATGTATAAGGCATCAGTCACTTTACCCAAGTCAATACCCTCGGAACGTAATGCAACTTTCTGGTGCTTGAAGGTCTGGGTGATTTGCATCCTAAAGAGAGAAAGTTCATGTGTTAAAGCGTTGCAACGACGCAAAAAAAAAACAACAACGAGGAGACAGGTTCATACTGTGGCAGCATCCTAATGAAGAGTGGTACAGCATACTTGGGCAGCTTGGAAGCTACGAATTTACCAAATCCTTCCAGCTTGAATTTGCTGTTTGTTACAAGGGCTCCCATACCGGCCCTACAATGAAAAGGGGATGCATGTGTTAGACAAGATGTAACTCAATAAGCTACAGCACTATTTGGTACTGGCTTTCTTTACCTTCCATCCTTGCCTGGAATAGCAACTCCATACACATTCGCTAAATGAGGTAAGAGTTGCATTAAGGCTGTTCAATCAGAGCTGATACAATCTCGCCAATCCTTTACCCTCTTCGATGCCAGGATAGAGGTTGATCAGTTCAGCGACCTCGTTCGTAGAAACATTCTCTATAAGCGAGACCTGGTTGTCAGAATCCTTGTCCTTCACAGTATGAAGCAATGTGTGTACATACCTCCCTTCCATCTAAACCTAAAATGTCCCGAGAAAAAGGGGGTTAGCACTGAGGTCCAACAAAAAACTTGTATGCAATTGCGGCAAGATTAAAACTCACGTATCCCCAATTCTATCTACAAAGTAAAACTTCCCATGGCTATCATATTTGAGCAAGTCACCAGATCGATACCACTGGTCGCCTTCCTTGAATACATTTGTCAATAGTTTCTTGCTTGTGCCTTCTGCATTTCGATAGTATCTGTATCAAATGTTGACAAAAGAGTCAACAAAAACAAACTTATACCAACGGGCTTAACATGCTTCAAAAGACAGCTACAACATCATATCTACATCACGACATCCACATGCGTAAACTTACCCAGCAAACTCCCGATTCTTTGCTGGATCAATCTCAGTAATCATTTCACCAGCTTCATCAACCTTGACTTCGATACAACGTCCATCAGGTCCTCGAACAGGAATTTCCTTTTCAATATCAAATTTCACAATCTTGGTACGCGTCAACGATCTATTAAGATGGAATTAGTATCTCTTTGACTCATTTGGGTATGAAACTCTTCCAAGCTACCGTAATATGGGACCCATGCGACCAACAGCTAAGAAAAGGAATTAGGTGTCATTGAAAGGAGTCGAATTTCGACTTCGTCTAATTTCGACTTCGTCTAATAACACACCTCCAAGAGTTGAGGCATCAACAGAGAAATTGAACAGCCCACCGACACCTTCTGTTGCAGCGTCTGAAAAAGTTGGGGGGTAAGCAGACGTTGCGAAAACAAGACGAGAATACATGGGAACTAATGATCAAACAGTTTGATCTCAGATTCTTACAGAATTCACCAATTTGAGCAATACCGAATCGATCTAAAGGCGTTAATGTGCTTTAGAAATCGAAAGTATCGAGCGACGAAAAAACGCAGTGGGCAACTCTAGACGATTTACCTTTGAAGGCTTGCCATCTTGGTTTCAGATAAAAGGGTAAACCAGTTAGAATTAATTATTCGGGCCAAACAGTTCTTAAACGAAGAGAAGCAACAAAGTTGAGTGCACATACACTATTGAATAAGTGTCAGAATACTCGTGAGAAAAAAACAGTAATGGAATTGTCGGATAACACATACTGTCTGGTCTGAGTCCATTACCAACACACAATCGGATGTTGTGGTTGCGATCTTTCGTAGCATCAGCAGGCGTGTTGAGCAAGTATCTGAGAAATCGTCTGATGTGTTAGCAAATAGATTGGTGCGAATTTGACGGCGAAAGATATTTTTTTTCGCTTACCGGCACAGCTCTCCAATATATTGAAATATGGTTGCGTTATACCTAACAATCGGACGAGGATTACCATTTTGAACTCCAAGCTGCCATCCAAAACGTCCAACACACCTTTTACAGTCATCAAAGAAACGAGAAGCAGAGAACTTTTTGGCGACAATACATGTCAATCCGTTCATCATGCCTGACGAAGAAATCGGCAAAAAATCCGATGAATATAGACTCTATGTGTCTTTTGCTGAATTGACAACTTACAAGTACTGAAACATATCACAAGAGCAGCAGAATGATAAAGTGGCTGCAGTCCAGAAACAAAGAGTCAGAGATCAGATTGAGTGTGAGACTTCAGAACTGAGCAAAAGTACCTGAGCGGTGTAGAATCGATCATTAGCATTCATGTTGAATGCATTGTAGAAGATGAAGGAGGCTCCAACGAGTCTCGAGTGCTTGTATATTGCACCTTTGGGTAGACCAGTTGTTCCACTGTCACCAAAAAAACGACGATACGTCAGTATGGATGGTCTCAAATCGAAACCAAAATGGAGACGACACAATTCGACCACGAAATCACCGTCTCAACTGCACAACTGGTATATATACCTCGTATAAATCAAACAAGCGGCACCATCAGCACCAGGCGCCTCATAAATCTTGGGATCAACATCCTCAGGCGACGACATCCCCATCTCAGTATCTCCAAAACACGTAGCAAACTCAACTCTCGTATTCCCAAACGAAACGAGCCTTGGCGAATTATTCAACTCGGGGATAACCTCTTTAACAGCCCCACTCAAATCACTCGAGAATATGAAAACCGATCCGTTTGCAACGTTGACACAATGTGCTAGTGAGCGTCCAGTTAAAGAGTTGTTGATGAGCGCACCAGCAGCACCACATTTCATGAGCCCGAGAAAGACGAGGATGAATTCAGGGCTGTTTTCGAAAAAGACGGGCACCATGTCGTTGGGTTTGACACCGAGGTTGATGAGGTAGTTTGCGACTCGGTTCGAGTCTCGGTTTAGTTCAGAGTATGTGTAGCTTCGGCCTTCGCAGACTAGAGCTTCCTGCATGGATGAAAGTAAGAGCGTGTTGGTATTCTGCCTATACTGGACAAGCGACGTCAAGGAAAACTGCCAAAGGATGCACACCTTGTTGGGGTTATCAGCTACCGACTTCATAAAGAAATCAATATACGTCGCCCTTCCTTCTGTTTTAGCTTGGTCCATTCTGTCAACAAAACATTTGAATTAACTCCAAATGTTGACCAAAGTTGACGAAAACAAGGCCAAACTAGACTGCCTACTTTTGCTGGATCTTGCCAAACTTGAGAACTAGTCCAATATCTAACAAAACAAGGAAATCAAGGGTTGGGTTTCTTCCACAATTCTGCGTCGGTCAAACTTTCGATAGAAAAGTACCATGACTCAGACCCAGCCTGTTGTCGACCTCCTTGAGGACGTCGTATGGTGCAGTTATGATAGATCTTAAAAGAGATGCCATCGTGCGGCTAATGTCCTTGTTCTCGCTACTGATACAAACCACGTTTTGGAAAAAGCTACTCAGGGGCAAAACCCACTTTGCCCGACTCAGGTGTGAAAAAGTTGTTCTATATTTAAGGTCAAAACTATGTTTGATTTACATGTATTTACGTGTGTGCAGTGATATCGTGTGAGTATATGGTTGATGGTTTACATGGTGGCATAGATCAAGCCGAAAACAGCTGCTGTTGACGACCATAATGCCAAGGCTGTTACGGAAGTAGATCCAGAGGTAGTTACTTTGTTGGCCGTGCTATTGTTGGATTCACTTCCTACAGTGCTTCCGGAGGTGCTGTTAAATGTGCTTGCGGATCCGAGACACATCCTGGTGGAGCGTTTGACTTTGACACTACTCTCGGATTGTGGTGGTACTAGATTTCTGTAAGGTGAGCTCTGTTGTTGGAGTTCGTTTGATATGATCTTGACTTCGGCGGGTGCTCCGTGCGTGAATACGGCCAAGAATGCGACCAGCAAGACCAGAATTACGGTTACAGTCCTCATTGTGCTTCGGAGCTCTAGATCACGGGTGTATCTTTGGGCTATTATATGTAAACAATATTTGTATATCGGTATCTTTGGTATTGGATGCTTGGTGGATAACTTGGTGAAGTGCTTCAGGTTGAAGGAAAGTCAAAAAATAAGAAAGAGATACACCCCGAGTTCCGATGACCACATCTTTTCGTTCTAACACTACTATCAGAGTAGCCCGAGTCCTTTCGTTCGACCCAACTATCAGAATCCAACAGCGTCCTTGAGCACATTTACAAACGAATCCGGATTCGGTGGTTTCAAGACATTCAGTTTGGCCTTCATGACTCTATCTATACAACCAGGAAGCGTATCCACACTTCCCAGCACCAAATACTGTTCCCGATCAAGCACTTTCCCCAGCTCTACCTGATGATTGTCCATCAAAGCGTCGTTTGCAATGACAATTAGTTTGCGATGCGAATATAATACTTCCAAGATAGTGCCTGAACCTGCATGAGATATGACTAGATCTGCTCGATTAATGAATTCGGACATGGATGGCTGGAATGGGAATGTTGTAATGTTGAATTGCGTCTTATTTATGTCGTTGTTGGGTGTTGGAGAGTGACCATGTTGCAAGTAGATATGACGGAAGCCTGAGATATAGAGTGCATCGAGCACGTTTTGTGATAGGGCTGCGGATACTAGAGCGTCGAAACGAGTCGAGCCTACTGTGAAGAGGACTGAAAGCTCTGACATGTTTTTAACCACTTGCGTTTCGAGACTGCTGCAAACAGCTCGCTTGGAGACATATGGACATGTGGAACGGGCAGCTCAAACAGTGATGGCTTGTAACCGTAGCGAGGAAAAGGGACTACTTGTCATTGTAACAGTATTATTCGTTGATCGTAGGGAATATTCGAGCGTAACGCGATTATCAAGCTGGCCTCTATGCAACGATAGTAGGACATATGTGATCACTGTCCTGTTTGGAGCTTCTCGACCTACTTTCAAGCAACACCACTACCACCAACCACTACATAAGCGAAACGATGAACAACGTAATACATGATACATGATGCATGACGCTTCAACTGAGAAAATATCCAATAAATAACGCGTCTGTGTTGTGTTATGTTGTGTTGTGTTGTGTTGTGTTGTGTTGTGTTGTGTTGCAGCAATAGAATGCATGTCTTTGCAAGCTCTAATCATGACATTGAGCACACGGTCTGAAGCTTTTGACAAAATCTTTTCCCATATCTCGACTGGCAAGTGAAGATCTAAATTGGACAGGACATAGATCGAGAATTCAGAGAGTGATTCATGGTCTGATAGTATATAGTTTATAGAGTACCTTGGGTGGGATCATCGAACGAGGTTTGTTGCCATTTTGATTGATGTCGACAAGCCACAGACGAAACGAGGTAAGAAAGGTAGGAGATCAGTAACTCATCTTATCATGCTAAGTGCGAGAAGGTTGGAGCTCTCAGTTCAGAGCTTGAGTCTGCCATGTTGTCCGGTCTTGGCTGAATGTTGATCAAATACAAGGTCAAGAATAATGGACAAAGTAAAGGGGATTCGATGCTTACTTGATGTTACTTATATTTAGTTTGCGAGGACGCGAGAACACAGCTGGTGGCAATTCAAGTGCGCCAATCGTCCGATCCTTCAAATCAGTCAAATTGTAAAGCGAGAAGAAGAACGCTCTTTATCACGTAGGATCTTGGCAGCGGGAACGGAAGGAGGACGCGTCTTTAATGATATTTCTAAGGTGCAAGAAGATTGCAAGATGCAAGAGCTTTGGAATATGGTCTATGTGCAGCGCGATCCAAACAGTTTGTTGGCTTTTGACGCGTCAACGAAGCTGCATGGACTGAATTCGCATCGGATAGAACGTAAAACCGCCTACAGCCTCGATATGCCAAGTAATGAGTACTTTCAAAACACCCGATTCCAGACACTCTCTCGTAGCCGCATAAACAATAAACAGCAGCAACCCTGGCAGCCTTACTACTACCACGACAACTCAGCAGAAGCATCTCCCGCCCACTCTCATCGTTTATACGCAACAAGATGACTATAGCTGTAGGACAGACAATTCCCTCTGGAACTCTCGTCTACTCTGAAAATCCAGTAAGCTTAAAACCAGCCAAACAAAACATGGGTTTGAATTTGACGTGGCCGCAGCTATTTTAATCGATATTATTCATGTCTTAATCGGTATTTTTCTCTAGGAAGATAAGAGTGCTTGCGCCGTCCCGCAAAAGGGTGATCCAACTGCATGTAGGACCATACATCAAACATTTGACATTACAAAGCTTGAAAACCTAAATCCCCTCTTCCGTGAAAATAGTATTCAAGGGCAAGAAGGTCGTCTTGTTTGCTGTTCCTGGTGCATTCACTGTAAGTATCTTGCTGCTTTCACTCTGGTTGTGGGTTGTCGGACTTGGAATGTTGAGCGAGTTGTTGCATCCATCACATTTACTATACCTTTGCTTGTCTGACTTGCAATAACGTTGAGCGAGCATTTGTTGCAAGCATCACACTCACTATATCGTTTCGCTAGCCCACATGTCACATTCAACATCTCCCTGGATACGTTCAACACATTGACGACTTCAAGGCTAAAGGCGTTGATATTGTCGGATGTATCGTACGTAGTTCGCCTCTTCAACTGTTAAACCCACCATACTTGGACTCAACAGTACACTTTTTTAGGCCGCCAACGATGTCTTCGTCATGGACGCTTGGGGCAAGTCAATGGGTGCTGGTTCAGCAGTCCATATGTATGCCGATGTTGGCGCTGAATGGTCCAAGGCCATGGGCTTGGATTTGGACTTGACCAAAAGTAGGAAGTGTTTTGTTGTTGTTTGAGAGACTAATCGTTTATAATAACTAACACATCACGTTGGAAAAGTGTTGGGCTCCGTAAGAACCAAGCGATATGCATTGATTTTGAACGACAACAAGGTCGAATACCTTGGAGTCGATGCTCAAGGTTTGGCTCTCTCTGGTGCTGATGCAGTACTTGGAAAGCTTTGAAGGGTGTGTCTTGTCAAAAGCAACGAAGTTGTTGTCAAACTAAAATGAAATAGATATCATTCAAAAAATATATCGCTTCTCAGATCCTATGCAAGTGCTCGGGTCTCGTACGCAGTTTCTGTGAATATCCTTAGCATTGATTTCCAACCTCACCTTTACGGCAACATCGCATACACTTTTCGACTAGATAGAGCAAGAGAGCAAGAATACATTTTATATAATTACAAAGCTGATCGTGGCGGATCAAACACTTTAGGAAAAGCTTCATATCCCCCGGGAATTTGCAGCCAATTGTCTTCCGGATACTTGAAGTTTGCCCCTGGTCCTTCAATCATATGGAAGGTATATATAAATCTGCTCTTGTCACTCCTGTTGTATGTGGACTTGTGCATGACTGAACCGTGAATGAGAACCAGCGTTCCTATAAACGACCAAGGAGTGAGTGAGCCTACGAACTTCTAAAGATCACATTCAACTCGAGGTGTTACCAGCTGGTGTCGGTTCACAAACATATTCGGATTCCATTGGATCTCTTTGCTGAGGCAACAGCTCAACAAATGTAGTTGTCTGGCCATTTGTTGATGGATCACGTACAAAACGTTTCTGCACCCGATTTCCTATTAAGAGCAGTTAGTAAATCAGACTGGAAGCACGATATGGCAGCAGACAATTTACTACCTTTGTGAGAACCTGGCACGAAATACATACAACCGTTCTCCGGAGTGCAGTTCTCTAAAGCAAACCAAAAACCAACTGCGGACGGCGGTGATGTATATAGGAAGGTCGAGTCGATATGCGGAGGCACTTCTCCGCCAATCTTTGGTTGCTTGCATATCACCATTGACTGCAATGCTCGTGGGTCCTGTGTTTCATATGGTAAGTCACTTATTCAAACACGTCTGAAGAAGGATCCTTACTGCAAGTAACCAACCTTGTATTTCAAAGACTTTGCGATGCCTTGAACGTTCTTTTGGAAGGTGAATCGGTGAAACAGTGGTTCAATGACGTGGAGGTTGTGTCCGATCTGTGAAATGTAACGGTAAGGGGTGAAACGTGTCAGTCATATCTAAAGAATACGTATCCAAACGGGATTTCGGTCTGCAAGTTCCAAGCTCACGACATGCAAGTACCTTGTTTACAGCTCGTGCCTTTGTAACAACCAGATCGCCTAAAGCAAAGTTCTTGATAGTCAGAAACCAAGCATAGCGATAAGTCAGAGCATGAAAGCTACCTTTCGAGTCAAAAGCGTCCTCTTCAAAGAAGAATCTTATCTTGTCACCACTTGATAGAAAGTAATCGTCGCCGACATGGTTGTGAGCACCCTGGAAGGCGAAGCATTCGTTCAGCGATTGTCGTAAAAGGGGATTCGGCCATTCTTACCGTTATGAACTTGGTCTTTGGATGTGTGCTGAGATCAAACTCGTCCAACAGCTCCGATGCTCTGGATTTCAGAGCATTGGCTTCCTCAAGAGAAAAGAAGTCTTTAAGGACGAGATAGCCATCTCTTTCATACTAGATAGAAAGTGGTAGAGTAGATTAGCAAATTAGGAATGAATGTCGATAAACATGAAATAAAGACGTTACCGTTGCAATCTGTTCCTGAGTCAAGTACATGTTACAAAAGATACACGGTAAAGGTATCCAAATCCAATTCAGAATGACGGATCACAGCTTCCAAGTCTTAGAGATTCAAACTGCAACGAGTTCTTATAGTGTGCAAATGTTTTGAGTTCGATGTGGATTTGAGAGGCTGATAGGAATCGGAAACGTGTATTTACGTGTCATAAGTAGTAAAGAATTCAAGGATTCGAACTCGTTGGCCTGTAAACATAGTTTGTCGTTGAAACGCGTTCGACCTCCTGCAATCCAAGCATCTGATTCAAAAACGAGCAATGGAGATAGTTCGAATCTTTTGAATTTAAATACACGTAACGATGTACTCCTATGCTGTATCAAGTGCTTCAACCACGAGCTCCTTGCGTGATTTTGATTCAATAAAAAATAGACGCTCCCAGATCTGAGCGTCCAAACCTGTTAAAAGCATTGAGTTAATCAAAGTAGCTTGATCATTAGAGCATCAAGAAGCTGGGAATCTTGACCTCCTTGTGACTTCCCTTGCTTGAATGGTCGAAAACTTGATGATTCCGATAATTTCAAGGCAATGATGATGACTGAAGTGAATGGAGTCAATGAACGAGGGATGCATGGCTCTAATGAGGTAGCGGGACCTCCTACCATTCCTTACAAGCTGCTACTGGGTCGCATGATTCAGGAAGCTTACTCGGAACTGACAACATTAACTACTTCGTAATCATCGACACTTGAACCTGTTTAGCTTCCCTATTGGTTCTAACAAATTGCATTATTATTAGGCTACCAACAAGGTCATCTGACGAGAAAAAGCAAAAGATACTAGAGTACTGCAAGTCAACGCGTGAACAATTCATTCGCCTACTCGTCTTGCTGAATTGGGGTGCTAAAGAGGCTCAAGATGTCAACAGAGCTCTGGTAAACAAGGAGATTTTGTTATGGTAATGGTCGTGATCTTGCTGAATCGGATGTTTGCACTATGTAGGAAGCAATTCGATTCATCCAAGAGCAAGATGCCTGCTTTACTGCAGCTGCTGATGAGTTGTATCATCTACGACACTCTATATTGGCTCAAACTACGTACGACTGGGTTGATATGATTTTCCTTTACAACCTGTATTCATGTATTCTCAACAAATTTTAGAACACCTGCTTTTGATGTACACACTGCGGTCGATGTGTTGACCACTGGAGAGTACAGGCGTCTTCCTTCGATCATCAAGGTAATCCTCTTGGTGTATTTCAGCATGAAGAATCGTTGTGTTGCGTCAAAGTGGCAGGAACTCAATAACATCTGTTGGAGCAATTCACCTACACTTTCTCAACAAACAGTCGGTAATCCCTCTCCCGCCTTTATCACAGTCGGAAATACAAGACACCATCGCGCAATTAGAAGACGTGATTCGAATGCGCCTCTTGTGTGATGAGGTGGTGCCTGTTCCCATGAGAGTACTCTCGAGAATAGGCAAGTGCATTTCCAGGAATGTGTGTTTGAAGGGTAGACCAGAAAACTAATAGTCCGCAATCACTGATTCCAGAGAAGGGATCTGTGATATTCAGAGTCAAGGATGAGTTTGAAATCACCTTGTCTTTACCAGGATCAGAAACGAATACTCCATGGCGATTACTAGACTTGAAATTTTTGGCTCAGGCCGTCTCAGATACATATGAGAATGTCCGGCCTACATGGAAGGAGCATCAAATGACCAAAATTGGAGAAATCACTCAAAAAATGTTGTACGATGCTGCCGTAAGGTCTGGATGGCCTCCTGCTACAGCAGCTGCAACAGTCGAAGCAGGAACTCGATGGCCTCTAGTTGCCGCATACGAGTATCTCCATGCAGTGTGTCTGGGGTATCAGTTAGAGATACTGCATCAACAGGCTCTCTTCCTCGCCAAAACTAGGTGGAAGGATCATCTACGAGTAATAATAGATGACAAGCGACGGCTCAAGATACCATATTGGGCAGGTGCCAGTACCACTTCGCTCGCACTAACACGATCATCCACTTTATTGCATTATCTCGAAATATCGATCGCCGATACACCAAGTCTCTCGCAAGTACCTAATTCTCATATAATCACAGTGCCTCCGACATCCACTGGTCCATTCGACGATTCAGTGCATCCAGATGTGCTGAAATGTATAACATATGGTGACGACACATCGTCTAAAAAGAAGCTGATGCGAGTCAGATGCTTTTCGAAAGCCGACGCACCGATAGAGACTCCCGAGATTGAATTGGTTGATGTCTTGAATGGCCATCAACCAGTCATATTGGATATCGACTCGTCGAAACTGGATGTAGAAAGCTTATTGACCAAGGCAACAGAATATCAAGCTCGGGCCGTCATCAAAAGGATTTATGAGATATTGGTTGGACCTGATACGTTTGCATTGGCACTATCTCCCGCCAGTAACCGTAGCAGTAGTCACAGTAATGTGGCGGCTCAATATGAGCATCGTAAACGTAAAAGATCGATTGTAGAAGCTCTGTCATATTATAGCCCGTCTGATGTGACGATACTCCCATGGACTGCCACGCCGCCTGGGCTTGTTGTTCGCTTCAAATCAAATCATGCAGTGCGAGTAGGAGTCGATACAAAAACAGGACGAATCGTAGTATGCTCAGCAGATGCCTACCTCTCTCTATCGGACGACACGTCATTATCAGCAGCCTCATCAAATCCAGATCGAATACGGCATGTCGAAGAACGTCTCAATCAAAACATAGACGATGCCGTCGTAGCATTACGTGATTTAGGATATGCCACTTTGATTGATGCTGTTGAGGCATCTGCAGGATATTTGTCTTTAGAAACACGCCGAGACCTGAATTCTGCCAATTTGGAATCATTAGGAACTCGTCATGTTGTATTTCTCAAAGTTGATGGATTTGATATATGGTGGATGGCTATTGGTGTCTTGACTGGACTTGTTGATGGAAGTGATGAAACGGATTATGCTCGTAAGAGAATATTGGATTCTGGAGATGTGTTAATGGATGGAAGTGGGGAAGGGGGCAGTGGTGCTAGTGGTAGTAGAGATAAAGTTGATGAAGGAGGTCCAGGGTATAAAGTTTGGATGATATCTACCAAGTAAGTATCGAATTTTTGTTTCACACTGCTTTTTTCGCATCATCACATGTTTGGAGGATCGAAAAAAACTTACATATTCACTGCTCATCAAGACCTGGACAACTTGTTGGAACTGCAGAGCTTGACTTTATTGAAGTCTTGCCACCACCCACCCCACCCGCAGATGCCACTGTCTTGCCCGAAGACTTGCTATGGAAATCCATGACCACAGACACCATATCACGTTTAGCATCAGCATGTCACCGTCGAATCTCCTTATCTTCTGTAAGAAGTCAACTTCAATCCCGAAGTATTCCCTTCAAATATTACTTGCCACATGCCTCACCACCCGTACTATTATCACCTTCTGAATTACCATATGAAGAATCAAAAGTGGGCAATCACAGACCACGAATATGTATAGACGGAGACTACTTTGCTGCGTTATATTATGATTGGGATCCGTTAGATGATACGATGGACGACACGACACCACCTGATGAATGTGGTATTGGAAGTGTCTTTATATGGGTTGAAGCTGCACCTTCATCTGGTTCTCGAGGTAGAGGATCACGAGTATGTGCTGTTGGACGAATGAAACGAGGGTTTTTGCCTTCTATAGCTCCACCTGTGAATTCGGTTGATGGATGGGAGTATGATGCAAATGAAGGGATGGTCAAGTTTTTGTTTGATCGTGTTGATGGGACGGTTGCCTTGTTGTTGGAGGAGTGGAAGCATATTGCTATCATGGCTAGACTTGCTGCCCAAGGTATTCAGCTTGATGTTCTTCGTTTGTTGTTGATCTAGGGCGCCTTACATTGCTTAACTTTAGCTCACACATACCGGAGATTTCTGAATGCCTATGGTGTTGCTGTTGTCCGTTATGATTTGTTGACGCTGCATATACGCTATCATGAGGTATCTATCACGGAGCCATCCCCCTGAAGTAGTGATTAATGTCGAGACTAATCATGACCTCCTTCACCTTGCAGAATCTACTATTGGCTATACATTGGGAACGAAGCAGTGACACAAAACCACGATACAAGACTACCCTGTCAACTGTCGATGGCTCACCCAATCCTCATTCGATAACACGAGTCTTCCTCGAATCTATACTAAACCAGAAGCAAGATATTCGATATCTTCTTGCCGTAGTAACGTCCACTACACAACTACTAAGTTGGCTGTCAGACTTTGAAACGCGTCGCAACCAGCCCAGTCCGTATCAATTCCAACCCGCTCGACGAAATGTAAATATAATAGCTCGCTCAGCCTTCCAATTCCGAATAGTTTATCAGCCCAACTATTGTGTTGAGATAACCATGATGTTACCATCAAAAGAATACCGTATAGTTGATGCTGCTGTATCGTATTCGCCCACCACTCACGAACCGAGCAGTGGACCACCAATAATCCCCAAACCAGATTTGACTACCGTTGCGGGATTGGCCGTTCAACATATGGCTTTTCAACCTATACACATCTTTGCAATTGATTTGCAAGATCATTCATGGGTTGTAAATGGGGTCGATGTGCCTGAAAATAGTTGGGCGTTACCTGTGCCTGGGGGTATCATTGCTTCGAATGGCTTGCTGCTGCATGCGCTGAGGAAGGCGGAGGTGACTTTGGAAGCTTATGCTTCTTTGACGTGGTTGTATCATGCATTGACTAAGATGATGAGGGTATGTGTGTTATGTTTACCTTTTGTGCTATGCAGCGACTGATCGAGTTCTTTTTCGCCAATGTGATAGTTACCTTCTGCAGACACCAGCCCCATTCTGCAACTACAATTTGGTGCTCCGAGGTCGTCCTCTGCCCTCTTTGCTACAAGGAAGACTGGAACTAGAGCTCAAATAGGTTTGAAACGACCTGATATGAGCTGGACTGTGCAGCCAAAGTTTATAGCTAATACATGTAAGTGACTTGAGCAACAAAAGACGAATCCAACAGACCACATCGAGCGCTGCAAGTGACTCGCTTTGACCTTTTTTCTTGGCAATCTCTGTAGTGAATATGGATGGAGTACGTGCTGAAGAGCTGGATGAAAACGAGCTTGGTGGCAACCTTACCAACAAGGTATGTATCATAATATACCGTAGGTGTATTATTTTTGCCTTCGTACACGTTACGCCAGATATCGTCTACGGTGATCAATAGAATTCTGACATTCTATTCTTCCAAAATTTAGCTTCAAGCAGTCCCAAGAGGAGATTCACGAGTTCGCGGATATTTGGAAGTGGTTGCCAAACTATTGTGTACTCCAGCATATGTCATCAAGGACATTTTCTGGTTGTTGAAACTAGAAAAGGTGCCATTGGACAGTGCAATGGAGTTTAGTGGTAGTCCTCAAAAAATCAAAGTGGCCAATGTTGAATGGTGCTTTACTGTTCCTGAGGGAGCTCCAGCTCATGTCGGTGCAGTTGGAGAGTGTGCTGTACAGATTGATTTGGAGAAGCAAGTGTTGAGGTGCTTAGTGAGTAATCCGTCTTCACCACAAACCTTTTTTTGCAGCCTTTAACCAAGAAGCTCACGAAACATGGGTCGCACTTGTCTAGTTCAAGTTCTGGAATATCTCTGGAACAGCATACGTGCCACTCTCATATTGGTATGGAGCAACAGACACGACGTTACCTCAAAACACGGGTCTTTTGACAGTCTGGCGAGACAATGACCCTGTATTATCCGATTATAACGGCGCACTTCAACAACAGCCACATCCCGGCTTCCCAACACGAGCACCACCATCGGATTCACCATTGTATAAAGCATTCAAAGAAGAATCTGATCGCAAGCCATTTGTAGTGAAATTTGTGGATCAAGTGTCTACAGGACGTGTACCGGCCAACTTTGGAGGACCGGGCAAATTGTATCCTATAGCGCAATTGTTTTCGTCGCCTCGTGTGAATAGGATTGAGGATTTGGGGCTGATATGATGAAATGGTGGTGGACGAGATGGTTGAGGGGGATTTCTTTGCATTTGGGTAGTATGGAGGCAATGTATATGTATATTCACAGTGGAGATGTAGCAACAAATAGAATGATTTGTTATGGTGATATATCTTGAGTGTAGGCGTCTCAACCCCAAGTCCCTTTCCTAGTACCTCGGGTTGATACTCTGCGAGTTTGACCCCATCAATTTCACTACATTAATAAAAGAGCTAGAGATCAATTGTATTTGATCTGAAAAGTTGGGTTGGAAATTATTGATCGTGACCAAGCAAACAGCACATAAACGACGTGGCGAGCTCGATCGCTTCAGCAAAGCTCAACCAAGCTCCAAGAGAAACAACAAGAACATTAAATACTTCTTCTATGATCTATACTTCGCATCATGAGGCCTTGTACATGCCATGTGCTTTGTTCGTGCCCATGTGATTCTCATCAGTGATTATACTCAGCCACACTGATTTCTATCGTTCCACACACCACAAAAAACAGAACATAAGAGACCAGAACATATAAAAAACAACCATGAAATCGCCACAAACAGTCGCTGCACTCCATCTCGACAAGAATATGATTCACAAGTATCCCTTGCCGTGTGAATCCGCCATGAACGAGGACACGGTCGTGCCAGAATACACTCATCAACAACTCCACTACTTGTCGGCATCCGATGATGATGAATACTCTCAATTGCCTGAAATGAAGTATCCAAGAACAATGACAAACAGCACCGTAAGTTTGCATAATTGTGATTTGCTTCTTGTTGTGTTTTGTGTGATGCATTGATCTTGCATATACTCAACCGTACACTCATACATTCAACATAGGCCAACTCAAAAAAGTCAAATACCGTCGCTCAATCATTCTGGCATTTCTTGAAAAAGATCTTTTGAATAATGCCATAGCCTATGGTTACAGAATGTCATGAGCGGGGAGGAGTGGTGCAAGTTTTTTTGGGTGTTTAAAGCAAAGAAGGGAGGGAGTTTCCTTGAAAAATTCAGTTTGCACATTATCATAGTTTTGTAGTTTTTCGCAATTATGCTACCAAGTCAATACTTTTACATAAACACGTGATGACACGATGACACGAAGCACCTAGTTTTTTAAAGGATGTCGCGTTTGGAATGTGGTATAGGACAGGTTGCCGCTCACATGTGAATGCTCTGCTTCATTGCACTGCCTTTGCCCATAGCCTCTGCGCCAGCTCAGGCCTCTGGTCAGGTCACAAGCCAAGTCAACAAACAGTTACCAAAGGCTCAACACATCTGGACCAACTCTAAATATATCGAGAGCAGTTAAAAGTACGCAACATGGCATACAGCAACAAGCGCAAGAGGTCTCTGGCCGATGTCTTCATCAGCATAAAGCGTCGAGGGTCTAAAGCCACGGTGAATACCAAGGACTCGCCCACCACGGCAACAATTCTGGCAACTCAGGTATGAGCAGTATGCCGTTATGTAAATGATGCAAAACAGACCGTTAAATATCTTTACAATTCACTAGCCGACCATGAATCCCTCCATCATTCTATCTGAACATGACGACGAGAGTGTTGAGCCTCAGACTGTTGTCCTGTTGGAACAGGTAAAGAGATGCTGTCTTGTTTAAATTTTGGGCAAGTCAGTCACAACGTACAAATATGCTGATATGTCCAACCTTTTATTACTTAGACACCGTCAACCAAATCTCGGGACTCTGAACAGTCCAAGCAGTCACGAGAGAAGGGAAGGTGGAGGAAAAAGTTACTGGCATCTGCGGAACGATTCTTTAATGATCAAGCAGAGGCATATAGCTATGGTTTCTTTGTATGAATGGGCACACTGCCTCCCCTCGTGCTAATTGTTGCATTCTGTATTTTTATGTAATTTCAATTCTATATAAATGACATTCCCAGATGTGAAATCATGTGCGTCGTGTGGATACGTTCTGGCAAGTTCATGAGTTATGGTACATGCATAGATAGTTTGTATTCGATTTATCACTCAAGGTCAGACTTCATTACACGTTTTTCACTTATATATTCGTCCTTATGCGTATATACATATCCACACGCTTCACAAACCCAATCACTGCTACTGTCGTCCTTGACTACCAGTGATTTAGGAATGTAAAAGCCCCGACACCCGTTCTTGTTTCCACATACTATATGTCCCACTGTTATAGCACTATTATTCGTCCTAGCATTGTCCTCATCAGTAGCAGCAGCTACACTGCCTGTCTTACTATTCACAAGTCCATCTTCTTCACACCTCTCACAATCACAATCAAAGAAAAAGTATCCCTTCAACAGCTCTCTCCTGGCATCTCCTCTATTACCAACACCTGCATTTGATACAACGGCTTCTTCATCAGCCACATCGACATAAGATATAGTAGCTTCATCACCTTCACTCAGTTGCGCATAGTTGAAGAAAATCATTTCGGCATGTGAGCCTGCGAATGGCATAGAGTGATTATTGCTACCATTGTTGTGACTATTCTGCGACTGATGTGGTTTTGTAACGTGTCCTACAGCAGGCTGACATGAATGATTAAAGTATACGACGGTTGGGTATAGAGCTAGTCCATATGGTTGGCGGGGAGATTGACCACTTTCAAAGGCATACGTGTATAGTCCAAACGAGTTGCATTCCTCTTTGCATACAAGTTCACGTAATGAGGCTACTAGACTGGCTGTTGGTGGTGATGATTGATTTACAAGACCAATCTTTTGGCCATTACTTCCAGCGGTTTCCTTTACTATATCATTCAGATCTATACGGTTATCTACTTTTACGGCAGGCAAGAATCCAGCCCTCTGGTGTCCATCCAGCAATGGCCATAACTTGGCTTCTGTAAAGGTTGCCAAGACTTGGGCAACCCGTGCAAACTGTTTTAATCTAGCAGCTGGAAAACTCTCCGTATTAGAAATCATATCCCATACGTCTGCAAACGTCCCCATATGATGGTTGCTATCTGTTGATTGTTTCATCCCACCCTGAAGCTCTCGACAATGTCGAATCAAGACTCTAATCAGCAACCACGTAAAGTCCAATATATAATCACCACCGTCCTCTTTCAGCACATCAAGCACATCCTCGTGATGCAAGCTATGTACAAGACTACATTCGAGTTCATGCTGCGACGTCCAATCTCGCGATTTACATGTATCTGAGCAGTAGTGGGCGATATTACAGGACGTGCATGGTATGAATGCGTGCGGTGTGTTTAGAGTCAGACAGTATGCACATACACGGGTTTTATGGTTTGTATCAGGGACAGCTGCGTACGGAAGCACTTTGAGGAGGATGGATCCAGGTGCGAGAGCGCGTGATGCAATGAATGAGCGACCTTTATTCGGGACGTGTCCCACTTTAAGAAGGGGGTTTGGTATTTGGGATGGTAGTATAGGCATGTTTGATGTTGATGTGGATGTGCGTGTGGGATGGATCCTCGAGGAATGGTAATATAAAGGCGCGTTATAAATTATTTCAATCTAATTTACAGTACTAATATATACGTGTTAGTCAAATGAATCTACAATGCGTCGAAAGCAATTTCACAATTCGTATTTGCCTTACTTTGCATTGTTACAATCTTTGACGACGGTGAATCGAGCTGAATAGCCTGAAGCCAGGTACTAGAGCATTATACACATCGGTCTATTTGCTTAAATTGGTCAAGTTATTGTAAACGTCGTAGTGGACGGAGTGTGGAATGTTTGCTCACTGTTTTCAACATTGTAGAAAGTGAATCAAGTCACCTTATTCCAAGAGAAGAGAGTCTTTTGCGGAACTGAAAATCATGAGCGAAAAGAGAGCTGTTGTCGTTGGAGCTGGAGTCTCTGGACTGACGACGGCAATGTAAACAGTTTGGTCGAATCCCAATGTTTGGTCATTTCCTGACGCACACACCGACAGATTACTCCAAATCTCTGGATATCACGTCACTATCGTGTCTAAATCATCGCCGCTCAAGCTCGATTCGGATCTGCGGTACACGTCACCTGTAAGCTCAGATGTCGACTGGCATGCTGTGTGAATTGTATCGCACGTTGCTTTTGTGTCTTGCTTATAAATCGCTTATATACACCTCATAACACTCATCGTCATCTCCTCCCGATAGAAAGCAGGTGCAAACTGGTGCAGCGAAGGGCACATTGAAGATGCTGTGACCCGAATGGAGGGTCTCACATTCCCAATCCTATGGAACCTGGCAAACATTGCTTCATCGGGGATCATGAGAGTACCATGTCTTCACTACTTCCTGACAAAGCAGGAACAACCTTGGTTTCATAACCTCACACCCAACTATAAGGTGCTAGACGCTTCCGAACTCCCAGCAGGACATACGTTCGGATACAAGTTTGATACAATAACTCTCAACACGCCCATATATCTGCAATTCTTGTTATACCACTTCCACTATAACGGTGGGAGATTGCATCATGCTAGCATCAGCTCGTTTGCTGAAGCATACATGATTGCACCGTGTGATGTAATGGTGAATTGTACCGGCTTAGGATCGGTAACACTGGTAAACGATACAGCTCTGTACCCGACACGAGGACAAACAGTGCTAATATTCGCACCACATGTAAAAACCACCATCTCAGCGGGCCATAATGAACGGGATATGACATACATCATACCGAGAAACGACGGAATCTGTGTCTTGGGAGGGACGTATTATTCTCATGATTCGAACCTGAGTCCGTTGGACTCCATAGCTAGTGCTATTGTTAACCGGTGTAAAGCTATATACCCACCACTCGTAACGACGCAAAAGCCACTGCGGATTGTAGCGCATAGTGTGGGATTACGGCCTACGCGAAAGGGAGAAGTGAAGGTATCTGTGGAAAAGGCCAAGCTGGAGGTTGATGATACCGTGGTGGAAGTAATATTTGCAAATAATTATGGTCATGGTACGTGTACTAGTTGACTGGTTGCTCCAACATGTCGTATTTGCTATTTTTTGGTAGCCTAGTCGTCTAGCACAATACCTTGCTCAGAAATAAATACTCTCAATGTAGGCGGATACGGTTACCAATCGTCATGGGGAGCAGCTACCGAATGTGTGAATCTGATCCTGGGCCGAAAAGATGCAACAAACTGGGCCGACAAGTTCCTAGTGTATGTCCAGAAAACTGAAGATGCTCGCAAGAGCATGTTGTAAAACAAACTGATACCAATAGCAATAATCACTTTTAAGCAACTAATAAAGAAACTCGTATTCAGAACCATGTATATAAACAACTGAGACGGTCTTGTACAACACAACGAATCCCGTAACTATGAGATATTAAACACTTTGGAAGCAGTAGTAGTAATAGTCTTCCAGAATGCTGCCGCTTGAGGTATCAAATCACCACTTTTTCTTAAAGTAGTCTAACAAGACATGGACAAGTATGAGGTTTTTGGGTCACTTGATAACAACACATGGGTATCAAAGTACCAACCTGGATGGTTCTTCATCGAATCAATTCCTTTGTCAACAACGTAGTCCCCAATTGCGAAATAGTTATCTATGATTCCACGAGCTGTTTCATTCTCGACAATCTTGCGAGTTTGGAATTCTGAATTGTTTCAAATGTTTGAGTATGTGAGATTGACTTGCAACAAGACAATGGCTTGAATCGCTCTAACGATGATAGAATATGCGAGCTTACCAAATCCTCCAGCTTTGCGTATTCCAGAAAAAGCGACACTTAGCAAGACAGCTTCAAAAACCTAAAAAGGTGGTGGTTTCAGGTAGTTAGACCTTGAGTCATCAAGCCTGAGTAGCGATTAACAACAAGTGAATATGCAACGTACATAATGGAGAGTTCTCGACATGATCTCAAAATTAATTGCTGTTGAAGCTTGGGCTGAAACAGTTGCAAAAGTGGGAATTCAAATTTTTGTCGTGTCAACATATAACTTGACACGTCAACGAACACGTGATTTAACTACGCTACAATGGTACTAATAGTGGACGTTTGATACGTGAACGCGTCCAGTATTGTCAAAGATTGAAAACAAACCACAACCATCGTGTTTGGGTATGAAGCAGACTTCTTAATACTACGAGCCACTCCGCTCATGAAGCTGAATTCTTTGTAGCGCCTACAGCTTTGATATAGGAGATGCGTCGACGATCTGATCTCTTTGGAACATGCTTCCTTGAAACACGAAAACCAGAGTCACAACGCCTTCCTTCACAAGGGTGCTATACAGATTGGAGAGCTGCGGGTGTTTCCAGGTGTCGAGAGCGCATAGCAAGCCTCGGGCCGTGCTGAGATTGTCTATTCGAGGGCCATACCAGTGCTTTTATTGAAAACTGTGGGCCTGAGTTGTAGATTGAGATTTAGACCGAGGTAACGTGAGTGGGAGGACAAAGGTGAAGCTCCGAATATCTTCTTTTTGAATGCAAACTTTTTGAAACAATTTACACCCGTCTGTATCTGATAATCTGACGCCTTCTTCTGTACTAAGCATAGTCATGCTATCTCAACATCAAGTCAAATCAAGAGGCGCAGGTGGTCTCAGATGCATGTAAGAATTGCGTTTTTTTCATTTATACAGCTGGAAAGGTGTGCCATTTGCTCGACACTCGTCTCTTTACCACTGCCTCCAAATCTGACATCGAGATTCTAAACCTACTCTGTTGAGTGGCAAAGGTAACCGAGCAAAACCCAAAACGTTCATTTGGGTTTAGAAATGCTCAGTCCTCGCACCCCTATTCTTGCATCTCAACCTTCGGGTTACTGGTTGTTCACGAAAGCTTTGACATTTTCAACATACCCGGCAAGAGTGGTCAAACGTTGTCCTAGGTCAAAGGGAGGTTATAACTTTGCTGGGAAGGCGTTATACAAGTTAGCCTGTACAGCGCTGGAGCTCTGGGGGACAGCAACACACCCATGGACATCCTAGGTTGTCTGCGAACCCAAGGTCTTGTGTTGTGCGGAAGCTGCAATTGTTGTTCATGAATTTCAAGTTCCTCTCTGTACAAATTTGTCTATTTGCTGAATGTTCAATATAATTGGCATGCTACAATGTTGATACATAATGATTTGCTACAAGGGTTTGGATTTATGAGTGCCTTTTTACACAGCTTTATTACCACCCTCACAATCTAACTAGCAAACCCACCCTCCTCTCATCCCGAGTACTCCATTTAAATTCAACTCCTCACCCTTCATCGTAGCCTCCATCGTCTCCTCCTCCTTACACCACCAAGAAGACCAATAGTTGTCTCTGTATCTCTATTTTACACCCCAAATCTTGGATGAAACATGTTCACCATAACAATCCTCCCCTTGATAGCCTTATCAAAACGAGCACGAAAGTTTTTTACAGATGAATATGCCGTGAGACCACGTGCTAACGGACCACTTATTTCTAACGTAGTCAGGATGTCCAAATTCTGGCCTCTTAATAATATTTTACATGATGGAGCCCCTTTGAATGTTCTCTCTTCGCAGCTTCTGCTATTGCGGTAGCAGACAAGGTCTGACTAGGCAGCGAGAGCGTGATCTTTTGTACTTGTAGAGATTCGACACTACGGCATATAATAAATCACGGTCTACATCAAGGTTCCGTATTGCTAAAGTAACCCCGATACGACATCATATTGGTATCATATTATACTCGAAGACGTTTTCAGGATCATGGTTATCTAAATGCAGTCGTTCAAGTTGTGATCCGCTACTTTCTATAAATATAAGAAGATCACCTCGTTTAGCACATGGCACGGTCATCTCGAGATGTTTAGTTTACGGAAGGGCAGGAGAAAGATGGGTCGATTTATTAGTCCAACTCCATTCAAGTAAAATTCCTGTAAGTCGATGAGCTACCTGCAATCAAATTACAAACATTGGAAGGATGTGGACCTCGATAATCGGTTTTCGCGACAGTCAGATGGATGAGTCTCATTTCGACAACTTCCATTCACCGAGACACTGTGAGTTTATCATGATAGGACTCAATTGCAGCTCTCTAAGGCTTTTGAGTGGAATCGGTGGCGGCTCACTCAACCTGCCCCATTTGAATGGAAGGTTTTGTAACGAGTCCAGACTACCATGAGCTAACGATTGCATAACCTCGGGGACATCCTCAAATCCACAAAGGATCTTTTTCTCCATCTTGACCAGCATGATCCTGTTGTTGTATCAACCCATCTTCATTTAACATTTAACATATTTTTATTGCCTTCTTCATCATCATCGTCTTCTCCTTCTTGTTGTTGTTCACACCACTATTAGGTTGGCTCACTTGTATCTGTTGTTTTGTATCATCATCCTCTTCTTCTTCTTTTTCTTCAATCTCCTTGCTAGGTGATGTACGTGGGATGTCCCGTTACAGTTGATGATTTACGAACTCGAGAAGGTGTAGGCGGTCGAAATGAGAAGTTGGATGCGATTGGAGGACTCGTTTG